TCCTCACACCATCTGCAGCCTTATCAATTAGTAGTTTCAACATCTGACCTTGAAACTTTGACGGCCTGGAAAATTACGTTAATTGTTAAACTTTAACACCAAATGTAACTCAAATGGTAGCAAATGGACCCAATGAAGTTCCCAGATAGTCAAAGTTGCATATTTGTTTTGACCTCTGACCAGACAGTCATATAACCCCAACCCCTAACCCCTAACCCTGACCTCGGCGTGCATTGCTGTGCCCCTGCCAAAGTCAAGAGTCGAGCTTCAAGACGGCTATCAGGCATGCGTCCCCTTACAACAGCCTTCTTCCAAGCTGGCTCTTGGGGAGCAATTTGTCATCAACATGTGTCTCTGCCTTGTCAAAAGAGTGTGCAAGTCTCATCAAAGCTGAGATTGAGCGGGCTTTGGGCAGCAGAGATCCTCAATTATTGCAAGAGTCTCTGCATTGTTGGGACGCCAGGCGTGTGGATCTCATTAGTAAGAGACCACGGATCATGAATTTGAGCACGAGAAGTCTGGCGTACACGATTGCGCTTTCTGTACTGGTAGGTAGCCTTTACCGCCTGGCTTGCGACTGGCTTGTCAAGAAGAACTCAACCACCTTGCGTGGCAAGTACGTACCACTAGCAACAGCATAGAAGATACCATCAATTCATTGACAAGACCGTTCTGATGAACATGCGTATAGTGAATGTGCAGACATGGCGTACAAAGGGAAGGAAAGCGCGGTTTGAATGCAAGCGTTACGAGAAAATGGAGGGCGGCAGAGGGCAGAAGGCCCCACACGAGGCGCCAAGCGAGGCGCGTTTGTGCTTCGGAACGCGGACCAACACTGACACCAACACCTTGCTCGACCTCAGGGTTGCACAGACGCCTTTGTTGCTACCCTCCTTCCTACATGCTGCTTCAATGGCATTGCTCCATCCGCGCGATCGCTGCATCCACCACCTTCCTTCATTCCAACGCTGATCTCGCTATCCTGTCGGTCTTCTCTAGACCAACACGCCCCGACAGCAACAACACGTCTTACGGAACAGTGTCGTGTCGTGCCCGCGCCGCTTTCGACATGAAGAGCGCCAACCTTTGCATTTGAACATCGCCGCCATACATGCACAGGATTTGCCTGTCCACTTGACTCAACGCAACACAGCATGCTCGTCCCGATGCAAGCCAACGAACAGTCGCGTACTCCTATCAAGAGTCTGGACTCGCCTGCTGCCAAAATCCCGACGCCCGGATCGCCTGCCATTGGACGACGTGCTGGTCATGTTCGATCCACTTCGATCCTAAGCTCGAGCAGCAGCGTATCGATCCCCTCACGGTCTACATCAGCCATGATGAGCCCAGCTCTCGTTCCAGCGCGTCGTTCTTCAATTGTAGACTCGCCACAAGCAGCTCGAGCCCGGCCAGGCTTGCCACTGTCTCCTTCCGACCTCGCTGACACCATCGCTTCACTCACTCTGGGCGATGCCCCAGTCTCTTCAGCATATACACTCTCGCTCAAACCCGGCACTCAACCCTTCCAGCTGAGCTCGGATCCAGAGGACCGCCACACGGATGTACGAACGCCGCAACCACCAAGTGGCTTTATCCCCACCCAATCGCCCGGGCTCGACAATTCGCCGTCTGGCGCACTCGCAGCACCTTCGACCGAGTCAGGACTCCGTCAGGCTGACCTTGTCGAGATGGGTGAGGAGATTGGCGACGCCCACGACGCTATACAGATCATTCAGAGCCACATCTTCTCGATCCAGGAGCAGCGACACGGTATCCGATCTGTTCACGACGGCGCCAAGAAAGAGACTTCGTCCGACGATTCAACACTTGGAGGCGTGGATCTGTCGCTCATGCAGCTCGACGAACAGCTGGAAGCCCTGTCCCGCACCATGCAGCAGCTCGAAGTGCGCTTCAGCGAGCTTCGAGACCCTTCTGTAGACTCGGCTCAGATGGAAGCCGGCGACACTTCCATCATCGACAAGGAGATGGCCGATTGGCAGGGACGTGCTCGACGGAACAGCATCACGAGTTTTGACAGCCTCGGCAGCCTCGACGACATGGCGTTGCCAGGCTTTGCTCCGGCTCTTACGCCGCGCGCCTTGCAAGCGAAGTACGACGCCCTCTGCACCGAGTGGACATCGATACAAGAGGAAGTGGAAGCGTTGAAGAAGGAGCTAGCCGACGACAAGTATCTGGACGTCTTCCGCTCGGTAAGCGTACAGGCCGAAGGCATGATGGACAGCCTAGACAAGGCCGTCTCGCTGTGCAACATCTTTGTCCAGCAGATCCAGCGTGACCATTTGGCCGGAAAGCTCCAACGAGCAGCTGCAGTAGAAGATGATCTCGAAGACAGCTACGACGTTCAAGCCAAGTACGACGAGCTTGTCGCACTGACAAAGACGTTTGGCGTCAAGAGATCGTACTATCTGCCGGCATGCCAACAGGTATTTAACAGCCTCGAGAAGGGTTGCAAGGAAAGGCAGACTGCCAACGGCACCGTCCTTCGCCGCCTCTCTGACCTGCGCTCGCGCTGGCGATCTCTACGCGATGAGCTTGCCAAGACGGAAAGAGATCTCAAGAGAATGGACGCTCTTTTCCGCCGCGTCCGTTCGGACAGCAGCGGCTCATCTGCGGCTCTTGACCTGCCAAGCCCAGCGGCATCTGTGGCAAGTCTCCCATCGCTTCCAACCAAACTGCGAACCAGCGCCTCGATGCAGTCTGGACTCGGTCTCGGCACGCCCACTCGTTCATCCGCCGGTTCGTATCGCACAACGCCTCCTTCGTCGTCATCGTCGTCGTCGCGCGTAGCGAGTGGGCCAAGCCGCTTGTCGAGCACCTCCTCGATGACCTCGCATTTGTCCAACACACCACCTGCAGCCACTACACCGCAACGATCCAGACGCATCTCGGGAACTGCAGAGTCGCTTGGCATGCAGCACAAATCCGTCTCGACGCCATCTAGAGCGGCTGTGACAAGGCAGCTGGAAGTTCCACGTTCGAGACCAGGCGCTGCCAGCAGACTTCTCAGCGATTCGTTGTCTCCTTCCGCAGCGGACAGCCCGATTCGCAACCGTGCTACGTCGATGGCCAATGCGGCCACGGGAGCTGTAGAAAAGGGTGTCCTGGGCAGATCGCCGGCGGGAAGGCCCATGTCGATTGTGGGCAGTCGCGGCGGCGCTGGCAATCGCGATGTGTCGGGTACGCCGGTTCGCGCGCCTCCGTCAAGCTTCAAGCCGTCGTGGCACGACCTTGAAACGCCTGGGGCCAACCGAACTCGAACTGCGCAGCCGCAGTCGATGCCGCGATCGCAGTCACAAGTCGTATGGCCATCCAAGGGTTCTTCATCCGCAGCTGGGCAGGATCCGGACGGCTCGATCGAGTACCTCAAGTTCAGTGCGGACTCTTCGCCGGCTCGACCGTCGTCCTCTGCGGGCCAATTCTACCGTCCTCCTTCGGCGCAGGGCAGCGTGGGGGACGCCAAGTCGCGCAAGCGAGACTCGCTGATCCCGCGTCTCTCTGTGCATAGTTCAGACGTCAGTAAGACGCCAAGTCGGCCAGGCTCGGCGCTGTCGCAAGCGTCATCATCTACGCCGATGCGCTACATGGGTGCGTCGAGGTTGAACTTGCAGACGCCGGAGCCTGCAATTGTGGCAAGGGCACAAAGACTCAGCATGTACGCGCGTGCACCGTCGACAGGTATGGCGGGCGGCACTGCCAACACGCCAAGCAAGCGCGCGAGCAAGCCGCCGCCCACACGACGAAGCGCGGCGCTGGTGTCGGGTCGTGCTACGCCCCTGTCCGCAGCCGCGCTGGCCTCGTTGCCGTCAGCTGATCCAAACTCGTCCCTGAGAAGGTCTAGCGTTGTCAATATGCGATCGCTCACCAACGGTCGAACCACCCCTACGTTCAGCGATAACGGATCGGTGGGTGGCATGTCAACGGGCACGTGGTACGGCCCTGGCCGAGGCGCTCGGGGTGTCTCGGGTGCAGGATCGAGGATCGGCTCTGGCTCAGTGGCGGGTAGTAACTACGGCGCAACCGGGCCCATCGAGCAGTACCGCGCCAACCCGAACGATACGCTGGACGTCGAGGTGGCCGCGATCTGCAACGGACTTGGCGTGGCTCTGGAGCGCATCGACGCGCCGCTGCCTCGTGGCGTGAGGCTGGAGGAAGGACCGGGAAAAGACAACAGAGCGCAGTACGAGATCGGTGGACGGGCGATGATGTGCCGCCTGCTCGAGCTGCATCGGCCAGCCGGAGGCGCTGGTGCAAGAGCCGGGACGAAGGCCAAGAAGATCTTGGTCAGGGTCGGCGGAGGATGGCAAGACTTGGAACAATGGCTTCTGGCTCGGCTCAGCTCGGTCTAGAGGAGTCGTAGCTGCAACGAGAATTCCTCTCTCCTTGGGATCGCGAGAGTGTGGGCCAATTTGTGAGCATGAGCTTCTGAGCAGGACGATGATTGCGGTGATAGTACAAGTACATATGTGTGGGAATCTGTGTAAGGGGCGAGAAGAGCGCTCACTCCTTATGCAGCGACTGAGATGGGTGCAGACTCGTCGATGACACCAGCCTGTTGATGAATCTTGAGCTGGTCGATCTGGTGCTGAAGCGAGTTGAGATCGATCTTGTCGAATCTCCTCTCGCGTGGTGTACCAGGGGGAAGAGGAAACTTGGTGTCTGGGTCAGGAGAGACGGCGATGTATCTGCGCTGCGGCTTTTTCGAGGACGGATGGGGAGTCGTCGTAAGCTCTTTTGCTTGGAAGGTGGTGGGCGAGAGCTTCTTGATGGGGAGCTTGATGCCAGATGGCGACGTTGCTGCGCTGAATGCAGGCGCAGAGGCAGGAGTAGCATCGGCGTAGTAGAAGTGCACGTAGCCTGGAGCAGTAGCAAAGATGGTGTGATCCTTGCCGATGGCAGCATTGGGTCCAGGATGCCACGAGGTGCCGCGCTGACGGAAGATGATTTGACCAGGGTAGACGATCTGGCCAGTCTGCTTCTTGTAGCCGAGACGTTTACCGGGCGAGTTGCGGTTGTTCTTGGTCGAACCACCACCACGCTTGGTCGAGTTACGGGTTTGAATGGAGCCTCCGAAAGCGAAAGCGGGCAAGACGGAAGTCGAGGCAGCTAGGCTGGTGGACGCGATAGCAAGCGAGGCAGGTGCCTGAGACGATGGTGCCCGCGCTGCTGCGGCGAGCGTCGCGCGCCTCAGCAGAGAGGCTGATCCGATGAGCATCGTGACAGGAAGGACCAAGGGGCGGTGATGATCGTGATGATGGAGGCCTGATGATATTGACGATGCAGAAAGAAGAAGCTGCTTCAGGTCGCTTCTCTCAAGCGGCTGCTCGCAGGCCAAAATCCGCTCCATCACGTGTAGGAGCAGAATAATGCTGACTAAGGCTTTGCACGGAAAAAGTTGCGATTTCAGAAGAAAGTGAGCTGCAGTTGCACCTTTTTGGTCGGTTCGGAACGCGGCGGAAGGCAAAGAAAAGTTGGAAACTTGGCTGGGAGGATGAGGACTCTGACAAGAGATTCCGCAGTTGCGTGTCAGTCTCGTCAGAGATGCTCAGCAAAGGCAAAGCATGCGTTTTTGATTGCCATTTCTCCACACCCAACTTGCGACCACATCTTCCCTTTCATCATCATCACTCTGGATCCTGTCGACACGAGCAAGCTTCGTCTTTCCAGACTGCGACGGCGCTCATCTTTCAACACTGCTTGTCGATCACCTCATAGGGCTAATTCGCTATCATGTTCTGGCCATTCTCTTCTAGCAAATCGGCGGATGCCTCGTCCTCCTCCTCATCCGCACAGCCCGCCTTCGAAGCTGTAGCGCCCGCACCTGTGGATGCCACCGTCAACAAGCCTGCTGCATCAGATAGCCCCGCCGACTACCTTCGCAGCCACGCTTTCCAGCAACCATCTTCGCCAACACCTTCGACATCCGGCTCTGGCGCCGAATACGTACCTAACGCAGCTTCGCTCCTCGGCGACCGTTCACTCGACCTTGGCTCCCTCGGGCCGCTCGCCGGCCTCGGCAAGGATGACCTTGAATACCTTGACCTGACCGACAGCGCGCCGTCGAGCATGGAAGGCGCACGAACAGCCGTCCCATCACGAGGCTGGTCCGACGATCTCTGCTACGGCACCGGCACAACGTACCTCTCTGGCCTCGCTCTTGGTGGTCTTCTCGGTGCGAGAGAAGGCTTTTTCCGTCCGCTTGGTGTCGACAATGCTACGTTCCGATTGCGACTCAACGCTGTGCTCAACCAGGTCACCCGCCGAGGCTCCTTCTTTGGCAACTCAGCCGGTGTCATTGCGCTGATCTACAACTTGGTCGATGCATCGATCGACGGTATCAGGGGCAAGCACGACATCTTCGGTGCTGTGGCGGCAGGCGGTGTCTCGGGCGCCATGTTCAAGTGCACCGCTGGCGTGAGGCCAATGGCAATCGCAAGTGGCATCATGATGGCCGCCGCGGCTACCTGGACCACTGCTAAGAGCGCTATTCTCTAGACGACTCATCGAAAGTCCGCTTCCTGACCTTCACGACATTGGCAACCATCCTGCACCTTCGATTGTACCGACAAAAGAGGGTCTCGACCCTCACACACACACCACTCTGCTCTGTAGACTCCCGGCCGCACGGCCTCGTTCCCGCTTCCTCAGCCACTACGCAGATCCGCAATGTACACTATTTTTTCGAGCCATGCTCACATCTCACATCCATCCCAGTCTGTGCTTTTGACATAGTCATGGTATATTTCAGCAACACTGGTTAGGTGACAATCTTGTCGATGAGCGTCTGCCAGAAGGCCGGGTCGAAATTCTGCTGTCCCGCCTGCTGCTGGGCTTGGCCTTCGTCCGATTGGGTTCCTGATGCCGGTGCGCCTGAGGCGAAGAAGTTTCCGCCGAAGGAGGTCGATGCGTTGTCGGGGAGCGGCATTTTGGGGTTGAGTCGAGCGTTGTGTGCTTGAGCCCCCGGGGCGGCGCTGTTCTGCTGCTGCTGCTGCTGCTGCCAGGGGCCGGCGTTGCTGTTGATGGGTGCGTGCGGGATGAGGTCGGCCAGCGAGGAATTGGGATCCGCGTAACTGGAAGAGAGTGGGGCCGATTGCGATGTCCATCCGCTCATGACTGCGCCAGGAGTGAGAGCACCCACGGGCCTCGAAGTGGGTCCGATGGCGCTGGGCGTATTCGGAGCAAAGCCACCGATGGATGGTCCGCCGAGCCCGTTGAAGCCTCCACCGAGACCCTGGCCCACGGACATGGTCGAGGCGCCAGGCCCGTTGCTGACAGAGTTGAAGACGCCTCCGAGACTGCCAAGCGAGTCCAGGCCAAGGCTGACACCACCACCGCCAAGGCTGTTGGCGCCGTTGTAGGCCGCGTCGTACGATGGCATGGTGGCGGCTGCCCATTCGGCCTGGTACCACGCATCAAAGAACTGCTGGGCGTCTTCACCACCGCCGTTGGCAACTGCTGCTACGTTCGGCGTTGAGGAAGCGGAAGTGAGCGAGTCGCCTGCGGCGTTACCTCTGACTACGGCAGGCAGTGAGGTGGTGGGGCTGTCAGAGCTGCTTGTTGAAGAACTCGCCACTACTGCGTTGGGCAGGCCGCGCTGATTGTACGTCCAGTCGCCCGAGGCTGATCGAGAGGCAGATCCTGTAGCAGCCATTCGAGAGGCGACAGAATGACCCAAAGTGGCATTCTGACGTGGTGAGAAGGTCGATTGCTCGGAGTGGTTCGCGGCCGGAGGCGTCGGACGTGATCTTGCAGGGTCGGGACTGTTCTCTGCGCCCGTGCCGGATCGTGTTGGCGTCCCGAGACCAAGCAACAGATGAGCATCCGACTTTTCGTCGCCATGATCTGCGCCAATGTCTCGACTGCGCTTGGTAGACTTGCCCTCGCGGTCATTGGTGTCGCCGCGATGCCCGGTGTCTGTCGACCTGCCTCGTTTTGGACCTCGAGAAGCGCCATGAACTGATGTCGTGCCGGGCTTCGAGGGTCCACTCGCCTTTTCTGCCTGCTCGATCCTCGAAAGGAAGATGCTGATGACATTGGCTTCGCGATCTCGCATCTCGTCGCGTTGACTCGCAGGTCTCTGCTTGTAGTTGTTGATGTAGTGTTCTAGATGCCCTTTCAGCCTGGGCGCATCGGGCGCGTTTGGGTCCATCAGAAGCACCACTCCGACAACGAGCAACGAATGAAAGTACTTGTAGGTACCAATCTGCACGCGATAGAGGAGCACGGGCTCGCCATCAAACTTGACGTTCTTGAGACTGTTGACAAAGTCGCTGCGCATCTCGAGGTCGTGCAGAGCAGCGTTGAGACTTGCCTCACGGCAGGGCAAGAACTTGGCACCATTCGGTCCACCAGATCGGAGCAAGTACGGTCGGTGGAGTGCGATCCTCACGGAGTTGATCTCGGTGTGAAGAAGGAAACGGTGAACATTGAGGAAACCGTAGGTGTCGTCGAGCGATTTGTCGCACTCGACGCCGTCCTTGGTGAGTCGGGCACGGAAGTAGAAGGGGAGGTTGTCTTGGAGCTCGCGCATGTCTTTGTCGAGAGCAAGCACGTCGCTGACATGGACGGGATGCTGCAGATTCTGGAACGTCGCGAGAATGCGACCTTCGAGCTCGGCGATGCGCTGGCGGAAGACAGTATAGCTGTAGGCTGTGGGTGGCTCCACGCCCTCCGGCATCCTTGGTGGATGCTTGGGTGCAGGGAAGATGTCTTCGTCCATGACGCCGCTGGGCACCTGTGTATCGCAGACGCGATCATCGATGACGGCGGGACGGCCCGTGTTGAGAGCGAGAGCTCTGTCCAGGAAGTAGACGGCAGCCCATACGCGGCGGCGAGCTTCAGTCTCGGCGGGAGAGAGACCGAGTCTGGTGCCATCTCGATGAAGACCGATACTGAAAGCTGCTCGCACTGCCGAGGAGCCGAGGGTGTATGCTTCGCCGATTCGGCGATCGAGCAAGAGGAAGCGGCAAGAAGCCAGCCAAGCGACAATCTGGTCGACGTCCTCTCGACCCATGATGGAGCTCATAAGCAGCGCTCTGCGTCCCGCATAGTGGTAGCGTCTGGCGGCCTTGAGTCGGTCCCGTGGTCCCTCGGTAAAAAGGTGATGCTGTACTGAAAGCATAGCAATGGCACATACATTGCAGAGCAGTGCAAAGATGTTGATATTCTGGGCGTTGATCTTGGGACCTGAGTTCCAAAAGGCTTCAAAGGACTTGCGAAGGCTCTGCTGGGGCAGGGGCTGACGCATCCAGTTGATGTCGTTGAAAAAGTGGTCGATGAGAACGCTACAATGAGCACGAGTGCTGAATGCGCCAAGGAGGTCCGGGGTGGGTGCGGTGGGGCAGCCATATTCGGGCATGACAACGTCCAAGTCGGAAGGTCCTTCTAGGGTCCTGATGGGCAGGTTGAGCGGTGTCGACTTGGTGGAGCTGCCAGGAAGATCGTCGAGGATAGAGCTGATGCGCATGTCCATGGATCCGCCATTGTAGAAGCCAGTTTTGGGACTGTAGCGACCGTCGGTTTCGAGCTCGTCGATCTCGTCGTCGTCTTCGTTCCTGGATCGACCGGGCAGGTGCTCGGGCGATGTGGTCATACCACTGGACCATGCAGCCCTGGATGATACGCTGCGACGATTGCTCGAGTCATTGCGAGGGGCGATTGGGCGGCTTCCGGGAGCGACATTGCTCTGCGAGTGGTGGGACGGAGGAAGATTAGCAGAAGCGATGTGCTGGACCTGCTGGACGAGCTTAGGGAGGTAATCCTCGAGTATTCTCTCGACTCGACTGAGTCTGGAAGCGACGTCGTTGGTCTCCTCTCCTGGCTGGAAAGTCTTGCATCGCTCTGGAATCTTTCTAGCTATGCAGTGCTGGCAGGGCGTTTCGCGATTGCATTTCTGCTTACGTCGGTAGCATTCGGTGCATGCGAAGTGGACACGGTTGCGCTTGCCTGTGCCGCGAGAATACGACTTTGGATCATCGGATGGTGAGTCATGATCGTGAGCTTCCGGAGTGTCGGCTGCGTTGGAGGGAGGTCCTTCGCTGTGACGCGAGTGGGCGTCTCCGGTGTGCTGTCGACTCTTCTTCATGGCAGCTTGTTTTTAGCCGGGAGCTTAGCAGGAACGAGACTGGAGCAATCAGCAAGGTGCATCCATGGCTTGACTGGATTGAGAACCTCGAGGGAGGTCGGTAAGTGCGGTGTGATGAATGAGCTGAGCGTGGGAACAGAATGGTGGGATGGGAAGGCGTGGGTGTGAAACATGCGAAGGCCGAAGAAGAGCGCAAAGCTCAGTCGGCAAGTCCGACCACCGACGGCAATGCTTCCTCTCGCTTGCTCGCTCGCTCTGTGCCGGCAGGTCGGTTGATTCGGATGGACGGCTTTTCCGACTTTTTCTCGCTTGGTCTGACGCCACATCGCAGCTCGTTAAGCGCGACGCTTTTCAAGAGAGTCACACACAAGCCCCTTTCCCCGGACAAGCCAACTTTAAGCTGTCAGTCACAGCCAAAAGCGGACCTATCGGCCATCTCAGAGCGACAAAGTGTGCATCGTTTGCTCCCACCGGCGGGTCAGCTAGGAACATGAAAGTCATGCGAGGTGAGCAATTGCAGGCGGCAACAATGGATGCCAACTTCATGTTTGGGGTAAGGGTCCTGCAAACTGAAAGCTGAGCCAGAACTCGGATTTCGGAATGGTCGCTGAGCAGAAGCTACGAGGATGACGAGTGGTGCGCATTCAACCCTTCCCACCGCAACACTACCATCTTGTCCGACACCCATTCGACTCACAGCATGTCGAAACACCACCCAGATCTCATGCTGTGCCGCAAACTGCCCGGCATTGCCATTGGTAGGCTCTGCGAGAAGGACGACGGCAAATGCCCCATCTGCGACTCGTACGTTCGTCCAGCAACCCTGGTCCGCATCTGCGAAGAGTGCAACTTTGGCTCTTCGGGCGGCAAATGCATCATCTGCGGTGGCCAAGGTGTATCCGACGCATACTACTGTGCTGAATGTACACGTCTTGAGAAAGATCGGGACGGATGTCCCAAGGTGGTCAATCTCGGTGCGAGCCGAACCGATTTGGCATATCTTCGCAAGGCTAGAAACCAACAGCAACAGTGAGTGTCTCTCCCGAGCATGTATTCATTATCCGAGGTTCGACGTGCTGACCGTTCTGATCCTCACCGTCATCTTCACAGATTCCAAAGAGGCTAGCCACCTCACATTGGCTTCCCCAACTCCCGACCCAACCCTGCATCTGTATTTGTACCGTCTCTTGCAATTCATTTCAAGGCATCACAGCATCGCACACCAACTTTGTCTTGCGAAGAGTACGTCTAACTTGCATTACGAAAGATCAAGGCTCTGCACCTATACCGACTACAGTTCGGCAAAGAAGAACTCCGTCGTCGACGGCAGCGCAGGCGGCTGCACGCTCGCCGGCAGCTCAATCTGCTCTCCTGTAAGATCAAGCAGCTTGACCTTGATTCCAATCTCCGTGAGCGTTTGGATCAAGTCGGCCGTCTCACGCGTGCTGATCACGCCACCTTCGCCACGCAGCATGTTGAGCCCGTCGGTCCATTCCGAGAACTGACTCGCGTTGAGCGCTTGCATCTCGGCCAGGCTGGCTTCGGGCGACTGGAGCAGGCTGATCACCAGGTCGCCGCCTGCCTTTGCCCCACCTGCAGCAGTCGTCTCGCCAGCACCGCCATTCTGCGAGACCTCAGTGACCAGGCTGAGGTCAATGCGCTCCGGCAGATCGTCCAGGCCGCCACGGATCGGGAAGCGCTCTGATGAGTCGCAGTAGTAGAGGAACTTCTTGTTGGGAGCCAGCCGGTAGAATCGCCACGGCTTGGTCTTGGCCGATGCGCCATTTGCTGCGCTGCGAGTGGCTGGTACAGCAGTATCGACGGTGCTCGTCGATTTCCTGTGCTGCTTGCTGCCATTGCTGATCGCACTGACGTTCGACACCGTAGCATTGCGGAACCACGCACCCTCGAGCAAGCATCGAATGCGCTGCTGACGCACAAACTCGTAGCTCTCCCTGTAGATTCGTCCGCGCAGATTGCGGATCGACGCCTTGGAGCTGTGGTCCTCGTCCACTTCGAGCTCCTTCATCTGTCGATCCCGCACGGTGCGGTATTCGGAATGCAAGAACGCGTCCTCGACTTCGGCCCATGTGCGACTCGTCTCATCTTGCTGGCCCAGTGCCTCGTCCACTTGGCTGCGCACCAGAGCCGACACGCGCGAAAAGTCGGAGGCAGCCGCTCCCGACTCGTTCCACATGCGCAGGAAGAAGCGCAGCGCCAGATGATGCACCTTGGAGAAAGACAGCAGGTAGGGTAGGTACGTGGTCGAAGTCGCGTACGAGCCAGATTCGATGGCCCAGTGATCGGCGAGGATGGAAGTGACTTCAATCGAGGCTCGCGCAAACATGCAGCGTCGCTCCTCGGGTCGGTTGATCTGCTCCTGAATGATCTTCGAGTAGAGGTCTGGATCAGAACGGACGAACGACTCGAGACACGACAGACCTAGCCAGCCCGTACGTCCAAACTCCTTGGCAGCGGACTCGGACGCAAATCCGATGCGTCGCCATTTGTGTCGAGTCGTGGTGCCCGACGAGGTTCTTGGCCCATTCTTGGGCGGACTGTTCTGCACTGCGGCAGGATTGGGCACCACAACATCGCTGATCCTGGCCTGCAGCCAAACGTAGGACAACGCGTGAGCATGTCGCTTGTCGGTGGGAGTGACGACTGTGCGCATACGGCGGTGTGCTGCTCGGATGACGTTGCTCTGATACTCGAGAATGGACGAGGCCAGCTCATCTCCTCGACTTGAGTCCATCAGCCAGGCTACAGCTTTGGAGGCGTGCAGCTTTTCGAGTTCCGACGTGAAGCTCTCGAACAAGTCGTCCGAGACGTTGCGCAGAAGGCTGTTGATCAGACTCAAGCTGTATAGCTTGAGCGTCGTGTCTGAGCTGCCAAGACGGTTGACCAGGGTTTGCAGGAAGAGCCGTTCGCGCTGGATCTCGGTGTAGATGAAGTCGAAGCCGTAGCGATAGACGGCAGGAGCGGACGAAGCTGCGGCATCGCGACCATCCGTAACCACACGGCCCGTCTTGGGCGAGTCTTGCGGACCAGAGACGACGAGCTTCTTGAGAATGGCGGTGGCAGGTCGACAGACGTTGATGCGCTCCTGAGCCACCAGCAACCCCACCACTTTGGCGACAAAGGTGTTGTCGATGATCTCCCATCCATACTCGAAGCCTTCCATGAGGTTTTGACAGCTGGTCAGGGCATATGCCAATGTGTTTCCTGACGAATGGTTGCGAATGACATTCAGGAGCTCCTTGACGCCTCCTCGGGCGACGAATTCGTCTGTGAAAGGCGTCTCTCGGATGAGCCTCTGCAGCGTGTAAGTGGCCATCTTGAGAACCCTGTCGTCGCGTGAGCTGAGCTTATCCACCATGTCGACCGCCTCGATGGTGGGAGACGAGCACAATTTGAAGTTTGCGCCGGCTTCGATCTTTTTGGCCATATTGGCATCGTCAATGAGCTCATCGTCGTCGTCGTCTCTGAGAGCGAACAGCGCTGGTGGCTCTTGTACTCCGAGATGAGCATTGGCGCAGAGCTGACGGATGACGTCCTGCACGGGCAAGCTTGGGTCAATCAGAGCCTTGATGGTGGACTGGCCATAGGTGACGAGGTTGATGCGATTGGCCGTGGCCGGCGACGGTGGTGGGACGGCTGAAGAGTCGAAGTGGCTCTGCTTGGCTGATGGTGAAGCCAGACCTGACAGCCTAGCGCGGCTGGGACCGGGTTCCGCGCCAGACATGTTGAATGGTCCGCGCTACGATACAAACAATGGGAGTAGTGGTGGCGTTGAGTTGAAGCGAGGCGGTGCTGATGGTGTCAGTGAATCGATGGAGGAGACGAGAGATGGAGGATTGGGTCAGTGCGGATGTTGAGTTTGCATTTCCAACGCAGCGGGGCGAGGGCGTCTCGGAGAGCACGCGGGCGGGCGGGCGTTGGATATTTGGGCGTACAATTTCAACATGGCAGTCGACTTGTCTCACTTGTCGCCTTGTGCATGACTCTAGCGATTGCCCACGATTGGCTCTCAGACTTGCTCGTTGAGGATGGTCACAGACAAAGGAGTACTGCCTGACAGGAAATGCATCAGTGCATTGTAATGGTAGCATTGAGGATGTCGAAAGGCCAACCAGGCGCTTCTGTCATGACATCTGCGGCCGCAATCGTCCGGAGAGGGCACCTCTAAGACGTCGAGCTTGAAGAAGGAACGGCGTGGGCTTGTTGCTGTTGCTGCTTCGCCTTCTCATGTTGCAAGATCTTGGAAGGCCATCCGCGCCTCTTTCCACCCTTTTTGGCCCGGCCTGCAAACTTGGCAACGTGAATCGGTGGTTGAGTGATTCCCAGCTCGTGACGCATTTCTTCAATGTTCTTCTCCCAGCATCGCTCCCATTCGATCGAGATGAGTGGCACCGAGGTCCTACCGACTTCCATCGCCCAGGGAACTAATGTTTGGAGCGCCGACAGATCAGCTGATGATGGCAGGTTCTGTGATGCATCAGCCTGACCAAGCGCTCTTGATATGAGCTGCGACGGCTTCGGCAGCGAAGAAAGATTTGACGCAAGAATGCGGAGTGTGCCACCAACGGCTGCGAAGCCGGCGACAGGCATTTGCATTTGCGCCATCTCGAAGTATTTGACGACCGTCTCGCCGAGCTGCGTGACGGGCATACGCAGCAGCAGGTGGTAGAAGTCGTGCGATTCCCGGTAGCGTTGGATGAGATACTTTTGCTCCGATGTTGGCATGTAGTCGGCTTCTGCCCTTCCATCGGGACCCACACCGTTCTCCTTGAGCCACTCAACCCATTCTCTCCCGAATGTGCCGCGCTCGAGGCTGGCAAGGTACTCGACGTCGACCGTCTCCGAGTTGACAGACGGTCGCTCGATGAGCAATCTGCGTCCTGATTCTGTCGAGCGCATTGACTCGAGTAGGTGTGCGAGTGATGGTCCTGAGGATGTCTGTGTCAGCATTGACAGCAGATCTGCAGGCGGAAAGGATTCCAATGTCAGTTTTGCCCTTCGAGGTTGTGATGCGAGAGATGGCTGAGCTTACCTCCACGAGACGGATTGTTGAGTAGACCGAGCGCACTGCCGGTCGTCAGCAGAGCTCGACCCAGCAGAGAGGTTGCGATGTGCTCCACTTGGTCGATGCGTCCATCGCTGCGGGTGGTGTTGCTGTTGGTTCCATCCTTCGAGCGGCGAGGCGCCGTAGGAGAGAGCGTTCCGAAATTACTCGAAGCTGGCGACCCTGGCTTGACAAGACGAGCAACTGGACGAGATGGCAGCCTCAGCATCGATGTGCTCGCGCCTCGACACCTCGAACCAACGGCAATGAGCTGCTTGAGGAAGAGGTCGGGCAACATCTTGATTCGGCAATGATGCTCTGACCACAAAGCCGATGATGGCGATACGATGGCATCTCTTCCATCAATTCGGGATGAGAAATTGCTCCACTTTGCCCAGCAAAAGCTTATTTTCTCGTGGCCGGAACGCGGAACATGGAGCGTCGGCAAAGAAGCGCTTTGATCTTCCAACCACGCACAGACTGACAGATGCACGCTCCCCTTTCAGCCTGATGCATCCTTGCGGAACCACACGGGCCCTTTGCATCGACCATGCGACGAGCATAGACCTCCAATACGGGCCACACTAGACGTCACGTCGACAACATCATGGTTGGACTCCTGCCGTCCTCGCAAAGGCGGTCCCGGCGGTCACAACACCACATCGGTCGGTCTCTTCTCCTCGCTTCTCTCGTCTTGGGGACAGCATCTGCTCAGCAGCCTATCACTGAGGGAGATGCAGTAGCGATGTCGGGAGAGCAATCCTCGCTCTTTCGCATCTTTGCCTACGCCGGCTTGGTATGGTATTGCTTGATATGGTCCGTCTGCCTCCTCGGCCTGAGCCTAACACGTCGATTCGCACGCTCCGAGTCGCCAAGATCTCCGCTCTCCCCGCCGCGGTCTTCAGCCATTCTCACAAATCAGTCGGACAATTCGGGCAGTCTCGACTCGCTCCTGCATCGACAGCAGCAACATCATGATCAACATGCGGAATCTGTGCCGGGCGTGTCGATCTTGCGGCCACTCAGCGGACTCGACAGCAATCTCTACTCCAACCTGTCGTCCTCCTTCACCCAAGACTATCCTACCTCGCGCTATGAAGTCATCCTATCGCTCCGAAATGCCTCTTCTGCAGAGTCCCAGAAAGTCCTCAATGTCGCTCAGATGGTTGTGGCTGCTCATCCGAACGTCGACGCGCGCATCATCATCGGCGACCAAATCGCAGGGGTCAATCCCAAGATCAACAATCTGGTCCGCTCCTATGCTGCAGCCAAGTACGACATTGTCTGGGTCGTAGACAGTCAAGTCTGGTCTCCTTCTGGTGCACTCGCGCGTGCCGTCGACGACCTTTGCATTGAGCCGGCAAAACGACCGAGTCCATCCCCCAGCTGGTTGCCACGCAAGCCGCACGGCGGGCGGGTGGGTCTCGTTCATCACGTTCCCTTCGCAGTCCTCCCAAGCACTTCATGGGGGTCGAGGATCGAGCGAGTCTTTCTTTCAACGACACATGCCAAGATGTACCTTGCTCTTAACGCCCTTACGATCGATTCGTGCGTCATGGGCAAGAGCAACATGTACCGCAAGTCGGATCTCGCCTGCGTTCCCGATTCGTTCTTCAAGGTCTCTGACAGTGGCAGTCAGGGCGAGGAAGGTGCAATTGGCAGCTTTGCATTTTCGCATCAGTCTCAATCTGCGACACCAACCAGCGTCAGCATGTCAAAGTCGCCATCCCATCAAAGAGGTCAAGCGGGCTCGGATCAAGAAGAACTTTCCAACGATCAAGTCAAGAACCTCTCGCGACCATTGGCTCGATTCTCGATCTATCTCGCCGAGGACAACATGCTTGCACAGTCGCTGTGGGATCCACCGCTCAGCCTATCGCACACGCTGTCCTCGTCTGATCTTGCCTACACATCAGTGGGCGACATTCGCACGCTCGCCGACTACACGCGTCGACGGATGCGCTGGATCCGCGTGCGCAAGTACATGGTGCTCGCACCGACCTTACTTGAGCCGCTGACCGAATCGATCCTTTCAGGTCTGGTTGGCTGGCTTGCCTTTTCGACGCTGCTGCTGCCAATCCTCTCACCCTCTGCTGGTGCTGCACCGATGTGGATCCGACTGCTGTTCTTCTGCGTCCACTGCGGTGCATGGTTCACGGTCGACTATACGGTGTTTCAGCGGCTGTCGGTGGCGCACGAGTTTCTGTCGTGCAATCCGGGCGTGGATCACGCGGACAGCATGAGCGTCGTCGAGTTTGCTGCTGCGTGGGCGATGCGCGAAGCTCTGGCGCTGCCTATTTGGGCGTGGGCCATTCTGGGCAGCACCGTCTCGTGGCGCAACAAGACCTACCGCATTCTTCGCGGTGGGCGCGCGGCCGTCGTTTCGAGTGGCTCGAAGGCGGGCTCGAAACGCTCAAAGACCACTTCTCACAATGAGGATCTGGATCCTCTCTTACATTCAGATCGTCAGTAGCAAGGGACACATGCACAATGGCACATCATCAATCAAGTCATGAGTTTGGCCAAAGGCGTATTGCTTCCGAGTCCTAGTCAGGGTGAAATGAGACTATGTCTAGGCAGACGAAGCATTGAGCATCTTCTCCAACGTATCGCACTGCTCGAGGACCGCGCGCTTGGAAGTGCCACCTTTCGCATCGCGGCGCTCGACGCTCTGCTCGAACGACCAGACCTGCATCACATCGTCCTCGAACTTGTCCGAAAGCGATCGCAGGTCCTGCATCGTCAGCTGGGACAGCAAACATCCCTTCTGCTCCGACAATCGCACCGCGCTACCCGAAATGTGATGCGTCTCACGGAACGGGATGCCCTTCCTGACCAAATACTCTGCGAGATCCGTCGCAAGCATGTCCGGGGTCAACGCGGCCTTCATCTTCTCCGGGAAGATGTTGAGGGTCGACAGCACGCCGGTGGCGATCTGAATGCCGTTCTTGGTCGTATCGACCGCATCGAACAGCGGCTCCTTGTCCTCCTGCAGATCCTTGTTGTACGTCGACGGGATACCCTTCAATGACATCATGAAACCGGACATCTGACCAAAGATGCGACCAGATTTGCCGCGGAGCAGCTCGAGACTGTCCGGGTTCTTCTTCTGCGGCATGATCGACGAACCTGTGGAGTAGGCATCGGAGAGCTGCATGAAGCCAAACTCAGAGGTGGAGTAGATGATAAAGTCCTCAGCCATCTTGCTGAGGTGGACGGCGGTGAGACTGGCCCACATGAGGTACTCGACGACGAAGTCGCGATCGGAGACGCTGTTCATCGAGTTGGGGCCGACGGTCTGGAAACCGAGGTCGGCGGCGATGGCGTCGCGATCGAGGCCGGCGAAGGGGTTGCCTGCCAGCGGACCCGAGCCGAGCGGGAGGACCGAGATGCGGGGCATGAGGTCGCGCAATCGAGCGAGATCCGAGGCGAAGTAGGTGGCATGCGAAAGAAGCAGGTGCGACCATCGGATTGGCTGGGCTCGCTGCAGATGCGTGTATCCGGGCATCAGCGCATCGACCTCTTCCCTACCACGAGCAATCATGACCTGGATCAGATCCTTGAGATAACCCTCGATGGCCTTGACCTCGTCCATGAGCCAGAGGCGCATGTCTGTGGCGACCTGATCGTTCCTGGACCTGCCCGTGTGGAGCTTGCCGCCGACGCTGCCGATGAGCTCAGTCAATCGGCGCTCGTTGGCGGTGTGAATGTCTTCGTCGTCCGACTGGATTTTGAAGGTGCCATCCTTCCACTCCTGACCGACCTTTTCGAGGCCGGCGACGATCTCGTCCTTCTCCTGCTCGTTTAGCACGCCCGTCTTGACGAGAGCGCGTGCGTAGGCTTGCGAACCTCGGATGTCCTGCGCGTGCATGCGCTTGTCGTAGGAGAGCGACTCGTTGTAGGCAAAGAGGAGGGGGTCGTTCTTGCCTGTGAAGCGACCGCCCCAGAGCTTGCGCTTGGTAAAGTCGTCGGATGAAGATGCCATGTTGGAGGTGTATGGACGTGACGCAGACGACTGGGTGATAGTGTGAGAGAAAGAAAGTGAAGATTGGCTACGAATCTAAAAGCAAAGTTGATGGTCCGTGTTATCTGCCCCGCTGCGTTATCAAGTGGCCGTTTCTTCTCAGAGTCGAGAAGAAAAGACAAAATTGCCGACAGATGACTCCTCTCGAATTTTGCCTTTGTGTTAAACCTCGCGTCAATCATTCGCACGGAAAGAAGCGCAACGAAAAGCGACCCTGTCCACGCAAGTCTGCCTCCGTTCCGTGTGTGAGGGCCGCTTGCAGCCTCATTCTGCTCGAGCAATGAAGTACTGTCGTTCGACAGAAGAGGCTTTCGACAGATGCTCGGGCGCACGATGGCGCAGCTAGAGCAGTAAGGTGTTAGGTGCAACTCAGGAGCTGTCGCAATGAACGGCGAGGACGGAGTCAGGGACGTGCTCAAGACGCTGCTCGCCGACTTCGAGCTCAAAGCGGGTCCGGCGGGCTCCAGGTCGGTTAAGGAGCTGAGTAGACATGCGCTGGTGCGCGCCGACAGTAAGATGTGATGATGTGCTGGCGAATGTAGCTGCTGCATTTGTGTGTATCGTTCGTCGCAAATGGAATGTTGTGCTATGCCTCGAGCAGTGATTGCAACTGCTTGGCTACGTGCAGGAGCAGCTTATCGCACCCCCACTGAGAGACGAGCGTCACACCTGCCGGCCAGCCGTCATCGTGAGCGACGCCTGCTGGCACTGATATCGCTGGTAACCCCGCCAGACTGGCAGGAACGGTGAGGATGTCCTGGACATACTCGCCAAGGCCACCCTCACCCTCCTGCATCGCTGCTGCTAGTGTTGGCGCCGTGTCCACCGCCGAAGGATGCACAATCACATCAACTCCTTGTCCCTTTTCCTTCTCCTCCTTTCTTGACGGATTGGCAATGCGCAGCACCGAAGCGAAATCCTCCTGGACCTGCGCCCGAATGCGCGAAGCCTGCAGGAAGAAGTTGTCAAACGCATCGGCGGTTAGCGCAAACGTGCCGAGCAAGATACGCTTGCGGACTTCGTCGCCGAATCCTGCTGTCCGTGTCGCTGCGTATGCGTGGTGCCCTGCTACAGGTGGCTTGTGGAAGCCGTACTGTACACCGTCGTAGCGCGCCAGGTTGCTGCTCGCTTCGGCGCTTGAAATGATGTAGTATGCGCTAAGGGCGGAGCGTGTGCTCGGCAGGCTGATGGATGAGATCTCTGCACCGAGCGCTTCGAGTGCCGATACGGCTGAGCGGAACGGCGGAAGGACGCGCGAATGCAGCTCTTCGGGAAAGTACTCTTTCGGTATCCCAACGCGGAGACCTTTGAGAGGCTGAGAGGAGGAGTTGAGTGAGCTGAGGACGCTTTGCGAGGTGGTTGCGGCTTTCATTCGGGCATCCTCGCTGGCGCTGGTCGGATCTCTCGAGTCGTGCTGCGCAAGAGCATCATGAACAGCTTCAACGTCCTCCACCGTCCTCGCCAGTACACCGACCGTGTCCAAGCTGTCCGCGTACGAGACCAGCCCCCACCGGCTGATCAAGCCATAGCTGGGCTTGAACCCAACTACACCGCAGTACGCAGCGGGCAGCCTTACACTCCCTCCCGTATCGCTGCCGAGGGCAAATTTCGCTAGACCAGCTCGTACGGCCGCAGCAGAACCACCTGAGCTCCCACCGGCCACTCTCTCGACTTCCAAATCCCATGCTTGTCCTTCGTTCGATGTCGTCGGCGATGCAGGGTTGCGAACAGACCCATGAATCGAATGCGTGTTGGTAGACCCCATCCCAAATTCGTCGCAGTTGGTAATGTGTCGTATGTCTGCGCCGGCTTTGCGGAGAAGTGAGACGGAAGCGGCGTCAAAGGTCGGCGTGAAGTTCTCCAGCATCGCGCTGGAGCATGTTGTGGGGGTGTTTCGGACGCAGAAGTTGGCCTTGACCGCTGCCGTCCACCCTGTCAGTGGTCCTTCCATAGTCTTGCCTGATGTTGGCTTTGAACATGGCAGTGTCGCGACGATGGCGTTGTAGGGGTCGAAGGGTCCATCCTGGAAGCTCTTGGTGCCCTTGCGGGCAGTCGGGGAGGTTGCGAACGTGCGGCTTGCTGCTCTGACGCAGCAGCTGCCGGCACAGCGTCGGAGCTGAGCGGTACTGCTGGTACCTACGCTGAGGCAGCGCCGTCTCAAATGGGCTACGGCAGCAGCAGGAGCCATGCTTGCGTGCTGCAGGGGTGATGGTCGTTGAAGGGCATCAGGTTGGAAGACAGCAAACGTCGCAAAAAGTTGGACCCTGAAGTCAGAAAGATCCGTGGAGGTTCGTGGTGAAATTCGTACGAGAGTTCCAGAACGCTCTCGAGGCTTGTTCGACTGTGTCAACGATCATCGGATATTGCACAGGTGTGTGCCTGTCTGGTCCGGCATGAACTCCCTGTTGAGGGAGCCTTGGAGCATACCTTTGTGCGGTGCTGATGGGGAACGAATGCCTGCACACGTTGAGGAGTCGCTTTGATCAGGAAATGCAAAAGTCACCCAAAAAATTGGGATATAAAAAGAGGTGCCAGAAATGCTCGGAAGTTGAAGACGTTGATCAAGACGCTCAATTCAAGATCCCATGGCTTGGAACAGCAACGCACACAAAGCGACCTTGACCTACGGACACGGGCCTTGGTATGATCTGCGAGGCCTTGCCTATGGGTCTAATTTTGCACGTCACTGTCTGCCCTTTTGTGAAACCGACTCCGATCTCAAGTTCATGACCACGACGATCAGTGTCAAGGTGGGGATCGAGCGAAACACATACAGGAGCAGTCATGAGAATCGAGACTGTCAGGGCTAGTTGTAACTGTCTCGATATGGTCGTCGCGTGGGCACAGGCAAGGCTCGCAGGCCAACATCCTTGGTGAATGAAAGGTAACAACTGACGGAGTGCAAGGATCAACGCAGCTTGTCTCGCTGGACAATGACAGCACGGTCTGATATGAGGAGCTTGCCAGCTACCATCAAAGTGACAGCCGCCGAGCTCCCCAACAGCTGACTTCTTCAGAGCCTCACGTTTGGGAAGCAATGAAGAACGCAGACCGCAGAGCGAAACTGGCCTTTGTGTTGTCGCACAAGGAGAATTGTCTTCCTCGGCATGAAGATCATCGTAGTGGGAGAGGGCCTTGCTTGAGAAACAACAAGTGACGGCCGTTGCCACCACCAGTCGACTGGCGTCACGATCTTGTTGGCTCAAGTATGGCGACGCGCTGAGTCAGGCTTACAGTAAGTGTGCTGCGCTGCGAGCGCTCAAGAAACGTCGAGAAAGGGGCTCAAATTTAGACTCAGCGCCGTCTCAGAAAGAGGCTCTCTCGAGCTTCGTGTTGGACTCTGGGAACAACACGCGGAAGAGCAAGCGAGACCGACACGCGCAGCCTTCAGCTCTCTCTGGAAATAATTTGGCGGCCCCTGAGCGCGATAACGAGCGCGACCCCCTCTTTCCGCCTTGAAATTTCTCACAAAATCACACACACACAAGCACACTGCCTCGCCGAGCGCACGGGCGTGTTGCTCTGCGTGAGAACGGTGTGTGTTGCTCTGCTCCGTCTTGGGCGAGAGTGTGCTGTCAACTGCCGTGCTGTGCTGCGCTGTGCTGTGGAAGCAGTGCGCTTCGGCGCAGCTGCCAAATTCTCGAACTCTGCTTTTGATATCGCTGAGTCGAGACTTGTTACTCTCCCACCCCTATCTATCCTCCTCAACGATCATCTCGACCGACCCCTTTCTTCAAGCTCGGTATATTCAAGTCAACCCGCACATCGATTCACGCGCCTTGCTTTACGATCACCATCTCACAAACTCATACACAATGGTGAGTGGATCGCAACTTCTTCACTAGGCCACACCTTCGCTCTTGTCGAGCCAGCCATCTCGACAGGATCGCTGCGACATCCAAGCTCGGGGGCTCGACGACGAGCTGGAAACACGCTATCAGACAGGCGCAGAGGCTGTGCAGCAGTGCAGCGCTTGAGCGTAGAGCCGGTGGCAGTCAAACATCGAGCCTCATGGCTTGATCAGATTGTATCTTCCGACCTCGCATCTGTCTGTACTTGCCGCATAGCGAGTCCGAGTTTGACGACGATCCTCTCGATGTTGGCGCCGGATCGGCATTGTGGGGCTATGCTGACCTTTTCTGCTTTCTCACACTCTTCTTGCATCGCAACATTTGTCTCGATCTCGCACTCCTGCGCCGGCCGTTCTACCCGCCGCAATCGTCTTGATGTGAATCTGCGACAACCGCGTGTGCTCGCTGCTCTGCTCTCACTTGACGATGTCACAACAGGACCGCATCAAGGAGGTAAGCATCGACATGAACGCCGCCAACCCGCAGCCGCGACGAGACCAACCAGACTCACTCTCTCGTGCTTCCTCTTGGCGCAACGACAGAAACTCAACTCGCTCCGTGTAGAGGCCGACGCGGCGAGCGAGCGTGCCGATGAGCTGGCAGCCAAGAACAAGCAGATGGAGCAGGAGTTGCTCACCAAGGACCAGGAGATTGCGTCGCTGCAGCACAAGCTGAGCGTAGCCGAGGCGGACCTGGACAAGCTCGAGGGCAAGGTGCACGAGCACAAAACGGCGCGCGAAGAGCACGAATCCAACGCTACCAACTCGGAATCGCTGCAGCGCAAGGTCGACGTGCTCGAGAGCGAGCTCGACGCCGCCGAGAAGAACCTCCGCGAGACCACAGACAAGTGAGTAGCGCCACAGAACGGAAGGGACATCCCCCACTTGGCGCGATATACTGACATGACATTTCGCTATTTGACACAAACAGGCTTCGACAGGTCGATGTCAAGGCCGAACACTTTGAACGACAAGTGGCGACCCTCGAGCGCGAGGTGGCACAGTGGGAGAAGAAGTACGAAGAGGCCGAGGAGCGATACCGCACTTCGAAAGCGGAGCTCGACGAGGTGGTGGCACAGATGGAGAGCCTCTAGACGGTTGGCACCTTCGCAGCTGGGGTTCTGTCGGCTTGTCAGTACGATGCAAGGGCTGGATAGTGAAGGCCCGATATACCTTGAAGGTGATTCTCAAGGTGCGAAGGGTGTCGTCTCGTGGGCACAGCACGCAGCGTGTCGCGCTCAGTGGCTCTTGCGGAAACGGCAGCCATGGCTGAAGATCTGTTAGTGACTAGAGCGAATAAAACTGGCCTTGCATTTCAAGCATGATGAGCGGGGATCTCCTTCGACATGAAGGAAGAGCATATGTGCTTCTTGTGAGGGCGAGACAGACTGCTTCGAAAGGCAGAGGAGCGGCAAAGCATTACAGGGCGAGGACGGCACGTGACCGACTGAAATTGAGGCGCGAACCCTATTTGGCGGTGTAGTGAATTTGAAGCGGGGGAATTTCAACGTGATCCGTGTTGGTGTTGGTTTCCTGTGTTTTGCCTGTTTGGGCGATTCTACGCTTCATCATCCTTGACTGCAGAGACTGTGCATGAGCCGCAACCAACACTCGTCGTCGAGGTCGTCGTGACTTCCATCTTCGATCGACCACTCCATCCACCACATCGATCTAACGCCGAACTCACGCCATGTCCAGCATACCTGTACCGCAGACGGTCAAGCGCCAGCGCACTACTGCCACTATGCCTGGTGGAGCTGGCCCGAGCAAGCTGCCTCGCACACCCGCTACAGGTCGCACCATGCCAGCTACACGATCCGTCAGCGCAGCAGATGCTGGTCGATTCGTCCCTTCCCGTCGCACTGCAACCACGACGACCACCGCCGCCTCGATCGGGCTCACATTGCCTCGCGCTCCCATGACCAACACTACCAACCGACCCGGGGCGGCTGCCACAACGCGCTCGGTCAGCGCAGCATCCAAAGTCGCTCCCACTGCTGCGGTCAGGAGAGGCGTCACAAGCGTCACTCGTCTTCGTCCCGGAACCAACGCCGCCAACGCTGCCGCCGCTGCCACTGCTCGGACTAGCAACGGCAGTGCCAACTCGGGCGACGTCGATCCATCGCGCATGGATGCTATGGAATCAAGACTCGCGTCCATGGCCGAGCTGTTCGAGTTAGAGCGCCAAAAGACCGAGGAAAAGTGGTCCAAGGAGCGCACCGATCGTCTGGCCCAAGAAGACAAAGTGCGCCAGCTCGAAGAGGACCTCATCGAGCAGCGCAAAATCGCACAGTCCAAGCAGGATGAGATCAAGCGACGACGCACCATCGCCGACGACGAGCTGCTGCAGCTCACCGCTAAGTTCAATCGCGAAAAGCGGCTACTCGAGTCTGAGCTCGAACAGGAGCGCGAGACGGTAGTGGCGCTCAAGGCGACGTTGAACCAGCAGAGCACGAGTCACCTGACCATGGAGAGCACCAACACGGCGCTACGCTCGCAAGTCCAGCTGCTGCAAGACGAGATTCAGTCCCTCCGGGCCAAGCTCGCGAGCATGGATGAGAACGTGGCTCAGACGAAGGAGGCGAATCTGCATCTGGAGAACGAGCTGCGCGAAGCAGAGTCGCTGCGCCGCAAACTGCATAACGAGGTGCAGGAGCTGCGTGGAAACATTCGTGTCTTCTGTCGTGTCCGCCCGCCGTCGAACAATGATGCTGCTAACGGGACCGAGGCGTTGGCTACGATCCGCTTCCCAAACGAGCGCGAAGCGGCACAGATCGAACTCCTTGCCGCAGGAGAGTCCGCAACAGGAACCGTCACGATGCGAAACCACCTGTTCACGTTCGACCGTGTCTTCCAGCCCACCGCGTCGCAAGCCGACGTGTTCGAGGAGATCGCACACCTCACGCAATCCGTGCTCGACGGATACAACACGTCCATCTTTGCGTACGGTCAGACGGGTTCCGGTAAGACGCACACGCTTGAAGGCGCCCCGGACTCGATCACCAACTTTGGTAGCGATCCAGCTACCGATGCTGGTGCAGGTCTCATCCCGCGTGCAGTGCAGATGCTGTGGTCAACTGCGGAATCGCTTAAGGACAAAGGATGGAAGTACAACTTTGAAGGCAGCATGCTCGAGATCTACTTGGACACCATCAACGACCTGCTGGGCAAGACCGAGGTGGACAAAGCCAAGCACGAGATCAAGCACGACAAGGGTCGCACCACGGTCTCGGACACTGTCGTTGTCCCGCTCGACTCGCCTGCCCAAGTATTTGCTTTGCTCGAGAAAGCGAAACGACGACGACAGGTAGCGGCTACACTGATGAACGAGCGCTCTTCGCGTTCGCATTCGGTCTTCATGCTGCGCGTCCGCGGACAGAACGCGACGACCATGGAGGCGTGCGATGCGGTGCTCTCGCTCGTCGATCTCGCCGGTTCGGAGCGTCTCGCCAACAGCGGCAGCGACAAGGATCCCATTCGACTCAAAGAAGCGCAGAGCATCAACAAATCGCTCTCTTCGCTCGCAGATGTCATCTCGGCCCTGGGCCAGAACAAGACGGGCACCAACCACGTGCCTTACAGAAACTCGACGCTGACGTGGCTGCTCAAGAACAGTTTGGGCGGCAACTCCAAGACGCTCATGCTGCTCGCGCTCAGCCCCATGGCCGCGCATCTCAACGAGAGCCTGTGCTCGTTGCGCTTCGCGACCAAGGTCAACTCGACGACGATCGGCACGGCCAAGGCGGTCAAGTCGATCGGCGCCTAGGTTTGCGCTCAGGACTTTTTACTCTTCGACTTCTCTTTTGCCCGCACTATACCTTTGCTTTGCTTTTCTGTCTTGCTACGATCTAATCCGATTATCCATTCACATACGAGTCTCAGCGATGGACACACCAGTCTGGAATGTGCTTTCGTTGTGAGAGTTATCTGCATTGCCGTCTGAGTTGGAAGTCTCATTGCATCGATCAACCGAACACGCGCAACCCATCGAGCCCCGCCTCCTCCACCTCCTCTTCCTCCTCTCCACTCTCCTCCCTATCCTCGACAAGACCCGTCGAGCTCGCTAGCTGCCTAAACAGCCGATCGATCTGCTCCTCTCCCCACCGCAACCTGTCTCCGATCGGCGGCATGAAGTTGACCAACTTCTCGTTCACCTCGTACCTCAACTTCCTGCCCTTGCTCGCCTTTGTGTCGACATTCTGCTTCTTCTTCTTCCCTCCCTGGAGACCGGTGAGCAGCATGGCGGCGGTAGCGGGTGCGGCCGAAGAGGACCTGCGTTCGATGAGATCCTTCAGCAGGGTGCTGTAGAAATCGCTGTCGTCGAACACCTCTGCGTCCTCGTCTCCGTTCTTCGAGGTGGTGAGTTTGGGCGTGTCGTCGCGAAGCACGCGTGTGCGGGAGACGAGCCGGGCCAGTCCATCTCCTGCGAGCGCGGACTGGATCTGAGCGGACGGCGTCTGGTTCACCGCCCGCAACGTCGGCGCGAACTTGTTTCCCGAACTCGTGGCGGCTGTGGCAACTTTGAGACTCCATTTATCCAACACGCTACAACGTTGGCCCTCGACCGCCTCGCTGAACGAGACAATGTCGGAGAGGGTCGCGTCGATCTGCTCGTGCGACTCGACCTCGCTCCACGTCTGCTCGGCTTCCGAAGGAGAGTCGGGCGCGGGCACGTCAAAGTCGCGCTTCCTCTTCCGCGATGCCGGCGCAGTGACAGCATCGTCCTCGGAGGAAAGTGTGGCCAGCCGTGTGCGGAGAGAAAAGAGCGTCTCCGATAGCTCCAGCAGTTGCTCTACCAATCCTATCGCCCCCTCCATCGCCCCGGTCGATGTGCGGAGAGTTTCGGAATAGGGAGAGGGGTCGGGAAGACGGTTGACATCGCGCAGGACGGATTGCGCCTTGATGCGCGTCTCGAGCGTGCGCTCGTACGTCTTGATCTGCTTGCGAACGGCTCGCCCCTTTTCGGCGTCTTCGAGACGACGCGCTTTGAGCTGCTTGGCTTGCGTTGCGGATTGGGTGATTTGCGCGGCGATGGATGCGGATGCTGGAGCGTGTGACGAGGATTCGTCGGTCTCAGAGAATGTTGATTGCGAGGAGGCCTCGTCGTCGTCGTTGTCGTCTGCGAAACGGAGCTGCTTTGTCGCTTTTGCTGGGATGCTGGCGTCGTCCTCGTCATCGTCATTGTCCGAGTCCTCTTCCTCATCTTCCGAGGCGTCGCCTTCGTCTTCGAGCCCTGATGCAACGTCTTGATCTTCGTCGTCGTCCTCTTCGTCACCATCCTCCTCATCCTCGTCGCCGTCGCCGTAGAGCTCAACACGACTGCTCTTGACGCCCTGATACCTGGGATCGCTGATTCTGTCGCTCTCGCTCAGTGCCGCCTTCTTGCGCATGTCACTTGGCCCCACATCAGCATAGTGCGCCCTTGGGTTCATGCGGTCCTCCTCTCCCTCCTCATCGTCATCCTCCTCTTCCTCGTCTTCATCATCGTCCTGGCTGTCGGAAGCATCACTGCCGTTGGTGAAAGTGGAGGGTCCGGCCTGATCAGCCTCGAGTGCTTCCGGGTCGAAGTCGACAGGTGCCGCGCTTGTCAGTGTGCCTAGCAGCGAGGCTAGCGATGCGCTCTTTGGAGGCATGTTGTGGGGCTTTAGGGTGTGGTGGTGGATCTCGTCGATGAGATCGATGCGATATAGCAAAGAGGTGTGGGAAGAAGTGGACCCTTTGCAAGCCAAAAATTTCCAGGAAGAACCGCAAGTGAAATTTGGATCACGTAATCCTGATTCACGCTCGCTCCAAGGGAAGAGGACGTGCGGACAACATCCTTCGCGTCGCCAAAAAAGTACAACACCTTCGTTGCTCATCACCACCTGTCTCACTGCGCAAAAGACTCATCTACACTAGACACTGCCATTGGAAGCAAGCGAAAGATCGCGATATCTACCAACATGTCGTTCGGCGGTGGAGGATTCTCCTTTGGCGGAGGAGCCAACAACAACACTAACAACGCGGCTGGCGCTGGCGGCGCTGCCAACAAGCCTTTCTCGTTTGGGGGTGAGTCAACGACACCTATCCACAGTAAACCTCGCTCTGACCAGTATACTGACAGCTGCTCGCCTCCTTTGACATCTACAGGCGCATCCAACACGGGCGGCTCACTCTTTGGCGCACCTGCAGCATCCGCTCCTGGTGCAACCTCCTCGACTCCAGCCCCCGCCAGCGGAGGACTCTTTGGCTCCAGCACCGCTTCATCCACACCATCTGGTGGCTTCTCCTTCGGCGGAGCTGCAGCTGCCAAACCTGCCGCTCCTGCTTCGGGAGGTTTCTCATTCGGCGGTGCAGCGTCCTCCTCCACACCTGCTCCCGCCGCACCTGCTTCGACTGGTGGCTTCAGCTTCGGCGCGAGCAAACCGGCCGACTCTGGTTCAGCTCCGGCTCCTGCATCAGGTGGATTCTCCTTTGGCGGCAGCGCGGCACCTAAGCCTGCATCGGGAGGCTTCTCCTTTGGCGGCGGTTCAACTCCTGCTGCTGGCACGACGTCGACGCCAGCAAGTGGGGGTGGATTGAGCGGGTTCGGATCGTTCAAGCTCGGCGGTGGGAGTGATTCGGCCACTCCAGCTGCGGGATCAACAGCCGCGCCGGCTGCGGGTGGATCCCTCTTTGGTGGAGCATCTAAGCCTGCGACTGGCGGATTCTCGTTTGGTGGATCGTCTACGCCGGCTTCGACATCGACTGCTGCACCCGCTGCACCGGCTGCTGCCCCTGCTGCGGGAGGGTTCTCGTTCGGCGGCTCGAGCACACCTGCTTCGACTTCCACTGCTGCTCCGGCTGCGCCAGCTGCCTCGGGCGGTGGCTTCTCGTTCGGTGGATCATCTACACCTGCTTCGACCTCAACGGCTACACCCGCTGCACCCGCCGCCGCCCCCGCTTCAGGAGGCTTCTCCTTCGGCAACTCTGCATCCAGCTCTACCCCCGCCGCTCCCGCTGCCAAACCAGCAGGCGGCTTCTCGTTCGGCAACACCTCCACTGCCAGCACGACAACTCCAGCCTCGGGAGGTGAGGCGAGCAAGCCCGCTGCTGCTGCTGCTGCGCCTGCTGCCGGCGGGTTTTCATTCGGCAAGCCTGCGGCTGCACCAGCGAGTACGGCGACGACGAGTGGTGCCACCTCTGCGCCGGCCGCTGCTGCCCCTGCTCCGGCCGCGGGAGGCTTCTCCTTCGGCAAGCCTGCCACCACTGCTGCTCCTACCACCACTGCCGCGCCCACCGCCTCCACCGACGCGCCTAAACCCGCGGGAGCCTTCTCCTTCGGCGCCGCTCCCTCCACCACCACCTCAAAATCCGCCGACACCGCCACCAGCGCCACCACTGCTCCCGGGGCGCCCAGCGCGCCCGCTGCAGCGGGTGCAATCCCCACCCCCTCCCTTCTCCGCGGCAAGTCTATGGAGGAAATCCTCTCTCGCTGGTCTACCTCCCTCACCACATCCGTTACGGAGTTCACCCGTCAAGCAGCCGAGGTAGCAGCGTGGGACAAGGTCCTCCTCAAAGCTGGGGACGAGATTTCCTCCCTCCTCACCTCCCTTGCTGCAGCGGAGGAGAAGCAGGCGGGGATCGAACGGACGCTGGACTACCTCGAGTCCTCGCAGAACGATCTAGCCTACCTTGTGGGGGAGTACGAGTCCCAGATTGACACGTTGCTCCCCAACGTCACGGCAAATCTCAATCTGACCAGTGCCGACGTGGAGCGCGAACGCTCGTACGCCCTGGCCGAAACGGTCAACGGCCAACTCGACGATATTGCCAAGAACTTGGGGGCCATGATCGGAGAGTTGAACGCGACAAACTCCCCCTCTACCACCGGTGGCAACGGCGAAAAGGGCGACGGAGAGGCGTGGCAGGAAAGAGACGGATCCATCGGACAGATTGTCGCCATTCTTAACGCGCATTTGGGCAGTCTCAAGTGGATCGATGCCAGCGCGCAGGGGTTGAGAGGCCGATTGGAGGGGTTGCGTCGTGGACAGGTGTGAGTGCGATGCAGAAAGTGGCAATCGATACCGTTTCCAACTGTCGCGCGAGAGATGGACCGTGGTTTGTATGACGAGTGTGTGTCTTCCGAACGTGTGCCTGTGAAGCCTGTGTGGGGTGAAAGGGGCGCACATTGAGGCTTCCGCACCGCGTTCTCCCTCCGACGACGTCTCGTGGCGCAGCAGTTCTGCTTATCCACAGAAACGCGTGTGCTGGTGTGTTCAGAAGGATCTCAAGCTCTTCTAATGACAGCCACGGGGTGTAAAGAGTGTGTGTTTGGAGGGGTATAATACTACAAGTACAGCTATGTTGCGCATATGAAATGTCCATTGTCACTTGTCACAACCTTCCCTCGGCACCAGTGAAGAGCTCCAACGACTGCAGTTGCAGCGGTGCCAGGGCGAGAGAGAGTCTGAAGTCTGATTTGCCACCCGCATCTCCGGGCTGGCAATTCTCCTTGTCCGCCTCATCCACCGACGGCGAGAAACGGCGAGAGACGCCTTTCGAGCCACCTGCTCCACCGCCCTCATCGCCCTCCGAAGTGGCCGCAGTGGACTTGCTCTCCGCCGTGTCGTGCGAGGATACCGACGAGCCCGACATCTCTGTTGGTGAAGCGAGCGAGTCTGTTCTCCTCGCATCCCGATATGCATGGTTCGAAAGCTTGCTCTCGGCGCGCTCTGCAGTTTGCTGCGACCCGTTCTGTTGGCTGCAATCCGCCTGGGCAGCGCGCAGTTCGGCCAGGATGCGATCCACCTCGCCTTCTTCAATCCAATCCGCCCAGCGCGAAATCGAGTGGTCCGGCTGAGCGATCATGCTGTCGTCTTGACCCTCGTCGACCACCCATCCTTCATCCGCGGCAATGGAGCGAATGAAGCTGCGACGCTTGGTGGTCGTAGACGAGCGCTTGCTTCCGGTTTCGCTGTTGATCAGCGAGTGCCTGTCGAAGTGCGAAGAGCGACGTTTGTCCGCACCCGAGTGTCGTTTGCCGCTCTCAGCATCGGACAGGGCGAGCACACGCTGCACGCTCGCCCGCTTGATCTGCCGCGACTGAACTTCGTCCGGGCTGGCATCGTGCCGACCCGCAATGGCGAACGTGCTCGAGCTGGACGGTACAAGGCTCGGCAACGGGGAGGCGAAACTCGAAAAGTCGGACCAGCTCATCCGATCCCATGCGTGAGACTCGTCGTCGTTGAAGCTGAGCTCGCCTTCGAGCGTGTCCTGCCCTACGGCTTCTGATGCCTCGTCGGCGAGATTTGTCGGCGCCGGCGCGAGTGGAGACGGGTGCAAGGGAAGCGGTGACGACTCGCGAGGCGAGGATGGAAGTTTCTTTTCAGCAAAGGTCGGCGAGCTCTGGGGATGCGGTGCAGGTCGAGGCTGGGTGAAAGCGAATCTTTCGCTCGCGGGTAGATCGACGCTCATCGGCGCTGTGATGTTGCACGAAGGCTCAGGAGCGTTCGACAGTGTAGGCTCCGATCCACGTCGAGCGCCGGCAAAACCGCGCACCTCTGCTGCGCTCCGAATGCTCGTCCTCTTCGACGCTGACACCTTGGTCGATGCCTGAAAGACGGTCTGTTTCGCGATGCGAAGCACGGGTGTGGACGGAGACGAACCTCCACTGACGGTATCCGGAGACGATTTGTTCTCGTAAGAAGGTCGACGGTACTGCTCGTTGACGAGTGCCAGCTTTGCAGCTCGCTTCTGCTCTTTGGCCTGCGCCTTTTCCTGCGCCTTGCGCGCTTTGAGGTCGTGCAGCCGCACGAGCTTGTTGACGCGCTCGAGATCTTTGATCAGCGCGAGTTCTTCTTTGGCTTTGGCCTTGAGTTCCTTTTTGGACGGGACGCGAGGTGGTGACGTGGGTGTGACGGGTGGGGATGGTAGACCGCTACGCTCTTGTGTGAAGGTGGAACGAGAGGATGACGGGTCGTGGGATGAGAAGAGCAGGCCATCCGGTTGACTTGGCCTGTATGAATCGCTGCCAAAGATCGGTGCCGAAGTTGGCGTGGTGGGGGAGACGGGCAATGGCTCTGGTGTGTACGCTGACCCAGCTCCACTACTTCGCGCCGAGTCGAGGCTCTTACGTCCGAAGATGTTCGGGAAAGACGGCTTGCGGCTTCTCTTGGTCATCGACCCCTTAGGAAGGCTTGAGCCGGCGTACGAGGTCGGGCTCGCATCGGTGGGCGAGACGGTCGAGTTGCTGCTGAGGCTCGGGTCCGAGCCGCTCCTAGTCATGGTTCGCATCTCGTCCGAGTTGAACGAGATTAAGGGAGTCGGTCTGCGGACAACGCCAGCACTGCTCTTCTTGGTGATTCGATGGTCTCGTCCGCGCTCTTCAGCTGGTTCGGTGAGGATGTAGCTGCGACGCTTGTTGGGTGGGATTTGGACCTCGACGATCTCCTCCTGACCCTCTTCCTCGCAGCCGGTGACGATGACGTCGGGGATGCTGAAGTGCGAGCGCTGTCGAGAATGTTTAGTTGTGTGGGAGGTGTCGATACGGATTTGTGGGGGAAGTGGTGCTGAGCGGGGACCGCTGAGCTCAGGAAATGCGAGAATCGTGTTGACGGGGTGGACCTTGCGAGGGACCGAGTCTGCTCGAGAGCGTCGGTATCGGCGTGCGCTATCGTGTTGATCCTCCGAGGTCATATCCCAGTCATAGTTGCGGGAGAGGTCGGCGGACTGTGGATACTGCACGTGGACCGGAACGACATCCGGCATGGTATCGCTAGTAGCTTGACGAGAGCTTCGCACAATGCGAGAGGTGGAAGACGAGATATCCCGCGAGGGTCGACGCGGAGCAGATGGTTCGTCCGAGGTGAAGTCGTTTGAAAACGCATCATGAACGGTATGGCTGATGGGAGGTGAGGCGGTGGACTTTGTTGACGGCTTGCCCAGACGGAAGAGGGAGAGCTTGGACTTCTTTGGCTGCTGTTCTCGTAGCGCGACGACCATGTTGGCGATGTGTATGCTGTGTTGTCGGGTGTGATAAGGATGAGGGTGGTCGATGTTGGGATGTTAGATGAAGCAATGCAAGGTGGTGGTCATGTCGAGTCTGTCGGAATGGTGGTGTGTAGCTGCTTAGCTCTGCCGTCGCGCAAAGTGACGAAGATGTGCTGGCGCCGCTGTTCGAATGCTTGATGACAGTGGGAAGGGTCAGAGCGAGACGTAGGAGTGGCGGGGAAGAGGTGCGTGTGCAGAGGAAGAGGCCTGAGCTTGTCCGGAAGATGAGGTCCAGTAAGGAACAAAGAGAGGCTGCAGCTGTAAACCTAACGCAAGTGGGGGGTGGGGGGTATGACCTTTGAACGGTGAGAGATTAGACTGGAAGCGACGTCGAAGGGTCGAGCTTGAGCACACGCATGTTGCAGCTGACCTCTTTCCTTTGACAGCTGAGAGAACAAAGTCACAATCTCAGACGCAGAAGCATGCCAGATCTGTGCTTCAACAAGGAAGGCTTGCCTTGTTCTATTTTCTATCCGAAACACGGCTGCTGCTGTCGGAAGAGCCGCCTGCTTCGATGCAAGTGTGACTGACTGTGCTTTCGCGGGGAACAGCAGGCGTGGAAAGCGTGTGCGTGCGTGTGTGTGGCATGCAAGCTGCAAAAGAAAGTGTGTGCATCTGCGGAGTTTGAGGCGGCAAGTCACAGCGTGCAGAAATCGGAAGACTCGGTTGGGCGTGTTTTTGTTTTTTTCTCCTGGCGAGGGTTTCAGTGTTGGTTGAATCGATGATGAGCTGGCTGGCCCAGAGATTCTCACTCGACTCGCCAAACAACTCAAAACCTCGCTTGCAGGCAGTACACGATGGGAGCGACATGTCAACTCAGGCTTGCTGTCGTGAGCATCCAACACAAGCCCAATGGCAGGCCTTCGCTTCTGTGCGCGTGTCACACCAATTGGGTCGGTCGGATAGCTATGGTTGCGCCCTCGCGTGACTTTGGGGGTAACAATGGACGCTGACCTTCCGCAAACGTGCCGGCTGCACATACTGTACAGCCAGCCTCGGCAGCTCGCTTTGATCGCCTTTGCCCAGAAGACGGAAAGACTTTCTGCGACAGGCTCGCGTCTGCAAGGCAACTTTCACTCGCAGACGAGAGTGGGCGCTTCTGGCAACCCCATTGTGAGCGTGTGATAGCGTGATTGCGAGTCGCGGCTGGACCGACGTCCCATGCTGGTGCATGCAACTGTATGTACGGGCCCGCTCAACCCCGCTGCCCTCGCTGCGGCGGCCGTCGTAGGCGGCCCAGCACCATTGTCCGTAGTGTTGGCAGTTGGGCAAAACCCTTTGACAATGTTTTGGGTCAGCTGATTGCAACTCCGACCGCCTGTCAAAACACGTCCAGAAATAGAGCACGTCTGTCTGGCACGGAGACAAACAGGTGCTCCCGGTGGGTTGCTGGCAGCCAAATGAAAGTGAATCTCACTTGGCCGGTCGATGTTCTCATTCTCTGTCTCCGACTTGACGAAGCACTACCCATCGCAGGATGTGGTCGTGAGGCGAAGCGGGACAGACAACCTCGACTTCAACGTTGAAGGTCCTTGGCCGTGATCCAGACCCTTTGGACGGCTGCTGGGATTCACACGTGCGGACGCGGATCGCCGTTTTTGCTGCCCACATGTGATGCTTAGGATGGACCGAGAGGTGTGAAGCACTCGCCGACACCGCCCAGGATTTCTTTCGGGCCTTTGCCGGCTCGCTGACGACCCCTTTGTGGCGTGGGATAGACAAAATGCGTCGGCTAGCCCGCAGCTCCATCCTGTCATGTTGCGTCTGTTTGCTGCACCAACACGCCCCTTCTCATTCGCACCGTAACCGCACGGGTACGCAATGCGATTCGAAGTGCACATCAGACGTACAGCTGCCATGTCTGACAGAGGCCTGCCCGCCTGCCGCCATCTCGCAGCTTCTACAAGCGAAGATTCTCCTGCGATAGCCCCGATACAACCGATCAGCCAATGGCTTCATACCCCCTAGCGTGTCACTACTGCCTCACTGAACCGTCTTCGCTATCGACGTCTGATCAAATTTCAGCGTGATCCTCGACGCTCGATGGTGGCTCATTGAAGTGTGTGATTGAATGAATGCATAACGTGTCTGCGTGTAGGCGTCTAAGGCTTGCCCAATCGCTTTCCGTTCCTCCTCGGCCTCTCTCTGACCACCATCTGGTTTCCACCCCTAGTACCCGGCTTTCTCGTCCTGGCACCCTTCGTCAGGTGTCCATAAATGCTCCTCGGGTGCATGTTACTCTTACTCTTACCTCGACCACCACCGTGCGGGTGATCGCAAGCGTTCATCGCCACACCTCTCACCTTGGGCCTCCTGCCGAGCCATCGGCTTCGACCCGCCTTGCCGAGGCGACGATGCTGGTGGTCCTTATTGCTGACGGTACCGATGGCGGCGCAGCAGGTGCTGGGGATGAGACGGACCTCGCCGGATTGCAGACGGACTTGAGCGTGCGATTCGCCTGCACCGGTGCGTGCGGAGAAGGCCACCAGCTGACCGAACGTCCCCGCTGAACGCACCATCTTGGCCGGTCCGAGCGGGTGCATCGTGATCGAGTGGATCGTTGTACCGATGGGAATAAGGTGGAGAGGCAGGAAGTTGCCCGGTCGAATGGCTTGCGTGCGGAAAATACCCAGGTCGAGCGACGAGCTGCTTGCTGATCCTGGTGCAGCTGCGGTCTGAGGTGCCGCAGGGTCCGTAGAGAGAGGAGTGCCATCGGGCGAAGAGACAATCTCGTCTACCACATTGCTCGTCGAAGTGGCCGCCTTGGCCGCGTCACCCTTGATCCCCTGTCGATAGCTCTGCACCGTGTCACCCGCCCTCAGTCCGTCAGGGGCGAGGATGTAGCTCTGCGCACCCGTCAGCTTGTGCTGCACCAAAGCAATGTGCGCACTACGACCGGGATCGTATTCGATGCGTACCACCTCCTGCTCTCCGGATTCCCAACGGTAGAAGTCGACCAATCGAATCCTTCGCCTGTGTCCACCTCCACGACCACGCACCGTCACACGTCCATGGTGGTTACGGCCCGCCGTGCTGCGCTTGGCGATCGTCAATGCGCGGACGGGTCCACCGCTGTGAAGATGCTCGTTGAGCGGCTGCCTCAACCACCGAATGGAGCGAGTGATCGGTTTGTACGTCTTGAACTGTCGATCTTTGCGCACGAACGGCGATGTCGTGTTGGTGGCTACACCCAATCGAGCAGACATGGACGATTCAGCAACGCGGCGCTTGGCGTCTTTGCGCTGCTGCTTCATCTCGGTTCTGCGTTCTTTTCGTGTGCGCTTCGCAGGTGCTCCTGATGAGGAAGGGAGTGCTGGCAGCGGGTTGCTGACGACTTGTGTGACCGAGGATGCGGCGTGCAAAGATCGAGTCTGACGCAGCGAGGCCTGCACAGCTGCTGGGACACGAGATGACGAAGGTGCAAAGGCCACCGCTGAGCTCGTCGATGCTACGCTTGCCCTCGCCAGCGCCTGGAAGGTGGCGCGGCCTAGTGCAGGCGCGAACATGATGAAGCTCGTCTGTTGACACTCTGCAACGCTGGTGACGATTGCAAGTGAGATGGTCGTGAATGTGTGATAGCGATGACGATGGCAGCAACGACGACGAGAAGCACTTTGCAATTCCAGAGGCATCTGAGCCCTCTCACGAAAAAATCCGATTCTTCCAGATCAGTCTGGGCGGCATCACGTGCGACCGACCTTTTTTGCTTTGTAATGCTCACCTGTATCCGTGGAAACTCTAACATTCGAGAAAATCCCCTCAGCCTCCTCGCCATATGTTCAAGTCGCTCAACCTCGGGTCGCTTCAGACGAAGCTTCCATGTCCAGACAGCTTGTGACACTGAAAGCTGGGCGTTACAAATACATCGCAGCAGCGCGAGAACGTGTTGCCGGATGACAGGAAGAAGGACCAGACCATACAGCTGTATAGATTCACTTCTTGCTCTTCTTCTTGGACGATCCCGCCCCTGCAGAAGACCCAGCAGAAGCGCGCTTCTTGTCACCACCCCGGTTCTCCTTGCCTCCATTCTTCCTCGCCATCATCTCGGCCTGAATGCGGTCAAACTCTTCGTCGCTGGGCCGCTTCTCCTTGACGCCTGCTTTGGCTTCGAGTTTGGCGATCATGTCGTCAAACTGCGAGACGCGGTTTTGGTTCTTGCGCTGAATCAGAGCTGCCAGTCCTGAGAGGTCGTCGTCGCCATCATCTACTTTGGCTTTCGACTTGGCGCCTTTGCTGCTCTTGGCGCCATTGGCGTCTGATGTCGCCTTGGATCCGCGAGCAGGCTTGCCCTTGCCTTTGCCGGAGCCAAAGAGGTCGTCCCAGACACCCAGCTCCTTTGCCAGCTTCTCCGCTTCCGCCGCCTCGCCCTGCGCTTTTTGACGCAACGCCTTTCGCCCCGCTTCGTCCTTCTTCGTGCGCTTCCAGGTGGCGGTCGCCTTGATGTCCCCTGCCTTGATCGCCTCGTCGATGATTTTGATGAATCTGGTTTCGTCTGCGAGGAACTCGCTGCAGGGTACATGTTCGAAGATGCCAGCGAAGTCTCCCTCGGTCTCGTTGTACGCTTCGAGGATGTCCTCCTTCTCCTCGGCAGAGTTCTGATACTTCTTCTTGAACTCGTCGAGCGTCTGCCGCGATACCTCGCCCGTCCAGAGCTCTTTGAAGTATTCATTCCAGTCGAAATCGCCATCACCCTCGCCGATCATCAGCTCCTTCGTCGAGCCTGTGTTGTCGAATTTGCGTCGGCGAACTTCGTCGGAGAGCACGGCGTAGGCAAAGCCGATCCTTTGAAATTGCTGAATGGCATCCTCGCCGCCGCCCGAGGTGGTATTCGAGAGGACTTTGTCTGGGTGGAACTTGAGAGCGAGTCTGCAGTGTGGAACAAAGAAGAGAAGGTCGATGCCGATGTCAGTGAGCTGCAAAATACAATGTGTGAGTGAGGTCGAGATGGTATGCTTACTTCTTGTATGCCTTCTTGATCTCTTCCTGCGTTGCTTCTTTGGTTACGCCGAGCGTGCCGTAGAGGTCGACGTTGCCGTCTGGGAAGAACTGCAGACCGGGATCTTCCTCGTCCATGATTGCAGTGGGAGTGTGAGTGAGGCTCGAGGCGAGTTAGCTGGTCTCTTGCTCCAAAGTCCTTGTCGGAATGTTGCGCTGAGCGAGGACGACAAGCTTGGTCGAGTGAGGAGGAAGTCGAGAATGAAGTAGGAAAGACAGGGTCTCCAAAAAGTGTCGGTCTTGTTAGCTGAGCCTCGACGCGTAAATTGCGCCCACGCGCCGCCCGCAAAGCGCAGCACACAACCTTAAAATTCCGCTTCTTCTTCTCTCGCACGGACTTCCTCCACCGACACCATCATGACCCACGTCAGCCTCTAGGAGGCGGTCTTGAAGGCCGAACATCGACCGGCGCGCTGCACAAGATGCCCACAAACGCGACCGGCCCGCAGCGATGGTGGAGCATGTTCGACCCGCGAACGCGCCATGGCCAAATCTACCTCTCTCTGCTGTCGCTCCGCTGCTTCAGCGCCTTCTTCGGCTACGGCTACATTCATCCTGACGAATGGATGCAATCTGGCGAGCCCTACTTCGGCTTCAAGGACATTGGGATAGATGTGCGGCTGCCGTGGGAGTGGATGCCTAACAACGCACTGCGTTCGTTCTCGTCGCTAAGCTCGCAATATCGGAGCCTCGACATCCTCCTCCCGTTGGTGAAGCGGCTTGGCCCTCTATCGGGTCGCTCACTATTCATGATTCAACGAGCAAATATGCTGCTGGAGACGGTGCTGGTCGATGTGATAGTGGCAGCCGTGCTGCCGCCGCAGACGGCAAGGCTAGTACACTACCTTTTTGGCATCTCGACCGCGGCAACAACGTTCCTGGTGCGACCCTTCAGCAACTCGCACGAACTCACGCTGCTCGCACTGTGCTTGCTGCAGACCCTGGCACTCTATCAGGATCGGACATGGTATCGACATTCGAATCTCGGAGGATGGCACTGGGGAGTGCTGTTCGCCACCCTTGCTGTGGACGGCTTGTTCACTCGCTTCACGTTCGCCATCTTTGCCCTCCCCGTCACGGCGTTCTTCGTGTATCGCTTCAAACAGGTCGCAACAGAGGGCTTCCATAAACCGGCGCTGCTTTCGTTGGCAATTGGTGTCGTGACAGGAATCGGGCTGCTCGGCAACACCATTTGTTCCGAGACCAGCTTCTATACGAGATTCGCCAACGCAACCGGCACGGAGCTAGCGAGCATGTGGGGAACCAAGTGGGTGGTCCCGCCGATCAATGCGCTGCTATACAACATGAAGACGGACAATGTAGCGCAGCACGGTCTGCATCCGAGGTGGTTGCATGTCGTGGTGAACATGCCCATGATGGTCGGCATTGCGAATTGCGTCGTGATTGCGATTCATGGGTGGCATTCCATTCGCGACACGATGGCGCCGGACCACACAATTGGGGTGGAAGACCTGATCGAGGAAGAAGAGGTGGAACAGGTCATAGAGATTGCAGATGCGCCGAGCCAGTCAGAAAAGAAGTCCACGGCATCAACGTCAGCTCGGGCCGTCGAACTCGTCGACACGACCGAGAAGGCGGATGAGAGCGCGATGCCATCGACCTCAACGGATGCGCCCGCCTCAACACCATCACCACCCGAGACCGCCCTCGCATACATCGACGTCTCCCGCCTCACCACCGCCCTCTGCCTATGCACGATCCTCTTCAGCCTCCTCATCCTCTCACTATCGCCGCATCAAGAACCGCGCTTCCTCCTCCCCCTCGCTCTCCCCTCGACCATCCTCATGGCGCTCGCCTTCCAGTCCCCTTACTTTACCGTCCGTCCTCGCTTCACCCGCATCCTCCTCATCCTCCACGTAGCGCAACACATCCTCCAACTCCTCCTCTTCTCCTTCCTCCACCAAGCGGCGCTCCTCCCGACGCTCTTTCACATCGACCATTCCCTCTCTCGCCTCCCTTTGACGGGAAACGCGCTATTCGATCGCTACGAACATCATCTACTCTACCGCACATTCTCCGTGCCTCTCCATCTGATCCCACGCAAAGGACGCGGCATGTTTCCTCGCGTCGAACACTACGATAGCTCCACGAGCCCAGCAGGCTTGCTCTACCCCGCCGGATGGGCGTGCGATGACACCTGGCTCTATGCGCCCAGTTGGGTGGTGGCCCAGCTTCAAGAGGCCGCCGAGAAGGGAGGGAATGTGGTGCTGATCAAAGAAAGGGTCTGGACAGGACATGTCGATATGGATCATTTGCCAGAGACGTTGGCGCTGGTCAAGAAAATTGGCTGGACAGAGGCGTTTGCGATTCACAAGTTGCATGTGCGGTGCAGTCGCACCGTCGTCAAAGAGACAGAGGAGGTGGCTCAGACAGCGACACACCAAGAAACGGAGGACAAGGCTCACACAGCGTTACATGCAGAATTGTAAAGAACAATGATTCAACGCCTGGTATTGATGGCTTGAGTCGAGTCAAGACTGCATTTTGGGTGCAGTGTGCGTAGTGCCTCCCCAAGCTCTCCCAACTCTGCCAGCTCCTCCGGCTCCCCAACAAGCCCAATATCGCTGGCCTTATTCTCGTTCTCCCCTCTAATCCCAAACCAACCTCCCGTTCAGATCAACACTAGCCTTGGCACTAGTCTGCTTCCCCGCTCCGGGGACACTCTGCGGGCTGGGCCTCTTGCTCACCTCCCTGGCTTTGGCCGCCTCGGTGGCCTGCTGTCTCCTGTGGTTGGCCAGTCGTTCGGCCTGCAGACGGTCGGCTTCTTCTTTGGCCGCTTTTTTCGCTTGGGTCTTGTTCGCGTTGGAGCGCTGTTTTTTCGTCTCTGCCTCCACGGGACCATTTGGCTTGGGCTTGGGGGAGGAAGAGGCGATGGTCCAGCCGTTTGCCGAAGGCTTGGAAGCTTTAGTCGGAAGCCGGCGAACGGACGAGGTGGTGGCGTCGTCAGGGAGGGCGGCGAAGGGGTTGGTGGATGCGATGCTCTTCGTACCGTTGGTGCTTGCACTGGCACCGTTGGGCTTCGCGGCAGGAGTGGATGTGGTGAAGGTGCCGCCGACCGAAGACCAGCCGTCATCCTGCTCTTTCTTGGACAATTTGGGTTTGGGCGCGTCGACCTCTGGCGCGGGGATGCGCGCAACGCTGCTGTAGCCAGCGGGGAGCGCGTCGACGTCCGCATCGCGCATATCGCCGAGGGAGGCGGTGAAGGCGGTCTGCGCCGCGTCGGCCCGCGAGCGAATCGTCTCGTTGTTCAGCGCGGGAGTCGTTTCCGCTACCTCTGCGTAGGTGTCCGCATCTTCCTCTTTCGCTGCTGCGGTCGGGGCGGGCTGCGACGGCGCCTTAGACTTCTTCTTGTTCTTCTTCGACGCGGTCGATGCAGGTGCCGGAGCCTCGACAGCAGCGGGCTTCTCCTCGACCTTGATCGGTTCAGGCGCGGGTGTCGGCGCTGCAGTGGTAGTGGCAGCCTTCTTCTTGTTCTTCTTCTTGCTCTTCGCTATTGATCCCGGCTGCGCCTTGTCTGCAGCAGCGAGCTCCTGCTTGGCCTGCCTAGCCTTGCTGCGCAGCACCACATGGATGGTGAGTCCGGCCGCTAGACCCAAAGCGAAGATCTTGGCCGAGTCCATCGTTGCTCCAGCTCGAATGTATGACGTGAAGGGAAGAAAGGAAGCCCAGTTCTGCGGGTGTTTGTGTGTGTGAGCAGAACTCGTCTGACGTGGCAGAGCGAGGCGCGAAATGAAGCGTCGTCCGATGATCGCCCGAAGTGGTTTGTATGTGGGTGGTTGTTCGGTGGAAAGCGAGGTATGAGGCAGGCTCGAGCGGGCGCAGGAAGAAAGTCGACGCACCGCATTGACCGGCGTGTATGTGCGTGCACAGTTTGTGGGCGCAAGACCGGCCATCTTGCCGCAAAAGGATCGACGGCGTGCTCGGCTGGGTGTGTCCCTTTTTCGCTTCTCGCGCGACTTTGCTTTTTTCGGATTGTGTTAGACTGAAGATGGTACGAGAAGCAGGAAAAAGAAAGGCGGCTAAAGGGGATGCTGCAGCGTGACGCCAGCTCGGCGCTTACTAGCCGGCGCACCTTTTTTTTCATAGACTCTTGGCATCTATTTTCCTCGTCCCAGCATCGTTTGTCTGCCAACCTCGAACACTCCCACCATCGCACGTCCTCATATTGACGGCCCGCATCACCCACCGCCCGAACACGCACAAGCGGAAGCAGCATCATGGTCCGTCTCGCCCCGCTCTCCTCCCTCACAACGGCCCTCCTCTGCCTCTCCTTCCTCCTATCGGCATGGGCACAGACCAGCAGCATCTCTCTCACCTCGACCGGAACACTCTCCTCGAACACCTCTTCCACTTCTTCCTCAAGCAGAACGACGGATGCGGCGGTGACGCTGGGTACGCTGCTCACCTTTTCACTGAGCTCGGTTGCGACCTCTTCCACTTCGAGCTCGGGCAACTCGAGCAGTCTTGCGAGTAGCACGTCGAGCATCTCGAGCACGAGCATGACGAGTATGTCGAGTATTTCAAGCACAACGAGTCTGCCGCCGCCGACGAGCACGACCAGCGCCGCTGTGAATGCTGCCCTCGCCCCCGGGTTGGCGTGGGAACAGACCCACCTGGTGCTTCCGGCCGCCTCACTGGCCGTCGTGCTCGTTAGCAGTGTCGCCTTCCTTCTCTAGATCTCACACACATCATGTTCATTTTGCAATGCATTCATTCATCAGATTAGGGAATCAGCTCTTGAGCGACTCCAACAGCTCCTTGGCCTCCTCATACTCCACCTCGTCCTCCCAGCTGCTCTTTGTCTTTGCCAGGAAACTCCTGACCAAGCTCCTTGCCTGGAACCTCGGCTCTGGCGCATCTCCCTTTCCTCCTTCATCAGCTAGATCCAGCAGGGCATCCACCAAATTGCGAAGATCGTACAGCAGTCCGACGAAGACCGCTTTGTCGCTGTTGAGCGTGTCGTTGTTGATCGCCTCAGTTAGGGCTGCATTGTACGCGTTGAGCAGGGCAGTCTGGACGGCTTTTTGCTTTTCGTCGTTCCACAGCAGAAGGCGGGCGTAGAGCTTCCAGATGGGCGCGGAAGTTGAGATGCGCGCGAGCAGGGTTTCGTCGAACAGGCGACGTAGGGCGGGGTAGAGGCCCAAACCGCTGTTCTGATCCACCTTGGGCGCGATGGGTGCTGCACCTTCACCACCCGTCGAGTCGTGCGCTGCTTTGGCCGCTTCATACGCCTCGACGGAGGCCAGCGTTGCAGCTTCCAGTTCGCTTTTGGACGTCCGTGTCACGGCGTCCAGCAGCCGTGCCAACACCGACAGATCTACCGTCGCCGCCCGCTCGGCGTCGTTGCTCTTGTTGCGCGTCTGGATCTCCGTTACCCTCACCAGGGCGCGCGTGGCCTCGAGCAGGTACCCAACGTCGATGCAGACGATCATGTAGTTGTACCACACGCGCCAGTTGTCGTGGGCGAATCGCAGCGACTGCTGCAGCGAGCGGTGGGCGAGAAGTTTGAGCGAGTAGGCTGTCGTCGCGTTGCCTCGTCGGTGAGGGGCGCTGCCAACCTCGCCTGGATTGGGCAGACCGGTTTCTGTGCCCGCATCGCTATCCGCGACGGAACTTTCGCTGGAGGAGACTTCGACGCCGGAATCGGAACGAGAACTGCCGCTCCACTCGCTGAGCCCTTCATCGTCGTCCGAGGCAGCGGTGTCGTCCCACACGCGGTCCGCTTCTTCCTCCGCCTCGAGAATGTCTGGCAGCCCTCCTTGCGCGCCCATCCTCTCCACTCCCACCGCGTCTGCGGTCGAGGAAGCGTCCACCATGCGCAGATAACAGCTCGCGAGGTTGTTCCAGCTCTCCATGTCCTCGTCGTCCAGCGCCGTGCAACGGCGGAAACACTGTGCTGCCTCCTTCCACTTCTCTAGCCGCATGTAGCAACATCCAAGAATGAACCAAGACCTCGTAAAGAGCGGGTTGATCTTGAGCGCCCTCTTCAGCCATTGAGCCGCCTGGGCAAAGTCCTGCTTGGTGAAGTACACTCCACCCAGACTGCGGGCTGCGCGGGCGGACGAGCTCGCGCTCACCTGCCACGCCTTCCCGTAGTGCTTCAGCGCCAAGGTTGGCTCTAGGTCGCCCAGAAGACACCACAGCTTGGCCTCCCTAGCGCGGTCCATGCGCGTGTACATGACCCTCTGCGCCTCGCTGACGTTCTGAGTATCGGCGTTGCGTCGTCGAACCGAGACATCCACATCCGCTTCGACCTTCTTCCCTTCGAGCAGCTCGCGCACCACCTCGACACCCTCCTCCTGCCTGCCCAGCATGCCAAGACACGTCACTACCTCCTCCCACATCTCCACCCGCTCGAAGATCTCCATCGCCGACCGAGTGACTCCAATACTGGCGTAACGTCTCGCCAGTTCCGCCTGCATCTCCCACTTGGGCGGCAGGTCGAGCGCGTGGAAGAACTTGAGACGCTCTTGGATGGACGAGTCATTGGTCGGCATCTGGTCGATCAGCGCTTGAAGCTGAAGGACGGAGCGCTCAACGGTGCGTGTGCGTGTGGACTCGAGACGAGCGCGCAGGAGGAGCGACATGGTGTGCACCATCCAATTGCGCGGATGGGCGATGACGCGCGAGATGAAGATCTGCATCTGATTGGCTGTGAGGCCGTGCGCGGCTTGCGTGTTGCGGATGTTGAGGCAGAGAGCGAGCAGGATGCACTGATCAAGGACCGCGAGAGGAGGCTGCGCGTTCGGGTCCAATTGGAGCAGGTCAGCGTTGACGTCGGCATTGTCGCCAATTGATGAGGCAGTTGCGGTTGTCGAGGTGAACTTGGTCTGCTCGAGCAGGGTATCGTCGTTGAGGGCGAATGTGGACGGCATGCCGGCAACTTGATCTTCTGGGTTTGCTTTCGATGCGAATCCTGTCTCGAGTGGTTCCTCGATCTCGCCCTCGGATTCTGGCAAAGACGGATTCTCCTCCGTCTTCGATTCAGCCTCTTCATCCTCCTTTCCACCATCCACAACCACACTCTTGGCCAACAACACCAGCTGCGTCTTGTCTTCCTTCTGGAACTTGGTCCTCTTGCCGAGCGCACCCGACATGCGATACCGCAGGCTATTCTCCTTGGCCGCATCGACAAACGTCTCGGATGCCTCGCGATCGCTTCCCAGCCTCTGCAGTGCGACGCCTCGTTCCAGGATGAGACGTGACGCGAGCGAGGCCCAGTCACTCTTGTCGTTGTGTGAGGGCGCGGAAGCTCGAGCGACCAACACATCGCGCAGCTTGTTGACTGGGTCGAACACGCGTTTGCCGAATGCGACAGGCTCGTCGAGTACATGACTGTGCACGGTGTAAGCGCGCAGCCTCCACCAAGGGAGCGTCTCGATGTTGACACGGCCCGAGGCAGCTTCTGGTGTTTGCTGAGATTGAGCGGTCCAAAGCGCCTCAATGACGAGCTTGGAGAAGACAAGGAAGAATGGCACCTGACAGAGATGGTACGCCGGCTCGCCTTTGAACGCAAGTGCTTCGAGCGAGGCACCGTGGATGAGACGCTTGGCCTCGCTGTTTGCCTTGTCCTCGGCGTCCGTATCTATCGGCCGAGGCGGGTACGCCTCTGGCGACGACGCTCGCAACATTGAAAGTGGCTCCAATACGTCTGGCAGCTCCGGTCCAGTCCAGTTGATCTGAACGAATGCATGCATAGCGCTGACGGCGACCGACAGCGCTTCAAAAGTTTGAGCCTCGGTTGTAATTTGTGTCGAGACGACGCCGTTGACTTCCTTTTGGACGGAAACGAGATCGAGCATGCTGTTGCCGCTGAGTGCCTTTCCAAGGTGTGTGCCGATGGGTTTGAGCAGCGTCGTAGCAGTGCTGGACGTGAGGACGGCGGCGAAGTCGCCCACAATGGTCTTGCGGACGTGATCAGGCACGACAGCCCTCTTCTCTTCCTCCAAGTTGGCAAGCGTGTTGGTGATGAGGTTCCATTGGAAATGGTCGGGCGACGCGTTTCCAATGTCGGCGGCGGCAGTCCCGAGTGCGACAGTACTATCGGACGAAGCCGCTGCGTCCTTTGCCGCCGACCGACCAGATGCGACCCGCAACGCCCGGTACATGGCATCCAGGTCCGGGAAGGTGGGCACAAAGGCGTCAAAGTTGGGTGCGTTTGCTTCGTCGTCATTCAGCTCGTCCTCTTGTTCTCCTTCAACAGAGGTCGCATGATCTTGGTCCTGAAGTTGGAAGGATGAACGGGGGCTGAGCCAGCCCACAGCGCCGAGGTCTGCCGAGTTGGTCTTGGATTCGGATAGGTTGTCACTTTCAAGCAAGATCGCAGCGAGCAAGAAGTCTGCTGGCTCCCTTGTTAGAGGGATTGCCGAAGTCGATGCGCCACTCGAGGTATCTTCTGCGAGCTGTGTTTTTGCCCACAGAGCAACCAAGGATGACAGAGCCGGCTCTGCCTCGCCGCTGCCCCTCATAGCTTGAGGTGGGAAGAGCGCGACATTGAGTCGCTCGTTGACATCTCCTTGCTCGTCGTGCATCTCCTTTGGCAGGGTGTTCTCCGTGTCGATTACGCCGAACAAGTCGGCGCCATGCAAATCCAGCCACTGCTTCCATGCCTCCGTTCCCTTCTGCTCGGTCGTACCGCCTACGAGCACCACCTTCTTCTTGGACGTATACGCGTTGACCGTCTTGTACACTTCATCATTCTCGAAGATCAGGCTCTCCTGCGCTATCAAGGCCGCCTGCAACGCCAATGCGAGCTCCGGCACGGTATCAGTAAGGGTGGCTTGACGGGGAGCCGAGAGGACGGGTACGTATCGACGCTGTGTATGTGCGCTAGAATCGAGTTGCTGTTGAAGGTACGCAAAGCTGATCGCTGCCACTGCCTGATCGAGTGTCGGAGAATGAGGCGTGACAACATATACGATGTCCTCGTTATCGAGACCACCCGAGGCGAGGAGCGATTTGGTGGTGCGCAGGAAATGGTTGAGCTGCGTGTGCGGTAATGGTCGAGTGAAGCGCGAAGCGGGGACCGCACCGACTCCACTCATCTTGACAGAGTCGATCGTAGCAGCTCGTGCAGGGGTCTGCTATGTCGCAACTGTGAGTACAGCGCTATGAGTCGATGGTGATGATGGCTCAGTCGAAGGAAGTCGTCAACGTCGGTTTAAGGTTTTTCTTTCCTCCGACTCCACTTCCAAAATTTTCGAGGCAGCAGAGCAGTCTCGTTTCACACTGGCCAAAGCTTCTTAAATTTTTCTTTCGACGCCGTTCCGCTACGCCCGACTTCCGGCTATCCATCTTGCACAAGCTTCTCAATCTGCAACGCTGTTCTCACACAAACACAGGCTTCCGGTGCAATGGTGGATGAGCGAATTAATGCAGTCTCACTGACCCATACGAGCAGCCTTGAACCGGCTGACCTTCTTGGGCTTCACCTCGGCCTGGCTCGCCTCATCCCCGACTTCCTCCTTGTCCTCTCTCCTGGCCACAGGCGGAGGTGCCTTGCCCTGCTCGACCATCTCCCTTGCCCGCTTGCTCTCTGACAGTCTCTTGGCTTCTTCCGGATGCTCCTTCCTCCACTCCAGCCTCTCCAGCCGACTGCGCATGACCATTTCGGCCTTTTCGTCATCGTCGTCGCTCTCGCCACCGTCCAAGTCGACAGGCCCCGTGGATTTGCCTTCCACCAGATCGCCGTTCTTGGGGAAGCGCACGGGCGCAAGCGAGGGAATGATCATCATCGGCGCACCGCGGGTGTTGACGTCGTCGTTGGAGCGGCCATCCATGCTGAAGGCGGCGGACTTTGCTTCGAAAGCGGATGGCTGGGACTGACCCAGGTTCTGAGCTGATGAGAGCATGTCTTCCAGATTCTTTCCGGAAGATGGTGCGGCCCTTCGCGTGTTTTCCATCTGTCTCTGCGCGAGTGACGCCTTGAATCGTGAGATGCGCGAGCCAGGTCCTGCGCCTGTAGAAGAGGTGTTGCCTTGATACTCGGAATCTTCCACAGCTTCGTCCAGCGGCACCACGTCCATCTCGTAGTCGTCCTCATCCTCCTCGTCTGCCTGCGACTGACCCGCTGCTCTGGCTGCGGCGATCATTGCAGCTCTCGTCTGGTCGCTTCCGCCCGCAGCCGCATCGCCAGGGATGGCCAGACCCATCGCAGCCAATCTAGCCCGCGCCTCCTCATACTCCTTGAGTAGCTCTGGATGCGCGGAGAGAGCGTCCACATCCTCACGCATTTTCGGCGCTAGGGCCATAAGATCTTCTGGATCGTAGTCGAAGTCGTCGTCTTCGTCCTCGTCAAAGTCATCTTCATCCACTCCCCAGTCGTCTTCGTCCTCAATGTCGTCGTCAAGGTCATCGTCATCATCGTCATCATCGACGTCCAAGCCTCGACTGTCAGACGCGGCAGCGCGACGAGATCGTTTGGAGAGGTACGAGTCGTAGTAGGCATCTTCCTCGTCTGTGTCGGCACCTTCGCCCAGGATCTTGGGATCCTCTTGCTCCTCGTCCAGTTCTTGCGCATTGTCGATGTCGTCTGACAGGTGGTTGTCCAGCGTTGTCGAGGGCATGATCTCTGGGACTTGCTCGTCCCCGTCATCGTGATCAGCTTCAGCAGCGCCAGCAGGAGGACCAAAGCGCACGCGACCTGGCCGAGGTACATCGTCGTCCGCTGTCGGTCTTGCAAGCTTGACCGTCTTGTCCGCTATTGTGCCTGTTGAATCATCCTGGTCCTGGCTCTGAGATGCACCGCCTTCTTGTCGCTGCTTCATCTTTTCCGCATAGGCCTTCGACGGTCTTGCATGCGGAACGGCAGCCGGCAGCCCCATCGCCTGTCGCCGCTCGCTCAGCTCGTCATCTCCTAACGAAGCGCGATCGAGCGCCGACATGCCAAGCGACTGAGTGGGCGCAGCAGGCACACCAGCCCCGCTCCCTGCTTTCCGCGACACATTGGTGTTGGGCACGAACTTGGTCGGTGTCGGCTTCTGATTCAAGAAGCCGGCCTTGAAAGCGCTGAACTTGGCCTGTTGCGCCTTGACCTGCGTCGACACTGCCTTTCCTTTGTCCTGGCTCGATTTTGGTCTCTCCATCACCGAATGACCAAGTGCCGGCTTCTCGGCCAACCTCTGCAGTCGCTCCTTCTCCCGCTCCTCCTCCTCTTGTTTGGCTCGAGCGGCCAGTGCTTCAGGTGTAGAGAAGCGCTGTTCTTCGTCGTGTGCCTCTTGCATTTTCTTGAGCACGTCTGAAGAGGGAGCGTTCGGGTGACCCTCCACCACACCTGGCCCGAGAAGTTGAACAATGCGTTCGGCTTCTTCTTCTACACCGATGTCATCGCGGTGACGCTTCCCCGCAGTCCCGGAACCAGACTCGAGCGCTCGCGCCATCTTTGACGAAGCGTCCATCGCAGGCTGGGACGAAGCACTGGGCTCGTCATAGTTCTCCTTGACACGGATGCTGGACCTCAGCGCCCGTTGCAAAGGTGTGAGACCCGAGCCAGCTGCTGCCTCTGGATGCGCTCGTTCGGGACTCTTGATGCGAACGCTCTTCTTGGTCGGTGTGCTGGTGCCGCTCGTCATCGGGCTTGAACTTGCTCCTGTCACTCGACCCAGCAGGGAGGAGGCCATGGTGCTGCTTTCGCGACTCAATGGCGTAGGCGTGTGGCTGCGCGAAGGGCGTTCAGACTCGGACGCCTGCGCTGGCTTGTTCTTCTTCTCTTCCCGCTCGAGATCTTCCCACGAGTAGGAACTCTTGATAGCACCCGGACTGGACGGGTTGAGGTTGAGAAAGCCATGACGGATGCCGGCCGAGCCGAACGACGGACGCTGCTCGATGATGGGACGTGCGGTCGGCTTGAGTGCTGACTTGGGTGGAGGCGGACGTGTCGCTGATACGATCTCGGGCAGTGCTTTTGTCTCGGTTTCGGGAGTTGGCGGAGGGCTTGGAGTGCGAGCACGAAGGACAACTCTAGTCTCTTCTTCCGCAGACGGTGCTGCATCCGTCGACGGACTCTGCTCTGATGCCGATCTTGTCGATGAAGAGGCGAGAGATGATCCTTGTGCACCTTGCGCCTCCTCGTCTGAGTCCTCGTCCTTTTCTTCCTCCTCCAACTTGCTGAGCATCTTGTCAAGCCATTGTCGTCGTTCATCCTTGTCCGTGGCGAGCTTGTCGTCTGAGCGTACGAATGGCTGCAGGTACGCCTTCTTGTTTTGCGTCGCCTCTTCTTCTGTGATCTTCTCGACCGGCTCGTAGAAAGGTAATCCTTCCTCGTTGAGTGCCTCGTTTTCCTGACTGACAGTGTGACCTCCTGTCCATCCGATCGCCGCTCCCGCCATCATATCTTCTGGCGCGGCTGCTCGCAATTCGGGAGCAACAGTCTGTCTGAGCTCAGCTGCGGAGGCGACGTAGCGTGCCTTCCGTGCTTGCAGCTGCGTCTGTGCGTCCCTGTAGGTCATCTTGACGTATGCCACCTCTACAGTTCGACTGGGTTCCGAGAGTCGGACGGACACAGTGACCTTGCCCCCATTCTTCGGCCTGGAGGTCAGTGTCGGTAGCGCTTCATCTTCCAGCAGTACTTGATCCCGCAGCGAGAGACCCTGTGCATCTTGTCGTACATAGACCGAGTCGTCGGCGGTGGCAAGACGGGCAGGCCAGAAAGCTAGCGGACCAAGAGGCTGTAGCGTCCGGGCAACCGGCGCTGTTGAGCCTTTGCCGGCATGAAGCTGCTGAGCCACCTGCAGATTGTCAAGTTGGAGGCAGACTCTGTCGATGTTGGCGATGGCTTGCTCGAGCTTGCCGAGTTGTGTGCGTTGTGACTCGGGCGAGTCTGCAGAAGAGGCGGCCGTGCCCTGCTTCAAGCGACCGTAGTGGGCTTGTAATAGAGCTTGGGCCGTGGCCGAAATCTCCGAAGGATCAGCTGGCTGAGTCGATGGCATGGCTCCTGGAAGGTTGCGGGAGGACGAAGAGGGTCCGGGATTGACTCTGCTGGACGAGGATGAGGACGTCATGCCGGGCGGGGGTCATATGGCTAGGTCGAGTGACGAAGCGGACCTGCTGGCTGTGTGTATGTACACGCGAAGAGCTTCAGGCGGTGGGTCTCGACCGGTTTTAGGGAGGTGTTGCTCCGACTGAGCCTGGTGCGGTACTTCCAAAACGGACGCCGGCGCTTCGAAGCTGTGACGACGGAGTGCTGACGAGTGCTAGAGCATGTCCGCCTTGTCGCAGTTCAAAGTGATGGAGTGTGTGCGCTGAGGGAAGCTCGACCAGCTGATGGGATGATGATGGCGTTGAGAGAGACTCGGGATGAAGGGTGCGAAGGTAGTGTGACCTGGTCCGCACCCTCCACGATTCGTCCCGACACTTTTGTGTTCTCGCTTCGCCTCGTTTTCCGCTTCTGCCGTTCTGCTACCGCAATTTTTTAGGTTTGCCTTCCAAATGTGGAGAACAGGCGAGAACCGAAAGCCACAGAAGAACGCACACAAGCCTCAACGTAGAGATGTGTCATGCTCACACTCCTACCTCTCGCCAAGCGGTAGCCGAGTGTACGGCTTGTCGGGTCGTTGACGTATCAACCACAGTAGACCCTGCCCCCTTTCGCGAGGGTGCAATTTCAGGCTGGGACAGTGAAGAACAAAGTTGCTTTCAATTCGTGAACATTGAGATGAATGGTTGGTACAATGGAGTGGGACACCGAGACATGGGCGGATGAAACGAGTCGCTAGCATCAAGATGCGAAACTAGGAGAGATGAAAGCTGGTCGAGCCCTCTTTCATGGCGGTCTGGAGTCGCTCGCGCATCTTGTCGCGCGACGAGTAGTTGGGCATCTTGAGGTAATTGACGCACGTCATCACACTTGGCAGATAGTCGTCCGGCGTCAAGGGGGCCTCGTGCGGACGCTTGACAATTGTCAGCTGCGGGTGCAGTCCCGAGAATCCACCGATGGGCAACTTGGGAGACCCAGTCAGCCATTGCAGGAACTCGCGACGCTGGCTCACGTCGAACGATGCCATGATGGTGATGATGTCGCGGAACGTGGGCGAGTCCGAGTTGAGGCCGTGATCAGGCTTGAGGCTCGCCAGAAGCGTCGCCTCGCTCCAGTCTTCCTCCGTATTGCCAAACAGCATCACCAGCTCATCCGCCGTGAAGCTCGTCATGGCTGAGATAGGGAAGATCAGGCTGAAGCCTTGGCGGAATGCCCGGACTGCCGCGCGGACACCTTTCTGCAGCGTCAGGTCCAGCACCTCCGAAACGTATTGCTCCACGTTGGCGCCCGTCACCGTTTCTTCTCGTCCGCCAGGGTGCAGCTCGATCGATTCGTATCCGGGCAGCGTGAAGTCGAGCCCGAGCGACTCGATCTCCTCCGCTGGCATCTGACGCATCGAGGACAGCGATCGAGCCAGGGTAGGATCGACGGCGGACAGTGTGGCCAACGTCGGCGCCACGTGCTGGTTGAGTGCAGCTCGCATGAAGACGGGCGAGAAGTTGCAGTCGATGATGCGCGAATCCAGCAGAGCCTTGGCTACAAACTGGCCCAGGATGCGGAAGGCCTGCAAGCGCTTCTGAATGGACCCGGAAGCCTCGCCACTCTCTGAAGTCGATGCGGTCGCGCCTTGCTCAAGTTCGCTGCCAGCCACCAGCAGAGGAGCTGGAAAGAGGCCCAGCGGGCTGAAGACGTACTGACTGCCATCCTCGCTCGAGCCACCGGCGCGACTGTCGCGCCACAGCTTGAGATCCCGGCGAGCAAACTCCTTCGACACGAGCGAGTAGAACTCGAGCGTGGGACCCAGACCTGTGCCTACCTCTTCGAAGTACTCGACCTCGAGCACCGATGAGTTGGAGCCGTACAGCTCGAAAACCTTGAATGCAGAGGCGAGCAAGTTGCCTCGTGAGATGCGCACCTTCTGTCGTTGAAGTCGACCCAAGAAGCCGAACGAATCATCCAAACGCGACGAGCTGCTGCTGCCAGGCTCCTGGTTTCGACTGTGCAACGCTTGCCATCTAGTGAGCAAGCGTGCGTAGCCAAACGACGTCGACTGCAGGAAGGCGAAGCGGGCCTCGAAGGGGAACAAGAAGGGGAAGCATTTCGGCAGATCCGTCGACCAGGCGGGAAGGCAGGCAGAAGCGACGATCATGGGTTCCTCGAGCTGACGATTGAGTTTGGCCGTGAGCTTGTTGTTGACAAAGGCGGACTCAGCCAGCGATGCGGACGGGGCGTGGGTGGTCTGCTCCACACCAGTGCTGACAGCGCCAGCTCGCGAGACCTCTCTCCATTCCATGTTGAGCGAGTGAAGAACAGCGAGCAGCTGGAGAAGCTTGGCGTAAGGCGCATCCTCCTTGACTGAGGCGGGAAGCTCGACGGCGGCGCTCTCGGCGGAAGTGGGCTCTGGCGTCGCTTCGGCTCCAGACTTGGAGTCGGCACCGGAGACCTTCTTGTATCGGACGGTGTATACGTTGCTCCAGATATGCTTGCTACCGCCGTGCAGCGTCGAGACGATAGACTGACTCTGGTCTCGTGCCTGCGAGGTCTCGAAGCGATGCACTGCGCCATAGATGGTGGTGTCGAGATCGAGCTTCTCGGATCCGATGGAGAATTCAAGGTGCCAGTCCGAAGGCTTCTTCTGCAGTGCGGAGGCGTACGACGACGGCTTGGCTGGGCTAGCTGTCGCTGATGAGGACGAGCCCGATGCGGCAGAGGCCGAGGCACCAGCAGCAGTGCTGTCGGACGGCTTCGGCGTGCCAGAGCCATTGTTCGGCGTTGCGATGCGCGTGCCCTCTGGCGTCTTGGCCACGATCTTTCCTCCTTCCTTCTCGACGTCGAGATTGATCGTCTTGTCTGCAGCGTCAGAGCCGTCGGCGGCGCCGAGACCGCCAGATGCGCCGTTGGCGCCATCAGCAGGGATCTCGCTTTGCAAGATCTCCTCGTCAAAGCCTTCTTCATCAGTGAAGCCCTCGTCGTCGTCGAACTCGGCGCCCTGGAGCAGACCCTCCATGAGCGAGCGCGCGAGCGCTTCGTCGTCCGCGCCGTTGGTGTTGTTGGCGTCTGTTCCATTGCCTTCGCCGTCGGTTGCCGCGGAGGGGCCGTCGCCAGCGCCAAAGAGGTGTCGAGCGAGCGCACGAGCCTCCTCGCGAGCTTCTGCGTCCCGAATGGCTTCCGCGGAGGCGGACTCGGATGCCTGGCCTGCTTGCTTGCTCTCAGCTTTGCCATCCGCGTCCTGCTTGCCCTTGCCGAGATCGTTGCTCAGGCTGCCTGTCTCTTCGCTCTTGCTTCCGTCCTTCGCAGACTGGTCTTTCGATGAACTGGAAGCATTGGCGTCTCTAAGGCTGCTCAGGGCCGAGCTGCTGCCGCCGAGCTCCGGGAAGCCGCCAGAGCCGCTTGTCGCTGCTGCAAACGCGGCAAGCACGGAGGAGAGTCGCGAGGAAGCAGACGAGCCAGCAGCGCCCGCGCCGCTTCCTGAGCTTGCACCAGAAGCACCCGAGGACACGGCGATCTTGGGTCGGAGATAATCGCTGAGAGACTGGAAGGTGGCGACAGCGTGGATGGTGACAATGATGTTGTTGCAGCTGCGCGGAATATCGGTCGAGTCCTCTGCCTGCAGCCGCAGACGCAGCTGACGTCCGAGCATGGCACTTGGACTCTTTCGCACCTCGTCGCTGCTTCCACTGAGCGCCGTTGTGATCTCGACATTCTCCAGACGGCTGAGCGCTTCTTGCAACCTCCTGACGAGAACATTGGCTCCGCTCTGGCTCGTCTCGGTGTCGGTGTCCATCAGAGTCGAGATCAGCAGCGAGCGCCTTTGCGCCAAGGGAATGCCGCCGTCGCTAGAAGTGGCGAAGGAGTACAGAGACTCGACCAGGCCGGAGCGGAGCAGTTCGAAGCTCGAAATGGGCTCGTCGCTGCGGGAGAAGAGCGACGACACCTGCTGCAGCACATCTTGGGCGTCTGCCTCTCTACCATCTGCGGAAGCAGCAGAAAGACGTTTGACGAGGTCCTTGATGTGCTCAAGCGCTTGAGCCGCGCTCTGTGCACCCTCAGACGAGCTGGCCTCTGCCGAAAATTTGTCGCGCAACACGCGCGCTCGCCAGATGCTGGCATCCGTCGCCTCGGCCGAGGCCTGCGCATTGAAGGCAGAGGTCGACGAGGTAGACGACGAGTGACGAGCGTTCAATGCATCGACCAGCCCGGATCCCTGACCTGAGGCGGAGGCTGCAGCGATGAGACGGGCCAGGCTTGATCCGGAGGAAAGACCCATGCCGGCAGCGTTCGCAGCTGCATCGATCGCCAAAGCGCTAGTCCCGCTAGCAGCGCGGGGCAGAGTCAAGGGCTGAGCGGTGGTGGTACCACGCTCACCTTCACCCGAGGTGCTTTCACCGTTGGAGGCGGGGCGCACTGACGGCGTCTGCGATGCAATGTCATCGATCTCCCACATGACTCCCTCGCGTCGAAGCAGCGCCGTGTAGAGCGAGGGCAGCTTTTCAGTGAGAAGCTCGACGATCTGAAGCGCCCCGTTGACTAGAGTCGGATGATCGCGAGACGAGAGGATGGCAGCCAGGAAGCTGGCGAGCGGGACGTTATCGAGCGTCTCGCCGAGCGATTCGGGATCGACAAAGCTGATGATCTTGAGGATGCCGTTGATCGCTTTGTGACGCACGTGAAGGGCGACGCTGGCTGCGTAGACTTCGACCAAGGTGGGCAGCACGAGCGAGGTGAAGCGCTTGACAAGGGCGGTTCGGCTCTGCAACATCTCGATCCGCTTGGACTGAGCGGCCTCCCTCGACAGCTCTTTCTCCGTCTTGGGTCGCGATGCCGTCTTGCTGCGGGTCGAGCTGGAGCGCGAGTTCGGCGGACGAGTCGACGCGGTCGATGTGTGAGCAGAAGCGTCGGATGCCGTCCGCTCTTCGCCAACTCTCGCTGCAGGCGCTGACTTCCGGGCCGCAGTGCGCTTGAGGTATGCTTTCTCGTTGTAGCCACGAGGATCAAAGACACCATCACGCGGCAGAGGAGGGAGAAGCTCACCGACCAACGACAAAGCTTCCTGGATCTGCTCTTTGGGTCGCTGGGCCAGATTCTGCAGCACAGCCATGTCAGCGACTGCAACAGCCGAGCCAAAACCCTCAGCGCTAGCCTCGGGGACGACGGCCACGGCAGCAGTCTCGGCAGCGCTTTCAGGTCCCGAGGCCTGCTCTGACTCGAGCTTGACGCCATGTGTGGCAGGGGCGCCAGCTGAGCCTGTTGGCGCGGGAGAGCCGGTGAGCAGGTGGTAGAGCGTCTCGACGATGTTGTTCTCGAGCAGCACAACTGCAAGACGCGGACTGCTTCGACAGGCCGTGCCGAGCGCCTTGAGCACATCCGTGTAGACGCTTGCACCGAGCGTGGTATTGGAGCTTGGCGAGGACGACGCAGGCAGAAGCAGATTGTTGAGCGCCGAGAGCAACTCGCCTGTGAGCAGCTGCTCCAACAGTTCCGGGTAGGTCCTGTAGCTCTCGACGATACGCACGACGCACTTGCATGCCGACTCGACCAGGCGCTGGTCGCTGTAGGTGAGCACGTTTTGGATGATGGGCATCACGTCGCGGACCATGCCGAGGTACTCGGGCGTGAGCTTGCGGCAGCAGTTGGCTGCAGCGGTCATGGCTGTGCGCTGGATGTGGATGTTGAAAAAGTCGAGGTATTGAAGAATGGCCGAGAGACCGCCTTCCTTGACGATGGAGCTGGGGTAGTCCTGCGAGATCTTCTCGAGCGTCTGTAGCACCTGTTCCGCCAGGTCGATGAATGTGATCTCCATGAGCTTGGCGTTGAGGATGGGAATGGCGCCGTTGGCGACGACGCTGTGGGCTGCGTAGGGCATGGCCTCGATGAGGTTGGCGAGGCAGCGGCAGGCAAGCAACATCTTTTCGCCGCTGTCCTCTTCCATATCGGCAGCGGCAGCAGCAGCCAGCACCGCCTTCATCTCATCGTCGAGACCGTCGTCGACCGACTCGATCTTAGCGGACTTGCCACCAACATCGTTTCGCTCCGGCTTGGGACCGCCGAGGATGTAGACGAGCTCCTTGACGTACGAATTGGTAGGGAAGTAGCCTGCCAGTGTGTCCTCGGTGCTGACACTAAGCAGCTCAGACAGCTCTTGCAGGGCGACCATCTGAGCGGTGGAGTCCGTCTCGTTCCGCAGAGAGGTGAGTAGGCTGCGGAATCGCGTGGAAAGCCCCGACATGTATCCAGCCATCGCTCGAAGGTTGAGGCCGAAGGCACCAGCGCCGCCGTGGTCGCCATCATCCTCGACGATGTCATCGTCATCGTTGTCTCCAAAGGCACTGAGCTCGTCGGCGGCACCTGACGGGCGATCTTCGCCGTCCTCGTCATCGTCGCGGTCCTCTTCATCCTCATCGTCCTCATCCAGGTCGTCCTCGTCTTGGTCCAGATCCTCGAAATGCTCGTCATCGATGTGGAGACCTTCTTCCGCGTCGTGCGGATCATTGTCCATGGGCTCTTCAACGATGCCGACAGGCTGCTGCTTTGAAGCGTCCGACATGTGCACATCCTCGTCGTCGCCAGCCTCGTCGGAGCACCCGAGCTGGTGGGTGCTACGCGTCGAGCGGGTGGATCCACTCGTAGAGGCACGTCTGGACTTGGCAGATGCCTTGGCTTTGGCTGCCGAGGTGCGCGCCGAGCCTCGAGCTTCGGCGTTGTTCGAATCGAGGCCAGTCATGGCGGAAGTGGAAGACGAAGAAGCTTCGGCGGTGCTAGTCTTGCCGCGAGAGCGAAGCGAGTAGGGCGAGGTCGAAGGGGTACGAGACGAGGAGTCGCCGGATCCAGATGCCTTGGGGTTGGGCTTCTGACGCTTGCTGCTTGGCTTATCTGCCGATGCGGGCGAGGGCGTGGAGCGAGAAGCGGAGGGCTTTTCGGATGTCTTTTGAGCGTTGCTGGAGGAAGCTTTGCGCTCTCCCTTTGCAGAGGTCGAAGTCGAGGAAGTCGAAGTGGCGAGGTCGGTGACAGGTGTATCCGAAATCGCTTTGGCCTTGCCTTTGCCCTTGCGTCCCGAGGACGATGTGGAAGCGGAGCTCGCGGCGAGGTTGTTGGACGATGAAGCGGACGATACGCCTGCACCAGCCCGTGAGGGGGTGGCTTGAAGGGGCGCCAAGGTGGTAGAGGGGGAGGCCAGGGAAGAACCGGGCGAAGAGACGAGTGACTTGCGACGAGCAGAAGAGGGGCGGGAGGACAGGGAGGAAACGGCCGTTGCAGGTGTCACGGGCGCCGAGAGTAGGCTGCTAGAAGAGGTGGAGAAGGGCGATTGGCTGCGAGCGTCGAAGATGTCGTCGGTGTGGGGTGTAGCGGCCGAAAGCCTTCGACTTCTGCGGAGGCCTGTGTCGACGTCTGCTGGTGCACTGCAAGAGGTGGCGACAGCGGTAGAAGCGCCGATGACGTTGTCGAGAGTCGCAGATGACGCAGAGACGGTGTTCAAGGAAGAGTGTGCGCCGGCCGAAGTGGTTGCGGAGGATTGATTGGAGGTGCGGGCTTTAGAAGGGGAGCTGGACTTGTTACGCCTGCGATCGACAGGCATCGATGAGACTGGTCACAGATGCTCCCAAAGCTTCGAGGAAGGGTGCGCGAATCCAGATGCAGATCGGGGCGGATCAGTGATGTCGATCGGTTGATGATCGCGCCAAAGGTCTGCGTATTGAGACGATGCTAATCGTGAGGTGCATGCATCAAATAGTAGACTGCTGGTCACTGAGTAGGAGCGAGGAACGGCTCGCGTGATTGCTTTGTCGATGATACTGGAGGGATGTAATGCTGAATGGTGTGGGCGGGATGGTGGTGGAAGGTGGGAAGTGAGGAGGGATCAAAGGGTCAAGTCTGGAAGCATTGAAGATCTGAAACAGCCGGACGAGTGACGAACAGAAAGCGAGATCAGCGATTGGCCGTAGCAAAGTTGTCTGTCGCTGATCCGTCTGCGGTGCGTGTTGAGTGGTGATGGTGAAAGGGGAAGGTGCAAGTCAGAAGGGACGAAGAAATGCGGTCGCCGGCTGAGTTGACGGCTGAAGCTGCGTGTTAACGTTAGTCACCAGAGAGGCGTGCGAGTGCGTGATGAGACAGATTGCTGCTGTTGTTGCTGGTGCACGCAAGTCACACGCAGTTGCAAGTGGAGCAGAATTGAGCAACGGCAGCGAGCAGCAGCAGAGGCAAAGAAGCGGTGCAGGCCAGCCGGCGCTAGGCTTGGCCAGGCCAATCCGTGAATCGTGGCTCACTCTCACCCTCAGGGTCTTCGGTTTCTCGCACCGAGAAGCTTTGCAAAAAATGCGCCCAATCGCAGCTTGCAGGCCACAGGAAGAACAAAAGGCAGGGCGCTGACATGGCTGAGTCCGCGATGTGCTGCCCTGCAAACCTCAACGATCCGAGAGCGCGCAGAGACCTTCTTCGCTGCCGAACCATTCCCTTGCGACTCCCTCTCTACCGTCACATTGAATCGACTCAACGCTCAGTGACGAGTCACGCTTCGGTCGAGCGTCGACTCAGCTGTCTCTTCAAGGTGCAAATGGCTTGATGAAACTCAGCCTTGTGGGGACGTGTGACGGCACGGGAGCATGTGGGTCGTCGGCGATTTCAATTTGTAGATTCGCCCGATCAGCTAAGAGGGTGCTGCGGCGCTGCGAGCCCACCATCGGCGAAAAAAGGGCAACAAAGGGTCTCAGAAGCCTCAGTCAGGGTCCAATCGTCACCGTGAATCGTTGCCCTCGTCTGTGTGTGGCGCTGCTGTCGGGCTAGGGCCAGAAGGGTCCTCGACAAAAAGAAGCGCTCCAAATTCGACTGACTGCCCCTCTATCGCCCTCTTCACGAGGCACCTCGTCATGCGCACAGTCGTTGCTTCAGGCTGATAGCATGATCGATGCGACAAACAGATGGTAATGCTGATGTGATTCCGTACAAATACAATTGGTAGGATGAAGATGAGGTGGTGTGTTTGCGCAGGCGCAGAATAGAGGCTAGGTGATGGCAAGAAGGGAAGAGATGAGACATCCGCAACAGTCAGTATCATTTTGCACTTCCAGATTGCTCTCATCGCTGCTGCTGCGTCTGGCTGTTCCCTGGCGAACTTGCGAGACCGCCATACGAATCAGAAGTGTAGGTTTCATCGAGCCGAAGGCGCCAGGGCTTGCCGGCTAGCGAGCCCCGTTGTACCGACATCCAAAGATGCAGGGACGCCAACGACCATCAGGCGCAAATTACACGAGTACCATCATGCGAAGCGGCAGTTCCTCCAAGTACGCCAGCAGCAAGAGTAGAGCGAGAAGCAGATATACTCACTGTTTGGAGGTGGTTTTGTCGAGCGAGAAAGGCGCGACGGCTCTCAAGCGTCGCCTGCGAGCAGCCGCAGGGCCAACTCTTCCTCCTGCTCGAGCTTGCTCTTCTTGCTTTGAGTGGGTGCGGTCTTGCGACGCTTGGCAGCAGGAGCTTCAAATGCCATCTGAGCTTCGTCGTCATCGCTATCGTCGTCGTCGTCGTCTTCCTCGTCGGAAGAGAGCTCAAAGTCGGGCGTCTCATAGCCGTCCGAGCGGTTGTCGATGGGCGCCAACACGGCTCTGCCGCCAGCGTCAGCGTCGTCGTCGTCATTGTCGTCGTCGTCCGAGTCATCGTCAAGAGCCTTCTCGCGCTCCTTCTGTCGACGACGCTTCTCGCGACGCTTCTCCTTGGCCAGCTCCTTGTCCTTGACATCGGCCTCTTGCATGCGCTCGCGTTCCTCCAGCTCCCAGCGCTGTGCCTGCGTCCTGGCATCGCCTTGCTGGTTGAACGCTTCCTCGTCCTGCAGCTCGTACAAAGCGTGCGCTTCGCCGTCCTCGTCAAAGACGAGCTTCTCGCCGATCCCGCGCTTTCCAGCCAACGCCAACGCTTTCTTGCTCTGACCCATAGCCAGCTTGCGCTTGGACAAATTCTCGGTGGCGTCCGCTTTGGCTTGCTCCATGCTGACGGGCAGATCATCTCCGCCACCGATACCGTACGCATCTCCGTCATCCTCGAGCGCGTGATCAGCTCGCTTGAGCGTCAGGAAGTCGTCGCCAGCATCTACACTGGTAGCCGTGATGCTTGCCTTGGATGTCAGCTTTGGCTTTCGGAGCGCCCCCGCGGTATCGTCGTCGCTGTCGTTATCGCTCGACTCCTCCGAATCCGAAGTGTCACTGCCGATGAGGCGATCCTCCTTGCGTTGCCCTGCGGAGCGGCCGTAACGAGTCTCCTCATTGCCTTCTTCATCGCCATCGTCCGAAGTGGCATCAGAATCTGAATCGTCCCCGCTCGCGTCCGAACCGTCACTGCTCGCCGCCGAGGAGTCATCGTCGGCGATAAGTTTGGCGTAGTGCTCGCTGAGAATGTCCTGATTCTTGCGTTCGAACATGCGGTCGTACTTGGTGCGCACCTTGCCGTTCTTGTCTGTGCCTTCGTCCGAGTCGCTTCCATCTTCTTTGCCACTGTTGCCAGTCTGTTCAGCAGCCTTGTAAGCGGCAGCCTTCTTCGCCTTGGCTGCTTCTTTGACGAACTTGACTTTGGGTGCACCTGGCAGACCCAGGGAGGCCGCGAAGGGTTCCAGCGGCAAAGCTGTGACATCGAAGATATCCTTGTTCTTCTGCAGATGGATGGAGCGGACGTAAGAGACGAAAGCCTTCTGCGCAAGATGCTTGATCTGAGGCTCTTGGAACGCAAAGGCTTGCAGTTGGTTCTGAATGCTCTGCGTCTTGCTCTCCTTGGGCTTGATGCGACCGATGGGGATGTTCTTGGTAGCCAATGCTTCGAGGATGCCCTTCTCTTCGCTAGGAAGGACGAAGAGCAGACTGTTACCCTTGGCAGTGTATCGAGCGGTTCGGCCAACGCGGTGGATGTAGGTGTCGACGTCCTCCGGAACGTCGAGCTGTATGACCCAGTCGACAGCGGGAAAGTCAAGACCGCGCGCAGCAATGTCGGTGGCGAACAAGAGGGCGTGCTGCGTCTTTGTGAATTGCGTGAAGATCTGCAGACGCTTGGCCTGCTTCTGTTTTCCGTGCAGCGCCATGAGACTGACACCTGGTCGCAGCTTGCAGAACGTTTCGTGAGCGAATTGGACCTGACGGCACGAGCTCATAAAGACGAGCGCCTTGCATTTGGTGTGAGTGCGAATGAAGGAGTAGAGCAGGTCGAGCTTCTTTTCTAGCTCGACAAGCATGTAATGCTGCTCCAGGCCTCGCGGCGTGGAGCCTTCGTTCTCGGGCTCGCGGACAGCCACGTACTCGGGATCTTGCAGCGACAGTCTTGCCAGATCCTTGACACGCTTGGTCTGTGTTGCGGAGAAGAGCATGGTCTGGCGGTCACGAGGAAGGTTCTCGACGATTGCGTTGAGAGTGCGCGAGAAGCCCATGTCAAGAATGCGATCCGCCTCGTCCAGGACCAGTACTTGGAGATTGGACGTGTCGAAGCCAAGGGTCTGGTCCATGTGCTGCAAAAGCCGACCTGGTGTCGCGACCAGAATGTTCATGCGTGACAAGCGGTCCTTCTCCTGCTTGACATCCTTGCCACCGATGACGAGACCCGCCGAGAAGGTGTGATAGGGTCCAACCTTGCGGAGAACCTCGAAGATCTGAATGGCCAGCTCTCGGGTTGGCGAGATGATCAGCCCGCCAAGACCGTCAGAGGGACCCCACTTCTTTCGAAATAGAAGCTCAAGGACTGGTATCAAAAACGCCAACGTCTTTCCAGACCCTGTCCTCGCTGCTCCCAGAACGTCCTTGCCCTTGAGCGACAGGGGGAGGGATTTGGCCTGAATGTCGGTCATGTCGGTATAGCCTGCCTTCTTGAGTCCTCTTCGTGTGCGATCGGACAGTGGCAGCTGAGCGAAGTGCTTCAACTCACCCGATGCTACGAAGCTACTTGCGCCCTGTTCGAGCTGAGCAATCTCGGCATCTTCGGTCTGCCTCTTGAGTTTTCGAGCATTCTTGGAGCGCGACTTGAGATGAGGTGCAGCGCCACCCTTCTTCCTTTTCGTAGATCCCTCCGCGGCTGAAGCTGGCGGCATCTTGGCGAGGACGAATCGATCGAGCGTGTCTGATTCGATAGCTTTGACGAAGTTGAGTGAAGGAAGGTAGCGAGGAGGGGAAGACGATTCCAGAAGAAGAAAAGTGGCTCAGCAGCAGCGCCGTGAAATTTCTCCAAAAAGTTGGCAGCGCGCACGTGACTTGTTGCACCGACTTCCGAGCTTTCTGCTGGCCAAGCCCACTTGAACCCGTCAAGCTCGAACCGTCTTAGCCTCCTTCTCACACATATATGTCGCTACCGGTTAAGACCGCGAGCACGAGGGTCACTCGCCTTTGAACGCCTCATGATCTCGCTTTCACCTGCGTCCTGATGGGCTCGTAAGTCACGGCCGCACAGCTAGGAGTTACAATCGTGCTCGCCGTCTGGCTGGTCGTCTACTACGACGAAAGGTGCCAGCGCGTCTTCAAGAAGCCATAGTCTCCAAGCATCACGCTATCGTCAAGCCAACGTCTCGCAAGGTTGAAATAGCCGATACTTATTCACAGCGCTGGTCGATCAGGAACCCATCCTCGATGTCTAGCTGAGTCAAGCGGGCCTCCTGCCCAACCACAACGTTCTGCTTCCCGAAAGCGCTGCTGCTCTGGCCACACGCGCTCAAACAAACGGACAAGGCAACATGTCACGACTTCATCAGTCGCTCGGTGCACTTCGTCGCACTGTGTCGATCGATTTGCAGGCTCAAGCGTCCAGCTCAGCTCTCAGAGCCCGTACCTCAGCACACCGTCCAACTGCTGTGCTTGACTTCCTCGCTCCCAGCCTCTGCGATCGTTCCGTGGATGCTCGCCGGTACAATGTCTCCATCGCTCGAGTGGTCTTGGAGCATTCAGACTTATCTGAAACGACAGACGATGTATCGGGTTCTTCGACATCATCAGCCACGCCAAGATATGCACATGCCAGCTCGCATCGACGACCTCTCTCCACAGCACGCCGCACAGACGTCTCCGACTTCTCGACCTTCTTTGATGCGGATGTCCCAACCACCTCGGCTTCCACAACTGGCAGACCCACACCTTTGCTCGACGGTCGCCGGATCGAGGAGGCCGGTGCTATTGATGCTAGAATCAACGCTGCAGAAGATGCGGAGGAGCTTGAGTTGGTAGCGAAGCAGATCTATCGAAGCGATGGTCTGCGAGCCGAACGTGCGCGGGCGCGTGCGGTACAGATCAGTGCTGAAGGACGAGATGGCCATGCACCAGCGATGCTCAGGCTTCACGAGCACTTGATCTTCTCTCTACTCGGAGCATCCCTTCCCCTCGCCGAGCGTATCGGCCATACTCACCTCGCTTTCATGCACAAGCTCGTTGCCGACTACTTGTGGCGGGCACACGCGTGCAGTTCTCATGGTGGCCTTTCGGCGGAGTTTCTGTCCGGCCTGACGAACGAGTTTGGCTCCACCTCGACAGTCGCGCTGCTTGACCGGCTCTTGATCATCGTCAAACAGCGCGTGGCGCAGTTTGATCTAGATTCAGCTGCTGCGATGGAAGAAGCAGGCAGCATTTTCTCTGCGTCGCACGCCCTTCAGCAGCGTCAAGTATGGTCACGCACGCTGCTCAAGCTAATGCAGGCTTACTCCTGCAAAGGCCGTTCGCACTCGGTCACAGCTTGCTTCCAAATCTTGACGGAACACTCGCTGCCCATCAATGTCCTTCATCATCAGCTCCGCCTCATCTCCTGGTTCCGACAGTATACCCACCACCTTTCTGCCGAATCGGGTCAAGCCGACATCGAAAGCGAGTCTCTTCTGATTCAGACTCGGGTGCTGGAGACCCTTGCTTCTATGAAAGCCGACGACATACATCTCGATGATACGTTTCTCGCCACCGTCGTCTCCGGGCTCAGCGCACCCCTTCGCAATCCCTTGGCCGCGCTCACCTCTGTGGAACACAAAAAGCTCACTCGCAAGCTCGTTCGCTCCGTGTTCCGACGCTATGCCGCGACTGCCACCGGTAAGGGGCGCGGCAGCCTGCCTCGAGCCTTGTCGGCCTTGATCGCTGCCGAGATCGATACCCTGCAAGTGATTCCCGAACACGAAGCCGCCTTGCGGGCCAACAGTGTCGATCGCATCCAAACCTCGATCGGCCAGCTCGACGCTGCATCTGCTCCCGAGGCGTTTCCCATCGCAGGCACGTTGGACAAGCAACCTCTCTCAGAATCACAACTAGCTGGCGTCTGTCTGAGGCTCCGCTTGCATGCTGCTCTTGGCGATATGGACCGAGCGATGGCCGAGCTTCGTCGGTTGCTCTCAGTTGAGGCTGTACCTGGACCAAACGAGGCAACCGAAAACCACTACGAGCTGGTCCTCAAGCAGCGCGGCGGCGTCATTTCCCTCTTCTCGGCGGCCATGCAACGGCGCGAAGAGCACAAAGGGCAGGACGCCGGTTACGAGGTTCTCAAAGCCGCAATCTCGTCGAGATGGTTCGTGCGAGTCTGGACTGGAAGGGCTCTTCCGTCGAATCCCTCGCTGGATCTCGATCCCGAAGACTACGAGGGTGAGGCAACGATCCTGCGACTTTGGAAGAGGTGGATGCATGCGTGGTCCATCGACTACTGGACGGAGGGGTCTAAGACTGGTCCTCGCATTGACGATGGGGTTCCTGACGCATTGGACGGGCGGCCCAAGTACCACACATTTGCCGGCAGCTATCCGTGGCAGACGCTCAAACGCGGTCTCAAGCTGCTCAACCTGACCATGGATCAGTACGAGGCGTTCTACTCTGGCCGGCCGCTGCTTGCACCAAGCCGATCTTCGCCCCGTGACGATCCAGATCCTACCTCGGTTCACCTTGCCTCGATTGACTACACGCTCGATACGAAACCCCCTCGGTACATCGCGCAATTCGCGTGTCTATTCAACGAGCGCAACATGCTCGACAACATCGTCTACCTCTGCCTTCACGGAGGTCGAACGCCCAAAGGCGAGACGATGGCGACGCACGTGCAGCGTCGGCTCTCGCTCCTTCTGCGCACGCTCACGCGAGTCCACGTCTCCGCGCGGACATGGGAGCACGTCGAAGCGTCCATGCTGCGGCACCTCGCCGAGATCCCATGCGAGGTGCTGCCCACCGAGCTGGTCAGGCCCACCATGGAGGCCATCGAACAGCGAAAGCGCACTGCACTGTTGCGCAACAGAGATCTTGTCAGGACTCTGCAAGATCAATCTGGTGCGCAGGACCCTCCTGAAACAGGAACCATCTTTGTCCTCCGACAGATGCTCAAGCAACGCGCCCTCCAAAAAGCTCAGTCCGACACGAAGCCGCAAGCCGCTCTCACCCATTAGACCCTCACACATCGCATCCAATGATAATCACATGTCGTTTGCATCCATACACCTTACAGCTCGACATGAACCTTCTTCGCCGCGCCCCTAACTGCATCCTTGACATCCTCGATCACGTCCTCGACCGTCTCTGCGCGTGGCGTAGCACCGACCGCGCTAGCAACAGATCGACTGGCTTTGCTGACCACGCTACTGCCGGACGCGGCTACCTCGCTCAGCTTGTCCTGCACATCCTCGAGTCGGTCCGCAAACGTTTCGGGCGAGGGGGAGGCGCCGACTGCGGACGCTACCGAGCGCGAAGCCGCCGAGGCGAGGGACGACGCTGATGACGCGCCGGACTCTGCTGCTGAACCTGCATTGTTCAGTGCTGAGCTCGCGGACTTGGACGCGACAGATGCAGCAGACGATACCGAGGATGCACCAGATTGAGCTGCGGATGAGACCGAGCGCGGCACCACCGAGGCAGCAGACGACGCGGACGAGACACCCGACTGAGCCGCCGCACCAGCATTGTTGAGCGCCGAGCTGGCGGACTTGGACGCCACCGATGCTGCCGATGACGCAGATGAAGCCCCTGACTGAGCAGCCGAGCCGACGTTGCTCGCAACAGACCCGGCTGAGCGCGAAACGACGGACGCAGCTGAGCTCACAGACGAAGCTCCCGACTGAACGGCGTCGCCGACGTTGCCAGCGGCAGATCCGGCGGCGCTCGATACAACGGACGCCGCTGAGGATGCTGACGAAGCAGCCGATCGAGCTGCCTGCCCGACCCGGCTGGTGGCCGCTTCGGCGGTATCTTTCGCAGCTTCGATGTAGTCCTCTGCTGTCTCGGGCGTGGGCGATGCACCGACGGCGGAGGCGACACTGCGACTGGCCTGGTGTGCGACCGAGGAAGCGGATGAAGCGACCGAAGCAGCTGCGTCCGAGGCCGAGCTCGCCGCAGCCCGCACATTCGCCGCCACTCCACCGGCCGCGTCAGCCACGGGCGACGACGAAGCTCCAACCGCCGAGACGACACTGCTGCTCGCCTTTGCAGCTGCGGAAGAAGCAGAGCTGCTCGCAGCAGCAGCCTTGGCGTTAAAACTGCTGACATAGTCATCGAACGACGAACCGGATCCAGTGCCGGAAGCAACGTACGCCTTGGCCCGAGCAAAGAATCCCTCGTCCACCACCTCGCCCAGACCCATCTTGCGTCGAGCCGACCCGACAGCCGCCAGCATGCCGGCAGTAGCATCGGTGCTGATGCGGTTCGCCTGCTCCGCCAGCCGATCGGTGATATCCGAGATCTTGGCGGCGACACCATCACCCGCGAGCTCGGCAAGCGCGCCGTCGCAGTAGGCGATGAGCTCCTTTCTCGCCGAGCTGTGCAGCTTGTCAGTCCAGGCGCGGAGTGACTTAATCTCCTTCTGCATACCGGGTGCCTCTTTGCGAAGGTCAACAGCGCCACTCGACTTGCTAACCGCCTTCTTACCGCTCTGGACCGCGGAAAGCTCCTCGGAAAACAGAGCGGCTCGCTTGCGAACACCCATGTCCCACCCATGCCACTCGTCCATGGTAGCGGAGAACTTGGTGTTGCGCATGATCTCGTCGTAGGCATCCTTGGCGGCGGAAGCGTAGCGACGGACTTCGGCACTGCTCGCCTCGGTGGTCTGACGTTCCTGCTGCAGGAGCTCCTCGTAGTAGGCTGCGATCTGCGCCTTGGTTTCCTGACCAGCACGGTCGAACTTGGCCAGCTGCTGGTCGACCAGCTTGTTGCCCTCATCGAGTTTCTTCTTGATGTCCTTCTCGGTGTCGCCAGATCGGGTCGAGATCTTGCGCAGACCTCGCTCGACGCGGTTGAGGATCAAGGCGACCGTATCTTCGACGAAGGCCTCGTTGATAAGACCGAAGCGGTCGGGGAGATCGGTGAGACGGGTGTTTCGAAGCTCGGCGATGCGCGTGACAGCCAGTTGGTACTCTTTCTCGATGAGGTCGGTCATGCCGGTCTCCCACACCTCGAGCAGATCTTTGACCTTTTGCTCCTCGGCTTCGAGCTCAGCGTCGAGCGTGGCTGCTTTGACCGAGTCGGTCTCGTCGGCAGTCGCGCTGTCGTAAACCGATTCCTTGGCCTGCTTGAGACGGTCAAGGAGGGAAGGGTCGTCGCGAGCCTTGATGGCTTCCTGCTCCGCCTGCTTGACAGCCTGCTGAGCGTGCTTGTCCGCTTCCTTGGCAGTTTGCTTGGCCTCTTGCTGAGCCGCCTTGATGGCGTCCGACCCAAGCCAGTGAGCTTTGCGCTCGTACACCTTGGCGAGCAAGCGATCCAGCTGAGGTCGGACGTAGAGGCTGTAGAATCGGCGCAGAGCGGGGCTGACATGGTTGACCAGGAAGCTATAGACCTGCTTGATGGTCTGGATGACGCGAGGGTGCACCTTGTCCATGTAGAAGGCGTACGAGACCGAGGACGACTGCAGACTGTACTGATACGCCTGATCAACGTACGGCGAGACATCGCGCTGGTAGATGTCGTGGTACGGCTTGACAGCCTTGTGAACGGTGTTGATGTGAGGCTGGACGTTCTTCTTGTGGTACTGGTGAGCCTGTTGGAGATAAGGGTCGATCTGCTTGTGGGCGCGCTTGAGGGCACGGCGTCGAGCAGGATCGATGCGCTTCTTCCACAGCAGACGCCCGCGCTTGTCTGCCTCGCGGTAGATAGGGCGAGAGACCTTGTGAGCACGCTTGATCCAAGGCTTGGCAGCCTTGATCACGGGACGGGTATACGGGTCTGCCTTTTGCTGAGCCAGGTGGTAGTATGGCTTGACGATGGGTACGATCTGATCGCGAGCCTGGGCCAGATTGCGACAGACGGGACGAGCATCTTTGGCCGAGTAGTCGAAGCGGAAGGGACGCGAGGGGCAGGTCCACACTGCAGCATAGATCAGGTAAAAGATGGTGACGCGGCTCGCAAAGGAGATGAGCCAGCCGGTGAAGCTTCGCGACGGCTTTGACTTGACTCTCGCTCTGCTCTTGCGGGTAAGTTGCCCGGGCTTGTCATCGACGGGGAAGCGGACTGGAGGGGTTGGAACGGAAGCCCGACCGCTGGCCTTTGGCTTGATTTCGCCTTGCTTTGCCGCCATAGCGATTAACGCTCGCTGTTGGAGTTCTGTGAGGGCGAGTTGATCAAGCTCGCGGACGGCAGATGCAGTCGTTTGATATACGAACGGAGATGTGGTTGAATGAATGGATGGAGGAAGGGAAGAAGGATGCCGAATTGAGTGGTCAGTGCTGAGTGTTTTCCACAAGCAGCGAGAGCCGATTGCTGACTTTTATTCACGCGTGTCAAGTCTTCTTCCGGCCACGACGTCACGATACGCCAGACCGAAAGCTGAAAGCGACTTTTCAAATTTGTTAGACCTCTAATACGACTGCTCAGAAAAAAAGAGGCGGGATCGTCAGCGCAGATGCAGGGTCTGTCTCAAAAAGAGGGTTGAGAGTCGGTGCGCCGCTTCTTCTTTTTGACCATGAAGCTCTCCATGCTCGTTTTTCCGCGGGCTTCCTGCATCTCGTGACCGCCTTTTTCAACAACAGAGCGCACAAGCCTCGCCGCTCTTTCGCTCGTTTCTTCCATCCATCATCTCAACGGCGACACGCTACCTTCCGAGCGGATTCTTTTGCTCGATTTAGCATCTCGTCAGCATCGAGCCCAGGACGCTGCACGGAACTCGTACACCAACAGCACACCACCAAGCGTAGGTCATCCGCATCACACGACACTCGAAAGCGTCGACCACGACTTCCGACGAAACACGACCTTCACAGCCGAGAAGCACAACGTCGATCATTCTTCCTACAGCTGCCACATTGGGACAATGGCGGTGGTCGCAGCCCTTTCCAGCAATAAGCTGGCCGGCTCGACACCCATGCCTCGCGCACTGCGCTCTAGTCCACGCAAAAGGATTCCATCGCCCTCGCCGCAGGCGCCCAAGTCGAAGAAGCCACGAGCAGAACCAGTCGACGAATCCGAGCTCGACTGTGCAGCTTGCCCAGCTCCTGGTCAGCCCGCTCCCATCCCAGGCAAAGGTGCTGCCTGCGACCGCGAAACTTGGATCTCCTGCACACATTGCAAGACCTGGTTTCACTGCATCTGCATCGCACTCGAAAATCCGGACGACTTTAGCAAGTGGTACTGCCAGCCATGCATCACTCGATCCAAAGAAGCCTTTGAATCCGGCACAAGCACCTCGCGTGCTCCCTTCACCAACGTCACTCGCCCACCTCGTCGAAAGTCGGATCGCGCCAAACTGGAGGTCGATTATGCTGCTATTCAAGAAGGCATCCCTGCCGACCCGCTCGGTCGCTGGAAAAACTTCCTCAACACATATGACTTTGAGCCCGACAACTTTCGCAGGATGGAGGGGCCAGAGTGGACGATCGACTGGCTCATGAACGACGAGACCGCCCTCAGACAGCCCGTTCTCGTGCCAGCGCCAGCTGATCAGTCTGTCAAAGCGGTCAATGGCTCTGTCAAGACCGAAGCGGATGCATCAGGACCGCTTCGAGGGAGGATAGCGAACAAAAATGGACGACCTGCGCCGCGCCATACCTCGATCCCCGGCATGGTCGTACCGCCATCCGAGATGACCATCTTTGACGTTGCGGACATTATCGGTCACGACACTCCTGTCGAGGTCATCGACGTCGCCTCTCAGTCCTCCTCCAAAGCCTCATGGACTATCTCCGAGTGGGCCGAGTACTTTGACACACCCAAGGAGAAGAAGAAGAAGACGCTCAATGTCATCTCGCTCGAAGTCACCGGCACACCCATGCAGGCGTACGTCGAGGCGCCGCAGCTCGTCCGCGACCTAGATTGGGTGACACGCGACTGGCCACAAGAGCGCCGAGATCCGTCGTGTGCCGACAACAGCTGGCCCAAAGTGCAACGCTACGTGCTTATGGGCGTGGAAGGAGCCTACTCGGACTGGCACATCGACTTTGCCGGCAGCAGCGTTTATTATCATGTCATCTGGGGACAGAAGACGTTCCTCTTCGCCCCACCTACGCCACGCAACTTAGCCGCGTACAAAGCATGGTGCAGCAGCACGCGACAGGACTTTGACTGGCTCGGAGACCACCTGCACAGCCTCACGCGCGTCGACGTCCGACCAGGCGAGACCATGCTGATCCCTTCTGGCTGGTTGCACTGCGTCTATACACCCAAGAACACGCTGGTGGTGGGAGGCAACTTTTTGACCGACTGGAACGTCGCGACGCAGTGGAAGCTGGTTGAGATCGAAGAGGCCACCAAAGTGCCCCGCAAGTTCCGCTTCCCGCATCTCAAGCGACTCAGCTGGTTTGTCGGCAAGGGCTGGAACGATCGATTGGAGCCGCTCGATGCTAGCGAGCAGGGTGCAAAGGGCGAAGACGGAGCTGACATCGAAAGGGAGGCAGACGTCGCAGATTTGGTCGATGTGGTGCCACCATTGAAGGTGGTCAACAACATCGAGCTGGTTTATCAGTCCCTCAGCGACGATCTCGAGCTGATCCAAGATCCTTACATCGCGGAGAGCGGGGATGAGCGGACGGTCAAGCAGCAAAAGGCGGCTCGCGAGGCCATCCCGGTCCAGTATGTCGGACATCTGCCAAAGGCAGAGGCCATGCTCGCGACACTACGAGGGCGGCTCGACAAGGCCAAAGCACTCGCTGACTCGGTTCACAAGGAGCGCGTCCGTCTCACAAAAGAAGCTCGAGGAGGGAAGAAGGGAGCGACTCACGGATCGGCCACGAAGAAGCGCAAGGTCCGCAAGTAGATCGGGTGCGCTTTACGAGCAAGGCCGCGAGGGAGAGCCGACAGACGAGCAACGACGGGAGATCGCACAGGACCGATCCGAGATCGGGCAAGGTCGAAGGGTCGAAGAGATAAGATTAGCTTGGTTCAGCTAGCGTGGCTCTGCCGGTGCTTATCTGCTATCAACCCCACACGAGCCGGCGAGCTTGACGTCACATGGCTCAAGGTGGGCGCCGAGGATGAAGCGATCCGTTATCTGCTCTTTTGCCTCGGTCGCCTTATCTCGTGCTCCTCCCCTCATCGAGATTGGTTCATGCTTCCGTTCCGGACGATCGACTGCCGATAAGACAATGCGACTTCAGAATGCGTGCCGTTCATGCGCATGCTCGTGGCGCTGACAGCTGCCTCTCAGACTTTGCGTATGCTTAGCAGCAGGTTGCTTTCCCGCCCTTGCTCAGGTTGCCATCTGACCTTTCGATGGCAGCGCCTCTCTTCGGACAGGTGGATGATGTCAGGAGGTGCGCCTTTGATGCAATCACACATTTCATGCATGCCCCATCTTCCCCACTTTCCGTTCCGTCCTCTCTGTGCTCCCGACCATAGCCAGGTAGGATGTAGGCGACGATGACCTTTCTGTGACAGCTTCGGATGGTGTTGAAGCTCGAATTGCTATCTTGAGGCCTGTCGCGCCGGCTCTCTCTTATCTCTGCCGCCGGGTGTGCGTATTTCGTACGAGAGAGAATTCTGATTTTGCGACCCGCCAATCCGCACCCTAGCAACTGCAGCTTCGTTCAACGGACTCGGTCTCTGTCGGCCACCGACTGCATCCGCCTCGCGCCGAGGCAGTTTTCTCCCGCTTCTTGCGCGCCCGACTCTAGCATCGAGCCATTGAGCTTATGCGATCCACGCCGGCAAACTCGGCATGATGAGATTCCGGGGTGGACAAGTAACCAATGGCAATGCTGAAAAGGGCATAAGCGGACCAAGCCAAGCAGCTTTTGCAAAAGCGAGCCGAGCTGGATCGAACGCGAACAGAACGCGCAGCTGCAGGGGCGCAGGAAGGTGCTTGGGCGAAGATAAAGAAGCGCGTCTTGTGATTGGCTGAGGAGCGTTCTTATCACTGCGAGAACGCGCGGAGCATTTTTTTGGTTGGCTTTCCGTCCGCCGCCCGACCTACTGCGTGGCAAAAAAGGTGGGCGGGCTTGCGTCGCATTTGGTGCGTCGACATGAAAGATAAGCGGCGACACCCAGCAGGCAGGCTCGACACGATCTAAATCGACGCTTTCTGCCCGCGACCCTTCCTCCCTCGCTGCCTCCTCTCCCCACGCCCCGGCGATGGACTGCCATCCGCTCTCGACCTCGTGTGATGTGAGAGTCTCGATAATCATGCCCAGCTTCTGTTCCGTAGCGAGCTCCCCCTCCGATCCCATCAAAGAGTAGGAGCCCGAAACCCAAAAGTCTTGGCTCCTCGCTTGAGAGATAAGCATTTCACGATCACCTTGCTCCTGGTGCTCCCCCTCGCTGACCTTGAGGGTGGACACCGACCGTCGACTTATCGGCCTGCGATTGCCAAGACAATGACGAGGGGTCATTTCACGAGCCTTTCTCCTTTCCCGACTGTACGGCGGCGATCCGTCAAAGGAGCATCGATGCGCTATGAGAGCAGAGGAAAGCCTTGGCATCTCTCGAAAATACGCACAATGGCACGCTCGCGTGAGTCGCAGTGCAAGCGGGTCCGTTGGTGTCAGAATGCGGCTTCCGCTGTCGACGATGGGGATCTGACCGACGGTCTTGGCTCTTTCAAGGCATTCATGGGGTCATGCTCGTGGCAGCCACGATTCTTGTTGACATCCGTCAGATCTGGAAGCTAAGATCTCAGCTCGTCCAAGCTCAAGCTACAAATGCCAAACAGGCCGGTTCGAAGTCTCGAACTCTAAGCCTGAGCTAAGGAACAAGGTACGAACGGGATGTGACCCACGAGGCTGGGTTTGGTGTTGTTTCTCGGATCCTGACGGCTCTACCGTATGCAGTCAGAGTGCTGTAGACTGTTGGACAAGCGATCGAGATTCGATTCCAACGTCGATTTTGATTTTATTTTTTATTTTTCAGCAGGAGGAGAGCGAGGCACATGCATGAAAGCAATCAAACAAATTCTTGCTTGCGTCGACATTGGCCTGGCAGCTGGGCAGGTGGGCGCGGGTGGGTTTTATGTGTGTTGTGATGCATTCGTGTGCATCTCCTGAGAATTCGCTCGCTTTGTCTCGTGCAGTGTTGACCGTCCAAGATGGCTTTCAAATCAGACTCTTTCGCTCGCCTTTTGTCTCGGTGAAACAAAGATCATCTCTGCCCTCTTGCAGCGGGGAAAGGGCTCGCTCTTCGCATCGCATCGCAGCCTCTTGCAGACCAACATCAAACAAGAGTGTGCAGTACCAAGACATCTTACCTCGCCAAAGGGAAAAAAGTTTGGTGTTCAGCCCAGCCCTGACAGCCCTCGTCCCAACCTCGCTTCGACGCTGTAATCTATCCAGCCTCTCATTCGTTCTTCACAATCAGCAATCTGCGCTCCATCGGCGACTCCATTGACCGTACAATCTCCTGCCTAGCATCGGCGGCTCCCTCGGAGTCTGACGGAAGTGTCTTGGCTCGACTCTCCAACACCGCTCAAGTCGGTTCCCCTTATAGTCACCCTGATCTCGTCTCGCATCCCCTCCTTCATCTCCCACCTATCTTCACCTCCCTCCCGTCATCCATCGTTGTCCCGTTCCTTCGGACTCGATATCACGCTCGCACTCGTCGCTACCGATCGAGCCGCAAGCAACCTGCATTCGTCGCAGTACCTTCCTCCGCCCCTTCTTCTCGACTCGCAAAGTCGTTGACCCCGGAGCTGTCTCCCACCGTCCAACCCTAGCACCCATCCTCCCTGTGATCGCTCCGATTTCTCGCCTAAAATGGTCAACATCACCTATGGCGTCCTGAGCGCCCCCGACGGAACCGTCGCTGGCTCGTCCAACACGCTCCCTCTCGGAACTGACATCATCGTCACCTACGGCCCCAACAACGACATGGTCGCCTCCTACTCGCCCGGTGACATCTCCTGGGTCCTCACCTGCACCGCCCTCGTCTGGCTCATGATTCCCGGTCTCGGCTACCTCTACTCGGGTCTCGCCCGCAGAAAGAACGCGCTGCACCTTCTCCTCTTGACCCTCGCTGCCCTCGCCGTCGTCTCGTTCCAGTGGTTCTTCTGGGGCTACTCGCTCGCCTTCTCTCAGACCTCGGGCGCTTTCCTCGGCAACCTCCGCAACTTTGGCTACATGGGCGTTCTCGAGAACCCCGTCCCCCAGGCTTACAACAAGGTCCCCGAGATCGTCTACGCCATCTACCAGTGCATGTTTGCCAACCTCGTCCCCGCCATTGCCATCGGTGCCGCCTGTGAGCGCGGTCGTGTCTGGCCTTTCCTCATCTTCACCTTCGTCTGGACCACGCTCGTCTACGACGTGATCGCCTGCTGGGTGTGGAACCCCACCGGTTGGGCGTTCAAGTGGGGTGTCCTCGACTACGCCGGTGGTGGACCCGTCGAGATCAACTCGGGTATCACCGGTCTCGTCATCTCGTACTACCTCGGCCCTCGTCACGGCTACGGCACTGAGCGTCTCCTCTTCAAGCCCCACAACGTGTCCTACATCTTCCTCGGCACCGCCTTCCTCTGGTTCGGTTGGCTCGGTTTCAACGGTGGCTCCGTCTTTGCTGCCAACCTTCGTGCTGCTATGGCCATCTCCACCACCAACCTCGCCGCCTCGGGTGCTGGTCTCACTTGGATGTTCCTCGACTGGCGTCTGGAGCGCAAGTGGTCCGTGGTTGGTTTCTGCACGGGTGCCATTGCTGGTCTCGTTGCCATCACTCCTGCTGCCGGTTTCGTCGGTATGCCCGCCGGTCTGCTCATCGGTGTCGTCGCCGCGGCCGCGTCCAACTTTGCCACCGTCCTCAAGGGCCCCATGCGTGTTGACGACGTGATGGACATTTTCTCCGTCCACGCTCTCGCCGGCATTGTCGGAACCCTCATGACCGGCATCTTCACCCAGGCCTCGGTCGCCAACAACGACGGCAACACGGTCATCACCGGCGGCTGGCTCGATGGCAACTGGATCCAGCTCGCTTACCAGCTTGCTTACTGTGTCGCCGTCACCTCGTGGTGTGGTGGTGTCACTTTCGCCATCATGTTCGTCATCGACCACACGCCTTTCATCGGTCCCTTCCGTTCGAGCGAGATGGGCGAGGTTGTGGGTATGGACGAGGACCAGTGTGGCGAGTGGGCCTACGACTACGCCTTCATCAACCGCGACCTTGAGGGCAACTACAACCCCACCCACGGCCAGAAGCTCGATATCAACGAGAAGATGCCCAACGTCCACCACACCTCTTCGCTCGGTTCGGATAGCACCCCGGACCAGTCGTCCAATGTGCTCGCTGACAAACAAGCCGCGTCCCGTGGCAATGCCCACGCTCAGGATGCAGAGGTCGCCACGCCAACCGAAGTCGAACAGATGAAGGAGGCCGCTCACACCTCGTGATCTCATGAAAACGAAATGTATATAATGCCCGCTTTACGGTGCGCTTCTTTGCAGGATTTGTCTGTATAATCTTATTTAGGTCATGACACGTCTCGAGTGTTTGTGTGAGAGTTCGTTGGATGTGGGCTGGAGTGGTGGGTTGTGACTGATGCGCCGGTGGCTGGATCTTGGAGCACCAGGCAGCCTCGGTGAATTCTCCGTCTGGTCTTGGCTGCCTTCCGCCAAGATCGACGAAACCTCATCTGATGGGATCTGCGAAGGCCCACCGCCTTCCTCGCCTCATCTGCACAAGCCCACCTTGAGCTGCTGGCAACAATACCGCTGAGTCCCGAGGCCATTGCATTTCGGCCTCAATTGCAAACCCCACTTGATCGGCGACCATCCTCGCTGTTGATTGTGCACTTCATCACCATGACAAAGCGATTTGTTCGGGAAGAAACCGCTGGCGATGAGGCTCGACAGAAGCCCGCCATGCCTCTGTTCTCTATCACGATTCGAAATTCAAACTCTCATTGGCAACCGCGATGGGAGAGCCGAAAGTCATCCGACATCGAACGTCGCCTTTGCTCGCTTCGCCTTCCTCGCGAGACCTCAGGGAGCGTGATTCCCCACCTTGACGTCTTTCATTTGGTTCATGCTCCGGAAGGAGTGTTGGCGTTCGCTGGCCTTTCAAATCCCGCGGCATCGACAATGACGGGACGAAGAGGTCGGGCTTGGACGAGGGCCTTGTCCTTCGACCATCATCCGACGTTGCTATTGTCTCCCGACCTGATGCGCTCCAAATCCGCACGGACAGCCTCCGCCTCCTCCTCTGAGAGCAACTTCAGCAGCCCGCTCGGGAACAACAGCCACGATTTCGCGTCCATCCTCGGTGACGTATACCAGGTCGCCGTCGTGGAGCGCCGCCTTTTCGGATGGGCTTCGGACGCCGACCTCGGTCTCTGGCTTCGCTACCTCGCCTGTCTCGCCTCGTTTCCTCATCGACCCTCAAACCGACGGCGTTCTGACGCCTACGACAACAGGTGCGGTATCGGAGGTGCACATGGACCCCGACTCGCACATCGGATCAGCACGCTTCAGACCAAGAAACCTTCTTCTTAGCAACTCGAACTGCCTGCAGGCAACCCAGACTGTCTCGGGTCTGTCAAGATCAAGATCAACACCCATGCTCAGCGCCGAACACGCACGAGCGTCCAGATTCGCAAGGCTGCAAAAGGCCGACAGGGGTGTGTCCGAGACGATGTCTTCGCCGAGCTCGCCCGGCAGAGCTTGTTCGACACCCATCAGGCCTCTTCGGATTGGGGAGGGCTCCAAAATGTCGACGCAAGATTCAGTGTGGGTCGCCGATGCCTCTTGTGGCGATTTGACGCTATCCGGCGACGAGGGTGTGTCGATGCTGGAACAAAGGCCAGCAAGCATCCGTACGCGCAGCTATGAACGCCTCCAGCCGCAGCTTAGCCACTCGCGGTCACAAGATCACTCCGTGGTGGCCGTTGACGACGACGACGAGGCACGACACGTGTCGACACAACTTTCGCTCGCAGTCTGCCCTGATGCCCTCGTCTCATCACCTCAGCCACCAGGAGAGGCCCAGCCCCTCATCGGAGCGCACCTGAGACGGAAGAAGTCTCGTCAGTCAGCACGTCCAACGACGGTCGACACGCAGTCGTCGATCGAGCTGATCGCATGGCAAGTGCAGACGCATGCTAGCGGGGACACGTCGGTCTCGGACGAGATCTTCCGTCCTGTCAGCGTGATTCGGAGTAGCTACACACGGGATACGCCTCTGTTCGGGTCCTTTGCGAGGTTGGCGGGGACAGAACCGCTGATGCCGACAACACCGCTCAGAAGCGGACTCGATCTGGTCGCGGACAAAGTGCGCCCTGCGTCGGCGGGGGCGGCGGGGTCCAGGCAGAGTCTGCTCGACTTCTCCTTCCCCTTGCCGCCCAGTGGAGACCCTTCACGGCGTGTGCAGTCGGCACACGGACGTCTTCCACCCGATGTTATCGGCAGGCAGTTATCGGACGTCTGCCCATGGCAGCATCTTGACAGCCCCTCGATTGACCCTCTGCCATCTTGGCTTCAGCTCGATCAATTCCGGGCTAACGGCTACGATGCTCTTCAGCACCAACGCAGTTCGACGATCGACAGCATCACTCTTCACCCTCGCACCACTTCGATCCGTCACCGACCGCACAGTTCTGATCCACAGCATCGCCCGCCCCCGCGCAGCAACATGACGAGTGTCGGCCTCGGTCCTGTGTCCGAGTACCCCATGCGCAACTCTCTCCTCCGCGAATCTGTCTCTCCTGCTGAGCCCCGGAATGCGTTTACCTCCATCGTCCGGCGCCACGTCCCTCGTCATTGCGCCTTCTCGGCAAGACGCATGGCTCTAATCGCCCTCACAGTCGCATTGGCACTTCATCAGCTGCTATTTTTGATCTTCGAAGCGCCCTTTCTATGGACACTTCTGAGTCCCGCCCCGCCGCTTGCGGCAGCTTCACTGTTCCTCATGCTCGACACACTCATGTTCCACCTCCATCGAACGGAGGCCTCCTCACACACGTGGTTGTACTTTGGCATCATGTTGGTCTGCAGCATGGCCTACAGTGTCGCGCTGACCAGTGCAAAGCTCGTACTTCTCACCCAGGAGACGGACGCCGGAGCGGACAAGGTAGGGATCCATTTCAGCCCAGGGAGAAGGGATGGGGAAATTGCTTTGGGACAGGTGGTGAAGGACATGCCGATAAGTGTGGTGGGAGTCGGGTTGGCGCTGCTGCTGATGGTGGTGGGCGTCGGGATGATGGGAGTGGTGGGGGTGCGGTTGGCCAGACGACGGAGGCGGCACGCGTAACAGATGCTGCATCCCAACACACTGAGAGGTCTGGTCATCTATAAACAGTGCTCTCCTCAGCTGTGCCATTCAGGCTCGTCAACGGAAGCGTGTGTCAAGGCTCGCTTCTGTACGCCGGCAAGCATATCGAGAACAGTTTGCATTGTTTGACAGCTGCACCCAGAGCGAACGAAAAATCGCTATTTGTTAGATCCCAACATCCCACTCCGAAATCACGTGCCACTGAAGATTGGGTGCTGGGAACGCGTGTTTTCGCTGCCAAGTGTTGGTCTTTTGTGCTTGGCCACTTTTGAAGCAGTAAGAGAACCTTGGACATCATTGCTAGTTATGTGCATCGTCTCGACACCATTGTACTTTCGACCGGAACCGCAGCTCGTCATGGACACCCTCATTCGATAGACCTGCGCAATCAAGATCTCCTCTCTGCAGCGGACCCATCATATAAGGACCTCTCAGAAACATTCAAGTGAACCCACCGGTTTCGACCCTCGACACGGGCAGCACTTCATCCCACTGCATACAATCCCACTGGTCTTCGCAACACATCGCAGCTGCACCTCGAAAGGGCGCTCAAGTGTCCTTGCAGTACGCCTCATCACCAGGCTTCCGATTGCCCAATGTCCCCAGCTGTCACGCGCGGGACAGCAGCAACCGCTACAAGTGCTTCTCCCGTCACTCCCACCATCGAGGCCATTTCCCCATTCAAGACCCGCAGAGATACCGCTACACCAGAAGGCGACCGTCGCTCTTCCACCGCATCTGCCTCTCGTGAACCTTTCGTGCCGAGACGCAAACCGACCAAGCCTTCACCTTACGCATACCTCATCACGGAAGCCAACGACAGCGCTGATTCTCTGCACAACTTCGAGCCCAGCGCGGCGGTAAGCACTGCACAGACCCTCAACGTCCCCCCTCGTCCCGTTCGTCCAGCCTCTGCTCTCGACATCACTTCGCACGCATCGCCGTTCTCTGCCACCTCCCTCGAAGTCGCCAGTCCACGCAGTCCGCAGCCCAGAGCACCACCCTCGCCACTTCGCAACACAGCGGCTCGCAACACTCGGTCCACGTCACGCAACCTTGGCTCGCTCTCCGTGGAAAAATCGTCGTTCAGCACATCGAGCTCTGCCGCCACAACACCCGTGCTCCAAACCCGTTCAGCCTTCATCACACCCGCCTCCCGAGCACAGACCCCACAACCTCATCCTCGACCTCGATCCCATACACCGACCAGCATGTCGACGCGCACAGCAGCAACGCCGACGCCGTCGACGCCCAAGATCAAAGCTGCCGTCTCTGCCGATGTGGCCGCTCGCATCCGGTCGCCTCGCAAGCATGCTTCGACCACGACGTTGAGAGCGGCAGCTACTCCATCCACGCCTCTGACCGGTGCGAGTATCCGAGCAGCTCATCCACTGCAGCAGTCCAGCAAGGACGTCGAACGGGCCGCGGACTATACCCAGTCGTCCTCCACCTGGCAGCATCAAGAAAGCAGGGAGGAAGGGGAGCAACCGGGCGACAGCTCGTTTGTCTACGATGGTGTCGACGAACACCCTCCGCCTTCAGAAGAAGTGTCTGGCAACGAGACAGTCCAAGTGCACGTTCGACTACGACCTCCCAAACGGGGCGAAGAATGCGCCTGGTCCGCCAATCCTTACTTCGGCACCGTCGCATTGGAGTCGTCCATCGCCGCAGGTCGAACGCAGAGTGCCAACCTCGGCCCGTTCGCCTTCGACGGCATCCTCACCGGTTCCGCCAATCGACCGGTGTACATTTCCGTCGCGCGCCCCCTCGTTCGCGCCGCACTCGACGGCTACGACGCCGTCGTCTTTGCCTACGGCCAAACCGCCTCAGGTAAAACCTTCACGCTGTCGGGAGACGAACAGGGTCAGGAGGCGGGGATCATCCCGCGCGCTGTCCGGGACATCTTTCGCGGCATCTCCCAGTCTTCTGCGCGCCGAGAGTATCTGTTGCGCGCAAGCTATTTGGAGATCTGGAATGAGGTAGTCAAGGATCTACTTGAGCCGAGCAACGTACCCCAGGTGCGGGATGATAAGCGCCGACGTGGGGGAAAGGGAACGACGGTGCAGCCGTTGAGGGAGGAGATTGTCACGAGTCCAGCTCAGGTGCGGGAGTTGTTGGCGAGAGGACAGACGAATCGTCATGTAGGCGCGACGGATTGGAACGAGCGCAGCAGTCGTTCGCATACGTGTTTCAAGATCACCATCGAGTCGTGGGAGCGCGATGCCACGCCCACCGAAGCCGGGAGGGCTGGGAAGAAGGTGACGGTGTCGGAGCTGTGTCTGATCGACCTGGCGGGTAGCGAGCGGTACGTGTCGCAAGGATCGGATCGTCGAGCCGAAGGTGCGCATATCAACAAATCGCTCTTGACGCTGGGGAAAGTCATCTATGCGTTGTCGGAAAAGACGGCTAGCGCAGGTGCGGTCCACATTCCGTATCGCGATTCGAAGCTGACGAGGATCTTGCAGAACTCGTTGTCGGGCAACGCCCGCGTCGCCGTGGTGTGCACCATCAACCCCAACCCCGCCGCGGTGGACGAGAGCCTTTCGACGCTCAACTTTGCCAAGCGCATCAAGAAGGTGGGGCTCAACGCGAGGCGCAACGAGGTGGATGGTTTATCAGGCGGAATCGGGGCCGAGGCGCAGGCGTTGATCCTTCGCTACCAGACGGAGGCGGATGCGTTACGGAAAATGGTGGAGGATCTCCAACGAACCAGCCAGAGCCAAGTGGTCGAGGTGGAGGACGAACGGATCCGCGAGTTGCAAGAACGGCTGGATGTGATCGGATCGTTGGTCGTCCGCGGTGGTCGATCCGACGCAGACTATGGTTCGGACGACGAAGTCCCACGTCACGCCTCGCGCACGCCTAGCAGCAGCAGTTGTGCGGGTACAACCATCGAATCGACACCCACCACCTCGCGATCCACCTCTCACTCCTCCGCCTACGCCCGCCCCGTCTCCCCGACCAAGCGGCACAACTTCGGCTTTGACGATCCACCGCACCTTCTTGCCGAAAAACTCTTTCTCGCGAATCGCAAGATCGACACCTTAACCCGAAAACTCGCCGCCCGCCCCGAAGTGCCAGCGACCTCCTCGGCGCAAGCGTCGCTCATCTCGTCGCTCCAGCAGCAAATCCGCGAACTCGAAGCGGTGTGCGAGGCGCAAGCCACCGATGCACCCCCGAAAATTCGCGAAGACGTCGAGCGCGAATTCTCGCTCCGATTGCACGAGTTGCAGCAGAAGGTGATGGAGAAGGATGCGTTCATCCAAGAGCTCCAGGAAGAGGGGGTACGGTTGAGGAAGGTGAATGAGAAACTGATGGAGTTGGCGCATGCGCAGACGAGGGATATGGTGGAGAATCTCTCTCCCTCTCGACGTCCGACTTCGCCGCTCAAGCCGACAGACGCGGGGAATAGCCCCAGACGCAGGTTGATAGGGGAGAAGAGGACAAGGCCCATGAGCCTGTTCAACCCCACACCCGCCGCATTTGACTTTGCAGCGTTGAGGACCACCCTGGAAGCAGTGGAACCGGTCGGCGAGCCGAAGAAGCTCACCTCCGGGACAGGAGCAAAGAGGAGGAGCATCAGCAACGATTATACGCTCTTGGTGGGCGGCACGCAGGAGATCGAGCAGGAGATCCAACAGAAGTCGGCGGCCATCCCGGCCAGCGAGACGTTTGCCGTGCTGCCTGCGTTTACGCGATAGATCAGGTCACCTTGTCACCACTCTAATCCCATTCTTGCTAGCGAAGCTGTCGTCGTACTGTCCGAATTCACTTGATACCCTCACCACACCTTCTCCGTCTTGGATAGGTCTGTTCTTTTCCATCGTCATTTTGGAGCCCCATTTTTTTCCCACAATTTCCTTTGGGCAAGATTAATGAGAGAGGCTCACAACTTGAGCTTTGACTCTGGGCAAAAGTGAACGTGCTTTCATTGTGCAGGTTGTGGTTGCAATTCTGTGGCAAGCAACGACGGCGGACCAACATGACGGATCATGATGACCCCATTTCGATCAAGACCTCGTAGCAAAAAGAAGACCGAAAAAGAAGAAAGCATGACTAGTCTGGGATTCGAACCCAGGAATCCTGGTGTGCGGAGCCGCGTATTCGAAAATGTTAGATTCCTAAAACCAGTGTGTTAGGCCACTTCACCAACCAGCCGTGTATCGCCGGTCCGGGCTCTTATTGTACTCATATATACATCAATTAAACTGCAATCTTAGCTGTAGAACGGGAAGCCGCATCCGGGACCCTGACGACGCACTGACCGGCATTTGAGCTGAGTTTTGGCTACATCGTTCTAGACCTGCCACCACCACCACCGTCATCTCTCCGACCGGGCTTGCAGGAGAGTCGAGACTCTTGACGCGCGGACTCGGCGACCAAACAAACAAACAGACAAAGGGTGCATAGTGCTCCGACCGCGCGCGACACGATCCAGACACCCTCTCGGGTTTGGGGCTCAGCGAGGTCACGCCGTCGGTGTTGCACAGGCGGTCCAAGTACCGTTGGAGATCCGCGTGGGCTATCACAACGACGGGCCTCGCCGAATTGCGATAAGAGGCTGTTATACGAAGACACCTTTCAGGCACCGCGCTTCCGCCTTCCGAACGATCAGAGGTCTGGACCGCACGGCGAACGATTCCGCATCTTATCAAGCCCCACGGCGACCAAGCCGGCCAAGGTGTTCCGCATCTTATCGAGCCCCCGAGGCGAGTCAGTGTGGGCGATCTCGGAGGATTGATTCGTTGCGATCGACGTCTGAACGACGTCCAGCCTTGTTGAGGACTGACGAGGTGGCTGTCATTTGCCCCATCCAACGGCCCTCGTCGACGCTCTTGGCATCTGTTGTTCACACACGAACACACAAGTGACGCTGCCACGCGATCTCCACCAGCGGCAAGAATGTACCACAGCCTGCTCACAGCGTCATTCTTCCTGGCGCTGGTGATCCTCCTCTACCGCAATCGCCAGTTCTTCGTGTCTCTCCTACCCGAGAGCGTGTCATCTCGCATGCCCGCATCCTTCCAGCCATCCCTCCCTCCACTCTCGGCGACACCCCCCTCTAATCGTGGCACGCTGCTCAATCGGCTCCTCTCGCCCTTCACCCGCACCCCTTACACGCCCCTTCCCACCTCTTGGAACTCCCAACTGTCAGCCGGCCTCTCCTCGTCCCTCTTCGACATCTCCACCAACATCGCCGACGGCGACACCCGCACGGGTCTCGACGAGACAGGCGCACAAGATGTGCAGACTATCATGCGCGATCACGGAGTCGGGTTCGACCAGGCAAGATTGATCAGGCATAAACAGGTGTTGAGGGCGAACAATATCGATCCCAACACGGGGCTGCCGTTGGATAGCAAGGCGGTGACTAGTTTGGGTGGCAGGCCCGGCGGGAGTAGGGGATGAGCGAGGGGTGCGCAATATACCCCGCGAACAACCGCGCACCAGCTGTACGTCAGACACGCGAAATCACGATTTGATCCCACGGACTCAGCGCTCAGATTGTGACACGAAAGGCGTGGCAGAGATCTTGATACAGAGTGATCAGCTGACGACTTCGTACAATCACACAAAAGACGATGTGGCAGAAAACCCGATTGAAACGATACAAATACATATGAAGCCCGTAACATCGAAAGTATGTGCGACCTAAGAGGCGGTGACCTCGTGTGGCACCCCCACAGAGGCAAACGTGCTTCTTCTTCGACACCACCCTTCATCATCCACCTCGCCATCCTCTGCCTCTGACCCGGTCACGGCCTCTGGCACGTCCGGTCGGTGCCTGAGCTCTCCGCTGCTGGTGCTTCTCCCAAAGGTGGGTCTGAACGTCGGTCGAAAGATCGGACCTTCTTGGCTCGAGTTGCTCGAGCTCCTCCTTCTTGTGAGCAGTGCGATGTCATCCCGACTCTCCCTCCTCCCAAAGCTAAAAGGGAGATATTCACCCGGTCCATCGCTAACGAAGGAGTCCTTGCGGGAGAAACCACGTGGAAACGCATCCCCTGGGCTCTGGGTGTACGGATCCACTCCGGACCAGGGGAAGTCTTCCTCGGCCATCTCGGCGGCGGATGTCTCGCGCGAATGGCCTTGCGGGATGGTAGGCATCTTGCGTGTGCTACCCCCCGCAAACGCGGTGGTGGGGACAAACCCGGACGATCGACGACGACCCATCTGCCATACAGACGATGCGTCGGGTATGTCGCGCGCCGGCTTGATGCGGCCAACGAGGCGATTTGAAGTGTCGCCGAAGGAGCGGGAGGGGTGGGTTTGAGACCGAACTGCGCGGGTTCGCCACGCATCGACGAGCCGGTGGTGCTAGGTCGTTTGGTTTTGCCCCTTGGGAGGGTTCGGAACTTGTCCGCCTCCCGACCGCCAAGGGGAGCCGGGGCGAGAGAAGCGTGTCGACTACCAGCAACGCTCTCTGGCACCCCGCCCGGCAACCCACCTGCGAACGGACCACGCACCGAACCCGCGTCGACGAACACGTGCTCCAGCTGCAGACTGTTCGCCACGGGCGTCGGCGCGGAGACGCGCGGCCAGGTCGACTGGCTCACCCGCGTAGGGACGCTGTTGCTGCTCGACACGCGATGCGGACGAGGACGGTGTTCGATGCTGCTCTGCCAACTCGCGCGGGCAGCAGCGTCTTCAAGGGTTTTCTCCCACTCCAGCTCGTGCGGCGATGCCAGCTGAGGTGGGGCGAAGAGCGAGCGGACGGATTCTCGAGATGGCGTGCCACGCAAACGCGAAGATGGGCGTGGATGACTACCCGATTTGCGACTGGGGAGCTCACCCATCGATGTCTCGGGTGAAGTGGCAGGTGTGCTCGAAAAGTGCGTGCTGCTCGCCGATAACGGTGGGGAAAGCGAGTCGGTGGTGAGATCGTTGAACCGGGACGCAAGGTCTTCCGTCTCGCGCGTCCGAGTGCGTGGGAACGTGCCCGACTTGGGCGGTGGCGACGCAGGTTCGCGCACGAATGGGATGATCTTCATCAAGATGCGGCTGCGCCGCTTGGTCGAAGAGGTCGACCCGTTGGAGCGGAGGGAGGAATCGTCATATCGACGCCCACTCATGCTCGTGCGGGAAGCTTGGCGAGCCAACTCTGAACTTGGCCGAGACATTTTCTATTCAAACAAAGTGAGCGGGATGGTCAGCGACGATGATTCACATGAACACGTGAGTATGTGGGGAGATGGTAACGTACCCGCTGCGTTTTGCTTCGACTTTGGCGGGAGGTGCGGAAAGAGTGATGGGATCAGGCAACGACACAACCGAGTCCATGGACTTTTTGGGCGCGTTGACGATCGAAGAAGAGGAGCCGCGCGGTGGGATGCGAGAGCTGTCGATGCCCGGTGTCGAGGGTGGTGCTGAGGATTCCTCGTCGGAACTCGCCAAGAGAAGTTCGCGGATGTCTTCCTCGGCAGCGACAACGCCTGATGCTGTTGCAGTCTCGCTGTCCGGGTAGACGAGGAGGGTGGAGCGCGAAAAGTGCGTCTGCGAGTAGTGGAGCTCGTCGAAGCGGCTCGAGTCGGACGAGCTGATGGTGGAGACGGCGGCGCTGGTGGCTGCTCTCCTGAAACCGGGTCGTTGAGGGAAGGCGGATGTAGAAGGTGAAGACGGAAGACTGTGGATACCGCCCTGCTTGGGGTGGATGCTGTTGGAACGCGATCGTGATGGCGATGCTCTCAGGAAGCCCTCGGGAACAGCAAGCGTCTGACGGCTGGATGAAGCTTGTGCAGAGGTGAAGTAGGCGTCGTCCTCGCTGTGGCGACTGGTGGAGGGGAGCGGCGCAGAGAGGATGGACAGATGGGACATGATGGTCGGAAAGCAAGGGAGAGGATGGTCTCGTAGATGTAGATGTAGTTGAAGCGCAGTCGGTCAAGGTTGAGGGGGGGACTCCGGATCGAGCCTGCGGACCGAGGAGAGGATATGGTGCCTTCTTTTTAAAGATTTCGGACCAAAGCTAAGCGAGACACCTGACAGGGCGAGGGAGAGCCTCGACTCCAGAAGCAGGAACGCGGTCGGTCAGCTGTCACCAAATAGCGCGAAAAATGGGGGAGAGAGAGAGACACCGCAGCCAGGGCGAGACCACGCTGCAGCGAGACGAGATCGGATAGGCAGCAAACAAAACTGGACAACACACAGGCGAGACACCGCACGGCAAGTCAAGTTGGACAGGCGACTCGCGTAGCTCGACCAGGATCGAGACTCGGGAGAGTCCATCTCGGAAAAAAACGCACGTCGGGGACAGACAGCTGAGACTCGGCTGGCAAGCGAAATGTCAACGGGAGTCTCACGGCAGCGCAGGCCGATGGCGTACCTCGGGATGCAGAGCAAGTCAACAGCGTGACAGATGACGAGTCGCAAAGCGAGTCAAGCGACTGACGTGGGGAGTGCATGCTGGTGCGTGGGACACTTTCATGCTGACCGACATTTGTTTGCTGCGATGCTGCGTTGCTGAGTGGTCATCGACGTTGGCCGCATTCTGTCATGGTGAGAATGGTTCGGAGTGCGATCTCACGGCCTCCGTTCCAGCTGTGATGGGTCGGAGAGACAGATGAAAGCGCGGAGTTGCAAAGGCGCTGATCCCACTCAGCATTGTGCGGCGACCTTGTTCAAAATTTAATTTTTTATTCAAAAAAAAAAGAAAAAAGCCTTCTTCTTCGCTTGACCATCACGTTGATGTTTGCTGCCCACGAGGCAGTCCGATTCGTAAGGCAAGCATTTCGGCCTTTGACGACGATCGTAGCCGTTGCTCATATTCATGACCGACCCCTTGTGTCTCCGTGAAAGGTGAGCTCTAGCCTCACTTTGGTTGTCGTAACCATTCAAACAATACTCCGCTGAACGGCATTCCAGAGAGCGGCGCACGGCCTACCAACAATCAAGGCCCGACGGCGGTCAAGTGCATGTCGGTACAGAGCCAGCGAGACACGTCGGCGACAACGCAATGGCGCCATAGCAATGCCAGTCGATGCTCATCGCAGCGGTACATTGGAAACTATGCCGAGCTGTTGGCATCCCAGTCTTTCAGATGCGGTTGAGCGAGACGATGGAGAACAAATGGCGACCTGGCTGCCCGACGATGAGATTAGCCCTACACATTAGTGCGCGGATATGGCTTGCATTGATGTAAAAGATCGGTGCAAGCCACTCAAGCCTTCAAGTGTGACGTAGGCCATGGGTACAAGAGGCAATTTATCCACTGCCAAGCCCAATCAAGTCTCGACAATGTGAGCTCTTCCCGCGGATCGAGGTGGCTTGCAGCGCAATGAAGTCCCGAGGGTCCATCTAGCCACATCCAGCCGCAACCCAAACCTCGGACCAAGGAGTCCGAGCTGCAGCGTGGTGAAACAGCGCTAGTGATACAACTCGGACCGGGTGCAGCTAGCGCGTCGCTGTTGTCGGTCTGGCACGCCCAATTTTCCAACGTGGACCTGAACGCATCAAGCAATCCCTGTAAGTTCACCGCGTGCCACTCTGCCTCCGACGAACTATTTCAGGACCGAGATGGCCGTCGTAATTCGGAGCTCAGCTGACGCTAACAAGCACTGGTGACCGGATCGGTGTCTCGGTAGGAGGAGTTGTAATCCGAATGACCGAGATTGACCGAGCTGGCCGTGTCGAGGGGCTTGTAAGACAATACGACAGAGCAGTCTATTCAGAGGGACAACAAAAAGTGTCGGGATGGTAGCTCTAGGCCCTCCATTCAAGACTTGAACGTGGGACAAAAGGTGTTTGGATCTGCAGTGGTGCAGGCTGGTCGAGATGTGGCCGGCGAAATATTCCCAATGCGGAAGATGTTAGTCGAGGTCCAAATTGACGTCGGAATGTCAAATTGTGCACCGTGGCAGAGCGAAGCGAATCGTCGGCCCTTTTTTAGCCGCGCGAAAAGCGCGGAGCAGTCCTTCACAGCATGCTGACTCCTTCTTCATCAATGTCGACTTGAGAAGAAGACCTCTATGCATTGACACGCATACAGGCTACAGTCAGAGTGCTCTCGCGTACTTTTGATCGGCGGCGGACGATGGTATCAAAGCTTTCCGTCCAGAGGCGCTTCTGCACTGCCGATCGCGTCAAATGATCTTCGGGACGCGCCTTTCGAGAACTGGATTGACGCGGGGAGCGCTGCACGAGGCTCTTATTCTGAAATGTAATTTTGCAAGACGCGCGGCAAGCGAAGTGTCCAAGTCTGCAGTCGCCTCTGCCCTTTGGTGCTCCGCTTTGTTATTGGTTCTTCCTTCGCTGTCTGTCAACATCCACCGGAACAAGGCTCTGCTTTGGCTTCGACTCGATCCGGCTCTCCCATCGTCTCACGGCCGTTGAGAGGTGCACCCTTTTCCACTTGAGTCTAGACTGTCGTCCTCACGTGGTCCCACTGCGCTGTGCATGGACCTAGACCTCCTCACGGCGATTCGGTTACGCGACCATGCTGTTTGTCATCTCGCTACGCCTTTGAGCACCAACCAGTCGCCGTACAATGACAGCTGCAAGCAGCACAGATCTCTGCGACAGCCGATGAGATCCCGGGTTGCTGGAAAAAGACCGTTTGCGAGCCGCGGGCAGTCCCGAGTCTCAATTTGCAGCCATGTTGAACCACACGCCAAATGCAAGCTGCCGAATGCATTCTGTCGGCAGCGGTCAAATATCGCACCGATCTTCGAGGTGGGTCGGTGACGGGTGTGTCTCCCAAAGCATTGGTCGGAGTAGACACGGTTGCCGTTGATCGCAGCGTGAGCTCACCGTGGCTGGCAGGAACGAGTAAGGCGGCGGGGACGCCGTGACAGGCCGTGTGCTGAGAGCCACCTGATACGAGATATTCATGCACTCACAAACAGATCGCACCAAGATCGATGACAAGTCCCGAGAGGTACATGAGGCTTGCCCAGTCCCCTTACCTGGTCGGTCAGGCTTGCCCTCCGTACCACTTTCGCATCAAGCCTTCCTACTCCTGCCTTCTTCCCGTGTCTATCTGTCCGCCTCATTCAGTTAGTCCTTTTCATTTACCCATTTGCGGCCAGGCACCGCACTTTCATCCCTCGTGCTAGCTTCGCATTCCGCTCTCCCGACCTTGTTGGATTGGGTCCCATCCTTCCCGAGTTCCGTGATGCTCGTTCGAAGCTCCGATGACCCTTCGACGTCGCAACCGCCAATCCTGAGAAGTTTTTGTGTGTCCTAAGTCCGTTGTCCTCGTGTCACGGCCAGTACCTCGCCGTACCACCCTCGATCTCGGTCAGTCTTTGCCAAGCCTCTTTTCGTCTACTTCTTTGCCTACCTCATCCGCTAGATTACATTCGGTCCGCAATGTGGCTTGTACCTCAGGTCTCCCCTCCAGATCGCAAGGCTCCTTGCCGCCTGGATTCGAGAATCGGATAAAGCCTCGCGCCGGTTCCAGCTCCTACAGTTAGATTGCTTTTGCCAAGGCTATAGCCACATTTCCGGAACCAGACTCTGGCAGCGAGACGAAGCTGACATCCTCATCATTGCGTCTACCCGCTGTGACGTGCGCCTCCCTAGACGTTGGCACAAGCCTGAACTGACGTCCCGGTTGGCGTGGCGGTGGCTTTGAGGATTTGATCGGTAAGGTGAACCCTGTGTAAGCCGTGAAGGGTCCTGCTCAGCGTTGCCTTCCTCCGTGCTTGAGGCCACTGTTGACATGAGCTGCCTATATCGCACGCTTGTCTATCTTGCAAGGCTGGTCAGACACACAAAGCACATTTGATGCGTTTGCAGCTGTCAGAACCAACACCTTTTCCGATGCGTGCTGGTTCCACAGGCTGTCTGTGAGTCAGCTAGGGCACTCAATCCGTTTCGTACCGCCAAAGGGTCCTTGCGGTGGTCCCACTCTTTGCTCGTGCATGGTTTAGGTCAAAACAATCAAGCCGAATCCTTGGTCCAGGAACCACTTTGTTCTCTGCATTACTCCGGGTAGCATTGTCTCACTTTGACTCCTGTTTCGGAAGCCTAGTGCAGGGACCTCTATTGAAATTTGATGTGGCTTGACGCACGTCCGATCGGCTCCGCTGCGTGAAGGCCTGGCACGCACCGGCACGATGCATGGGAAGAGAAAAAGTTCTCCGCCGCCATGTCAGCTCGAAACCCCGCCAGATGTTCCTGGGAACCCAAGCGATGTCGACGAACAGCTGAGCTCGGAAACGTGACCAGTTCAGGCACACGGGCCATGTCATCCATTAGCGGAATACAGTCTCGTGGCTGGGGCAAGACGGAAATAGATACTCGTCGGAGTGGCAATATTCCCGGCTGGCAGAGGCATTGTCTGTGCTGCAGTTGCACAGCCGAGCTGTCACCGACGCTGTCTTTCCTCGAGTTGAGAATTCCGCGGGAATGTCAAGCCACCATATCTTCGTGGATCGGTTTACTTATGGCTTGCGGTTCGTTGTCGTGCCTGGAGGACGACTCACCCAAAGCGTCAGCTCCATAGGATCATATTGCTGACCGCTTTGTACCTGAGCATATTCACCGCTACGTTGACGCGCCATCTGTCCCGGCTGTCTGACTGGCGCTCTCGTCATTGAAATGCCCTGACGGGCAATGCCTTCACCCCACTGCTTTACAGCTTGTGCACACAGTGAGGCGTACAATTGAGATTAGGGTGTCATTCATCGAAATGAACGAGCTCGCTGGAGCAGTGCTGACACTTCCGTTCATTGTGTCTATTCCAACGGCAATGTATGTATCGTTACCATTCTTGCTCTTGAAATTTTGCATTCTTCGATACCGGGTTGGCTTCGAGCTTTCTTCAGTTGACCCTGGGCTGAATGAGCAGACATCGAAGCCTGAAAGACACGGATAGACTCAGAAGAGACGAAGGGATAGCGTCGGCTTGTATCAGGTTGTTTTCACACTGTCTCGAATGTCATGGCTTGATGCGTCGTTCAGCTGCACTGTGATCGTGTTGGGCATGTGAGCCGGTACTGTCCACGAACACAAGCCTTGTGAGCCGGACGAATGCTTGTCGCCTTACACGCCGTTGCGGAGGGACCCTTATCCGGAAACACGCTGGTGCTCGCAAGTGGAAGTGTGGGGAGCACGACCATCGTGTACCACTCTTCGCGCAATCATTAGGTCATCGGACCCTTGCGTACCTCAGCCTTTCCGTCGGATACCTTTGCATTACTCCGGGACGACTCGTGGCTTGAACTCGCACCATCGTCGATCTTTCAAGGGCATGAATCTGTTCTGCATTGGTACTTCCGGCAAGCCTCGTTATGCGCAGTGGGGCCACGCGGAGCAGGCTAGCTCACATGCGTTCGATTAGATCCCACTGTCTTGTCGACGATGATGCGGAGATGTTGAAACGACTTTCACCATGGAACGCTTCCCGAACACAATGGCTTCTCTTCCGTCACTGTTTCGGTAAGCAGAAGAAGCGCTTCTTGGAGAAGGAGCAAATCAAGACGCATCCAGCAATCTGCCGGTCGCTTTGTGGAGACCGCTACCAGGCTGCTTTCTTGAATGGTCATTTTGATCACCGCATATGCTCTTTGGGCGCCAACAATGACGGCACAATGAATGCTATTGATCGAAGCGAGAACAAGATCAGAGGCACGAGACAGCGGCGAGGAGGAGCTTGGGTTGCGCATCGGCACAAGCGAAGATGTTTTCGAAGTCTCTAAACGCCTTTCGAGCGATTTGCTGCCCTCTCAACAGGCGCACCTCAGACATGCCTGCTTGAGGCGCTGTCGAGCACCACAGACATGAGAGGGTCGGCCACACTGCTGCCAGGCTCAAACTAGGGCGAGGAGTGGCGAGCCAGTGGCCTCTTGACGGTCAAGAGTCATCTTGAGGATGTTGTTCTGGATGCGAAAGGGGCACTTGACCATCATCGACAGAATTTCGAGCAGAAGCTTAAACATTCGGACGATCTCACAGTACCTGCCCAAAAATCAGTCCGGACGTAACATCTTTACTCGTAAAATACGCGCGCTTCTCGCGTCGCGAAGGAAAGCCGTCTGCAACGCGCAAAGAGATGCAGCCTGAGGAGGCGCAGCCAGCAAAGTGTTGTTTCCTGCTCCACAACGCTTAGGGGCCGTGAGGACATTGCGCTCTGCTGCCCTGAGAATTTCGAAACGGGGTCTCTGCAGCAGGCACACCAACACGCGAAGATGTGCGTGTTGGAAGTTGGCCTCTTTGCCCAATTTACACGAAACCAAGGCACAGCGCGTTCGTGGTCGAGCTCCTGAAACGTGAACTCGACATTGCGGAGAGCGCAGCTGCTCAGCTTCTTCTTTCTCTACACACATCCCGACGAGAGTGTCGATATCAACGATGTCGTCGAGAGCCAAGAAGCTCAACGCCCTGGCCGCGCTCAAGGCCAAGCGCGATGGCGCTCCCATGCCTTCGGTAGGTATTCACACTTTTACAATCGCCGACCAACGCTCGTGTGCTGACCCGTCTGTTCCATAACTGACTTGCTTGGCCACACAGACCTCCAAATCTGGCAACTACTCGGACGAAGACGACGCCATCTACGACGAGGTTTCCGAAGACGAGTACCGCTCCATCCTTCGAGGCCGTGTCATGGACGACGATTTCATCGAGGACGACGACGGATCGGGCTACGTAGATCACGGTCAGGATGAGTGGGATGACCGTACTGGAGCAGGTCATGACGAGGACGACGACACCGAAGACGAACAGGAATACTTTGAACGCACCGGCAAGCGCAAGCCCAAAAAGGGCTCTAAAGCTGGTGCCAAGGGTGCTTCATCTGCTAGCAAGAAGTCAAGCCTCACCGCCGCATTCAGCAAGCAGCGCAAGGCTTCTAGTGGTGCGGACTTATCGGCGAACCGCGCACGCGAGGCGCAACGCATGCGATCAGCCGCTCTCGACGCGTACCGCCCCACGGTGAGCAAGGAAAAGGAGGAAGACTTCATGACCAGCCTCATGGGCGACCTCGACGAGTTTGGCGCCCAGCCTTCAACATCTTCGCACGATCCAGCCAGCCCTTCTCCCGCCCACCGCCTCAGCACCTCCCTTTCCAAGAAGCGAAAGCAGCACGAAGAGAGCGCCTTCTCTCGATTCCGCCCTTCCACCTCTGCCAGCGCCAGCAACGGCTTCACGAGTCCTTCGTCAGGTGCTCCTACTAGCGACTCGGCACAGCCCTCCAGCGACAGTGTTGAGCCCCGTGTCCATGTCAGCGGCAGCGATACCCCACCGTGGGGTCCCAACCTCGGCTCGGATCCCGTCTTTGAGCTCGATGATGAGCCTCTCACTTCCAACAAGAAGCTCCGCGGTCCAAAGGGGCTGCCCAGTCGCATCGGCAGCCTCGGTCTCGGCGATGCAGACAACGACGTCTTCATCAGTCATCCTTCCAAGCGAGCAGCTGGCCTCAGCAATGATGCACTCGCCTTCAGCGACGATGAGGCCGACGATCTCGCTGTTCGCCGAGTCGAGGTCGGTTCGCTTCCGGCAAAGACCGTAGATGCTCGAGGACAGGCGTCGCGTCCCAAGCCGGTCACTGTTGAGACACCCCGTGCATCAAAGGTGGACGATATCAAGAAGGACATCAAGACACCATCAGCATTCTCCTCCTCGGCAACACCAAAGACCTCCCTCAAGGACGAAAGCAAGACACCAGCTAGCAGGAGTAGCTGGCAGAAGGTTCACAACGATCTCATCAAGAATGTCGAGCAGGCAACACCAACGCCTGCTGCTGGCAGCAACATCAAGACGGCTCCCGGCAATGCGACACCCTCCGCAGGCAAGGTCGCTGCATTTGAAGAGGACAAGTCACTCTTCTTCTACTGGCTCGACTACCTCGAGGGCGAGAATGGCGTCGTCTACCTCGTCGGCAAGGTCAAGGACAAGGAGACCGGTCGCTATGTCTCGTGCTGCTTGACAGTCAACGGCATCGAGCGATGCATCTTCCTCCTGCCTCGCAGCAAGCAGCTCGAGGACGGCCACGAGACGGACCGTGCTGTCGGCGAAGACGAGATCTATGACGAGTTCGAGGACCTCTCGGCCAAGCACGGCATCAAGCGCTTCCTCTCCAAGTGGGTCACGCGTAAGTACGCCTTCGAGCAGGCTGGCGTCCCCGCCGAGTCGGACTACATGAAGATCCGCTATGGCTTCGACGAGCCGCAGCTGCCATTCGACTTCAAGGGCAGGACGTTTAGCAAGACTTTTGGCACCAATACTTCGCCCTTTGAGCTGCTGGTGGTCAAGCGACGTATCTTTGGACCCAGCTGGCTCAAGATCTCCAACGCCAGTGTGACGGAAGGCTCGACACCCATCTCGTGGTGTAAGATGGAAGTTTCGATCGATGACCCGAAGGACATCTCCCCCATCTCAGATGTCGACACGACCTCGCCCCGCGAGACGCCTCCTCTGACGGTCATGTCGATTGCCACCCGCACCGTCGTCAACCACAAGGAGAACAAGCAGGAGCTTGTCGCCGTCAGCGCACGTACCTGGACCGACCACCAGATCGAAGACCCAACGCCACCGGAACAGCTCCCTTGCTCTGTCTTCACTGCGGTGCGCCCGCTCGGCAGCATGTTCCCGCCCGGATTCGAGGCCGAGGCGCGCAAGAGCAAGATCAAGATCCACACGCTCAAGTACGAGCGTATGCTTCTCAACGCCCTTCTTGCCCAGATCCACAACGCCGACCCAGATGTGATCGTCGGCCACGAGTTCAACGGCGTCTCGCTCGACGTGCTGCTCCATCGCATGAAGGACCTGCGTGCTGATCACTGGTCGCGTGTCGGCCGCTTCCGTCGTCCCAAGTGGCCAAAGCTGAAGCAGGGCATGAACCTCAAGATCCTCGCCGGCCGACTCGTCTGTGACTTGGCATCCGACAACGGCAAGTCGATGATTACCTCCACCACATGGTCGCTCACCGAAATGTGCGGCACGCACCTCAAGATCCAGCGCGAAGACATCGACCCTGAGGAAACGGCGTCCTTCTTCGACTCGCTCGCCCCCTCCCCGGAACGCTTGATGACGTTTGTCCGCCACTGCGAGGTGGACACGTTCTTCCAGATGGCCATCGCTGCCAAGGTGCAGATTCTGCCGCTGACCAAGCAGCTGACCAATCTGGCGGGCAACAGCTGGAACAAGACGCTGAACGGTGGTCGTGCCGAACGAAACGAGTACATTCTGCTGCACGATTTCCACCGTCAGAAGTACGTCTGCCCAGACAAGATCTCAGCTTGGGAGAAGAAGCAGATCCAGCAAGCCGCCGAGCTCAAGGCGAAGGCGAAAGCGAAGGCTGGCGGCGCTGCTGCAGTGGCAACGGCGGTGGTGAACAGCAAGAAGGACAAGTTCAAGGGTGGTCTCGTCTTCGAGCCCAAGCGTGGGCTGTGGGACAAGTACATCTTGGTCATGGATTTCAACTCGCTCTACCCCTCGATCATCCAGGAGTTCAACATTGACTTTACCACGGTCGAGCGTCCACCTACGCAGGGTCTCGAGGACGAAGAGGTTGCTGCTGCTGCCTCTTCTGCTGCCTCTGCAGGCGTCGAGGGCGAGACTGCTGGGGACGCGGCTGCTGACGTGGACAAGATTCCCGAAGTCCCCTCTTCTGACGTGGACCAGGGTGTTCTTCCGCGCATCATTGCTCAGCTCGTCGCGCGTCGTCGCCAAGTCAAGTCCCTGATGAAGGACAAGACCGCCACGCCATCCCAGCTGATGCAGTGGAACATCAAGCAGCTCGCGCTCAAGCTCACGGCCAACTCGATGTACGGCTGTCTCGGTTTCGAGAACTCGCGTTTCTACGCCCGCCCTCTCGCCGCGCTCACCACCTTCAAGGGTCGAGAGATCCTCACCGCCACCAAGGACCTCGCCGAGTCGATGCTGCTCGACGTCATCTACGGTGACACGGACAGTGTTATGATCAATACCAACGCCACCGAGTACCGCGAAGCCCTTCGGATCGGCCAAGAGTTCAAAAAGTCGGTCAACGAACGCTACCGGCTGCTCGAGATCGACATTGACGGTGTGTTCGAGCGCATGCTTCTGCTGCAGAAGAAGAAGTACGCGGCGGTGCTGGTGGACGAGGATGGCAAGCGGACGACCGAGATCAAGGGTTTGGATATGAAGCGTCGCGAGTACTCGGCGTTGAGCAAGAACGTATCGAACTACGTCCTCGACCAGATCCTCTCCGGGCAAGCGACCGAGTTGGTGGTGGAGCACATCCACGAGTACCTCTCGCAGATGTCGACGCGCATCAAGACGGGCGAGGTGGCCATGGACGATTTCATCATCTACAAGCGACTGGGTAAGAACCCGGAGGACTACCCCGATGTCAAGTCGCAACCGCACGTGCAGGTTGCGTTGAGGATGAAGGCCCGTGGAGGTAGTGCGCGAATGGGCGATGTGATCCCGTACATCTTCTGCCTGGGCGAGGATGGGAGTTCGAGCACCAAGACGGCGCAGGCGGAGCGGGCGCACCACCCGGACGAGCTCAGGAGGAAGGAGTCGGAGCTCAAGATCGACTACGAGCACTACCTAGCGCTGCAGATCCTGCCGCCTGTCGAGAGGCTGTGCGAGAGCATCGAGGGGACGGACCGCTCGCGGCTTGCCGAATGTCTAGGATTGGACCCGAGCAAGTACTCCAACGTCTCGATCTCGCATGCTGGGGCTGGAGCGGATCGCGAGTTCGCTACGCTCGATTCGCAGATTCCGGACGAGGTGAGGTTCGCTCGATGTGCGCCGCTGACGCTCACCTGTCCGTCGTGTCGCGAGACGAGCACGTTCTTGGGTCCCGCTCACCGAACACCCACCGCCGCGATCAAGCCCTTGGGCGACTCGACCAACGTGCCCGTCGAGGAGCGCAATGCGATCACGACCAAGGGCATTCGGTGCACGAACCCGGCGTGTCAACGCATGTTGCCGCTAGCCACAGTGGCGATCCAGCTCGAACTCGCAATTCGCAGCTACGTTGAGCGCTACTATGCCGGATGGACCGAGTGCAGCGATGCCAACTGCGGCTCGCGGACGCGCATGGCGAGTGTCTACGCTAAACGATGCCTCGCGATTCACGATGCCAAGTCGGCGGCGTTGCTCGACGCTACGAGCTCCACAGGCGGCGCCCATCTCGCCTGCCGCGGTCGCGTAGAACCGAGTTACAGAGACAAGCAGCTGTACGACCAGCTGATCTACCTGGAATCGCTCTTCGATGCGGGGAGGATCAGGGACAAGGTCACCGGTGCGGGCGCGGCCGTGACGGCAAGCGGCAAAGCGTGGCAGGACGAAGTGGTCGCCGTGCTGGACGTCAACAGGAGAGAACTCGAGGCGCTGCACAAGACGGTGGATCGGTATCTCGCAAAGAACGGGAGGAGGTTCGTTAAGCTAGGCAGCTTGTTTAGGTTCATGAAGGTGTGATGCTCATTTTTGTGTTTCGGTCTCAATGATAGGATTCGTTTTTGCATGTCTTTCTCTCGGAGGTTGGTCAGGGGCGTCAGGCTGGTTGTCACGATGAGTCGGTGCGATGAGGGAGAGACGTCATTCATTTGAACATGCTCGTGGATCTATCGAGTGGAAAGCAGAAGCCAGGAGGGACAATGTTCGGGTCAGCCGCTGATCAGCACTGGAAACGCGTCGCTTCTCTCTCCGTCAACCCGCTCCAACTCTGTCTGTCCATCGCTATGCGGTCTTCGCCCGACACTGTCCAGCTCGTGAAAGGCAGACGAGGCCGGCATTGCCATGCGTGAAATCAGTGTAACTATGACTAAAAAGCACTCTAGCTCCTTGCCCCATCGGTGGGATTGGTAGGTCCCGAAAGGTGACGAGGCTCTGAGAATTGGGATGTTATCATCATTTTGGTGTGTGGCTGACAGCCTGCCTATCCTTCTCCTCCCTCCATGATCCATCTTCTCCTCTCGTGCTGCGGTTGTGGGATTGAGACTTACGAGTCGGTTGTGATCTGCGACGAGTCGACCTCGCCTGTCGGCCTGCTACGTGACCGCGAAGGCGAAAGATGCCGTGTAGACATTCGTGCCTCGACGGAGCTTAGACAAAGGCCAGCGAGGCGAGGTCGACTGTTGCAGATGATGGAGGAATGGCAAGAAGGAACGTCGAACAGGTGACAGCACTTGAGAAGAAATTTCGCCGGCCAGCAGACCCTGCCAAAAATATCAGCGCTGTCAGTCACGTGATGTTTCGACGCCCGATTAAGTTAGCTGGAGATCGATAGTCCCACCAACCGCACCAAACCCAACCTTCACGTCGCAGTCCCTGAACCATCGTCCGAAATTGAGCGGACCCGACGCTGACCGCACCGCAAAGGAGTCTCATCATAAGGCCGCTTCAGACTAGGGGGTTACCAAGGTGAGAAAGGCGAGATACACCCGATCCGGTCAAGCGGCAACCTGGTGAGAATTCACGAGCCAACGCCAGACTCGGACCGGCCCACGCATCGGATTGGCTGCTGCTGCTGCTGCTGCTGCTGAAGGGTCCTAGTGATGAAGCGCGTTATCGGGATTTTTTGGGATCTTTTCTGATAATCTGACCGCTCCGAAGGCTGCCATGCTCGAACCGGTTTGTGGAGCGCGGAAACGTCTGAAATTGCCCGTTCGGCCAGACTTTCTTCTTGGCCAGGCTCGCAAAAAAAGTTGGCGGTCGTGCGTCGACTGGCTGACTCGTTCTTCCTTTCGTGGGGGGGTCAACCTTCCATCTTCTCGACCTTCATCTTTGTCTATACCCTCACTTTCGAACAACAATGTCACCACCACCCTCTGGCGGCAAGCGCGAGTCTGCGCAGGCGCGACTTCTCGGTTCGGGTCTGTCCGGCATTGCCGAGCTGCTCGTCTTCCACCCGGTCGACACGGTGGCCAAACGACTCATGTCGAACAAGGTCTCTGGGCTCTCGATGGCTCAGGTGGTCTTCAAGGACAAAGCCTCGGCCAACTTGTCCACCAAGTTCGTCTCCCTCTTTCCTGGTCTTGGCTACGCTGCGGGGTACAAAGTGCTTCAACGCATCTACAAGTTCGGCGGACAGCCGTATTTCAACGACTACCTCACCTCGCATCACAAGTCCAAGTTCGATTCTCTCTTCGGTGAACGTGCTGGTAAATCGATCATGTCTGCCACAGCCGGATCGCTGACCGGTATCGGTGAGATTGTCTTGCTGCCACTGGACGTGCTCAAGATCAAACGTCAGACCAACCCGGAAGCCTTCCGTTCGCGTGGCTTCCTCCGTATCTTGGCAGATGAAAACGTCAACCTCTACCGCGGTTGGGGTTGGACCGCCGCCCGCAACGCCCCCGGCTCCTTCGCCCTCTTCGGCGGCTCCGCTTTTACCAAGGAATACATCTTCGGCTTGAAAAACTACAACGAAGCTACCTGGACCCAAAACTTCTTCGCCTCCATCGGCGGTTCCGTCGCCTCCATCACCGTTGCTGCCCCACTGGACGTCGTCAAGACAAGAATCCAGAACGCAAACTTCGAAAGCAAGGTCGGTGGCGTCACCATCATGAAGGACATGATCCGGGAGGAAGGGTTCAGTGCCTTCTTCAAGGGTCTGACGCCAAAGGTGCTGGTCGTTGGGCCGAAGCTGGTGTTCAGCTTCACGATCGCGCAGAGCTTGATCCCCTTCTTCGGACGATATGTGTAGATGCGATCGAGGGCATGACAGAGCGAGGTGCCACTGTCGTAGATACGTTACGTGCATGATCAAAAAAAAGACACCATTCTTACGCAGAGCAAAAACTTGCCCACCAGCCAGAGACACGGCCCGCCTGCACTCGCACCTACACAAACTCGCCGTTTCCACAGATGCTACCGCTTCCATTGCTCAACAATCACAGTTCGAGATGCGCAGCAATCGGTGGTGCCTCCGTCTTCTCACCTTCCTCCTCGCGCTTCTTCGCGTCATAAAACCGCTTCACGCGCTCTGACAGACTGTCTCCCACCTTTTCCATCCTCAACGCTGGAGGACTTGCTTGTTTGCTCCCCTTGCGTCCTTGCTTCTTTGCCTCCTCACCATCCGTGCCTGTCACAGCCGACATCAAGCGCTGATACAGCTTCGCCACGTCTTCTGGCGTCTGAACCTTCTTCTTCCCGTCGTCGTCGTTGTTGGTGGAAGAACCGTATTGCTGCTCCATCTGCTTGTTGAGCACATCCGAGATTTTTTCCGCCAACTTCCTTTCGAGTGTGCCACCATCCTCGCCGCGAAGGACCGACATGAAGTCGTCCATGTCCAGGTGGATCTCCATCGGCGGCTCTTCAGAGTCGTCGTTGCGCTTCTTGCCGCTTTCCCGTCGACGAGGTTCTTTGGCGTCGGGGGCCGAGTCGGAGAGCTTGTTGACCAAAAGCTTGCCGTCGTCGTCCAGCCCGATCTCGACTACGATTTCGGTATCGTCCAAGTCGGGTTCGTGACCATGATGGTCGTGATCGTGGTCGTGGTCGTGATCATGGAATTGCTGGTAGAGGGCCCCGTGACCGCCCAGCGCTTCGTCGTAGTAGTCGTCGTGCACGGAGCCGAAGCGCGATGGGTCTCCATATGTGTGCGATGTAGCAGTCGGCTCTTCTGCGCTCTGCGGATCACTGGTCGTCGCTCCAGTCTGATCTTTGGAAACACCATTTCCCGACTTGACCGACTGACGCGGCCCATCGATCCCCTCCAACGGCGTCTGCACCCGATCCGGATCGCCCACCGTCGGCCCCGCCCAATCGTCCCGCACCACCTTGTGACACTGCACCTGGAACGGCGTCTCCTCCTTCTCACTCCCAAACGCCGAGTCCGCACACAACCTCGGCGTCTCGATCACCAACACGTAGTTGCAGATCGTCGTCTCCTTGAACATGACGATGCGGTCCTCGAGCGGTTGGCGGTTGGAGCAGTGGTACTGCACCTCGACGGTGCGTGGCTGGTGGTTCATGTCGCACATGGTGCCGTTGGTCCATCGTTGCGTGAGGTAGCGGTGCCGATGCGATTCTTGACCATCGCGAGGGGTCTCGACGGCGGTGTTGGAGTCACGGAAGGAGGAGAGGGCGCGAGTCTCGGCGGCGAACAATTCGTCTTCGTCCCAATCGCCGAACTGCACTTCTTCGACCAGGTCGAGGCCCGCAGAGTTGATGGACGAGGGTGGACCACGATCGGCGGCTGTAGCGACGTCGGTCGACTCTTTCGTGGCGTCCGTAGTGAGAGGCTGCTGCTGCCGTCGCTGGTGACTCCGGTCGTCGCCTACGATTTCTTCGCTCTGGTGCGTCCATCGACCCAAGATGAAGGCCGGGTATTCGGGGTCGGCGATGGGGTGATGGAGCCTGTTGACTTTGTCTGCTGCCTCGATGGCTGCTTTCTTGCCAGCTTCGCCTCCGCCAGCAGCTTTGAACGCCTTGTGCGCGGCAGTCTGAGGCCCAAGGCGTCGGAACTGACGAATCTCTCGACCATGGCAGAAGCTGTAGGTGAACCAATCGGTGGTGTGGTAGAGACAGGTCTTTTTCAGTGGATCCAGCAGACCTTGTGCATGCCGAATCAGCTCCTGTCGTGATCGCGAGGAGCTACCGAAGGAGGATGCGTGATGGTTTGCTGACTGCCCTTCACGAGGTGTATGTGTAAAGTCTGGAATCGAGCAAAGTTGAAAGTCATCCGGCGAGGACCTTTGCAGCGTCCACAGAAGTGGTCTTTGATTGTCACTTCCTAATTCGCTCGAGCCGCTGCTGATATCATCGGCAATGGCGAGAGACAAGATGTCGCTGGTCTGCGGTGTTCTTGGCCCTGCCGAGTCCGATGACGAGGAGGAAGATGACTCCTGCTGTTCCAAGATCTTGATGGCATCGCTGTATTTGATCGGCAGAGTAGTGGCTTCCTCACCGAGGAGGCCGTAGTTGACCTGGAAAGCTGGCTTGGCGAAAAGATCCTGAGGAAAGCCGGCAGATGTGGAGATGGCCGCCTCGGTGGTACCTGCTTGGAGGTAGAGCAAGCCCAGCAGGAAGACGATGGATTTGGCGCTCATCGGCGATGTCGAGAGCATGGTGGCGACGCTGTTGCTGCTTCTTCGGAGGATGCTGACCAGGCTGCGAAAACAAGCAGCGAGGCGGTGATGGCGAGAGAGAGGCAGAGAGGTACAGGTCCAACCTGGCAATGGCCTGCAAGCACGAGTCAAGGCTGAGCTGGAAGGTCTGTGACTATAGGAAAGGGTCCAAGCTGCAGTGCATGTGTATCGCACGAAATTCTAAACTGGCTCGAGCTCGCTTTTTGGCGGATGTGGAGTTCTCTTTGGCTGTCACACGGCACTTGGACAGTCTGCCTGTGCACAGACGAGGCGGAAATGGCTGCAATTGGCGGCTGTGCCATCGCACCACCAAATGGGCCATCACAATCAACTCAGCTTCTCACCAACACCATCTCGTCACGGCACAGCAGCCATCGCATCCACCGTCCAAAGCATCGAGGCGTATCCTCGCGTACGACCCGCGCGACCCCGTCCTTCGCAGAATCGACACCTGCAGCCCTACCCTGCGATTTAGTCGGACACCAGCGCGCGCAAATCCGGGCAACGTCTCGCAACACCTCATCGAGAAGCGGGACATCACTTCCCAGTACAGTCAATATCTGACATTTCTGATCGCCACGTAGACGGCAGAGTGCAGCGAACAGCTTCACCATCATCGCTGCAAGATGAGCTCCGGACAAAACGACGATATGAACCCGTTTCAGATTCCCGACGACGAGGGCGGCGCATCCAAGTCATCGCAACCAAAACAGGCTTCTGCAGCATCCTCGCAATCGTCATTACGCAATGTCACCAGCAACGCGAATGCCTTCGATCGGGTAGAGGAGGACGACGATGACCAGGGCTGGACAGGCTCTTCTTCACGTGCTCAAGTCGACTCTGCAACCAATGCGCCATCCTCACCTTCTTCGACGCAGCGCGCTACCTTCGCCTCACCGCTGTCGATCATCGAGATTGTCGATGCACAAAAGTCTGGAGATGGCGGCTCGTCCTATATCGTCTATGTCATCCGCAACGGCACCACCGAGGCTAAGAGGAGGTATTCCGAGTTTGAAGCGTTGCGCGAGGCCCTCATCCGTTTGCATCCGACCATCATCATCGCGCCCATCCCATCCAAGCACACGCTCGGCGACTATGCAGCCAAGCAGAGCAAAGCCAAAGAAGATGCAACCATCATTGCGCGTCGAAAACGCATGCTCCAGAGCTTCTTGCGTCGATGCGACAACCACCCAAAGCTTCGAGGCGACGAGGTGCTCGTAAAGTTCCTGGACGGTCGTTTCCACTGGAATGAGATCACCGCTTCACCGCCTCTGATTCACCTGCCCAAGAACAATCTGCGAGCGCCGGTGCAGAACCCTGCCGATCCACACGCGAGCCCTGCATACGCCCATCTGCCATTGCCTTCGTCAGTGACCTCGTTGAGACATCCCAATCAACGCTTCATCGACTCGGAAGCCTTCACCAACCGATTCGCGAATCATCTGTCCGGCAGCATGGAGAAAGTCAATCGCCGACTGATGCGACGCTGGACAGAGGCTTCGACGGACTACGCCGAGCTGGGTGCTATCCTCAACGGCTTCTCGCTCACCGAGTCCGGGCAGCTCGCGACAGCCATCGAACGAACGGGTCAAGCAGCGGATGCAGCCTACATTGCGACCGGTCAGATGCTCAAGCAGTGGGAGGAAAAGTTCACCGAGCCTCTGCACGAGTACACACAGTTTGCGGCTATCCTGCAGAAGCTGCTCAAGTGGCGCCATCTGAAGCATCTGCAGTACGAGCTGGCGCAAGATGCGCTGGAAGCCAAGAAGACGCAACTCGAGGAGCTTGAGAGGGTGGAAAACGAGGCAAAGAGGTTGGAGGAGGCCTTGGAGCGGGGAGGTGCAGGGCTGCTCAGCGGCGGTGGACGGGTGAGCGGCGGCGGTATTGATGCGAATGGCATCCGCGACGGTGTGGGATCTGGCTTCCGTCCCTCTTCGTCCGTCTATGGACGAAGTGGGGATGACGGCACGAGCGCGAATGGCACTGGCAGCAACGCAGCTAAGAACGGCGTCAACGGTGAAGCAGGCGGTCGCGCCTCCACCGACGCTGACACCACCCGATCTCGCACCACCTCTCCGCCTTCCTCGCCCTCGAAACGTTCCACCTCCCGCTCCAGCGGCTACGGTCTGCTGGGCGCCATCACGCACACGTTCCAATCCGTCATGGACGTCGACCGGGACGCCTCGCGTCGCAGCAACATCTCGAAGCTCCGGGAAGAGATTTCGCTCCTCGAAGAAGGCCTCTCGCTCACCTCGAACGACCTGCACTACGCGACGCAAGCGATCCAGGCGGACCTCGACCGATTCCAGCGCCAAAAGGTGAGCGACTTCAAGGAGATGATGCTCGACTTTGCCAAGATGCACCGCGAGTTTGCGCAGACGAATCTGGAGAATTGGAAGGAGGCCAAGGTGGAGATTGATGCTGTGGAGAAGCCGGCGGGGATGCCGGAGAGCAGCTTGTCGAGGCGGGAGAGGGAGGGGGTAAGTACGCCCGGTGCCGGTGGCGGGCGGAGGAGGTCCTAGACGCACGCGCGCTGTGATGGGAATGACATTGTTGTTGCATCGATGCTGAGGTGTTGAGTGTTGCTGCCTTGGTGAGGTTCGTGTGTGTGCAGAATCGTACGGCCTTTTGCTGGTCACAGGACGGTACACACGACTGAGACGTGCCGTGTCAGGCGACGACCGAATGGCTATACCAGGCCACATTGCATCTCAGAGCCGAGCAGCCGCCTACCTCCTTGTTTTATAATACGTACGAGGGGGCGTGCTGCAAATCAGCGTTCAGACCCCGCTGTTGGAACCGACGCAACCAAATCCCGTCCTGTCTTTGTTCCTTGGTTGGAGCGGTAACGTGTTGGTTCGGAGTGGCAAATACCGCGCCTTAAGCGAGGTGGGTGGCGCGGGAAACGTTGTTTCTGCCTTCTTGTCCGCCTAGCCGCACCCTGCTCGCGTCCTTTGTGGAACGATGTTCTGCGCATTCAGCGGAATTGGGGCGGGTCGAACGTGCAAAGCCCGCCCTCCGCCTTCTAGCTCAGGGGCAGAGGCGCAAGCGAGCAGAGGATCGGAAGAGCAGGCTAGGGTGGCAAATGAGCAGTGCAAGAGAAGGACCCTTCCCTTTCTCCCGCCTCGCTTAGAACGTTTTCGCTCGTTCGGTCGGCTAACTGACTCTTTTCCCACGAGTCGCAGATCGTGCAGCGGCGGCACCATGCCTCTGGGTTCGCTCCAACAAGGCGCTTACAGCTTTCCCGAGCTACAGAGCGTTGAGAATCATTCGCCGTAGAGGGCCGCGCACCAACAGCCGAACAAGGCCTTGCGCACGCCCGAAGGTCCCAGCGAGACTCCCCTATATAGGCGCATACCCCCACCTGTCTTTGGTAGCTAATGTCGATCCCCTCCTCTTCATCAGCCAGGACCTCCTCTTCTTCAGCCAGGACCTCCTCTTCATCAGCCAGGACCTCCTCTTCTCCCCCTGACGACGGTGTCCCTGCGCACGATCTCATCTAGACGCATCTGGCCTTCATATCTGGAACAGCATATAAACACGACCCCTCCCTGCGCAAGAACCATGCGCTTCACGGCCCTCCTCACCGCCATGACGGCCGTTGCGACCAGCGTGGTCAGCGCAGCGCCAGCGACCGGAGCTGCTGCGGCCTGCTCTGACCTGCTCGCCTCGCTCCCCAAATCTGTCCTCATCCAGACCTCTCCAACCTACACCCCGGCGCAAAATGGTGGCTTCAACCCGCTCAACAACAAGCTCTCGCCTTCGTGCATCGTCCAGCCAACGTCGGCTTCCGACGTCGCCACCGCCATGCGAGCCGTTTTCAAGCACAAGGCGAACTACGCCGTTCGCAGCGGTGGTCACACGGGCATGGGTGGGTGGGACAGCACCGACGGCGGTGTGCTGTTGGACTTTTCGCTCATGCGCGATTTCTCCTACTCCTCCTCGGCTGGAACGGTCACTGTTGGACCCGGACTCCGGTGGGGTGAGGTGTACAACATGTCGGAGGCATACGGCGTGGCTCCCCTGGGTGGCCGGGTGTACCACGTCGGCACGGGTTTGGTGCTCGGTGGTGGACTGAGCCTGTTGAGTCCCCAGTATGGGTATGCGTGCGATGGTCTCGTTAGCGCCGACATCGTTACGGTCGATGGACGCATTCGAACCGTTAACGCTCAGACGGACCCTCAGCTGTTGAGGGCTATCAAGGGCGGTGGCGGTCGATTCGGTGTCGTCACCAAATACGAACTTCGCGCCTTCCCAACCGGTCGAAACAGCGATAAGAACTGGTACGGTGGAAGCATCACCGTTTTAACTCCCACAGGGATCGATCAGATGGTCGAATACTCGGAAGACTTTGTTGCGACCCCCGATGATCCCAAGGCAACACTGCTGTCCAATGTCGGAATGCTCAAGCAGGCCGGAGTACCGGTGTACCTCGGTACGACATTTGCCTTCTACAAAGGTGGCGCCGAGGATTTCAACCGTGTCTTTGGTCAATTCCTCGCGATTCCCGGTGCGATTGTGGATGTCAAACCCATCTCGTACCTCGAAGCGACGCAGGTGACGCCGTTGGGCTGGAAGCCTACTCAGGCGTACAAGTGGATCGGCGGCTCGCACTACGCTGGTAACAACACCACTCCTCTTCCCCTCCTCCCCACCATTCCTGTCCTCAACGAACCCACGCCAACCAAGTTCCTCGGCATCTGGCGCAATGTTCAAGCGCTTATCGTCAAGCACGTGGATGTGCTCGAGAGCGCCTTCTTCTCCATCACCCCCGTGGGCACCACCCAGATCGATCAGGGTTATGCCGCAGGTGGAAACGCTATCGCCCCTCCCCAGGGACGGAACTTCATGCACTACCTCTTCTCCAACATTTTGGCTGATGGAACGACGGATTTCCCTGCCGACTTCGAGGCCGATCGTCAGCAGTTTATTAAGGATAACCCGAGCGACGCTGGCTTGCCCCTGTTCTTGAACGAGGTGGATGCCACCCAGGAGGCCTTCAAGAGCTATGGCTGGTACGATCAGCTCAAGAGGCAGTACAAGAGGTTTGACCCGACTGGGTTCAGTCTGAGGTTCCAGCAGGGCCCTACGTTTTAGAGTTGTGTAGATTCGAGTTGGAATACATGATGACGTTGATTGCGATTGATTGTAAATGTTGACTGTGGATTGATGGTGAGATTGACTGTGGATTGACGGTAATCGTGGATTCACGTTGACATTGATTGTGGATTGACGGTGACATCAATTGAGACTCATGACGACACGTAAATGTTGGCGACACGATGGTCAGATTGATTGCAAAGTGCGGATATGTTTGCTGCGTATACTGTGCGTGAGGGGTCATGCTGGAATCGAGAGTGGGACTGCAGGATGCAGCAGATGAGGTGGAAGATTCATAGGACGCCGTTGGCAGGGAGGGCGTCCTTGAGGAGATCAAGGAAGGATCGAACGCTCTCGTCCTCATTCTCGTCCTGTCGAGTAGAGCAATGAAGATCGTATGCGTTGCGGAGGATGCCTTTGAGAGCTTGCGCCTGGTCTGCTGCCGTGGCTGTGGTTGCAGTCTCGACGCGACCCTCCCTGACGCCAGAGGTAGTAAAGGACGTCTGTTCAGCACCACCAACGTGGATGTCGCCCTTTCTGCTTGCCTGCTCACCGCGAGGCGTGTCTCTGAGAGATGCTTCCCGGTCCCTTGCTGGTGTTGTGGTCGCCGGCTCGAGGCGACCGGTAGCAGCGAACGACTGCTCTGTACCGCCCTCCGGCACGTTGCCCTCTGTGCGAGCCTCCTTCATGGCCTGGTACTTGGTCAAAGACTCATCTGCGTCGTTGCTGTGCTCGGCGCCTTGATTCGCCTCCTCCTTTGGCGCATCTGCCTCGACCTTGTCCCAACTGTGGCTGCATTCTTCTGTCCACCAATGGAATCCCTTGACGTTCTTCTCCTCCTTCTGGGTCATGCTGAACATGTTGTCCAGCTGCGCTTCGCCATGCGGCGTCAGGACGTGTTAAGCTGTGAAGGGTATAGAGGCGCTGTTGCCGGGCAAGGCAGCTTTGACGAATTGGAGAAAGGCCTCGACCGAGTCTTCGCCTGTGCTTGCAGATTGTGTTGTGCGATGCAGCGTGTAAGCGCTGCGTATGATGTCCTTGATCGCTGCTTCCTGGTCGGCTGATGTGGCACTTGTCGACGGATCAACAATCCCGCCAGTCTGAGCAGCAGACGCCTGTCCTTCCCCTTGCGCGCGAGCAGTGCCTTTTCTGTCCACCTCCTCGTCGTCCGAGTATCCGGCCCAAAAGTCGTCTGCGTCATTGATATACTCGGCTCCTTGACTCCCTTCTTCCTCGTCTTCCATCTTGACCCTTGTCCAGCTCCGTCTGCAATCCTCTGTCCACCTGTGCAGCCGTTCAATCTGCGCCTCCTCCTTCTTATACAGCACAAACAGGTTGTCCAGCTGTACCTCCTCGCTCTCGTCAAAGACCACGGTCATATACAGCCTCATGTCGCACTCGTGAGGCCGTGGCAATCCCACGAGCACTTTGCGTTGGGTGTGCCAGGCGTCGCAGCAGAGCGCCTCGAAGCCATGCGACTCGATCGGGTCTCGATCCGTGTGGCGCGCGAATTGTTGCACCTGACTGCGTTTGAAGAACAAGAGTGATGCGGTCATTTCGAGGTGTGTCGTGTGGATGCCGAGCTCGATGGGCGAGCGTGAGAGCCATGAAGCGAACGCTCGGTGCGATGCGATGCACTCGTCCTCCGTGACGGTGCGGCGATGTGGGTAGTCGTCGTCGTGGCCGAAGTCGCACGCATGCGGTGGGTCGATAGGGAGACCAAGCATACGTTGCCGCATGAGCAGGTCAGGGGAGCGCTGCGGGACGGGAAGTGAAGGCGGTGTGGTGAGAAGAAGAGGCACGAGCACCGGTCGAATCAACTCGCGCACGGCTTTATGATGATCGCTTTGTAGGCGTGGAGAGGCGAAGTTGAGATGGTCCGATGCCCACAACCTCTCGGCTGAGTAGATGGGAATCTGCCGCGGCATTTTGGCGTAGTTGCGGCGATTTGCACGTTGGGTGCAGGATGTCAGAGACAAAGAAGAAGTGGTTGATGGGACCGAGGAACGGAGAGACGTCGAACATGGCCGCTTTTTCAAGCGCTTAATTCGCCGAGACCACTTGGACCCTGTCCGACTCAGCCAACGTCACTCTTCTGCTCCACCACCGTCCCGCATCTTGCGCACCTCAACATGATCACCTCACGGCAGCGCTAATCCACACTGCGTCATGACCGAGGAGCCCTCCGCTTCCTCCCGCGGCACTCGCCGGTCGCGCCACCGTTCACCGCCCACCTCCCTCCCGGCGCACTTCGCACGCAAAGGCTACCTCTCCGTTTCGGACCTCGTCGGCCCCTCATGGTGCGAGTACAACTATCAATATGGTATCCTGTCCCTCTCCCATTTGCCACCGTCGCAACGACCCGCAACAATCACCACAGAGACCGGAACAACGCTCGCGGCAGCACCACAGCTGGTGCTCGCCAAAGAAGCGACGTTGACAGCGGGCAAGGCGGTACACACGGTGCTCGAGCGCGAAGTCGCACCTGTCACCGTCGTCGTCGAGACGCAAACCAAGGAGGATGGGTGGGCGTTGAGGCTGTTGAATCTGTGGTGTGACGTGCAGGGGTTGCTGCAGCTCGAGCCAGGGAGTGGGAAGGGAAAGGGGGTAAAGTGCGTACGTGAGGTCCCCGTGTACGGGTGGGTCCACGGCGTGATGGTCATGGGCGTGATCGACGAGATCGAGAAGCGAAGCCTCCAGCCCAGTCCAAGAACAGAGAAGGGCAAAACTTGGGCTAGCCAGGAGGAGTGGAAGAAAGATCAGCGGAAGAACTCCAGCCCGAAGAAATCCTCCAGTGCAAGCACAGCGAAACCGCTAATGGCATTCTTCAGCTCCCAATCCAAACCACCCGATCCGGAACCCGCACCATCTGCAGAGCAAAAACGATGGGACTACTTTCTGTCGGACACAAAGACGAGGATATCCTCCTGGCTTCCGGCGGAGGAGGATCAGCACAGTGCACGGATGCAGTGCATGACGTACAAACGGCTCTTCGACGGGCTCCTGCTGGGCGCTCTTCGTGGCGAAGATCACAGGATGGGATTCGACCCGAAAGCAACGCCCATGGACTGGGATCAGACATTTGCGTCGCTCGATCTGGACCCACATCAGCCGTTGTCGGAGGCGTTCTTGAGGGACGCAGAGCCGTTGTGTCAGAGCTGGGGAACGGAGCTGGGGTTGTGGGTTGCGCAGAATGAGGCTGACGTGTGCACGTTAGATCACATACGGCTGTTGTTGGAGCAGGGGTTGAGGGGGCTCGTGGAGGATGCGAGACACGGGCACGGGCAGGAGAATAAGGATGGGGAAGGAAAGATTGCGGTGATACAGGAGACACTTGCATTGACGTATAGGAGACAGAAGCAGCGGCGGCGGGGGAAGCGGAAGAAGGCGGCTCCTAATCATGTCTCAAACGGAAAGCAGGAGCAGGACGGTGATCTTCGTCAGTTGACGCTGGAGGACAGCATGGCTGCTGCGGGCGATGAAGCTGTGACGCTCGAGGACAGCGTCCCAGCTGCAGATGGTGAGGCCGTCACGACAGAGGGTGCGATCGAGTCGACCCTCGCTACCGACCCGCCAGCGACGGAAGCAAAGAAATCCCTCGACGCCATGGAAGGACACAACGACGCACTCGAGGCGATCTCGACCGCGCTCTCCCCGCCACCTTGCACGCCTCGTCGCCGAACCACCTCTCCCACTTCACCCACACCCACAACCCCTTCGTCACCATCACCACCAGCGTCCATCATCGGCATCGTCACCTTCGCCCACGACCCTCCCACCCTCGATGCATACCTCCACCGCATGATCCGCATGTGGAAAGGCGAGCGGGCGCTCGAAGGAGTCCGCATCGACCAGACGCGTCGCTGCTGGACGTGCGAGTGGATGGACGGGTGCGAGTGGCGTACTCAGCAATCTAACCGGCGCGTTGTCAAGCCAGACTCGGAGGAAGAGGGCGAATTCTGGTCCAACTTGGATTACGAATCGATCGAGGTGCGCGATTCGAGTGGCAACCTCGTGGATTGGTAGGCAGCACAATCCATCTCGTGTTTTGTGTGTGGATAGGCTAGCGTGTGCGAGAGGACAGGATCGGTTCGGCGGGGTCCCATGGACCTTTGATCTCCATCTTCCACCGTTGAGCGCGGGTGATCCACCATGGACATACCAGGGATACGAACAGCACAGCTACGTTCACCCAAGCACCCACGACCCACACCCACCCGCCTTGGCCTGTCATGGCAAATAGCAAGCCCGTGACCATGGTGAGCACGTACATTGTCGCGCACCTCACACCTTCTCCCCACCCGTTCCCCTCCCCTTGCCACGTGGTCGGCGCAAACAGCAACACCGCCAGCGCCAGCAAGGTAAAACTCTCGCTGTCGGTCTTCAACCGCGAGGCCAGAACGACACTTGCCGAGATCGCAGCGTTGAACGACAACGTGCTGCTCAGCTTCCCGCCTCCTTTTGCGGCAGAATAGTCGGCGAGAACGAGATGCAAGGTGAAGAGCATGACCGAGAGCGCCCAGATGCTGTCCGACGTGGTCGACTCTGTGAGTGTTCGTAGGACGGGCGATACGGCGAGCAGGACCAGAGCCATGATTGTTTTGGTGAGAATGCTGGAGACTGCTCGTTTGCGACGCGTTCGACGGTCGACACTCGCGAAGGTGCTGAAAGATGGAAGGCCGGAGAGGAGGAGGAAGGCGAGGAGCGTCAAGAGAAGTAGAACCTCCGAGTCGAGGGTCGAAAGGTGCAGATGCACGAAAAGGAGCGCGAACAGGATCACGCTGAGGAAGCGCGTCGAGATGCGGAGCGATGCGACGACCAGCTCGGCGAAGGAGGGCAGGACGACTTGCGAGTTGGTGCGCAGGTCCGAGAGGAAGGAGGGCGGGACAAAGTTGTCTGCGAAGGGCTGCTTGCGCCAGAGGACCTTTTCGAATTGGACCTGATCCGCGGCTGGGGCGGGGGTCGTTGTCGACATGCTTGATACACCGCCGTAGTGATGACAGAGTGGCTGCGGGATGGAAATGCTATCGACCACCGCCAGAAATGCCTGGCTTGCCACCGCGTTTGCGAGCGTACACCACCTTGTCCTGATCCCTGCCTCCCTTGCCTTTGTCCTTCCTCGCCTTCTTGGACGAGCTCGGTGACGGTGCTTGCTCCTGCTGCTCGTTGCGTTTGCCCTTATTTGACTTGCTGAGGGACCCCGGTTTGACGAAACCTCTCGGCTTCTCGTCCTCGCTCTCGTCCTCGTCGAAATCTGGTTCTGCTCCTTCGTCGTCGTCTGTTCCTCTTGATCGCTTCTTCGAATCTTCTTCGTCGTCCTCCTTCTGTTTTCCAAGCTTGCCGAAGGTCTGCCGTGAACTTGATTTCCCTGTGCTCTCTCCTGATTGCTCCTCTTTCTCTCTGGTGATCAACCAAGCGTCGAAGCCAGCCTCCTGCTCGATGGTCGGTCCCGGCTTCTTCGTCTGACCTTGTGCCTTGGCCCGTAACCTCGCGATGGCAGCCGGTGAAAGCGACCACTGTTCCTCCTCGCCGCCTATTGACGGGGATCCAGGGACGGATGTGGACGGCGAACCCGGTGTCGCCGGTGTCGAAGGGAGTGTCGAGGTGGAAGACTTTGTCGGGGTGGAAGAGGGCGAGGCACGTTGCATGAACTTGAGCGCATTGACGCGCCCGCTGAGCGAGTGGACGGTGGCCGATCGACCGGGTGGTGCTGACATCGGCGCTGTGTTGGAAGGTTGTCCGGACGATGAGGACCGCAGTGCTGACCAGAGTGGTGATGGGAGGGGAAGAAGTCGTTCAGAAGGTGGAAAAGACTTTTGTGCAGCGAGATTTCGCGCTCAGGCATCGCTACAGTTTTCGACGTTAAAAAATAAGGCTCGAATAAAGGGCCTACTAATTGGAGGTCGCGTATATCTGCTCAAAATCGGTATAGTATGCTACACTCAGTCATCGTCACCGACAAACCCATCGTTCTCCCTCGGATCCGCCCTCCTGACTCTCGTCGGGTTGACGAGCGAAGTCAACCTCTGCGAAGCCTGTGTCTGCGTATCGCCACCCACCGGTGGAAAATCATCCGAGCTCGGCGCCTGGGGACCTGACCCGCTGCTACTCCGTTCTATCCCCCTCCTCGATTCAGACGACGCCGACGACGACGGCAGCTGGATCGATCTCTGACTCGCACTTCCCGTGATCCTCGGTCTGAGTCCCACCACCGGACGTCCCCTCGTTGTCCGCGCGTTGGAGGCAGAAGGAGCGGCGAGCAGCGACCGGTACTTGTGTCTCTCCTCGCGCAGGGCCTGCTGTGTCTCCTCGAGCTTCCGAAGCAGTTGATCGCGCTCGAGCGACATTTTTACGTCGCCTCGCTCGATGTGTGGTGCCAGCTCGGCCGGGTTCGGCGATAAGGGTGGTGGAGCGTACGGCGTGTTGCTCAACACAATGCTCGCCGTCCGCACCAGCGCCTGCCTGTCGTCCAGCCGAGAAAGTGTGAGATGCACATAGTCGTTTTCGGGATCGAGCAGCAGATTGATCGAAGTCCAATCGCGAGGTGATGTGGAAGTGGACGGTTGGACACCAATCATGATGGCTTGGTGGTGGAAGATGGTGCGGAGTCTGTCGCGAAACTCGATGCATTGTGCCTGGGTGAGGTACTCCGGGTCGAAGGCGAGGGCGCTAGCTTTGCCCAGATGAGGTTCTTGGGGAGGAGCGAACTTGGTGACGAGCTGCTGGAGAGCGGGGCCCTGAACGCTGGCGCTCCACCAAGCGGCGTCGCTGCCCACGGTGAGGATGAACGAGCCGAGCCTGTTTGGCCCACGGGCGGGAGCGGAGGAGCCGCTGGCGTGTCCATCCGCTTGTGACTGCGGCTCGTGAAGGAAGTACTCGATAGCGACGGCGTACTTGCGGAGAGTCGATTGATCTGTCGCGATGACAGTCTGCAAGCCGTGCAGCTCCCGCATTACGTCGTTCATCCTCTGAGACTAGCGCTGCGGATGCGGAGATGGAAGCGTCTACGCCAATCAAGCGTCATATCTCCATCAGGAGAGTCGAAGCTAGCTATATGCGCACATGAGACGTCTACGCTCCGTCGATACGTGTTCGAGGAAGGTCGAGGTTGCGGGATGTATGCAGTCAACATCCAGGTGGGCTTGGAAGCAAGGGCTGCAGCTCGAAATGAAATGATCTGCCTTGGACCCTGCAGCATCCAAGACTCGCCGATTTCCGAGTCTTTCACTTGGAAGCTTTGATGGCGAGCAAGTCGTTCAGATGCATCCCTCTCGCTCACATCACTCATTCTCCAGCTCCTAGCACACATCGAGGCGGTCACAGTTGAAACAGAGAATGCTGCATTCAATCCAGTGAGATCTGCACGATCCTTTTGCTACCCTTGTCCGACGACCAGCCTAGTAAGCATACTCAAAGTACGGGTTCTGCCAATCGGTCCAATCCTCGAGGATGGCGCGCGTCTTGATCTCGTCGACCTCCTCCTTTGTCTTTGCCTCTGCCTCCCTTGCCTGCCTCCTTGTCTTGTTCTGCCACCAGAGGCCAGCGTCCAGGATGAGTGTGAGTACAATGGTGATGGCCATGCATGAAATAATCGCGACGAAGGTTCTGCGATAATGAATAGGTGCCTCGGAGGCGAGCGTCAGGTACGGCGCGATGATGTTTCCCACGTTGTATCCCGCGAACACAAATGCCGAGGTGATGCTCTGCTTGGTCGCGCCTGCGACGTTGGCGGTAGAGAGCGAGAGCATGAGCACGAACGGAGCGCCAAAGATCGGCAGCAGATAGTAGCCTGCCAGGGGCACGGCGCGGTTCGCCCAGTTGCCCTTCCAAATCATCGCCGCACCCGCCATCACAGGCAAACACGTGAGCACCAACAACACCGACCGCGAGTTCTTCACCTTCAACACAATGATCGTCGAGAGGTAGATCGAGATGCACGTCGTCGCTCCACCAGGCGTCTGGAGGATGATGGAGCGCAGAGAGGTGTAGCCGAACGAGCGAATGATGTACGCGCCGAAGGCGGTGACGCCACCGTTGCAGATGTAGATGCTGATGGCCTGAAGGAAGAAGATGTAGAGCTTGTAGTCGAGGAGCGCCTCTTTGGCCTGGGCGAGGTTCCAGCGCTCGCGGATGCCAGAGGTCGAAGCGGCGACGTTCAGCGATGCCAGGCGGTCTTTGAGTCCGGCTGTTGGGAGGGGTGTGGCGGGCACTTCAGTGAGGGCGTCCTTGGTGGGGGTAGTCGAGTGCTCGTCGACAGTGTCCTCCTTGTGATTGTCTTCCGAGCTGGTGCGCAGAGTGGATGAATCGTCGTTCAGCTCGCCGGTGATGTTAGAGCGCAGACGACCAGAGGCCAAGCTCTTCTCCTCGGGAGAGAAGCGGTTGTAGCCGGGAATCTTGAGCAGCGCATCACCAACGGGAGAGGATGGCAGCAGAGCCAGCATGACCACACCAAAAAGAATGGTGAACGCTCCGGCGAAAAGGAACATGTACTTCCACGCTGCGAGCTTGGCTCCGGACCGACTGCCAGCCCTGCCGAGTCCGTAGTTGACCAGGCCCGAGAAGATGGAGAAGAGACCCGTAGCGGAGTACCAGATGCCCAGCCTGAGGGGCTGTTCAGACCTCTTGTACCACGAGCGGGTGATCATGACGAAGCCTGGGCTGACAGCACTCTCGATGGCGCCCAGAAAGAACCGTTGCGCGATCAAGCCTCGCCAGCTACCGATGGCAGGGGTAAGGATGACAATGATACCCCAGAGAACGATGGCACAGCCGAGGAAGACATTGGGGCGGAAACGCTGTACGAGCAATGCCATAGGCAGAGCAGCGACGAGGTAGCCCCAATAGAAAGCCGAGGTGGCGGTTGAGTAGCGCTCGAGCGAGGTCTTGGCAGGAGGGCCGGGATGCACGACAGACAGCTCGAGGTCCTTGAGGATGCCGAAGATGGAAGCCGAGGCGAGGATGGCCTTGTCGTAGAATTGAAGACCGTAGGCGACAGTCATGAGTGGCATGAGGAGCAGGTCAATCTTCCAAAGGAGGCGTCGCTCCGAGATGGCTGCGACGCCACTAGCGGCTGCATCGTGCGACACCATCTTGAGGTTCGCACGGGAAGCACCTTTGAGGATGATGAAGGATGGTGGAAGGAAGCAGACAAGTCGCAGACTTTGTGGTAAAAAGTAGGGCAAGGGGCAACTTGGCATGAAGAATCTTTACAGAGATTTGTGCCACGAGGGAGTGGCAAGGGTCTTGATAAGACAAAGAAAAGCGCGCGGAAACAAGCGGCGCAAAGGATAGCGGACTTGGCGTTGAGAAGATTGAGGCTTTTGCAGGCTGCAGAACGAGTCACATCAGCCTGATCCAGATCGACAAGGTGGGCCAACTCGGCCCCTCACGTCCAAGCTAACAACCTCCTTGCGAATCAAGGAACAAGCCAGATCTTCGGACCGAAGGTACAAGATCGATCCCGTCCTGCAACTTCCTATCTGCGTGAGACGCCGCTGATCTGCGTCTGCCACGAGGCGATCAAGCATCTGTATTCAATCAACGAGGCCATCGTGCGGACCGCTCTGGTGGCACACGATGAAAAGCTTGCACAATTTCAAATACCGTCAAGTATTCGTGGTTATGCATGGTGGCGGCCTAACAAGAGACTCGGTTCTTCTTTGCATGTTAGGTCCCACCTTCGAAGTGGAGGATGCAGGTCAAAAGAGTCAGGTCATGAACACCTTCCAAACGCTGTCCCTTCCTTCCTTCTCAGCATAGAACAAGATCAGCGCAGCTTACGCGCAGGCTCAACAGCAGAGATGGCAGCGCCAAGTAGGGCCTCGACCAAGGTGCTTGCGACGACTGCCGAGCTCATCAACGGCCTGCACAGCAAAACTCCACTCAGAGCGACAGTAAGGCTTGCGACCTCATCGCAGACTCGACCGCTCCCGACTGCGTGTCCAAGACGCTGGCAGAGCTCGTCAAGCTCAGCAATACCTCTCAAGGCTAGATCATTCACCTCTGCAATTTCGGCTCGTGCTGCCGAGAAGCGACCCGAAACATCACGCCCAACACTCGCCGACCTGCCGGACAAAGTGGACGTCTCCGTCGGCCCTGCCGGTCGTCTATCCAAAGTCATCCCAGCCCGCAGTGGCTCCAAGATCACCACTCGAGTCGGCAGCAGCTATGCTGGCACACACACATTCTCCTGGGAATCTCCACCCTCGAACGTCCTCATCGTCAAGAAAGCCCGAGATACTCGAGCGACCAAAGCCATGTCCCGTATCATCAAGCATATCCGCGAAGAGTACCCTTCGCTCAACATCATCCTCGAGCGGCAGGTGATCGATTCGAACGACGGCGATCTTGCCAGCACGTATCCGGAGCTGATCTCGGCCGATGCGGGGGAGAAGACGTTGTTGGCGCAAAAGACGGATTTCATCATCACGCTCGGAGGGGATGGGTCGATACTGCACGTCTCGAGTCTGTTCGATCGGGACGCGGTGCCGCCCGTGCTCAGCTTTTCGATGGGCACACTCGGCTTTCTGCTGCCGTACGATATCAGTGGGTATAGAGAGGCGGTGAAGGATATGGTGGAGGGGAACGTGAGTCTGCTCTTGCGCATGCGGTTGAGGCAGACGAGCCACCGGTCGGACGGCGAGACGTTCTGTCAGGTGGAGGATCAACGGTCCGGTGGGGGCTGCTATGACGTGCATCTGATGAACGAAGTAACTCTTCATCGCGGTCGAGAGCCACACATGACAAAGATCGACGCGTATGTTGACGGTCAGCATCTCACACAGGCGATCTCGGACGGACTCATCATTGCGACGCCCACCGGGTCCACTGCGTACTCTCTCTCGGCAGGCGGTCCCATCGTCCATCCATCCGTGCAGAGTCTGGTGCTCACCCCGATCTGCCCGCGATCGCTCAGCTTCAGGACCGTCCTGCTTCCAAGCGACTCGGTGATCCAGCTCAAGATCTCGGACGACTCGCGCTCGCCCGCGGAACTCACCGTCGACGGTAGGATATCCAAGCTCCTCCAGCCCGGAGAGTATCTGCAGGTGTCGATGAGCCCGTTTCCCATTCCCTGTGTCAGTCGCAAATGGTCCGACGAGCAACCTCCGCCGAACACTCTTTCGACCGCGGCGAGCTCGCCGGCACAGATGGCAGACCCAGGGGAAAAGTACTCGGACCGAGGCGAGGACGATTGGGTGCGCGATATCAATACGCTGCTCAAGTTCAATGCTAGTTTCGGCGGAAGGGGTACGCTCAGTGGCAATGGCGGATTCGAAGAGGACGAGGAGTAGAGGTGCGACCGCGATTCTTACTACAGTCAATCACAACATCGCACACGACAGGACACTTCCGAAGTGCTTCGATTGTTTCTGAAGAAGGCTGAGCAGGACCGACCGACGATCAGTCGCGCAATCGCTTCTCCGCCTGACTCCTCTTGCTGTCCAGTGCGGCGAGCTTGTCCTCCTTGCTCGCGTCGTACGCGACGCTGAGTTGGTTGAACGGGTTGTCGGGGTGTTTCTGGAACTGCTTGTACAGCAGATCGTGGTACTGCTGCAACCTCAGACCCTTGTGTTCCTCCTTGATGATCGGCAATTCGCGCTCCTTGTACGCCTCGAAAGCAGCCTTGAACCTTCTCTCTGGATGCCTTTCGATCTGGCTCGCTGCTGCGCCCTTGCCGGCCTTATCGCTCCTCTCATTGACCAACGACATGGCGTCCAACGCATCATCGAGGTTGCTCGCCGAGAAGCTCGGCATGGCATCGATACCCGTCGACCCACCGGACTTGAGCGCCGACTTCTTCGGTGCACCCTTGCCCTTGTTCGCCGACTTGACGGGCGCTGTGGGGGTCGAAGCTTCGTCTTCCGCCTCGAGCCGTCGCTTCTCATCGGCTTTGCGAGCTGCTTCGGCTGCTTTGTCGGCTTTCTTCTCGGCCGCAGACTTGCCTTTGCCGCCAGCGGGGTCGTCCCATCGCGCAGCTTCTTCTGCTTCGGCCCGAGCAGCGGCTTCCGAGGCCTTCTTGTCCTCGTTGGCCGCCTTCTTGGCTCGTCCGGACTCCTTTTTCGCGTTGCCTCCACCTGTGTGGAGAGGAAACAGGTTCGAAGCTGCGTCAGTGAGACTAGTCGGGGACGAGAAAGGTTGCAGTTGGTAGCAGTGTGGATCGACGTACCTTTGGCTGGCATGATTGCGACTTGTAATGGGATCGAGGTGTGGTGGAGGGAAGATGAAGGAGTTGCGTGCTTGGTCGGTCGATCACGTCCTTGCGAAATTTAGAGCTGCCTTTTGGTGGGCTCGAAACCTCCACTCTTCTACTGCGCACCGGCCAGGTTGCTCACCCTCTCCCCACCATCTTCCCATCACTTCTTCATCCGTGTCGATCTTCACCATGTCAGCTCGCTCGCTCATCCGTGCTGCCAGGCCACTGCGCACTCTGCCTATTGCGCTCTCGCGCACTGCCGTCGGCCCTTGCCCCGTTGCCTTGGCCCGCGTTGCCCCTGGCCCGCTCGCCCTCACCCACCGCACGTTCACTTCGACCCCTCCGGCTCGCAGCAAAGACGCCACCTGGCAATCCCGTGGCATCGTGAAATATTCAGAACTCAAGCCCGAGACCGAATCTCCTTCTGGTGACATCACAATCATCGACGTCCGTGAACCCAACGAGGTAGCTCAGGGCATCATTCCTTCCGCCGTCAACGTGCCCCTCTCGCAGTTCCAAACCGCCTTCAGCGGCAGCGGTGGCGATTTCGAACGTCAATTCGCCTTCCGTAGACCGGAGTACGATGATAAGGTGGTCTTCTACTGCCGAAGCGGAAAGCGCAGTCAACAGGCGTTGGAGTTTGCCCAGAAGAACGGTTGGTGGAAGTAAGTAGAACCTCAAACAGAGCTGATGTACAGAGAGACAGAGTGCTGACGTTGTTGCGTTCAAAAAACAGCGTGAGGAACTACGAGGGGAGCTGGCTCGACTGGGTCCAGCAGGAAGAGGCTAGAGGACAGGCTAGCAAGATCAAGGAGGACGACGACTGAACCAGGCTCCTCACATTTCGACATTGTCAATGCAATGATCAACGTCTCTTCGAATCGAAAGCCGAGGCAAGGAATCGTGCGATGGCCGTCGTTCCAAATCACCCTCTCGCGCATACCGGAGCCGTCGGCTTCCATCTCACCAATCCCCCACTGATCGACCTGCGATGGAGAAAATCAATCATGCTGGTATTACACTAAGCCTCTTCGCGTCTGTATCTGTACAGCGTGGCCGCAGTCTTCTTCGCTTCGTCGATGCTTTTGTTGTCACTCCCACGGCTTTAGACTGTGGTGGCCATCTCGCGAGCCTGCTGCCTGACGCGCCTCTCGTACGCCTGGGCGTCCTTCTGGAACATGGTGAACGCCTCGCTCTGCGCCGGATCGTGCGGGTTGGGGTCGTTGAGCAGATCCTGAATACCCAAAAGGATCTGCTTGATGGTGATGGCGGGCTTCCAGCCCTTGTCTTCGTCGAGGATGCTAAGGCAGACGGTGCCGGAGGGGAAGACGTTGGGGTGGAAGAGCGGGGGTGTGAACTTGCACTTGGGCGGCTTGCTGGGGTATTCTTCGGGGAAGAGCATCTTGAGCTTGTACACGCCGCCCTCCCATGGCGTCTGAGCGGCGGGGAAGCAAAGCGGATCAGAAGGAGTGGTAGAAGACAGTCAGCCGTGATGCTTCTTCGAGGTTTCGAGGGTGCGGAGCAGGGGAGAGACCTACGTTTGCTTTGCCTGGAATGCCGACTTCCCAGTTCATGAGATCGAGCGATCCATCTGCTGCTTTTGCTGGACGTGCGAAGAAGCCCTACGAGGTCGATCACATTTATGCGGAGCAGATTGCGGAATAGGTCAGCTAGTGCGGCACGAGTGGGAGACTGGATTGAGAGCACCTACGAATGGGTGGTCTTTGCGCCACTGCTTGCGCTCCTCTGCAAGTCGGTTCCTGCAAATGCCCGACATGCTGAAGGCCTACGAGATGATGGTGATCGCGGAGCGGTGGAGGTTGCGGATTGCTTGCGGAGCTGAGACCGAGCTTCGATGCTGCTTGATGACGGTCGTGCGAAGGATGCGTGGAGATCGCGAGACCGAGGTTGAGCTTCGTAGAAGAGCCGCGGTGAGATGATGCACTTTGCGTTCGTAGATGCGGGTTGAGGTGCAGGAGAAGTGGAGGGCAGAGACGAGATGCAGCCGAGCGACGACTGGTAATGCTGTGTGGTTGACGAGCTTGCTAGCACAGTGCTTTGCCCTGCGTTTCGTTCGTGGGAGAGAGTCGATCGATATGCGGCTCGAGGCGATGGTGGTAGTGTTGGTGGAGGTCCAAGGCTCAGTCAAAGGTGATGATGTAGGAGGTTCACAATCCCAATCGTGAAGATGCGGGAAAGCAACACTCGCCTCAGCCTTTCCATCTAACACTTCTTCTAGGAAAAAGACTCGGCACGTGATGCACACGGCGGTTGACGTTTACAGAGGTCTAACACACTGGAATTTTGCGCTCGTAAGTCCGTCGAGGCGATGGACCTTTCCCTACTGCCCCATCCGCTCAACGCATTGTCTCCAGCTGGACTGCATGTCGGGTGGCCATACGCCGGCATGGATCGTATCGCCTGATGTCAATGAGAAAGCGAAGCACTTCAAAGACCTTCTCAGGCTGGTGAAAGAGAGCAGAAGAAACGTTGAAGGCAGTCGGCGTATGGCCATTTGAAGCTCAAAATACTGGAGGGGGCCCTGGTGAATACAAAAGAGTTGAAATACGCTTACGCCGCACCAGGCATGTTTGAATTGAACACGACGCAGTCTGGCGTGTTTGCTTTCAGGTCTGGCTTGCTGAGCCGCTGAGGATGAGCTCTAAATTTACCCTTCCGCTGCCAGTCTTGAGCCGAAGAGGCGATTTGGTCCCAAATCTGCGTCATCTCTCTTTGTGTAAAGAGCAGCACACAACGTCAGAGCCGAAAGCGCTCTCTCTGTCTCTCGTAAACGCGTCGTCAAGCAGACACGCTGCTTTGTCTGGCACAGACCGAACGGCCAACGGCACAACGTTCAGAGGGGCAAAAGCACAAAGGGTGGGAACAGTGAGCTTGATGAGAACGCCTCTTGCCCTCGCCACGCTCTCTTGTCTGTCTCTGCCTCAGGCGCAGCTGGCTGGCCACGGAGGCGTGGATGAGCTGCGCGCTGCTGCGGTTCGCATACGGTGCAGACGACCCACTTGCTGTGATGCCGTTCAATTCCCCTTTTCGCCGCCACTCTGCGCTTTGACAGCGTACTTGAACAAGTAGAGCACACTCAACGGAATGAGCTGATAGGCAGCTTGAGAACATGTGTCGGTGGGTGCTATAGTTGAAGAGCAGTCTCGCCCGGCCCCTTCTTGCGACTGAGTTGAGTTGAGTTGAGTTGAGTTGAAGGCCGCTGTGACTCTGTGTCCGCGCAAATGGGATTGACTACTCCACTCTCTCTCTCTCAATCAGCCTAGGCCAGGCTTGCCTTGTGTCGCTCTGTCTCCTTTCCGTGACGGAGCCAACGCGTGCTGCTGCGCTCTGCTGCCGCGATATTTTTTAGGACTGCTTCAGAGGTCAGCCTCTCCCGATTCCAACGCATCGACCCTCCTCGTCGCCTGTCACTCTTCCCTTTCTCGTATCACCCTCTTTACCATCACGTCTTCCCTCTTCTAGCGTCTACCGCACCCGCTCTATATCGCGTTAGCACCCTACCAACTTCAAGCGCCCATCTACAACAGCTCATCCTTAGCGCATCACCCACTCGGATCCCCCATCTCACCAACGCGTATCTCCGCGAGATTGCATCGACCCGCATCCGCAGTATCACTCTAGCTATCCTCTCTTCACTCGCTAGACGCCTTCGACGAGTGCCAATCAGGTCTCACTGCGGAAACAGCTCATTCTTCCCGCCATCAGGCCCGTCCAGCCTTCACCCACCTCCACTTGGCACACCTCAGCCCACTCGGTCACCCGCACCATCTCCAGCGTCGCAAGATCTCCTGCGCCAACATAACTGTGATCCTCCTTTGATCTCTTCGCTCTTTCATCCTTTACGTTCGGTATCGTGTGACTTCGCACGCCGAAGCTGGACCCCACATCACTCTCCATGGCAACGGTCGTGCCACGGGCCAAGAAGCAAAGGACAATACCTGACGAGCTCATCGGCCTCAACCCGCTTCCCCTTCAAGGCATCGATCCCAACGATCCAAGCATGCTCGCACATCAGCATCCAATACCACCACCACAACAGCAATATCCTTACTCCAACAACCCTGCAGCATCCTCATCCAACATGGCAGCAGCCAGCGGCAGTAGACCCGCAAAGCCCGCTCCTGGCTTCCAAAGAGTCAACGAGATGATCGCGGGCAAGGTACACGAGGTGTTTGTGATTGACGACGACACACCCCCACCAACCAACCCGCTCAGCGTGCAGGCGGCACGCGATCCGCATCTCGTCAACAACTACGCACACGCCAATGGTCACGCAGCAGCTGCGCCTTACACATCCACATTACAGGGCTACGCGGATCCACGTTACGACGCTGTGGCTCAAGCGCCCAAAGGGAAACGCAAAGCGCAAGACAACGGATCGAATGCCCGTGTTGCAGGCGCGCATCTGCACATGCTGCCCCACGATGCCGACCTGATCGCTCCCGCACCCCATCCTGGTCTGCAAGGCGTGCCACCAGAGGCGCAGCTTCCAAAGAGACGCAAGCGAAGCCATCCCGTCAAACCGGAAGATGCAATCGCAGCGGGCGGGACCTTTGATCCAAACGACGCTGCCGTGGCCGCTCACTTCGCAGCGTCGGGCGCACCGGGGTTGGTACCAGCCAAACGACAGGCCCCGGAGATGGTTCAGGCGAGAGTCGCACCCAACTATCGAGGAGGCTATCCAGCCGGAGCAGGCGCGCTCGACTACGCAGCACGCTACGATGCCGCAGCTGCCAATGCTGCCAACGCCGCCTTCGCACAGGCGCATTCGGGATACGAGGGCACTGCCAGCGCGCGAGATTCGTACGCCAGTTCCGCATCCTACGTTGCCGCAGCCGCTGCCAACACGGGCCCCGTAGACGACGACCAGGGTCACTTTATCGTCAAAGAGGGCGACTACGTCACGAGCCGATACAAGATCCTGCGGCTGCTCGGTCAGGGGACCTTCGGTAAAGTGGTCGAGTGCTACGACAAGAAGCTACGCAAGTACGTCGCCATCAAGATCATCCGTGCGGTGCAAAAGTATCGCGATGCGAGTCAGATCGAGATCCGCGTGCTGCGCACCCTCCGCGAGAACGACCCGACCAACGACAACAAGTGCATCCATCTGCTCGAGACGTTCAACTTCAAGAACCACGTGTGCATCGTCTCGGAGCTGCTCGGCAAGAGCGTCTTCGATTTTCTCAAGGAGAACAAGTTCCAGCCATTCCCGCCGTTGCACATCTGGCAGTTTGCGAAGCAGCTCATGCAGAGCGTTGCTTTCCTGCACCGATTGAATCTGGTACATACGGATTTGAAACCCGAGAACATCCTGCTGGTGGCCAGCGACCATTCTATCGTGGCCACCTCGAGGCGACAGAATGCCAAACGCAAGCATGTGCTGCACAACACCGAGATCAGGTTGATCGACTTTGGGTCGGCGACCTTCAACGACGAGTTCCACTCTTCCGTGGTTTCGACGCGCCACTACCGTGCGCCGGAGATTATCCTGTCGATGGGCTGGTCTTTCCCATGCGACGTGTGGTCGATCGGATGCATCCTCGTCGAGTTCTTCACCGGCGATGCGCTTTTCCAGACGCACGACAACCTCGAGCATCTCGCCATGATGGAAGCTGTCCTCGGAAAGATGCCCGATGACTATCGGCGCAAAGCGGAGACCTACAAGCCCGAATTCTTCAAGCACGGTGCGCTCAAGTACCCCGTTCCCGAGACGAGCAAGGACAGCCGCAAATACGTTCGGCAGATGAAGAAGCTGCAGGATCTCATCAACACGCCCGCGACGCAGACGCAGTATGCCAAGCACAACTCGCGCTTCTTGGATCTGCTGCGGAAGCTGTTGGAGTTTGATTCGTCCCGAAGGATCAAGATTGCCGATGCGTTGAAGCATCCCTACTTTGCGCTGGATGAGAAGGATTTCCCGCCCATGTAATCGCTACTGGATGTGCTCCGCTTCCCACATGCTACCCGTCTTACGCTGCATCCATACCCTCGTCATTCACTTGTGCCGGTTCCGCTCGCATCTCCCTCCTGCAGCCTGACAAACTGTACGACTAGACTCTCCTTACCCTCGCATGCAATCGCACATAGCAGAATGTTTTGCCTTGGCACAACGTCTTTGTGCGGGATGAAAACCTAAAAGTAACACGGTGCGTTTGCGAGCGGGAAATTGACTTTGTGGGTGGTGGGGCCTTTGCATGCGTGTGTGCCTGCGTGTTGCGCTTTGCAAAAGTGGAGAGACCAACACTTTTTTTTTGGGAACACCTTACGACTCAGCTACTTACATCCCGCACCTTACATCCTGCATCTTTCCCAAGACGACGTCATCTCCTGCGGCACCTATCTACGAGGACGATCAGTATCGGCTGCAAGGGAAGCGACGAGGTGCGAAGAAACGCAAGATGGATCCGGCCTTCTCGTTAGCGGACGAGCTCGATCTGCAGCGGCAGCACGATAACGAGGAGGGGGAGCTGCAGTTCCACCCTGGGCTCGACCAGTACGACCACTACGGCCATGACTTTGCATCCGGCTCGACACTTGAAGACGAGTTCGCGCACGCTGGGCCATCGACATCGCACTTTGGCGCAACCTCGTTGGATTCCGAGCTGGAGGGTCTGCATCTTCGCGGGCACGGAACGGACCTAGCCTCTGAGCTCGGCGGCGGCGGTGGAGGTGGCAGTCTAGCCGACGAACTTGACCCCTCCTTCACACCAGAGGCCATGTCGCGGCATGCCTCTTCAGCGTACGAAGACACCCAGCCTCTCGCGATGGAGGTTTCGGCACCCACCCTGGTCGTTGCACCATCCGAAGAAACGTTGGCGCAGACAGAAGGGTTCGTCTCCCAACTCTCCCTGCTCTCCGCAACGACTCCGGGTGGCGAGGGGGATACGGCGCAGCTCGAGGCGGTGGCAACCCGATATTTGACGCTACTCTCGCAGTGTACGGCGGAGAGGGAGGCGCAGTTACGGGAGCTACGCGAGCTCGAACGACGTCTTGATCGCGATCTTCCCGCATTCAGCCTGCCGAGCACATCGAGCTTCACCTCGATGCCATCCACTTCAAGCTGGGCGTCCGACCTCTCCTCACCTCCCTCCGGTCATCGCACAAGTGCTTCGATAAGCACCATCAGCAGCGATAGCACCCTCACCCCGCCCCCGAGCACTGTCAACCTACCCCTCGTAGAGAGCGCAGCGTTCGCCCCGCTATACACGGCAACCGGAAGTCTGGTGGGAAGTCTCACAACGATTCACGAGCACACGCAGGTGACGCGAGCAACGAGCGCCGACGCAGCGCGCAAGCTCAAGACGGTGCGCGGACTGGTGGACAAGTGGAAGTCGGACGTGGAGAGTGTGGGCGAGAGCGAGGCGTGGATTGCTTCGCAAACGGCCGAGCGCGGGAGAGGAGGGTCGTGGGTGAGGGAGCAGGTCGATTGGTGTCGAGGGAGGATCGAGGAGGTCGAGTGTCGAGCGAGGGTCCTACTCACACCAGTATCCCTCGCTGGATGATACCTCAGCACCACTTGCCAAGTCTTTAACCCCACACCGCTCGTTCAAGAGATCACACATCTCACAACCCCCACGCATTCACACCGCACACAATCCATACCATCGTCCCCAATCCAATCGCATTGCATACCCCCCGACCCGTCTACTTCTTGGAAAAGTAATACATCAACACATCCAACAGCCCCGCGTCTTCGCCGTCCAACCCTAGCGCAGCGAAGATGCGTCCGTGGCTATCGGTCACGCCCTCCGCCAGACATTTCGCATTGAGCTTCTTAAGCATTGTAGTGCTGACGAGCCTCAGGTCTGCGGTTGGGGCGGTGAGTGCGCCTTTCAGCAGGGGTGCGAGACGCGGAAGGAAGTCGTCGAGCACCAGTTCTGCCGGTAGACGCAGCAGGAGGGGCGTGTAGCCGGAGCGGAGGAGTGCAGGCGTCACCCCCGCACCGGGGTGCAGCGGGAGGAGGTCGAAGGATAGGATTGGATCGCAGTGCGAGGCCCACGTGGAGAGGATCGTCTCGTGCCCTTGGAGCGCGGTCTTCCTCGCCACTACCATCGATGATGGTGCAGGGGTCGAGATGGATAGTGATGCGATGGAGGTGAGGAGCAGATCCAATAGCTCACCTTCTTTCCCGGTCGCCGCGAATAGCGAGGCCTGATTCTCCACCAGTCGATGGAGCACCACTTGGGCGCTCAGCTGCAGCTCCCCGGGTGTGGCCTCGGAGAGGTATGGCTTGAGTGCACCGAACAGGCTGCTGAACAACCCGCCGTCGAGCCACGCGTCGGTGCCGGTGAACGACTCCTCGTCCGATTTCGGCGCGAGACCGTTTGGTCCGGGATGGAGGAGCGTCTCGTCACCTCCCTCGGCGGACGATGGGGAGACCTTGAACTCAGCCGACAGCCTCGCGAGCCTCCTGAACGTACGCACATCCGCGGTCTGACCCTCGAGCGCGCGGATCCAGCCCCACACCTCGGGCTTGGCCTTCGCTGGCGATGGCGAGGCGATCTGCGCATCCAGTCGCTTACCCCGGTTCTCGAGCGCGCTACCTCCGTTGGCTACCTGTGGAGGATGGCGCGACGGCGTCGATGCCAGCACTCCCCCACGCGACCCATTCGGCGAGGGAGTGTGAAGCATCGACACGGGTCGCGGCAACCCCGATCTGCGAGCGCTACCCGGTGTGCCCCCAGAATGCCCACTCGATCCGCTCGACGTCGACGCCGTACGCTGCGTCTTCGGCTGCGGAGTCGACTGCAGCGAATCGAGCGCGTTCTGCCGTTCCACCAGCACGGACTGCGTCTTGACCGCACGCGTCGTGGCGGACACGGGGAGCTTGAAAGGCGAAGTGAAGTTCATACCCATCAGATCCATCGATGCGTCCTCGGGTGCGCTGAGCTGCACCGTGTCGTCTTCGCCTGCACCGTTGAAGCGGGGCAGTTGGGTGGCGTCGCTCGTGTCGTCGGCGTCGAAATTGGCGATGCTGAGGTTCTCGAGGTCGGCGTCGAGGCTGGTGTGGTTGGTGGGGATGGCGCGATGCAGGCGAGGCGTGCTGGAAGAGGCGGGCACTCGAGCGGAGCAGTACGATGATCCCGAGCCGGAGCCTTGCGAGGATAGTGACGATGAAGAGATGGCGCGGTTGCGTGCGACGCCGGGACTGAGGCCGGGCGAGCTGACTTGGCTGGAAGCGGGACCACGACGCGGCTGAGGCGTTTCGAGGTCCAGAGCGACGGGAGTAGGACTGGTCGGAAGCGGGACCGCGATCGCAGTCTCGATTCGCTGGTGAGCTGTGGGGCTCACGAGTACGGACAGCTCGGTCGACGGCCTCAGATTCGATGCCTGGCTCGACTGTTGGGCACCCTTCCTAATCGGCATGAATCCAGTGCTTCTCTTCGCAACGGGAGTGGCGGATTCCTCAGCCGGAGCTTGACGTTGAAGCTCGTGGTGATGTTGCTGGTATTGCTGGTGCTGCAGCTCTCGCTGCTGTTGTTCGGCCAATGCAGCCCGCGCATCAGCGACGCGAGCCTCGTGTGCGGCCGCAGCATCCTCGGCCTTCTTGCGTTCTCTCTCCTGCGCAGCTTTGGCTGCTGCCGCCTTCTTGGCCTGGATTAGCGCCATCGATGCACCGCCAGGCCTAGCACGGACGGGTCCAGCACCGGCTTTCGGCTTCTGTTCGACGATGGCCTCTGTCTCCACGTCAGCCGGTGCCAACGCAGCCACCTGCTTCTTCGTCGATGGATCGAGCGAATTCAAAATGACGTTCGCCTGGTCGGGCCAGTAGCGGTGGAAGATCCAGAATGCCTCCCTGCCCTTGGTCCTTGCGGCTGGATTTGAGTCGCCGACGCCCTTTCTCATGCACTTATCGAGCAGGTCCAAGCCTCCATGCGACTCCACCGCATGCTTGCGGTGCGCGGCGTGGTGGTTCAGGACGGTGCAAAGGTGATCAGCAGTCGCTGTTCGAGTGGCGACATTCTTGTCCTGCATGCCCTGCCAGATGAGCTGGAGGTAGAGCGGGCGGAAGCTGACGTTGATCATGATTGCCGCCGCGGCCTCCTGCGTCGCGTTGGCGATAAGCTTCTTCGTGAATCCAGCCATGCCGATGAGGTGGATGAGGAAGGCCTCGACACAAGGGCCGAGATCATCACCTAGCTCGATGGCCAGCTCTTGAACGAGGTGGACGCCGTGCATGGACAATGTGGTTCGCAGACTGGCGACAGATTTGAGGATGCCCTCTTGAACGCTCTTGAGCTGTCCGACAAAGAAAGCTTCTCCGAACTGACGATGCGCGCCGGAGACGATGAGACCGCGGATCTTGATCATGGACTGTTCGCGATTGAGCCAGTTGTGCTCGGACTCTTTGGACTCGAAGAAGGGCATCATGGTTGCGAAGGTGCGTTCCAAGTCGGATCGGGAAGCGATGTAGACTGGGCGGATGTCGTCAGCTTCGGCAGTTGCGGCAGCCGATTGTGCTGTGGGAGGTGCGGCTTGGGACGCAGTTGCCTTGGTGTACGAGGTGGGTGTCTCAACTTCAACGCCATGAGACGAGGTGGTCCGGCTGCGAGTGGTAGGTGCAAAGGCTGATGCTGTTGGTGGTGGTGGACTGAGGACCGCCTCTGTTGAAGCTGACGGCGCGCCAAGCACCTCGCGAAGGATGCCGTCCGCGGTCTGCTTTCTGACAGCTCGCTTCTCGAGCTCCTTTTTGAGGTCTGCTTTGGCGCCAGGAGCCGCGCTGCTGAAGAGACTGACAAGCGTTGAGCGGGCACCTTCCCTGACTGTCGCATCTGCATCGAGCAGCAGCTCCACTGTGATCGGAAGAAGCGGTCTGACCGGGTACTTTTCGCAGTTCTGCCGCAAGATGGGTAAGAGCAGCACCGATTGCTCTCGCACTCGCGCCATTTTGGCGGAAAGACCTCCTTCCCGGAGAGTGCGCTCGAAGATGCCAAGCGGCGTTTCGGTTTCTTTCCCCTTGCCCGAAGACGTGAGCTGTGCCGAGCTGATGGCATACGCAGCGTTGCCGAGCTCGATTAGCGCAGTGCGTGCAGCTTCGCGGATGCGTTCCTTCTGATCGCCGAGCTTTTCGATGGCTAGCAAAGTGACCGAGTTGACCAGCATGCGGACATTGTGGTTGAGCACCGACTGCGTATCGGTGCCATCGCCAGAGTAGATCATCGAGGCGTACGTTGGGATGAAGGAGAGGGAAGCTGTGCTCAAGGCCTGGTTGGAATGCTTGAGTGCTACCTTAACAGCCGAGGTGACGGCATCTGCTTCGACGACATAGCCGGCTGATTCGATCTGAGACTGCAAGGAGTGTAGTGCTGCGACTCTCTTGTCGACTTCGATGTTGGACTCTATTCGTTGCGCCAGCTCGTAGATGGCATCCGGGTCCGCCATGGTTCGTGATTGATCGTGCTCCACACGCTGTTGGAAGCGAGAAACGATTGGGTCGTGCGATGTAGCTCGCCGCAGCAATGCAGATGATTGTGCGAGATCGGTTGCTGGATTTTGAGAGACGATGATGGGTCAAATCTGGTCTGCTGAGCGTGATGATAGCAGCGAAGGAAGAAAGGGCAGCGAAGGAAGAAAGGGCAGCGTTGGCAGGCGCAGGCAGCTGCAGCAATCTTTTGATCTGATCATGGCTGCAGCCGCGGGAAAAAGTGTTGGTCTGCCTCGCGCGCCGCTCTCTTGCCTTTCCAAGCGCAAATCAACACCAACTCAAACTCAAACTGCGACGCGTCTTGGCCCAAGACTCGTTTCGACGTAACATTTGAAGCTTTTCGCACAGTCATGCCTCCACTTTCGGTTCGGCAACCAACCTGAACCCTTGCGAATGCTGAGTCGTGGGACAAGGTGTTGACAGCCACACCATCATACCTTCACCGCCGTCAAGAGACGCTCCAAGTCGATGCTGCAATGTCGCGACGAGCCAGGCAGAGACAGAAAACCAGTCCGCCGCCGGGCCTGGACGAAAACACAATCGAAGATGAAGCCATGGACGACGAGCTGGCTCGAGAACTAGAAGAAGAGAGGCAGAAGATCTTAGCAGCTGCGGAGAACGGACCGGAGGATGCCACTTCGGCGCATGGCGAGAATAGTGACGACGAAGAGGATGACTCTGATGGCGATCTGGGCGATCAAGACCTAGAAGACGGCGACAGCGATCTCGACCCTGAAGACCTTCCAGAAGAGGACGAGGACTCGGCAGACGAATGGCAACCGCCCCAGCCGCCATCGAAAGCGACAAGACAGAGCAAGCGAAGGCGTCGTCAGGCGAGCTCCGAGGATAGCGACGACGATGCAGCCCTGCAATCACTCGATGAGGAGGAGAAGCCTGCTACCAAAAAGTCGAAGAAGGCTGCGGGTGACAAGTCGGCCAAGGGCAAGAAGGCGAATGGCAGCAAAGACAACGCATCCCCATCAATACCAAACGGTGAGGAGGAAGATCAAGAAGCGGACGACTCCTTCGACGAGGAAGCCGAGCGAGTGCAAGCAGAAGTAGAAGCAGCTGCTGCATGGGCTGACGTCCGACGTCGCAAGGAAGCCGCGCAGAACCCACAACCCACCGCCGGCCCCTCCTCCGCGCCCACCGGCAATGCATCCACCGACAAACCCTCATCCGCCCCCTCCCTATCCGCCTGGCTGGGCAAAGGTCCCTCTGCCTCCTCATCCATCTCGGAACTTGCCGCTTCCCTTCCTATGCCCACCACCTGCGCCGCCGCGCAGATCGTCGACCGCAACTCGCTCTTTGTCGGCTACGTCTATCCGCTCACCACCGCCTCATCCGCCTACATCGCCGCTCTTCTCTCCCACCTCACTCGCGTCGTCCATCCAACAGTGTCCATCGACCTGCTACCACCCCAATTCGCCAATGCACCAGCGAACAAGCGTGGGTCGTCTCACGATATGTACGCCTACCGCGCGTTTGAGCTCAAGCGCGGTCGCACGGGCTTAGCTGGTCCAGACGATTTCTCGTTGCAAGAGGATAAGGAGGATGATGGTGAGAGGTGGGGTGGCGATCGAGTACTCAAGGTCGCGAGAGAGGAGGGTGCGTCGGATGTCCTGGTGGTGGTGAGCAGATGGTACGGCGGCGAGCTGCTCGGTCCGGTCAGATTCGATCATATTGAGAACGCGGCAAGGGCAGCACTGCAAGAGCACATGGCGAGGGAAGAGGTCGATGAATTCAGACAGAGAATCCAGCATCTGGATCGGAAGATCGCAGCGACCAAGGCCGAGTTGCAGGGTGGTGTAGCGGAAGAGCAGGTCAACAAGTACGAGGATCTGACGGCGGAGAGGGCGCAAAGACTGTGGTTGGCGAGGCAAAAGGCGTTGGAGGCTATGCAAAAGAGGCTCTCGACTCAGGCTAGTCGGTCGTCGCAGCCGCAAGCGCAAGAGACCCAGGAGAATGGCGCGGAGGAAGAGGCTGCTTCGATACCGAACGACCCAGTACATCTGCCAGCAGAGCCTCCGGTCACGGAGGCAGCAGAACAACAATTGTCACAGGCGACGGTCACACCGGAGCCCGCCGTCAAAGCAGAGCCTCTACCGGCAGACCTTTCCGCCCCGGAGGCTGCAACACAGCCGCAAGTCAAGGCGGAACCCACGGATGACTCGCCCATCCTCGTCAAGGACGAAGTCGACACCGCCATTACTCCGCTCACCATCGCAGACGAGCCAGAGGAAGACGACAAAAGCAACGTAGTCAAACTCGAGCACACGGAAGATGATGCAGAAGACCTCACCGGGTGGGACGATCTCTCCTAAGCCACTCTCACAACACCACTGTACAACAACAACACTGCTTGCAAACACACACACTGCCCCATCTCTGAGTAACAAGATTGCATGTCTCTGTAGAACCCTCGTTTAGGAAAAGTAGAACTGGTCGTTCTTCTTCTTGGCCTGAACCTCCTGGATGCCGCCGTGGAAGTGTTCGTGGTCCAACACGGTGGCGCCTTCCCTGAGCGCGATCATTCCCGCTTCGACGCACACCGCTTTGAGTTGTGCTCCGTTCATCTCGTCGGTCGACCTGGCGAGCTCTTCAAAGTTGACGTTGGGTCCCACAGCCATCTTTCGGCTGTGGATCTCCATGATTCTTGCTCGCGCCTCTTCGTTAGGCAGTGGGAATTCGATTTTGCGATCCAGACGGCCGGAGCGGAGCAGGGCGGGGTCGAGGATGTCGATTCGGTTGGTGGCGGCGATGACCTTGATGCGTTCGTCGGACGAGAAGCCGTCGAGCTGGTTGAGCAGTTCCAGCATGGTTCGTTGCACCTCGCGGTCTCCGGACTTGTCCGAGTCGAAACGCTTCGTTCCTATCGCGTCGAGCTCGTCGATGAAGATGATGGCGGGTGCTTTCTCTTTAGCCAGCTCGAAGGCGTCGCGGACGAGCTTGGCACCGTCACCAATGAACATCTGGACCAGCGACGGACCGGCGAGTTTGAGGTAGCACGCGTTGGTCTGCGCCGCACACGCACGCGCAAGTAGCGTCTTACCCGTACCGGGTGGTCCGTACATGAGCGCACCTTTGGGTGGTCGGATACCCAGGTTCTTGAACTTCTGCTCCTGCTGCATCGGCAACACGATCGCCTCGACTAGCTCTTCGATCTGCTTGTCCAACCCACCGATGTCCGTGTACGTCTCAGTCGGTCGCTCGTCCACCTCCATCGCCTTAACCCTCGAATCGTACTCTGCGGGGAGCTTGTCCAACACCAAATAGCTGTCCTTGTTGACACCGATCAGGTCGCCGGGCCTCAGCTCTTCCGCAGGCACCAACCCGATCAAGGGCAAAAAGATCGTCTGCCGCGTACTCGTCTTGATCACCGCACACTTGCCCTTCCTCCGTGCATCCAGATCCACGTTCGCGCCCTCCTCTGAATCCTCGTCCACGTCCGGATCAATGTCGAGGATCTCGACCACGTTGCCGACGAGGTAGGGGAGCATCTTGTTCTGCTTGATCTTGTCCGAGTTGTCCTTGATCATGTCACGCTTGGAGGATTGCTCGTGCATCAGACGCATGTGCTCGCTGCGCATCACCTTGACGTCGTTCTCGAGCAGACGGGTGCGCGTCTGGATCTCGTCGATCGACGCGTTGAGGATCTCGTCGTCGAGCGGCTCCTCTTCGGGCTCGGCGGGAGCCATCTTTGTGTCGCCATCGGCAACAGCAACGGTGGACGATGATGGGCCAGGTTGTGATGGGTTGCCAGCGGGCGGCTGATCGCCGTTGCCGCCGTTAGGAGGTTGTGCGTCTGACATGGTGTGTTCCGATCGTTGGGATCAAGGGCGAAGTCCTGCAGTGTCCTTGTGTTCAGCAAATCTTCCCCCGGATGACGATCAAAGCTGGTTTGTCGGGTGGAGAAGAGAAGACGGTGCTAAGAATGACGAACTCGGTTGGAAGATGAAGGAGTGTTGGATTGAAGCTGAGCTTTGATGATGTGTGTGCTTCGTGGTCGAAGCGCTGACAAGTGGAGTTGTTTCGGCTGTCCTTTCGCCTCGATCACAAACTGCTCGCGCGTCCTTCCTCGGGCTGCACACTTAAGAGCGCCAATTTTTCGAGTCAATAAAGTAAAACGACGATCTCACATTCGACTTCAAATAATCGCCCTTGCCAATCCTCCTGAGCGGACGACCATCCACGGCCAACTCTGATCAATCACTCAGGTGGAGCCTTCATGCCAAGTCAGATGCATGGGTGATGGCAAAGAGTCTCGCCGATAGCGATGAAGAGCACGTATTACATGAGGACCGCATCACTTTAAGCATCCCCGCTGTGAGACCGGCTCGCCTTGGCAACCACCCCGTTTTCAACCAGCTTCATCCGCAACAGCAGCCGCTTGGTCTCCTTACATCGCTTGTCTCCCAGCTCCAGAGCCGAGTCGAACACCGCCCTGCGCGGGTCCTTCGTTCGATACTCGAGCGTCTGACTGATCGCATCGATCCTCGCGTCGCCCACCTCGGCCGCCTTGCCTGGCAGGTTCTTGAACTCGCCTCTCTGGATGCATGCCACCAGCTCCTCCGACATGTGCTTCTCCGTCCAGCCAAACGCGGCTGCCATGCGCGAGATGTTGATCCTGTCGAACGGTGTGAAGAATTGACGTAGTGCTCGCCGGGTCAACCTTGTCCTGAGGGTTTGCACGTGCGGTGCAAGATATGGATCGAGGAGATGGCGTGCCTGATGCTCGTCGAGAATCTCCTCGACCTTTTTGAATTGTGCCGAGCTGAAGGCTTCGAGGAGCTCTCGGACGTACGGCTCGTACTCGAGGAAGCCACGGAATTTGCTGTTTTCCATGACTTGCGCTTTCAGAACAGCCCGGTCCATCGTAGCCAGACTGCAGAGGGCGGCGTAGATCGAAAGGTCGGATGGAGTGACAATGTCCGAGAAGGAGGAGCTGTGTGCTGGATCGATGTTGAGTAGCACCTTGGCTGCGCTCTCGTACAGTCCGCGACTCATCAGCGCTACAGCGTCAGCTGCTCGAAGCTTTGCCCCTGTTTCGGCGACCACTTTTCTCGCGGCGGCCTGTGATGCACTTTCGCCGCTGGTCCCGGCCTGGGCGCTGGACGACGTCGAGGCAGCCGTCGCCACGGCTGAGCTGCCACCAGCGCGAAAGAGCGCTCCGATCGCATCCGCACCTGCAGTCGACGCACCTCTGACGGGAGGAGCAATGTTCGACGCTCCCAACGAGCTCAGCTTCCTCCCTCCCGCGCTTCCCGATGGAACGTATGATTCCAGCACTCCCTCCGCTTTGCTGACAAATGTCTGAACGTTGGTGAAGGTCTTGAGTCGCAGAGACACCTCGATGACGTTCATACACATCTCGATGATATGGTCCGTCGTGGAGCAGTAGTCTCTCGTCTTGGTGTATGACTTGAGCGCCTCCTGGTGATCACCCGTATCCCAAAAGTGATCACCGAGGTCTCGATGTGCCATGCGGATCGACTCCTTGATCAGATTGTTCTGGTAATTGCGCATCTCCAGCTCGAGCTTTTCGCGTTCAGCATTGTTGCGCTGCTGCGTCGACTGGATCCATTCCGAATCCGCTGCGATGCGTTGTGATGCTGGAAGAAGATCGCCTGTCTCGGGCTCTGTGTTGTGCGTGGTAATCATGGCCTGGTAAGCTGCCACATCTCTGGTGTGCTCCTTGACGTATTCGGCAGCAGCCTTGCTACAGGTTTGACGTAGCGATGGACAGTGCTGTGCAATGTACATGAGACGCTGGGCTCGCGCTTGACCGGTGTAGGCAGACGTGTAGGCCTCCCAGTCGAAGCTTTCGCCTGGTATAATGGGAACGTTCGTCAGCGAGATGTTTGCTGACGAGGAGGAGCCAGCGACCGCCGAGGACGGTCCTGCCGCGGACTCAATGCCGTCGTCCATATTGGGAGCCTGATCTTGCTTGTTTTTGGAGGTAGGTAATGACAGGAAGACAGGGAAGATCCAGAAGTGCTGCGCCAAATGAACTCGACTCAGCCGCGAGGGTGGAGGCTCGAGCGCAGGGTGGGAAAGCTCTCCTTAGACGATCTCACATCTTTGAAAAATTCGACTCCACCTCTTCGGCTGTTGGAATTTTTTCGACAGCCTCACACCTCTTCCTTCCGGACTTTCTTCTCACTATCAATCGTTCCGTTCGCACACATCTGTACAGACATCGAACAGGCACAATGTCGAAGTACGATCGAAGGAGAGTCAACGCGCCTCCAAGCTATGTGCCGCTCTACGAGGGCACCGGTGCATCCTCCACAGCTTCCGGCTCGGGCACCGTAGCAACCACATCACAACAACGACCGGACAAGCGGGCCTACGCAGAAATGCGACCCATCTTCCTGCAGACGAACCTGGTGCCCTCCGCCTCAGGTAGCTCGTACGTCGAGATTGGCGATCTTAAGCTGGCGTGCTCCGTGTTCGGCCCTCGCCAGGTGAAAGGACGACAGTACAGCGGCAAAGCAGAGCTCAACGTCGAGGTCAAATTTGCGCCGTTCTCGTCCAGGAGAAGGCGGAGACCCGGGAAGACCACCGAGAGCGCCCACCTCTCGGGCCTCCTCCATCAAGCGCTCCTCCCATCTCTTCGGCTTGATCTTCTCCCGAAAGCATCGCTCGACATCCACATCATGGTTCTTCAAACGGATGGCTTGGAAGAGTCATGCATCGCGGCAGCCTGCATCGCTGCCACCACCGCGCTTGCCTCCGCCGGCATCGAAATGTACGGTCTCGTCGTCGGGACTGTCGCTCTGGTTCCTTCCACTGCTGTCAATGTGTCCGCCGACAAGCGCGTGCTTCTCGACCCAAGTTCGGCGGATCTGGGCCTCGTGTCGGGGATGAAGACAGCAACGAGGGTGCTGATGTGCGGCATGCCCGCGTTGGCGTCCGTGACTTGCTTGAACGTCTCTGCCGGGTCGAATCAGCAAGCTGCGAAAGAGGGACAAGTCAATGTAGAGACCGGAGCAGGGATTGAGGCGGAGCTGTTGGACCAAGCGCTCGAGGCGGCCAATGCAAGCTTGGTCGACATTCACAAGGTTGTGGCGCAGGCGTTGGCGGAGGACTTTCAAAGGCGGACGGCTTTGACGAGCTCGGCTGGTCAGAACTGATTAAGGTTCAGCATTTCGACCTTGTCGCCCATGTTCTCGATCGATCGAATGTACTCTCATTCGTCCTGCAACGAGTTCGTATTCAGAGCGACGCTTCTTCGGATCGTGTGTTGTGTGATGCTGAAAGATTGCGATTGAGACGTAGACATGCAGTGAGAGAAGGTGCGAGGGATAACAAATGCTTGACGAGTCTAAGAAGAGTGTTCGAGTCCTGACGTTCGGGAACAAGTACGAGGCAGCTGCAAAACACAACGGTTCCGCCGATGTATCAACCACCGTCGCCTCCCTGGTTGGCGAGCTTCTTCGCTTCGCGGCGGACCTTTCGCAATCGAACATTCTCAGCGCCCGTGTCGAGCTCGTCGGCCGGAGGCGTGAAGTTCATGAACGACTTGGGCTTCTTGGGAGGCAGAGCGACCTCACCGCCTGCAGCACGGATCTGAGGGCTTGAGTAAGGCGACGGGGTGAAGTCGTCCAGCACGTAGCCGTTGTCGTCTTCATCTCCGAGAGTGTCCTGACGACGGGGAGCAGTGGAACGTGGATCCGACGGATCGTAGCTCGGAGGAAGCGTGGCTGCGTCCTCGGTCCAGTAAACGAGCGGCTGCACGGAGTTGGCATACCGAAGGCCATGCTTCTTGCTGTAGTAGCTGAAAGCAGCAAAGAAGGCATTCTTGCGGTAGAAGCGACGCCCCCAGTCTTGCCAGGTATCGGAGTGCGTCATCCCGATGGTGCACTCTAGCGATCGCATGTAGTCGATCTTTTGCGGTACGATGGCGGTGCTTGGAACGAAGAGACGCTCCGGCTCGGTCTGAAGCCAATGGATCATGTCCGCTTCCAGCGCGTCCAGCTTTTCGAGCGGCGTGTTGAAGTCGAACTGGCACCTGATAGATTCCCACATGTAACCGGATCGACGCATGTTGACGATGCTCGTCGCTGACAGGATGACATTGCTGATATAGACGTCCTGGTTGAGCGAGTCGGTGAAGAGGCACGACAACAGCGACATGCGCTTGACCACAAGCACGGTCTCGCCGATCTGAATTCGATCTCCGGTGTCAAAAGGGTGGGTGACAAAGATGAAGATGATGCTGTCAAAGACATTGGCAGCCGATTCCTTGAAGATGAAGGCGAACGCGATTGCGAGCGAATAAAAGGTCGTGAGCGTCTTGCTGATGTCGACTCTGAAAATGGCCAGTGCTTCGAACATGACAATGATGAGCGTCACGAACATGAAGATTCCATCAAGCTGGCCCACGGCGTGGTTGACGTCTTGCATGGATCGACTGAGGAAGCGACGCTCCTTGTAGACCTGCATCACGGTGTTTTTGAGCTCCGACTGTGAGACGTCGCCGTTGCCGTCGCGGTCGAACACGCTGAAAGCATCCTTGGCGTCTTCTGGATCAGGGTAGGCTGGCTCGAAATCAGACGGGATGAGGTAGCTCCGCCTGTTCGTGCCTCGAAAAGCAACGAAAAGGGAGCGAGCAAGTCGCTTTGCTTCGGCCGGCGAGTTGATGTCAGTACCAATACCAAGCGTTTCGTTGCGAAGGAGCCCAAAGGGGTCGTTCATGGCCACACGGGCAAGCGTGCTGGCTTGAGCCGCTGTGACCCGCATTCTACTGCCTCCGCGAGCTGCGACACGCGCGATCAGGCTCGACTTGCCGTCTCCACGCGCAGGCGCTTGGCCTTCTGCTGGCTTGCCAGAGGCGACGTCGATGGCACGATCGTTGACGCCGGAGTAAGCGCCCTGGTCGGAAGGGCGTTTCTTGCTGTGCTTCTTGAGCCAAGAGGATTTGCTCGCGTCAGACACGTTGCGGGGATCCTTGGAATCCGAGTCAAGGATGAACTCCGTGGGTTTGATGGGTGTAGCAGCGCCGCTAGCACTGGGCGATGCACATGCAGAACGAGCGAGACCAAAGGCAGACAGAGGGTCTCGGCTTTTCGGTCGGGGCTTGTGGTCGCGGAGCCAATCAAAGACCTTGAGCGACTTGGTCACCTTTGCGATTCGTTCTGCGTAGGCGCTGCGATGGAAGGACATGGCAATGTGCTTGATGATGACCTTCTCAGCGCAGACAGTGAGCATGAAGAAGAAGAAGAACTCGATGACCTGGTAGATGCGGTAGAGGTAGCTTGCTCGGCTGTTCTGAGGATCCGAGCGATTGTAGAGGTTGTAGATGGAGTTGAAGATGATGGCCCAAGAGGCCCAGCTGAGAGCTGCATAAGTGACGAGCTTGATGTAGCCCTTGATGGCGTTGAAGTACTCGGCCAGCGAGAGTACGCGCTGACTGGGGCGACCCCAAATGAGCTGGATGAGAGCGAGAACAGCTTTAGGAAAGAGCTCGACGAGCATATGGAGCCACCACTCGACGTGAAGGTTGAATGCGGCCCAAATGAACCAGGCCTGGACATTGTCTGCGACGAAGTCGCGATGGCCTTCATCTGGACCGCGTCTGCGGTAGACGTACTGAATGACGATGACGGGTATCAAGAGGCAGCACGAGATGATGAGATTGCCGAGGAAGGTGGTTGCGAGGAAGGTGAGGATCTTCCAGAGACTGAGACGACCCATGCGAACCTGTTTCGCCTGCTCGTCCTCGAAGCGGACGGCTTCATCCAGGTCCTCCTCATCGGACCAGTCGAAGTCGCCAAAGTCACGGTCAGCGCCTCCATCAGTGGAGGAGACCTCGCTATCCTGACGCGAGAACGTAGGACGGAGAGGTTGGTTGCGGTCATAGTTGAAGGTGCCTGGCGTACGCTGGGTCTCGTGAGGAGGGAAGTCGGATTTGGGCCCGAGACCAGCAGGTTTGGTCAAATTGCGATCGCGAAAGTCGGCCAGGGGGTCTGTGATGGCTACGCGTGGACCGGCAGTGCTGGGACGAGAATTGGGACCGGATGAGTTGGCAGAGCTGGCGAGAATGCCATGATCGTGAGTGTGAGGGTGGAGCCCCGGTGTCCTGCGATCCGTGCTGGAGCTGGAATGAGAGACACCTGGGTCGGCGAGATTGGCGTCGCCGGATGCTATGGCAGCAATGGCAGCATCGTGAAGCATGTGATCGTCATTGGGAACAGGTTCAGCCGGAAGAGTGGCCTGGCTCACGTAGATGGGCGGGTGAGACTCGAGAGGATTGCGTGGTTGATAAGGTGGTGAGGCTGCTCCATTCTGAATACTGTCAGGCAGCGACTCGTCCGCTGAGCGTGGTGACGAGGTGGTAGGATTCATGGTGATCGCGCTGGTGTTGGCTGGTGTGACCAGCCTAGTCTATCGAGATCAGCACCTTGATACAAGACGTTGGACCTGCTCTGACCCGCAGAGAGGTAATCGGTTTCCGCGACGAGATCCTATGAAGCTGAAGAGGCGGACGCCGCGAGCTGAGCTGGTGGATGATGATATGGTTGTTGGAGTGAAAGAGCAAGCAAGCTGTGCAAGATGGCAAGTGATTGCAGAACAACAGGTTCGTGTTGCTCACAGTCTTAAAAATCCACATTTTTATTGCGGCCCCTTTTTTGTGTGACGTTAGGGAGCGGGCGGCTGTGAAGCGCTTGACCAACACCATCACTACAGCGGCCGGTTCTGTCGCTTGTTTCACCACGCGTACCCCGATCGACCTCCTACTTCTTTGTTACAGCTTTGCCTTGATCTCGAGCTCATTGTCAACACGGCTCGTGCGTGTCGTGGGCTGAAAGGAGGTGTTAGCTGCCAGCGTTGATCCATGCTGCTGCTGCCCAACACGCCAAGAGCTGCTTCATGCACAAACAGCGTGTGGGACCGACAGCAAGTCTTCGCAGCGCCCCTAGAAACTTTGATGCACGGCAGTGCCGTGCGTTTGCTCTTCGGCCAATTCGTGCTTCTGCACCACATGGAACTGCAGATCGCTTGCAAGCCTCAAACCTTCAAAAAGTCGCCGAAAAGCATCAAACCATCCCATCAGAGGCTTAACATGATCGTCAAAAAGCTCCACCTCGAGTGATCTTCTCAAACAGCTTCAGGGTCTTGTCGAGACCATCACGCTCTCAGCGTACTTTCACTCCATTATCGAGCGTTGCTGCATCGCCAACAGCCTTTCGAAGACATGCCGCCGACTCATCCCGGCTAATTCTAGGTCAGAATTCCATCACGATGCCTGCCCACGCACGCGGCGGGCCAGCGCCCACCGGTCCTGCTGGCTGGCAGAACGATGCCAGGTTTGCCCAGATCCAACCGCCCACCGGTCCATCGAACAGGATGCCTGCACAACCACACATCGCAAAGATGCCGCAGCCTGCAGCTACTGCTTCTGTAGGTGCGCCGATCAGCGTGCCCACTGCGCCTGCCATCCCCGAGCCGGCTGCGATTCCCACCTTCTCGCACATCCCTTACTTCACCGCGATTCAGCTCGAGACGCTGTACGCCCGCAAACGCGGCGCCCGCATGTCAGCATCGACATGGCTCAACAATCGTGATATCGCCTCTGGCTTCATTCAGTCTGTCGCATCTCGACTCGGTTTCCCGCAGCGGACCATTGCGACGGCGCAGCAGATCTACCAGCGTTTCCACCTCTTCTATCCGCCCTCGGACTTTGTACTGCACGAGATTGCGGTCGCCTCGCTCTTTGTCGCGGCCAAACTCAATGACACGCACAAGAAGCCGAGAGACTTGCTTTTGGCAAGCTATGCTCTCCGTTTCCCGCAGCTTGTCAAAGGTGGTGGGTCATCTGTCCCAGATGCTGCTGTAGCTGGACCATCGGCTTCAGCGCCGGCTTCGACAGCAGACGAGCCAACCTTTCCCACCCTTGCGGGTCAGAAGCGCAAGCATGCGGCTGTAGGAGCACCAACGAGCAATGACACCTCCACCCCACGACCACTCGCCATGGCCATCGGCAGCGTAGGCGAAGCCGACATCGACCCCACCATCCTCGAGACCGACCGCAAACGGCTCATGGCGCTCGAAAAGCTCATCATCGAAAGCCTCTGCTTCAACTTCCACAGCAACGCCAACACCACGCTCAAGATGGTCATCAAACTTGGGCGTCGGAGTCGCCTGTCCAAATCGTTTGTTCGTACAGCGTGGAAGGTGGCCGCCGACCTATTTCGGACTTCGGCGCCGCTGCAGTATGCGCCGAATGTGATTGCTGTGGCGGCCTTGTATGGGGCTGCGTTGTTGGCGAGGCCGCCGCCGAGGACGACGTTGCCTTCCGAGCAGACTGGAGGGGAGGAGGAGGAGTCGCATGATGCACTAGTGGCGTTTTTGAACAGCATCAAGGCGGTCTCTGCCACACCGGCGCCGCAGTCCCCCGATGAGCCTTCACCAGCAACGACTGTTCCGCTGGCAGAACCTTTTCCCGGATGCGACGCTCTCACCCACGTTCACATTGAAGACGTGGAAGAATCGGTGCACGAACTGCTCGATCTCTACCTCTCCTGTTCCGCTCAACTCCCTCCTTCGCTCTACATGACCTCCGCTTCGGGATTGGGTGCTTCGCACGGGCACGGTACGACCCCGTCGCCCTTGTCGCCCGCCGATCCGCTCGATGTGTCTCCTTCTTCTTCTGGCGGCGACGTTGCTCCCGCTAGCGCACGCAAGAAGCTTAAGCAGTACGAGTACTCCCCTCCGCCATTTGGCCTGGTCGACTGGCTCAACTCTTCCCGGTGTAGTCAGCTGCAGGGTGCGGTGGGGGGCAAACCAACCGGCGGATCGGATCCCACCGCGCCCACCAAGGAGCTCTCGACCTTGCTGACGGATCTCAAGATCTACTTACGGGGGATCGAGTACGATCGACAGCGGGCGGACGATGCGTATCTCGCCGAGCGGAACATCCTAGCTGAAGTCAACATTGTGCCTCTGCCCGGGTCTGCCGCTATGGAAGCGGGAGTGCAGTCGGTAGGCATGCTGAGTACGCCCGCTCACTCGGTGGGGATCGAACTCCGACCGCTCACTGGAACGCAGCCGGCGATGCTGGATGAGAAGCAGAAAGTGGTGGTGGAGCGCATACGGAGACGCAAACTCGTCGCTGCGCTGCGGTTGACATTTGTCGAACCCGAGGTGGAGAAGCGTCCCCTTCCGCACCCCATCGAGACCATCTCGTCAAAAGCGGTGGACCCACCACCTGAAGTAAAACGTCGTATCGACGCAGCCAAACGCTACCTCTTCTAACCACTCACTATCACTCTCGCAATGCAAACATGATATCAATTGCAAAACTGCATAGTATGTGTAAAAAATGTCGACATCGATTTCTTGCCCAGAAGCGGTGGAAGCAGATACCCGGCTAACTAGGTAATGTGTATATCGTGTGCAACGCCCAAGAAGGCGCTCAATCTTTCCCGTTTTTCCCTCAACCAGATGTCCACTGAAAAAAGGACACTGTGATGAATATAACGGGAGGAAGGTGTGGAGTGGCTCAATAGGGGGAAGACTCACGGACGGAAGAAAAGGGAAGGGATGAGGAAGGGGGACACACTCGACACAGGCGAGCAGAGCACATCCAGTGCGGACGAGAATGAGGGTGCTTTCGTATCGGCGCTGCTGCCACCACGAGGTGACGCAGTCGCTGTGCGGAAGAGCTGGTATCTTACAATGCGGCGAGATCCGGATTAGAGAAAACGAAAAACGAGTGGTGGATAGTGCTTGAGGAACGGAGGTGCGATGCTTGACGAAGGACGAGGGGCGAGAGGAGAACTGGAAGGAATTGGTCGAAACAGGTGGTGATACAGTGACCCTGAGCGGGCGGTCAAGTGGACGCTCGAGTGATGGCGCTGGCTCACTTGCGACGGTTCTGCTGCATGCCGAGGATCTGCACCATCCTGACAAAGATGTTGATAAAGTCGAGCTCGAGGCTGATCGACTCGGCGAGCGGGTCACCAGCCATGTAGCCTGCTCGCACCATCTGGGCGTGCTTCAGGATACGCTGCGTGTCGTACAGAACAAAGGCACCGAAGACGGCGAGACCGCCGTAGAGCGAGAGTGCCTCCGTAGCGGCGAGGGCACGGAATGCGGTGCGAGGCAGGAGCATGGGTGCCAGCGACGAGAGAGCGACGATGGTAACACCAGCGAGCAAAGGTCCGCCCATCCAGAGGTACTTGTCTTCCTTGGCAGTGGCACCGACGTAGCAGAGCGAGCCCACGAGACCAGCAGTGTAGAGAGCAGCTCGCGATAGCACGGCCGGGTTGAGGAAGAGCAAAGGACTGAGGACGGCAGCCTGCGAAGCGTTGAAGAGTAGCCACGACGGCACCTTCAGGGGATGACCATTAGGCAGCGAAGTGGCGCCGATCATACCGCCAATGCTAGCGACCAGACCGACACCAAGCACGAGCCACGGGTTGGCCATCATGACACGCTGCGAGACTCCGTAGCGGTGGAGACCAATGGCGGCACCGGCTGTGAGAGTCAAGCCACCAGCGAGGTACATGAAGGTCTTGTGCAGATACTCGGCCTCGACCGGGTGGAGCGAGTCGCGGGTTTCGCGGTTGAGGAACATGTTGGCGCCAAGAGCAGTGCCTCCGATGATACCAAGGCTGGTCAGGGCGCGGGTCCATCCGCCGGGCTGCGAGAAGCTGGTTGGTGCATCGGCCGCAGGGGCAGCGTGAGGGGCCGCAAAGGCGAACCGCCCGCCAGGACCACCGTTGCCGACATTGGGACGGAAGGGACTGGTACGGACTCCTCGAACCTGTTGCTGTACCTGCCGAAGAGGTTGTGCTACGCTTTTGCTCGTCGACGAGACGACGGACTTGCCAGAGGCCGACGTGAGGAAGCGCAAGGGCTGAGCGGCTGTCTTACTGCTGATGACGGTAGGGCTGCGAGCCACCAACAGCGAATTGTGCAGCGAGCGCTGCAGCGTCTGGAACGATGGCCTCAACATGGAGGGCCTGAGAAGCTCAAGCGAGCCAGAGCTGTGGAAGTTGTGTTAGTGAGTAGCGGAATGGGAGACAAGAATCAAGGTTGTGCCCTCGTCGAGAAGCGGATGATGTGGTTGACAAACAAGGCGTTGAGGGAACGGACCATGGACAGGACAGTCATCGTCACCGTCTGACCCTCTTCTCTCTGCTGCGCTTTTTTTCGCTCAAGACCTCCACCTCTGAGCCAATCAGGCCGCGGCCGCCTGGTGCTGTTGCTGCTGCGGATGACTAGCAATTTTCCATGCTCAGCTTTTGGCTGCTTCTCGAGTCGATCACGCGCTGTCGTGCGAAAAAGGCTTCCTCAAAGCCTTGAGTTTTTTGTGTTGCTGCACGTCTGAAATTTTGGCTGTGATGCACGCACCAGGCTAGCAAGGAAGAAGGATGCAAACTGCACTTTTCAGAAAAGGCAGAAAAGGTTTGAGGCACACGCTGGTTCACCACCTCGCTCGTCCAAGAAGAAAAAAGGACAAAAGAAAAGGGAAAAAGTGTTCTTCTCGTCAAACTGAAATTTTTGGTGTCTCGAGAAGGAGCAGGAGGAGGACTTCTTCTTGCTGCTCACTCTACCCGCACCATCATCCTTCCCGCACATCATCCTCATCCCACCCCTCCTTCCTCTTGCTATCCATCCGCGGATATCTTCGAGGCTTGCTCATCTCTTCTTCTTCTTCTCTTCGAGCCTGTCACGCCGCAGGTACATCGGACTTTGCGGACTCTCTGGTCGCAGTCGTTCCAACTCGCTATCCTCCGTCAAGCAGCGGACGTCTCCTCCCAAGAGCAACCATCAATCGCACCAATAGCTCGACCGAAGCTCTTCGGATCATCACACCATCACCATGGATCCCGCGTTCGTCCAAGGGCTCCATGAGCTTCTCAAGCAGAGCAACGTCCCCGATACAAACACCGTCAAGGCTGCTACCGAGTCGCTCCAAAATACCTACTACAAGAACCCGCAATGCATTCCCGCACTCTTCGAGATCCTCGCCACCTCTCCTGACCTTGCTGTCCGCCAGCTTGCCGCAGTCGAATTGAGGAAACGACTCGCAAAGAGCGGAGGCAAGGTCTGGACCAAGCAGTCCGTTCAGGTCCGTGATGGCATCAAGGCCAAGCTCCTCGAAGTCGTCACCAACGAGCAGGCTGCCCCCGTCCGCAACGCCATTGCTCGTGTCATCTCCGAGATTGCCAAGCGCGAACTTCCCGCAGGCTCTTGGCCCGCTCTCCTCCCTTTCCTCTTCCAGGCCGCCGACTCGTCCAACGCCACCCACCGTCAAGTCTCGCTCTTCATCTTCTACACTGTCCTCGAGACCTTCGTCGACGGCGGCGACTCTCTCGACCAGCACCTTCCTCAGATCATGCAGCTCTTCGCAAAGAGCCTCCAGGACCCCGAGTCGATCGAAGTCCGCATCACCACCGTTCGTGCCCTCGGAAAGGTGGCTCAGAATCTCGAGAGCGATGCTTCCGCAGACCTGGCCGCCATGCAGTCCGCCGTACCCCAGATGGTTGGCGTGCTCAACCAGTGTCTCGAGTCGAGCAACCAGGACGGTGTCCGACAGATTCTCGATGTGCTCGAGGAGATTTGCATGCTCGAAGTGCCCATCATCTCAAATCACATCGCAGAGCTCATCGACTTCTTCCTCTCCAACGGTGCCAACACCGAGCACGAGGAGGACCTCCGACTCATGTGCCTCAACTCGCTCATCTGGATCTGCTCCTACAAGCGCTCCAAGGTGCAGAGCCTCGGCCTCGCAAAGCACATGATCGGCCGTCTCATGCCCATCGCTGTCGAAGAGGACTCGGACGACGTCGACGAGGACTCCCCTTCGCGTCTCGCCCTCCGTGTCATTGACGGCCTCGCCACCGAACTTCCTCCCAGCCACGTCTTCCCACCATTGCTCGAGCAGATGCAGACCTACATGAGCAACCAGGACCCTCACCACCGCAAGGCTGCCATGATGGCTTTCGGCGTCTCGGTCGAGGGATGCTCCGAATACATCCGCCCCCACATGAACGACCTCTGGCCTTTCGTCGAGGCGGGTCTCAAGGACCACGAGGCTGTCGTTCGCAAGGCTGCCTGCGTTGCTCTTGGCTGCCTTTGCGAGATGCTCGAGGAGGAGTGCGCTGCCAAGCACGCGACCCTGCTCCCCGTCATCATGGAGCTCGTCAACGACCCTGCCACGCAGCGATCCGCCTGCACTGCTCTTGACTCGCTTCTTGAGGTCATGGGCTCGGACATCTCGCAGTACTTGCCCGCCATCATGGAGCGACTCGCCGGTCTTCTCGAGACGGCCCCCATCCCCGTCAAGGCCACCGTCACCGGCGCCATCGGCAGTGCTGCTCACGCGTCTAAGGAGGGTTTTATCCCTTACTTCGACCAGACCATGCAGCGCATCAAGCCTTTCCTCACTCTGACCGAGGAGGGCGACGCCATGGACCTGCGCGGCATCACCACCGACACCGTCGGCACCTTCGCCGAGGCTGTCGGCAAGGAGGCCTTCCGACCCTACTTCCAGGACTTGATGAAGCTCGCCTTCGAGGGCATGGACCTCAACAACCCTCGTCTGCGCGAGTGCAGCTTCATCTTCTTCGCCGTCATGTCGCGCGTGTTCGGCGAGGAGTTCACTCCCTTCCTTCCGCACGTTGTGCCCAGGCTGATCGAGTCGTGCCAGCAGTCCGAGCACGACCCCGTCCCCGGTGCATCTGGCGACGGCACCATCAACGGCATCGGCATTCCGGGCGACGAGGACGATGACGATGGATTCGTCGACATTGACGAGCTCAACGACGCTTTCCTCAACGTCAACTCGGCCATCGCCATCGAGAAGGAGGTGGCCGCCGACTCGCTGGGCGAGATCTTTGCACACACCAAGTCCGGCTTCCTTCCCTACATTCAAGAGTCGGTCGCACAGCTCGTTTCGTTGCTCGACCACTTCTACCAGGGCATCCGCAAGAGCGCTGTCTCGGCCCTCTTCACCTACATCAACACGTTCAACGAGCTCAGCAACCCGCAGCCATGGCAGTCTGGCATTCAGGTCAAGGTGCCTCTCAATGCCGACGTGCAGAAGCTGGTTAGCGTCGTCATCCCTGCCGTTCTCGAGATGTGGGAGAGCGAAGATGATCGGTAAGTTCATTGATACCCGAGAATCTTGAGATAGATGCAGAGATGTGGATAAGCACGGCCATCGCCTCGAGTAGGGGCCCGCGCCACCTTCCACAGGATGACAAACTTTCTCAGCTCACAATGACGTCCGTTATAGGAGCGGTCGAGTGACTACAACATTTTCTTTATCAGTACTGACTTTTTCGCGGCGCATCGCACGAGCTTTGGCGCCGATGCGCTCTGCGTTTAAGGCAACCGTGTTTGGGTCCATCTCTGCATCTTTATCTCGGATCGCGATTCGACAACGATGAAGGACATGACACTGACATCCCTTGCCATTCAACTTAATGTTATGACAGAACTGCCGCCATTGAGGTGTGCCAGTCGTTGGCCGAATGCCTCAACAAGAACGGACCGGCCATCATCGCGCCCGAGCACCTGGACGTGGTGTGCACCTACACCATCATGATCCTCGAGAAGAAGAGCCCACCTCAGCTCGACTCGGAGATTCCCGAGGAGGAGAACGAGGAGGCTTCCGAGTACGAGTCGGTGTTGATCTCGGCCGCTTCGGATCTGGTGGGCGCCATGGCCAACGTGCTTGGAGCCGAATTCAGCGATCCGTTGAAGCAATTCATGCCTCAGATTATGAAGTACTACACGCCAGGCCGCTCTGTGAGCGACCGATCCACCGCCATCGGATCGTTGGGCGAGATCATCACGGGCATGAAGAGCGGCATCACGCCCTTCACTCAGGACATCCTCTCGTTGCTGTCGCGAGCACTCTCGGACGAAGAGGCGTCGGTGCGATCGAACGCTGTCTTTGCATCGGGCGTGCTGGTGGAGAACACGCAGGCGGACCTGAGCGCGCACTTCCCTGCGCTGCTCAACGCCATCCGCCCCTTCTTTGAGAAGGGCCAGAACGAGTCGGACGAGATCCTGACGGCACGCGACAATGCTTGCGGTTGCCTGTCGAGGATGATCATCAAGAACGCCGACGCGGTGCCGCTGGATCAGGCGCTGCCCATCTTGTTCTCGTCGTTGCCGCTGCAGAAGGACATGGCCGAGTGGTCGCCCGTGCTGCACTGCATGATGAACCTCATTCAGGCCAACAACGCGGTGGCGTCGCAGAACATCGACACGATCCTGCAGCTGTTCGCCCACGTGCTTGCGGGTGACGAGGACAACCTGGGTGCCCTGCTGCGCGGACAGGTCTGCGGCTTCGTCAGCCAGCTCAACACGCAGGTGCCCGACAAGGTGCAGGCTGCTGGTCTGCAGCAGTACCTCGTCTAAGGTTCCCTCTCTAGCTCGCGCGTTCCGTCCATTGCAAACATACCCGAGTAGTGTTTCGATACATTTGCTCAACCTGCACTCAGCATCTCCGCCTTGTTCTCGCTTCCCCTTTCATCCCTAGACGTTACTGAATGATAATGTGTTCCCATACAACAAACAGCTGTTCCTGGACTGTGCGATGAGGCTGTGACGAATGCCTTTTTCCACGAAGCATGGCAGTGATGATGCACAGCTTCACGCTCTCGCAACGTTTCCAGGGTCTCTGCGGCAAGGCGATTTTCACCGGACGCGCGCGCCCTAATCTGCGCCAGCTGCCTGTCGTCGCGTGAGAGGGGTGGTGAGGTCGCGTCGTAGTCGAACACTAAGACCTGCCTTGCTGTTGCTGCTGACGAACTAGAGTCGACTGGTCTGTCTGAGTCGACCATAGCGATGGCATACGGCTGGTCCGCTTAGCGCCGTTTACACGCTCACTGTGAAGATACGATTGCAAAGCTACAGTAAGCTGAAGCAGTGCTCCGCTTCAGAGAGGGCACTGCTCTGAATACGAAACGACAAAGGGCTCCAATACAAAAGGGAGGTGTCGGTATTCGAATTCAAAGGCATGCGTGTCAGCGCCTGAGCAGCAGCCAACGCTCTAAATTTTGAAAGAGCAACACTTTTTTTTTTTCTTCCCTCCCTCTGGCCTTGGACCCTCGTTGGCTCGGCGTCAAAAGGGGCACAAGTTTCCTGTGGGCTTGGTTTGGGCGCGTTGGAAGACTCAGAAAAGCGCGTCGCCCTTTCATTTGGAGCTCTCCGTGTGTGCTGGCGCTCGCCTAAGGCTGTTACTTTCCGAGACAGAGCAGCACCAAGCCTGCTGCTCGGTCAGGGTTCTCCGTCTACATTCCGCCTGCAAATTTGAGCGAGCGTATCACAAGACGGCGTGTCACTTTCGGTGCGCGTGTGATTCACACGCACCCTTTCTGGCTGGTGGGCGTAGGAAAGTGTGTGTTGGTGGGTCGAGGCTAGCTCGCACGTCTGTCTGCAGACCGTGAGCTTTGTTGCACGCCTTTCGCCCTGAGTGTAAGTGTGACCCGGCACGATCTTCTGCGTCTGCGTCTGCATCTTCAGCTCGAGCCTCTTGACCAACGCCCATCACGCATTTCGTTCCCTTCGTCCTCTCTCTCTCTCTCTTTCGTCCTTCCTTTCTTCACACCATCGGGATTCGTCGCGCTTGCTAGATCTGCTTCGTCTGGCACGACTTGGTCGCAGCGTTCCCGTGGAACTTTTCGACACTTTTCCGAGAGCAGGCTTCTCCATTGTGCATTCGACGAGCCTCCGTTGTGGCAAGTCGCTACCACCACCTCGCAGCAAGCGTCGCTCGGCAAGTCGCCCTGGTGGTCATCTGCGATTATCCTGGACTGCATCGACGCGTCTGTGCTTAGCTCGAAGCTGCTCAGCTGCTCAGCGTCTGCAACATCGACTCGGTCCTTCGCTAGACTCACACCTAGAAGCAGCGCTGCTCGAAGCAAGCGTCAGACTCCTTAGTACAGCCAGCCCGCGGCACTCACAGCAGCAACCATGGCGCCCGCAGCAACCGACCTTCTCGCCGCATTCGTGCCCGGCACCAAAGCCTGGTTCGCCGACAAGGAGCTCGGCTGGATCAGTGCGACGCTGGCCAAGCCGGTCACCAAGGCTGAGTCCGGAGAAATCGCACTCCATTTCGTCCTCGATGACTCCGGCGTCACCAAGGTCGTCACCACCACAGAAGCCAAGCTGGCAGCAAAGGATGGCGAAGATCAGCTACCGCCTCTGCGCAACCCGCCACTCCTCGAGGCCACCGACGATCTCACCAACCTCAGTTACCTCAATGAGCCCTCGGTCTTGCACACCATTCTCAACAGATACTCGCAGCGCATCATCTACACGTATTCGGGTATCGTCCTCATCGCAGTCAACCCCTTCTACGGTCTGAGCCTCTACAGCCCCGAGATCATCCAGGCCTACTCCGGCAGACGCAAGGGTGAGCTGGAGCCACATCTCTTCGCCATCGCCGAAGATGCTTACCGATGCATGATCCGCGACGAGAAGGACCAGACCATCGTCGTCAGCGGTGAGTCCGGTGCCGGTAAAACGGTCTCGGCCAAGTTCATCATGCGCTACTTTGCCACTGTGGAGGACCCAGATCGACCCGGCAGTCGCAAGGCTGGAGCCAAGGACACGGGCGGCATGAGCGAGACCGAACAGCAGATCCTCGCCACCAACCCTATCATGGAAGCTTTTGGTAACGCAAAGACTACCCGAAACGACAACTCTTCGCGTTTCGGAAAGTACCTCGAGATCCTCTTTGATAAGAGCCACGAGATTGTCGGTGCCAAGATGCGCACCTATCTGCTCGAGCGATCGCGTCTCGTCTACCAGCCAGAGACGGAACGAAACTACCACATCTTCTACCAGCTCTGCGCAGGCACGCCTTCATCAGAGAAGAAAGATCTGGGCCTCGAAGACGCCTCCAAGTTCTTTTATCTCAACCAGGGTGGTGCCGGCAGTCACATCATCAATGGCGTCAACGATGCTGAGGACTTCAAGGCGACACAAAAGGCGCTCAGCACCGTCGGCATCACCATCGAACGTCAGTGGAACATCTTCCGTCTCTTGGCGGCGCTTTTGCATCTCGGAAACGTCAACATCACCGCTGCACGAAATGATGCCGTCTTGTCCGATGACGAGCCAAGCTTGTTCATGGCAACCCGCATGCTCGGCATCGATTCGTCCGAGTTCCGCAGGTGGACCGTCAAGAGGCAGCTCCAGACACGAGGCGAGAAGGTGATTACCAACCTCACTCAGGCACAGGCCATCGTGGTGCGAGACTCGGTCTCGAAGTTCGTCTACACCTGCCTCTTCGACTGGCTCGTTGACCAGATGAACCGATCGCTGGCTCTGGGCTCCTCCAAGTCGCGCGAGTCCATGATCGGCGTCCTCGATATCTACGGTTTCGAGCGATTCAAGGTCAACTCGTACGAGCAGTTCTGCATCAACTACGCCAACGAGCGTCTCCAGCACGAATTCAACCACCACGTCTTCAAGCTCGAGCAGGAAGAGTACCTGCAGGAGCAGATTTCGTGGACCTTCATCGACTTCTCCGACAATCAGCCCACCATCGATATGATCGAGAGCAAGCTTGGTATCCTCTCTTTGCTCGACGAAGAGTCGCGCCTTCCTTCCGGCTCGGACGAGTCATTCGTGCAAAAGCTCTATACGCAGATGGACCGACGTCCCGAGTTCAAAAACTCGTTCAAGAAACCTCGCTTTGGCACCACCGGCTTCACCGTCTGCCATTACGCCCTCGACGTCGAGTACTCGAGCGCAGGCTTTGTCGAAAAGAATAAGGACGCAGTTCCCGATGAGCACCTCAACCTGCTCAACAACACCAGCAACCCCTTCCTCAAAGAGGTTCTTGATACCGCCCTCAACCTGCACAAGTCGGACGAGTCGTCCAATGATGCACCCGCCGACCCCGCAGCAGCCAAGCCAGCGCCAAGGAAGCTGCCCGGTGCCAGCATCAAGAAGCCCACTCTTGGTTCGCAGTTCAAGGCTTCGCTCGTCAGCCTCATGGCCACCATCGACAGCACCAACGTCCACTACATTCGCTGCATCAAGCCCAACGAAGCCAAGAAGGCCTGGGAAGTGGAGCCGCAGAACGTGCTCGGACAGCTCCGGGCCTGTGGTGTGCTCGAGACCATCCGCATCAGCTGTGCAGGCTACCCATCCCGCTGGACCTTTGACGACTTTGCAGAGCGTTACTACATGCTCGTCTCATCGGATCGCTGGAACATGTCGGATATGGACAAGGTAAAGGCGCTGGCCACCCACATCCTCACCACAACCATCACGGAGCACGACAAGTATCAGATCGGTCTCACCAAGATCTTCTTCCGCGCAGGCATGCTCGCTCAATTCGAACAGAGGCGTACCGATCGATTGAACGCAGTCACCATTGTCATCCAGAAGAACCTGCGACGACACGTCCAGCAAAAGAAGTACCAGGCGATGCGCGTCAATGCGGTCAAGCTTCAGTCCTGGTGGCGAATGCGCATGGCCATGAAGTATGTCAACGATCTCCGCCATGACACAGCTGCTACCAAGATCCAAACAGTCGCTCGTGGCTTCTTGGCTCGCAAGCAATACCAGACCACCCGCCAGGCAGTCATCAAGATTCAAAGCGTCGTCCGTGGTCGAGCCGTTCGGTCTACGTACAAGACCGCCAAGGTCGAATTCTCCGCTACTCGACTGCAAGCCCTTCTCCGCGGTGCTCTGGCTCGCAGACAGTACCGCAAGGAGAAGCAAGGCGTCATCCATCTGCAATCGTGCTACCGACGCCGACTCGCCAAGAAGGAGCTTGTGGCACGAAGGAACGAGGCCAAATCCGTCTCGCACTTCAAGGAAGTCTCGTACAAGCTCGAGAACAAGGTGGTGGAGCTGACGCAGAACCTGCAGAAGCGCATCAAGGACAACAAGGAGCTGTCGTCCAAGATCAAGGCGCTCGAGACGCAGATCCTCACATGGCAGGGCAAGCACGAAGAAGTCGAGGGCAGAAATCGTGGCCTTACTGAGGAGCTTGCCAAGCCTACTGTGGCCATGGCCGAATTCGAGGCGCTCGTGGCAGCCAAGAGGGATCTCGATGCCAAGCAAGAAGCGTCGCTGAAGCGCATCGCCGAGCAGGACAAGCGCATCAACGACCTGACTGCCGAGATTGAGCGACAGGCCGACGAGTTGCAGGCCCGTTCCGAGGCTCTTAACGGCGCCACCAAGTCGAACGAGGACGACGTTGCCACCATCAACTCGCTTCGATCCGAGGTTGGGTCGTTGCGAGAGCAACTCAACCGTGCCAACGCTCTCAACACTTTGCAGAAGAACTCGGAGCGCATCGAGAACGCCGCGCCACCCGTGTTCAACATGTCGACAGGCAAGGAGAATGGATACGCGCCGGCCGGAAGCAAGCGTCGACCTCGTCGTCATAGCGAGACTGGCCCATGGAGCGATGCACCCGCTGGTCGCGATGAGCACGAGGAGGCCATGATGGCTGCGAAGCGAAGTGCAGCCACCGCCAACCGCCACGTCTCGGTGGCTTTCGGTCTCGAGGGTCACCAGCACCAAGGCTTTGGTCATGGCTACGACGACGATGTCGAAGACGATCCGTCTGAGGAGATCATCCGCATTCTCGAGAACGAGGAGCAGCTCGACGAGGACGTGCTCAACGGACTCATTCGCTTCCTCAAAGTGCCTGCACCCAGTCTGCAGAACCCGCCTTCGCCCAAAGAGGTGCTCTTCCCGGCGCACCTCATCTCGCTCGTCACCAACGAGATGTGGAAGTACGGCCTGGTGCGCGAATCGGAGCGCTTCCTGGCCAATGTCATGCAGACCATCCAGCAGCACGTCATGTCGTTCCAGGGCGAAGACGCCATCATCCCTGGCATATTCTGGCTCTCCAACGTCCACGAGGTCCTGTCATTTGTCTGCATCGCCGAGAGCGACATGCTGCAGGGCATCGGTCCCGGCGTCGACGGTGCCGCACGATCGTTCGAGTGGGGCGACTACGAGCGACTGGTCACGATTGTCAAGCACGACCTCGACTCGTTGGAGTACAACATCTACCACACGTGGATGCAGGAGGCCAAGAAGCGCCTGCACAAGATGGTGATCCCGGCGCTGGTCGAGTCCCAGTCGTTGCCTGGCTTTGTGACGAGCGACCACTCGGGCCGTCTGTTCAACCGCCTGCTGAACAACAGCTCGGCGCCGACGCACACGATGGACGACATTCTGGGCATCTTGAACAAGGTGTGGAAGAGTCTCAAGAGCTACTATGTCGAGCCGTCGGTGACGCAGCAGGTGGTGACGGAGCTGCTCAAGCTGATTGGCGTGACGAGCTTCAACGACCTGCTGATGCGACGCAACTTCTGCTCGTGGAAGCGCGCGATGCAGATCCAGTACAACATCACGCGAATCGAGGAATGGTGCAAGTCGCACGACATGCCGGAAGGCACGTTGCAGCTGGAGCACCTCATGCAGGCGACCAAGCTGCTGCAGCTCAAGAAGGCGACGTTGGGCGATATCGACATCATCTACGATGTGTGCTGGATGTTGACGCCGACGCAAATCCAGAAGCTCATCTCGCACTACTACGTGGCGGATTACGAGAACCCGATCTCGCCCGAGATCCTCAAGGCGGTGGCATCGCGCGTGGTGCCCAACGACCGCAACGACCACCTGCTGCTGCCACCCGAGGTGGACGAGGCGGGACCGTACGAGCTCCCCTTGCCACGCGAAGTGACGGGCATCGAGACGTACTGCCCCGCTTACATTACGGTGCCTGCCATTCGACGTCTGGCGAGCCGCGTGGCCTAGATATGATACCTTGCAAGTATACGACTGTAAATAGATCCTACGAGGCGTTCCTGTCACGATTGCTATTCAAAAATTCACGACATCAGAGGCTGCTGATGCTGTGTGATGTATGCTCGAGGGATGTCAGGCGGCGTGATGTTTGCTTGAGGGATGTCAAGCAGATGACGGAGAGACAACCAACCCAACGCTCAATGACACGCAGCACGATGCCATGTCATCACGAGCTTCACCAAGGACGTTTGCTTCCTGGCAGCTCGCCAGAAGCTTAATTGGCCTTCCGCCTCCACACCTTAGAGAAGGGGGTTCAAAGTCCGCTCCTAGGCCGGTTGCTTCTGCTCCTCATGCTGAAGATGAACCTGTCTGTTGCATTCGAATGTGGGGATCTCAGGGTCGTGCATGCGACAAGCCGGTGACAAGGTATCGAAGCCAGGGCTGTGAACTGCTTTTCTTAGATAACTGGTGCGACTACGCTTCGAGCTCGTGGGCTATGTTTTCAGAGTACGCTGACTGTGCGTGGAGCTCGGTCATCAACGCGCACTCGCGTCGCGATCCGGGACGTGAATTGCGAGTACAGGGTCCAAGCAACCTCACCGCATCGATCGAGGTCTCATACGGTGTTACAAGTCGGCAAAAGAATGACCGGGTTGTGCCGGATCGCGAACGGTCTAAGGAACGCCATGTGGCCTCGATCACCTTTGCTGGTGAGCAAGCGAGCGCCGTCATAGCTCAGGGACGCGTCATTCGTCAGCTCAGGGTCTTTGCAGCCAGCTCGCAGCGAAAGGCAGAGAAAGCCAAAGAGGTATGAGTTTAAGCGTGTGTGGAGGTGAAATTACGAAAAATGAAGGGCTAGAGTCTCGCCACTTTTCAAAAGTCTCAGCCCGCAGACACAGCCTGACTCGGACTTGGTGTGTCGCCGTGATGCGCTCTGAAAATCGCTCAAAACTCAGCTGAAAAGCAAAATCCAAATTGGGCTGGGACCCAAGAGAGATAAGCTGGTCTAAATGTTGCGGCAGCACAGCGCTTTGTGATCCCGTGTTTGTACAGCGTGACGCCCTCTCCGCTGGGCAACGGAGCCAAGACGGGCTAAATTCAAGCTCAGCTTACAGCTCAAGGCGCTGTCCGCTTGCGTGTCTCCGTTTGATAACGCTTTAAGCAAGACTGCGCTGTGCTGTTCTGTTTCTTTGACCGGCAGGTGCCAGCTCGCCTGACTGAGTCACTCACCCTCCTTGTATAAGATCCTTGCCACTTATCACGCTCACCGCATCTCGTGTCCTCACCATCAACACCCTACTACATCTGAACACCACACTCGGTCCGACTGCTTCGTCGGCATCTTCAAGCGCCCCTACCTATTCGTCTGCCCCGCGTCGCGGCTGTGTCCCCTGCCCGACGCCGCATCCATTTGCACACAGCACCTCCACAGAGAGCCCAGCACCCAGCCTAGCATACCTGCCTCGATCCACATCCGCATCTAGACTTCAGCATGCAGATTTTCGTCAAGACTCTCACCGGCAAGACCATCACTCTCGAGGTCGAGTCCTCGGACACCATTGACAACGTCAAGGCCAAGATCCAGGACAAGGAGGGTATCCCACCTGATCAGCAGCGCCTCATCTTTGCTGGCAAGCAGCTCGAAGACGGTCGCACGCTGTCCGACTACAACATCCAGAAGGAGTCGACACTTCACCTTGTCCTCCGCCTTCGCGGTGGTATGCAGATCTTTGTCAAGACTCTTACGGGCAAGACCATCACCCTCGAAGTCGAGTCCTCTGACACCATTGACAATGTCAAGGCCAAGATTCAGGACAAGGAAGGCATCCCGCCTGATCAACAACGACTCATCTTCGCCGGCAAGCAGCTGGAAGACGGTCGCACCCTCTCGGACTACAACATCCAGAAGGAATCCACCCTCCACCTCGTCCTCCGACTTCGCGGTGGTGCCAAGAAGCGCTGCCAGAACGGCACCGGCACCGACGCCCAGTGCAAGGACGCCGCCATCAACCTCGTCGGCGAATGCCCCCACTGCAGTCTGAAGTTCTGCGGCAAACACCGGTTGCCCGAACAACACAAGTGCGCCCAGCAGGAACAGGTACGCAACGCGGCCTTCGCAGCCAACAAGGCCAAGTTGGAGAGCGAGAGGACGCAGGCTACGCGCGGGCTCGCACATTAGACACTTCGTTCGTCACATCTGCACATCCCCCACCAATTGAGTCTGCTACTCAACCCCACAATCGCTTTGCATCATACCAACATACCACCTTCAAGTCTTTTCCGCTCCGCATCGTTACATTGTATTACTAGCTCGAATAGAGGATTCTTCTTCGTCCAACAGGTGTGTGGATGTGCGCGGAAGTTTGCCTCGGGATGAGACTCTTGACGGTCACAATCGTGATCACACTGCGCAGCGACTCGTCGGTTCTCACGGTGCAAAGCTCAGCCCAACAACGACAAGAGCAATGGCGAAGCGCCTCCCGCCGTCTGCCTAGCTCATTTGCTCATCGCCGTCCTGCACGCACGCGCGGAATCAGCCGCGTCCACGCCCACTGCGCACCCACGGTCGACGTCACGATCTGAGAACACGCTTGCTCTGCCCATCACAATGTCGCCTACTGTAGAAATAAACGCTGACCACCCTTGACCACGCCTAGAAGTACACCCTCCTCTCACGATCCGCCACGAGGAAGGCCACCTCAACGCGCCCGCTTGCGAAGCTTGACATCGACCTCTTCGTCCTCGTCCTCGTCCTCCTCTTCTTCCTGCTCGGTTGGCCGATGTCGAGAGCGCGAAGCCTGGGGTGTGTGTTGCGGTTCTGGCTTGACCCATCCTGGTCTGCGTGCGGTTGTGTCTGCTTCCTCTTCCTCGTCCTCCTCGTCTTCGTCTTCGTCCTCTTCGCTCGCTTGCCTCTTGACTGGGCGTCGTGGGCGTTCGACTGGGCTGGCGTTCCCTTCCTCCTCATCCTCTTCATCTTCCTCATCTTCTTCCTCCTGGCGTCTGCGCCTGCCGCTACCCGACGCCTCCTGACTCGCCTCGCCCTGGGAGCTCACCCACCCCTCCTCTCCACCCGTCAACCCCAACGCCCTCGGCCCGATCGGTCGGGACTTCCAATTCTTTCTGCATCCCACACAGATCCCTCCGAGCCTATGCAGCGCATCATCATCATCCACCTTGGCGCCGATCGTAGCCCGAGCGCAGTGGTAGTGGAACCTCACGTCGCAGCCACCCCGAGAGGCGTACGAGCAGCCGATGCCCAGCGTCACGACGTCCTTGCAGTGCGTGCAGGCGTGGTAGTGTTCTTCGAACTCGCTCTGGAGGTAGTTGCGCAGCTCGAGCAGGGTTCGCGTTGAAAGTGTGTAGATGCCGTCCCTGTTATAACAGCAGCCAAATGGGTCAGTGTTAATCTTGAAGATGGGGTGAGAAGATGGGGGGTGTACTTACGCCGAGTAGTCGAGCCACCGATGATCGACCAGATTCTTCAACAGTTCTTCCGTCGCATCCCTCGTCAGATGCTGCCGGACCTTTCCGCCCAGACGCACAGCTTCCATGCTCGCAATCGAATACGCCTCGCGCTTCGCCCGAAAGATCTCCTCCACCAGCTTGCGGATGTAGCTGATCCCGTTCGCCGTATACCGCGTCGCCCCGCGAATGAAGGTGTCCGCCTTGGTGTTGATCAGCGCCAACATTGTCACGCCCGTAGACTGGTCCTTGAACGTTCGCAGCTCGAACGAGATCACAGACAGATGGCGTGCCGCCTCATCGTACATCGACAGGTAGGTGGATTCGTTGTAGCTGCTGTGCAGGATGGTGCAGCAGCGCTCGTAGAGATGCTTAGCGAAGGAGGCGGGGACGATGCGATGCGAGATGATGGATTGCGTCCAGGCGACTCGGGCGAGCTTCTGCTCGGCCGTCTCTAGCATCGTGGCTATTGCCTGGCGAGGTGATGCCTGGACAAAGATGGAGGATATCAGGAAGGTTGCGAACTGAGAGAGGATAGGATGCGACGCGGAGGGAAGGAGGGCGCATGTCAAGAAGCTCATCAGAAGCGGCGCAGGGTCGAAATTTCAAAAGCTCAGTTTTGCGCCAAAGTGTTGGTCTCTCGAGAGACACGCGCCTGCCACCCGCGTTCGGCTGAGTCTAGCAGGAGCGCGTAAATTGCGAAATCACACTTCCAGACCGTCACTCTCAGATTGCTGCGCTTTGCGAACAAGAGGATTTCAGTGACACATGATACAACAGGACACGTACAGACACGGCGAATGGAGCATGTCAGGAATGCACTCGGGCTACAGCGATACGGCCGGTCTTGCTGGCTTTGAGAATTGGAGGGCAATAGCGCGGAAACGTGGCGTGCAGCGGCCCACGAAGGGCACTGACTCGCGGCTGGAAGCGATGGAGAAAGACAAGGGAAATGGTCAGACCGGGGTTACAGCTACAGAATTGAGGCACAGCTACTCACTGAGGTTCAGATTCCAAGGGCTTGCCACAGTACATCGTCGTACTTCTCGTGAAGCTCCAGGATCTCAGCGCGAGAAGCCGAGTCGCCGAGGAGCTCCTTGTCGATGGATTTCTCGATCATCACCCTCCTCACGTCGTTGAACAACTTTCGTCGCCCTTCGTCATCCATGACAGGGACAAGTGGAACGTTGTGGTATTCGTCCTTGTAGAAGTACTTCTGCATTTTCATCGGTGGCGATGCGAGCTGTTCCGCCTTTGTGGAGGCAGCGGGCTGCGAGGGACGGGCCGGCCGCGCCGGCCGCGCCGTCTGTGACAACAGCGTCATTCGTGATGACGACGCAACATTGGCGACCTCATTGCCAGCCGGGCTTTTGGATTTCAAAATGATCCCGCTGTCGTTCGTTGAGTCGCCGTTCAGCGAAGGAGACGAGCCGCGGGCCATGTGGCGTCGAGATCGTCGCCGAGGAGTAGCTTTCGACCGCGTTCGTCCGTTCGGGCGAGCGGAAGGCGACGGAGTCTGCAGAAAGCTGTACTCCTTGCACCTGTCGAGGGGACCACCGAGAAGTCCATCGACGTCGCCAAAAGCCTGTCGATCGGCCTCTTCGATGTCAACGTCTTCTTCCAAGCACTGCATGTAGACTTTCAGCCTGTGTGGCTCCATCCAAACGCTACTATCGCACTGCAGGGTCGGATTCGCTCGACAATGTTCGCACTTCTGTTGGAACGATTCCGTCTCGGGGAGAACGCAATCTTCGACGATGGGATCATCGCAGCAAGATTTGCATGGCAGCCAATGTCGATGTTTAGCTGTTCTTCTCGCATTCTGCATGGGGGCGCCCACCGATCTCCTTCGCTGACGGGTCGGCTGTGGTGAGGGCGAACGCGACCGGGAAGGCGAACGAGCACGTCCGGGCAAGCTTGCGCGCAGGTCGATCGGGTCGTCTTCGTCGCACATTGTAGGAGTCAGATCGTGATTAGCGCCTCTGATTCGGGCTGGAGACTGTAAGTCAGACGCAGAGAAGAGAGATGAGAGGAAGAGAGTCACTGAAGGCAGGAGGCTTGTCGGTCTGAGTCGAGAAGGCATGGATGTGGGAAGGAAAGAGCAGGAGAGCTCAGCGCTCACTTTTCGCTGAGTCGAGAAGGATCGCTGCCTGGCTGAGTCGGCTGTTTCGAAGTTAATCTCGTCTTTCATTTCAGACGTGCTTTGGCGGTCCAAGCGCAGCACGCCCGGAGTGAACAAAAGAGCTGAGCATTTTGGGTCACTCAGCCTCGTTGGCTACGCACGGACCTTTCATTGTAAAGATGTGACGATTGAAAGGGAAGGATGTGACAATCCAAAGTGATGAATGTGACAACAAAGGGGGAAGGGCGTGATGGTAAAAAGAAGCTCGAACAACGCGTAGCGATATGAATTGAGCAGCTTGGTGCAAAGAGAGACTCTCTCCGCGACGCTTGCCATTTGTGGTTCGGACAAGGCAGTCACTGCCACGTGTTAACAGAGACGAGCGGCCGATCGGTCCCGGACGGTCTCGCTGTTGATGCTGATACATCGTCGATACTCTTGATGTTGCTCGTGACAGCTGCTCAGCTCCGATACAGTATGAACAAAGACACGCCTTGCGGCAATCTCTCCAGCGCCTCCGCCAAAAGGATCATTTTCGCAAATCTGACATTTTTCTATTTTCCACCACTTTTGACCGGTGCGGCGTTCCAAGCGAGCCTGCAAACCCTTTTCCAACTCCGGTCCGCAGGGAGCGTGTGACGCCGGCATCTTCGGTAGAAAGCCACGGTCTGTTGTTCTTTCTCGACGGACCGTTGGAATAGTCTTTCTTGCCGAACGTCCAATAATGACCTCATTGCGTTGTCCTGACTTTCAAGACAAGATGCTTTTTGTCCGTTCCTGTGGGTCGCTTCTCGAATCGAAGGCAATCTGCGTGACTTGCTTCGACCCATATTGTCATGTGTGTATGACGGCGGGCCGGTCGTCTCCCTCCCACAGTGCTCAGTGAGGCGCGAGCAGATGGCTTCGGGTTCGGGAATGCAGACGAACAGCTTCTCGGGTGGACGAGAGGGACTAGCTTCGGCGAAACGCCTTGAAAATTGCCCGACGCGGGGGTAAAAGAGAAGCGTTTCTTGACACGGAGTGGCATGCCTGGTTTAACCGAGCTTGTGTTTCCATCGACCGTCCACAAGAACTTCTCCGACTTGCCCAATGATGTCTCTGATAGACTGAGCTTGTGCGCCGAGTCATCATCGGTGTGGGGGAAGCCTCATCTTGAACCCTGACCGGCAGAGCTTGCCCTTGACTTAGCCTCGGGTACTCTTTCGATCCTGTGGTTGAGTGTGCTTCCCTTTCGTAGATGAAGCTCAGCGAGACACGGTCGGCGGCCCTGGAGAGTATATATCTACGTCAAGCCCAGCGCTTCTGTCCCCTTTTGACACCCTTCGTTTCTGAGACCGCCGCTACCCTTTCGAAAGCAGCCCAAGATGGAGTCCGCCGACACCCACACTCTTGTTGCGGCCACGCCCATTGACAATGCAGACAAGCTCAAGAAGACCCCTTCCCCAAACAACGTCTACAAGACTAACTCCCTTCAACATGTTGACTCGACCGACTTTCCCGAGCTGCCAGAACCCTTCTGGAGCAAGTACCTCCCCAATCCGTACAGCGAGAAGCGTGTGCTCAACCTCACCCCCTTCCAGATGAAGTGGGCCGTCCAGCTCGTCGCCGGTATCGCCATTCTGTTCTTTGGTTTCGGTGAGTAGGTCCCAAAGACGCAAGGCAGGTCAACAGCGCTGCGACTAATCATTCCGAGACGACGTGTCCGCAATCATACAGATCAAGGTGTCATGTCAGGCGTCAACGAATCCAAAGACTACCTCCGCCTCATGGGCACCGCTTCGGGCGTCGATGGCAACGAGACAGAGCGAGACAGCGCTGCTATCGGTGGAATCGTCGCTATCTACTACCTCGGCACGTTGCTGGGCGGTTTCCTTGGTGGTTATATGGCCGACAATGCTGGTCGCATGAAGACCATCCTCTTTGGCTCCTTCTGGGTCGTTCTCGGCGCCTCCCTTCAGGTCTCCGCCCAGAACATCACATGGATGATGATTGCCAGAGTACTCTGTGGCATAGGAACAGGTATGTAAAATGCTCTGGTAGTTGTACCACCGCGATGCGAAACATGGCAGTCGGTCGATCCGTTCATCTCGCCTCTCCCCTTCCAGAAGCTCTGACACGCCCGCTCTCTGTCTCTCGTTCTTGTGACCAGGAATCTACAATGCCGTGGTGCCTGTCTGGGTAGCCGAGCTGTCCCGTCATGACAAACGCGGGCAGGCCATCGGGTTTGAGTTCACTGCAAACATCGCGGGTACGTATCGAAAATTCACGGCGATAGTGAGGCGATCACGAAAAGTCACTGATACGATCTCCAGCTTCCGCATCACAGGTCTAGCCCTAGTCTACTGGATCTCTTTCGCAGTGAGAGACATGGAAACGGGAGGATTCAACTGGCGCTTTCCCCTAGCCTTCCAACTTATCTTCATCATCATGTTGGTCGCCTGTCTGCCGTTCTTCCCCGAATCGCCACGCTGGCTGGCCAAGATGGGGCGAGTCGACGAAGCGCGTCGCATCCTCTCTCGATTGCGCGAGCAGGACGTCGAAGTCGAGCGCGAGCTGCAGGAGATTCTCGCCGTAGCCAGGGTGGAGCGTGTTCGTCAAGGAAACGGCGAGGACGGCTTCCTTCATATGTTGTGGACGTCGGACGGCAAGCTTCATATCCGACGCAGGATCATCCTTGTCGTGTGGCTCCAGATCTTGCAAGAGCTGGCCGGAATCGGAGTCATCACGGTCTACGCTCCTACCGTCTTCCGGTCGGGCGGGTTCAGCGATACACTCGCTCGCCTGCTCTCTGGATTCAACGATGTGAGTGCCCCACTGCGGCGTGAATACGATGCATGTTGACTTCTGACTGACGTTTGCTCATCTTTGTTTCCTGTTCAAAAGGTGTCGTACATGTTCTCAGTCCTGATCGCCGTCTTCCTTCTCGACCGTACCGGTCGCCGCAAGACGCTCTACTGGGGCAACATCGTCATGGGGATCTGCCTGTTCATCGCCGGCGTCGCAGCCAAATACTCACTCCAATACGGCGCTGAGTCGGCGACACCCGATCTGGCGCTTGCCAAGCGATGGGGCGCTGCTCTCGCAGCCATGGTCTTCCTCTACACGGCCACATTCGGCGCCACCTGGCTCAGCGTCCCCTGGCTGTATCCAACCGAGGTGTTCCCCTTGTTCATCCGTGCCAAGGGCGGAAGCTGGTCCGTGTTCGGTTGGAGTATCGGCAATGGCATCGTGACCGAGATCACGCCGTTCTTGTTCAACGCGATCAGCTACAACACTTTGTAAGTCATCTCTCTGAGCTCCAAGGGAAGAGAAACATCGAACTGACACGTGCGCCTTTGTCCCAGCTTCCTCTTTGGAGCACTCAACTTCTTCTGCCTGCCCTTCGTGTGGGCCTTCTACCCCGAGACGAGCTGTCGTTCGCTCGAGTCGATCGACGAGCTGTTCGAGTCCGATTCAGCGTTCATCGCTTTCGACAAGCGACTCACGCAAGTCAGAAGAGAGAGCCTCGACGAGACGCACAAAGCCTGAGCCTCACATATACGAATACAAATCCTACTCCGTCGTTGTGGTATCGTGTAGTGTACATGAATCGGTTTCCACTCTATGCAAAACGCTACTCCTGCTTGGCGGAGATCTTCTTGGCCTCGCGCTTCGCCTGCTTCTTCAACGACCTTCTCGATCCTCTCTGTTCCACCTTCTCCTCCACTACCTTCTTTTCGGTCTGCTCGTCTCTGGCCTTGATCGGCGACTGAAACGTGCTACTCGCCCAAAGAATCGCGCACACGGTCGCGCCACCACTGAGCCACACCATCTGTCTCGGATCCGCCCCCTCGGGATAGTACCCACTGCGCTTCCTAACATCGTTCTCGTAGGTGATGCAGAGCATGGTTGCAGCCAACAGTCCCAGGACCGTTCCCACGACCGGGTTGCCCGGGATCCGCAAGCGAGTGCGCAGCTCGTAGTTGATCAGTGCCGCAACGTCTTTGAATGCGAGGAGGAAGAATGCGGCGACGATGGTGGTGAGTGCGAGGGCGTAGAACGAGGGCTGAGTGTGTGCAATCGGCCACTTGGGTTGGGCAAGCTGGAAGATCTCGCCGGGTTGCAGGGTTTGTAGTGCCGTGGGCACACGTGGCGCTGCGGGAGCGATCAGGAACTCGCGGTAGTTCGCTGGGAACATGGGTATGCGCGTTGGCGGTGTCACTTCCAGCATCTTGGCAAAGGTGAGGGGGTGGTGGATGATGGTCAGGAAGACTCGGAGGTGAGTGCGAAGATGGATGGCCCCGGCGGTAATTTCGTGCGGAAAACGGGACTGCAGATGATCGTCATCACACCTGCCAAAAAGACCAACACAAGCTTCCGACTGTCAAGCCGAAGATCCGACCCTCCCACCTCCCCACCCTTTTCCTTCCAACCAGCACTCACTCGTAACAATCGATCGACGCATCGACACAATGTCGTCCTTCTCGCACAAGCCCTTCTGCCTGGTCAAGTCGTCCATCAACATCGACGAGACCTTCCTCGTCCCACACATTGTCCGACCAGGCGAGACCATCTCCTCTACCGGCCTTGTCTCTCGCCCCGGCGGCAAGGGAGCCAATGTCTCTGCTGCGATCGCACTCGCAGGGGCCACCGTCTCGTTCTCGGGCGCCGTCGGCAAGGATGCTCCCTGGCCGTTGGACGAGCTCAAGTCCCGACATGTCGTTGTGGATGACGCAGAGATCTTGGAGGATGTCCCCACAGGCAGGGCTTTCATTCAGATCGCCGAGGATGGCGAGAACAGCATCGTGCTCCTGAAGGGAGCCAACTTTGCGAAGGGCAAGAGCACGGATCCAGCACAAGCATGGGGCGACAGGACGATCACCCATTTGGTGCTGCAGAATGAGATTCCCCTCGAAACGACGATCGCTTTTGCACAGCACGCCAAGTCGAGCAAGGTAGGGAATCACGTCACGACCATCTTCAACCCGTCGCCCATGCTCAGCAAGGAGGAGGTGGAGAAGTTCCCATGGAGCGATATCGACGTGCTCGTGGTCAACGAGGGCGAGAGTCTAGAACTGCTGCGTGTGCTCCAGCCATCGGAAGCGTCGGCGTTGGAGGGGCTCTCGGAAGGAGATGAAAGGTCAAAGAAGGTGCTAGAGACGCTGTCGGGTCTCGAGCATTTCAGCAGCACCGCATGGATCGTTCTGACCCGCGGGGGGCAGGGTGTCATGGCCAACGTGATCCTGTCCGACAGCTCAGATCGAACGTTCTTCAACGTGCCACCGTTCAAGCCGAAGCAGGTCAAAGACACCACGGGTGCGGGCGACACGTTTGCAGGAAACTTGGTCGCTGCGTTGATGGGGCACAATGTGGATGGAGGCGAAGGGCTGCTGGAGTCAGCTCGTCCCAACAGCAGGAAGTTTGTTGAAGAGGCGCTGAAGTGGGCCTCGAAAGCGGCAGCCCTGGCGTGCGAGAAGGAAGGCGCCATGCAGAGCATTCCGAGTGCGGAAGAGGTCAAGCCGAGGAGCTCATGAGCCACGACCGCTGACCAGCACAAAGTCACCTCAGAAATAAGAAAGTCATCCAAAGAGCAGCAGTGGTTGTGTCTTGCACAAATCACGATGATGCGATGTGTCAAAGAAGCATATGCAATTGCAGAGAGCATGAACGAGGAATATCGACAAGGAAAGTAGAATGCGGAATCACTTCTTCTCGCGAACCACCTTGTCGATCCAGCTGGCGACATACTCGACGTTGTTGGTGGTGAGACCAGCCATAGAGATACGCGAGTTGGCGGTGAGATAGATGTGGCCCTCCTCGAGCAGGCGCTTGCACTGGTTGACGTCGAGCCCCAAGAAGGTGAACATGCCGATCTGCTTGAGGATGTGGTCCCAGTTGCCCGGCGTCTCGAACTTCTTTGTCAGCAGGTCGAAGAGGCTCTGTCGCATGGTGATGATCCTGCCTGCCATCTCCTTGACATCCTTCTGCCACTGCGCGAAGAGTGCCTTGTCGGTAAGGATCATCTTGACGACCCTCGCGCCGAACGCAGGGGGATTGGAGATCTCCGAGCGCTGAATCGCCGCGAGCTGCGAGAAGACCGCCGCGTTCTGCTCCGGAGTCGCCGACACGACGTGGAGCGCACCGACACGCTCGCCGTACAACCCGGCGTTCTTGGCAAAGCTCTGGCAGATGAGCAACGGAATGCTCTTGCGGGCCACAAAGTGACGCACCGCCCACGCATCGCGGTCGAGATCACCCGATGCAAAGCCCTGGTAGGCGCAGTCGAAGAAGGCGAAGTGGCCCTTGTCGGCGAAGATGTCGGCAATCTGCTTCCACTGCTCCTGCGTCGGGTCGACACCTGTGGGGTTGTGCGCACACGCGTGTAACAAGAAGACGCTCTGGTTCTTGGCCTGCTTGAGCGTGTTGGTGAAGCCCTCAAAGTCGAGCGCGATGGTCTTGGCATCGTAGTAGGGGTAGTCGACGGGCTTGATGCCCACCTGGTTGAAGATGGCCTTGTGGTTGGCCCAGGTGGGATTTGAGATGTAGATCTGACGGTCGACACCGAAGGCCTGGTACTGGTAGAATCGCTGCAGGAAGACGGCGCCCAAGTGGTTGGCACCGGTGCCGGAGATGGTCTGGACCGAGGCGACACGCTTCTCAGCGATGGCGAGCGAGTCGGCACCGAGAATGAGCTGGGCAGCGGCAGAGGTGAACTCGGGAAGACCGGTGATGGAGAGGTACTCGTGGTCGACCGACTCGTCGGCGATGAGGTCGGATTGCGCCTTTTTGACCGAGGGGAGGACGTAGGGCTTGCCGTTGTTGTCACGGTAGGCACCGACACCGAGGTTGACTTTCTGCTTGTAGGAATCAGCCTCGTAGGAGGCAGTCAGCTTGAAGATGCTGTTATTGGTCACATAGTCGCCGGCGTAGGATGTCAGCGGTTGCAATCGAAGGACGAGGAGACGTAGTGTGGGGGAGGCGGCTACTTACGCATCTTCAGGAGCCTGAGGAACAGCGCTCCACACAGCAAGAGCTGGAGTTTGGTCAAGGGAGCCCATGATGAATGTGGTCAGCTCGAGTATCTTTGGTACGGAGACGAGACGTTGAAGACGTTGTTGGAAGAGATGAAGCTGGACTAGATAAGGCTGGCGAAGAGGTTTAGTGTTGGAAGAATCACCCACGGCAACCAGCTGGGTTGTTCTCCGATCGAGGGCAGCTGACCGCGGTGTGTAATTTAGCTGGAGTCACTGCAATTTCGCGGGGCTGCGCCTTTCTTGTGAGCGTGACCCTGCGCGAGATTGCCGATACGCGCTGCGCTGCCACCCTTGAGCCCAAATTACGGAGTCAGGACCGGCGACATCGCACCGTACCGCCGCAACTCTGCCAACTGCCTTCCCGGACGACACACAATATTCGCCAATCCCATTTCGTACGCGACCTAACACCACGGGCTCGAGCGAGCCATGCCGGATCGGATGGAAAGGGATGCCCGCGAGCCGCACCATGACAGACGCATCCAACCTCATGCTGCAGCAAACACCAAATGTCGCTCGTCCCATCATCTGTCCTCCGCCAGCCTGATCGCTTCTGCATCCCTTCTCTGCCGACGATGTTGTCGGCTGAATGGTCGCTTTTGCTGCTGAAAGAATGTCGCAAGTCAGCTGGGATGATAAAGACTTACCTGCTTGACTGATGCCCTTGTCGCCAGAGATGTGACCCTGAATGCTGCCCAGACGATTTGCTGCCATGGTTGCTGTGGTTGATCGGGGCTGAGAGGATACCGCTGGAATGAAAGCTTCCGGATCGCAGTACTGAGATGTCGAAGCGAGCTTGTCTAGTCGATCAAATAGTAAGCTGAGGGTTGGTGGGACAAGGACGAGATGGAAAGAGATCAGTTCGAAAGGAAGAGGTGCAATGACGACCACAACCGGTTACTTGAACTCCAAGCAGGCAGACCATGAAGAAGCCGGCCCAGGACGGAGTCTGCAGGTGCGGATCGCTAGATGCGGGGTCCAGATGCTTAGTCGCGTGAGCTCAGTTGGGAATTTGTCTTGTGAGAGCGAGGGTGTCCAGATCGAGAAAATCCGGGATGCATCGGAGTCGACGATGGCTCTCCTGTCTGCCGCGCAAGAATTTCCATGCTTACCCCCGGGCTGCATTACAGTATCATCAAGGTTTGGAGTCGCTATACATGGTCTCATAGATCTTATGTCGCCTCCTTCGTTTCGACGCTCAACAGACGAGCAGCAATGCCCGAGCTTGCAGGGACACCATGATGCATTTCTAGGACGTAGCTTCCGACATCTCCACGTCTTGTTCCTGAACTGCAGATGTCTCCGGCCCTGAAGTGGGATCGGCTTCTGCTGCTTGCCCTTCTTCCATAACGTCTGATCCTCCTGCTGCCGCCTCCGTTAGGGTGACCCCGTCTTCTGGCTGTGATGCCTCCGCTGTTGGCACGGCAGGGATCGCAATCGGGATGTCAGAGGCATCTTTGGCTGCCTGGCTGTCGCCTGCTTTTGTTGTTTCCTCGGTAGCCTGAGTGTCCGGCTCTGCCTGCGCAGGAATGGCGGTCGCTGGCGCTCCATCCTGTACGCTTTCGAGTGTAGCTTGTGGTGCATCAGCGTCTGCTGCCTCAGTAGCGGCTTGTTGAGAACCACCATCTGCAGCCCTTCCAGCCCCTTCCTCGCTCTTTGCGGCACTCTCGTCGGCCGTGGGCGGTGCCGGCACAGGCACTGCCTTTGGCTTCGGCTGTGGGTTGCGCTCCTCCTCCATCACCTTCAGCAATCCCTCGATATCCTCGGGTCGACTAAGCCTGCCAAATAGGTGCAAGTTGTCCCGACTGGCAACCCGTAACGCCCTCCATGCCAGGCTCTGCATCGTCTCGATGATCGCCTGTGCCCGCTCATCATTGTCCAGCTTGTTCCGCTCGTCATTGCCGAGCTTTGCCTCTGGTAGCGTCGAATCGATGCCGAGCTGCTTCTTTCGCATGTCGAGCTTCATCTTTTCGCGTTGAATCGACTTGTTGTAGTGCTCCAAGCTGGGCACGGCAGGAAAGATCTCGAGCTCCTCCAGTCCGTCGGTCGGAACGGTGACGTACTCGCCCATCTCGTTCTCCTCTCGTCTTGTACCTGGGACCGGTGGTTTCAGTCCATCTTGCCACAGCTCTGAGAGGGCTGCTGTGCCGAGCTTGTGCGGATACGGTTCGGGTTTGCGCAGCAGCGAGGCTCGAGCTGACGCGAATTGGGCAATCTGCTCCGGCGACAGCGGCGGCTTCTCGATCGAGGGACAAGATTCCGTCTTCCATCGAATCCAGTTGGTTTCGCGCTTGAGCACCTCCAGCACCGATTCGAGGAACAGCCGTCCATCCGGCTGAATCTCGCGGATCAGTGCCTGGATCTCCCTCCATGTGGATCGAATCCAGCGCTCGTCCGCATCCTCGAGGGTGAAGAGCGCTTGCAGGGCCTTGTTCTTCCACTCCTTCCAGCTCTCCTTGGCCGTTGGTGTGAAGGAGAGGAGATACTGAAACAGGACAAAGTACTGCACCAGGATGTGCTTGCGAAAGGATGTGTCGCGGATCTCGTACTCGAACAGCTTGCGTCCCGTGAGGTATGTAGGGAAGAAGTGGCCGCTTTCGGTGGCCGCCGCCTCTGCTTCTGCTGAGCCTGTTGTCTCTTCCATATCTTCGTCTGCGTCGGTACCATTTGTTCTGACACCGTCCAAAATGTCAGGTCGCAGTCTCTTAGAAGCAGGTCCGTCGTCCTTGTTGCCTATCAACCTGCCTGCGATGTAGCCGGTGTTTGTCGTGCCGTTCTCGAGTCGCCTCTTGCTGGACGATGGCGTGACGCTTCCGGACGCTGTTTGCGACGCTGTGCCCGTGTTACCGCTGAGTTTGGCCTCCTCAGCGCTTGCTGCACCTGCGAGCTCCTTCTCGCGTTTTGTCACGGCGCCAAACAGCTTGAGGATCTTTGCCGTGCTGATTCTCAGCTCGGCCATCGCGCCCTTGGCTCCGTCGGGAGCTGGATCGTCGTCCGAGTCGAGACGATCTGCCTCTCCAGCTTCGACAGGTGTAGCACTCCTCGTTGACGGTCGTGATGAATCCTGTGCGCCCATGAGGAGAGGTGGATTGGCAAAGAAGCGCTGCACCTTCCAGAAGAGCTCGTAGAAGTCGTAGTCGACCTTGAAGATCTGGTCCCTCTCATCAGCGTCAGCGCCGTCGCCGACCTCGTCTTCGGCGTCCTCCGTCCTTTCCTCGATGTGCGTTTTGTTCTCGACATTGAAGTCGCCGCGCAGGTTGACACCGCTCCTCTCGCCGAGAGGGAACACCTTGGCGAGCAGACTGAGAATACGACCGGCAAAGACCGTGTCTTCTTGCGAAGGCTTGGACAGTCTCTTGAGGAGCTCGTTGCATGTTCGAAGCAGAACAGGGCCTTTCCCCCTGCCTGGGTGGAGCCCAATGGTGAGAGGCTTGACTCGCGACTCTGTATACCCAAAGATCCGTGAGCAGGTCGGAATGGGCTGCGCCTCGATCAGCTCTTCGATCAAAGACAGAGGCAAGAGCGGGTCAATGAGATCGAGGAGCGAGAGGACGAGGCTGACGTCGAGTCGATCAAATGAGGATGCAAGCTGGCTCTGAAGGGTTCCATCGTCGATGTTGTCCCCTGGGGTTGCTCGCAAGCCTGATGAATCGTCGAGGACAACTTTGCGGAGCTCGTTGTTGCTGAGCTCCAAGCAAAGATTGCGCAGTCGTACTTCCAGGCTATCTTTGTCTGCCGTCGAAAGATTGCTGACTATACCGAAAGCTTCTCTGACATCTTGCGTGTCCGCTATCGGCTTGAGGGCATCGCGGACCTGAGTGAATGGAAGAAGATGCTGCTGAGAATTCGCCCGCCGCAAGTCGGAAAGTGTCGCGAGCAAGGAGGGTATGAGCTCGGACAAGCACTGGCGAAGTGCGTCCGCAGCTGCTACAGATTGGCTCATGCCGAGATGCTGATGCGAACCGAGGCTAGCTGGACGTGATGATGGCTTGAGCCAAGACCACAACCTTTGAGAAGAAGGATGGTAAACGCGAAGAAAGTCTCGGAACGCGGCTCAATTTTGCGGAGACTGCTCCACTTGCACAAGCCAGCCAAAACCTCAACTTGCTTCTTGCGCTCCTCGTCCTCGTCAAGCAACACATTCACCACGCGCGGTTCTACGACCGGACAGACCTGCTCATCATCCTACCAAGACGCCATGTCGGAAGCAGAAGTCAAGATGGAGGACGACAGAGCAGCTGACCTCGTTGATGATGTCGACATGGATGATGGTAAGTCCTCTAGCTTGATAGGCCCCGCGCGGCGCATCCTTTCCTGACAGGCTTTCTTCCTCCTCGCTCTCCTCTTTGCACGATCATAGACCCGAACGTCAAGCGTCGAGGAAGAGGCTTCGACCCACGCGATCACGGACCCGCATCCGAAGGCGTCAAGACAGGCCGCTTCGATACATTAGACGGGACAGCAGAGAGCAGCGATCGTGCGGCCAAATGTGAGCAGCCTCGATACACACCCTTCTTCATGCGGCACATTCGCTGACTTTCCCACAACATAATGATATGCACAGCGGTCGAAGGATGGGTCATCGTCGTGACCAACATTCATGAAGAGGCAACAGAAGAAGACGTTCAGGACAAGTTTCTTGACTTTGGCCTTGTCAAGCGATGCGACCTCAATCTTGATAGACGAACAGGATATGTGAAGGTGAGCTCATACAGCCAGTGTCTCCTCTCGGCCCCAGACGACTGTAAGCTAATCAAATATCTCTTCATCACGCTGCCGTGCTCGATCAGGGATATGCTCTACTAGAGTTCGCAGAGAGGGCCGAAGCGCAGGAAGCGATCGAGGCCTGCAACGATGGTCTTACACTACTGGACCAGGAGCTGAAGGCCGACTTTGCATTCGTCCATCCACCGGCTGGGGCTGCTGCAGGCCGAGGTACGGGATCAAGAAGAGGCAATGCCAACAGAGACCGCAGTCGCAGTCCAGGCAGGTGAATCACCGACCCCCTTTCGAGCTCCAACACCCTCTTCTAGATGCTATACAACCGCGCCTTCTTGTCATTCATTTGTACTTGTACTTGACTCCGCAATCCACGCCATCGATGCTTTTTGCGATCCACTGCCACAGTCGGCAATGGACAAGGTTGATTCTGAGCAGCAGCAAAATCCACTACCACAAAATGGGAGTTCAAATTCAGGCCACAAATTGCTGGTCGCAGATGATGCTCGAAGACAGCTCTGGTGTTTCTGTTCTTCGTCCTCCGTCCTACTGATTCCACTGCAGAGCCAATGCAAGTAATGTCTTCCCTGTTGACTTCGATGGCGATGTCGGAGAGTCGTTGGGCAGCTTCTACGAGAATGTGGCCAGTTGCTGCTGGCAAAGGTGTCAAAGCTGGGAGAAGCCTGATTATGTAAGCATGTGATCGCCCGCGAAATCCAGCTTTGAACCTCCACCGCGTCTTGGGCCGCGCAGCTCGAGCCAACCAACACCTTCGACTTTCCACCCATCCTTCGCACCTCAACACCGCGACTCATCATCACAAGCGACTGCTCAGAACCCTCACAGCACCAGCACATCCATACTCAATCGAAGCACCTCTACACATCACAGCCGCCAGCATGGACGAGGAGACAGTTCAGCCCATCCCCAACCTCAAGCTACAGCAGCACCTCTTCCTGCTTGCGCACCACTCGAAGCAACGTGCCTCATCCGAAGTGCAGGCCTCGCAACAGGCGCTGCTCGAGGGCATCGAAAAGGATGAGATGGCACCATACTACCAGCTCATCCTGAGCGATAATACGCTGAAAGGCCTGCTGAAGGAGGACAAGTCGCTGATCAAGCGGCTCGAGGCGAAGAACCAGGAGGAGCTGCAGAAGCTCGACCAAAAGCAGAAGGAGGTGGAGGAGAACGAGGGTGAGATGGAGATCAATGGTGTATTGCGTCAGAGGGCGGCGTATTACGCAAAGATCGGCGACAAGGAGAAGGCGTTGGAGGCGCACAACTTGGCTGTATCGAAGGGGGCTGGGTTGGGGTCGAAGCTCGATCTGACGTTGACCAAGGTGCGCATCGGGCTGTTCTTCGGTGACACGGATGTGACGACGACATCGATTGCGGAGGCAAAGAAGCTGGTCGAGGAGGGAGGCGATTGGGAGCGCCGCAATCGATTGAAGGTGTACGAAGGTCTTCACCTGCTCTCCATCCGGGACTTCAAGGCGGGTGGCCAGCTTTTCCTCGACGCGCTCAGCACCTTCACCGCCACCGAGCTCATCGACTACAACGACTTTATCACGCTCACCGTGCTCGCCAACGCGCTAGTGCTCAAGCGCACCGATCTCAAGAAGAAGATCATCGACTCGCCAGAAGTGTTGCAGGTGATCGACGAGATCCCGCACCTGCGCAGTTTCGTTACCAGCCTGTACGCGTGCGAGTACGGCAACTTCTTCCGCGCCCTCGCCGACGTCGAGCAGGCCCACATCCTCACCTCCCGCGCACTTCACCAGCACGCCCGATACTACGTCCGCGAGATGCGCATCATCGCCTACTCCCAGCTCCTCGAGAGCTACCAGTCGTTGTCCATCGACAACATGGCTACTGCATTTGGCGTATCGGGCGACTTTATCGACAGCGAATTGTCGAGGTTCATCTCGTCAGGTCGCTTGCCTGCGGTGATCGACAAGGTTCATGGCATCGTCGAGACCCGCAGACCGGATCACAAGAATGCCCAGTACACAAAGATCATCAAGGAGGGCGATGTGTTGCTCAACTCGTTGCAAAAGCTGTCACGAACCGCCTTGTAGTCTCTCGGACTGCCAAGACGCCAATACCAGATGATTTGACATCGACAGACTTGTGACTCGAGACAGTGTTCGCATCTGCTGCTGTCTGGCAATGGAAGGTCTAAATTAAAACGTTGTTGAAATGAATCTAGCCGTGCTGTTCTAGTCGACCTCGACAAGGTGGTACGAAGGAGCATCCAACTGATCCGCGCCCTTCAAGAAGGGAATCGCCACCACAAATACGTACTCGACGACCTGGCTTCCGCACTTCTTGACGAGCTCTCCAGCCGCCTTGGCGCTTCCACCGGTCGCAATGAGATCATCGATGACCAACACCCTTGATCCGGGGGCCAATGCGTCCTGTTGCATCTCAAACACGTCTTCTCCGTACTCCTTCATGTAGCTCGCTTGCACGCAGGCGCCGGGGAGCTTGCCGACCTTGCGAACGGGAACGAAACCGCAGCCGAGACGCTGGGCGAGGATGGGGCCGAGGAGGAAGCCGCGCGCGTCCAGACCGACGACTGCATCGATCTTGCGGTTGCCGTACGACACCGCACCGGGTTCCAGCGGTGTTGCAGGGACGGGAGAAGAATCGGAGAGGGTAGGGATGGTGTGCGTGAACACGTGCGAGACAATGTTGGTGATCAGCAGCTCGAACGCGAGAGGATCCCGGAGGACAGGGAGGATGTCACAGAACCGAATGCCCTTTTTAGGGTAGTCGTCGTAGAAGCCTGTGCGCAGCAAAGGAAATCGAGTTAGCACAGGAAGCAAAGCCGCCGAAGTGACGATAAGGCAGGGTACGCACGGAAAAGAGACTTGAGATGAGCAACGTCCGACATATTGGCAGGTACAGAGATGGTGTACAGAGATGGTGTTGGTCTCGAAAGCCTTCAGGGAAACTTTTCTTCTTCGAGATAAGATTCGTTTGGCCGGCAAAACTGGCGGTTCATCAAAAGCAAACGTGCGCAGGGATTTTTGCAGCTTGTTAGAGCTTCGTGACTCTGGCCAGGGTTGTGGGAAGCAGACCCTGCATCCTGCACGAGCGACAACAGCAAGACGCCCAAGATCAGCACTCTTGAGATGAGCTCCACATTCAGCTGACGGCAAGCACATGTACGTGAGCGTAAAAACTTACAGCGCGCACGACGGGGGGTGATGTGAGCCCGGCACGCCGTTCCCAAGGCAAAGGATCCCATCCCGGCGGGTCGCAGCTGAAGGGCATAAGCGCGTCGATCCCGGTGGAGGTGTGTTTTGGTGCTCCGCGCTTATATGCGCGTGCCAAGGGTCTGGTCGGCATTCGACCTTCTTGCCATCCCACCATCTCGATCTCCCCCACTGCAGGTTTGATCCTTTCTCCATCCCCACCACCGAGCCCCCTGGAAGTCAATCAACCCCAACGCGGCAAGCACGGCCCCCTAAGCTTAACGCCATCCAAATCACAGCTGCTCCATGTCGATCCTATACCTCTCCTCGCGCGCGGCGCTGCGCCAACCAGCAGGCATCGTCTTTCTCCACCCGTCCGAACGAGTCTCACGCTCCGAGCTGGACCGGCGGGATCGATGCTACCGCGCAGCGCGGGAGGCCGAATACGCCCGTTCCTGGGCCGAAGATGCAACGCTCGTGGGCACCGTCATCTACACCACCGACGGGCGCACCGCGAGCGATCGCAGCAGCAACCGCAGCACCCGCTCCAGGAGGGGCCGCACCAGCGTCGCCCGCAAACTAGGCAAGAGACTCCGGTTGAAGAAGCTGAAGGATCTGTTCAGTCATGCGTAGCAAACCGCCTCGCCAAGAAGGAGGCTCGAATGAGTCTGGTCGGTCCATTCACGAAAAAAACGGTCCAGACTCGCATAGCTTCCCCACCCACTTCGTCGTTTCGTACTCGCATTCGCATCCTCGCATCTCGTTCATCTCTCGTTCCTCGCTGTATCGTCGTTCTTTCCAAATGTTATGGGCTCATCCACTTCAATGGCCGTCATGCACAAGCTCGAGTCGAGATCTCAGATGGGTGAGAATTTGAGACGTGCGCATCCTAATTACAGAGTGTGGTATCAGAAGGAAAGGGGGAAGCATTAAGCCTAATTGCACCGCCATTCGGCGAATGGACGAACGCATGGCAGCCAGCAAGCCACATCGTGACAGCTCAAGGGATGGGAACAGGCTCTCCGTGCTCGTCCCTAACGACCACCACCTCGACATCAGCGCGCTCGCCATTGTCCATGAACGTGACGCTGGTCATATCGATCGGGTCGGTCCTGACACCGCGCTTCTCCATAAAGCTCCTGCCCAAGATCACGGGGAAGTAGCTGTCTTCAGCCAGCATCACGGTGCACGGCACGGCCTTGCTTCCCACCTGCACCGGCCACTTGCCGAGGTTGGTGATACCGTTGAACCCGTAGGTGCCCGGGGTGGTGTCTTTGGGGATGAAGCCGTGGTTGAGCGCAAAGCTGCGGCTCACGTACACGTGACGGTAGCCCGACTTGAGCATCATGGGTACGTCCTGGATGGGACCGATGCTGCCCTTGAGCAGTCGAACGCCGAGCTGCGCGTGGAACTCCTGGAAGGCCACCTTGTGCGAAGGGACCGATGAGACGGTCTGGTTGGTCTTGCGCGTCTTGGACGTGTGGGTGGAGACAGCGTCGTCGTGGGTCGCCTTGGCTGCGGGAGGCTCGGGAACAGAGGGCTTGCTGTAGCCAGGCGCGGCGGTGGGCTCGCGAGGAGGCGGGTACATGATCGAATCGCGGCCTCCGGCAGTGACGCCGCCGGCGTCGTTGTAGTCGTCCGCCGAGGGAACGTGGGGTGCGGAGACGCGGTGAATGCTGACCGCGCCGCTCTTGCCACGGCCGGGAGTGCGGTGCACCAGGGTCGAGTCGTCGACAACGGGCACGTTGGGGCCGTCATTGGCACCGTCGGTCGAGTGAGCGTCGTTGCCGTGTGTGGGGATCTCGGGGGATTCGAGGTAGACTGTGTCGGTCAGAGAGGTAGATGAGCTGTCAGCGAGCTGTGCTTTGGCGAGGAGACCATCGTTTGACTGCATGGTACTTACGGTCAGCCTCCTTTGCGTTGCCGAATCGTTCAAGGAAGATCTCGAAGTCGTCCGCTGTATGGAATCAAGTCGATTGGATTTGTGTTTGGGGTGATGGAGTATATGTAGGAAGGTTTCCTGGGTCAGCTTCAATCTCTCCCTGAAGCTCTCAAGAGCGCTGCATCGACGATGGAATGACTTACAGTCCTCGAGGGTGTAGCTCTGGCCAGACCAGCCGTACTTGATCACGAGTGGGATGCCATCGCCAAGGTGGAGTCGGATCTTCTTTGCGGCACGAGTCTTGAGGCTGTTGGTGGCAGAAAGCGAAGAGAAGGATCAATACCTTGCACCTGTAGCAGATCAATCCTAGCTTGGTGATTTGGGCTTACCTCTCGAGCGAGTCGTCCGACTTGAGACGCAGCGCAAAGCTGGGGAGCGAGCCGGCGTGAAAGTTGAGGATAGGAGCCATGATGATGATAAACAAGCGAACGTGTCGATCAGGTCGATGTCGTTCTGCTTCTTGGTATAGATGATGGTAGGTTGAAGAAGGTCGACGATGTCAAAGACAATAGAAAGGTCGGATCGGCGAAGGGGCTTGTGCGGATGGGCGAGTGGATGACCACGGAGCACAGTCGCCGGCAGCTGTCTTTGCTGCTGCAGATCTGCAGGCCGGATTGGAAGCGCAGCCAGCGTCATGACGCATAAGAGCGGCACGACGCCAGTCTTTTTCCAAAGAAAAAGGTCCAGACGCCCTCGACACTGGCCTTGTACGCTTGGAGTTTCCAACGCTGACAGGCGAGGTAAGGATCGACCAAATTTGGCTTGACCTTCTGCATTTGGGCTTTTCTATTTCAAGACACTCAAAGCCTCCACCACGCCGCTCGGGATGGACTTCCATACTGCTGCTCAAAGGCGACATGGAAACCAAGATCCTTCTTAGCTTGGCTCGCCTCGGCTCGGAGGGTCCTTCTGCAAACAAACACAGCCTCCTCCCTGAATCAGTATAGTGGTTGTCCATAGGTGCAAGTGCATAGTGCATCCCAAGTTCCAACGTGTTCATGACCGAGCAGCCGATTCTGCCATTGTTAGGCCGCGTTTCGACCGTCGGTGTGCGCTCAGACCAGCCTGGACAAGTCGAGTTTCACGTTGCAGTCCCTTCGCATGAGGACGCGGCTCCACAGCGCCTTTTGCTGAAAAATGCGGATCCAGAAAGGCAAGCAAAGCTGCGCCAGTTTCCGAACATGATTGCCGGCGAACAACCTTCCGTTCGCAGGCAGCACGTCGTGGATCACGACCTCATCCATACTTTTTTGTTGGGTCCACGACCTTCACGACAACGGCGGCAGCTCGACGACGGTCGATGCTCTGATCTTTGACTCATAGACACGGTTTCGTTTGCGTCAGAAGGCTCGGTATAATTCGCCCACCATGGGGTTGCGCACGGGTCTCATCATTGGGACAACCTCCTTTCTGCTGGGTAAGTCTCCAATGCGGGTGCTATTGAATGATCACGTAGAAGGCGATGCTGACGGACATCCATCTTGCATCGTATCGCACAGGCACGCTCGCCATGCACTGGACCGCCGATCATCTCATCCTCTGGCAATCACCCGTCACGTACGACTCGGTCGTGACCGCATACACCTACTACCAGGACACCATGGTCGACATGCCACTCGTCTTCCAAAGGCTTTTGCACGGTTCCGGCACGCTAGTAGCGCTGCTCATCATCTCCAAGGCACTCGGTGGTCGTGAGAGCAACTGGCTCTTTGACGGTGCCTCGCTCTTCCTCTTTGGCGCTGCTGGACTCGTCTACTACCACAAGATCGTGCCCAGTCTGGCAACGCTACCGCCAAAAGCTCCTTCGCCAGGATCCGCCGCTGTCGATGCAAGAGACGCCGTGTTTGCTCCCTTGAGAGAGATCGCAACCTCGCATACTGTCCTCGCAGTCGCCCTCGTCGGTGTCATCATCTTGCAAAGCGGGCAGTACTACAGCGAACGTCTGGAGGAACGCGAGCGCATCGAGGAAGACGAGGCTCGCATTCGAAGACGACAACGTCGACGCGAGCAGGAAGAGAAGCGCAAGGATCAAGTGCAATCCGCCACCCCGTCTCAATCCTAGACATTCGCTGTACGGTTTCCTGCTGCGGCCGCCGCCTCGGCACATGTCACTCACATACAGTTCGCAGACTCAGCTCTTGCTATTCAAAAGGGAATTCGATTTGCATAAGTCTATATCGCAAGCACGCTAGGCGGAGAGCCTGTTGGGCACGGCGACGTTGGCCATGATCATGTTGAACGCCTCCGATGCCTTGGCCCGGGGCTGAGAAGTCGACACCAGATGAGCCAGCTTGTTTCTCTCATGCGCTCCAATCTGATTCCAGTGCTGTAGGACGTACGTCAGTCTTTTTTCGAAAAGCTCCGGAGTCTTGAGGCTGAACGACTCGAACAGCTCGGTGATACAGTTGGCGGGAGTGATTTGGCGATCAATTGCCTCGCCCGCTAGATTGCGCAGAGTGTGCAAGCGGAACTTGCGAGCAGCTCGATAGACCGACTTGGGACTGGGCAAGACGTTGAACGAGGCCGCTTGAGTAGCAGAAGCGGACCGCACAGCTGTCGTCGTCGGAGCGGGTCCCTCTCCGTGCTCACTTGGTTGCGGAGTGACATCTACATACGTGTCGATGCTCGCGTCATCTGCATCGGTGACGTCTTCGAGTTCCGTGTCGGACGTGGTGCTGCTCAGAGGCGCAAATTCGATGTGACCGGTCTGCAGGTAAACCAGGATGGCGCGCATCGTGACAAAGGCGATCTGCGTGACAGGAAAGTACAGAATGCTCTCTGTCACGGCTTGTGTCATGGCTTGCAACGCCGGCGAAGGGCGAGCTAAGGTGAGTACTTGGCGCTGTGGTGCTGAGCTCGAGGGAGGATGGTGACGAAGAGCTTCGACGGCTTCGTCAAGGGTGCGAAAACCAGTGTTGGTCACGAGGTCGGCCAAGTGAACTGCCCCATTGGCGCGCAGAACGGATAAGTCGGCATACAGGCGCACATAGGAGACACCGGAGCCAGGATTCTTGACCACAAAGCAGGCGTTGCCCCAGATTCCCGTCGTCGTGCTCGCAGAGATGGCTTGAAGCAGACTTTCGATCGACACCGTCGGGGCGGCGTGAGGTGCTTGCGACATGGTGCTACTGGATGTGGAGAGAGTCTGCAGATGGCAAGGTGGATAAAGGGTCCAAGGGATCTATCAGTGGCGAATCGACTCCAAAAGTGTCCTGGAGGAGAAAGGGAGAGATCGAGTTGCAAGGGAGTGGAAGCCTTTAAGCAGGAAGAGTGTGCTGAGTTTTGCGCAGGAATGACATTGGGTGGCTTTCTATGTACAGGTTGTCTTCAAGGCTAGTACGCTGCGCCTTCTGCGGGTTGCGGGAGCTTGCGATTAGCGGGCGAGGCCATTTCTCTGCGCAAGAACAAAGGAAGCAAAGTCGCGGCGTCAGTGATGTGATCATAGAGAGGGAGAACAATCGGCGCAGAAGGTGCCGCGCCAGACTCGGCCGCGCGTGGTGGGACTGCGCAGATGAAATGAAATCCGGGCATGCACTCACCTTCGCAAAGAGAGGAGGATGGTTTCGAGTGTGCTCTCACGCGACCAGTTGGAAAAAATGGGCAAAGCATTGTAGTCGATGCGGCCGTCGGATTTGACGCAGGGAAGGTTGATCTTGGTGAGGAATTTGACCTCGGGGGGCTGGTCTGGATAGCTTGCGCCGCAGTGGATGCTGAGCGAGTAGATGCGGTTCTGATAGACCGAGTGGCCTGGTCCGATGATGGTTGCGTTCCAATTGGACATCACTGTTGTGACGACACGTAGGTTGATGCAGAAGGGGAGAGAGGTGCAAGGATTTATCGTTAGCGTCTGGCGCCTAAACTGCTACGCCTGGTTGGCGTCTCGTGGCTGATCAGAGCTCAGAGTCGAGGGCGCCTAGCGCAATATGAACGTACTGAGGTCGCTGCCGTCATCTAGACCGTAGGAGCAGCTTCCATCGCCGATCCCCTTTTCGCCCTTCTCGAGCTCCTCGAGGAGGCGGAAGTTACGTGGCACTGCGAGACACGATAACAGGAAGATCAGAAAGGAGGAGAACAATGTCGGAAGGGAGTCAGTCGGAACAATCTCTTGATGGAGGAAGGCCTCTGCGCCGACGTACCCTTTGCCATGATTGAAATGTGTCGTGTATGCGGCTGAGACGAGGTGGTCTGAAGTTGCTGTTGCGTTCGAGACTGCGTTTATATCGGCCACGCCCAGGACTTTGATCGATGAGACTGCCAGGCAAGCGGACTCGTACGAAGCGACGATTCCAAAGCAAAGCTGCCAAGAGAGTGCAGGTGGGTGCGGCGTGGAATGATGATGATCAGGAAAGTGTATATCAAGTGTGAAGTGAATTGTGATTGGCGTCATGCAAGTGCCGAAAGGTGAGTGCTCGTGCGCGGTCGAAATGATGATGGATCGGATCACACGATCGGGCTGACGGCGTGAATTTCGCCGTCTCAGGTGCGGCTATCAAAATAGATGCAGTCCGTTGCCTTCCTGAACATCACACACAAACCGATCCTTTCGGCGAGGCCGTCGCAGGCTGACACACATGCGGTCGTCTTGTTGATCACGGATGCGATCAAGCAAGCATGGAGAGCTGCACCTCCATTCCGCGTCGCCACTGCTCCTTGAGCGTCAAGCGCGAAGCTGTGGCAAGGCATCTATGCGGTTGTGAGGCTTGAGTCTGCCATCACGGTCCTCACGTCGAGAAGAGCCGAGGATGCCGGCGCAATCAGCTCGAACAGTACTTGCCTTTGGCTTTCACGTCCAACAGACAGTCACGATGACTTCGTTGTAGCTCACTTGGCGATCGTTGACAGGCTGGTGAAAGATGATGACAGCTTTCTCGTCACGGCTCAATCGGTTGACATGATGGCTTGAAGTCAGTCACATAAACGCGCGACTGGCCAATATGAATCAGACGAGCACGCTCTACAAGCAACGCATGGGGGCGGTTCAGTCTGCATTCGACGGCGTCGGAGCGTGCCGTTAAGTTAGCGCGCCGTCCGCATCCGCCTCTTCTGTGATTGACCCCGGATCTACCGAAAGAAGGCGGCTCGCTTCAAGACCCTGCCTGTCTCGTGCCTGAACTTGCGTGGGAAACAGACGCGCTCTTCTTTTTAAGGTTGGGTGAGCGTAGTTTTTACCGTGACACGGGACTGGTCCCGCATGACAGGGTGCAGCCGAGAGCGGTGTTGGAAGATGGCCAATTCATAGAACCTCTTCGTGCTTCCTCTCAGCGACGGATGTCGGAGTGTTGATGTACTGGCTCGCTTTTCAATCAGCGCTCGACCGTTCGTCCCCGCCTGATGAGAGCTCCGTGGCCTCGTTGGTTCGTGCAGCTAGCCGCTCGTAGAGCCCATTGGCTTCTCCCTTCAGCCTGGCCCGGTCACCGCAACGAACGGCGCTGTCGCCCGGACACATTTTCGCGCAGTGTATGTGACTGTGACTGTGTGACTGACCGCTCCGTCACAGAAGGTATCTGTGAGGCAGCGAGCACAGAGCAAGGGACAAGCCGACAAGGCCTGAGCGACGCCGTCCACACATTCAATGGTCACGGCTTGGCTACGGCTTGGCCGAGCGCAGCGTGAGAAAGTCAGGCGGATGTGGCGAGCCCGTGCTGACAAGCATTGCGATGCTCGGGCTTTCATGCGGCAGCAGCTCTGCCACAAGCTGGGCGGGGACCTTCCGCTTCGAGAACAAGCTGTGGCTGCGCAGGGTCCTGAAGGCTTTGTCTCAGTGTTTTGTGACCGTCGGATTAGCCGAAAGGGTCCAAAGTGTGCGCAGAAGAGGAAGAAAAGCCAACACCCTTTGTAACTCCGAAGCCAGCTTCATGCTTCCCTCTTCCCGTTCGCGGTACCGTCTGATTCAGCTTCCTCGGCCAACACGGCTGAGCTCCGACTTGAGCTGCGCTGACCCGAGCTGAGCTGCTTCGAGCACAGCGGTCAAGCTGTATGGGCTCTTCGTGTGACGGCGCTTCAAGCACTGCCAGGTCGAAAGGTGTATATATAATCCAGCTCCTCGGCAGGCTGTCGGTCAGCCGTCCTCTCCCTCGCGCCTCGTCTCCTTGCGACCAGCCTCGACCTCCATCCCAGGCCGCTCGACAGAGTCCACTTTTCTCCCCTCGACGAGAGCCAGTGCTGCTCGGCCAATCTTCTCATCATGGTGACCGCGACCACAGAGAAGGTGACGCAGGTAAGTACCGCCCGAACTCTTGCACCGCCCTCTCCTTCGTGTCAGTGAGCTGTTGGTTGTCGTCGCTACCAGGTCAAAGTGTCTGACTGCGTTCTCTCTTCTCTCCCTCTCCACTCACAGATCAAGTCCTACGTCCAGGACAAGGTCCACCAGACCTCCGATGCCGCCGGTGTTACGGCAGCAGAGACGCGCAAGAAGGCGCAGGTGACGCTCAAGCAGGCACAGCAAAAGACGTCGTCGGTCGCTACCACGTCCCACGAATCACTGCAAATGCTCATTGACCAGCTCAACCGAAGCAGAATCGTCACCGATGTCAAGCTGCTGGGGCAGGCCCCCAACCTCCTCGTCTCCGGTCTTACCGGCGGTGGTTTGGACGACCGCAAGCTGCTCCTCGAACAGGTCGTCACCTTGCTCGCGAGCATGCCCGTCTCTTCCAACATCAGCAAGAAGCTTTCGGATGCCCTCATTAGCGTTGTTTGGGGCGACTTGCCCCACCCCGCCGTCTCCTTCCTCGGCCCCGAGCATCGCTTCCGACGTGCCGATGGCTCGGACAACAACATCTTGAACCCTAAGCTCGGCGCTTCGTATCAGCCCTACTCGCGCAACGTCCAGCGCAAACATCCTCTGATGGTCAACATGCCCGACCCTGGTACCGTCTACGACCTCCTCCTGGCACGAGACACCTTCGAGCCCCACCCCACTGGCATCAGCTCGCTCCTCTTCAATTTTGCCAACATCATCATTCACGACATCTTCTCCACCACGCGAAAGCCGGAAGAGCACTCGGCCTACAATGAGCACTCCTCGTACCTCGACCTGCAGGTAGTCTACGGCGCCAACCTCGAGGAGCAGCAGCGTGTGCGCTCGGGTACGCTCGGTCTGCTCAAGCCCGACGCCATCGGCGACTGGCGACTCGCCATGATGCCACCGGCGACGGCCGCGCTCGGTGTGCTGTTCAGTCGCAACCACAACTTGATCGCCAAGCGTCTTTACGAGGTGAACGAGAACCACCGTTTCGATGACCTCGAGGGCGAAGCCCTCGATGACGAGCTGTTCGGCATGGCCCGCCTCATCAACTGCGGCTGTTTCCTTCACATCATCCTGCGCGACTACATCCCGGTCATTCTCAACAGCAACGATTCCGAGTGGTACGTCAACCCCGTGGAAATGATCAAGGGCATCGGCGGACCCAACAGTCTCGAGCGCGGCGTCGGTAACTCGGTCGCTGCTGAGTTCTCTGTCCTCTACCGCTGGCACGCGGCAGTGTCGCAGAATGACGAAAAGTGGATGAACGACTTCCTCGAAGCGCGGTTCCCGGGCAAGAGACCTGAGGAGGTCGGTCCGATGGAGTTCGTCCAGGCTGCCGCCTCGCTTAAGGCGACCTTCATGGATGTCGATCCGAGCGAGTGGAACCTCCACGACTGGCAGAGGGACAACCAGGGCAAGTTCGACGACGCCATTTTGGCCTCCGTCATCAAGGATGCCGTTTCGGACGTCGCTGCAGCCTTCCGGGCTCGTGGTCATCCGAGCTGGTTCCGTCCCATCGAGATTCTCGGCATGATCTCGGCTCGTAAGGACTGGGCTCTGTGCACCATGAACGAGTTCCGACACTTTTTGGGCCTCAAGACCTACTCGTCCTTCAGCGAGTGGAACCCGGACCCCAAGATCAGCAAAGCTGCGGAAATGCTCTACGGCGACATTGACAACCTCGAGCTCTACCCGGGTCTCATGGCCGAAGAGACCAAGCCCAGCATTCCCGGCAGTGGTCTTTGCCCCGGCTACACCATCTCTCGTGGCATTCTCAGCGATGCCGCCGCTCTGACCCGCGGCGACCGCTTCTTCACGAACGACTTCTCCACTTCGAACCTAACCAGCGCTGGGTACGAATACTGCAGCGAGCCTCAGCCCGGCTCGCACGGCCTCGTTGGTAAGCTCATCATGTCGAACCTGCCCGGTCAGTTTCCCTACAACTCGATCTACGCGCTCTTTCCCTTCCGCATTCCGGAGAGGACTGCTGCCATGCTCAAGGAGAAGCGCGTTTTGGAGCACTATGACACCTCGTACCCGGCTCCTGCTCGTCGCTGGTTCGCTATCGAGTCGTACTCGGCAAGCAAGGATATCCTCGAAGACAGCCGATACTTTGTCGCGCTGCCGCCCATGGCCTACGATGAAAGCCTCATGGTCTCGGCGCTTCAATCGGTCACGCGTTGGCGCGACGAGGTGTACGACTTCTTTGCCGTCAACACTGAGAAAGCAATGGCGGAGCGCGCCATCGACTACACGCCCTCTGGTCGTGAGAGGATCGTCGACTTGCTCGAGGTGGTCAGCACCGTCTCGGCTAAATTCATCTCGACGCTGTTCGGACTGCCTACGCCCGGAAGCCATGGCCTGCACCTCGGCATGGCCCCCGAAGACCTCTACAACACGCTCGCCAAGCCGCTCGCGTACGCCATGTACGGCTCGTTCGACTTCCAGGGTCATCAGACTTGGCGTCTAGAAGAAGAGGCCGAGACATGCACGCGTCGACTCAAGAACCTCATCTGGGCTCGTCTTCACACGGTGGAAGGCATCCTGTCGCCCGTCTTCTCGCTCGTGCAGGGCATCTCGAACGTCATTGGCGGTCCCGGCAACATTGCCGCCAACGAGATGGCCAAGCAGTTCTACCACGCGCTCTTTGCCTCTGGCAAGAGCAACGATGAGCTCGTCAAGGACTGCCTGCACATGATGATCTCGGTCACAGCAACGCAGTCGCTCGTCCTCATGCAGACGTTCAAGTGGCTCTTCCGAGAGGAGAACGCCGAGCACCTTTCTGCCATGTACCAGCTGGCGCAGAGGAACGACCCATCCTCGAACGCCGAGTTGCGCAACCGCATCATGGAGGCCTACCGTCTCAGCAGCATCACGCCCCCGCAAGCCAAGTTTGCGCTCCAGGCGATTGCTTTGCCGGACATGGATGGCAACAGGGTGCACGTGCAGGTCGGTGACGGTGTCTACATTTCGCCCTCAGCGCTCTACCGCGATCCCCAGCTGTCTCACGATCCGGAACGCTTCGACCCTAGCAGCAAGAAGCCAGTCCGTCTCGGTCTCGGCGACACCCCCACACAGACGATCTCCGAGGTCGCTCTTCCTGCCATGGCCAAGCAATTCTTCAAGCACGCCGCCTTGCGCATGGCTCCTGCAGGTGCACCTCCCATTGTCACCGACGTTGGCCCCACGCCCGACCAGAAGCTACCCTACTTTATCAGCAATGACGGCAGCGAGTATCCCGTGCCCATCAACACTTCCATGCACGTCATCTACCAGGCTCGCTGAGGGAGTTGATCTCTCCGCTCCACCTTGTCGTTGTCGTTCGACGCTATTCTGTCCGCCAAATTCCCCGCATGTCTCTCACGATCCTTGTCTCATCAGGTGTCGCTCGTCTCGTCTGGTCACCGCTCTTGTATGTCTCGTCCCCCCATTTTCATGCAACCAGTCTTCTTCCCGCACATTGCCATGCTTGAAGTCATGGCCAAAAGTTCGCGACGTGAAAGAGAGGGTCCCGCACTTCTATGTTGGCGCCACGCGGGACTGTCGCTGACATCCAGGTGCTGTAGCCACTTTGACCCGCTTTCATCAATTCCCTGATAAGAAGGAGTCGCCACACTCAAGCTGTTCTTGGCAATTTGATGTACCACTGACAGCTGACAGACAATTGGCAGTATTGAACGTCCGACGATCGCTGCATCGGATCGTGTGAACATGCCAAGTAAGCTTCCCGAAGTTGACAGGTCGCGCTTATCTGCAACGCGTCTGGGTGGAAGCTCGCGCATTTTCACGAGGTGAAGCAAACTCGGCCGTTGTTTCGTACTTCTTATCTTTGCGCTCGCGCAGCTGCGCAGAAGCGCCTCTCTTGCAGCATCTGCCGAAAGCTTGTTACAGTTAGGCGCACATCTTCGATATGAATGTTCACTGTGCAAAGATCCGTCCTCAGAATCCGCCATCCTGCTCACAAGGCAAGGCTGCAGTTCACTCCGCCTCGCGATAACACACTTCCCGTGTTTGTCGGGGAAAAGGCGCTTATCCTCGCGCGATATTTGACAGCTAGGGCCAGGATGCTGGAACCCGCGAGCATTCTGCCAAGCATCAGTCTTTGAGTCAGGAGTTGATGTGCCTTCTGAAAGCTTCATCGAGCAGTCTGATGGCTTCTCCATTCATGCATTCAAGGTCGAGCGGGGACGGGTCAAGGCGAAGATGCCGAGTCTCACGAGGCATGTGGGCTTCAACTGATAAGGGTTCGCAGATAACAAAGTCTGTATGACCTCGGCTAAGTCGATGTGCATATTGAAGCGCTCACGTCTCTCCTTTCCTTCCGACCCGTCCCCTTCAGCCCTTTCATTGAGCGAATGAACGGGGGCACAACTAGATCAGATGGGCATAAGCCTGCGTCGATACAGAGATGCTTCATCTGAAGTCGAAGGACGTATAAAGCAGCAGCGACTTCCTTCTACTCGCTTTACTTCCACCCCGTACTCCACCACAACGACATTCCCTGACATCTCCACCACAATGGTCGCTTCAACCAGAGTGCTCCCAGAAGGGGCTGGCTGGGCCGTTGTGTGCGGTCTCGGCTTCTTCTTTGCTGCGTTCATGATCGTGCTTTCGTTCGTTCAACAACGCTACACCAACCGCGATATCAAGGACACTGACGAATTCGCCTCAGCCTCACGCTCGGTCAAGCCAGGCCTAGTAGCTGCAGGTATTTGCTCTGCGTACGTCGACAGGCGGTCCAAGCTCCTGCATGCGTTTTTAATGTACACGTCGACTTACGCCAATTTCCATTCTCGTCTCTCCCTCTCCTCCTCACAGCTGGACATGGTCTTCCACTCTTCTTCAATCAACGGCAGTAACATACAAGCTAGGAATCTCGGGAGGCTACTGGTACGCCGGCGGGGCAACTATTCAGATCCTCCTTTGCTCCATCATGGCCTGTATGATCAAGCTGAATGCCCCCTTTTGCAGCACCTTCTTGGAGGTCTTGAGGGTCCGATGGGGCAAATTGCATCATTGCGTTCTCTTGTTCTTCGCTCTGGCCACCAACCTGCTCGTCTCTTCCCAGCTGGTCGTGGGCGGCTCAGCCGTGGCCACCACACTGACTGGAATTCCCACACTGGCCGCCATCTGGCTCATCCCCATGGGTGTTGCCTGCTACGTTCTGGTCGGCGGAATGCGCGCCACTCTCCTCGCCGACTACACCCACACGGTCGGCCTTCTCATCATCATCTTCTACTTCTTCTTCAAGGTCTGGGTCACCTCGCCAGAGATCGGCAGCGTCTCTGCCATGGTCGAACTTCTTCAAAAGTCGAACGATATCCACGGCAACGCTTCCGGTACTCCTCTCACCTTCCGTTCGCTCGATGGGCTGGTGTTCGGGGTCATAAACGTGATCGGAAATTTAGGCACTGTCTTCTGCGATCAGAGCTATCACCAGCGGTCTATCGCCTCTAACCCCGCTACAGCAGCTCGCGCATTTTTGCTAGGTGGCTCGGCGTGGTTTGCGATCCCCTTCCTGTTCTCCATGACCATGGGTCTCAGCGCCAGGGGTCTTCTGTACTCTGGCAACCCTCTCATGCCAGCTTTGTCGGCTGCGGATGTCAACGCGGGTCTCGCTGCTCCAGCTTCCGGTGTCGCCCTGGCAGGAAAGGGGGGTGCCGTCGCGGTGCTCATCATCCTCTTCCTTGCCGTCACTTCCGCTTCATCAGCTCAGCAGGTTGCCGTCGCCTCGGTGCTGACCTTCGACGTCTACAAGCCCTACGTCCGACCTCAGGCAAGCAAGCGCGAAATTTTCATCATGAGCCACGCCGGTGTCGTAATTTGGGCCATCGTCATGGCTCTCTTTGGCACGATTTTCCACTACGTCGGCATCTCACTCGGCTGGCTTTACCTCGCGCAGGGCATCATCATCTCTCCAGCCGTAGTGCCAATCTTCTGCGGGCTCTGCTTCAAGCGCACCAACAAGATGGCCTGTCTGGTCGGCATGGCGGTGGGTCTCGTCTCAGGTGTCGTTGTCTGGCTCGTGACGGCCGCTACGCTCGAGGGCGAAGTGACGGTTGCCAGTACCGGAAAGGACTACCCGACTCTGGCTGGCAATTGCGTCTCCCTGTTTGTGTCCGGCATCATCACAATGGCCGGCACCTTGCTTCGACCCGAGACGGAGGACCACTTTGTGCTCACGCGTGCCATTAACGCGCCTGAAGAAGTCGTCGAGCGTATGAACGCTCAGTCCCGACGCGAGTCTACCGGCTCTCCCGCTCCTGGCTCGCCTGAGGCAGAAAAGACCGAGTTCGACTCCGAGAAGAAGGCGCCTGCCCCTACCGCTCTGCCTTACACCATCGAAACGGTCGACTACGTCAAAGCCGCCGGTCTGGACGCCGACGAGCTTCGCAAGACCATGCGCTTCACCAGCTGGGTCAGCGTCGTCGCCTCCATCTCGCTCTGTGTCATTATCCCCGCCTGCCTTGCTTCCCGTAAGACCTGGGATGCGACCGGTCTCGCGGCGTACATCTGGATTGGCTTCGTGTGGCTGATCTGGACTTCCTTGGCCGTTGGTGTCTTGCCTGTTTGGGAGTCGAGACACGAGCTTGCTGCTATTCTCCGTGGTATCGGCAAGGATCTGACTGGCAAGAGTGGGAAGTACCAAGACGATGCATCCACCACCTCGTCCTAGATCTCCCACTCACAATCTCTTAACAACGTCGACCCAGATGTAATTCGTCTTTACAATCTCCGACCCGCTTGTACGTCACAAATGTCACCGAGTCAAAACATGACCATCGATTGAATGTGAGCTGAGTAGAAAGGATGCGACTCAAGCTCCCTGTATGATGCGGAGGTGGTGAAAAGAGCCCGCGGATCCAGACGCCGCTCAGGCCTTGACACCATGAGGTTTTGGTCCCGAACTGCTGAGCGCGTCTTTGAGCGATTTTGGCTAGTCTCCCGAAGGGAGCCGAAATTTCGATGCCCGCAGGGTCCAATTGAGCACCAACACTTCAACCTTATCTTCACATGCATCCCGCACTTAGCCTTCTGCTTCCACCACCAACAACATCGATGCTTGCGGACTACCTGCCCTGAGGGCAGACAGTGTCTTCAGACGGAGCTTCAGCCAGCGCCTGTGACTCAAGATCACTGGACACCAGCACTCAGCATCGCAGCATTCCATCTCACAGCTCTCGACGCTACGCGAGCCGCACGGCTGGACCTTGCTCCACCATGAACCGCTTTCCGGACAATGACCCCTACGAGGTGCTCGGCCTCCCGCGCGGCTGCACGGCATACGACATCAAGACGGCCTACAAGAAGCTTGCCCTCAAGAACCATCCCGACCGAGCGCCAACAGCAGAGAAAGAGGCGGCCACTGCCCGCTTCAAGATCGTCGGAGAAGCATACGAGTTCCTTTCCGACGACCGCAAACGTCGGGAGTACGATGCCTTCCGTCCAGGACCTAGCGGAAGCTTCGCACCTGGTCCTGAGTACGAGGATGACGCAAGTCGCAAACACTTCGGTACGAGTCCGGACGGTGTTCCATTCAGCTTCATGTGGGAGTCGAGCGCGGATTCTGCGAGAAGAGCCCAAGCGGGTCGACGAGCGGGAAGGCCATTCGGCGCTGATGGTCACGATCCATTCGAGCTGTTCAACATGATGTTCAACAGGGAGTTCAGCTCGATGAAAGGAGGGGCAAGGAGCAACATGCAGGATCCTTTCGCCAGCATGGGTGGAGGACAGAGCATGGGCGGCAGCCTGTTCGGCGACAACGACCCTTTCTTTCAGAACCATCGCAGGATGGCCGACACCATGGGCTTCGGCTTCGGAGCACCATTCGCGCAGGATCGAGGACCACCTCCTCCGCCAATGGGCATGCAAGCAAACGGACCCTTCGGCATGGGCTTTGGCGGCCATAGTAGCAGTAGCAGCAGTACTACAACAACCTACGGAGGCTTCTCAGGCACGAGCGAAAGCACCACCACCCGCATCGTCAATGGACGCAAGGAGATCGTCACTCGCAAAGTCGACCAGCACGGCAACGAGACGATCCACACAGCTACCCCAGAGGGAAGCACTGTCCACGTCAATGGCGTTCAGCAAGCGCAGCATCCGCTGCTCGGCAATGCAGCACCACACGCTCCAACCGCTTTGCCAACTGTATCGAGGTACGCAAACACAGCCGGAACTGCCGACAACCCTATCGTGATCGATTCGGAATCCGCGCCTCCTACGCCGAGTACCTCACGACCGCCCTTTGGCTCCAACGTCTTCAACACGTAGTCAATCCCCAAACATCTTGACACCACCTCGTGCTCTCATCTGCTATCACTCTCTCGCATCCATCTGTAACACTACGACCAGTTCCAATCTCATTGCACTCACAGCTCGAACGACGGGGACAACACACACATCTGACGCACACGACACGTTTGCTGTTGATACATTTGAATTTCAGCTAAGGATCAAAGCGATGAGCGCTTTAGACCTCGATGCCTTTGTTCTTGAGCATCTGGCGTTCCTCCTCCTCGATCTGTTCGTCGATCTTGGCGCCGCGCGAGGGCTCGTTGCCGTTGGCACGGGCGGCGTCGGTGGGCTTCTCGTCGCGCTTGGCCTTCTCGCGCTCGGCCTCCTCCTTGGCCTCCTTGCCAGCCTGGGCGAGCTTGTTCTTGATCGACTTCTCGTCCTTGGCGTCAAGGGACTGGTGCGATTCGGGCTGGCCCTTCTCGTGGTCCTTGCGGTTGTCGTCGTGGTGCATGCCGACATCGGGGTTGGGGCCGGGCGCGTTGCGCTGGTCGCCGTCGGCGCTGCATGGAGGAAATGGTCGAATGAAGATTCTAGGTGAGTGGGTGTGCGAGGAGTAGGACGGGCAGGAGTTGCAACTTACGTGTGGGTCTCGTACTGGGATTGAGTCGACATGATGAATAAGATACTATGAAGTAGGTGCTGTTCTCAAAGAAGGTCAATAGGTGGGACAAGGGATGATTATATACCAAACCGGACTCTCTGCACGGGCTCCGGCCCAAATGCTCGGCAGCGTAATGCAGCAGGCTCCTGCCTAAGCTCTATTCTCTCGGCCTATGAAGAGAGACACGCTGCGGAACGTCTACTCAGCGGTGCATAGAGTGCGGCATGGCAGCGTCATTTTTAGCTACAACGGATCGACTCTCGCCAGAGGCAGAGAGCTACTGAAAATAGCAGTGCATCTCAGCAGCCGAGCGAGCGGAGAGCTGGCTGCCTCGGGAGAATACCAAACGAGCAAAGGCGGGCTTCGATCTGACCGGATCGTGTGAACAACGCTCTACCACCAGCAGGCTTCCGTGATTGGGTCTTGAAGACAATCGACTCACGCTTGCGTCATTACGCGCATCTGCCGGTGTGGAGGCTTGTATGATTTTTCCTAGTTGTTAGACCCGGGCCAAACAAGACTCTCGTTAGTCTCGATCTCACACTTCTGGAAAATCGCATCGAGCCTAAACCTGAGAAGAACTTGGTGAACTGACCGACCCTGAAAGGACACGTCGTGCAGTATCTTGGTGGACCCTGAGGTGCGGTGTTCATACCTGTGAACCCACCGCCCACGGACGCTCGAGCCCCCATCCCGCTGGCCGACAACATCAAGGGCCTACTGCTTTGGTTTTTTCATCTCACGACCCTCATGTGCAGACCTTGATATGCACGGCACCGCCTCGCATTCGTCGTCGCCTGGAGGCGCAGAGCCGAACCACACTTATACCTACACAGCCAGAAGCGCTCGGCCAAGATCCAGACCACGCACCCATCAGCAACACGGTCTCGGGCAGCACTCGGACGAAGACACGACAACGATTCAAATGGACGACGAGTACGAGCTGGAGCATCGGCATGGCTCGGCAAGCAGGCGGCATGACGGATACGAGGAGGACGAGGTCGAGGACGCGGAGGACGCACTCATGCTAGGACCTGCTTCCGCATCAAATGCAAACGGCGACGAAGAGGCGTACGAGCTGGGGCGGAGCAAGTCCAAAAGCCGCGCTGGTCGGCGGCATGCTGCGACAGGGTCGATCTCGGAAAAGTACGATCCGGACGATCCTATGCACATCGTCAGCAAGGCGGTGCCCGAGCATGATGATCCGACGCTGCCCGCGTTGACGTGGAGAGCGCTGCTCGTCGGCTCATTCTTCTGCGTCATCGGTGCGGCGATAGCCCAGCTCTTTTTCTACAAGTCCAACTCGCCCTCATTCAGCAGCTACTTTGTCATCTTGATATCGCTGCCAATGGGGAGGTGGTTGGCACGACGGTTGCCGGAACGTACGATCAAAGTGGGAAAATGGAAGGTGGAGCTCAACCCAGGACCTTTCAGCATCAAGGAGCACATGCTGATTGCCATCATCGCTTCGTCCGGTGCGACTTCGGCGTATGCGAGCGACATCATCAACATTCAAGAACTTTTCTACCACCAACACATGAACTGGCTCTCTTCGCTCACGCTGCTCATCACGACGCAGGTGCTCGGGTTCGGATTCGCTGGCATGGTGACCAACCTCCTGGTCAAGCCCACGTCGATGATCTGGCCGAGCACACTTGTGACTTCATCGCTCTTTCACACGCTACACGACAAAGAAGCACCCAACAATCGCGCCCGCCTGCGTCTCTTCGCATTCGCATTCATCGCCATCTACGTCTACCAGTTCCTTCCAGCACTGCTCGCACCAACGCTGTCGAGCGTAGCCATGCTCTGTCTAGTCGACAACAAGATTCCTGCCTTCCGCTCGCTGAGCTCGGGCTATCACGGTCTGGGCTTCCTCAACCTCACCTTTGATTGGAACGCGGCGGGCATGAGCGGGCCCTTCTACCAACCTTGGTGGGCGGCGCTTAACTTCTTTGCCGGCTTCGCGGGGATGATGTACATCGTCATGCCCATTCTGTATTGGGGATTCAACTTCTGGAACGCTCAGTCGTTCCCCGAAATCCTCAGCGCGGGACTGTACAATACGCAGTACAAGAAGTTTGCGGTCGACACGCTGCTCAACCAGGACAACACGTTGAACGCTCAGGCGTGGGAGACGCAGAAGCCTATGTTGCTGACCCCGTACTTTGCCCTTTCGTACGGACTGGGGTTCGCGACGCTGACGAGCACCGTGACGCACGTCCTTCTATGGCACTGGAAGGACATCAAGCGAGCGGCATCCAACGCCGTCCACGACGACGTGCACAATCGACTCATGCGGGCATACGAGCCGGTCCCGCGCAAGTGGTACGCGACCACCTTCGCGCTCACCACCACCGCCGCTGTGATGCTGGTCATCCTCACACCCGCGCTTCAACTTCCCGTCTGGGCGTTGCTCCTCGCCATCGCCATGGGTCTCCTCTTCATCGCACCCCTCGGCATCCTCCGCGCGGTCTCCGACACCGGAGTAGGCCTCAACATCATCTCCGAGTTCGTCATCGGTTACATCATGCCCGGCAACCCCATTGGGAACATCCTCTTCAAGACCATGGCGTACATGTCGCTCAACCAAGCCCTCGATCTGGTCGCCGACCTCAAGTTGGGCCACTACCTCAAGATTCCGCCCAAGCACATGTTTGTTGCGCAGCTGTGGGGCACGTTGATCGGGTGCGTGGTGAATCTCGTTGTGGTCAACATCGTGCTTGACCCTGCGTCGGGGTATAGGGCGTTTTTGGATGGGACGGTGGAAGATCCGTCGGGGCAGTGGGACGGGAGGAAGGTGCACATCTTCTTCTCGGCCTCGGTCATCTGGGGCTTGGTCGGACCGAAAGAGTTCTTCGCCGGCAGCTATCGCAAGCTCTATTGGGGCTTCCTACTTGGCGCGCTCCTCCCCCTCGGACCCTACTTCCTTCACCGCAAGTACAAGACCAAATGGCTACCCAAGGTGGCTTTCCCGATCATCCTGCATTCGGCAGCCCTCCCACCTGCAGTGCCGACCAACGTCATCATGACCGGCTTCTTCTTCTCCTGGCTCTCGCAGAAACATCTGCGGGAGCATCACCCGGTCTGGTTCGAAAAGTTCAACTACGTGCTGTCGGCTGCGCTGGACGCGGGCGCCAGTGTCAATGCGCTGACCATCTTTGTGTTGACGTTGAGCCTGCTCAAGTATGCGCCTGTGCCGCATTGGGCGGCGAACCCGCTGCAGGATGCGGAACATTGTCGGCCGGGTTCATAGAGTTGTAGGGACTCATAATGCAATGGGACGACGGTCTCCGAGGTCTGCGCAGCGAGCGACGCGATGGAGCAATCTGAGCACGATGAGATGAGAACAGGCTGGGAGACGAACGAGCGAGATTGAAATGACGAACACAAATACACAGATGAGAACCGGGAGACGCTAGAGCGGGTGAAACAGACGAATGATCGTGACGACTCAGTAGCCGCCACGGCCACGTCCACGGCCGCCGAACCCGCCCCTTCCACCGCCAGGCGCACCACCTCGTCCACCGCCAAATCCGCCACCCCTTGCACCGCCGAATCCACCGCCCCGCCCGCCTGCACCACCCCTAGCACCGAACCCGCCCCTGCCACCCGGGGCGCCTCGTCCACCACCAAATCCGCCCCTCCCTCTTGGCGCACCTCCCCTACCCCCGAATCCTCCCCTAGCACCGAAGCCACCAGCACCTCCACGGCCAGCACCACCCTTCTTCTTCGGCGCCTTGGTCAGCGACTTCGGCTTGGGCAAAAAGCGCTCGATCGGCAACAGCTTCTCGCCCGAAATGTACACCTTGTCGTCTGACTTGAACGATGTCGCCACCATGCCGGGGTCCATTTTGACTGTGAAGAAGACTTCGTTGATAGGTCCGAGGATTTCGTCCACCTTGCCGATTTGGGATTTGTTCTCCAGGCTGTGCGAGTGCGAAGTAAGGCGAGTCGACGAGCAGAGCAGAGCGAAGCGAAGCAGAGGGAACGAGTCGAGTTGAACAGAGGCGAATCGAAACGAGTCGAAGGCGAGTCCAGGGAAGCGTAGCAGAGCAAAACGGAACAAGTCAATGCGAAACAGGGAATCAAAAGGTCAGCAGCCGTCCCCTGCACAGAGCGAAACCTTGGAAAATGGTGTATACATACTAGATGGGAGCGTTGAAGTAAGGCACGTGCCGAGCGTCGGTCGACTGGCAGAGCATCTCGCCCTCGACGGCGTGCATGAAGGTGCCCATGGGCTGGACGGTCTCGGGAGGGCCAGCGTTGGCGTAGCCGCCGCGTCCACCGCCGCCAAAGCCACCACGGCCACCGCGCGAGGAGAAGCCGCCGCGACCGCCACGGTCACCACCGCCTCCACGTCCACCTCCGCGGTATGACATGTTGTAATGTGTATAGGTCGTTTATGTGTCGATCGTGCCGGAGCGAATGAAGTCCTCGTCTAGATGCCGATCAAGGGTGCGCGAGGTCGATCGTGTGCTTCAGCCTGCGATGAAGGAGACGATGATGATGGTGAGCAAGCTTCGAGATCAAAGACGATGCCAAAGTCAGAGCCCAAACGTCCAAAAAAAGTCAAAAATTTCCCTTTGCGCTGTGAGTTCTTCCTGCCCGTCGAGGGCGCTAACAGCTCGGAATAATCGACGGAGCCGATGAAGAAGCATTTCGCACGAGAAGACCTTTCCATCCGGCTCGGCTTTCTGCGAGAAGCATTTCAGGGTCCAGCTTCCAAAAAAAGTTGGAGCCTCTTCCTGCTCAGCTTCCAAGATACCTGGCCTCGTCAGTGGTCGCTCCTGCAGCCCCGTGTTGACAATGCTGGCATCGACACACCCTTCAACCTGGCAATGAGCTAGCGATATGTCGCTCTCCGACCTCCTCAACATCTCTCGCACGGTGCGCCGAGACAAGGCGCAGCAGCAGGACCTTCTGCCCGTCCCCACCTCCAGCACCTCAACGCCGGCTCGGCTGTGCAACATCTGCTACGCCAGGCCGGCGGGCTACAACTGTCCCCGATGCAACATCCCATATTGCTCACTGGTGTGTTTTCGGAGGAAGGAGCATGAGGAGTGCTCGAGTGCATTTGCTTCGTCCGAGATCAGCGTGGCGTCCGGGTCAAATGTTCTGGTTGAGGAGGAGAGGGAGCGGCGGAAGGTGGTGGACATTCTCGGGAGGCTGGAGAGCGGAGAGAGGGAGGCGAGAGAGAGACAAGAGGATGAAGAGGATAGCAGCGAGGTTGAGGACGGGGATGAAGGGGCGGATGTCCGGGTGGGGTTGACAGCTGAGGACATCGAAGGCGCCTCGACGGATGCGTTGCTCGCCATGCTGACGCCGAAGGAGAGGGTTAGATTCTTGGCCGCCGCCAGTGATCCGGCGCACGCAAAGGTATTGATGGAGCGGCTTGACAGGAAGGCCGAACGACGGGCAAGGCTAGACATGGCATCAAAGCAACAAGGCGTTCTGATAGCATCGACTTCCGACGTTACACCACGCCAGGCCAGGCCGACAACGCAGTGGCAAACCTCGCCCTGGTTCGAGAAAGCAGGCGCAAGTCCCGCCTTTTCCCGCAGATCGACGGACCAAATCTCGTCCTTCGTAGCGGCGCTTGCCAAGATTCTCTCGGCTCGAGATTCCATCTCGACAAAGAAGGATTCGCCTGCACCCGTCAACCTCGGCTACAACCTGTGCACCTTCCTCATGGCCCACGCCTACACGTTGAGGAAGATGGACATCGAGAGCCTGTCGGAGGCATCGAATCGTTCCGCATCTAGCACTGCAGCTGTCGAGGCAAATGCAACACACTCGTTGACATCCGTGTTCGAGCCTCCGAACGTGGGAGATCACGACGACGATGAGCCTCCGCCGCTCGAGCCTGACAGTCCGACCATTCCGGCAGCGACTCTGCCTTCCTTGTCGTCCAACACGGACAGTCTGCCGACACCCGCTGCTGAAGCTCAAATTCTCGGTGATCCCAACTTGTTCACGGACGTCTTCACCCAATTGAGTCGCCTAGCATCCTTCATCTTCGAGCACCCCTCGCCCAGCGGCGCGACTTCTCGAGCAAGCAGCAGCGACCACAGCAAGGTGCTCCTGACCTCTCTCGACGAGTCTTCGATGTGGCTCCTCTCGCGACTGTCGCTCGAATCCGAAATTGGCCATGGCGGCGCCGACGCCCTCAGCCTTCAGCTGCTGGAGGATCTCGAAAAGCTGCTCAGTCGCGAGCAACTCGTTCCCACCTTCAGCTCTGATCAAGAGGTCGAGCCGAAGTATATTTTGGCGTCCAAGCTCGCATCGCTATCGCTGCAGCAGGCGTTCGTAGCTGCGCAAACGCCACTTCTGCTCAACGCCGTCGCAGACTTGTACTTCTTCCTCGAGGATCTATCTGTCCTAGCAGCGTCAAAGCCCGCGTTGTCGGCGGACATCAACCCGAAGGCCATCAAGCTGTCGCAAAGGAAACTTTGCTTCTACTTCTGCAATGCTTTGCCTCGAAGTCAGACACTGCTTGCCGAGGTGCAGGCCTCCATCCACAGCCTTCGCCTCCAAATTGGTGCAGCGAGCCAAGCCGACAAACTCGCGGCGGCCATCAGTCTGGCGGACACAGACCACGCCACCACGTCGCCACACGTTGGCATCGCTATTCAAGAGTAAGGTTGACCGCAAGCCGCGTGCAACCAGCAATCGTATGTTCTACATACATTCGTCAATTGACACCGATTCGATCAGTAAAGCGAACAATGACAGTAGCGAGCCATCTGCAACAGCTTGACTTGCCCTTGACGCGCAACGAATGATGGTGAGGGGCTCGCTAAGCAGTGTCTGATGACACGAGGAGGACAAGGTCTTCGATTAGCCGAGACAGCTCTTGTTTCTTCGCCGAGTCTGCGACCAGAGCGCCACGTTGCGCGGTTGACAAAGCATCTTGTGCCTCTAGCACTTGCAGCATTGGTCCCACACTGTCGTCCCAGAATTGCGACAGGTGAACATGCAGCGCCAGAGCAGCGAGGAGACGATAGAGCGTCTCGTCGGATTCCGACTCGTTGACGATGGCCTGCAACAAAGCGGATGCCAGCTCGGATTCCCACGTCTCGCCAAGTCGACTTCCTAGCATTGGCGGAGCTTGTGGGTCTCGATTCGTCCAATCGACCCGCTCAGCGTGCTGATGGAGCGCCAGATTGAAGGCACACGTCGCAGCGCCGCTTCGGACGCCTGCGTCGGGGCAGAGCAACAAGCTCGTCGTGAGCTCGAGAACAAGACTGCGAACATTCTCGTGCGACTCGATCACCTCGGTGAAGGCAGAGGAAGCTGCCAAGTTCGTCAGCAGGCGTGCTGCGGTGAGAAGAAGTGGTCGCTGTGTTGGCAACCATTCGCCTTTGTACGCTAGGTCAGAGACGAGCGACAGAAGACGTGTCATACCGTTGACGTCCTTTCGATCATCAGCAGCAGGCTGTCTGAAGGCGACCTTCACAAAGCTTTCATGCAGCGCCGAGAGACGGTAGAGGTCGAGGATCGGGAAAAGCGAGTTGATAGCAAGCGTGTCGGACAGCTGCTTTGCAACGTTTGACGTCTCCTCGGGCAGATTCGCTGGGGCAGCCCGTTGAGCTTTGCTATCGCGCGTCGCCTCGAGCCAGGGTACCCAGACACTTGCAATGCTCTTGCGTGCTACTTGCAGATCGGCTTTCTCTGCGAAGCTCTTGGCAGGATGCTGCGCTATGTTCGTGTCGATCTTCTGGAGCAGCGAGGCGAAGTTGGGCAGGGCCGAGTACAAATGCGGCTGGGTTGGGAGGGAGTTGAGCGCCTTGAATGGCTTTGACAGGCGAGCGTGAGGATGTGGCGGATAGGCGTCGAAGAGCATCACATCGACCGCAGTCTTGAGCTCGCCGATATCAGCCCCTCGCAACTGATTCGTTTCCTTGCCAAAGGTGTAGAACTTGATGGTCGGGGTAGCTGTCACGCCAGAAGTAGCAAAAAGGCTCGAGGTTGAAGCGTTGGAGTCGACCTGCAAAAAAGCGATCCGCTTGTGATTGCCCGGTTTGGACTCGTCGACGTGATGGTGATGCGCCAGATCTACGAAAGCTGGTTTGATGATGCGACATGGAGGACATGTTTCAGATGTGAAGAGCACTGCCACGCATGGAAACACGGACACGATCTCGTTGAGCTGAGTTGTGCTGGTGACGTGGTGGACGGGGTCGGCCGAAGGCTTTTGCGAAGGCGTGCTGCTTTCTATAGGCGTGTTGCCTGTGTAAGCCCGAGATGCGACTTGGTGGAGCAGATCATTGCCAAGTCCGTTCGCAGCAGGAGCTGTGAGGTCAACAGCGGGCGCTCTGAACATGGAGTCGATCTGTGGTCGCAGCATCTGACCGAACGGTGTGCTGAGAAAGTCTTGCGGCAGAGATCGAATGTGTGCGGGGATGTCGGCGCCTGTGAGGATCTGTGCTACCTCCTGCGTGAAGTTGTTGCAGTTCCACGAGAGAAGATTGTAGTCCTGTGGGCGGAAGCGATCGCGCAAGTCCGGAAGCAGAGCACCTTCAAACGTCTCGCGGTCTATTGAGGTGGAGCCAAGGTCGAAGGTCTCGATAGGCGCTCCGTGGTGCGAAGCACCTGGATAGGTGATCGAGATGCCCTGACCAAAGAAGTACTCGCGGTCATAGGCAACGATGCTTGTATGCCAGATGCCGTCGATCTGACGTCCAGTCAATGACATCGACATACTCCTTGCCATGCCTCTCGAGAGATCATATACGTAGAGCTTGACGGGATGCTCCGCGTCATCATTGCCTTGCGCGGTCGCCATCGTCTTGGATCAGGCTCAGTTGGATACAGGAAGGAGACGGGAATTCGAGCAGGAAGGAGTGAGGGCGTGGCTCAGCCTTTCTTCCAACTCCAAGCTGATTCAGGGTCCAAGCGATATAAGACTCGTCATCCTTCGTTCTTCCTGCCAAAACCTCCACCACAGCCTTCGCCGCCATTCAAGGTGTGAGATCTTGTTCTGCTCCCTGCAAGTAAATGATAAATCGGCGATGCATCGTTTGAGGCTCCGTGTTCCCACTCGGCCTCCTTGCATGATTTTGAGGCGCTTTCAACACATCAGCCTACACCAGCTGAAAGCGCCACCCCCTCTCCGAGGCTCAGACCCGTGCCCGAGCCTTGTTTGCGAGCTACCAGTTGGGCCAGTGATGGTGGCGCGCGCATGTGAGAGAGCTTTCTCTCTGTGCGAACGATATAGGGCTGTCATGGGCAGAGCTGCGAAGGTGTCGGCGCTCTACTAAATTTGGCCCGCCTCGCTAAGCGTGGTCAGCCATTCGAGAGGTAGCTCGTGCGGTCCAACACAGACTGGAGAGCGGATCACGCGCCTCGCCCATTCAGCCTGTGTCACTCTCGCTCTCCGCGATTTTTCGACTCAGGGTCTCACCAGAAGTCGGTGTCAGGTGCAGCAGGGTTCGCAACGCAAGCGAGCATCGCGTTTGAGCTTCGGAAGAGCAGCGGCTGCTGACTGACTCTTTTGCCGCGCGCCGTGTGCTGTTGCTCTCGCTGTATGCACTTTGTGTGTGTGTGTCTTTCTAGCGACCGCTGACTCTGCTTCGACGCCATCACATCAAGTCGCAAACACATTCCGATCCAGGTTCTTGCCTTGCCACTCCAACGTTTGAAGCTCTCTTCCGGATTCTCGCTCTACCTTCGCGTCCGAAACACTCCGTAGCCACGGCTGGATCAGGATGGTGAAAGAAGTCTCCTCCGCTCAGGAGTTCGATGCGGAGCTGAGCTCGGCCGGCTCCAAGCTGGTCGTGGTCGACTTCCACGCTGTCTGTAAGTGCCGCCAGCATCACTTCTCCAGACTCCTTCCCACGTCTTTCTCACCTTCTCCTTCGCTTTCACTCTTAATCTTGACTCAGGGTGCGGACCGTGCAAGGTGATTGCGCCCGTGTTCCAGCGACTTGCATCTCAGTACACCAGCGTCGTCTTCCTCAAGGTCGACGTTGACCGTGTTCAACCAGTCGCACAACGATACAGCGTTCGCGCCATGCCCACCTTCCTCTTCCTCAAGAACAAGAGCGTCGTCGAGACCCTTCAAGGCGCTGATCCCAACCGACTCACTGCGCTTGTCAAGCAGCATTCCTCGGGGGCCTCGTCTGCCTTCTCTGGCTCGGGTCAGACGCTCTCTGGCAGCGGCTCTTCGTCCAACTCGTTTGGTGCGCGCACTGTAGCTGACATCACCGACGGCCATGTAAGCTTCGAAAACCTCCTGCCGTTGCTTGTGCTCGGTGCCTACCTTCTGTACCTCTACCTCGGCCAGTAGTCCACATCGATGCACGAATTCTTCAACGCTGCTTTCAACCATGCATCTTTGTGTCTGCGCGTGTCCTCCAGTCGAGCGAAGTTCAGCCAGGCTGACACAATCACCTTGCTTGCCTGCATTTCACACATTCTGTTCCCCAACAGTCTTCTCTCCTCAAGACAGTCGAGGCGAATCGATCGTCGGCGTTGAACGAAAAGCCAGATCACCGTTTGCAGGACATACTCAATGGTCCCAACGGCGGCAAGTGGCTCGAGAGCGATGCCGACGAGCAACTGCTCATTCACCTTAGTGTAAGTCCGAAGCGCGGTCGCTCTGGACCTGATTCATGCTTCTGACTAATGACATTTGCACACGCACAGTTCAAGCAACGTGTCAAGCTTTCAGGGATCCTCCTCCGAACATTGCCCTCACAGTCAGCTCATGCGCCCAAGCAGATCAAGATTTTTGCCAATCGACCGGGACTCAGCTTCGACGACGCAACTGCAGACACGGCCGACCAAGAGGCCGAGCTGTCAGAGGAGCACGTTCGTGGGGGCGAAAATGGAGGCGGCGGCAAGGTCTTCTCGCTCCGCTTTGTCAAGTTCCAAAAGGTCGACTCGCTGACCATTGCCGTGCTCTCCAATCAGGACGACGCAGAGACGACGCGCATCGACGCCATCGACGTGTTCGGCCTTGCCGATCAGGCCACGGACATGAGCGAGCTGCAAAAGATTGCTGCCGAGGGCGAGTCACGCGACATGGACTTCCGCACTGCCTCGAGAACGGGTCTCAAAGGTGGCAGCAGCTCGCCTGGCGGCTACAAAGGTGGCTTCAGTGCACCGCGAAGCTCATCCATTCCCAACATCTCGGCGTATGCCGAACGACCCTCGCGGCACGGCCGATCGCATTCGACCTCGAGTCTGAATCCTCCAATGCCCAAATACAGGCGATCGGTTTCATCCGCCTCGGCGCCTCCGATGCAGCTGGTGGACGAAGAAGATGAGGACGAGTACGTCGGATCCACCGATCGACGCAGGTCAGATCATCATCAGGGCGGCTTTGCTCCGTCAATCCCGCATTCACCACCCTCCATGACCGAGGAGGAAGAGGCAGAGTTCGAAGCCGCGCAGAGGGCAGCGCGCGATACACTCAGCGGATGGCACTATGCACCGCTCGGTGTCGCCCTTGCCCCTCCTCTCGGTGCTCTTTTGGGCGGACACTCTGACGCATGGTCTGATGCCATCCTCCTCATTCTCGCCAGCTTCTGGCTCTACCAATTCCTGCGCATCCCCTGGGAGATGTACTACGCTTCAAGGACCCGCATCGTGCTTTCCGTCGATCAGGACGACGACGACGCGGTCGAGCAGGATGGGCAGGACACTTCTGCGCGCAAGTCTCCAGAAACAGCTGAGCGCAAGGAAGCTCGTCGAGCAGCAGCGGCTGAACTCCGCCGATCGGAGCTGCTGAGTCTTGTCTTTTGCGTCCTTAGCCCTCTGGTCGGTGCATACATGCTGCATTGGATGCGCGAGACCATGACCGACGGCAACAAGTACCTCAACACGTTCAACATCCGCCTCTTCACCCTCGCCGCTGGCATCAAGCCTTGGTCGCATGCCATGAGCCTCATTCGACGTCGAATGCTGCACCTGCAGGAGGAAGTTCACCACCCGTCGTCCAAGGTCGAAAAGATGAACCAGCGCATCCGTCGTCTCGAAGCGGACCTGTCGAGTCTGCGCAAAATGTATGCCACCAAGAATGAGCTCCGCGTTCTGCGCGACCACGAGGCGCAGTTGGGCCGAGCAGTGCGCCGATCCGAGAGGAAGGAGGAACACCTCCGATTGTCAGCAGAGGAGAAGTTCAGCATTGTCGAGGGCCGGCTGGAGGATCTGCTGCGAGAGGTGGCCATCAACGCCGAGTTGATCGAGGACGAGCGCAGGGAGCGAGAACGGGCAGCAAGCGCTCGAATTTCGCTCTTTGCAGCGATCAAATACCTCATCGGCTCCGGTCAAGCTCGTCACACAACTCCAAAGCACTACCTGCACGACATGCCTCGCAGCCTTCCGTCGACGGCGTCGCTGGGACTTGGAGCCATGTCACCCGAGTCGGAAGCCAGCATCGAGGCTCATCTGCCCTCTGCTGCCAGTCAGAGCCTCAGCCCGACTGGACCAGCTCGCACTATCACTGGCACGCCTACATCCTTCGCCGCGCGCGATAAGGCTTCCTCTGAACGCCACGGCGAGGCACCTTCCACGACCGCTCCTGCGCGCCCCAAACATGGCAACGGCAATGCCGTCGTTTCCCGCTCTCGCACCAGCAACAACATCCATCACGTCTCTGGCCCCTGGTGGGAACGCGGAATGGCCTTCTACCTCTTCCTCCCGCTCAACGTCTCCAGCGCTGCCATCCGCTTTGCTGGCGAGAAGGTGAAGCACATTCTCGAGGACTCGGAGCAGGAAGCCGCCAGGAATCAACGCAAGACGCTGCAGTATCAGAAGCATCTCGCCGACCAGCAGCTGCAGCAGCATCAACGCAAAATGTCGCAGCAGCAGCAGATGCTGAGCCCTACCCGGACGCGTGGCGAGGCACCGCCGAGCATCAAGGTCGCTGCCCCCCCTGCTGGGCGTGTTCGTTGAGCTAGCACCGTCGCTTCACCCTTACTTGAATCTTCACACTCGTTCTCGCTCTTATGACCTATCGTTGATACCCACACGCACGCATTCTTTCGGATGCCGATACCTCCATCTCTCCATTTCTATTGTACATCTACCTCTTCTGTATGTATCTCTATCCCTCGTCGTCATGGAAGTCAGTATGCCAACAACCAGAGCGCGCTCGCGCCTATGCCTGTGCCAACAACGAGCATCACCGCATGAACGATCCGACTCGTGTGTCCGTCGTTGAGAAAGACGCCTTCGGTCTCATCAAAGTCGACCTGTTCCTTCTCCAATCCCCTCTCCGCATTCAAATAGTCGACGGTTCCAGCGCCTAGGGAGATGATGGACAGGGCGAAGAAGATGCCCGCAAAGACTTTGGTGGACAGTGGGAGGTGGTCCCAATCGACCGGCTCGTTTTGGCGCCTTCTCGGGGTGGAGTACGATCGAGCGGTGTCGGGTAGTTGCAGCTGCAGAATCAACGAGGCGGATAGAATTGCCAGCAAGCAGGAGAGGCGGAGCCAGGAGAAGAAGTTGCGTTCGCGAGCGAGAAAGTCGCGTGCAGAAGAGCTCGACGTCTCCTTGACCTGCAGAAAGGTTTGTGCCCACCTCAACGGTTTCAGGGCTGTTGATCTGAGCTGGACCGTTTCTGAGTTCGAGTCTTCGGGGTGTGGGTCATCGTCGCGGATGGTGATGAGCGAGCTGTCTTGTCGAATCGTCCGCGTCCTCCCTTCATCGGCCCTCGGCGATGCAGGTCTGGATGATTCTGGAGTGCCGTTCTTTGACGTCGGCGAACGAGGCGATAGCGCCCGAGGGTAAGCATTGGGGATATGCAGTGACAACCGACCACTGCCCGCACCGCTGCTCTTAGGCCCATGGTGGCTATGTTCCGAGATACCTGTGTTGATGCGCTTGAGACCCTTCAGGCTTGACTCTTGCGACGGACCGCCCGGCATCTTGAGTTGAGGGAGGATGGAAGAAGCGGCAGGCAAGTGGACAAGATGGTTAACAAGGTCTGATGGTTCAAGGGTCCGAGGCCAAGACCTGCAGGAGCGTGCATGACGTGATTTCGCCCTGTGAGAGCCGAATTTCTGTGTGTGGAGCTGAGCCACTACTCGGTCTAACAAACTTAGAAATTCCGAGCGACATGGTCTTGATAGCTGTCACAGGTCTCATCACTGCTGCTAAGAATACCCGTTGCACCTTGTCGGCGTTGGGACAAAGGCTGAATGCGAGCGATAGCAAAAGCCGGAAGGCCAATCAAGAAGACGTCGGTGACAGGGAATGGTCCTGGATTAACGCAGGGGCGGCACTACCGCGGCTCAGAGCAAACTTCTCGTCCTGGATTGTTGTGTCCCAGCATTGATGCTGCATCGTGCATCGAGCGGCCGGACGCTTCCGTCGGAGAGTCGGAGCCTGGACGAGGTTGCCGGTGTCTAAGGCCACATTGTTCGCTCTGGCAAGGAGCACTTCGGGTCCTGCAGCAGACATCTGTGACGCTTGGGCAGCAATGACTGGGTCTGCAGCGTCATTGTGCGAAGCTTGAAAAGCAAGGGACGCAGTGTCAATGACGTGGTCCCTTAGCAGTCACGTCTTCTCGGCCTGCAGGTCCCCATTGTTGAAGGGGAAACGAAGCGATGGGGATAGGGGGCCGCAGTCAATTTGAGCGGCATACAGTACTTCTGCAAGAGGCACGTTGAGTTCGGACAGCGTCAGGGCCGGACAGCACGCGGCCGTAAAGTGCTCAGATCGGATGGTGTCGGCAGGACACGATGGGATTGCCAACGTACGACCTGGGGCGCTCGTTGTATGGCGATCTCGGTTGCGCCAAACGAAGGTCTCCTTGCCGCGTCTCGGTTCCCACGCTTTTGAGCAACGCGAAGGGCGCCCACCATCTTTGAGTTGGGCGTACGACGCCCGCCTTTGTTTTTTCGACAGCGCGGAGTTGCAACTTTAGAGCTTTGCTTGAAGACCCTCGTGGGGCTGCCACCATCTTGCCCTGGCCCGTTGTCGATCCCCTTTCAGTGCGTTAGTCGAGAAACTCTTGCAGGGCCACCGCAAAGCTAGAATCGCTAGCGAATACAGCTAGAACACTCATCTGCACATATATCATCAAGTTGGCCCGCTAGAACCATTGTTTGTGCTACTGCAGACCACTTATGGTAAAGATGATGTATCAGCGAAGATCTGCGATGAAAGGGCAAAGGAGAAGCGAAGCTCCAGAGCACTCTGAGCGAGAACGGACGCTCCTCGTATGGCCCCTTGCTTAGCCTCGTTGTCGGGATTGGCGCTCGTGCCACCGCGCCCTATCTCGTTGCCACCTCCCTTTTGCACCACCGCGTGCCTTGCTTGGTGAACTTGATTGTTTCTCTCTCATTGACAAGCCTTCCCTGCCTAGGCTCTGTGCTTCAATTCGACTTCGCAAAGAGATAGGAATCAGACGTCCATGCTCCGACTGAACAATGGCGATCCTGCCTCCGACAAGTTTGATTTCTGCCCCTTTCTGGTGGGAAGATTTTCTAGGCTCGCTTCCATTGGATCAGCTGAGCGATCAGAACAATGGGGACCACAAACGAGATTCGGAACGATGCTAAGCGCTGTCCAATGGCTCCAACTCGGCACGATGAATCTGCCCCTGTCGACCAAGTCACAGACGCTAGAGAAAAGAGGGTAGGCGAGGCCCACAAAGCTTTCTTTAGCGGAGACGTACGCGAGCAGACCCTTTTTAACGCTCTTTCGCCCACGACGGCAAACAAAGGGAGAGACGAAAAGCAAACCCACCAACCCACTTTTAGAACGTCACGGTGCTGCAGCTGCACCATGCACGTCAGGCAGATCAGTGCACGCCTGCATGAACCACAGCAGAAAGGGCCGGCCAGCAAATCGACCGTCTTGTCCGTGATTGTCCCTTTTCACTGATCACAATTTCGACAGGTTGAAGCTCTTTTTCCTTCGGTTGTCGCATTCATGCATGCAGGTATGCGCGAATGGGCTGTGACTGTAGAGAGGAAAATCAGTGCTTTCACCAGTTAGACTCGAGAGACTCCTTTGTAGGTCGGAACAGAAGCCGAGCTGGCTGAGCTGCTGCTGCTGCTATTGCTCCACAGCCAGACTCATTCCCTGCTGGCTGTGGCTGAGGCAGCGAAGAGGGACGTTCCGAGTCAACGGGCGAGCCTTTGCAGGGGGTCAGGGCGCAGCTCTCAAATGGCGCTATCAACAGAATCATCTTCTGGCTTCGAGTGCAGAGGCCGTAATGGTCGATAAGAGAGTCCCTTTGAGCCGTCTCTCTTCCTCTCTCGACAGCGATCTAGCCACCCTCGCTCGAGCATGAAGTTTGGTCTGATTGCAGATCTGCTGCAGCTAGTGCATCGCCCCCGCGCTCTTTTCTTCTTGTCGCTCCGCAAATTCGCGGCATTGTGACACGGACCTCGTCGCAGACCTCGGACCTCGGACGGCCATCTGCTTTGACGGATTGCCTGACATGGTCAAGATGCCGAAGGGGGTCCTCTTCCGCGCGCAGACCACGAGCCTTGACCCTTGCTTTTGGTCTTGCGACAAGGGGTCTGTGAATGGCGTCCGTGTCCCTGCGGAAGAACTCAAGCCGTCCTGCTGATTCGACCCAATCCGCTTTCAATGGAAAGCATTGACAGACTGTCAAGCCACAGCGACGAAGCGCAAGGGCCATCTTTGCTACTTTTGTCCGGTGATAGGACTCGAGGCCCGGTTATGCTCGCCGGCCCGTCGCTCTCCTACCTCGAGCCCAGTAGATGAGCTAGCAGAATAGCTGCTGCCCTATTGAGCAGTTCCATCGGAACGCCACACCGAGTGCTCTATCGCCACTCTCTGCTGCTCTCACCTCTCTTGGAGTCTGTGATTGCGGAAGAAGCCTGCTCCGTGCCTGCGCCGTGGTGTATGCTCTCCCTCATACAAGGTTGACTCGCCGCCGCTAGACCCTCTCAACTTCAGGCTCGCCCAACCTTAAAGCTTCGCCACAAAGGGAACGTCGATTCTTCCGTCTTCCCTCTTCTTCCTCCTCACCTTCATCCACACTGACTACTTCCACTCTGCGCAGTCACTCCATCGGACGTCCCCCTCACTCCTTCCTACCGCACCATTAAAGACCATCGTCGTCCGCAAGAGTCTTCTTCATCTCTCTTTTCCCTCCTCGGCCAACTCCTATTCGACGCATACATCTGCACCTCGAATCATTCATTCGCTCCATCGCTAGCAACATCCATCTCATATCTGCACAGCAACCATCTGTCGACGCTCAACTCCACCTCCTCTCGACGCCACATCGCCGGTTTTTCTTTGCCCTCAAAGCCCACATCCTTCCCATCCGACGGGATCTTCATCTCTCAAATCTCGCTGCATTGTTTTTTTTGGCCTTCACTTTCGAGCCCTCGTCATACCTCCTCTTCTTTCTTCCTGAACTCTACTTCTTCTCTCTCTCGCAACCATGGCAGCCATCAAGACGGAACGCGGTCGATCTCCCGCGCCCATCACACACGCCATGTCTCCCCTCTCCCCTCCTCCTGCGGCACGCACCAGCAAGCGCCGCAAGCGCTCAGAGCTCTCCCCTTCGTCAAAAGCGACGCATAGCATCATCGAGAAGGAACGTCGTGAAGCGATGAACGAGAAGTTCGCCGAGCTTGCGGCCAATATTCCCGAACTCGTCGAAGCCATCAGCGCGGGTAAAAGGCCGACCAAGGGCGAGATTGTCAAAGCGTCCATTGCGCGGCATCAAGACCAGGAGCGGCGGGTGCGGGAGTTAATGTGCGAAGTTCAAATGTTGCGCAGTGGCAACCATGTCACTCCGGATCCCTTTGGCGGGGTGGAGACGCAGGAGCCGGTGCTCTCCCTGCCGCAGTATCAAGTCCAACCATCCCATCCGCTCGGCGGCCTATGGGTCGGTCAACTTCTCGACAAGACCCCCCTCACAACTCCCCTCCCCTTCGACGGTATGGGTCTCCTACCAGACCTCAACCAGCCCGTATCGCCCTTCAAGCAAACGAGCATGATGAACTTTGCCTACCCTCCCCCGCTCGACCCGGGCGCGCTCAGCATCGCTTTCCCTTCCAACCTCATCAACCCCATGGACTTTCGTCGAGACGACACCTCGGCTCCCCCTACGACCAGCGGATTTTCATCCCCGACCTTCACTTCGGGCGCTTCGGATAGCGACTCGACCTTCAGCACGGACGTTGGGGTCGGCTTTGAGCCGTTTGTCATGCCAACACTGAGCGAGGCGACGCCGCTGAGCTGCTTGGTCGGGTTGCCCGCCACGGCGATGGATGGGAGCGGTGGCCAGGGAAAGGCGCGGAGGGGAGCGAGTAGGAGGATCGACGAAGGTAGCCCACTCGCCCCTAGCCGAGCTGCCAATGTTTGACTGCCAAGATGTATATCGAAGAGAAAAAAGTCGGCTTTGTAATACGCTATGTTTTCCAAAACTCCCTCTGTGTGGAACTGTCACTCGGTCTGTCGTCAGAACGACGCATTCAGCTCAACTCAGCTCAGCTCAAGGTCTCGCGATCACACCCGCCACGCAACACGCCAGCAAGTAGAGCATACTGTAGCAATGCGGTATACATTTCGACAAACTCATCTACTCCTCTCCCTCGTCGACAAAGATCTCCCTGTACTTGTCCAGAATCGTCTCGACCGCACGACACTGGAAGCTCATATCGTGGATCTGAATGCCATTCCCCAACCCATCCTCTCCCATCGTTGGGGGGCTGAGCAGCGTTGGACCAAAAACAATGGCCAGATTGCTCGCGCTCATCTGGTTGAGATGCTCCAGGCTCTTGACCCTGTCCAAGTGCCCCATGAGGTATTTCAGCGTGGCATAGTTGGCATCGGGTAGCTCGTTGACGCGTTCGTGCAGGCGGATGTGTCGCAATCGATCGTTGTCGATCTTGGCAGCCTCGATGAACCCGGCGTAGAGCTCGTGCGTCAGCAACGGTTCCGGTAGCTCGCGGAACCAGAGCTTGAGACACCCTGCCACAATGTTGATGTCTTGCAGCGCTTCGTCCTCCGTCAGATCGACAGCGGACCAGTCCTGATCGAATTTGGCTTTCAGCCGTTGTACTTTGGAGGTCGTGCCCGAGAGACGGTAGATGCCCATGTTCTCGATGCCGATATCTTCGATCGCTGAAGCGCACTTTTCGAGGATGGGCGGAATTTCGACTACGTCCCTCGCCATCTGCTCGGCTAGATCGATGCCGAAGATTGGGCGGTCCGACGCGGTGGGTGTGCGAGGAAGCGTACCCGCAGCGGCGGCAGGTTTCGCGGAGCCAGGGGCGGTGAGGAAGCCTTCTTCGTAGGGTCCTTCTCGGCGCGGTCCCTTGTAGTCGCGACCGTGCGCGACTTGGTAGTTGGCCATGTACTGCTTGAAATCCGCGCGGTTGTCGATGGTCTCCACGGCACCCTTTAGACCGCTGCTGGCAGTAACATCAGCGCCAGCCGGCGAGATCGCCATGCCGTCGTTGAGCACTGTGCTCTCGAATAGGAAAGCGTACCGCGCCAGGTGGTACTGCGTTCCGTTATCGATCTCTTCGGCATTCTCCTTGAGCGTGCGCAGGATGCGAGGTAGTTGGAGGTTGAAATACTCTTGGCGCACGCCTTGGGTGCTCAGCACCTCTCTGCGGAAGGCGTCGCTGGCTGTGCTTGTTCGCGCGCGGATCTCCTCCTCCTGCTTGAGAATTTGTTGCGGGTTCTTGTTCTTGAACAGCAACCCGCTTTTCCCGATTGCTTTTCCGAGCGTGCGCTTGCCGCTGCTGACACCGCCACCGCCGCTCGACTGAATCTCACCGGACTTGGCCGACTCGCCCGACTTCATCAGCAGCAACCGCTCCAGATCCTCTGCCGCCGTATCGAACCGACCTCTCGCCTTCTCCACCCCTGCCTCGGCATCCTGCAGGTTCTTCTCCAACCGCGATCCCGTCTCCCTCGCCTGCTTGCGACTCTTGTCCACCTCCTTGGCCAAGTTGGACAGCTCATCGCTCATCTCGTTGAGTTTGGTCGCGAATCGCAGGCGGTTGTCGGCGAGCGTCTCGTGCGTCTTGACGATGGAATGCCACGACTTGACGAACGAACCCGCCTTGGCGTCGCTGAGCGAATAGGTCTCAAAGGTGGAGCGCGCGAGCTTGACCATGCTGCGCGCGTATTCTTCCTCGATAATGGCGCGTTTCTTGAGGAAGACGGACGCTTCTCTGGCCGAAACCATGCTCTGCTTGATGCGGTCGAAGAGAAGAGGCATGCCGCAGTCGATGTCGCAAAGGGAGCGGAGAACGCCTTCGTCGAAGCTGGTGGGGACGATCTCTTCCATGGTCGGGCCATTGTTGGGTGCCATGGCAGCGGCATCGCGGGTGGATAGACTGGCGGTGGGCAGCTGGTTGAAGGTGCTTGTTGTGTTGCCAGAAGGAATGATGCTGTCCGCAAAGCTGCTGGAGTTGGTCATGCCGGGATGCGAAGATGCGCTTTGGGTGCTGTAGCGAGCCGTGGAGCCGACATCGGTAGAGGATGCGTCTGCTGCATTGACGTAGCCTCTAGCATCTTCGTAAACAGCGTGTTCGGCTAGTGTTGGTGTTGCAAGGGCTGAAGAGACTTCGTACGCTTTTGACTGGTTGGAGGGACGCGCATCCAGGTGATCAAGATCGGACATGCTGACGCCATCTGTATACAGGTGAGTGTTCTCGTAGCCTGTCGCCGAGACATCCGAGAAGGCGTCGTTGAGTGCATCATTGTGATGGAACTGAGCTTCATTCGACATGTCGGATCGATTGTCGGGCGAGGTGCCGAGATCGGTGACATTGGGAACGCCAGGGCTCAGGCGATGGGGGCTGACATTGCTGTGATCTGCCGCACCACCGAGCCAAGCGCCTTCTTGCGCGTTGGTCTTGTGATAAGCCGAGTTCATCACTGTAATTTCGGGTGGAGCGCTCTGCTGCACTGCGACTTGAGGGATCGAGGAGGCAGCAGTGGACGATCCGGTTGTGGACGAAGCAGCAGCGGGAGAGGAGTCAGCGGCCCGCTCCGATGGAAAGTAGTGTGCAGCTGGTCCCTCGTAGGAAGAGCCGAAGTCGGGATCCAAGTCGGAAGCGCCTCCGATGGGACTGAGGGTGGTTTGCAGCGGCGCACCTCCGAATAGTTCCACAGCTGAGACACTGACGGGCGTAGCCGATTCTTTGCGGCTGAGCGATGGAGAAGGAGGACCTGCAGAGAGGGGAGAAGAAGGCCAAGAATCGAAACGGTCTCGGGAAGCCCTGCTGGTCAATGAAGCGACCGAGCTGCGAAATTTGCTCGTCGCAAGGCTGTTGCTGCTAGCACGCTTGCGAAGGAATTGCGGTGCAGATGGTGCCATGAATCAGTTTCGACCTTGCTGGTGTATCGAGACTAGCAGCCGAGTGGTAGCGCGGGTATCGTGGCTGCACGAAACAGCAGGGTAGATCGACCGGCTCTTTGCAAATGAAGTCTCTACGCGGTGTGAGCGAGCGAAAGCAAATACCCGTAAGCCCAGACGAAGGAATGGGAGGGAGATGCAGCGCTTCTGGACGAGTCGATGCGGTCCAAGTAGTCTGCTGAGACGGCAAACAAGGGACAGAGGTGGTGACGATAGGGTCGGTGGGCGATGATTCGGAAGTGAAGAGAGGGACCCTTGCTGGATGTCAGTTGTCACACGGAAGGAGCACCACACTGCAAAGCGTGCCTGCTTTACACGCCCTGGCGCCAGGGTCCGAGCGTACTGAGACCGCGAAAGCGGATCTGGAAAATCCATTTCTGCCCCTTCCCCGCGGCTAGGTCAAGAAGGCTGTTCGCTACGATGTTTCTCGACAGACACACAGACACATGCAGCAGCCAGCGAAAGCTTCCCGTCGGCCCAGCGCTTCTCGAAATTGAATGGGTAAGGCGAGCTCGTTGGCTTCTTTGTTCGCCTCATAATTAACTTTGGGTCGCCCTCGTTCTCGCTTTACAGCCCCACACAACCGATGATGCTTATGCTGTCCGTGCGACACCTTTCACGAATAGCCACGTCTCGATGCTCATTGTTGCCTTGATGATGAGCTTGAAATTCGTGGTCTGGCCAGCAGCAGAGGGCGACTCTTTCCTTTCATTCCTTCCGAGACACGAGTCGCGCCCATGTTTGAATTGGGCGTAGCCGCGGTTTTGAAGTCGAAATTGGCACTCTAATTTCAAAAAACAGCGGCAGAGGTTTATTACAAACGACCCGATTGGTTTGCAGTGCACAAAGGGAACGGCCAAACGTGGGAAGGACCGAGACAGGAGAGACCAGCAATGCAGCAAGATGGAAGTGCCCAGCATCTGGATTCTACGATCGGAGGTCTTCCGTTACTGAGCAGGAGATGGTCATTCCATGCTGTCTCGCGCGGTCACGAAAGGCCGAAGAGCAAGGTTGTCGACACGAGAAGGTGAAGATCGGGGTTCGTGCGCACCCTTTGAGAGCTTGACAGCAGACAACACACGCACAAAGCCACCTTTTTTTCGGATTTGTCAAGCACAGAGGGGCACAGCCAGCCGGCCAGCCAGCCAGCAAGCAAGCAGCTTTTTGGCGCGAGACAGGGTCGGACCCCTTGATTTGATGCGTGTGTATTTCCCTTCTTTTTTGGTCGCTCTCTCGGCAAGTCTCGCTCGCATGGACGCGAGTGACTTGGCTGCCTGCCTGCCTACCTGCCTGGTTGTTCTCGACTCGCCTCGCCAAAAATCTCATCGTTGGCACGCACACGCCATCACCACCATCATCACCCACATTCATCTCGTTGCTTTGCTTGTCCGCGATCGCCCCCGCGCTCCAACGCCATCTTTCGATCGCACACCGACGTTGGATTTGCAGGCTTCGCGCCTTTCCCCGGTCTCGGTCCTCGCTTTCATCTACGCTGCGACTGCCTTACGCGTCGACACCAACATCGACACCACCATCGACACCGCCTTCGCGTTTCTCGCACACAAATCAGTCCATGGCGCGCTGATCGACCTCATCCAGGCGTAGAGTCCTTCAGCGAAGACTCCGAGACAATCCCTAGCACGCCTTCTATCTTGGCTCTTCCTACGGCAGTCCTTCTTTTCCGCGACTTGACGCGTACGACACTTCAACTCTTGCCTCAGACGGACTGGACCAAGGAGATCTCGTAGACATTCTTCCCGAGCATCACTCTATATTCGTAAGCGCTCGGGCTCAATTGCTTGCATTTTGCTGTCCCAATCGTTACGACCAAGACTCCCGAGCTCTCTCACCTTGCTTCTATCTTCCAGCAGCTTGACAGCTTTTCGCCGACATGCAGCAATCACCCAAACGATCGGTCATCAAGCATCCGCATGACTTCCAGGGTGCGCAGGTGATGCCCAGCACTGCAAACGCTCTCGCCGAGGCGGCTGGCCGCTCCGGTCCTTCTTCATCCTACAGTAACGCGGACCCTTCTTCGTCTACGCCCAACTATCTCAAGGGCGTCGAAGGTATCGGCGGCACGGATGGCGCCTTTACAGGTCTAGCTGGCAGCTTCGACTTTGCCGATATGACGCTCGTTCCGCAACGCAGTGCGCCAGCTCCACCGAACAGCAACATGGCCTCCAATCCCAACTATGCTTACTCGGGCGCATCCGCCTCGACATCCGCGTCGCCCTCATCGGCATCCACTTCGTCCTTCACAAATGGCTCTTCCAACGGATCCGGGGCCTATCGTCCCAAGCCAACGCTTAACACGTCCGCGAATGCTTTACATGGCCCCAAATCTGGTCTCCCCACTCAGACTGGCCTTCCCTTCAGCGTGTCGGGCCTCGCCAACAATCCGCCGGCTGCATCCCCCATCAATGGTCCAAGCTCGGCGTCGCCATGGTCATCCCAAAATTCAGCACCTCCGGCCTCCAATGCACCTTTTCCGCCGCGGCCGGTGCGATCCAACACGTCCGGTCCCGAAACGTTCCAGACCATCTCGTCTGTCAGCGCGTCTCAACATGTCGCACCCGTCATGGCGCAACGCTCCCACTCGAGCATCGGTCCTCAGCAACACCACATGTCGCCCAATCTGAACCAGTCTTCTCCTACACTTGAAGGAGACTCGGTTCCTCCTCTCACCACCCAGAGCCAAATCGTCCAAGGCAGCAGAGACCGCGAGAGGAGTCGCGATGGCGCCGCAACACCGGGAGGCAGGAACACGTTCAAGAGTGTCTTTGGCGGCTTCGTCAACTCGATGAGCGATGTGTTCTCGGCTCAAAAGAAGATCGAGATCTCGACGCCATATGACCCGGTGCATCTTACACATGTCGGCTTCAACTCGGACACGGGCGAGTTCACAGGTCTTCCAAAAGAATGGCAGCAACTCTTGCAAGAATCAGGTATCTCGCGACAGGATCAGGAAGCGAATCCGCAGGCGGTCATGGACATCGTCGCCTTCTATCAGGACGCCACCAAGAGCGACGGCACTACGGACGTTTGGAAGAAGATGGGCGCAGCAAAGGGCAACAACGCTCCTGGCACACCACGCACCGATGTCAGCAGCGACGATGGCGCTTTCAAAGGCCCGACACAACCCATTCTTTACGAGAAGCCCCGAGCTGCACCTGCGCCGCCTGGAGGCATGTATGCCAAGAGGCCAGGAGACATCACCAGCCCCGATCTGCGACAGGCTCCCAGTTCGGCAAGCAGCTCTGCAGAGACTTTGCTCAAAGCCTCGCGTCCAGCCCCCGCTCCCGGTGGACCTGCAGGTGCCAAGCTGAGCTCACCATCGCTTGGGTCCAAGCCGGGCTCTGCTCCGCGTGTCCCCGACGTTGCTGCCGCTGGCGCTCCTGCGAACGGCGCCGCCCCCGCATCTGCAGCCTCCGCCTCCGCTTTGGCAGCGAGCAAGAGCGTGAAGGCCCAAGGCCCGGGCGCTGTGCCACGCAGGCGAGAAACCAAGAAGAACACCATCAAGGATTCCGAGGTCATCGCGAAATTGCAAGCAATTTGCACCGACGCCGACCCGACCAAGCTGTACCGAAGCTTGCAAAAGATCGGTCAGGGCGCCAGTGGCGGTGTCTTCACAGCATACCAGGTGGGGACCAACGTGTCGGTGGCCATCAAGCAGATGAATCTGGAGCAGCAGCCGAAGAAGGACCTCATCATCAACGAGATCTTGGTCATGAAGGAGTCGCGCCATCGCAATATTGTCAACTACATCGACTCTTTCCTCTTCAAGGGCGACTTGTGGGTGGTCATGGAGTACATGGAGGGTGGCAGTCTTACCGACGTCGTGACCTGCAACATCATGACCGAGGGTCAGATTGCCGCTGTCAGTCGCGAGGTGCTTGAAGGCTTGCGCCACTTGCACGAACACGGCGTCATTCACCGCGACATCAAGTCGGACAACGTGCTTCTCAGCTTGCAAGGCGACATCAAGCTCACCGACTTTGGCTTCTGTGCCCAGATCGGCGAGTCGCAGGCCAAGCGTACCACCATGGTGGGCACACCATACTGGATGGCTCCCGAGGTGGTGACGCGCAAAGAGTATGGACCCAAGGTGGACATCTGGAGTCTGGGCATCATGTGCATCGAGATGGTAGAAGGCGAGCCGCCATACCTCAACGAGAACCCGCTGCGAGCGCTCTACCTCATTGCCACCAACGGTACGCCCAAGATCAACAATCCGGAGAACCTGTCGAACACGTTCAAGGACTTCCTCAAGACGAGTCTGGATGTGGATGCGGAACGTCGTCCCGACGCGGTCGGCATGTTGGCGCATCCCTTCCTGAAGCGATCCGAGAGCTTGCGGACGTTGGCGCCGCTGATCAAGGCTGCGCGCGAGCAGACGCGCAAGTCGTAGAGGCCACGGCGAGGGCCTTGTTGGTTGGTCTACGCAATGCTCCGTCTCGGTCAATTCCAACCTCCCGCGGTGCAAAGGAGCGCCCGCGTCTTCCCAGGTATCTCTGTCACGATCTCTGTCTACATCAAGAACAATCTCATATGCAATTCCTACATAATGCTGTATCATGGCATTCGAGTGTCCCTGGAGCGCGATCACCCGTCACACGATAGCTGTGCCTTTGAAGGGCGTGATACGGCTCCCACGCTGTGCCGCTCGACCTCATCTGGCTGCAAGTGACAGGAGCGGCGGCTTGGTCTGTCAGAGACAACGGTGAGAAGATGTTATGTGGGGCCCTGTCAATTTGTATTGATTGGGGTCCAGCTTTGAATAGCAAAGACCGGACCGGATTACAACTTTAGCCTCACAATCCGCTCAGCTTAAATTCAGCCAGTGGGAAGGCGAGTCACGTAGGCAGGATTATCAAATGGCACAGCTCGAGAAGAACTGCAAGACTCTCTGACTCGCTTGCGCCACCCTGCCAGAAACAAGCTCATGTTGCCGTCTGCTGCCTTGTTTTTTTGAGCTTCGGTTAGCCGTGGTTGGTTCTTCTCAGGCTGACCTTCTCACGGTGTCACACAATCGCCGTCTGTCTGACTGCAGGAGTGGTAGCCGTGTGACAGGTTGCCGGCCGCCTGGCTTAATCCGAACTGTCTGCAACCCTTCCCCATCATCCTTCTCACACCACATCTCATCTCGTCACCGCAGTTCATCTCTAGTGACTCGAATTCTCCGTATCGGTCGCATACCTTCCGCTTACATAGCGCACAGCCGCTCTTCCTCGCCTCCATTTAACAGCCTCAGCTTCGCATCTTCGACGAGAAGTCTGACCTCTCAACCACTCGCTGTTCCAGCAATCAACCGCTTCCGCACTCACTCATCATCAACTTCAAACTCATCGCAGCACATTCGCAACCATGACCGACCAGATCAAGGCTACTTTCGCCGCAAAGGCAGCCAAGAACGAGGCCGTCTTTGTCAGCTTCGTCACCGCCGGTTACCCCACCAAGGATGACACAGTCGAGATACTCCTCGCTCTCGAGCAGGGAGGTGCCGATGTCATTGAGCTCGGCGTCCCCTTCTCCGACCCTCAAGCCGACGGTCCAGCGATCCAGGAGAGCAACCAGGTCGCGCTGGAGCAGGGCGTCGGCTACACCCAATGTCTCGACTACGTCCGACAGGCACGCTCAAGAGGTCTCAAGGCTCCTGTCCTCTTCATGGGCTACTACAACCCTACACTCGCATACGGCGAAGACAAGGCGGTCGCAGATGCCAAGGCAGTCGGCGCAAACGGTTTCATCATGGTCGACCTGCCCCCCGAGGAGGCTGCCGACTTCCGTGCCTCCTGCACAAAGCATGGCCTCTCCTACGTGCCCCTCATCGCCCCTTCCACCTCGACCCAGCGCATCAAGCATCTTGCCTCCCTTGCCGACTCGTTCATCTACGTCGTCTCCAAGATGGGCACCACCGGTGCTACCACCACCGTCTCCACCTCGTTGCCCGAGCTCATCTCCAAAATCCGCAGCATCACCCCCATCCCCCTCGCCGTCGGCTTCGGTGTCTCCACCCGTGAGCACTTCATCGAGGTCGGCGAGCACGCCGACGGTGTCGTCATCGGCAGCAAGCTGGTCGCTAAGCTCAAGGAGGCTCCCGCCAACACCGCCGCCCGTGTCGAAGCCGCCCGCGCCTACTGTGCCGAGATCACAGGCAAGAACGAGGGTGGCATCCAGCGCAAGGCGGCGCTCAACATCAAGCAGGTCATGGACCAGCCCGACTCGATCCCCGTTCCTAAGGTCGATGCCGTTGTGCCCGCCGACCGCCCACCCGTGCCCGGTCTCGACACGATCGTCGATGGAGAGGGCAAGGTCCGTCCTCCTCGCTTCGGCAAGTTCGGCGGCCAGTACATCCCCGAAGCGCTCTTCGATGCGCATCAGGAGCTCGAAAAGGCCTACCTCGACGCCCTCAAAGATCCCGAGTTTTGGAAAGAGTTCGAGAGCTACTACGAGTACATTGGTCGTCCTTCCGAGCTCTACCCCGCCGATCGCATGACCGAAGCCGCCGGCGGCGCGCAGATCTGGTTCAAGCGCGAGGATCTCAACCACACGGGTTCGCACAAGATCAACAACGCCGTGGGTCAGATTCTCCTTGCCCGTCGACTGGGTAAGACGCGTATCATCGCCGAGACCGGTGCGGGGCAGCACGGTGTTGCCACCGCCACTGCCTGCGCCAAGTTCGGCCTCGAGTGCGTCGTCTACATGGGCGCCGAGGATGTGCGTCGTCAATCACTCAATGCGTTCCGCATGAAGATGCTGGGTGCCAAAGTGGTGGCGGTCGAGAGCGGATCCAAGACGTTGAAGGATGCGATCAACGAGGCGAACCGCGATTGGGTGACCAACCTGCACAACACGCACTACATTGTCGGTTCGGCCATCGGACCGCATCCGTTCCCGTCGATCGTGCGCGACTTCCAGTCGATCATCGGTAAAGAGGTGAAGCAGCAGTTGCAGGAGAAGAAGGGCAAGCTGCCGGATGCGGTGGTGGCGTGTGTGGGAGGTGGGTCGAATGCTATTGGCATCTTCCACCCTTTTGTTGGTGACAAGAGTGTGAGGTTGATTGGGGTGGAGGCGGGTGGTGATGGGATTGACACGGCGCGTCACTCTGCGACGTTGAGCAAGGGTACACCTGGTGTTCTCCACGGCGTACGAACGTATCTGCTCCAGGATCAGTTCGGACAGATCACCGAGACCCACTCGATCAGTGCCGGCCTCGACTACCCCGGTGTCGGCCCCGAGCATTCGTTCCTCAAAGACTCCGGTCGCGCCACCTACATGGTCGCTACCGACGAAGAGGCGCTGCGTGGCTTCAAGCTGTGCACCGAGCTCGAGGGCATCATCCCCGCCCTCGAGACGAGCCACGCCCTCTGGTCCGCCTTCCACTTGGCCAAGGAGATGCCTAAGGACCAGGACCTCGTTGTCAGTCTGAGTGGAAGGGGTGACAAGGACGTCGAGCAGATCGCTAATGCGATTGCTACTGGCGGTTGGGGCGAGAGGCTTGGTTGGAACATCGCTTGATCCTCTCCCCACCGCGTTCTCATCTTGTTCAATTGATTTTTGATTCACTCTTTCCTTCGATGGTGCGTGACGTGTGTGCATTGGTATCAGAACAGCGGCCTGAATCGTTTTCTCGGCGCTGATGCGCTATCCCTTTCGCTGTCGCTCTCTTCATCCTCGTCTGCATCATCCGCGTCGGTCCCCCTCTGCTGCTGCTGTGGTGGCGGCGGCGCACTCGGCTGATGCGGGTCCAACCATTCGCCCGGATCTCCGCCCATCGCGACGGGCGTCGGTTGCACGAAATCCTCCACCGCAACGGGTGGGGTTGGTTGGAGCGAGAGCTGCGATGCGCCGGGGAAGAAGAGGGGTTGTGTTTCGTCCTCGTCCTCCTCTTGAGGGACAGGTGGGAGGGGGGTGGATTGGTTCGGGATGCGTGTTGGTACGGGTGCGTGGTGCGACGGTAGTGACGAGGAGGAGGAAGAGGAGGTTTCTGCGGCCTGATGATGTGATGCGGAAGGGCCGCTGTGCGAGTTGGTTCTGGCGCTGGACGAGACGGAAGCGGCGATGCGGGTCCTCTCTTGCGCCTCCCCTCCCCCTCCCCCTGCCGACCCTTCCCCACTCCCACCACCCGTTGCAGCGCCCGCCTTGGTGGTCGCAATCACAAACTCGGCCGCCACCGCACTCTCCACCCTCAACCTGACAAACAGCGGCTCATCCCCATCGCTAAAATTCACCTCGACACTCACCCCCAATGACTCGGCCAGTTGCACCGTCGCTTTGAACTCCCGCAAACTCAGTGTCAACCGCGCCTCCTCCAGTACGCCATACTCCTTAAACTCGTCGATGGCGATCTTGACCTCGGTAGCGATGCTCTTCCTCACCATCCCCTTGCCCTCCGGAAGCTCCTCATCCTTACTCCTCGCTACGCAGCTGGTGGGGGTGCAGAGGAGGGTGATCTCGCCTGTTTTGCTGGAGGACAAAAAATGATCGAGCCATTCCCCCGCAGTGTTGGGGTTGAGACAGAAGAAGTTGGCCGGATTGGGATCTGCTGTTGGCAACAACCCACGTTTGGGCTCATACGTCAGATGGTGCGTCTTGACAATGCCGTGTCGACAATGGAGGGTGATGCTGAGACGACAGATGGTGTCCGTGGTGAGTCGAAGTTCGAGTCGTTCGACGGTTCGACCGCGCGAGCGAAGGATCGAGAGCAATCCCTTAAGCTGGATCTGCACTTCAAGCTTCTCGGTGCAATTGAGGGCGAGGAAGAAGTCCGGATCGAAGGCGAACAGGCAGAATGCCGAGTTGGTGGGGTTGATCGCCGACAGGCGGAGCGAGGGCGCAGAGGAAGGGCGCGGCGTGCATGAGAGCCAGAACGAGTCGGAGAAGCGAGAGAGACAGTGGAGCGTCGAGTAGAAGGTCTTGATGTCGTGGGCTGAGATCAGGGCGTTCATCGTGAAGGCATGCCTGGCGAGACGGATGAATTCGGAGAAGACGAGCAGGTGGTGTTGGCTGACAGAAGATACAGTGGGGACGCAGCTAGGGAGGGCTGAGTCGAAAAAGTGTTGGTCTCTGCGAACAAAAGCCTCCACAGCGCGTGCTCCGCTTCGAGTCGCGTAAATGAGCTGAGGCCAAAATCTGGTCAGGAAAAAGGGGGACGAGAAAGTCTGGCCTAGGGTGCCGGCAAACGCAGAGCCATCATCACAACTATACAGACTGTCAAATGGCTGATACAGCCTTCCAAACTAGCCAGCGCCATCACACGTGAGGAGTCGGCATGAGATGCATGTGATTGTGATTGCTTCTGCAAGCAGTCAAGTGGTTCGAATGGTGTCAACCTCGTCTCAGCGGAACATCACGTCTGGCAGCGTCCCCTCAGCCACATACTCGTCCCCTCTCCCTCCCCTCGCTTCACCCTCTTCCACACCAACATCAGCCACCCATTCATCCTCCTCCTCCACGGGCACACCTCTTCTCGACCTCTTCTTGCCCTTTCCCTTTCCCTCCTCGTCCTTCTCCTCGTAATTCTTCAGCTCGGTGCTTTCCAAGAAGACCTCATCTTTCAACAAATCCGTCCAGCTCTCCATCCTCTTCCTCGCGACCGCCCTGACCGCTGCTACGAGGACAATGCTCTGGATGGCGCCGAACACTTTGCGCAGTAGCAACTGTTCTTGCTCCCTCGTCTCGACGCGCACCCAGCCCCTGCTGGCGAAGGTGTGTGCGATGCTGATCGGAGCCAACAGCAGCGCAGAGCCGGCCAGGACGACGGGTAAGACGATGCGCTTCCATGCCACCTCGACCTTCGGCCTCGGATACAGGCCGCCTCGTACAACATGATCTGCATTCGACATGAAGCGGCCGTACGCACCCGTTTCTGGCAAGCCAAAAAAGCGAGTCAGGAAGAAGATCAGGCGCGTCTCGATGACGCCGCACGCCCAGATTTGACCCAGGTGCAAGACGGGGATTTGCGTCGACCGGTAGCGGAGCGGTACCAGCACGTATTGGTCGATCAGCAGACCAAAGGTGAGCGGGACAAGACCGGCGACGCCAACGAGAAGAGCAGCTGCACGGAGAAGGCGCTTGACCTTGATCCAGACGTGAATAGCAAGGTACATGCTAGGACTCGTCTGGTGCGCGTGGGCTCGCCTGGTTCGGCGCATCCACATCTTTCGACCACCGTTCCCGATTTTGGTCGTCACCAGCAGGAGTGTGAGTCCGGTTGTGTACGAGTAGAAGTCGTGCGTCTGCGTTTCCCTTCCTCGCAGCACGGCAGTGATGCCGCGCCCCACGAAGAGAGGAATCCCGAGTCCGAGGATGAAGAGCGCCGAGTGACTGAGCCAGAGCAGAGTGAGGATCGTCGTGATGCGAGCGCGGTAGTTCGAGGGGAGGTAGATCTTGGTGTACGTGGGCTTGGGTGTGTGTTTTTCTGCGTCAGCCTCTTGATTCGTGATGGCTTCGGCAAGGCGTTCCGTAGGAGGCGTTCCGTCTGCTTTGAGCGGAATGATGAGCGGGCCAGAAGTGACGGCCTTGTCATCTGCCGGAACGCGACAGAGCCCGCCATCTTCAACGTAGGTGTTGTCGATCTTCCGATGCAAAAGTGCGTTCCAAGCCGCCACCAAGGAACCGACCTTGGGTCGTCGCCGCTCTTCCCAAAACTCGCCTCCGATCATGTAGCTGCTGAGCCGAAGTGCCCGCGATGCAGCTTTCCACCACGCCTTGAACCACTTATCCGACACTTTCTCTGGATCGATGCGCTGCGTCGCCCAAGGCAGAGCAAAGTGCACCATCAGTAAGTCGATGGGTACCTCGGTGAGCGGGTCGAATGGCTTCCATCGTAGTGGCAAGAGCCCAGTCCCAGCCATGACGTATCGCATGAAGTAAGTGTTGACGCCGACGCTGGCGACGAGGATAGCTGCGTACATGATCGCAGATGCTCCAATCTTCCTGAGCTGCGTGAGGGTCTTCTTGTCCAGAATCTCCCGGATCGGATGGAAGCTGGGGTCGTTCGGGTCGCGGATCCAGCAAAACACGCCCGGGCGCAACACCTTTCTGGTGGCGCTGACGTACTGCGCGAAGATGAACATGTAGATGGTGCCGCCCATCCACCGCGTGAATGCAAAGGAAAGAGGCGCAGTCCTGACCTTGTCGGGCCAGAGCATGACCGAGGCCTCGGCGAAGAAGGGCATGGTGCAGATGTCAAACAGCAGCCCACATCCAAGTGGAAAGACGATGAGCTCGATAAAGATGAACGAGATGGCCTTGATGATGAGCACATGCTGGTCCATGAACATCTTGAACGCAGACTGTTCCGCGACAGCACGCTGCAAATCGGGCTTGGAGAAGTGCTGGTGGATGAGGAGGATGAGCAGCCAGTAGCAGTGACCAAAGGCGACGCAAAAGATGCGATCTGTGCTCGAGGTACCGATGCGATGGGCATCCAATCGGACGAAACTGGCAGCGACGTGGTCAGCGACGCGCCGAAGCGTGCCTTGCATGCCTGTAGCAAGGGCGACGTCGAATGCATCGCTGACAGCTTTCCATTGCGGAGAGCTCGTCACGCTGACAGGAAGGACTCGCAGCAGCATCGCAGCTGTCGCGCTCGCCTTTGCTGCCACTGGTGCCTGCACGGCTTGTTGTGTGAGCAGCTTCGTATTGTCTGCCGCCGCCTGGCTCAAGAACGAGGGCAAGTACTTCTGGATCCAGGCATTGATGGAGGTCGACGTCGAGGCGGCCTCGGCGACAAGTTGGCTCACATCCTGCGTTGACGTTGGCTGCACTCCGACCAGCGCGGCAAGCTTCGGCCAAACGCTGTTGGCGCCCAGTGCAATCAGAGCGTCAAACACGGGATCTGTCACGTAGCGCAGCAATTTGACTGGCAGCGCCAGCATCTTGACCAAGCCTGGGCCCGAGCCGAGCAGCCTTCCGACGACGTAGGGTGCCATGACGAAAGCCAGCATGACGAACCCGCAGAGGAAGATCATGAGGAACAAATTCTGGACGATGCCGAAGAGAGGACCTCGCATGCCGACGGCCTCGAGGATACCGTCCATCTCTTCTGCCAGACCGATCTCGGCTTCCGGGTCATCCGCTTGGCCTGCGAGGATCTCGATTTCGTCTTCGGCGACGGGGCGAGCGATGGGCGGAGGGAAGGCGGCAGCTGCAGCTGCTCGAAGGGCTGCGTCATCGAGTGGGTCCAGATCGCGAGCAATAGGCACCTCACCGTCCGACTCGTCCTCCCAAGCATCTTCTTCCTCATCTGCCTCGACATGAACGGGCGCGTCGGCTTCGTCGGCCTCCTGTGATTGCTCGCCTTGAGCGTGCTCTGCAGCCGCCTCCAGCTCTGTCGTGTGCGCGACTTCTGCTGGGCTCGAATCTGTCCCAACCTCCGCTGTCAGCTCGACCTCCGGCTTCGATGTCGGCGCAGTGTGTTTCGAGTCGTCATCGTCAGCGGCCGAATGAAGCTGCTCATGGTCGCCAGCTTCTGGAAGGTCCTCGTGTGCGTGTCGGGGCTCGCTTGAGGCAGCAGAGATGGCCACGCTTGGGCCTGCAGGCACGCCTGCATGATTCGACTGCAGTGAGCCTTCATCGACGATTGCTTGCTCGTCCTGCAGCAGGACGCTACCCTCCGACCAGCCAAGCGTCTGTTGAAGATCCTGAGTAGGGGCCGCTTGCGCAACAGCAAAAGACTCGTCAGTCAGCTGCGACGGCTCGGAGACAGACGCTTTGGGTATGCTTTCGACAGCTGCAACATCCTTGTCCTGTCGTTCAGTGGCGTCGTGAGCTTCAGGAGCATCCGAAGCCGCAGCGGCCGGACCATCACGCTGCTGTCCGTTTGCACCTTGCGCGAGACGTCGAATGCGCGCCTCTCTCGCCTGAGCTCTTTGAGCCTCTGGATCGAGGTCCAGCTCGTCTCCCTGAGACTCCGCTTCGACCCCCTCCCTTTCTTGCGTCGGCTCTTCTGTCTCAAGTTCGTGCAGCTGATCGAGCAACGCATTGATGCGTCTTTGCTCCCCGACTCCCTCGCGGCGCCTGCGCTCGATCTCGGCTACGAGCTGTGGTGGCATGTCGTTTATCGCGGGCTGCTGTGCTGCCGCTTCCGCCGGGAGCGGTGGCTGAGGCTGTGGGATACCCTCCTGGTTGGGTGGATTGTCGAAGTTCTGCGGCATGTTTTGCAAGATCCATTCGCGGAGGAGAAAAACGCCGACAAAGAAGACAACAATGACGCAGCTGAGGATTTGACCTTCAAAGACGTCGTGGGCCAGCTTCTCGACGAAGGAGCTCAACGCCAGCTTGAGATTTGCCGTTGATATTGGTGTATGCGCCAAGGAACCTGCCTGGAAGATGGAGCCGTTTGGGCTGCGACCCACGTTCGGTGCCTGAATGCTAGCTGACGAGTTTGAAGAATGACTCGCATTGGGCGAGAGCCCGGAGGAGGATCTGTTGGCAGGTGGTGCCTCCATACTGAAAGGGGGTGTGGCGCCGGGCACGCCCATCCAAGCGGCAACGTCGATGGACCAGAACATGAAGCGCCAAGCGTTGATGTTGACGTATGGCAGAAACGCTAGCCATGTAAAGCCGACAAGAAGAGCGCGGGCCGCCAGCTGGGAGACCTGCACGGCGCGGATTGCGAGTCTTCGGACATAGAGGTATCGTGGAAGCTTGCCATCGGAGGGCATGTCCCTGCGGTACTTTTTGTGAAAGATGAATGGATGATTGCATAGCTCGCAGTACTTCTTTCTCGAGTGCTGAAGCCATTCGACGAGGCAGTCCTGATGGCAGTAGCGGATGGAGCCGGTGCACTTGCACGGATAGTAGAGAGGAGCGCCAGGCTCCGGCCCACTGCGGCAGATACGACACGAATCCTCGTCCTCCATCGTGGTGTGCTACAGTCGGGTGGTCATGTGAGTGGGTGGTGGCTCGTTTGTGTGCATGTATGCTCGAGTGTGCTGCTTCAACGTATTGTGCGGGCAAGGAATGACGGAATTTCGACCGGGTGCTGCTGCGAGGAGATGTTGTGCTTGAGTGCTTCGAGGCAGCGGAAAGGAGAATGGATGATGGACGCAAGCGACTCGTAGATGAAGGTGGTGCAGGTAGGAATGGTGGAGGTGACTTTGACTGCACGTTGCTGCTCGAGTCGAAGATGGTGGTTGGCGGGCGTTGGTGAGATGATGATCAATCGCAAGCTGCATACAATACGCTTATGATGAGATGAGATGATGTCGATGTGGGAAGGAAAGATGAAGCGACTGAGCATCCTTGGCATTGTCACTCTCCACTCATCAACGCTTTCAACGGCTTAGCCGACGACCCTTTTGTAAAGTGTTGATCTCGAACCATCGGGAAATCCGAGACTGCGCTCTGCTGCTGCAAAAGCTGAGCAATTCGGAATTCGGAACCCTTTCCTGGCCTTCGAGGTCGTGCATCTGGTGTTCTCCTTCACTTATGACCTTTCCCATCCACAAGCTGTGGTTCCTCTCCAGTCATGACACCAACAGCATCGACGAGCTCAGTATCGACCGGAAAATCGAACACAGATGCTGGTCCCAGCATGTCCGCCGTTCAGGCTCTCAAGCGCCGACGCATGCTGCAACGAGCACAGGATGATCGTCCACAATACAGTTACTCAGACGACGAGGAAGAGTACGACGACCCATCTGCAGCTTCATCCTCCACCTTCGTACCGCTCAAACAGCGCCGTCTGCAGCAGCTGCAACACATCCAGTCCCGCGCTCGAGGATCGCCGTCCAGCATAGGCAGCCCATCAAAAAGAGCGGACGAGCAAGACGAAGAAGATCAGGAGCAGCACGATCGAGCAGCACAGCGACCACAGCGGTCCCTACTCGACGAAGCCAGGATACTTCGCGAGAAGAAGCTAGCCGAAGAGGGCGAAAAGACGCAGGCAGAGATCGACGCCGAAGAAGAGCGCAAGATCCTTGAAGCTCACGCTGCACGTCGAAAGCTCGCCAGTGATATGGAGCTCGCCAAGGGCATCCAGCACACAGAGCCGCTCAAGACATCGTGGACGGCACCTTCCTTCATCCGCAGCCGATCGCAAGAGGAGAACGACAAGCTTCGAGAAAGGAATCACATCCTCGCTGACGGCGTCGATGTGCCGCCGGTCATCACCAACTTTCGCGACATGAAGGTCCCCGAGTGCGTCATCGAGTATCTCAAGACGGAGAAGAAGATCGTCAAGCCGTCGCCCATTCAGATGCAGGGTCTTCCGACCGCATTTGCTGGTAGAGACATGATCGGCATCGCATTCACAGGTTCAGGCAAGACGCTCGCCTTTTCGCTGCCTATCATCATGCTGGCTACCGAAGAGGAAAGGCGTCTGCCCTTTGCACGCGGGGAGGGTCCCGTCGGTATGATCGTGTGTCCATCACGAGAGCTGGCACGTCAGACCTTCGAGTCCATCAAAGGTATCGCTGAAGCTCTCGTCCAAGGAGGCTATCCGCAGATCGGCGTCCTCCTCTGCATCGGTGGCATCAGCATGGCCGAGCAGCACCACACCATGTCCAAGGGCTTCCACATCGTCGTCGCCACGCCCGGTCGTCTGCAGGACATGCTCACCAAGAAAAAGTTCACCCTCGACTGCTGCAAGTACCTTTGCCTCGACGAGGCCGATCGCATGATCGACATGGGGTTCGAGGAAGACGTTCGAAACATCATGGGGTTCTTCAAGCAGCAGCGACAGACGCTGCTCTTCTCGGCGACCATGCCCAAGAAGATCCAGGACTTTGCCGAGCAGTCGCTCATCCGGCCGGTCATCATCAACGTCGGGCGTGCGGGCGCTGCGTCGCTCGACATCATCCAAGAGGTCGAGTATGTCAAGCAGGAGGCTAAGATGGTTTACCTCCTCGAGTGCTTGCAGAAAACCGCGCCGCCCGTCATCATCTTCTCCGACAATAAGAACGAGGTCGACGACATCCAGGAGTATCTCTTGCTCAAGGGCGTAGAAGCGGTAGCGATCCACGGGAGCAAGACGCAGGACGAACGAGAGTACGCCATCCGCGCATTCAAGTCTGGACAGAAGGACGTCATGGTCGCCTCCGGCGTCGCATCCAAGGGGTTGGACTTTAACGAGATCCAACACGTCATCAACTACACCATGCCCAAGGAGATCGAGGACTACGTGCATCAGATCGGCCGTACGGGTCGTAGCGGCAAGACGGGTGTCGCGACCACGTTCGTCAACGCGAACACCCAGGAACAGACCCTGTTGGATTTGAAGTATCTGTTGATGGAGGCGAAACAGAGGATCCCGCCATTCCTGGCGGCTATTGAGGATCCAAGGATGGCCGCGGCAGGTGGCAAAGTGTCCAGCTGTCCCGTGTGCGGCGGTCTCGGTCACAGCATCAGGGACTGCCCCAAGCTCGAGGACAACCAGAGGAGACAGACCGCTCAGTTTTCCAGAGGCGACGATGGCGGATACTAGAGTCGCAGAGGGTCAGCTGTTGTCAGCCTCGTTCTCTTTCATCGTCACGCTTATGTATTCGTATCACGTCTTTAATGCATTGCATCGTCAGCATTTTTACGCTATCTGGGACTCAAATCTCAGGGACAGGAGATCTACTACACAGACCAGACAGACAAGAGAGAGTGTACCATGCAGAACGAGGGTTTGAGCATTTCGACGAGGATGCACAAGGCAAGCTGAGAGACATCAGCGCTACCTCATGCGATCTACAAAAGAAATTGTGGGGCTGTCGTCCACTAAATCATCGCTATTGACCTGAACACGGCGGGTGTGGGTGGGTGGCGGCTGCCGAGTACCTTTAGGCGGTGGGGGGCTTGGTGCCCTCCTCGAACATGAAGGTGAGCTTGCACTTTCCGCAGTACTGGCGGTTCTTGTGCCAGCTCATGAAGATGCCGGCGCCGCACTCGGGGCTGGGGCACTCGCGACGGAGGCGCTTGATGTTTCCATCGCCGTCGACCTTGTAGTACTTGAGGATGGACATCTTGACCTTCTTGCGCTTGTGGGGGATGCGCTTGGGGGTGGTGTACACCTTCTTCTTGCGCTTCTTGGCACCACCACGCAGGCGGAGCACCAGGTGGAGCGTCGACTCCTTCTGGATGTTGTAGTCCGAAAGAGTGCGGCCGTCCTCGAGCTGCTTGCCGGCGAAGATGAGGCGCTGCTGATCAGGGGGAATTCCTTCCTTGTCCTGGATCTTGGCCTTGACATTGTCGATCGTGTCCGAAGACTCGACCTCGAGAGTGATGGTCTTACCCGTGAGGGTCTTGACGAAGATCTGCATCTTGAAGTCACGGTTGTGCTAACCAGTATCAGTGGTGTCCTTGCTGTGAACCGTGAGGAGAAGAAGGAAGGTGTGGACGGTGAGCGCCGCGCTGATGAGGATTGATTCCTTGCCTTGCTCGACTCAGCTGGCGAAGCGAAAGCGCAGTCAAATTTCTTCCTTTCACCATCGACACTGCTGTTCCGCCTGGATTCCAGTCTGGCCAGAACTGCGAAAAATCGAATCAGAGTCACGTGCCGTTCATCCCCTTGCTCTTTTCTCGTACGAAGTATCACTCAACGTGTCAACAGATGGTCTAACACTCAGATGCCCTTTTTCGCCTCACCAAACACTCCTAGCTCGACCTCACACACAGCACGGTCTTGTCCGAGGAGGATGGCATGATCAGTTGATGCCGAGATCGACATAATATCACATGGGTATATGGGTAGCGTGATAGCCTCAAGGATCATCATGAGACAACAGGGTCCTGTAGAAGAGCGTTGTAGACCGGAACAGCGAAACTGTCCATGCCGAGATGGCTGCTACAAAGCTGTGAGCACAGACGCCAAGTCGTCTTGAAAGCAGCTTAGTTGAGATCCAGATCGAACGCATCTTCGTCATCGTCCGGTCGCTGCTGATGATCACGGAGATGCGAGAAGGACGTCGCATAGTCGGTAGCCGGACCGTCGTCCTGCTCGTCCATCAGATCCTCCGCGGGCTGCTCTGCCATCGGTGCACCGTTGAGCATCTCTGAGCTGTTCAGAATGCCCTGTCGCATCATTGCGTCCGAAGGGAAGGGCATCTCCTGCGGCATCGACGGTATTGCTGGATCATAGTACGCAGCTGCTCTCTTGGCGTACTGGTTGTAGTCCGCGCCAAGGGAGATCTGTTCTGCAGGTTGACCCTCTGCTGCCTCTCCCTCGGCCTTGACCGCATCGCTCGTTCCATTCACTGTGATAGCCGCAGACGAGACTTGCGGCAGCTTGTACCCCGGAGGCGCCGAAGTGTATCGCGCCAGCCTCTGCGCGTACGCCAGCAACGTCTCATGCCCGATCGGCTGCTTCTCCGCCCGCTCTATCGACGCCACCTCCTCCTCCGACAGCCGTGCGATCTCGGCCAGCTCAGCTTGGATCCGGCTCAGCTCGAGTATCGCTTGTCGCGTCTCCTTGTCCCGCCTCTTGGCTTGCGCTTGCAGCCGCTCTATCCTCGCCTGGTTGACAGCGTGCTCGTGTGCGATCTGAATGCGGGAGCTAAAGAGCTGATCGACGTCCTGCAGCGCTGCGAGAACGCCGTTGACATCCTTGACGCTCCACGTCTTGTCCGCAGATGCGTCTGCTATTGTCTTGCCTTTCGATAGCGAAGGGTTCTCGATGAGCGAGAAGAGCTGCTTGGTGAGGTCCGAATAGGCGCCGAGGGTGGAGAGGACGATGGATGACGTCGAGGCCTCGGCAGTACTTGCGCCCGGCTTAGACGAGGATGCGGTAGCGTTGGCCTGCATGGCGGGGCGCACTTGTTTGAGCTGCTCTTCGTGTTGCCGAGATGGCTGGCTCGTCCGTGTCGAAAGGTGTCTTGATGGTGGATCAAGAGAGTGGAGAAGATGGCGCATGGCGCGTGCGTTTGATTTTCTTCGGCCAATTTCCTGCAGGCTCAGCCGGTGGACCCTTTTTCGTACTGCGTCTTCGATTTGCTCCTTGTCCTCGACCACTATTCGCCATCAAAGCCATGAATCGCACACACACTCTGCGCTGAGCCATTGAGCTCTGGAAACCACTACACTCATTCAGCATGCCTGCGCCGAATCAAGGCTTTCGTGGCGCTTCCCTCTATTCTGGCATCTTCGATTCTCAGGAACCACCCAAGGATATGCCAAGAGATGACGACGTCGCACAAGCTTCCGAAGGAACATCACGGCAGACCCAAGGAGGCTCCTCGACGGACAGTAGCACGACGGTCAAACCGACAAATGCTGCTGCTACGAACGATGCGGCGAGCTCCTCCAAGTCTTCAGGTACACTTCTGAATGCAGTCTCCTCCTCGCACCGAGCCTGGTCGTCTCTGCCTCGTTCCGGCCTGGTCAGTGGCTGAACACACAGGACCGCCGCGGCAGATGATCGTCAGAAGGAGCTGGCCGACAACCCTATAGACAGCGATGCTCACAATCTGCTTTCTTCTCCCCACCAAAACCTCGTCGGACGCCCTAACTCGAGACAGGTTGGTCTGCAGCTCTCCGCTTTGCGCCACGTCGCACTGCAGCTGCTTCCAAAGCGAAAGCGAAACCGAATGCGGCTTTCGTTGCTTCCTTTGCGCCCGCACCACAGACAGATACAGACGTCGAGGAAGCGCCCAAAGGATCGCTTAGTCGGGCGCCGGGCGTCGCGCCGAAAGCCTCGTCTCCAACCTCAGCGTCTACATCTGAGCCCTTGGCACCAGCAGCAACTTCCATCGCGAAGCATGGTTCCCCGACCGGTACAGGATCCGGTCCGAGCAGATCTCTGCCTAGCGTTGACACTGCCGACTTGAAGCTTACAGCTTTAGCTCTGCCTAATACGGATCCCGACGACGAATGGCTCCTGTCCCGGCTGGCGAAGTACCCCATCGCGGAACCGCCGCCGTTCACACTGCCACCGGAGGACATCGAGCGTGACAAGGCTTATGCACGACAAGCTGCAGCAGCGCGTGGCGAGACTCGTCAGCACAGCAGCTATGATGATGTGGATGGTGTCGACGAAGATGACGAGGATGTGAATGGGTTCTTCTCGACCAATGCGGGCAAGCGAGCTGCTGCCAAGAAAAAGGTGAGTGGCAATCTGAAGACAAGTCCCTTAAGTGCAAGGATTCTGACTACTCTCATCGGACCTGTCATGGACACAGCGGAAGCGCAAGAGAGGAACGTCTCCGCCAGTCGGGCCGAACATGACCGCCGAGTACGACCCGCGCATCCCGAACGATTACATGGCGTACAAGCATTTGGTGTACGAGAGGCGCAAGGCCGAACTCGAATACAGGAGATGGCAACAGGAGCGGGAAGAGCGAGGCTATGGAGATCAAGACGATGAGGACTGGGACGAAGACGAGCAGGAGTGGCGAGATGACGAGCATGTCAACGATGAACCAGCGAATGCCCTCGCACCGCCTGGGTCTCTTCCAGGTCAGACGGATGCGACCATTGCAAAGCTCTGGGCACCGCCGCCGTCCGCGCAGGCCTTGACGGGGGAAGAAGCGTATGCGCGTCGCGTTGCCATGTCTGCCGAGCCCTCCGTTGCTGTTATCGCTGCTACTGAACCCGCTCCTGCTGCTGCTCCACTGTCCAGCGGCGAAGAGGTCTATCAACGAAGAATCGCGATGACCAGTGCTGCCACAGGCGAAGAAGCGTACCTTCGCCGGCTTGCCATGTCACAGGTACGCCCACCTGGTCCTCCACCCGGTCCGCCCCCCGGCCCGCCACCGTCTCGTCCCCCACAACCATCTCAGCCGACTAGCTCGTCCGACTCGCTCTCATCCCAACGCGCGGCAGCAGCGGCCATCGCAGCGCGGCTCAACTCACTCCATCCCACCCCCGCCCCATCCTCCGCCGCGCCCACCCCTGCGCAGACGTCAGGAGACCCGTTTACGTTCGCCGCTCGTCTCATGACCTCCTACGGCTACGTTCCGGGCACGGGCCTTGGCGCCTCCTCGAATGGTATCATCGAACCCCTCACTGCTACCGCCTCAAAGGGGAAGGGTCGGGGCGAGATCAGCAACCCCGCTCAGCGCGCCCTCGCCGACGCCGACACGGCCAAGTACGGAAGCAGCACAGCCTCACCCATAGTAGTGCTGCTCAACATGGCCACGCCTACCGACCTCGCATCCAGCACAGCCCGGAGCGAGCTGATCGAAGACATCGAGGGGGAGTGCGCGAAGTTTGGCATCGTGAAGCAAGTCAAACCGTGGTCAGAGGGGGAAGGAGGGCAGGTGAGGGTCTTTGTGGAGTTCACGGGCGAGGCGGGCAGTTGGAAGGCTGTCAGGGGTTTGGATGGAAGGTGGTTTGAGGGCAGACAGGTGAGGGCTTGCTATTATGATCAGGGAGCTTGGGTGAGGGGCGAGCTCGGGTTGCCGGTTGGGGCGAGTGATCGTTGAGGTGCACAGAATGACGGAAGATGCGTTGTTTAAGAAGAGAGAGGAAGGAGGACTGGGAAAAGATCACACACACTTAAGACGCTCTGACCCTTGCAAGTCACTCTTTTGGGACATCTTTGACCGCTTTGCGACAGTTTGCTTTTCATTTTGTGTGTGCTTTCGAATACACCATCTTCCCTTCGCAGTCGCGGGAACGCGTCCTCGTCCGCCCCCTAACAGCTTTCTTCGTGATGCACCTTCTAGGGCTTAGGCACCCTCAACGTCTTGCTGACCATGGCCGTCGCCCAAGCCAACCACAGGAAGGCCAGCCAGTGACCCTGCACCTTGGCGAGCTCAGCCCACTGGCTCGCCTCCTTGACGCTGAGACCGGGCATCAGCTCGAGCACCTTGGCGACGTACGGCGAGAGGTCGATGGTAAACATCCCCAGCGGGACACCTTTAGCGTTGAAGCTCTCTGGCAGATACTCCCTGAGCGAGCCGGTGAACGTGAGACCTTTGTCCGAGATGTAACCTCTCTCCTTTGCGAGTGCGACAGGCAGACCACCAGCCTCGATGCGACCGGTGAGCAGGCACACCGCCATGCCACCGACCAGCACGAGCGAGGACGGAATCGGCAGGCCTTCAAAGTACCTCGCCTTACCCGAGGCATCGTGCGGGATCGTCGCCGCGGTCACATTGAACCTAGCCAACCTCGCCACACCGGCGCACACGAACAGCGTCAAGATAAAGCTATCCAGCCCACCACGCAGCCCCAGCGAGTAGGCGGCAAACGCAGGTGCGGCGCCAAACGAGAGCGAATCGGCCAAACTGTCCAATTCCTGCCCGAGCATGCTCGAGCTCTTCCTCCACCTCGCGACTTTTCCATCCAACAGATCGAAGATCGCGCCGAAGAGAGGGAACCACAGCGCGAGCCAGGCATGCTTCGGATCGCTGGTGATGAGGTACCGCGCGGAAGCGAAGAGGGATTGGGCGCCGCAGAAGGCGTTCATCAGCGTGAATGCGTCGGCGAGGTGAAAGTTGCGCACGAGCGAGAAATGGCCGTCGGTCTCGACGAATTTGAGCAGCTCGGAATCGTGGTCGTCGCCAGACTTGGGTTTGGGGCCGTTGGGCTTGCGCTGACGAAGGTTCTTGCCTCCGGGCGAGGAGAGTTGCTTGGTCATGTTGGCTTGTAGGTTGGTGGGAGCAAGGGCGGAGGAAAGCGAGCTTGTGGAGGTGAGTTGAGCTGCGCCTTTGCTGGCTACGCCGGAGGTCGGGTGGGAGAGCGGAACCGGGGTGATGAGCGACGGTGCTTGCGGGTCGTCGTTTGAAGAGGAAACGTGTGGGTCCGAGGCTTGGATGGGAGCGAGGGTGGCTCGAGTGGTGTCCGAGGATGCGATGTCGACGAGAGCGGGATCTGTGATGGCAGGGATGGTACCAGGCATGAACGTTGGATCGTTGTTGATGCCGTCGTCTTTGGATGATGAAGTCGAGAAGGAAGAAGAAGATGAACAACGCACAGCTTTGGATGGGACCGAGTCCGAGTGTTTGGCTGGCAATGACGGAATCGTGAATGTGACGCGAAGAAAAAAGAAACACACACGCTTCACAGTCACACCGCCACGGCTTGCTCTCTCTCGTGTTGCATGGTTGACTGAGGCCATTTCGTCACTCTGCAAAATGGCCGTGCGAATGCACTGACATGTGGAGAGCAGAAAGCCAAGCCAGCTCGTGGCTTTCCCGAGTGCCTCTTGCTCTCTGTAGCCACTAAAGTCGCACGTGTCTTTTTTCGTGCTACGAGAGTGTGGACTCAGAAGGTCTCACATGTTTTATCTCGAAAAATCAGCATGACTGAATGCCAAATCTGTCAGTTGAACAACGTCGTCGTCCGACAGCGACCAACCCAAAGGGCACCGACACGATCGCGCACACACCAACAGTCTCTCACCAAACGTCTCGTCTATAGCTCGTCCAGCTTCAGTCCGCTCATCAACTTCTGCGCTGTGAGCAGAGCGAGCAAGTACCAATCACGTCAAACAATGCACCTCATCGACAAACTCGGTAGCCGGTCGTCTGCAAGGGCATAGTCGAAGCGCTTCTCGTACCAACATTGGCTCGACCTGGTCCCGCCTTTGAAGGGCATTGCAGTCCAACATGGCCGACTGGAGCGAGCATGCCCACTACGGCAATGCCAATGGCCCCATGGGTCTGCCGCCAGCCGTCACTGCACTCACCTTCGACTCATACAGCGAGCTCCTCTGGCAAGGCACCTCTTTCGGCACCGTCTCTTCGCTTTACTCGTCACAACTCTCGCGCTATACATCATACGCTGCGCATGGCGTACCGACCCGGCCCTCGCCCGCAAAGGGCATCCTAGCAGACGAACGACACATCTACTCGATTGGTGACAACACCATCAAGTGCTCGCAGCGCCGCGGTCTTGCCAAATGGACCACCCTCACTCAGGACATTGGCACCAATGCCATGAACCTCGTCTCCATGTGCGCTTCTCCGCTCGCAGCCTCGTCCGATATCGTCGCCGCAGGCTTGTCTCAGTCTGCTGCCAACACGGGCGAGATCGACAATGACAACGACCTCATCGTCACGGTCAACAACAGCACCGGAGCTGTCGTCCGCACAGTGCCTGCAGAAGCACCCATTGTACACGTGCGCAAGAGCGGTCGCTATGTATGCGCGGGCACCGTCAATGGACATGTTCAGCTTCGTGACCCACGCACACTCAAGGTCGAACATCGCCTTCACGCACATCCCGGTGGTCTTGTCGACGTCCAAGCAGACGGTCATATCCTCTATTCGGTTGGTTGGACGGTTCGTCAAGGTCATCCCGTACCCGAGCCGCTCGTCAAGGTCCACGATCTGCGTACCATGCGTGCACTCGTGCCCATTCCATTTGCAGCGCCGGGCGGACCGACGTTGCTGGCCATCCATCCCAAATTGTCCTCCACCGTCATCGTTTCGGCTCCCCAAGGCCAATTCCAGATCGTCGACATCGGCACGCCAGGCGAGGGCAGGTTCTTCTACACCAACGCTAGCTCCTTCACCACCTCGATGGCCATCTCGCCTTCAGCCGACTACATCGCGTTCGGTGAAGCCGACGGAAGTGTCCGTCTGTGGAGCTCTTCGTCCGACACGTCCAACTTGCGCTTCAACACGTTCGCCTCTTCTTCGCTCGAGTTCCCCGACATGACAGACCCAGCGCCCTTCGTCAACTGGTCCACAGAGACGCCACTGTCGTCCATCGGCATGCCGCACTACACCGAAAAGCTCATGTCCTACTTTGAGTACGAGCAGTACGTCTCGGAAGCATCGCCCCTCTTCAATCCTCCATCCAAGATCGATCCTGCCGTTCTCAACAATCTCAAGACCGTCGACTACTTGGGCTATGCCAGTCTTCCACCGCATCTGAGGGGAAAGAGGAACGTCGTGTCAGGCAAAGGACCGGGAGGCATTCGAGCCAGTGCACTGCATCGGCCCGAAGACCGCAAGAAGATCGGAATCCCGCTCTTCCGCAGCGAAAAGGAGAAGGAGCAGACCAAGAAGGCAGCCGCCGCAGCAGCGGCAGGCATCACTCCAGCAGACAAGAAGAAGAAGAAGGCAGACAAGAAAAGAGCCGAGGCTGGCTCGGAAAGTGTGTCCACCTCGGCAGATTCTCGACCAGAACGCAAAGCAGCCTCAGAGAATGCATCGACCTCGCGCACGGTCAACAGCACATCCAATCTGGCCAGGATGGACAACAGCCCCACCGATGACGTTGCTATGGGTCAAAACGACGATGAAGACAACGCATCTGGACGAGAACGCGACTCGGACGACAGCAGCGACGACAGCGATGCATCCGACGAGGAAGAAGGGCAAGAGGACGTCGACACAGCAGAAGCCATGCTCGTTAAAGGACAAATGCCTTCGTACTACCGCTTCAAGACCATCCAGTACTCAAAGTTCGGTGTCGAAGACTTTGACTTTGACTTCTACAACAGGACGCAGTACAGCGGTCTCGAAACCCACATCCAAAACTCGTACGCCAACTCGTATCTCCAAGCGCTTCACTACCTGCCGCCCTTCCGGGAGACGGCCAAGGCACACATCCTGCAGAACTGCCCGCGCGAGAACTGTCTGCTGTGCGAGGCGGGCTTCCTGTTCCGCATGCTCGAAGATGCCAGAGGCGCCAACTGCCAGGCGTCCAACTTCCTTCGTGCATTTGGCAACAGTCAGAAAGCCACCAGCCTTGGCTTGATGGACCGCGAGGACAGCTTGACCAACCAGTCGAGCGCCAGTGGAGCGAGCAAGAACGAGATCGTGTACAGCCAGCTGGTTCAAACCTTGAACAGGTTCGTATTGGACTGCACCGCCAACGAAGCGCAAGCGTCGACGGACAACTCGACTGGAAGCAATGCGCCGACATCGAGCTCGGCGCCCAGTCGTGCATCCCCTGCTGGTGCACCTCCTGGCTTAGGACCACCTCTCAGCAGCAACCGCGGCGGCGGACTGAGTCCAGGACGAAGGCTCCCGGGCGACCCGACGTCTCCCACATCGCCGCTGCCAGCGGAATCCACCGTGTCCGCAGCCACCTCGAGCGTGGCCAAGCTCTTTGCACTCAACACGGTCGCCAAGACGGTCTGCATCCACTGCGGCCGCGAAAACACACGCAGCAATCCGCTGCTGTCTGTCGACCTCATCTATCCTCGTCGTGCCATGTCCAACGAACCTGCGCCCGCCTCCGACTTTGCCACGGTGCTACGCGCATCGCTACTGCGAGAAGTGCAGAACCGAGCTCCCTGCCGAGCCTGTCAGTTTACCGCCATGTTCCGAACCCGCCGGGTGATGCCGGCCACGTCGGAGCTGCCTCGTGTTCTGTCAGTCAACGCCGCAATCCAGGCTCCCGAGCACCTGCACTACTGGTTGGATGACAACCAGAAGGGCGGCAAAGCAACACCCGCACGATCGAACGGGCAGCAGCAGCAGCCATATGGCAAGGGGTCGTACATGGGCGGCATGCATGGTAACAACCAGCGCGGTGGTGGACCAGCCCTGCCAACAGGCCCGCGAGCCGACAATAAAGCAACAGGCGGAGACGCCAAACGCACTTATCTTCCGCCTCGCATTGCTATCGGCGTCCATGGTGAGGATTTGCGCGTGCTTCCCATTTACACGGCCGCCGACCTGGACAGAGCCAAGATGTCGCTTGGACGGCAAGCGGCGATCTACAAGCTTCGATCGATGGTGGTGCAGATCTCGGCGGAGAAGGAGCAGCCGCACCTGTGCGCCATCGTTCGCGTCCCGGAGGCCGAATCGATCGACGCAGCAGCAACCACAGCAACGACGCCCAAGCTGACCAACGCGACCATCGCTGGAGGGGTCAAGAAGAGCGCCAAAGCCAAAGCGAACGCGCTCGGACCGTGGCATCTATTCAACGACTTCCTGGTGCGCAACATCTCGGAGGGCGAAGCGCTGGGTTTCCAGAACGCATGGAAGATGCCGTCGGTGCTCATGTGGGAACGGGAAGACGTGGAGCCGTTGTCGATCCTCGAGCTGCGCCAAGGACGTACGTCGATCGACCCGACCATTCTTTGCCGTGACTTTAACATCTCGCACCACCGCGATCTGAAGCGGATCCGTCACAGCCTGCTGTCGGAAGAGGAGCTGCCTGGGCCGGGTACGTTGGTTGCGATCGATGCCGAGTTCGTGGCGCTCAACCAGGAGGAGTTGGAGATTCGATCAGACGGCACACGCTCGGTGATTCGCCCCACACGTCTTTCTCTCGCTCGTGTCTCCGTAGTCCGCGGTCAAGGCGCGCAAGAAGGCGCGGCGTTCATCGATGACCACATCTACACGCAAGAAGAAGTGGTGGACTATCTCACCAAGTTCTCTGGCATTCTTCCTGGCGATCTCGACCCAGCCACCTCCAAACACACCGTTGTGCCGCTGAAGTCAGCCTACAAGAAGCTGCGGCTGCTCGTGGATCGCGGGTGCATCTTCATCGGCCATGGGCTCAAGAAGGATTTCCGCATCATCAACATTTTTGTTCCGCCAGCGCAGGTGATTGATACGGTGGACCTGTATCATTCGGCGAACCACCCGAGACGGTTGAGTTTGCGATTCCTGTCGTGGTTCCTGCTCAAGATCGATATTCAATCGGGGGCGGCGGCTAACAACCAGATCACGGCGAGGGAGGAAGCGGCGTCCAAGGCGAGCGGGGAGAGTAAGGAGGGGAAGGAGGTCAAGGAGAACGTGGCCCAGTCGGCAAGTGGTGCTGGATCAACGGCGGTGGAAGGAGGTCACGATTCGATCGAGGATGCGCTCGCTGCGTTGAAGCTGTTCAGACTGTACGAGTCGTTCAACAAGGATGGTAGGCTGGAGGACGTGCTGGAGGATATCTACGATGTTGGACGTCGACTCAATTGGAAGCCGCCGAATGCTACGTAGCCAGTAGTCTCATCAGCAAATGCAATTGTTCCGATACATCAGCTTCTGTGCATCTGTCGGCAAGGCAACAAACATTCTGCTCTATCGGCTATGCCTCCGCAAAAGTTCGGAAGCGTCAGTCATCGTTGCATATCTCGAGATCCTTGAGGTGAAGAGAGCCTAAATAGAAGCGCCTTTCTCCGCTGTAGGGGAGATGAGTCTCCAAGCGAGGTATTCATGCGGCCCTTGCCAAGGGCAAACCTGGGTATGGAGGGGGTGGTCTACGTAATCCACCAACGAACCAATCAAAACGTGTCTATTTCCAATTATAACTATGCACTCTCACGGCTGCGGGTATCCACCAAGACCGCCGGCCATCCCGCCGATACAATCCTGAGCAGTCTGTTTTCGGCCAAGCAACGCAGTCGATGAAGCTTGTGTTGCTGACTCGAAACGTGTCGCTCATCGCGATCGACAGTGTTGCGCTCCTTGCGAGATATTGGACTTCCGCTCCAACGCTGCTGAATCGACCGGTGCATCCGTCATGCATCTATCTGTGTCGAGCAACAGAAGCGTTGAAGACGTGCCGCCGGTGTGACCATTGCTGCTGCCGTGGAGTCCGAGACACCTCAACCCGACGAAAGGCCAACGACCGCGTTGAATAGAAGGCGAGCGTAATGTACAGGCATGTACGTAACGCGTTCGAGCGGAGTCCGGTCTCCGTGATGCTCGAGGTCCACGGAGCCGCTCACTGTGGCCCGACTTGCCCTCATTCGGTGTGATTGGGAGCCGAGAGACAGGCCAGCCACATGTGATTTTGAATTGCAAATTCAAATCTGGTGGCTAAATCATCACTTTTCGCCTGCGAGACCAGGAAGCAAGAGAGCATTCTGAGGATGTGCGCGGAAGGCCGTCATCTTGTACTCTCGCGATGCAGAACTGCTTGCTCGAAACGTCAAGGTAGAAGGCGTCCTTGTGTGCCGCGCTCTGTGATTTGCAAGACGATCCTGAACGCTGATCCGCATCTCATCAAAAAGCCGCTCAACCGCGGCAATGCATCGGCAAAATGCCCTACGGAGGCTGACATATTTGGTCAACCGTAGGGAAACATCGGCCTCGCTTTGGTGCTTTCGCCTAAAACAAGCATGGTCGCCTCACCCTCTCCGCGTTTCGACCTCATGGTCATCTTGGTCGAGGCAATTCCGAAGTCTCTGTCAAGGGCTTTCAAACGTTGTTGACTGCTCGAGGTCGTCTCACGCCACGCTACGCCACAACGTTTTCGGGTAGCGCCCCCGACCAAGTCCGTTGACCTAGTCTGCCCTGAATGCTTTGCCGTTCAGCATGAGAACCCTGTTCATGCCAGTTGGGCTCGCTTCGCCTGCTCCAAGACGCCAAACCTGGCTGCGTCATTGTTTCTCCGCACCGCGACTGGCCCTGACAGCTGGAGCTGCACAAATTTCTGGATGCCGTACCCTTGCTTGGGTCCCATTTTTTAGGCCTCGGAGCGAGCAACGTTTCGCTCTCCTCCACGGGCTCGATGCTTTTGCCGCCCAAGCTATGCGAATGTCCAAAGCCTCTTGTTGGCCATGTACGCCGATCTTACTGATGCCTCTTCTTCTTCTCTCTCGACCTAACCATCATCACGACCACCACCAGGACTCCTTTCCGTCTTCTGCATTGACTCCCATTGCCTTCAAGAGCGGCTCGTTGCAACTTGTCGATCAAGCACGGTCCTCTACCTCTTTCACGAACCTCCGTCAGCGTTGACCGCTAGCACCGACTCCGTTACAGCTCAGAGCAGACGCCAAGCTTTGCGTCGCAACAAAGACGAGACGCCGCGCGGCTCGTTGCGAAAAGCTTGCTTCACGGGCCATCCGATTACGCCCGCACCATCCCCGCTGCATTGCCGCAACATCACATTGGCGTACCTCGAGCAGGTCACGTCTGTTTTCGTCACGCGTCCACCCACAGTATTGCCTCAGTGCTTTATCAATACACTCGACTCTCTCAATCGATTCGGCAGGTCCGCTTACCTTCCTTGCCGGTGTCTCTTTAACAAGTCGGCCCCCCCGCTATCGATAAGCGGATTCCTTGCATAGTCACGCACACTGTGTCACCGGTTTGGACCCGATCAGCTGCGCAGCTCTCTTGCTTTCCACGCACTGCTCAAGGCTCAGGCTCAGTCGCAAGCTCCTTCGGCCTCACTCATTCAGCCAAGAGCTTCAAGACCGTTCGCTTGCTTTTGATTGCCTTCATCTCCGTATCCTCACCGCTTCGATGCTTTAGACGCGAGGCTTGCCTGCCTGGCTCACTAGACACATCTTCAACTACGCTTGCATAGACAACAAGGACCCACACAAGATGCCACCCGCTGCTTCTGCAGGTAGCAGCAGGCGTAAGCTCGGTCAGCCCACCGTCTGTCTCGAGTGCTACCTCAGAAAGGTCAAGGTATGTTGCCTCTCTGCCTCCCACTGCGACACCCTCAGCCGACTTACTGACACCTCTCCCGTTCAATTCTGCAGTGCGATCGCCAACGGCCATGCAACACATGTTGTAGAAGAGGAACAGAGCACCTTTGCAAAACCTTCAACACCAGCGAACTCGATCCTGAAAGTAAGTTGGACTTCCTTCACCAGGCTCAATCGCCATCAACATTTCAGCACCTTCGTACTGACCTGCCTCTCCCTTGCCTATCATCCTCTCACCGGTACCTTCCTCGTTGCGCTCTCGTCAGCCCTGCAAAAGAAGCAAGCTCGAAGGTCGCTCGCCGAAATCAATGCCATTCTCGAGGCCTCTTCCCCCGACAATGCCGACGATCCAGATCCACAGCAGCCGACTGAGCTCCAGCAGCAGCAACCAGAGCATCCCATGATGGCTTTCATCAACCTCATGCTCAAAGACCTCAACGTTCAAGACCCTTCTTCAGCTAGTGGTCGTGCATCGCCCGACTCTTCTTCCACCGCCGTCAGCTCACCAGCACCGCCACGCTCTCCCACTTCTCGGTACCGCGAGCAAGCCTGTCTCACAAAGATCGTCCACTTCTGCGCCATCCTCCCCGATTGGCCTCAGCTACAGACCCTGCTGCGCAACTACCTCTGGCACGTCGATTGGAAGTTCCTCATCACAAGTCAAGATCTCATTCAGGACCAGATGAAGGATCTTTGGTCCAGAGTCATCCGTCCAGTTCAGAGCCAGGACCATCGAGGTGATGCAGATGCGTCCCGTATCTCTTTCCAGCCTGGCGATCTCTCCCGCCTTGCCCTGCTGGCTTGTGTGTTGGGCGAGACGGTCGAGTCCATGGCCCCCGACGCTACTGCAGAACTGTTGCCGGCTTCTCGTTCCGGCGTGGTCCCCTCGGGCCCCGTCAACGTCGACGCCAATGCCAACCCAAGAGTCAAGGCGCTCCTTCTCCTCACCTACCACGTTCCCGCTCTCATCGAAGAGTGTCTTCGTCTCGACGAGTTGACCATCGACCTCGTTCAAGCCAACATCTCGGCATTCTCGCTCTGGTCCAATCAGGGCTTGCATGGCACCGGCTCGACCGAGTTCCCACGTTGGAACGTCACCATTCGAGCTGCAAAGAGCTGCAATCTCTTTGAGGATCCGGGCAGCAATAGCAACTACTCGCAATTCGAGCTCGACCATCGCAGACGCTTGGCTTGGCTCGTCTACGGCTACGACCACGCTTTTGCCGTCGGCGCCAACACAAAGCCTTTGATCGTCGAATCGCAATTCAGTGTCGATCAGCCCGGCGATGCTGCTCCCTGGGCAGCATGCGGCGCCCCACCTGACCCTTGTCTTGCCAGGCTTGAGATGCAGGGCGGCTTGATGGCCCAGCTCGTCTCCAGCACGTTGTGCTACGGCCCGCCACTGCACCGCAAGGCGATGGAAACCGACAAGAAGATCTCGGACATGCTGGCTGAGCTCGATCCGTCTTACCACTGGGACAACCCCGACCTGTCCTTCGACACCAAGGATCCCTTCCGTGCGCGACGTCGATGTTGGTTGCAACTCACGACCGCCTGGCAGAGAGGATCGCTGCACAGACAATTCTTCTTCCCCAATGGACGTATCACCAACGGCGAGTTGGCAACAAGTCGTCACATTGCTACCGATAGCGCCCTGCGTTCCATCTTTGGCGTGCGCGATCTGCGCAAGATGCAGAACCGCTTCTCGGATCACATGGGCTCGGCCTGGTGGTACCAGTACTTCACCGAGCCCTGTATGACCCTCGCCACCGGCGCACTGCTTTTGATTCGCAGCAAGGGACAAGGGGTGCCCGGTCTGTCGGACGAGACCAACTGCTGGACGACGCTGATGCACTTCACCCGCATCATCGACGAGTGCATTCAGGATCTCGATGCTTCGACACGCGATGCTGCCGCTTGCTTGCCATCGCTGCTCACCTTCGCACAGGGATGCCTCAAGCTGATCAAGCAGCTGCGCAGTGCTGTACAGACCAGCTTTGACGCCTTTGTCCAATCTCAGCCTGACTTGGTCAACTTGGCCAACCTGAAGGATCTCGAAATCGACCAGAACATCATCCCGCTCTTGCATCCACGCTCGCGTCAGAAGAGCCCCGGATCGGGATCGCAAAAGCATGCCCATGCACAGAGCAGCGAAAGTAGCAGCAGCAGCAGCAGCAATCACACGCCAAAGCAAGGGACGAAACGCATTGCCGACGGTACAAAACGTGGTTCAGCGGCCAACCGCAGCCGTAAAAGCATCGGCCACAAGGAGCATGACGTCTCGCACGCGTTCCAGTCCAGCCAACCCGCGTTTGCAGAATCGCTTTCCGTCTCGCCGCGGACGTCGATCGCGTTGTCGGCCCAGCCGAGCAATGCTACGTCCCTCTCTGGCTATGCGTCGGCATCCACCACAGCATCCGGCCTGACGAGCTTCTCGCAGACGCACAACTCGGCATCCGCATCGCCAAGCCACACGTCGCCTCAGGGCCAACTGCCACCAGGCACGCTGAGCCTGTCCTTTGGTCCAGAGATGGGCTTTCCCGGCCCTGCACAACCTGATCTCCCGCAGGGCAGCGTCAATGCTTCGGCTGTCTCAGCGCAGCAGCTGCAGCAGCCGATCATGGCCGCAGCTCCACCCTTTGGCGTGCCTGCTTTTGTGCCAGAAGGCCATCTGCTGTCGCCAGCAGAACCGTTCGCCCTGCGCGACTTTTACTCGGATGACGGCGTGCAGAGAGGCACGGGAGGCCGTGGGCTGGCCGATTGGATCGCGTCAGTGCAGATGGATGTCATGCTGCCCAATGGTCAGCAGTGAATCGCGGGCACCCCCGACTTTTATCAATCGCTTCATCTCTCTCCCACACTCTGCCATTTGTACATCTCGCACCCATCGTTCACAACTGTATCACCAAGCATCGCCCAATATTATAGACGCCCGGAGCTTATTTACTTCAGCTCCAATGCTGTTCCAGCCGACTTCTTCGAGTGACACAACGCTGAACCACACACTCACACTGCACGTTTGTCCTGAATCGTTCGCTGACCATGGCATTTCAAAAGTGAATGCTGGCAAACACCAACCTAGGCACCTTGCGCAACAACTCATCGTCCTTGGCCACCGCCCACAGGTACCCGTCCAAATCCACCTCGTTCAACCCCTCCAGCCACTCCCTCCCTTCTTCCTTGGCCAACTCTTTGGCTCTCTCCACGACGACCCGTCCCACATTCAACGTCGCCGCCCGAATCGCGTACGTCTCGTCAGCGCTCAACTTGGGTCCTGCGACATTCTTCTGCATCCCTTCCAACTTCTCCCGTGTCAACTCCCCGTCGACGTGTTGCGTGCGCACCCAGTGGAACAACGTCTCCATCCCCTCCGGCGCGGTGTGCGGGACGGAAAGCAAGTGAAACCACACGCACAGCGTGGGTAGCACGTTGTCCACGAACATGGGGAGCGTTTCTGTCGTATCTTGCACCCCCCATTCCGGGTGGTCGGCAAAACGAAGCCTCAGGCTGTGGAGGAGGAAGAAGATGCGTTTGAACAGATACACTTCCTCACCGCTAGGGGCGAGGGTGTGGGTGTCGCAAAACTCGGGGAGCGTCTCGGCAATCGATTTGACAAGGAAACTTGTTGCGTCGGCATCGCCGAGGTTGTTGGTCTTGACCTGGGTGAGCAGGGAAGCGATGTAGCTGCCGAGACTGGCATGTTCTTGCTCGAGTAGAGTCTTGCCGACCCCCTGCAAGGTGGAAAGGATCATCTGTACGCAATCCAACATGTCGCCACCTCTCACACCGACAGTGACGCCTTTGAGCGTTTCATGCTCTCGCTCTTCGTGCACGCTCACGCCGAGCAGCTCGACAATCTTCGCCTCGGTCAACTCCACCATTCCGCGACTCGTCAACGCTTTGCTCCCCACCACCTTGTCTTCGCCACCCGAAATGTACAACCCCATCATGAGCCGAACGATGTTCTGATACGCCCCACTGCCGGTTTGCGTGTGAAACGCGACGCGATAGCCGGAGTAGGCATTGAGGAGGGAGAGGAGGGAGAGGAAGTTGAGCTCGGCCAACGGGGTGGGAAAGCGAAGGGGAAAGGTGAGGCCGTGTTGCGTTTTCAACCGCTCAAACGTGGGTGCCGAGAGAGTGCGGAGGAAGGCGTCGATGCCGGCGGTGTTGGGTGTGAGACCGAGGGTGGAAGAGAGGGTTGAGCAGGAGGTGCGGGTGGCAGAGACGAAGTCGCTCCCCGAGGGTAGCGGCGATTGTGAAGCGGTCATGCTGGGGGTGTCGGTTCCTCGAATCGAGCAGGGCTGTCGATGTTGACGTGATGCTGGTACTGAGCTCGGGATGAGGGGGGGTATATATATGCTGCTGGGTCTGTTGTACAGTGCAAGAGGTGATGGCTGAGTCGAAGTCCGAGTCACCTCTCAGATGGCGGAGCTGTCAAGATGGGGCGGGTTGAGAAGAACCGGTTGAGCTTGCGCGGTGTTGGACTCAGCCTCTCCACGGGAATTCCGAGCATGTTACATCGTAGCATCCTCAGGCGGTGAGTGAAAGATTTTCGCGCGGTAAGAAGCTTCACTTTCTCATCTCTTCCTTCCTCCTCGTCATTACGCTCACCACCTCTTCCTCACTTTCGACGTCATCGATTTCCGTGACCAGTGCACACGCAAGCATGGCCCTCAACCCAACGCTCGCTCGCACCGCGGCGAAACACAACAGCGCCTACGGCAGCGTCCTCGACCGCTTCCTGGTCACCCACCCACCTGCGGTCGCCAAACCTTCCCGTCCCAGCCGCACGCCCAACCCCTCCTCGTCCAGCTCCGTATTCGAACCCACCAAATCCGCCACCACGGGCTGTTGGGCACCTCCCAAGTACTCCCTTCGGCGTCAAGCAGCTTTGGTCAAAGAGGCGGCGCTGACCGGCCAACTCTCTTCCCTACCGGACGGACCGCGTACCGCCCGCGTCACATCACGTCTGCAGCGCCTCGCGGCGGCCCACGCACTCGAAGAAACCGCTTCGCAATACCAGTTCAAACCGCGAACTGAATTGGTGCTCTCCAAACCGACACGGCTGGGCGAACGAGCGGTGAAGCACTCGCACCGCATCCCTTCTGCGGAACGCCAAGCCGCACTGGCAGCCGCAAAAGAGCTCGTAAAGGAGGTCGGACCCTACGCAGGCAGAGCGAAGGTCTTCAAGGGCAGCAGAGAGGATCGTGGCAAACACAGGAGGGATGAGGCGGTACAGGGCAAGTTGGACGGCATGAAGCAGGTCGTGAGGGACTGGCAGGAGGGGTTGAATGAGGCTAGAGGGAAAGCGAAGCCTGGACTGCCGTTCTAGATCGTATAGTATTCAGCACCTTTCTATTGACCTTCTGCGGATATTGCTGTGCGAGAGTGAGCCCGTGAGACGATCGCTGAGCAGAGCGTCATGCCGAATAGAAGTATCAACGAGTGCGTCGAGGTCTGTTGGTCGAGGTGTGAGCGAGCAAGCTGGATATAAAAGCGTCGATGTGAGATCACCAGGTAGGTAAAGGTAGGAAATTCGTGATCGGTTCCGACCGGAAAGAGCACCCTCTGGGAGCGAAGGGTTGAGAAGGATGAGAAAAAAAGTTGAGAATTTGGAAGAACTCATCCCAGCAGCGGCTAGAGCTGAGCCAAAGGCGGAATTTCGCCTCCACACTTCCTTTTGGCTTGACAAAGGGTTTCGAGCTCGTGACAGGTTGTGAGTCAAGCAGGCTGCTTCTGCTTCTTGCCATCATCACGCTCATCATCGTCAACACAGACGCTTACACACACACACACACAGCGCTAGCACCCCGAACAAACACAGTCCTTGACGCTCTCAAGCTCCCACTTGGCGAATTGGAAAAGGTCCTTCTGAAGCTCTCCTCACACGCACTTCGACACATCATGGTGCGCGCTACACCATCGACGGTCGCCTCGGTGCGCATCCTCCTCGCCTCGCGCAGTGCCACCATCGCCCCACGACGAGCGGCCGCCATGCGCATCAGCCCCGCTCCCTTGGCCTCATCCAACACTCCGTCCCTCCGCGCATTCTCCACCACCCGTCCTGCCTCCAACGCGCCCCGTTCACCCTTCGCCGTCTTCGTCGAGACCCTCAAGACCGAACTCCGCAAAAATCGCGAGCTCCAGGAAAACATGAAGCAAGTCTCGGGCGATGTCGGCAAGATGCAGGACTCTGAAACGATGAAGCGCATGAGGGACGCCTACGAGCGTGCGCGGATCATCACCTCGATCCAGTCGAACCCGCGGTTGCAAGCTGCTGCCGAGCAACTGCGTAAGAGTGGTGGGCAAGTGGGCGATGCTGTTGGTGCAACGCTGAGGCAGATGGAGGAGTCCGAGCTGATCAAAGGGTTGGGTGCGATAAGTAATCGTCTTGCGAGAGGGCTGGAGGATTCCACCGCACCGATTAGGAATACCGAGGCGTACAAGCAGCTCTCCGAGACGCTGACAGAGGCGTTTGACGACGGTGGATCCGCTCTGCGGATTTACGTGGACAAGGATAAGGACGTTGCGGAGGTGAGGCGGATCAAGAGGGAGGCAAGGTTGCGCAAGATTGGGAGGCCGATGCCGAGCAAGGATGTGGATTCGGCGGAGGCGGCGGAGGAGGTGATGGAGAGGTACGCGGCCAAGGAGGAGGAGATGGCGGAAAAGGCCGAGGCCGAGGCGAGGGAGATGATGGAGAAGGCGGCTAGGGCGGCTGCTGCTGCCAAGGCTGCTGAATCCGGTGCTGAGCCACCTAAGGAGGAGGAGGAGACAACATCTGAGTCCACCACATCAGAACAGTCGACCACGTCTGAACAGGCCACATCCGAGCCCGACTCCAGCACATCGACAGCTGGCCCGACCACGCCACCCAAAAAGCCCGCCGGCTTCGCCGTGCGCGTCCGCAGCGTCACGGAAAACTCCTCGGCCGGCCAAGCGCTCGTCCTCCGCCCCGAACCGGCGTACAAACAGGCCTGGTCATCCTTCAAATCGTCCAACCCGCTCTTCCGGCGTCTCTCCGACCTCTCGGAGGCATACCACGAATCCGAGAACCCCGTCATCGAGCGTCTGCGTGGCGTCACCGACTGGTTCGGTTCCCTCTTCGACGAGAACGACTTCGCTCGTGTCACCCGTCAGATGAAGCTCATGGACCCATCTTTCACGTTGGAATCCTTCCAACGCGAGTTGCGGGAGTACGTAGTGCCCGAGCTGATCGACGCCTACCATGGCGCTGCTCGTCATCTCCTGCGCCAATGGTGCGGCGAGGCCACGTTTAATCTGCTCATGGCCACCGTCGACCCCTACGTCTCGAAAGGTTTCATCCCTGAGGGAAGGTTGTTGGATCTCAAACAGGTCGAAATCCTTCAAGCCAAAGTGCTGGATAACAACGTACCCGTTCTGGTCGTCAGCTTCACCAGCCAGGAGCTGATGTTCTTCAAAGACCCCAAGACGGGCGAGGTCAAGGCAGGCAACGAGAGTCAACCCGATCTGTGTCGCTACGCAATGGTGCTGACGAGGGTCGAGGACGAGTTGGATAACGAGGTCACGGGTGGGTGGAAGGTTGTTGAGCTCGCGAGGAGAGGTCAGCCTTCTTACCTCTAGGACGTCGAAAAAGCATCACACTTGGCCAACCCAGAAAAACGTCGCACCCACCCTCGTGCCCTCATGATCATCGGCTCACTTTTTGCATCAATACACCATTCATCGGATTCCAGATGGAAGAAATGGCATGTCGTGAATGTGTGTGTGCTGCGTGTCGTACAAGGTCGTTGCTTTCCACTCTGCGTTCCTCCTTTCCCGCGTCGGTTCACGCCTTGGGCGCGCGCAACGGCGTGCTCAGCCCAGCGGCAATGCCCGCCGTGGCACCCGCGCTCCTCCTCGGGCTCGCCGCGTAGCTGCTGCCGGCGCTGCTGGCCGACGTGCCACCGTTGACCGCCGACGCCCGCGCGGACAGCGCTTTCGTCCTGGGCGTGATGGCGGTCGATGCGCTGCCACTGGCCTTTGCCGCCGTGGCAATGCGCGACCCTGAACTGGCCACTTTCCGAGGCAGCGCGTTGGCAAGCGTCGCCACCATCCCGCCGCGATTGCTGGTCGCTCCGACCTCGCTCAGCACGGCTCCTACCGCAGCGGCCAGCTTCTTCCCCTGCTGGATCCATGGGTGTCGCATCGCCGGGTCGGGCTTGAGCCTCCGCTCCGGATCCCAGATCAGACACTTTGCGATAAAGTCGACAAACAGCTCGTCGTCGCTCTTGAGCGCCTGGGCGAGCGTCTTGCTGTTGGGTCGTCGACGTTTGCCTTTCGAGTTGACCACGGGTCGTGGTTGACCTGTGCTATCGAAGAACAACTTCTTGCGCGAACTTCGCTCGACCAGGTAGCGCTCCGGAACGCCAAGGATCTCCATGATGCACGCGAGCTGCTCCTGCTCGTTCTCGCCCGGAAACAGCGGATAGCCCGTATACAGCTCGGCGATGATACATCCCAAAGACCAGATGTCGATCGCAGTGTGATAATTCATCCCCAGGATCACCTCGGGCGAGCGGTAGAAGCGACTCTGGATGTACGTGTAGACTTTTTCGTTCTCGAAGCAGCTCGAACCAAAGTCAATCACCTTGATCGCGCTCTTGCGTGGATGGGCGAGCAGGATGTTCTCCGGCTTGAGATCGCAGTGCACGATGCGGTGGTTCTTCATGAGCACGAGCGACTGGAGGACCTGCGACGTGAAGCGGCGGATGAGGTTGGTGGTGAAGCCAGCAAAGTTGTTTGCCTTGATGAGCTCGTACAGGTTGATGCTGAGGAGTTCGGTGGCGATGCACAGGTGGTTGCGGAAGAGGAACGATTCGGTCATCTTGATGACGTTGTAGCGCTCGTCCGGGTCCCACTTGGTCAGGTTCTCGAGGATGCGCACCTCCACCAGTGCTTGATGGTGGAATCGCTTCTTGTTGCGAATCAGCTTGATGGCCACCGTCTTGCCCGTCTTGTGGTCGCGGCACTGCAGCACCTGTCCGAAAGAGCCCCGGCCGAGCAGGTCGACGATCTCGTACCGAAACGCGAGATGGTCCTTGCTGATCACGTTGTAGTCGCCGCGCTCGTCGTCGAAGCCGTGGTTCTGGTCCGGCTTCTCCACTCGCGCCATGTGTTTGCGTTTGGCGTTCTGCCCGCAGTAGTAGATCTCGGTGTAGTTGAAGATCTCCTGCAGCTCAAATTCCGACATCTTGTTGCCGTACATGACCTCGGCTTGGCGCGGGGACAGCGTGCGGCTCGGCGCGATAGGCTCCGGGAAGTCGAGCATCTTGTCCAATTCGGCCTGCGAAGCGCCGGCTGCCAGCTTCCGCGCGTGCTGTCGTCGGATGTAGTCCTCCATCTCGTTGTCACCCAGACGCTCTTCCTCGTCCTGATTCGGCGTGGCGCGAGCAGACCCGATCGACACAGCGGCTTCCGACGAAGCGGGACTGCGACGGGCGAGTGCAGTGCCCGTCGAGCTGCTGCTTGTCTTGGCCAGACGTTCGCTCGCGGGTGTCTGCAAAGCGCTCGTCTTTGGAGTGCGTGCGATCGATGCGATGCTGCTGAGCGATCCACGTGTCTTACGCTGGGGAAGGGAGACGCCGCCACTGCCGCTGCCACTCTCGAACTCTTTGCCCGAGACAGAGCCTGGCGAAGGGCCTTTGCTGCCGTTGGACGCTCTTGAAGCGGCAGCGGCGGCAGAAGCATTCTCGGACGCGCTGGCCACTCGCGCGGAGCTGCCAGAGGGCTTGGCGGTGCCCGCAGCCCCCTTGACAGACGCGGAAGAAGGACTGGTGCCCTTCTTGTGTCGGTCCTGCCGATTGGCGAGGTTGTTGAGCGCCTCGCGATCGCTCGGTGTGAGACTGGACGAGTATGCTGCGATGCGAGCACGGCGCAGCACTCCTTCGACCTCGGCGGGCGTCTTTGCAGCTGCGTAGGCGTTGAGGATGGGCACCACACTGCTCGAGACATGCGTAGCGGCGGGCGAGGGCGCGATCTTGGACGAAGCTTGGCTATTCTTGGTCGTACCAACGGTTGTGTCCGAGCCAGATACTGACCTGGCGTCCTCGTCGTCAGGCGGACGTGGCGCTGTCATGCCCATGCTGGCGGCCAGCGAGGGATGGTGCGATTTGCTCATCGGGATCGATGAAGAGGCAGCAGCAGCAGCGCGGATCACGCTTCCGTTTGTCTCGGTTGTGGCAGCGCCAGGAGCAGTCGACCGCGGAATCGCTTTCATGGTGGCTACCCTGGGGATACGACTCGACAAGGACGCAGGCTTGGTAGGAGAAATGGTGCGGCTTCCGAGGCTAGGACTCGACGATGCTACGCGATTTATCGCGACCTTTGCGGATCGCAACGATCCTTGGGCAGCCGGCGTCTTCGAGACAGCACTGCCATCGTTCTCCGCTTTGGTGGAAGCAGCTGCCGTTGGCTTTTGTACGGAGCTGCTACCGATGGTCTGTCCGCGCTTTCGCACCGGCGACGACGACTCATGCGATGCGCCGGCGTCTGCATTGTTGGCTGCTGTATTGCGTCGGGACCCGGAACGGCTGAGAAGACCTCCAGCAATGCCGAGAAGCGACTTGCGCGACAGACGGCCACTATCCTGCGTGCTCGAATCGACAGCAGAAGAGCTGTCGCTTGACTTTGGCGTTCGTCGCAGGAAAGATGGAGTGCGCCGAGCTCTCGGACTGGTGGCGGGCTCGCCAGAGACAGCGAGGCTTTGCGAGCTTGCAGCGGCTGACAATAGATCCATCTCCTTGTCCTTTTGCGATCCCCTCATCAGCCTGCTGATGGACGCCACGCTAGCGCGACGCAGAGCACTTGACTTGGGACGCGAAGTCGTGGAAGCTGGAGAAGCTGCATCCGCCTCTACCACACTGAGCCGGGTGATGGACGTGTCACCGGCTGACGTCGGGGCCTCCGAAGGTGTGACAACTTGTTCGATCGGCTCTGGCGCAGTCAGCTGCATCGAAACGTCATTGGTCGAAGAGACAAGGGAAGCCGAGTCGTCGAGTGTCCCAAAACCCGGCTTGCTCACTGCCAACGCAGCCACTTCAGCGAGCTCTTGCATGCGAGGGCTGAGCGGTGATTTGGGCGTAAGCATCTTGTCGCTGTTGTCGCCACCGCCGCTCACGGTCGACACGAAACTGTGGCTGGCAGTGATGCTAGGACTCTTGCCTGCAGCGGCGCGGAACGCTTCCGACGTGAGAGAATTCGAGCGGGACCCTTCCCATACCTTGGGCAGAGGAGGTACAGGCGGAATGACAGCAAGGCGAGATGCATCCGAGTCATCGTAGCCACTCGTGGCAGCATCGAAACGTCCGCTTTCCGAAGCTACGCCGGAAGCGTCGCTGTTGCCACTCATGCGCTTGGAGCGAGAGATGATGCGACTGGTACCGAATGTCGCAGTTGACGGACTGGTGGGAGCAGACGTGTCTTTGGCACTGATGCCTTGCGCTCCCGAAGCCCTTCGCGATCCTTGGGTGAATTCGTTCTGTGGGAGTGGCGGGAGCTGCGATCGGCGCAGACGTGGACTCGGATAGACAGCGGTGCGTGTGGAGTCTCCCGATGTGTTTGCAGAGGACACAGATGCGTCGTCGCCAGTTCGCACGCGCGTGATGAGCTTCGAAGCTCGCAAGCTGTTACGAGCTGTCGAGTCGTCGGATCCCTTTGACTTATCCATGGAGCGCGATGTTGCATCGTAGTTGCTCGATCTTCGACTTCGAGAGCCTGGAGAAGACGGGCGGCTGCTTGTGCCAGGAGTTCTTCGTCCAACACTGTTGGGTCTCGATGAGATACGGCTGGTGCGAGGGCTCTTGGTGTCTGCCTTACCGTCGCGGCTGGTCCTTGGTGTGCTGCCGAGACCGTCGAGCTTGCGAAGCGCGTCTGCCGCAGCGTCCTCCCGAGAGTTGAGGCGGCTCTCATACTCGTCGGCATGGCCAAATGGAACGGATCCTCGCAAGAGCGATTGCCCTATGCTGGCCGACGATGCGCGCTTGCTGCGATAGGATCCGCTGTTCCGTGCCAGTCTGGGCATACTCGGCGTATTTGAGATGGACGCATTGGCGGCGGCCGCCGAGACCTCACCAGTGCTCGTCAAGCGTTCTCTGCGCGGCGTTGTGGCAGGCGTACGCTGGCCGTTCGCTGGCACTCCGGGAGCAGAACGAGCAGAGACCGCCTCGTCCCCTTGCTTCAGCGATTCGGTCCGAAGGCGTGCCGAAGCTCGCGGTCCTGCATCGGCTCCCGCGCCTCGAACATCAGTCGTTGCCGTATCCCTCATCTGTCTGCGTCGGTGGAGCTCGTCGTGGTCGTTGAGCAGATCAGAGATAGCGGCGTTGAGATCGAAGCTCTGGCGCCAGTCGTCGTCAGCGATACCGTTGCCAAAGTTGACATCACCAAGAGGCATTGATTTGGATGCTCCAATGCCGACGCCGTCTCCTTCTGCTGCAAATGGTCCTGTCTCGTCCGCTGCCCATGACTGGTCTCCGATCGCCGGTGATCGCTCCGCCGCTGCAGCCTGACAGTCAGTACGAGATGTGTTGCTGCCTGAGGGCGTCACGGATGCATCCATGGAGTCCTGTTGAACAATGCTGTAGTCGGACTCGGTGCGCGCGCTGATGGAGAAGGAAGGGCTCTCAGCAGCCTCTCGTGTATATGCTGCGATTGTGTCGAGATCGGCAGCAGACTCGTCCGGCTGATCAGAATAGCCATGGGCCAAGGCGTGCAGCGACTGGCTGCCACCGAGCGGCATTCGCCGACCTGGCACGGAAGGACTGATGGGCATGTTGGAGAGGAGCTCACTGCGGTCCTGGAGTGCATTCCGCGGCAGGCTGTTGATGGAAGAATACGAGATCGACCGTGAATGACGAGACGCTTCGCTTCGTCGCGAGGGTATCTGTGAGCCATCCGACTTCTGTGAGGCAATCTCTCTCTGCAAAGCCGAGTCGTGACTTTCGGGCACGGATGTGCTGGTGTGCTCCGGGATGGTCCCGTCGTCGGTCAAGGCACCACTGACGTTGCGCCACTGTGCGGTCTTGGTGCCGGATGTCGGGGTCGCCTGGGCGTTGGTCTTCCAATCGGGTAGAGCAGTCGAGGGAAAGTTCCAGCGAGGCGTAGCCAGCTCGCCGATGCCGATCTGTCCGGCTCGATCGTAGACACGCGGCGTGCTGCTCGGCTCGCGAGCCTGGATGCCAGGTTTTTGTGGAGTTTCAAGCGTGTCGCCGTACTTTGCACTGGCTATCCCTTCCTTCGACGAGGCGTGCCTGTTCCGTGACTCGGAGGCAAGATCCGGGAAGCCGATGCCGAGGCCACTGCTGCCTTCGTTGCGCAGCGACCGCGCGGTCGAAGAAGCAGCTGCGCGGCCAAGGATCTTGTTTGGGTCATCTGTACCTTCGGGTGTGGCGAGCGCGCTGGAAAAGTTGGAAAAGCGCGATGAGAAGCTGGGAGATTCCGGCAGGCCGAGACGCATGCTGGTTGGCTTTCCATTGGACAGAGAAACGTTGCGCGAATCTGAAGCTGGAAACGGTGCTGACGAAGCTTGAGGTGTGCGATTGTCCTCATCGCGTTCATTGACCCCAGGCAGGCTGCCGTTGTTGCGAAATGCGGTGGTCTCCGAGCCTGTGTGAGCTAACGCTTCGTCGCTGAAGAGTGCGGCTCCAAAGCTTTGACCAAGGTCGGGAAGAGAAGGTGAAATTTGCGGTTGTTGATCTGCACGCAGGCTAGGCGCAGCAGCTTGAGTGCTTCGCCCAGCCAAACTCGACGAGTGTGAAGCAGCCAGCTGTGGTGGACCCATGTTGCCACTCGTGGAACGCGACATGGAAGAGACGCTGTTGATCGAGTGGCTGGAGCTTATGGAGCTGAGCGTGTTGCTGCTGGCGAGACGTGAAGAGCGACTGAGCGAGTCGGATCGGGCGGGAAAGGTGAGGGAGGAGTTTGATGCGGATGAAGTGAGCGTCAAAGGTCGAGAGGAAGAGTCGCTGGTTTTGCGTTGGCCGAGAAGGGCGTCTCCGAGTCGAGGCTGCGACGATCCGGTGCGACCAAACGACGGTATCCTCGATCCAGCTGAGGGTCTCGATAGCGATGTGCCGGAAACAGTCGTGCTGCTGTTGATGTTGCTAGCGCCGTATGTCGTTGAGACGTGTGGGTCAAAGTCGGCAAGCGATGGTGCACCGGATTGCGCAGGTCTGTATTGCGTCCAGGAGGCGTTGCGTGATGCTGTGCTGCTGGATGACTGAGATGGACTCTGCGTGACCGAGGAAGGCGCTTGTCTGGAGCCAAGAGTCGCATAAGCGCGAGTGGACTGATACCGAGGCTCAGAAGAGGGCTCGGCAGTTGAGGAGGATGCATTGAAAGGAGACGAGGTGGAGATGGTGCGCACCCTGGGGCTCGCTGAGCTTGAAGTTGGTGATGCTGAGGTAACGCCGGTGGTTGAGTTGAGGCGAGTGCGGGCGGGAGCATTGAGAGAGGGCGAGGAGGATGAAGTGAGGGAGAGCGACGAGGACGGGAAACCTGCGAGCGTGGACGTTGAGGATACGAGACGGCCGTGTTCGTCGTAGAGGGAACTTCTGCGTGCTCGTGGGCCTCGAAGCTCCGGTCCACGCGAATGATCCGACATTGTGGAATGATGCCAACGGTGGGGCAGCAGCAGCAGCTAGCGTGGTTGTGAATGACGGTACGGTACCGCCTCAGCAAAGACGTGATGATGGCATACGTCTGATAAAGAAGGGCGAATAGCGGGATGTAGATTGGTTTGAAATCACTGCATGGACGGAGTGGTTCTGCAAGGTGGCGCTGTGGTTCAGGATTGAACGCAGTGCACAACGGAAAGCTGTTCGAGTGATGATCTGCCGACGTAGGTCGAGAGGGCTGTCAGGGCGTGAGAAAGCCGATGAACGTGCGTGATCGTCGCTGGTGCTGCGAGGATGAGACGCGAGCTGAACGGAAGGATCGAGAAAGAGAGTGGTCGCGCGTCCAAGGTACGTTGTCGAAGACTTGGACGACGGAGGTGTTGGCGAGAAGTGGTTGTGCTGTTGCGATCGTCGATGATGTGAATGAAGCGGAAGGAGGGTGAATTGGCGAGGCGATGCGATGGTCGACTGTGACTGAGCCGCAAAAGAGGAGCGAGCCGGCAGGTGGCTGAGCTGATCAGCCTTGAGAGTCGGTCAGGGGGGCAATGACAGCAAGAAGATTGTCAGAGCAGCTGAGGCCAAAGAGGGTATCGAGACGATCGGACGAGGGTCCTAGATGGTCAGAGAAGAGAGGATAGGCAGCTGCTGAGCGCGATGTGACAATGTGAGGTGAGTGAGTGTGATTTGTTCGTATGCAAGTCCGTGTGGGAATATCACGATTCGGGCAGCTGCGTGGGTCTGATGTGTGTGTTGCTTTGCACGAGCCACGAGCGTGCCTGTGTGTCAGACTCGAGAAAAGGAGGGAAATTCGCGAGAAAAGGTGTTGGTCTGAGTCGCAGCCAGACTCTGCAGCTGCAGGAGCACAAAGAAGCACGAGCCCGAGCATCAGCACGCTACGCGCTCTGCCAAAAACAAAATAATCGCAAATTTCCCTTTTGCTTTTTATTTTTTCTGGACAGTTGTTGCTTTGTGACTTTTCGATGCGACGAACCAAGTGGCTTGGGGCTCACAGCCAGCTCATATGACCGGCTGGCCATACTGCGCTCGAGTCGCTGTACAGCTTGGTGTGCGATGCTTCCGCTGGAAGAAGGGAGAGAGCACAAAAGTGCCCGCTCCTCGGCGCATGATGGCCACTCGTTCACGCGTCGATCTTGCACTTCTTCCTACTGGACCCCTTCTTCAGCCTCTGGCTCGCACGGTTCGCAAGTCTTCCACGTCAGAAGTCACGCTAGGAGACCGCAGCGCAGCACGAAGCACTCAAATCTTGGCCGACTCTGGAGCGCAGCATCGGTCGTCCGACCCCGCATCATCGATGTCGATCTTGGCTTGCAACAATAACCTCAAGCTTGCAGGTTCGAGCTTGAATGGCGGGTCCAAGAAGGCTCTGCACCTCTCAAATTTCTCAAACTGTTAGACTAGCACCCTTTATGGGAATTTTTGCTCAGATCGGGTCGATTTGAGAGATTCGACTCCACACAAAGTGCTTGCTAGCAACAACTTTTCCACTGCCGCTTCCCATCCAACACCATTACTTTCGACCCTACTTACCCCGGCCGATGGAAGCAGCGCCGAAGCGGCAATAGCATTGGACTTGACCAGAAAAGCTTCACACAATCCGGTCCTTCCCTGCGCTCCCTGGGCATTCCGAGCTACTAGGAGCTGGCCAGCAGCGTCTGCACTCACACGGCATTGCAACTCGGACCCTTTCCACATCGCTTGCGCACACGACATGTGCTACTCGGCTTGATACGGATAGTGCCTCTTCGCACATCTCTGTCTTGACCCTGAAGCATCACAGCATCATGTCATCGCAAACGGAGTGGCCTCAGTCCCTCAAGGACTTTGCCAATCGAGCCTTCGCTGCCTGCACCGACACCAATCGAAAGGCGGTCTCGGAAGAACTCAGAGCACTCATCTTTGATTCCTTTCAGAATGGTACCATCCACACCACCGACTGGGCGAACGCCAGTCTCAAAAGCTTAGCAGGGCCCTCCACTCCGTCAAAGAAGTCGCTCCTCAAGAAACGGTCAGCACCTTCTTCCAACTCGCTCGCGGGCCTGTCCGCATCCGACGTTGAGGAGCAAGAGAGGAAGGAGAAGCGCGCAAGGAGATTCGAGCGGGAGCAAGAAGAGTTCAGGCGCGGAGAAGATGAGATGCTCGAGACGGCCATTGCTAGCACCAGTCTAGCATCCAGATTCGGCGGTGGTCCATCCTCATCCGGGCCAGCAGCGTGGTCAGCAGGAGCCGCTGGATTTGTCTCAACAGCACCAGCACGAGCGAACGGTTTCGGCAATGGCAAGGGCAAATACGCAGCACCGGTACCGCTCAGCGGCCCTCAATTCACCGACACCGAAGTAGCAGATCCCAACGTCATCGACTGGGATGAGCATACAGTTGTGGGCACCAGCAGCAAGCTCGAAAAGTCCTACCTCCGACTCACCTCCGCACCTGATCCCAAAACGGTCCGCCCGCTTTCCACGCTCGTGCAGACGCTCGAGCTGCTCAAGAAGAAATGGCGAACCGAGAACAACTACTCGTACATCTGCGACCAGTTCAAGTCGATGCGCCAGGATCTCACCGTGCAGCGGATCAAGAACGAGTTCACAGTCAAGGTGTACGAGATTCACGCTCGGATTGCGCTCGAGATGGGCGACCTCGGCGAGTACAATCAGTGTCAGAGCCAATTGAGAGGTCTTTATGCATACGGCATCAAGGGCAGCGCCATGGAGTTTCTCGCTTATAGGATTCTCTATCTGCTACATACCAAGAACCGCAGGGATGTCAACGCACTCATGGCAGAGCTGACGGAAGAACACAAGGCCGAGCCAGCAGTGGCGCACGCGCTCCAAGTGCGTGCGGCGTTGGTCACGGGCAACTACCATTCCTTTTTCAAGCTCTATACAGATGCACCCAACATGAACGCCTACATCATGGATCACTTTGTCGAACGTGAACGCATCAATGCGCTGCTCATCATGTCCAAATGGTACGTATATTCTGGTGCTCTTTCCTCTCTGTGTCGTGGTTCCGCTTGCTGACAGTCTCTCTGCTTTCGCACAGCTATCGACCATCGATCCCGCTAACATTCATCGCAGAAGAACTGGCATTCCAGGACGTGAGCGAGGCGAACGAGTTTCTGACCGCCAACGCAGCCGCCACCTACATCGAGCCGACGCCAGCCGAGCTGGCAGCAATCGCACCTCAGACCATCGGCAAGAAGAAGAAGTCGAAATCGATACCCAGCTTGCCGCTCGAGAAGCGACAGTGGGACGCAAAGGCAGCGATGCAACCGCTCACGGACGCGATACAGAAGTTCCGCAAGGTCGACGTAAGTGCAAAGCTAGTCTCGACCCAGATGCTGCCGAAAGCTCGGCACTTGACCCGCTAACACATCACCACATGTCGTCCCCTGCTTGTTTGCTATCACAGATCAAAGGTCAAATATGAGCAGGTAGGTTTCGAACACCCCGCAGCCACGCCTCCTCGCCCTCACCGATGTACCTTAGGTCACTGCAGCAATGGAATCACTCGTCGTGGCAGCACAAGCCCTCGTCTTTGTGTCTGTGTCGAATCCAACATCGACACCCTTGTACCCCAAGAGAAACAGCTAAAGATCGGACACCTTGATGGTAGAGGGTTGGAAATGCTCAAATCTGTTAGGTTCTCATATGTGGGCTCGAAATGAAGGGTTTTGCGGCTTGATCACGTTTTGCGCAGCGTGCGCTGAGCACAGGCCAAAGCGAGAAAGTGGAGGATCAGCGTCGAAATTTGAGAAGATGCGCTTGCTGTCACACAAGGATTCGGCTTGAACCCTCACCACCACCATCTGCTCCCCTTGCACGCACTGGACAACCTCTCCGATCTTCACTACAAGAGGCTCCCCAGCGAAGCCTTCATTGATCCTACACTGCCTCGCGAACCACTGTAGTCGAGGAGCAACTGCGCAGTGGCGGCACACAGGCCCATCGGCAAGAGGCGAGCAAGGTTACAAGCATGTCCTGGTTCTCATCACAGTGGAACCGCTTCGCGAATGGAGCCAATGGCTCATCCCAATCAGGCAACCCTAATGGGCCTATTCGCAGGATCGAAGTGGTCTGGGGCCGCGAGAGGTAAGTTGCGCACACAACCGCAGTGCAATCTTCCGTCCCGCTTTGCTGACCGTATCGAACTCGACGTCCTCTTCATCTTGCCGTGCTTTCCCGTCCTTTCCGCATCACAGACTCCAGATTGTCCTTCCACGCACAGCAGAACCCGTCACCCTCGGTCACTTGCGGCACGAGATCGCCTCGATCACCTCCCTCCCCTACGACAAGATCAAGCTCATCCACAAGGGTCTCGTGATGCGAGATGACCGCCTTCCGCTCTCGGCATATGGGCTGTCGGAAGGCTCGCGCATCGGACTCGTCGGTAGTCGGGAGGAAGGAGACAGACCCGGCGCCAAGACATCGGTTGGCATCGGTGCGCTTTCGGTGGGCGAGCAGAAGGCGCGCGAGAAGAAGGAGCGAGAGGCGGATACCAGCGAGCAGGGACTCATGTCACGCATCACCGAAGCGCTGGAGACCTCGCGCAAGGATCTCTTCCCGGAAGTGGTCAAGGTGGAACAGGCGATTGCGGACAGGACAGGTGGGGCTGCATCCACATCAGCTACGCCGACAGCAACGACGACAGCACCGGCACCAGCCTCGACCGAAGCAGATCAGGAGGAGGGACAGCCTGCGAAAGCAGAAAAGAGGATGTCGTCCGAAGACATTGCAGACGCACATAGAAGATTGTCCGAGCTGCTGCTGAGGCAGTTGCTGGCACTAGACTCGGTCAACGTCAACAGCGACACGACGAGGCAGGCGCGCAAGATCGCGGTCAAGGAGGTGCAGGGTCATTTGGATCGACTGGATGCCGCCTGGTCCCAGTTCAAGAGCCGACAGTGATGAAGGACTGGTTCGGCTCTTCCATTCGCACGTACTATTCGAGTCCAGGACGGCTCGACTCGCCATTGCCCTAGCATGCTCCCTCCCACCTTGCACACAATTTCAACTCTCCTTTAGATCAGCCGCTTGCTCTTGTTCGGCTGACACTGTGCTCGCACCATCCGTAGCCCTGTCTCAAGTCTGATTTGACGAGAATCGAGAAGCTTTCCGGACAGGCGGTGATGATACTGTATAAAGGACTGGCTCACGCATATCGGTGATTTCGCGCTCTTGCCAATCGGGTGAGCGTGCCAAGCTGGAGAAGAAATTGGATGGCTGCAGCTTCACGCAGTCGGCTGCAGCACCCCTGCTTCGAGTCACGCGGTCCAGGCCCCCCATCTCTCGGGAAGAAATCGGTTTTTGAGCTTTCTTCCAACCCGACGCACAGACGAAGCTCTCGACTCCTTTCCCGTCGACATCTCTCGATCTCTCATCCAGCACATCCTCAATCATGTCCGCACGCAAGTTCACCATCACCGTGCCGTGCACGTCGTCCAACATCGGGCCGGGGTTCGATGTCGTCGGACTCTCCCTGTCGCTCTATCTGACGCTCAAAGTCACGGTCGATCCTTCGGGCAGCAACACCTCCCCCACGCTGGCATACACAGGTCTCGGTGCGGAAGAAGCGCCTCTCGACGCCTACAAGAACCTCACCACGCGCACAGCTCTCTACGTGCTTCGCTCCAACGGTCACACCGCGTTCCCTGTCGGCGTGTCGATCGATGTGCACAACGAAGTGCCCTTTGGGCGCGGATTGGGTTCTTCTGGCGCAGCCGTCGTAGCCGGTCTCCTTCTCGGAAACGAGCTCGGTCAATTGGGGTTGGGCAAAGATCGTCTGCTCGACCACGCACTCATGATCGAGCGTCATCCGGATAACGTCACCGCCGCGCTCATGGGTGGTTTCGTCGGATCGTACCTCCTCGAACTCTCTCCCGCCGAAGAGGAACGTCGTGATGTTCCCCTCAGCGAAGTCATCCCCGAATATCCCCCCAATGCATCGTTCGATTGGGGCACCAACCCACCCTCCCCACCGAAGAATATCGGACACTATATCAGGTTCGGTTGGGCCCCCGAGATCAAGGTCATTGCGATCATCCCCGATTTTCAGGTCTCCACGGCAAGCGCACGCAGCGTCCTGCCAGAAACCTACAGCAAAAAGGACCTCATCTTCAACCTTCAGCGACTAGCAGTGCTGACCACTGCTTTGACGAGGAGTCCACCAGATGAGTTTTTGATCTACCAGGCTATGCAGGATAAAGTCCACCAACCGTACCGCAAGAACCTGATTCCAGGACTCAACGATGTACTGGCAAGCGTGACGCCGAAAACACACCCGGGGCTGTTGGGGATCTGCCTCAGCGGGGCTGGACCGACCATTCTGGCCCTCGCAACCGGCGGCGTGGAGAAGATTGCAGAGGACGTGATTAGGACGTTTAGGGAGAAAGGAGGTATCGAGAGGTGCGATGCCAAGTTCTTGAAGGTGACCGAGGAGGGAGCGCAGGTGACGCACGAGTAAGGGAATGCAATCCAGGATCAGCCGTCACACACGGGAAGAGCAAGACCGTGTTTAAGCGTGGGATGAGAATTGCGTGCATTCACATGTTGCTGCCCCTCCCTGAGCTCACCACTGCTGCCGGGGTTGTCCCGGACAACAAGCGCGCAACCACACTCTGAAACAGCCCAAAGTCCTCTTCCCCCGCCATCGCTAGGCTCTCCTTGACCTCATACACGTAGACAACCCCATCCGACCCACCCGTAGCCACCTTCCTTCCCGTCTTGGACCACGCCAGCTTGTTCAACGCCCTCCCCGCGCCGTCTCCATTCTGTCCACCGTCACCGCCACTGGCCGGGGTGACAGACGCAATCGGTCGCTCGGTATCCATGTTCAAGTTGAACACGTCCAATCTTCCCGTGCCGTCCACCTGGGCAAAGATGGCTGGATGCGTTGGACTCCAGCACACATCGTAGACGTAATCGTTCGACTCTTCGAAGTTCAATATCGGCGTCACGCCCGCCGTTTGCGTCGGAGCTGGTGCCGAGCTCCTCCCCAGACCCGAGGCGAGAGAGCTGCTCGGCGTGATCGTCGACGCAGTCGTCGGTTTCAACCGCCACAGTTTCGCAGTCCAATCCATGCTCGAAGTGAGGAACAGGTCCGAAAAGTCGACGCTGCCGTTGAGAGGGTGGAAATGGATCCCCGTGATCGGTGCTACGTGACCGCGGTAGATCTCGTTCATGTTCAAGCCCGCTTTCAACCCTGCACGGTCGTACCGGTTGCCAGCGTAGACGGAACCGTCCTCGGAACCCACCAGGAAGGAAGTCGTTTCTTGGTCGACGAGGCCGAGAGAGGTGACGGCCACCTCGTCCGTTTTCGGGTGCAAGGTGTTGATCAGCTCGAGCGTCTCTTGGGGTCGAGCAAGCATGTCGAGCATCCACCAGCAGATGGTGCCGTCGGTGGAGGCGGATACGAGGTTGTGCGCGTTAGCGCTGCCGATGATCTTGAGGCCGTAGACGGGGTGCGTGTGCCCCGCTGCGGAGAGAGGGGTTTTGAGAACCGGCAGGCTTCGAGCGCGGGTATCCCAGATGAGGATCTGCCCGCTGTACGTGCCTCCTACCACCAGATTCGGGTGGAAGGGCGAGAAGCATACCGAGAGAACATCCGTCTGCGCATGGAAGACGAACTCGGGCCGATCGGAGAGATGCATGTTCCACACGGCAACCAGCCCATCTGGCGCATCCTCGTCCCGGTCGTTCCTGTTGTACGCTACAACGCACAGTTCGGGATACTTGGTGCTCCAGTCGATGGCGGTGATGCTGCGGTTGGCGAAGGTCTTGTCGCCCACGCCGAACTTTCGGGCGATGCGAAGCTGCGACCCGCTGTTGGCCGCCTCCGCCGAATCATCCGCCGAAATGCGGTAGTCTCGCATGTAATCGTATGTATCGGTGAGCGCTCGCTCGACAATCTTGGAAGAGTGCTCGACGAAATCGCTGAAATCTTGTGCGGAGTAGATGGCCAGGCGCTCGTCTTCGGTGAGCTCACGCAGCTGCTGGGCGATCTCAAGTTCGAGTCGATCTTCTTCTTGTCGTGCGGCCAGGTCGGCTTGGTGTTCTGCGAGGATTTTGGCTCGTAGCGATTCTTCTCTTTCTCTGGTGCGGGCTTCTGCGCCGACGCCGCCTGATGGACCGGTTCCGCCGAAGCCTCGGCTGCGGGATGTGTGATCGTATTCGTCGTCCGAGTCGCCAACAGCAGCCGTCTGGACCTCCTTTGTGTAGAAGACGCGCTGCTTCTGAGGCAGCTCGAACAGTTCCGTTTCCACATCGATGAGTTCGACCGGCGCCGATCGAATGCTGCCCAGTTCGCCAAGAGCAGTTGTGGTTGCAGTCGTACCAGGTGCGCCAGGTGTAGATGGTGGCACTTCCGACTCGCTCCCGCCAAACTCGGACGAGGGAGGATCTATGCCGCTTCCGACCCGACTGCCTGAAAGGACGCTCCTGCGCGGGGAAGATGCATCGCCGATGATGGATGCCCGCGAACTGCGCGTTCCGCCGGGCACCGAGATGAGAGAGTTGACAAGGTCGTCGAGATCCTTTCTGGACGATGCGCTGGTTGATGATTCTGGTAGTGCAGCGGATGACGACTTGAGCCGTTGTGCGCGCTCTTCCCTTTGACGACGGATCTCTTGGAGCTTGGCCTTTTTGGCCTCGATCTCGGCCTTGCGGCGAGCGTCGGAAGCCGAAGAAGACGACATGATGTGCACGATGAGGCCGTGATTACAGTGCCGAATCTTTCACCCGACAAGATCCGTCCCCCGTGCTCGAAAGGAAGTAGGGGGTGAAGCGTGGTGCCTGAGGTAAGAAGATGGTGGTGATGATTGTGAAAGTGAAGGTTAGCGAAGGTGTTACGTGCGCTGCGCTGTTCGAGACCAACACTTAACGCGTCCGGATTTTTGGCCCCGCAGCCTAGTGCTCGACCTCGATCTCACATCTTTGAAGAAATCGCAGGTGGAGAAATCGCCGCGGATTGACCGTTCTTCTCGTTCGACGTTGGACCCTTCTTCTCCCCTCATCCATCATCACCTTCCGCCATCCCGTTCGCCATCGTTCGCCTTTGCTCGCGACCATGGCGAACGCGACTATCCGTGGCGCGCACAGCATCCATGGCACGAACCCGCAGTTCCTCATCGAGAAGCCCGTCCGCGCACGCATCTACGAGTCTCCCTACTGGAAGGAGCACTGCTTCGCCCTTTCCGCCTCGACCATCCTACCCCTCGCGGTGAACCTGCACCACATCGGTGGCCTCGTCGGTCTTCAGCGCCCCTCGCACTTCCTCTGTCTGCTTCAAAAGCTGTTGCAGATTCAGCCTGAGGCAGAGATCATACAGGCCTACCTCGAGGCGAAGGAGTTCAAATACCTTCGTGCGTTGACGGCGTTCTATGTACGACTGACGTACAAGTCCACGGACGTGTATACCTTGTTGGAACCGATACTCGAGGACGGGCGGAAGTTGAGGTGGAGGGGAAGCGGGGGTGAGTTTGAGATCGTACACATGGACGAGTGGGTGGATATGCTGTTGAGGGAGGAGCGGGTGTGCGATATCATCTTGCCCAGGTTGACCAAGAGGGATGTGTGCGAGACGCGAGACGGGTTGCCGCCACGGATCAGCAAGCTGGAGACGTCCCTGCTGAAAGTGGTGCAGGGAGACGGAGGCTCACAGGAAGGAGAGGGCAGTGAGGATAGCGATGACAGCATGTCGGACGTCAAGCGGTGGAAGCTCGAACGTTTACAACGGGCCGCGAGGCTGTCGCAGATCAGCAAGGAGCGGGACAACGCGCCTCAGCCGGACTCGACGAACGGCGAAGAGGCCTACACATCCCAAGAGGAATCTGACGACGAAGCGACGGCAGCAAGAAGGAGGCGATTCATCTCGCCAAGTCCGAGTATTTCTCTCGATCGACAATTCCCTCCGTCCAAACACGGCGTGGAAGAGGACGAGGAGGAGGGCGGGTACGTCTCAAGATCTCCAAGCCGCTCGCCGGATCGAGAAGGATACGTATCGAGAAGTCCTTCTCGCTCGCCAGATCGTCGGGCTGGTGAAGATGGCGAGCTGCACGCAGACGAAGGCGGATACGTCTCCCGCTCGCCATCACGCTCGCCTGACCGCCCCTGACGCACACCACCTCTTCGCTCCCCCATCGCGCACATCATCTGTACTTGTATCTCGACCTCATCGCACTGCACCTCGGACCACCTCAGCAATACCTACGTCATCTTTGAGACTTCGACAACGACGCGGAAACTTGCTTTGAACAGCATCAATGTATGCATGCAAGCATCAATACGAGGTGGCGAGAGGGGACGTCAGCCTGGAACCACTTCGTCGATGCGCCCCGTCTGCCCCCAGGAAGCGCTCCCGCTCTGCGACCCTGATCTCTTGCATACCTTCTCCTTCCTGATCAAACACCAACCGGTCCTGACCTGCGAGCAGCTCCACCTCTTCCGCGCTCAGCTCTGCAGTTCGAGCCGAAACACTCCTCACATCGGTGATCAGATGTCCCAACGTCAAGCCGGACACGATCGAAAGGAGCATCATCCAGTCCATGCCCATGCTGATGATCATCAGGACGTAGCGGAGCAGTGTTGCTGCGAAATAGACCGTGCTGCAGAGGAGGATCTCCATCTTTCCTACGCCTCTTGGCGTACGAGTGTCGAGTGCGCCATTGGGGAGGTGAACGTAGACGCTGCCTGCTGCGTCCGAGTGCTTACGTTTCGTACCGGCCCTCGATTCTGCAGCCTTCTGCGTGGGAGCTTGAAGCGCAAGGTTGGTGTCGAGCAGAAATGTCAGCCAGCGCTCCACCAGCGCAAGGGCGAAGGTGAACAGGCATGCGCCGAGAAATGTTGTGCGGCTGTAAATGCGGAATGTGGGAAAGAGAAAAGGTTCGCCAGCATCGGGATCGTCGGGGAAGGCAGAGAAGAGCGAGGTGTGAAGAAAGGGTTTCCAGGCATCCATGTCTGAGGCTCCGTTGGTGGAAGAAGACATGTCCATTTCGACTGCTTGCTGTGCGAATGACCGTGGTGTCGGTGATGATGGTGGTAGGGTAGGCAAGCAGGACGCAACAAAGAAGAAAGTCGGCTCGATGCTGAAGCGAGCGAACACGTGTCTATGAGGCAGGTGTCACAAGCAGCAGGAGCCGTGCACAGGATCCGTGCAGATGAGATCGACCTCGCCAAGCGACGCTGGCTGGGGACAATGCTCGTTGCGTGGTGGGCTCAACAGGTCCGACCTGCATTCAATTCAGGTCGCCCTCGCTGAAGCCTTCTTTCACGCTGCTTGCGCCGCGAGGCTCGGCGCTCGCTTGTGGTGCGGCTTCTCGCTGTCACAAGCTTCATGCAGGCACAAAGAAGCAGACGCTGATGGTAAGCTTCTTATGCATCTTCACTGAGCTGTCGAGAGTGTCGGTCTTCAGAGGAAGGGTTGCCTTTTGGCTCACCTTTGACGGTGCCACCCTCTCATATCTAAGGTTGAAAAAAGCTCCTGATTCACAAGATCATCATACGTCGTCTGCTGGTAAACAAACAAGACCGTGGCAATGTTGCTGACAATGGGCCATGAACGAACATCACAGCATCGCAGTCAACGAGTCGTGGGCACGCTTCGCATGACTCGACCTCATCGAGACCGGGGTTCACACTGCGAAGAACAGGACCGTGACCACCAGTCCTATGCCCACAGCTACGATGGTCCAAGTAGCCCCGTCCAACTCCATCCCCCTCCCTGCCCCCGAACCCACTCTTCCTCCAGCACCGGTCTTCGTCGCATTCGCCACTTGCGGCTGCACAGCTTTCGCGTCTCCGTCGTCCCTCGCGATGGGGATACCAGAGATGCTCTGTCCGCTACTGTTTGAGGAGTTGAGGAGCGGATCGAGTCGCGCGTCTCCGCCATCGATGAGGTTTTTGTTGAAGGGAGGAGGAGTGGAGGAAGGACTAATGCCGGATGTGCCGCCCTCCGATGTGCATGAGGTTGATGAAGGAGGGATGGTGAGCGGCGGCAGCGTGTCGGGAGAGACGACGCCGCCGATGGGCACGGGAGGAGGGATGAATTGATCGCCGAAACGCGACTGGTTGGATGAGCGGGATGATGTCGGCGCAGGCAAGGTACTGGCTGGCTCTGGCAGAGGAGCCACAGCAGCTGCGATAGGCGAAGAGTTCTGCGTTGTTGGAGACATGGAAGAGTGTCCGACTCCGTCTGAGCCCCCTCGCGGCCTGCTCAGCCCAGGGGACGTGACGACAACGGGCACAGGTCGCGTAATCTTTCCCTTGCCGCCACTGCCCCTCGCACGACCGGCTTTGCCCTCATGATGCGAACCATTCCGCGACGATCTTCCGCTGGCTTCGTGTCCAGCGTGACTCTTTCCATGGCGGTGGCGATGCTCCTTTGTCTGGATCCTGTGATATAGCGCGGTAGCCTGGTGGTTGTTCGCCTTGAGGCCGAGCCTATGCAGCCACGACTTGAGGGTATGTTCGCTCAGACCGTCCCCTTTGTTGTTTGCTGAGCGGTGAGTGCCGTGTTGAGAAGGTTGCTCGTGCTCCTTCTTGGAATGTTCTGATGCAGTGTGTTGAGCCGCAGCCGAGCCGATGTGTGTTTTGTCGTCAGCATCGTCTCGCTTGAGGACGTATTGAGCAGATACTGCACTCCGCGCATTGACAGTGAGAAGGGCCGAGAGAAGACAGGCTAGAGCGAAGTGGATGACAAGCCTTGAGACGGCGCGTGTAGAGGCCATTGTCGCAGGTCGGTCTGACAGGGGAGCAGGGACAACGATCGTGGGAAGAGGACAGCATCGAGGAGCCGCATTGGTAAGGGAGGGAGAGACATCATGAAGCTGAAGCCTGATCGTGGCATCACCTCATCCAAGCCCCCCTCTGCGTCTTCATCAGTAGCGCCTTTGAGGCAACGAGCCACAACGTTCCCACTTCAACACATCTTTATTTGCGTTCGAGCCGCACCTGACCCACTACGCACATGAAGCCAAGCAACCTCCCACTTCTCATCCTGCCTACTCACCACCCACTTACACACACATCGCGCACAAAACCACACCGCGGCGACGCTTCTTCTCCGTGGGTATGTTTCCATTTCCTGAGTGATGAGGCCGTGGATATATCACAAGCTCATGGTCATCGTGAGTGTCTTCGCGTGAACACCGAGGATCGGCGGCCCTCCGTTGAAGAGACTCTCCAGCTGCTCCAGGTACCTCAGCGACTTGAGCTCGTCTAGGCTCGTTCCCGGCTCCGGCGCCGGCAAAGCGGTCAGCACCACGCCCGTGGCAGACGAACTGTTGATCCTGATCAGCTCATTCAAAATGAGATACTGCGCCTTGTTGGGCAGCTCGTTGAACGAGACCGTCGGTAGGTCGGTCGAGTAGATGCTGGCGACGCGGCTGGGTACACGCTCGACGAGCCGCGGGCGGAGGTGGCGAAGCTGGACGGGAGAAGGGGAGGTCGAGGTGGATGATCGACGCTTCGAGCTCGTTTCATCCGATCGAGCCCGACTATGACGAGACAGCGAGGCTTTGCGTTCCTTACCGTTTTTGCCCGCTGCGACCCGGCCCTTGCCTTCGTACTCAGCGCCAGAAGACGAGCTGCTCGACCCATCGCCTGCGTCCGAAGAGGCGGTCGAGCTGACGTACGAAGACTGTCGTTTGTCGTTCTTGACCCTCGGTCTGGGCGTGACTGTGTCCGGAGGCGGCACGAGATGCTGCGCCTTGGTCGGCGTCTTGCTGCTATCTTGCTGATCGCGTTGCAGCTCAGCTTGCAGCTTTTGCCTCTCTGACGCTTTGAGTGTCGACATGCCCTCATCATCTTTGAATGTGCCTTGTGAAGGCGAAGGCGAGGCGAGACCGCCGAGGAAAGGAGAAGCGCGGTCGTCGTAAGCCGGCATCGAGGCGCGAGGAGTCATGCTGGAGTCCGTCGAAGCGTAAGAGGTGCCGAGCAGGGTAGCTGAGCTTCCGTTCGAGGCAGCACGCACTGTTTCGGGTGTCGCGGTCCTCTGACTCGAGCTGAGTGTACCGTAGCTGGTTGCGGCCGAACCCGGCGTGAGGGTTGAAACGCTCGACCCGAGTAATGGCTTGCTGACCGGATCGTCAGGCAACCCCGCCGAGCCTCCGATCGAAAACGCGCGTGGCCGCCAAGATTTGGTCTTGCTTGAGACGCTCGTAGGCTCCAGCGTCGAAGCTCTGCGGATCGCAAGGCCACGTCGTTGCGGTCCGTCAACGAGCCAGTCATCGTCCTCAGAGAGCATCGCCAGCTCATCTTCAAAGTCCGAATCCGAGTCCGAAGATCCGTCCTCTCCGTCATCACGGCGAGCGCGTGGATGAGCGAGACCAAGTCGAATGTTTTGCTTGTGGAAGGCAAGATGCTCGGCAGGAAGGCTGACGCCGAACAGCTTTTGTTCACGTTTGGACTGCTTGCGGGACGTATCTGTTGCGCCTGCTGGTTGGCCGGCTGTGACTGGGACAGCTTTGGCCGGAGATGTAGCTTGCGATTTGCGCTTGGCGGCGGCGCGTGCTCGGCGTTCGTCGTTGCGTCGAAGCTCCTTGAGCGTCTCCCACCATGGGTCGCCACGCAGAGCTTCGTCGACTTCGACGGCTGCGACGCTGCTGCCGTGCACAATGGTACGGTATGTTGTGACGCTCTGATCAGCCAGGCAGAAGACTCGCAGCGAGGCTGGGATGCGGAGGTTGTCCAGCAAAGCACGGATACGCTTCCTCTCCTCCCCGACCTCGCTGGCATGTTCAACAAACACGGAGACCCGCAACTTGTGCGACTTCCAGCTACTGGTGAAGCTGAGGATCGTTCCAAGATGCAGCACCATCGTGTACGTGTCCCAAGCATGACTCTCGTCTGCATCCGGACTGGCAATCTGGACAGGCCACAGATCAATGTAGCGCTGTTCAGCCTCTTTGCCGCTCTTGGTCGAGGCTGGCGTCACTGGGGTCGGTGGCTGCATCAGATCGAAGCCGTACGCAATTGCCAGAGCCTTGTTGAGTGCCAACGAGTCTTCCATGATGCCGACATACGTGGTCGGCTTAATCGGAGATTCCTTGCGAGCCACATCTGTGGGCAGGCTGCCGATGTCGACAGCACGATGAAGACGCTGCGGCCAAGAAAGGCCTCGAATGGTGATCTCGCTTCCATCACTGCGATGTCCAGCGCCGTGAGTGGACCTGGCGACTTTCGCAGGGTGGCGCATATCGCTTGGATAGCCCATCACCACGATGTTGGGTCGCATGCCACCCAGACCGCACGACAAGATGAGATTGCGAGCACCCTCTCGCTCGTCCTTGGCAATGACGACATCGACAAATGACTTGATGCCAGTCAAGTCGACGAGCTTGAGCCAGGCCACCTGCTGCTTGCGCAACTCTGCAAGACAGTCAGTGAATTCGCCCTTGAGCACGTGAGCAAGCACGTAGAGCGCGCCTTTCTTGAGCGAGTTGCAAAAGATGATGAGGTTCCACTCGCTTCGAGGGTTGTTGGCAAGCAGCAGGATCTGAGGTCGCCAGTATTTGACGTGACCTTTGCGCTCGTCGAGCCGCAAAAGATACTTGCGCACAAAGTGATAGGTGATGTTGCGGGTGACATCACCCCATGGCTTTGGCGGCGAGAAGAAATGGATCATCGAGAAGAGCATGACGGCGAAGAGGATGCAACCGCCAGCGGATGCGGGATCGGTGAAGAACATGGCCCCAAAGCAGCTGACAGCGCCTCCCGCAGCTGTCCATATATTCCAATATTTGAAGGACGGACGGAAGCTAGGAGCACCACCAGCTTTGAGAGCGCACGTTGCGAAGCTGAGAGTGCCAAAGGTGAGCAAGGTGGTCATGGTGACCAGCTGGGCAATGGTGTTGACCGAGTCGACGAAGAGAATGGTCTGGCAGAAGATGTAGGTGACGAGCACGGCATAGATGGGTGTGTCACTGACCTCGGTGCCTTGCGCAAAGACATCAAGCACTGGGAGCAAGTTGTCGCGCGCGATGGCTTGAAGCACTTTGCCGCAGGCCATGACGCCCATGAGAGCGGAAAAGGCGGTTGAGGCGAGTGCGCCAAAGGTGATGACTTGTGGGCTGAGAGCCACATCCGAGACGATGCCGACGTCGAGGTAGAAGGACTCGCGTTCGATGGTGCCGGCAAAGACGACAAAGCTGAGCAGGTAGACGAGGAAGGTGAAAAGAAGCGAGTAGTTGGTGCCCTTTGGGATGCTCTTGCTTGGTTTTCGAAGATCACCTGACATCGAGGCACCGGCAAGGATACCAGTGACGGCCGGGAAGAGGACTCCAAAGACGCTCTGCCAGTTCTCGGTCTCCGTGCCAGTCGAAGATCCAGCAGCACCAGACGTGAAACGAGGAAAAAGGTTACCGCGGAAGGTGTCCCACGCCCATCCTGTGTAGTAGGCGCCTCGATCGTCATCGATGAAAGGCTGGACGGTGAAGGACGAGATGGGAATGCTGATGATGGCAACGCATAGGATCAAGGCGAGCGCCAGTGTGGCCCTCGCAAAGAGCTTGGATCCGACGAGACATACGATCGCGCTGACGAGGAGAACGATAGAGCCGTAGAAGAAGGAATACCAGGGGCCCTCGGGAAGGAAGCCAGAAGGCCCTCTACTTTCTCCAAATGCGTCTGTGAGCGTCTCGACGAAACCCAGAACGTTCATGGCGGCATTGAGCGCCTGACCGGCAAAGAAGATGAGTCCGATGGAGCCGCCGAATTCTGGACCGAGTGAGCGCGAGATGAGGTAGTATGCGCCGCCGCCTCTGACCTGACCATTGGTGCTGATAGCATTGAGGCTCATGGCGGTGAGGGTATCGATGGCATAGCTGAGAACGAGGAGGAAGAGCGCCCCCAACAGACCAGCCTGACCAAGGATGAAGCCGAAACGCAAGAAGAGGATGATTCCAAGAATGTTGAGACTGACGGGCATGAAGACGCCATCCCAAGTGCCCAGCTTTCGAGGAGCCATCTCGGCGGGACTGATCATTCCGAGGCTTTTTGTGCGAGGAAGGTGCCCCGAAGCGCCTTGTGCGCCGTTGGAGTAAGCACCGGGGTCCAAGAAGCCGCTATTAGAGCGTGGCGGGCGGCGATAGTGCTTGCCCTCCTGAGCATGATGACCAGCTTCACCAGGACCGGCATTCCTGTCGGAGAAGGACACGCCTTTCTGAAGACGACGAGGACGTATAGTGGAGGTGCTGTCGGCAAGGTTGGAGGATGACGATCCGTAGGGTTCATCCGCGTCTGTTTGCTTCTGAGGCGAGCGAGATGGCTGGGAGCCGGACACCATTGTATGGGTAGGTTTGTCGGCGGAGGAGGCAAAAGGGGTGCCACTGAGGTGACCGCTTTCGAGATCGACGTGGTAAGCTGCTGAGCGCGGTCTTGGTGAGCTGGCAGGCTTGGAAAAGTAGTCGGTGGACTCGATCTGGCCACTCGCGGACCGTTCGGCGTTGACGGTGCCAGACGCATTGCGAGAGCGAGATGGACCTGGTGTCGGTAGTTCTGGACTGTTTCGCCGTGAGTAGAGCGATGGGACTCGCTGACTGCGACTGTCGTCGCCAAGGTGGGAGGAATCGTCGATATCGCGGCGACGTCGGCTGGCTAAGGAGCTGGTCGACTGGGCCAGGTCTTCGGTAGCATCACGATCGGCAGATTGGTCATCGTCGGCATCGACCCCGTCTTGCATCGGCTGTCTACGCAACAGCTGATTCTGCAGCGAGTCGAAACCGTGGGAAGTGTGACTGGAAACGAAGTGAGACATGGTTGCTGCGCAGTGAGGTGGTGTTTGGGGAGTGACCGACTCGCAGCCTTATGTAAATGCGGATGTGATCCGAGCGAGGATGAGTTGCTTAGTGAGTGATGTGAGATAGCATTGTCGGCACGACCGATGAGAGGGAAAGGGATGCGCTGGACTGCCGACTGTTCCGACGAGGGGACGTGCGATTCTCCGGGGAGGCTTCCGTAGCAAGGAAGGTGGCGCCTTACAAGGTCAGATGACAGCGAAGCAGTTGCAGACGGGATGGGCCGCCGCTGTGAATGGTGGTGGTGACAAGACAATGTGCCTCGATGCAAAGGCGGCGTGTGTGAGGGCACGAAGCTGCACCAGAAGCACCACGCTGTGAGCAGTGAGTGGAGAATCAAGGGTCCGTGTGTCGCTGGTGAAGTCTGCGCTTTCGTTTCCCACCGCTTGGCAACGTCACAGGCAGCAGAACGCACTCCACTCTCAGCTATCCATTTTTGAGCGTTTTTGCCGGAAAGCGGACACACGTCAAAACGGCCGCCTCTGCAAGCTTAAGCCTTAGGCGCCGCTTTCCAACGCGAAAGCACGGATCCGAGCTGGCTGCAAAGCTTACTTTCTTCTCGACAAGATCCCGGGCCATTCGACCGCACCACCTCCTGCGCCTTACCCTCTATCACCGTGTCGGGTCGAGCACGATACAGGTAGCGCAACTCGATCGCAGACACAAGGCAATCGCAGACACAACGCAATCGGTAGTGTTTCGTTGTCATCCGCCGGCTAACGGGGACGAGAACCTGCAAATATGCCGCCTAAGAAGGTATCGCTACCACCAAATCCGCCAGCCGATCCATCGCAGAACATCCCACTTCAGTATACCACCTTCTTCTCAGTCGCTCCTCTCAACGCAAAGAACGTTTCTTCCTCCTATCTCAAGACAGAAGCACAGACATGGATCACGCGCTCCCAAGCAGCCGTCCAGGAGCAGTCCAAGAAGAGAAGGATCGATGGTGGTGAGGCTGCAGAAGGCAGCGTCATCATGGACGAGGAGGACGATCTCGATGCCGATGAGGGTGAGAAGGTAGCAGCCGAGAACACGCCAGCACATCGTACTATCGTGATCCACCCTGGCTCGCAGAACCTTCGATTGGGCCGAGCTACCGACTTGTTCCCCATATCGCTGCCCAATGTGATAGCTCGCAGAGCAAAGAAGGCGACCCCACCGCAGCAGGTCGCCGATGCAACGGCAGATGCGAAGGTGACAAGTGGGGAGGACATGGACATCGATGAAGCTGCTGCTGACGAAGATGAGGACGAGGGCAAATCCTCACGGAAGAACACAAGAAGATCGGCTGCAAATGATTCGACTTCCGGCAAGCAAGTCCCGAGCACATCAGCTGCAGCGGAAGATGCTTCTGAACAGCCGTCCCTCGACGAAGGCATCGAGGCGATCCGTAACGACCTGCGCGCCATCATGCGCCAGGAAAAGCTACGATCTGTCGGAAACGCCAAGAACCTTGCCGCCAACTACAACGACAGCTCTCAGCCAGAGGACGTCCCTGAACACAATGATATGTTCGGTCTCGAATGGACAGACGAGGATGTCGGCGGAGACAACGACGTTCTCGTGGGCGAGCAGGCGCTCCGACTCGGGTGCTTCTCTCAGCCCAAGACAGCAGAGCCAAAACAGCAGCGGGGACGAGGGCAACAGCAGACCTTAGCCGTCAAGCCCATGTCACCGCCCGACTCGACGCGACCCTGGACTCTCTTCCACCCATTCAAGCGTGGCACGCTCGATCTCAACGGCTACGAAAAGCACTATGGTCAATCTGCCGCGATACAGACGCTTCTCGGCGACATCCGCACCGTCTTCGAATACGCCATCACCTCGCCGCCGGAGGACACCGAGGCGAGGCAAGAGACCGGCAAACTGGCACCCATCGGACTCGGCATCCCGCGAGAAGAATTCGGCAGCTGTACCGTCATCCTCATCGTCCCCGACCTCTTCTGCCGATCCGACCTAAAGGCGCTCACCGAGCTGCTGCTGGTCGACATGGGATTCGCGCAGGTGTGCATCCAGCAAGAGGCCGTATGTGCCACCTTCGGTGCTGGTCTTTCATCCGGCTGCGTTGTGGACATGGGCTCGGAAAAGATCTCCATATCGTGCGTCGAAGAAGGTCTCATTCTCCCGGAGACCCGCATTCAGCTGGCGTATGGCGGTAGCGACCTCACCAACTTTCTTGCCGAGCTCTTCATCCGCGCCAAGTTCCCATATCGCGAGCTGGACTATCGCTCGAGCATCGCAGATGGCATGCTGATCGACGAGCTCAAGCGCAAGCTCATCACGCTCAATCCGGCTGATGTCGGTCTCAACATCCATGATTTCTACCTCCGATTGCCAGCACGGCCGACGATGAAGTATTTGTTCAGGACGTACGACGAGCTCATCATGGGGCCTATGAGTCTGTTCGACCCGGCGGTGTTTGATCTGGACGGCAAGGCGAGGGCGAAGGGCAAAGCCGGGATTGTCGACAAGGATGAGGAGGGTCAGGATGAGGGCGTAGCGGAAGACTCGCCCGAGCTGAGTGTGCTGCATGGACTCGATGTGCCAGTCACTGGCGCCATGACGGCGTGTGTCAAGCATCTCTTGCCTCCCCCGCCCGCGCCGAAAGCCCAAGCCGATGCTACTGGAACAGTGGCCAACTCGGGCGCAGACACTGGCGCGGCTGGATCCGAAGTCGGCACTCCCGCTCCACCTGCTGATGTCAAGGGCAAGGCTGATAGCGCCATGCCTTCGCGAGCAGCTTCTCCGTCCGCTGGGGCACAAGCAGGCGGTGCGGAAGGTAGTGTTCTGCCCTCCGCCGACGCCTCTGCTCGACCTTCAGCCACTCCCCAGCCCCCTTTCACGGACGCAGCCGCCGCAATTGCTGCCGAGGACACCGAACCAGCCGAGCCAGCCGGTCCCACCATCGACATCCACTACGAAGCCTCCAAAACCCCTCTCGATCAAGCGATCCTCAACTCGCTCCTCACCTCGATCGGCCAAGTCGGTCCCGCTGGCGACGAACGACTGCGCAAGATGTCCAACAACATCCTGTGCGTTGGCGGCGCCGCGCGCATCCCCGGTCTCAGCGCTGCGCTCGAGGCGAGGCTCACGGCGATGCTCGGCAACCACTTCAGCGCCACGACGGGCGACGCGGGCAACGCGCCCAAGGTGACGGTGATTCCACCGCCAAGGGATATGGACCCGCAAGTCATGGCGTGGAAGGGCATGAGCGTATTTGCGAGGTTGGAGGCCGCGTCCCAGGAGCTGTGCCTGCGGAGGGAAGATTGGATGCTGTTCGGATGGAGGGCGTTGCGCGAGAAGACGCTTTTCTTGTGAGTGCGTGCTTGGGAGCAATGGATGTAATTCTAGGGGCCTGTTTGTCCAATTGGCCTGCGGCTTGACGAGCTTGGATGACGGCTCTCTGTGAGCATAGTCGTGAGTGAGCACGATGTGATTGGATGGTGAGTGCTGCGAGAAGGATGTCTGAGAAATGGACGTCACCAACTACGCACGGGGCGCGATCTGGAGGTGGCACTTTTTTGGACCCCGATCTTTGACGTCTGCACATACACACATCGACGTTCCACCTCCATCACCAACGACGTCGTGTGCATCTCCAGCTCGCAATCAGCTCACGATGGAGGCACAATCAATCGCACTTCCAGATGGTGCCTTGCCGCCGTCCGCAAGCACGACGTTCGACCCGCACGCCGTGACCCCCGCCTTCGCACGCAGAACATCCTCAATCGCCCCGCCCCAACCCGCAGACGCACCCCTCGCCACTTCTATCAGCGATGCCCCAACACCTCGACTAGTCGTCCCAGAACTCGGCGACCCCTCCCTCATGGGCGAGCTACCCACCACCGATCCTCTCTCCATTCTCCTCCAAAAGCATCTGCCCCCTCACACGCGACCTCATCGAGACCTGTCTGGTGCGTGGCCCTCTCCGTCCTCGACAGGACCCAGTGCACCATCGGTCGAGCTCCCCGATCCGTTCTCCGCTGGCAGTGACGCTTCATCTGCACCTACCGAGATCACACCCGAACTCGTCCGCCAAGCAGCATCCACCAATGCCTGGCGCCGAATCGCCTCCCTCGCTCGAGCGCAACTCGAGTCCTCCTACCACACCTCCCATCCCCCTGCGCTCGTCGACACCGCTTCCAACTCCGATACGATGGAGGCAGGGGAAGCATTGCAGTGGTGGACCATCCGACTGTACGCGTTGGCGCGGTTGAAGTTGTATTCGATGTTAAGGACGGAATTGGCGGCGCTGTGGCAGGTGCTCGAGTCGACGACCGTGGGGGAAGGGTCGCTGGCGGAGGCGGAGGAGGTGCCGTTCTCGCTGAGGGTGATGTGCGCGACAGAGCCCAAGTTTAGGGGTGAGTCGAGGGCGGCTATTGAGGGATATGTAGGGTTGGTGAAGATGTGCAAGGCGCAGATGAGGCGGGCGAGGGCGGACGGGAATGAGGAGAGAAGGGGGCTGTGGAAGGGGAGGGCGGAGAAGGTGGGGTGCATGCTAGCGTTCGCTTTGGCGGAAGCAAGGGATTTCAGTGGGGCGATGGAGGTGCTCTTACCGATAATGGAGCGGGCGTTATCAGGAGAAGGGGAGGTGGGGGAGAGGGTGCAGCTGGTGGTGGTGTGTTCGAGGGTATGGATTCAGGCAGGCGACCTGACCACCGCATCAAAGCTGCTCGATCGTGTCCGAGCCCTCCTCACCCCATCATCAAATCCCGCGATCGAGCGAGAGCTCAGTCACGCACGAACACTCATAGCTGCCATCGCACACGACCTCCCCTCCGCCACCACGACCACACCCAATTCGCCGGCAGAAGCGCTCAATCAAGCCATCGTCCAGTTCTACAGCGCACACCTCGACACGTCGATCGCGCAACTCGAAGCCGTGCTGACCGCAGAACCCGCCCTGGTGGCAACAGCCGACGCGGTCGTGTTCAATCTCGCCACACTGTACGAGCTTGGCAAGGGCGGAGAGGCAGAAGTCGTCGAGAGGAAGAGGGAGCTGTTGGCCAACGTGGCAAGGTGGAGCGGCGAACCGGGCGTTGCTGGGTCCAGTTTCAAACTTTGATGCCCCAAACTGCAATTGAAGCTCTTTGAGGCAATGCGGACATCGTGTTTGGTGCGTGGTTGCGGCTGTGAGGTTGTGCAGAAGGTATGAATGCGTTGCGGAAGATAGTACAAATACAAGATGGTCGATGAGCGGGTGCAGAGAGGCCGTGCAAAGGGACGACGTCGATCAATCGAGCTTTTCGACTGTGGTCGCAGGAACGGAATGAAGAACGTTGCGCATGAGTGACCGTGTGACCGTCATCAATATATCCAACAGGGGGTGGGTACTCACGTTGATCCAACCGCGCCAGAACGACGTGTTTGGACGTCTCCTCGATCTCGCCTGCCAAGAAGACCTCGTCGAGGATGGCGTAGACCTTGTAAAAGTTGAACACCAGATCGAGCTCGCAGACGTTGCCGAAGAATGCGTCTGCGACACGATACGAAGTGGTGATGGGAGAGAGTGTCAGCTCGTCAGTCCAAGGGACAATAGGAGTGAAGAAAGGACGCACCTAGTACCTCGACGAAGAGGTGTATCGCTTCGAGATAGGCCAGCTCGTTATCATTGGCGTCGACGCAAACGCAGAAGAAGAGGCCGGCATAGCGTCGGTACACCAGCTTGTAGTTCCGAAACTGTCGGGTATACGTAGGAGCACCAAGTCAGTCTCGCTACAAGAGCGATAGAGCGTACATAGGTCCGTTCGGGAGCAGCACCCACCTCGACGAAGTTGCTCTGGTACTTCTGGTCCCTTGGCGCAATAAGACGATGCACCTCTCCTCGCATCCGGATCTTTTCTTCGTCATCGTAGGGGACGTAGAATTTGGAGAGGCGCGTCTTGCCTTGACGGTTTTGGACGAGAATGAAGCGGATCATGGCGATCCCTGTGATGCTGCTGCAAGTAGAATCGTGGAAAGTCGCGAGGACGGAGAGAAGAAGATGGTGTGAACACAAAGGGAAGCTAGAACGGAGGACCCTGGATCTTGCGGAGAGCTGTGCATGTCCGTGCATGCGGCGCGAATCGGCCGGAAAGCCAGCCCCGATTTTTGAGAAGATTGGCGAGCTAGGCGCAATCACGCCGACGCGAAGCTGATGAGGTGGAGCCCAACGAGAAGCACACTTTGAGCCAACAACTCCGCCCACCTTGCTCACCACTTGACATCGTCCGCTTGCTTCTCGACCAGCTTGCTTCCCCCATTTGCATATCACACTCGCAAGCAAGCCCGCTGTACGCAACTTCAAGCTAATTGTTCTCGCACTCTAGCAGTGCTCATCTGCCCTCCTATAAAGCCACACGATGAACGCACCACCACAGCAGCAAGGCCCTCCGCCGCCGACCGCCGAGCAGCTCGCCATCACCGATGCAGGATTCCAGCAGGTGCCTCTGGCGCTCGATCCCGAATCCAAAACGCTTTCGACCCCCGTTCCCGGTATGGACCTCACCGTGCTGAATGCGCTCATCCGCTCCATTCAAGGTCTTCCCCCGAACGTGGCCTTCCCACCTCCACCGAACGCCATCGCGCCGCAGCGCAGTATGGCGATCAATCAGGCCAAGGAGCAGGGCAACGCTGCGTATCGCAACAAGGACTGGGCCGAGGCGGTCAAGATGTACACCCTGGCCATTGACGTCGCTGCCTCGCGACCGCTGTGGGAGGCCAACCAGGTGGCGCGCGACGAGCTCAGTCTGTGTCTCGCGAATAGAAGTGCCGCTTTCGCAAGCTGTGAAGACTGGATCGGCGCACTCTGCGATGCAGAGGCTGTTACCAAGTTGAAGAAGCCCTGGGCCAAGGGGCATTACAGGAAGGGAAAGGCACTTGTGGGTCTGGAGAGGTGGAAGGAGGCAAGGGAGGCGTTCGAGTTGGGACTTCAGTTTGATCCTGATAACAAGGATTTGAAGACCGCGCTGGAGGAGCTGCCCAACAATAAGAATCAGCTTTGACGGAGAGGGAGGGGGAGATATCGTTGTACTTTTAGTTTTGCGGCTTGTCAATGCACGCACTTTCATCTCAGTATAGGAGCAGCGTGAAGGTGACATTTGAAGCTGAGACAGCGTCGGAAGCACATGTCAGAAAGTGTTGTACAAAGACGTGAGAAGCACATGCGAATCGGTGCGGAAGCTTGCCGAACAGCAGTTCTGCTTAACTCATGATCAGTTTCTCGGCAGCTTCAGTACGTTTTGTTGGCCTCACATTCACGCTTTGCTGACATACGATGTTTGCTGTTCTTGGCGATTGCAGAGGTCTGAATACACGACTGAGAGCCTTGATATAGATCTACGAAGACTCCTTGGAGCTGTCGCCGCCGTGGTATGGGTGGTCCACCAGGTTGAACCACGGAAGGACGCTGAACTTCAACTGGGAGAAGGCGCTGTTCCTGTGCGCTACGCCCTGCATGTATGGCGTCAGGTCGCTCTTGCTCGGGTCGGTTCCGATGGGCTTGATGCCCGCATCGAGCGCCGCCTGGTTGGCCTTCTGTTCCAACTCGTTCTCCTTCCAGCCCCAGAAGCGGAACGACGTCCTCTGGTATGCGAACAGGAATCCACCGCAAAGCCCAAGGAACGTCGACAGTCGCAAAGCCGAGCCCATCCCGCGCTTCGGTCGTGTAGGGTCGAACATCTCCATCATGTAGATGGCCGAGGGGAACGCAGCCGTGGCGCCGGCCATGGCGGCATAGTCAGAGCCGCGGAAGCTGCGCACGACGCGAGAGAAGTGCGGATCCGCATCAATGACTGGGTATGGCGTGTCGAGCTGCTTGACAGCTGTTCAGAGTCGAATGCGGTCGAGGTTGCGGCAAAGGCACAAGAAAAGATCAGTCACATGCTCGTATTGATGGTCACAAGAGATCAGATGGGGGATCGCTTGACTCGTTCGCTGTGCGCTCAACCGTCGATGTGGGAGTCGTCGGCATGCCGTAGTGGTGGACTGGTTGTCGAAGCTGTCCCCACAAACCTTGTTAAGGTACTTACGCATCTTGTGTATGTGTATATGAGGAATTGGTAGGTGAACGACGTTGAGTTGTGTTGGTCGACGACGATGATATTGAGAAATCTCGAATGTCAAGGCGATACTCACCGAGCAGCCTCGTCGACGCAGCCATTTCCAAGCTCGGGTTGTCGCACGGTTTTCCTTCTTGCTGGGTAATGCTGAGTAAGCACCAGACCCTGACTTTCGGTATTTTTTGGCTTTTGCTGCATCAGTCAGGAAGAAAAGTGGAGCAGACTCAGCCTTTTTGGTCAGAAGAAAGCAATCCTTCGACACCTTCTCACCACCCTCTCAGACATTCTTACCCAGCCCAAGATGCTTGCGCGAGCATCACGATGGCCCGCTGCCAGTGCGAAGGCAACTCTTGTAGCGCCCGCTTGTCAAGTGGCCTCCTCGTCGTACGCTCAACCGTGCCGTGCCACCAAGGGAAGTCTGACTGGTCCTCCCTCACGCCTCCTCACCTCTTCGTCCGCAAGAGCATTACCTCGTCAGCTTCCGCGCTGGGCAGCACAGGAGCGTGAGCAGGATGATGATCCAGCGACTACTAGCCCTTCCTCGACCAGCAACAGCAATGTCAGCCACGAGCTCAGCGGCACCGACCCCTCCATACCGTGGTTTTTGCAGACAGAAACGATAGACATGCCAACAACAGATGTCACGCCAGAAGCCCCCTCATCTACACAATCCTTAACTGGAACACCAACTCATAGCTTCTCGTACATCCCGCTCGCCCCTAAAGTGGATGAGCCGCAAGCCATCGCCAAGCTCAAGTCGCACCTTCTCTCCGGCCCCTCCACCAACTTGATAGCCAGACCCAGCGAAGAGGAGGACCAGCTCACACCCATCACCCTCATTCACCCAGCATCACTCTCCAAAGACCCAAGCTCTGATGCATACGGAACCAACGACTGGATCGTGGTGGTCCAGGTCAAGAGCAGCGCTGCAGGCAGTGTCCGCCGCGTCGCGCTTGACATCGGTCGATTCCTCAAGCACACGCGACCGCCAGCAATGGAAGCCGAGCTCGATCTAGACGACTTTCTCGGACCAGGTCCCTCCGCTCCGCGTTACAACAAGGCGTCAGCACCCAAGCCGACCACGCCAGCAGCAGCGCCTCGACCCAAAGGCATGTCGCGCATCGAACACGAGCTGGGCAAGAGCCTCCCCGACTGGGCTGTCAACCGCATCGCACTTCAGAGAAAGTTTCCGGATGGCTGGAGACCGCCCAAGATCCTCTCGCGAGAAGCACAGGAAGGTATTCGACTGCTGCATTCGTCCGACCCGGAGCAGTTTGACGTCACCGAGCTCAGCAGCCGCTTCCGCGTCTCGACTGAGAGCGTCCGGCGCATCCTTCGCTCTGGCAAGTGGGCCATCTCCGGCGAGGTGAGGAGCAGACAGGATCGTCGAGCTGCCGAACGAGCTGCTGAGCGCGAGAATGTCGAGCTTGCCGAGATCCGACGCTTGCAAGAGGAACAGAGCGAGCTGGTGGATGAGGGTGAGTCGCCGGCGATCGAGGAAGATGAGTTGCTCGACGAGATGATCGAGGAGGAAGACTCTATTCCTGGCATCCAGCCGGTGAGATACGAAGGGCTGGTCATGTCTGCCTCGGATGCTTCGGCACTGGGTGTCACGAGCAAGAGCAAATCAGGCGGCAAGAAGGGTGATGGCAACTGGTGCCTCGTCGATGCAGACTGGTGCATGGTACACGTCATGACCGAACAGGCTCGGTTCAATTACGACATCGAGGGCATTTGGCGCGAGCTCGAGGTCGGGAAGACGACCAAGCCTAAGCCATGGGAGGATCAGTCGGCGTTTGCTGGGGCATCCGCCTCGGAGTCGAGACCCTCTCGACCACGAACCAGGAAGGATCTCTTTGGAGAGAGTGTCAGCAAGCGAAAGCGCAACACGGGAGCTGGCTTTGGTAGTGTCGATGTCAAGTTCGGTAGCTCGAGTAGGAGCTTTTCCACCAGCATCCGACGCCCCAATGTGTCGCCCAATAGCGTGGTACCCGAAAGCCTCAACCAGCTGCTCTCGCGCGCCCAACACACCTTCGAAACCAGCTCGTCCCCCATCCCCGTCAACGTTACCGGCTGGCTCCGTTCAACGCGCAAGCAAAAGTCGATCACATTCCTCGAGCTCTCGGACGGCTCTCTTCCCGGCTCTCGCTCGCTCCAAGCCATCGTCCGCAGCTCGGCGTCCTCCCCATCCTCCGACATAGACCGTCTCGCAGGCCTCACGGTCGGCACGGCCCTTCGGCTCACCGGCCACCTCAAGCCGGGACGCGGCACAAAGGCCGGCCAGTCAATCGAGCTCGACACATCCTCCGTCAAAATCCTCTCGCATTGCGACGTGACCTATCCACTCGCAGCGGTGCAGATGCAGCACAACAGCACGGCGGTCGAGTCGTCCGGCTATACCGCCTCTCTCGCTGAGCGACGCAACCCACATCTGCTGGGTCGGCTACCGCGCTACGCAGCGATCGCACGAACACGTCAGAGGCTGGAGGAGGGGATGAGCAATTGGTTGGGTTCGCACGACTTTGTCAAAGTCGCATGCCCCGTGCTGACGAGCAGCGACTGCGAGGGTGCAGGGGAGGTATTTCAGGTCGGATCGGATGCCGATGTGCGTAGCGGGCGGGCGTTGGGAACGTTCTGGTCCGGATCACCGGCGTATTTGACCGTGAGCTCGCAGCTGCATCTCGAAGCGGCCGGGTTGGGATTGGGCAGGGTGTGGACGTGCAATCCTGCATTCCGGGCCGAAGGGAGCGCGACGAATAGGCATCTGGCCGAGTTCTGGATGTTGGAGGCCGAGATGTATTTCACTGACTTGGCCGGGATGCTGGATGTGACAGAGGGGATGATCAAGGCTGGCATTCGGGGGGCGCTGCAGGGTGAGGAGGATATGGAGGCGTTGGGTGACTCGGCGCATCTCGATATGCTGCAAGGCGTCCTCGACGGAGAGTGGAAACGGATCACGTATCACCAGGCGCACGACCTCCTGGCCAAGGCACCAGCGGAAACATTCGAAGTGGCCCCCGACATCAACGCTGGCTTGGCGAGCGAACACGAACGCTACCTCGCAGCACAACTCGGTCCTGTCTTTGTGACCCACTACCCGCTCTCGCAGAAGGCGTTCTACATGAAACGCTGCCCCTCGTCTGCCGATGGAGAGACGCTGGTGGAATGCTTCGACCTGCTCATCCCGAGTCTCGGCGAGCTGGTCGGCGGGTCGGTTCGCGAACACCGTCGTGACGAGCTCATGCAGAACGTCGCCGATCTCGGCGGTGCAGATTCAACAAAGGAGGCGCTGGGCTGGTACATGAACGACCTGAAGAAGTTTGGCGGCGCAGTGGAGCATGCTGGCTTCGGCATGGGCATCGAGAGATTGTTGGCGTGGGTGAGCAACACCGTCAGCGTCAAGGATGTTGTGCCCTTCCCGAGGGTCAAGGGGCCGATTCGATTTTAGATGCTCAGAATGCAATCGCACGGCCTTCTCTCGGACCGGAACCGTGTGTGAGAACGTTTCAGACTTGGAGATGGAGTGGATCTCGCTGTTTCACGTCGAGGTGGGATAGCACCTCATTCGTCGTCGACCTGCATCGTCTCGCCTGCTCCCTGCTGCTGCTGTGACTTCCTCTCGGCCCTTCTCTTCCCCGTTGTCTCTGCCCACCGTCGATTTTTCACCTCGTACGTCTCTTCCCTTGGCCTGTGCTTCATAGGGACATAATTGGCCGCTCCTCTGCCTGTGCCGTTGCCGAGCGGGATGACTCCTGCCTTTCCTCCTCCATCCTTTCCCTCCTCACTCCGCTCATGTTCAGCAGCGGTGGCAGAAGGGAGACAAGGGAAGCTAGCCTCCTCGAACGCCGTCCGACTGGGCAGCGTGCCCACGTGCGGCGAGGGAGCAGCGAGGACAAAGTGCCGACTCAGCTCGGTGGAGATGGCGTGCTGCGTCCACGTCTTGTGCATGCGCAGCAGGCTTGCGCTTGCCGTGCCGAGATTCTCCCCTGCGTCGGAGGCTGGAATGGAAGACAGTGCACCGTCATAAGGCCCCACTCGCCATTCTACGTCCGACGGGAGGAACCCGCATTCCCACAGAACAAGCGGTCGGTCCGCGGCCATCTCGTAGTTGGGCTTTGTCTCGTACACTTCCAGCCCTTCGTCTGCCGCTGCGTGCTCCACCGGGTCGGACGACAGCGCGGTGTGCATCCACATCGGCAGACCTTCGGGTGTCGATTCGGTGCTGGAAGAGGTAGCGTTGACGGGAAGCCACCACTTGATGTCATCCCTGTCTCCTTCGCTCGCCGTGGATCGAGTCGTCTTCTGCGCAGCCAGCCGCATCTTAACTCGATCAGCGGCGATCTGACCCTTCTGCGTGTTCATCAGCTCCTCGACCACGCTCGGCGCCTCTAACCGCGCCCCGACGAGGAAGAGGATCGCCATGATGTTGCGCACCTGGTGGTAGAGGAATGCCGTCCCGCGCAGGTTGAGCACGTACATGGCCTCCTGCCCCTCTTCCATGCCCGAATCTGTCACGGCAACACTGCTGCTCGGCCAGTGCGACGAGACACGGTCGATGCTAACCCCGTCAATCCGCCGTCGGTAGTTGGTGATCTGTTTGGACGCATCGATCTTGCATAGGTTGCGAAAGTCGTGCTCACCGAGCAGGCGGCGTGCGGCGTCTCGCATGAGATTGATGTCGAGTCTCGTTGCGCCTGCGTCCTGGCCGGAGCCCGCGCTGGCACCGGTGTTAGCAGAGGAGGGAGTATAGAAGACGCCTGGCGGGCCGGCGGGGAAGAAGTACTTGTAGTGGCGATAGACGCAGTCGAAGCGCGAGCTGAAGTTGCTTCGAACTGGCGACCAGGCTTGGATTCGTATCGACGCAGGTAGGATCCTGTTCAGGATCTGGACATACGGCAATTCGACCTCTTCCAGCTTTGCGCTTCGTTTCGCTTGCAACTGTTCCCACTCTTCAGCAGTGTGCTGTGCAGGGTCGGTGGAGAACTGTTCCTGATGATCGAGACGCTCCTGCCACTGATTGACCTTCTTACTCCTCACCCAGAGGGCGACCACTTGACCAGCCGCCGACACGCCTCGATCCGTCCGTCCGCAGCGGCTGAAGCCGGCACCATCCATGCCTATTGCCGGATCCACGAGGCGTGCTGTGCACATTGCGTCCCACAACACCCCTTCGACCGTCGGCATGGAGCTCCCCGATCCAGCCTCGGTCGCGTTTTGCGCAGCTAGACCCGAGTAGCCCGCTCCATCGTACGAAAAGCGCAGCGCGATCTTGCGACAGGGCGAGCTGGCGAAGTCGAACTCCTTGGGTTTCTTCTCCTTCTTCCCTGCGCCTTTCTTCTTGGTCGTTACTTGGCCGTTTTCGCCTTGCGGCTCTGCAGAAGAAGAAGCGCTCGGACCGGAGCGGGCTACATGCGCGTCTGTGTCGATCCGCGCCTGTGCAGCACGTGTAGAGGTCGCCTGAGCCTCCAGATCCGCAATCCGTGATAGCAAGGCCTCTTTAGTCCAGTCACGGTACCTCTCCTTGGCCTCCATCTTGCGCTGCCAGATGCGCTGGGGTGTGTCTGCGCGAGCGCAAATCCGGCTCGTGTGCAGAGAACGTAGCGCCGCCGTCGCCGCTTGGGTCCTTTCGATGAGTCGCAGCGAGAGCCGAGCGTGTGCCATGCAGACAGCACCAGGGATGCTGGCGGGCAGGGTGTGAGGACGTCTGTTGGGTACGGAAGGATGCTTTGAGGAAGACGATTCGTAGGTAATTGAGGAAGAACAGGTGGAGGAAAGTGTCCAAAAAATTCTGGCGGAGAAAAGACGTTCCGAGATCCGTGGCAACCTCCTGCGACCCTGTTGAGAAGATGAAGAGCATCGCCTTCACAAGGATCGGCGTCTCCTTGCTCGTCACATCTCAACATCTCGTCACATCGCACAATCGCTCACTCCCGTTCATCGCTTATTCGAATGTGATAATTGTCCATTTCTGCTCTCTCACGAATGCGTGAGATGATCGACCACGAGCACGCCATCGCTCTCCGCAAACGGATACGAGTAGCTGCTGAGGAACTGCTTGATGAAGCCGCCCACCTTGACGCGCCTCTTGTCCGTCTCCTTGCTGCTGTGCTTCGCCTTGCCGATGGCGAGATACGCCAGTCCTTGAATGCCTTCTGCTTCCAATCCTAGCAAGAACTGTTCTGTCATCTCTACCGCCTCCTTCGCGTGCAAGCCGTGCAGATCCAGCAGGCATTCGGTGCGCTCGTCGACCGACAAATTCGCCGTAGCGGACGAAGCCTGGCTGCCCTGAAGCGCTCCTGGACGCACCACGCCGAGACAAATTCCAAGGCCATTGCCTACGAGCTTGCCACGCATGCCACGCGAACCAGCTTCGTTGCTTTGACTCGACGCAGTCGAGCCTGAGGCGCCCGGGTCGTTTATGCGAGACCGCAACTCGCGCATACGCTCTTTGATGATGCCGTGAGCTGCAGTGCGCGATTCATCCTCATACTGATGGTTGAGAGACGAGGCTTCTTTGCTGAACTTCTTCGCTGAAGCGACATCGCCTTTGCGGTACGCTTCGGAAGCTCGAGCCAGCAGCTTGTTGCGCTGCTCAGCCAGCGTGAGAGCGTCACCTCGATGCGTCTGGTATGTCTCGGCTGCGCTGCTTCCGGTCAGCAGCGTCGGCAGCAATGCGGAAGGGCGTAGCGGTAGCCGAGCCGACGCGCGTGGACTCGTAACTGCCCCTCGGCCTGCCAACTTGCTTTCCGCCTGTCCTGGTTGCGAACGTATCGGTGCCGCTCTGGAATGGATGCTGATGACACCTTGAGTGTCATTTTGCGCCCTGCTCGCGGCATCTGTCGCCGCTCTCTTCTGTACTGTCGAAGCCCAGCGATTCCTGGAGGCATCTGGACCACTTCCTAGCGTGGCAGCGTACGAGCTCTTGGAACCGGAAGTCGAGCCGAGTTCAGGGAATTCGTCCTTGGCTCGGGTCGCACCACGAGTATCCATCGTCTCGGACGCCGGAGCTTGTGGTGTCTGAGCGCTGCCATCGCTGACTTGCAGGCCAGACACGATGCCTGTCGCCAGCTGGTTGAGTGCATCGTAGTCGTGCAGGAAGTTGCATGGATTGTGGGCGCAATGTCCTTTGAGCCAGTAACGACAGACGGCTCGGTTGTCCAAGTCATGAGAGAAGCGACAGTCGCTTCGTCGACACTCTCCGGCCATGTAGTAACGACATACGCGGTTGGCACCCTGACTAGGTGCGCCGGCACCAGCTGCTTCGTATCGCGGGGCGAGCTGAGAAGAGCCAGATCTAGACAGAGACGGACGCTGGCCACGGGAAGCAGCCAAGCCGAGAGCTTCTCTAGACATGACGTTGACTCCCGCTTTGACACCAGCGGTAGCTGGCAGAGGAGCTGGTGCCACGCGCGGCGAGTCTGTGGATGACAAGCCAGGCAGCATACGCGACGCAGACGATTCGCCCGACAACAGCGACTTTGTGCCATCGCCCAGCGGTTTGCCGTCGTTTTCCCAGATGGCATTCAATGTCTTCTCGACGTCGTAGTTGTGCATGACCAGCGCTTCGTCCACCTGCTCCGGGCTCCATTCCGAGGAACCAGCTTTTGTGCCCGTGACGAGAATCGAATAGAGCATATCGAAAGGCGTGAGAGGAGCTGTTGGCTCGGCGCCAAGCACGTCGCCATCGAACGACTCGAAGCCAGCATTTGCTTGAGGACGAGGCCAGCTGTTCTGGTGTGGGTCGGATCCGCCGAAGGATTGTGCTGAGGTCCATCCGGCATCGGGATCGTACGCCGTGAAGCCTGCAAAGCTGAGGGGCTGCTGCTGTGCAGGCTTCGCGCTGCCGAACGGCGAGAACTCGTCGTCATCGTCGTCGCCAGCACCGGCATGACTCTTGTTCGCCAAGGCTAAGTTGCTGCTGCTAGCGTTTGAACTGGCGCGGCGCACAAGGTGAGGTGCCTGCCGCGTCGGAGTGAGTGAAGCTGCAGCTGGAGCAGCAGAGCTGGCAGTTGAGGTGGTCCGTGGCTTGAACTCGGTAGCCGCAAAATTGAGCTTTGGCGAGCCAAAGGGCGATGGAGAGGCTGGCCGACTGCTAGCATTCGCTGCGACCCCAGGAGGAAGCGAGGACATTGGCGAAGCACTGCTGCTCGCAGCACCGTTGTTGGAAGCTAAGCTGGCGGTGGAGAGATTGGACAAAGTGCGGTTCCACGGTTTGGGAGAAGCGCGTGGGGAGCCAGATCCGATGACGCCAGGATGCGGCCTCGGGCTGGCGGCGTTGTTGACGCTCGCCGAAGACCAGACCGGGCTGGTGGTCGAGGTGAGCGCGGACAAGGCACTGGATCCAAGATGCGGGGAGGTCGGGCGCTGCGAGCCGGTGAACGCAGACGGAGTACCTTCCGCGGAGGTGGCGGCGAATGAAGAGGCTGGCGAAAAGGAGGGTCGAGTGGGCGTCCATGGTCGAGAGGTGGAGAAAGAACGGATGCTGGCTGGACGGCGCACGGGAGACTGTGCTGGATTCGACGAGAATTGCATGCCACTTGGAAGCACGTCTTCGCGATGACGATGCATGAGGTCGAGCACCAAGTTGTCGATGCGAGCGGACGGCGAGGGAACGCCCTCGATGGCGTAAAGCGCATTTGCGAGGGTGGCTCTGACCTTATCGATGCGCTCCTCTTCATCGAGATGCTGATCATTGAGCGTTGCCAGGATCTCGGCAGTGAAGTCCTGACTCGGGGCGGAGGTCGAGGTCCTACGACTGCTTGAGGAAGAGAACGTGCGGTGGTGAGCGAGCGCTTGCAGCGAAAGTTGCTGCGCCTTGAAGGAGGACGAGAGAGGCGGAGAAGTAGCTACGGACGAGGCGTCATCTTCGTCTCCACGGTTATCGTTGACTAGGTCGTCTTCATCCTCTACTTGAGCTAAAAGTGCCGACGGAAGATAAGCATCGTATCCGGATGCATCTCGCTCTACCGCTCCATCCTCGGATGCAGACGCCGATGCCGATGATGAGAGGGAGGATGGCTTGTGTGGCTTGAAGGCAGCGGTGAGCAGAGGAGCCGTGCCCAAGGAGGTTGCGATGGAGGCGGACGCTGAGGGTGTTGACGCTTGCGCTGTGTTCGAGGTTGAGTTGGACGAGGATGACTGAAGATGGTTGGTGGTGCCGTTCTTTGCGATAAAGAGTGAGTCAAGAAAGGATTTGGCATAGCTTGAGCCGTTGTATCGGTTCGACATGATTGCGCACCTACGCCAGGCAGCTCAGCGTCAGATGTCGCCGATCATTCGTGACCTGGAGAAGCTGCGAGATGAGATCAGGAATGCCGAAGTCGATGGCGTGGGCGAAAAGCAACGGATGACGGCTGCATCGCAAAGAAGGGGAGTGGCCGCGCAAAGAGCACTCTCTTGTGATGAAGCCGCTGATGCACCTTCGCCACCAGCGCTGAGATAGACGAAGATGGTAGCGAAAGGCGATGTCGAGAATGTGTCGCTCCGCCGATGGCTGAGTCGAATGTGATATAATGGAGAGAAGACGAAGTCGAGTGTGTGACATCCAAAAAAGTGAGAGTGGATGCTGCACTTTGGAGAAATGAGCCCACAGACCACCCTCGCTCTGCGTCACAAATCACGGAATCGCCTCATTCTTTGGAACGGCGGCGCGTCTTGCAGCTCTAAAAAGTCAAACCGGGCTGCTTCAGGGGCCACAGCCACGTTCCCGAGCTTACGGCTCCACCTCTCCAATATCTTATAGGTGTTAGACCATCCTTTCTACCTCGAATGAATTTTCGGCTCCGAAGACGCGTTGAAGCGCAGCGTGGAATCGAGAGCGTTTTGCTTTCTTCTTGATTGAGCTTCACCCACGTCTGTGCATCCTCCTACGCTTCCACTTCGGTCATCCACTCGCATACACCAGCAACATCAACCTCGTTACCATGTCGTATTCGAATGGTACGAATGTTGGTCCTGGAGCTAGCTCCTCAGGCTCCAGCTCACGATCCAGACGTGAGCTCATCGACCGCGTCAGGTATCCCAACCCTATCCCTGTCCCTCCTTATCCACCAAAACTCGTAAAGATCCCAACAGAGCCATCCAGATATGCCAACCCACACTTTGCCGATCGCCTCGCCAGTCAGCAGCCCATTCCAATGGTCGTCGATGTCCATGCTGGTATGCCCATCGATCTCGCCAACTTCCAGAACCTTTGGGAAGGAGATTTTTCCGAAGTCGTCGTGCCCGCTTCTGCCACCCTCGACGCTGACGATCTCGACGAGGCAGATGCTTTCCTGCTCCAGGACTTTGCGACCACTCTTCCTCCTGCAGCCACCTCCAATTCTGCATCAGGAGCCATCGGCCTCATTTCCTCTTTGAAAGCCACCGATGACCCCGCTTCCCAGGCCACCTTGCAAGCCGCCCTTCAGCAGCGTCATACACAGTCCCTCGGTCCAGGGGCAAAGGCCGCGCTTGCAGCCGACGACGTCACTTGGCTGCGTCGAACCGAATATCTCAGCGCACAGCAAAGGCAAGCTCAGAAAGAGGTGCAGAAGCCCAAAGTTACGGAGCGCATCGACGTATCAAGAGAAGCGCAGCTCGCAAAGATCGAGAAATCCTTCAAGGATGCTCAGAAGCCGCTCTCGAGTCTCGTTCATCCACACAAGAAGGGCGTCAAGGCCGAACAGGTCTTCGACTTCCTCCCGGATCCAGAAACATGGGCCACAGACTACCAGATCGTGCGTTTCATCGACCACCCAGGTCGCATCGTCAATGGTGTTCCTCAAGTCGACCCTCGTCTCGACGTTGCGCTGCTCCGTCCGGTCAATGCCGCAGACGGAGAGCAGCGTGTCTCTTACTATCTCCCTGCTGGCGAGGAGATCTCGGAAGATGCCGAGGCTCCTATGACGCTCATCGACAATCGCGATGTGGAGGAGAACAATGCTCGCCGACTGCGCAAACGCAGGAGAACCGGCAAGTTCCCTGTTCCGCCCAACGAGGAGGACGAGGACAACGAGAACCATTCCGAAACCAAGCTGCTCAAAAAGGACTACGCTACTCCATTCAAGCTCTCGCGCGATTACGTGCCAAAGGACACCACCGTCGCCGCTCACGACGTCCTCGTCCTTACCCTCGATGACGGCATCCCCGATGCGGATCCAGACGCCGATGTCGATCCTATCAAGGGTGTCAAGTCTGGTCCATCCGATGCTGCGGCTCAAGACGACGATGATGATGACCTCTTTGGCGATGACGACGACGCTGACAATGCCGACGATGCCGCTGCCGGCCAGGTCGACTCTACTCTGCCTCCTCAGTCCGAGTTCGAGCGCCAGAAGCGATCCAGGAGATCCGCAGCTAACAAGGGCAAGGAGCGCAGCGAGCAGCCCGAAAGCCAGGGCATTCCCAGCGAATCTCGCCCCAAAGCGCGCGCCTACTACCACAAGGTCGGCATGCGCTTCACCCTCCGTGTCTGGCGATCAAGATTCGCCAACAACGAGAAGCTGCGAAGTCGAGACCGAAGGTATCCTGGCAAGTGGGACGCCATTGTTCTTTCCAATCGTGAACTCCAGGAGCGAGAACAGCTGCGAAGATTGCACCTGCGCAGTCAGGTCGATGACGTCGGAGAGCTGGATCCTTATGAACCTGACGAGGATATCCAAGAGGTCATGCTCGAAGGCGAAGACGGAGACGCCTTGGCGAGCGGGACGGCAGACAGGCAGCTCGATGGCATCCAGGAGGATCGCGCACAAGCTGGTGTCGATGACGACGATGCTCAAGCTGCTCGCGCAAGCGATGATGAGGATGGAGCGGAGCAAGGCAATGACGACGAGGACGATGGCAGCGATGACGACGAGGACGATGAGGATGACGACGAAGATGGGACGGTGGACGGAGACGAAGAGCTGGCAGCCCTGCGCGCAGAAGCCGGAGAGGCTGGCGAAGACCTGGATCAGGATGCTGAGGGCGGTGAAAGGCGATCCCGCACTCGACGAGCGGGCGCATCGGCCGCATCGAGCTCAGCAGCGGCCATCATGGACGAGGATGACGACTGATCCGCAATACAAAATGCGCACCGCAATGCAAACTTTCCACGACGCTACAGACTGGCGAAGAGCGGCATGACATTATGAGCTTAAGGTTTCATGTTACAGTTGATGGGTGGTATTGAGGTTTGGGGCGACATCCGTCGCTTTGTCTTGATTTCGGTTCAGTCAAACATGGAGACCTGCTCCAGGTGCAGGCATTCGTCGAGCGCCATCTCGTGGGAAGCCTCCGCCAGCACATCCGGCATGCCTTCGTCCCAGAATGCTTCTTCCGACTTGGCCTTCTCTTCCTCGAAGGGGACATCGATAGAGCGCGCCAATGATGCTCCGAATCGAGGTGCAGGCGAGAGGTGACACTGGCAAGGCGAGAGGAGAAATGCCTCGAATCGGTCGCGTCCCGCCTTGTGTCGATACGGTGACACGTTTAGGTCTTGTGAAGGATTCGGGGCGTCGGGGAAGAAGTCGCAGGAGAAGTCGGGCTCTGGTTCTGACATGTTCTCGTCGCCGTCGTCGTCATCGTCATCGACAATGATCTCAACACTTTGCACGATCGGTGGAGAGCCTTGAAATGGAGGTGGCGAGGGAGGTGTTGTCTGATTGCTCGGCTGTGCTGGAGTGCAAACCATAGGTGGAGGAGAGGAAGGAGGGGTAATGCTGCTCGGAGCGTCGTTAGATTCGTCGCTCGACGCTGCTGGGCGATGCGGCTCGTCATCCGAGGATATATCCGCTGCTTCGTCCCTCGGCGACCAAATGCTTTTACTCCCTGTGGCCTGAGGAGCCGCTCCTGCGTTCGGCAAGGTCCTCTCTTCGACTAGCAAGATGTCGAGCAGATCCAGCACCTCCTTCTTCGTCGCGGGCGCATCGACGTAGCTGGGTACAACGAATTGCAGCCCAGTGTCAAGCTTGGAAGTCTTGCCGTGCAGCTGTCTGTCTTCCCACGATGAGAGTGGCACAGGAAACAACAGCAGATCGTGCTTGTTGGCGACAGCGAGGCAGTCCTCGTACCACTGGGGCAGCTTGTCTGCCTCGCAAGGCTGCATTGGAGCATCTTTGACATACGCATACGACTTGCTCGGTGGTGGCCGCTTGTCGGCGTCGATTTTGCCTGCTGTATCGGCTTGTGTAGATGGGCCGGAGCTCGGTGGCTGGTGCGGAATGGCAGCTCGTTGAGGGAGAGTCGGCGTACAAGGCCCGGAGGACTTTCCGTCCGATGTCAAGGACGACGCTGGCGATCCTGAAGGGCTGTTGATTAGTGGCGATTTGTGCGATGCTGGTGTTCTTACTGGCCCGGGTGCAGGTGCAATAGGAGTCGAGGGCACTGACGCGGATCGTCGGATCTTGATCTTTCGGGGCCTTGATGGTTTTGGCGACATTGAGACTGAAGCTTGACGACGTCTGTCTGGCTTCTGAGGACTCGATGCTGAAGCTCGCCGTCTTGCTGGCTGCGGCGAAACAGATGCGGATGCCAGGCGCGGCGATCGGCCCGCGAAGTCGCTCCACGTACACGTCTTGCACTGCTTGAGACAGCGTTGGCAATCACTTGATCCTGGCTGTGGACCTGGGCATTTGCGGTGATTGTTGCCTGTCGGTGATCAACGCAGAGAACTTTCAGTGTCAGCTCGAATGTCTCGCAACGGAATCTGGGAGGGGCAATGACGACGTACGGCATACATCGCAAGCGCGAGATACCCGTTTGGGCTTCTCGGATGGAGAATCTGGTGCAGAGGATCCCGAGGTGTCCAGCGCCGGGGAGTTGGATGAATGTGCTGATGGCTTGGGTGAGGGCGAATGGTACAGCTCTATCGGGTTCAACATCATGCTGATTGTGTCGATGAACAAGCGAACAACGCTTCAGTACCGGTCGACGGGGAGGGACCACAACATTGCTGAAGCCATGGTCCTCGATGCCAATAGAGAACGTCAAGTATAGCGAGCCTGTCAGAATGATTCGGGAGGACGGCGAAGCTGTGTTGAAATGTAGCAACTCGGACAACAGCGAGCCCTTGACCGGACCAGCCATCCTTTATAAGTCTCCGATGGCCAGGTGCGCTGAGAGGGGCAAACACTGATTGCATGTCAGCTCCAAGGACAGGTGAGCATTGGCAGTAACAGCGAGAGAGAATGCTTTGTGCTGGGACAGGAGCAACAATTGACGGTAAAGGTAGGACAGAGCATGTCTTTCTTGATCCGTGAAGCTGTCAAGATCTACTCAATCCGTGTGCCAACGGAGATGCATTAGCTCTTGTTGAACGCTGCAGTGTCAGACAAAGTTTAAAATAAGCGCAAGTGAACGGCTTTCATCTGGTCGGTTCATTGATCAGCGTTGTGACACAAGGAATCAGCATGATCAGGTCTTTGACACATCACATCCCCATCGCCCGAGAACGCCAAGACTCGCTGCGGAGAACAAATCCTAATAGCGAGCTAGAATGAAGCACGGTATAAGCTTTAAGACACACAAGCTCGAATCGCTCTACGTGCACCTCAAGCCCGCAGCGGCCGCACAAGTCCGAGCCGCTGTAGAAGATCTCTTTCGCATTACACCGGCTCAGATCCACAATCTCATTCTGCAAGCTCGATCGCACAGTGAAACACAAAGATTTGATCAAGATGCGATATACACGTGGGTCGATGTAGAATCGCCTTCTTCAACGGTCCTCGGCCCATTCCTGTTGAAAGTTTGAGATGAGAAGGACAAGATAGGATGCGACGTCAGCTGCCCGCACGTCACCTGGATGAGTCAGGAAGATCATGATCTTGATCTTGTGATTACTTACGTTCTCCTTGCGGATCTGTGCTTCCTCCTCTGGCGAGAAGTCGTTTTGGATGTTGAAGAGCTTTCGGATCTCCTCGGGAGTTTTGCCCTTGATCATGTTGGCGCTGTGCATCAAGAAGAGGGATGGACGTTGCTGTCAGAATCTGGTGTCGCCAACGGGGTCTCAGGCCTTTGCACGCCGTTTCACTTACACAGTCTTGCAGCCGACGTCAAGGAGGGGCTTGATGTCGAGGTAGTTTGCTGCCAGGATGATCTCGAAAAGCATCTCCTGGTCGACCTGAATGAATTTGGCGTCCCAATCCGAGATGTCGGTGGTACGTCTTCGCGATTCCTCGGCATCATCAGCGGGTGCGGGAGGGTCGCTGCGGTGGTGGGAGCAGTATTCGAGGACCTGTGTGATTCGGGAATGGAAGTCGAAGGGTCAGAGCCATGTCAGAAGTCGTGCTGCATGTATGCTCAGAATTTTGGGATGCTGCGCTTACCTTCTTGAGCACGTTGGATGAGACGTTGGGCAAGGGAATAGGCTGGTCGTTGTCTCCAATGTCTGTGGGCAGAAGGAGGATAGCGTGTCAGAAGGTTCACTCGAAGGCATCTAGCGGCTTGCGAAGGAGCTTGAGCGTCAATGTTCCACTCACCCTCAAGCATCTGCTTGATTAGAACCGATCGCTCGGCGACGTCGCGCTCGACGGTGAACTGCTCGTTGTCGGAGGTGGTCAGGCTGACCATTTTGGCGAACTCGGAGGATGTGGAAGTGGCGACGGTGATGTTGCGAGTGTTGGACTAAGATACCAAAGCAGCTTTTGGCTGATTGGTCTGCTGTGAGGATGGTGGTGGACGAGTGTGATGGAAGGAGGTCGGTCGTCTTGGAGGTGGAAGGGTGGAGAGGAAAGGGTCGCAAGGGTCGACTGCGCTTTGCAGATGTCAATGCGCAGCAGGTCTCGCCAACTCAGATTGAGCGTGCATTCACATTAAGCCATTTCTGAAGTCACACCTCTTGCGGCTGGCTGCGCCTCAGCCGTGGTGGGGAGCTGACGCGCGTGGGATCGGTGTCCTGAATCTCCCGATTTCTCTCCGCTTCGGTTCACTCGTTCCAAAGATGGCTCCTCGCATAACTCGTTCAGAGCGCACACATCCACGTTCCTGACGGCGACAACATGAGTGATAGTCTTCTCTGATTGTATGAGTTGCGTGCGGATGTTGGACCGCATTTGAGAAGAGACAAGGTTGAACTAGTCGTACAAGCAGACGAGACGGTATTATGTATGTTGAGAAGGACAAATGTGCGGACAGAGCGAGCGGAGCATGCGACGGAAGATGTTGAAAGCGACTAAAAGTCAGGTATCTGGAAGAAGAAGATGCACTGTTGAAAGCAGGGAAGAGAATGCGTGACGTTACGTTGAGAAGCCCCGAGATTGTCCGGAAAGAAACAAGAATACGATCAAATGCCAAAGGAAAGGCAACGACCTCGAATGAGCGAGGCCATGGAAGAGAGAAAGGCCCGCAGTTGATGCAGGCCCTGGATTGGAGTGATGAGCTCGCCCGATCAGAAGGTCTGCTGATTATGCTGCCGTGGCATGGGCAGAAGCATGCCCGTTTGAGTGACCGTTAGCGAGCGAAGAGATCGAGTCGGTCACTAGTCCAGCTGCGTCACTGACGGCCGAGCCCAAATTAGAGAGCGAGCCGTTGATCCCGGCATTGGCCTTGGAGGCACTGAGGAATGGCTGGAAGATGGCATCAGAGGACTTGAAGTCGTTGTGCACGACATTGACGAGGAAGTAGCTGTTGAACATGTCCTCGAGGTACTTGCGCGATGGCGACGAGGGCTCGTACACCTTGGCCCAGTTCCTTCCGATTTCGTAGGCCTCATCCTTCCAGGCCAAGAACGAGATGGACTCGACAATGGTAGGCTGAATGATCTCACAATGTGGGAAGACGCCCCAGGTGACGGCGTTGGGAGCTTCCGAGTTGGTGTTGGTGCGCATGTCGCCTTGCGAGTTGACGGCGTGGTAGGTGATCTGAGGGTCAGCTTCGATCCTGGCGATCAAGGCGTCGAGGTCCTCTGGCGAGACAAAGAACTCAAGGTATGCCTTCTGGTAGACATAGCCGTTCTTGGGGCCCCAGCCGTGGACCTTGTCATCGCTGCGAGCACCGTCCACGGCGGGCTGCGAGTTGATCGTCAGGAAGCCGAGCTCGTTCATCTTGGTGAGCTTTTCGCTGATGACCGAGGTCTCACGTGCGACGCCGGTCTCGGACCACGGAAGAGCCTTGACATCGCCGGCGCAGAACTTTTGGAAGAGCGCCTTGACATCATCGAGCGAAGTAGGATTTCCCCACATCTCCTTGGCCTCGTCATTCGAGTATCGCAGCTTGACCCCGTAGGCGTCAAAATCGCCGTAAGCAGGCGAGCGCGCGTCACCCCATCGACCGTTGGGAAACTCGTCCCAGTCCTCGGTACGGTTGACGTAGCTCTTGGCTCGGTTGGCCCAAAAGATGGGACGGATCTTCTCTTCGCGTCTCTTGGGCGTGAGGCTGGGCGTCCATGGAAGCGGGCTGACCTGGTTGACGGACGGTGTCAGTCCAAGGTAGTCGAGGAGCATACGCGAACCTTTCTCGAGGTTCATGGTGTAGATGTGCAGACCGCTGATGCCGAGGCCGGTGCCGACAATCTTCTTGCACATCTCGCCGACGAGACGAGTGCCGATGTCTCGCACCTTCTGGTCGTCATCCTTGACGGGGTCGAGGGCGTCGTGGAAGTACTGAGGCACGAGTGTGCCGAAGCGAGCGGTGGCGCGCTGAAAACCACCGTAGGTCTGAATGGGCATGACACCGGGGATGATGGGGCAAGTGATACCTGCGGCTCGTACATCCTTGACCCACTTTGCAAAGATGTCAAAGTCATAGAACATCTGCGTGAAGATGAAGTCGGCACCGGCATCGATCTTTTCCTTGAGACGTTCGAGCTCCTTGTCCGAGCCATCAATAGCCTCGGGGTGACCCTCGGGAAAGCCAGCCACGGCGATGGCAAAGTAGTCGCCGTACTGCTCGCGAATGTACTCGACAAGCTCCTTGGCGCGAGAGAATCCGGCGGCGTGAGGCTCCCACTCGGACTGACCGGTAGGAGGATCACCTCGAAGGGCAAGGATGTTGCGGCATCCGAATTCCTTGGCTTCCTTGAGAGCGGTGTCGATCTTCTCTCGGGGCATGTTGGTGCAGGTGAGGTGCATGCACGTCTCGAGACCAATGTAGGTGTGGACGGTCTTGACTAGCGAGGCGGTGAGGTCCGAGGTTCTGCCACCAGCATTCCAGGTGATGTCGACGAACTCGGGACCGAGGTCGGCCATACGCTCAATACGGTCATAGAGGTTGGTGAGACCCTGAGCGGTACGAGGGGGAAAGTATTCGAAGGACCACCAGATGCGGCCTTCCTTTTCGGCCTTTGCGATCTTGTTGGTGATCTTCCAAGAGGTGTCCCCCTTGGGAGGGAGTGAGGAGTCGATGCCGTTGGACATGGTGACGGCGAAGCGCGGAGGGAGAATGTAAGGGCTGAAGTGAAGGAGGGAGTATTCCGAATCGAGGACGACGTCGAGCGAGCTTGCGTTTGCAACGTGTCTATGAAATCAGAACAGTGACCCGAACACGACAGTGACCCGGAAATTGATGGTCGGATGCTTTGGGTGGCAGACGACTTGTCTACTCGTGCAGTGGAGGAGGAGGGTGGTGGCGGCTGAAACGTAGGGCGAGGTCGTAGGTGGTGATGAGGGAAGGAGGAGATCCAATCGATGGAGGACGAGAAGGGTTCAAGTGTGAAAGGTCGCACGTGTGGCGAGGCCTGAGTCCGAGTTCTTCTCGAAAATATCGTTGTTGATTGGCGGCGGCTTTGTTGGATCAGCAGCCGCTTCGCTCTTTTCTTCTCACTTCAGGGTCTTACGTTGACAAGCGGTGATGGACACACAGGCGTGGGATGATTTTGATTTTCCTGCACTTTTCCGACCTCGCATCGATTGATCTGTGCTGAAGCTTGCTGCTCCTGCAGGGGCAAGAAGAACGTGGGGATGCCAGCTTCTTTGCTGAGGTACAAATTTGTAAGCGCACACCGGTCACTTTTGTGGTTTCATCGTGCATACTCGACCTGCATGATTGCCGAGACGTGGGTCGTTCTAGATGACTACAGACAGCCCATCAACCAACACCATCCCGGCCCGTGCAATGGGTCGTCATCCTTACGTCCCAACCTCCGCACACATGGTTTCCCGGATACAAACACGCTAGAACAGCCCCTCGAATGGACATGCAAGCTGCTCGACCTCGCAACAGCGTCCTACCTCAAATCATCGCCGTCGAGAGCCTCGTTCATGAACCACAATGATCAACATCAATCTCGCGCTTCTCAGGAACGTCCCAATATGAGCCGCTTTCGTATCCGTAGCAGAGCTGGCTCTCTTATCAACTCTGGCGTCGATTATCTCGCCACACGCGATTGGCAAGCTGTCGCCGGCACAGCTCGCTCCAGACTTCAGATTCCTTCTACCTCGTACAACGATCCGACCCGACGCTCCAGGGACGCTCCATCCAGCAACTTTTCTACCTCGCCAACTCTCCCTCGTATACGAGACATGTCCGGTCGCGCCGGCGTGGAAGACGTCGTTCTACTACCAGGATGGGCACAGCGTAGAGTGGCTCGCGACCGTCATCCGCAGGGTTGGGCTACCGTAGATGCTCCCGAGGATCTCGAAGATGGCGAGATCGAGCTTCATGTCTCCTTCCACGGCTTCGTCGCCAAGAAGCTCGACGCACCCAGCAGAAGCCAGAGGATCTTCAATCAGATGGCTCGTCAATTAGCTGGGCTCCCTAAAATTCAGCCTCAGCCTCTCGGCTCCTCAGTGCTTGACTCATCCGAGGCGTCAACCTTTGTCGAAGAACCGCAGCAAATCGAAGCCGACGAGGTTCCGCCGACGCCGTCCGACGAAGGCCACGAACATGCCTCCGAGCGAATTGCTCGCAAACTTCTCGCGAATGCCGACGATCAAACGCTTGTACGCCTCATGGAGAACCTGCACGCCTTTCCCACCGACTCGGCCGCCGCTCATAAGGCTACCGAGGAAGCCAATGAAGGTCCGTCGGCAGCACATCGTCCAGAAGGATTTGCTCAGCCACCCAAACGCACCGACACGATGCTCTCAGGCGGTTCCGCACAATGGCTGAGCAGAAGTATGGACGAGGTCGCCGCTTTTCACCAAAATCTGACGCGTCGTTTGCAGGCTTATTGGGTTTACAGATCACCGCACAAGGACGTGCACATCGACATTGCGCCCGTCATCAATGGCGCAGTCGCATGTGACGAAAAGGGCAATCGCATTACTCTCGCCTCTACACGCCTAACTTCGGATCTGTCAGGTCAGTTCGAGCATCGCCTCGTCATTCCATGGCATATGCTCTCCGCCTTCTGCCGCCACTATGCCGAGAAGCTCCAAGCCACTCCAGACGAGATCGAGGCCGTGGAGGTCCGGGCGAAACTGCTCAATCCACACGCAGAAGGCACTGCCGATGCTCTTTCCGAATCTTCATGGCGACGATGTCCCATCCAAGAGGATCATGCGCGCCATGTCAGGGTCGTCTCCGACATCGATGACACAGTCAAGCATACCGGTGTTGTGCAGGGCGCCAAGCAGATCCTTCGCAATGTTTTCGTACTTCCCTACAGCGAAGCCGAGGTCAAGGGCGTTGCTGACTGGTACCACGCCATGACGGATCTCGGTGCTGGTCTGCACTATGTCACCAACGCTCCTATGGAGCTTCACAGCCTGGTGTTGGACTTCTTAGAAACCGTCCGACTTCCCGTCAGCCATCTCGTTCTCAAGAATTATCCAGGCGGCGCCCGCAGCTTGCTTTCCAGCTGGTTCGAGCCAGCGGGGGAACGCAAACGAGCCAATGTCGTCAAGATCTTGGACGACTTTCGCTCCTCCCAATTCATTCTCATCGGTGATTCCGGCGAGCTCGATCTAGAGCTGTACTGCGCATTGGCTGCCGAACGTCCCGCTCAAGTCCGAGGCATCTTCATCCGCGACGTGAGCAGTCCAGCAACGCTCAATAACACGGCCTTCTCCGCTGCATCTTCCGTTGACAAGCTGCCCGAAGCTTCCGCGCAAAAAACAGCAGCGGCTTTGCCGACGGCTCCACGAAGCGCCATTACCCAGCCACCACCAGCACGACGGGCCGAAGCATCCGAGCCAGCTTTCTTCGACACCTCGTACCCGCCAAGAACTCCCACTGCATTAGACTTGCCAGCAAACAAATACGCAAACGAAGCAACAGATGCGTCCCGCTCAAGTCGCGCACTCTCTGAGCAAGAGATCAGGCAAGCACAAGCATTCCAGACCCGTCTCAACAAGGCCACCAGCATGCTGCCTCGCACCACCGTCTTCAGGCTCTTCAGAGAAGGGGGTGACGTCCAGGACACAGCCTGCCAGCTCGTCCGGGAACTGCAGAGCGGTACAAGACCTGCCGATCGACAGTAATTTCACCTCATGCTCCTCCAGCATTGTTTCCCGTCACCTCGTCTGCATCCTACCATGCCTGTGCTGTGTGGAATCGATGCACATCTTCTTGAGTCAAGTGATCGCCACTGTGTGATCGAAGCCTCATCATGCTGACTTACTCTAGCATGCCAGCCCATCATTGAGACAACGCCTTCGAACACATCGTCACTCTGAGATGGTGGGGTACTGCTGCATCGACGATGACGAGACGAACCGAGTGAGTCGCAAGGGCGCGAGACGCCAGCGGGTCGTGGTGATCGTGGGTCAGAGCGCACTTTCACCGAAACCGGGCGGCATCCAGAACGGAATCTGACGGGCCACGTCTTGTCTTTTGTCTGGAAACCGCGTGATGTGCCCCACAAATGTCGAGTTTCGGCGCTTTTCTCAAGTCTGAACTTGCCCGCGCTGTCTTTCTTTGTGATGTCAAGCAATTTCGACATGTAGATAGGCGCTAATATCGTGAATATTGCATTGCACCGCGCCCTCAGCTGTTTAGAATATGCCTCGATCAGACTCTGATCTTTTATGCTTCTCGAATCGCGAAAAGACACAAAATTATCTTGAGAAATTGGTCGGACAGATTACAGAAAAATCGCCAAATTTAGCAACATCCTACGAAAGAAGGCAAGAATGTCGTGTTTGTGAGCTCTGCTGCACGAAATGTGCGACGAAGTGCAATTTCTGATTGTCGTGAAAAAAACCACATCCAATACTGCTCACTCTCACGTCGTTAGCTGGAAAGCCAGTGACTTGAACCGCAGAATCATTTCGGGATGTTGATTTTGCCGTTCAGGATGCCCGTCCATGCAAACGTGGAACGCGGTGGTATTGACGTTACGCGCCGATCTGGGATGGGCATGGTCCAGCTCTAACGGAGCACCAGGAGGTCTACCTGATCACCTCTACAAGACCGCACTCGCCACATGTCTTGCGCACAAGATCACCTCGACGACGAACACTGTGTTCTGTGCGGACAGCGAGAAGCCACCATCATGCTCAGCAAGACCGAACAGCATGCCACGGCAGTGTAGCGGGCGTTCAGCGCACTGCGGTTGGTGACCGGGCACATCGACGGCGCTGAAGCATTTGCTCCCTGCTTTCGCTCAGTGTCTACTCAGCAACAAGACAGTGACATGCCGAGCCGAGGGTGTGGAGCCATCATCTCAGGCTTGCAGGCACGGGCGCGTGGCGAACTCAATGACAAACTGTGGTATGATATTGCAGGAGACGCGATGCCGGACCCCACCGGACGCTGGTGCAACTGTCCTCCTCTAGTGACCGACAGGATGAGAAGCATAGCTGCTGGATGCGCCAATGTTCATGTTGCCCATCTGCCGGTTCAGACCCGAGGCGTCAGGCTGCGAAGGGTAGCTTCCATTGTAACCGCTGCCCGATGCGCCCTGAGGCTGGAAGTGCTGCTGCTGGAACGCCTCGCTCTCGGCTCTTGCCCTCTCAAACAGCCTGCGCTTCTCGTCGTCGTGCGGAGCAGAGTTGTACCCTTGCTCAGGTTGTTGTTGCTGGTATCCCATCGGCGCATGCTGTTGTGGCTGAGGGCCAGAAGCGACTCGGCCCGTCGGAGCGTAGCTTGGATCCGCAGGACCGGAACCCGAGGGCTGAGGGTAGCCATGTTGTTGCGGCTGCTGACTGTACGAATACTGCCCCTGATCGTGAGGGTTTGAAACCGCTTGAGTCTGCTGCGCCGGATAGCCGTGCGCGTCTGGGTATCCAGACTGCTGCGCGTAGTCAGCCGACGACGCAGAGGCCTGCTGTTGCAGCTGAGGACGCGCACGGAGGTAGTCTTGGCTCGAGTGACCCGCCGGGTTGTATCGGGAAAGGCTCTGCTCCATCATCTCGTCAAATGATCCGCGTGCGTGGACGAACTTGTCGTTCATAGCCTTGAGCTCGGTGATCTTGTTGCTGTATCGGTCGATCAGCTTGACAATCTTTGGCCGCATCGCAAGCGATCGCTGGTACAGCTCTTGCAGCTCTTCGTCCTCGGCCAGGTTGTCGCGGGCAGGGTCGAGACCACGCAGTTTGCTGAGCAGCCTGTCGATATCGGCGGCCTGCGAGAAGATGTGCGCCTCCATCTCAGCTTCCCTCTGCAGCTCAGCGGGCGTAGGATCAGGCAAGACCTCGACGTAGTTGACGGGAAAGATTCCGGCTTCTCCCCTTACCTCGCCTCTCCACCAGTGCTCGTAGACGCTGTCCAAGACTCGGATGATCTCGCCTCGGGAGAAGGCGAGCTCGCCAGGCTCTGTGGGAGCAAAGTCGTACAAGGCACGCACACGGGAGGCGACAGCAGGCACAGCAGCTGCCGCTGCAGGCTGAGCGCCGGCGCTGGATCCAACGCCGTTCGTGTAAGTCGCTTGCTGCTGCGTGATGGGCGCTGAGCTGCTTGACGTGGGCTGCTGTCCGTAGGAGCTGCTGCCTCCAGCGGCTGGAGCGGAGGAGCCGGACGCCTCTGCCTGCTGGTTGCTGTAGCCGTTCCAGGCGCTGCGACCTCCCTGATCCTGGATGGATAATTCGAGAGCCTTGCGGAGCTGCTCGTCTTCGGCACGCAGCTGCTCGGACGTTGGCTCGCGCGGCTGCTTAGGCGCAGCGTCCTCGTCGACGACGGCGTCCTGAGACTTGAGAGATTCGTACGTCTCTTTCATCAGGCCCAGGCTCTCGTCATCAAACTCACCTGCCCACTCCTTGACGAGGGCTGAACAACGCTTCTTGACAGTTGCATGCGTGTTGCGGTCGAGGCAGATTCGAGCGAGCGTCTGAGTGAAAGACCTGCTTGCGATCTCCTGATGGGCAGAAAGACCGCAATTCTTGGCAACAGCATCGGCGAGGGTGAGGGCGAAGAGCTGTACATTCGCGTTGCGGTGCACGAGACGCTTCTGAATGGCTCCGATGCAGTTGCGAGCGCTACAGATGATCAAAGGAGAACGGAGGAGTCTTCAGTAAGCGATCCGGCCTTGTACACGACATAGGGAGGCCTTTGACTTACGCCGCTTCTCCTCCGGATGATACTTTGTCGCAGACCTCGAGGTTGAGCTCCCAGTTCTCCGATGTGAGCTCATCCGACGTTGCTTTGAGGACGATATCCTCGAAGGGATTCTTTGCCGTGAACATGTTGATACACCACTAAGCCAGACGCGAGGTGGGCTCGTGTGCTTCTAAAAGCTTGTGATGAGATCGAGGATAATGTTGGTGGTGAAGGTGGGAGCAAGAAGCTGTGCAGCCTGTCGACACACGCCTTGCACTGACCGAGAATGGTCCGTGAGTCTTGCTTTCGCTGCTGTCCGCTGAGCGAAACATGCAGCTCAGATTGACCGGGGCACCGCCACGAGCCTGCGAATTTAGGTTCTCCCGCGTCACAGCCATGAAATTGTGCTTATATGTGCTTACGTCGTCTCTCTTTCAATGCGCTTTGTTTGGTGTTAGAGAACCCTGAACTGCCAAACTGCGCCACGCAAACATTCCACCTCCTTGCCTTCTCGCCTCCCTCGCCCTGACCGCTCAGCTCACCTTTCCAGCATGACGGCAGCGACAGCATCAGCAGCAGGCCTGTCCGGTATCAGCCTCGACAATATACGCCTCACCACGCCAGCGGACGACGCTGCAAACGACTCGGACGCCGACTCGTTCGAAAGCGCGGATGATGGACCCAGCATCGCCGTGCAGGATGACGACGAGCCACCAGCCTTTCCGAGTATCAACAGCGCTCAGAGACAGGGCTCATCTTCAAGTAAGGCGACTCAGCCTGTGTCAGCCCCTTCGAAGGCTGCCTCTTTTCTGCAATCGGTAGCACCGCGGCCCTCATCTTCCAACACCCTGATGGCGCCACCATCCTCGCTAGCACCGCCTCGCAGCGGAGGACTTGCCGCGCCACCATCAACATCGGCATTGACCGCACCTGCAGGCATCGGTGGCGCATCAGGTGCGAAGGCACTAGGAGGCAAGAGTAGGAAGAAAGTGGCACTTGCGCCAGGGTGCAGTCCCCTGGACTGGGCCAGGCTCAAGAACAGCACGGATTTGAGGGGCGGCGTCACCTCATTGCAGAGAGTGACACCCTCCGAGCTCAAGAAGCACAACACTCGCGAGGATGCCTGGTCGGCCTTCTACGGGAAAGTGTACAATATTACGCCTTATCTTCCCTTCCACCCTGGAGGAGAAGACGAACTGATGCGTTGCGCTGGCCGCGACGGCACCAGACTGTTCGGTAGGCACTCAGGAGAAATAGCCCAAAGGGCCTTACCCAGTCACGATAAGGGCTCTCGCTGACCGTTTCATGCTTTCTTGTCACGCAAACAGCTTTGACTCATTCGTGGGTCAACATCGACTCGATGATCGACACTGCGATGGTTGGCATTCTCACGAGCGAGCCCTGAAGCATCAACGCACAGCACACTGATATCAAACTGTAAGATTGGAAGCATGCTAGATTACGTTCTTATATACCCACTACACCAATACAAGGTTGTTCAGTCTGGCCTCGCCAGGATCCGACTGCTGCGCAGGTGCAATCAAGCAAAGCCAACGAGGCCAACGCCCTTCTGTCGCTTGATGGCAAAGAGCTGCTTCGAGATCATGCCGTAGGTTGCCTTTCGCGCCAAGTTCTGACCGTCCTCGAACGCCTCAACACGAGCAGGGACGTCCGTGTCGTCGTGAGACTGGGCGTGGAGCCAGACCTGCATACCCGCGGTGGACCACCATTCGTGGCCGCGCAGCTTGAGTTCGTCGATGTTCATGCGGTGCGGCTCATCCGAGACGAGCATTTGGAAGATGACAAAGGCCGTCATGAGCACTTCAGGAGTGAGCTGAGCCGCGACGGCTGCGGATGCCTCACTCGCAGCGGACGAGAAGGTGGACGAAGTCTGGACAGAACCGACCGAGTAGTCACCAGCGTTGAACTTGTCGCCGCCACTCATGAGCAACTTCAGCACATCGAGCGTGTCGTAGTAGTCGGCGCTCTCGCGTTCGGGAGCGACGGATCGAAGCGCCTCTCCAAAGACTTCCCAGACCTTTTCTGTAGCCCTTTCAAGCTCTTCGGAACTTTCGCTGTTGGTGGCCAGTAGGTGCGAGGACTGCCTCGGCGGTGAGGCCTGGTGGTCAGCAACGGGAGCGGGGTCGATAGCTGCAGATGTGTCCGCGAGTTCGTGGTGGCTGTCGTAAGATTCGTGCTCGCGAGGTCGCTGGATGGTCAGATCAGCGGGATCGGCAAAGGAGTGCGAGGCAGAGATGGCTTGCTGCGATCTCGAAACGGAGATCTCAGCCTCGTGCTGCTCATCGTTCTGAGCATAGGGTCCTGTGCTGTAAGCCAAGTGCTGCACCTCTTCCTCTTCGTCCTCAATGTCTTCGCCTGCCGACTGTTGCGTAACATCCATCGTGCTGTTGACCAAGTCGTCTTCCTCTTCGTCAGCGACGGCCTCGGCGTGGTGAGCGGATGGCTGCGCGAAAGCATCCGCTTGTTGAGCCCTGGCCAGGGAAGCGCGGGGGGCTGCTCGCGGAGGAGTCTGCTCTCGTTGTTGCATCCTGCTGTCCTCAGCGGCAGCTTCAGCCCTTTGCTGACGGTCGAGCTCCTGCTTTTGCCAGGCGGTACGCGCATCGCGAAGCTCCTTGAGCATCTCGCCGAGAGCGAGAATTTCAAGTTCTTCCTTCTTGATACTGTCCTGCACTGCTGCGAGATCGGCGTTGAGTTGCTCGTTGGCAGAAGTGGTGCTCGCCGCCGGCGTAGTGTCGGTCTCTATAGACGAGAACTGACTGATAGGCTTGCCCTCAGCAGTAGCGCGGAGCTGGGCTTCCCATTGACGAATCTGCTGCTCGTAGCTCTTGATGTCCTGGATGTAGCCAGCGTGCGTCTTGAGGAGCCCTTTGATATGCTTGCGGGTCCTGGAACCCTTGCCGCAGGTGTCGTTGAGACGCTGGGCAGCGAGCAGCAGAACTCGAGGGTCGACGCTCTGATCGTTCTGATTCTGGAAGGACTGCTTGTTGGAAGCGACGTTGTTGTTGCGCAAGGGAGTAGGAGGAGCGATGTGTCTGGGCTCTGGCAAACGCGGGGCCAGCAGGAGGTCGGCATCATTGGCGTCGACGGCGCCGTTTGCGCGGACGGAAGCGTCATGAGCGGCCCTGTGATTAGAGGAGCTTGGACCGGCACGAGAGCTGGAAGCGGCTTGCGGGACGGGAGGGTACCAAAAGAGGTTGGCCTCGGTCTGAGCGTCTGCATCGCGAATGTAGGTATAGATTTCGAGACGCTCGCGGTTCAAGACGGCCGAGGTGAAGGGAGTAGCGTCGGCGCCCTTTCGGGCTCGCTTGCGTGCAGCGGCCTGACGCGAGTTGATGGCGTCGAGCGTGTTGGTGAGTGACTGCAAAGCGTTGTCCATGATTGCGATAGTGGGGATGATGGTAGAAGATGGTCAGACGGCGCGCGCTCAACTGTTTCAAGTGTTGTTCTCCTGGCCCGATTTGCGCAATGCGAGCTCGATTAAAAGTGTTGTTCCCTCTCGCCAAAATCGAGTCGCGTGTTTGGCTGGGATCTCGCTCTGAGCGACGCGTCGAGCTAATTTGCCAGTGGTTTCTCGACCGAGAGAGCGACTGCAAGCAGCGCTCGGCCATCTCCGACCGTGTGTGCATCTTCATCATGTCGCCGCGGTTGAAGGAAATTTGCTGTTTGATGTTCACAGTGCCGATAAGCATAAAAGGTAGCCAAGGGACCCTGATGGACTCCTCCGACGTTCGCTTTTGGTCGTTGTCTGTTCAATCCTACTGTATTCGTGCCGTGCTCTCCATCTCAAGTCTTCCCTTCTCACGCTCGCTTGGCCTCGGCGACTCTAGCACAGCTGATCGTTCTTCTCTCCGCCCACCCCAGGCTGTATCTCGAGCTCCGTTCTTCGACAGCGCATCGATATCTCTCGTGCACATCATGTGTGGAACTCGCAGGCCCAACGGCGACGGCGCTCATCTCTCCGCCATGGCACGCAACCTCTCCATGCAGGATCCTGTTAAACATTCAACGGCTACAATGAGCGACGAGCACCCTTTCGTGCACGACGATCTAGGACCAGAGACCCCTCCTGTGCCGCGCGCAGATGCTTCTCACTATTCTGAAGCCGACGAAAAGCGACTGCACGAATCCGACGGTCACTACTGGGCTCATAGACGCATCTCCTCCTCTCATCAGAATTCTCCAGCCATCGATATTCCCTCTCGTCTCCAAGCCTCATTCACTGCTGACTCGCAAAACGAGCTCGAACCCACGTTTGCTTCCACCTCGCTCGCCGAGAGATCCTCGGTCTTTTCTTCGGGCTCACTCCAGGAAGACCGACGTTCCAACGCCGATCTGGACGTCTCCGGAGATGGAACTCACGTGCCTCCTCCCAACGTCGCTACCATCTTTCATGACACTCAACCCGCTCAAGGCTCGGTCCCCAAGCACAGCAACCTCCAGGCCGCCAAGGACATCAATCATTTTGCAGCATCCCCCGCTGAAGCTGCTGCCGCCGCTGCTGGTCTCGGCGCGGCTCCTCATGCTCCTCTGGGAAATGCAGTCAACGGCGATCCTACACATCTCAGTGCTTCCAATGTCGCCGTTCACTCCGAACTTTCTGGTGAGCTGCGCGCCCTCTACACCAGCTTGCAGACCTGCCTCGAGCTCAGAGACAAGTACATGGGCGCTAGTCTTCAGGGCGCATTGGAAGACAATCCTAAGAATTGGGACGCTGAGTACTGCGCTCGTCAGGCGGCTGTCAGCGGCGACGTTACACCACGAACGGCATCCGGTCCCGTCGCTGAGGGGACCATCCAGATCGACGGTTCATCCTGTGACTCGGAATCGAGCAAGCCTAAGCCCTGGCGCATCTATCCCGCGCCGCCGCGTCCCCATTGGGAACTCTTCAATCCTCCACCTGCATCGTCATTCGTCGTCCGTCCCACATCGGTCAACCCTCTACCGCCACCCATCCCTCCTGCCAGTCCCGCCAATGCCCAAGCCGCTCAGGCGCTCCTCGAAAGCACCGGCGGCAAGCCTGGTCTCTACCGCGAACAGGACGTCGTCATTCCTTCCGAGCACACACGCAACGGATCAGCCGTCAGCTGGCGCATGGACGAAACCGGTGTGATCCAGGTGTACGAGGGCGAAGCTCCTGCAGCCTTGTCAACTCCGACACAGAGCGTCGACGAGCCAGCACCCGCAAGTACACCTACTGGCCCCAGAAAGGAGCCCCTATTCCGCATCCCCACCATTCGAGAGTATTTCAAAGATCTCGACTACCTCCTCGGCGTCATCTCTGATGGACCCGTCAAGAGCTTCGCCTGGCGCCGACTCAAGTATCTCGAGAGCAAGTGGAACCTCTACTTTCTCCTCAACGAGTACCGCGAGCTCGCAGACATGAAGCGCGTCCCTCATCGTGACTTTTACAATGTCCGTAAGGTCGACACTCACATTCACCACAGTGCGTCGATGAACCAAAAGCATCTTCTCCGCTTCATCAAGGCCAAGATCAAGCGGTTCCCCGACGACGTCGTCATCCATCGTGATGGCAAGGACCTTACCTTGCAGCAAGTGTTTGAATCGCTCAATCTCACTGCCTACGACCTTAGCATCGACACCCTCGACATGCACGCTCACCAGGACGCTTTCCACCGTTTCGACAAATTCAACCTCAAGTACAACCCCATGGGAGAGTCGCGTCTCCGTGAGATCTTCCTCAAGACCGACAACTATGTCAAGGGACGCTACCTTGCCGAGCTCACCAAGGAAGTCATGACCGACTTGGAGCAGAGCAAGTATCAGATGGCAGAATATCGTCTCTCCATCTACGGCAGGACAAGGGGCGAGTGGGACAAGCTCGCCAGCTGGGTTGTCGACAACGGCCTCTTCAGCCCCAACGTCCGATGGCTCATCCAGGTCCCTCGCCTGTACGACGTCTACAAGGCCAATGGCACCGTCGACAATTTCGAGCAGATCATTCGCAACGTCTTTGAGCCGCTCTTCGAAGTCACGCAGAACCCCAAGAGCCATCCCAAGCTGCATGTCTTCCTGCAGCGCGTGGTTGGATTCGATCTCGTCGACGACGAGAGCAAGCCCGAGAGACGTGTCCACAAGAAGTTCCCCGTGCCAAAGCTGTGGGACTTCAAGGACAGTCCGCCTTACAACTACTGGCTCTACTACATGTTTGCCAACATCTCGAGCCTCAATCAGTGGCGAAAGCTGCGCGGCTTCAACACGTTCGTGCTGCGACCTCATGCCGGTGAAGCGGGTGATACGGACCACATGGCGGCTGCCTTTTTGACATCGCAGTCCATCTCGCACGGCATTCTCCTTCGGAAGGTGCCAGCGCTGCAGTACCTCTACTACCTCAAGCAGATCGGTCTGGCCATGTCGCCGCTGAGCAACAACGCGCTTTTCCTGTCGTACGATCGCAACCCCTTCCCCAACTTCCTCAAGCTCGGCATGAACGTCTCGATCAGCACCGACGACCCGCTCCAATTCCATCTGTCCAAGGAACCGCTGCTGGAAGAGTACTCGGTTGCGACGCAGATTTACAAATTGACTCCAGCAGACATGTGCGAGCTGGCTCGCAACTCGGTCTTGCAGTCAGGATGGGAGATGGAGATCAAGCGACACTGGTTGGGACCCAACTTCCAGCTGCCGGGTCCGAGGGGGAATGTTGTGGCCAAGAGCAATGTTCCGGACATTCGTTTGCGTTTCAGGGAGGAGACGCTTCGGGAGGAGCTGGATCTCGTCTGGCAGAATCAGGCGCCCATGCCTTGACGAAGCCTGCTTGTTTTATTGTTTCAGCCGAATGGAATGCAATGTCTCATCCTCGTCCTCATTTGTCCCGTGTCGTGTGATCACATGGCGACGAAATCAGTGCGTGAGGGCGATGCGAATGTGAAGCATGCTGCGTGTGTTACGATGCGAGAAGAACAAAAAGCATTGCTAACATCACTTGGCTTGTGAGAGCTCTACAGCGACTTTGACAGCTCCGAGCAGAGCGGTCAGCTGGATCTTTTCCGAGCCGCCTGTACTCAATCGATGTCTGTGGTCCGGAGAATGAAGGCAAGTCGAGAGTGTCAGTGAGAGATCCCGCGTTACACGAGCTGCATCGAAGGAGCATGGTACTCACTCAGTATCCGCGAGGTGGTCCAACAAGTAGATCCTCGACTTGGCCGGCAGCTTGATGGTCGCCAACAAGTCGTATACGCCACTGATCATATCTGCCAACGCGATGCCCTTGGCCGTCTTCAATTCGGACACTGTCCTGTATGCCGTCGTGAACTCGTCCTCCATCATGGACTTGAGCACGGCCTCGATGTCCTGCGGGTGCGGGTTGCCGGTGCAATTGTAGACCGCCGTCTCGTCGATGTGGTCCGAGGCGGCGTGACACGCTTGCAGCACGTTGAGCGCTCGACGCATGTCACCGCGCGAGAGCTTGAGCAGCGCCTCCTTGCCGTCCTGCGTGATCTTGCACCCCTCGTTCTCAATGACGTGATTCAGCCGGTCCTCGACTTGGTCGAGCTCGAGCGGGTTGAAGCGGAAACGCGTGCAGCGCGACTGGATCGCAGGGATGATCTTGTTGACGTAGTTGCAGATGATGCAAAAGCGCACGTTCTTGGTGTACTGCTCGATCACTCTCCTAAGCGCGCCTTGCGCAGCCTGAGTCATAGCGTCGGCCTCGTCCAGTACGATGAGCTTGAAGCCTCCTTTCGAGCTGAAGACACTCTTTGTGCTGGCAAAGCTCTTGATCTGCTCCCTCACCACCTCGATACCTCTGTCGTCCGATGCATTGAGCTCGAGGACGCTGTTGCGGAACTGCGGGCCGAAGATCTTGCGCGCCATGGCGAGGATCGTAGATGTCTTACCCGTTCCTGGTGGACCGTAGAAGAGCAAGTGCGGGAGACGGTTCTTGTCGATGAAGTTCTGGATGGTCGATGTGATGTCTTTGTGCGAGACGAGGTCGTCGAGGCTCGCAGGGCGGTACTTTTCGACCCATGGGAGCAGGTCGAGATCGGATGCCGCGGCGGCGGGCCCATCTTCTGCTTTGCCTTTGCCTTTGGAGCTCATGATGTCGAGAATGCGCCGTTGGGATCCGGGAGGTGTTGGCTGATGATGAGCAAGAAGTATGTCCAAGCTCAGCCAGGAAATCTGTTGTTCTTTTTGGAATCAAACGTGCGCGCCCACTCTACGCGACCTCAACTCGCGAGTCGCGCTCTTTGCTCTATGCGATCTTCCAATTCTTCTTACTCAAGAATCCTCCACCTGACATCAAACGCTGATGAAATACAGGCCAGCTCAGAGGACAAAGATGGTATATGAGGAGTTGAGTTCGAATGTACTTGAAACTAAGCGATGCCAGCCTGCATCACACCAACACGCGCCAAGTTGCGGGCCAGCGACAGCCTAACGGCATCCAGCTTGTCGGAAGCCTTGACCGACGGCTGGGCTTGCTTGCTCGTGTCCGCCTGCTTGCTCTTCTTCTGCTGGTTTGAAGACGAATCGACGCCGAGAAGCTGGTCGAGGTAGCCGAGGAAGTGGTCCGACATGTCGGGATGCATCGAGACAGCGTTGGTGATGCGTTCGACGATGCGGATCAATTCGAAGGTTTGAGAGCTGTCAAACCAGGTTGCTTGTCCGTCTTCCAGGAGAGGAATAGCATCAACCAACAGCACGGCTAGAAATCGCTCCGGTGCGGCCTCCGTAGTGACGAGCTCGACAAGAAGCCCGGCAGCAGCTGCCCATTGTCCGTCGGCGTACAGGCGATGGAAGTCGCGGAAGCGCGCCAAGAATGCGAGTCGATTTGAGAAGAAGCCGCGAGCATGCTTGTTAAGCGCAAGACCCTGCTCGTCGTTGAGGTCTTCGCCGTCCAGGTCGAGGCCATCGGCTGGCGAGATCAGCGAAGAAGGGAACGAGTCGACAATCTGGATGAAAGCTTCGGCGCCCTTGCTGACGTATTCTCCCAGGATGCGCTCTGCGATGGTGCGGATGAGCACCGTATCCGACGCCTGGACGCAGTAGGCGATTGCGACACCGTACTGGCCCTGATCCATGAGAGTCCGAGACATTCTTCGGCAAACTACGCGAGCCTCGAGCTCCAGGCCATGATCCGAGCACGCTCTGAGCACTTGTTCAGCACGCGCCAGAGACTTGGCTTGTTTGCTGGGCGCAATTGCACTGCCGTCCGCGCCCTCATCCATGGCGATGTCTGCGTCATCCGACTCCTCGGTCGGATCTGGTCCGTCCAATGGCACCGACAAGATGATGTGCGACATCTTCTTCCTGCCTGCAGCTCCGCAAGCAGCCAGATAGTCGATACTGATCCTCCACAAGCCTTGCTCGTCCAACAAGCTTTGAGCGTACTTCAGCAACAGACTCTGGCGCAAGTCGCTCGGGCCTGCCTGATTGTCATCCTCGAGAAGACCGACCTTGTCCGCGAGATCGCCAAGATGAGCCCCGAGCCAGATGTCGACGTCTTGCGCCCTCTGTACTGCTTGACGCACTTGACCTTTGATAAGGTACTGCTGCACAATCTCGTTAGGGACGGTGCCGTCGATGGGGAACTTTTCCAGGATGATCGCCGCGGTTGTCGGCACATCGTCGCGTTTGAGCGTTGGGTGGACGAGGGTGCCCCAAGCGCCGAGCGCTTCTCTCCAGTCTTCGCAGGCTTCGAAGATGCGATCCTTGACACCGGCCATGAGCTCTAGCAGACATCGGAATTGCGCTTCGTACTCCAGTCGCTCGTCTTCGACTTCCTCGGTGTTGCCTCCTTCTGCCTCCATCTCGTCCATCTCCTGCTCAAGACCACTGATGAGCTTGCGCACGTTGCTGAGCCAGCTGCGATGAGCGGCGACAAATTCGTGCTCCATCGAAAATTGCGTGGAGCGCGGCAGAGTGGAAAGGAGCCTAGCGCTCTTTTGCGCGACCCTGCGGATGACTGACGAAGAGTGCGAGTCGAGCGACTTGAGCACTGATGCTGCGGATGTGTGGAAGCCACGAAGGACACATCGAAGCACGTAGTCCCAGTAGGATGGATGCTCGTGTGGAACCGCGGATTCCGCAATTTCTTGACCCTCCTCTGTGGTGGGAGCAACATCGAACGAGTTGAGCCAGTGCAGAAGCTCTTCGCCGACGACACTGATGCCACGTCCATCTTTTGGGTAGTAGAGTACTTCTGCAAGGCGGAGGATGGTCTGCGCATCGCGCCATGTCTGGAACTGATCTGAGTCTACGCTGTCGTCGAGCTGTATTCTTTCGAGGTAGTACTGAATGGCACGAGCGTAGTGCTCGCTGATTCTGTTGTAGTACTGAATGGTCTCAGCGGACGGAAGGACCGATGAGCCAGCTGCGCCACGACCTGTTCGGTCTGTGAGAAGGGCTTCTTGATGGATGTGTTGCAACGAGGTGAAGATGGTGTAGGTCTGCGTGTAGAGTGCTTTGAGGTCGGATGAAGTGCCCCAGTCATAGCTGACAATGGTGGCTGCTGGTGCTGCTGATGCAGCTGCACTGATGGCCATGATTGATTGGTACGTCCGATCGCGGCACTTGCGTTGCGTTGGATGGTGATGGACGAGAATGGCGGTTTAGAATGTTGCTTAGCAGCGCAGCGCGTACAGGATGTTTGGTGTTGGTCTGAGTGATTTCGCGACCTCGGAACTCGGCGAGTTTCCTCCACCCGCAAAGCGAGAAAAAAGTGAGGCGCCGCACAGATGTCGAGAAGACCTCAATTGAAGATGCAGGCTTACGCTGCACAATGAGCCTGGCGGGATGCTCACGACGCACACAACAAGACCGCTGTCGCTCAAGCTGAAGACAACGAGCAGTGCAGCAAGACCGACGATGCTTTCCAGAGAAGCGAAGATTGCGTAAAAATACAGGATGCAGAGACGCGAAGAGGAACTGGGTATATGGACTGGTCGAAAGACCGGGATGGACGCACTGAGCAGCCAGGCATCGAGGAAGACGAGCTGACTTGGGAAACACGAAAGTTTGAGAGTCCAAGTCGTGATGGCCTATCGTGGGTAGAAGAGGCTTAAACGGCGGGATGCGAGCAGCTTAGGCGGCCATGTCCTTTGCAGGCTCGGCCGTCTTAGGTGCACGCTGCTTGTTATCGATGCCCATACCGACAGCGCGCAGACTCTCTTCGATGGTGTAGGCGGGCTCCTCGGTGATCTTCTTGGCCCTTCGTTTGTGCAGCTTGGAAGCGATGTGTGTGAGCTGATCCTTCTGCGAAGGGAAGTTGCGGTCGCACTCGACGCAGTAGAACAGGCCAAGACCGGCTTTGTCAACGTCGAGCTCCTTGGGGTTCTGAAGGTCCTCGAGCTTCTTGGGGTCGTTGAGGTTGGCCTGGATCTGGTCTGGGTCAAGCTTCCTTGCTCTTGTCCTCATGGCACGCTTGACATCGCGTCGAGCGTGATGGGTCTTTTTGCCGTGTCGTGTGCGCGTCATAGTGCCCTCGAAAGCTGCCCTTCTAGATCTGCTGGGTATGCAAGGTCGTTCGAGCGATGAAAAGATGTGACCAGATGTATGTAGAAGCAACTGTTTGGCGATGATGGTGGCGGCAGCAGGGTCAATTCGTACAGACAAAGACCAACGTTACAGATGCAGCCAAAATTTCACGAACATCCGTCAGTCAGGGTCTCGCTCTTTTTCGCGAATTCGACATTTTGGAGGGTCGTGAGGCCAAATCGCTATCTGAGACTTACTCGCCCGATTGGCGCGATCGCACAATTATCGCTTGAGGGTGGTCACATGATCTTCGGCCGAGCTTTTTGAGGTTCGTTCAGAACTCGATAAAGCGCTCTGCAGCGTCAGATTTCTCGGAGTCGGTTCAATGATAGCAGGCAAGCGGGTCGGTCTGAGTCAGGCAGTCAGAGAGTCTGAGTTCGTGGCTGCTAACAGCTCGACTAGGAAATCTCGATTCGAGTTGAGTCGAAGTTCCGCAGCTGCAGTTGAGCATAGCACGTCAAACGTAGCTTCAGGTGATCCTTCTGCTCCACCGTCAAGACCATCAACACATCACATCTCGTCAAAATGGTAAGCTATCATCGACATCAGGAGCATCAAAGACATCGCAGAATGTGCGACATTGCCGACATAGCACTGTATGAGGTGACGCAGCCACGACCGGTCCAACCAAACATCACCGACATCTATTCGACTTCCAACAATGCTGGACAGCGGCTGAGTGGAGACATCATCGCTCAAACAGGCTCGTCGACACCCCCCAGTATTTGTGCAGAGATGGCTATGCGGCCCAATACATCGATGCAGGAAGCCGCATGCGCAGGTTGCGGTCTTGGATGGACTCGCTAGGACTAGCATGGGCACTGTGGTCAGAAACGCAGTGCGCTCGATGGCGAGCCCGGACGGGAGCAGTCACGATTGCTTCAAGGCGATCCACTCAGCGTCACCACAGCACATGAACAGGAACCATTTGCACTAGCATTTGCGGATCATCGGATACGTCCGCGCCGCACGATGTCGCAACGAGATCATTCGCACCGGGTCCGGCTTGCGACCACAAAGGGCATACCTAGTGATCACCGCGTGGGGCCAAGGGATACGCGCGATACGCTGGAACAAGCCGTCGACAATTTGCGAAGAAGCGATGATGGGTCGTAAGGAGTTGGAGCTGGCGAATTCGGTCGAGGACAGCTCAGCTATTCCGTCGACAACGATGACCACGCCAACTGCGGACATTGCCTTCTTACGACACTTCAGATGCACCCGTTATCGCTCAGATGGTCAACCTAGCATGCATCCCTTCCTCCCGACCAGCATGCATCGACCAACCTCGCTACGCATCTTCAGCTTGCTTGCCTCGCATCGTCTGCCGTTCCGCGTTGTCAGCTCCCAGCCTCTTCATCATATCAACAGCATCACTGACCCGTCCGCATTCTTTCCACCCTCTCCAGTCTCGTCTTTACGTCAAGGGAAGGATCATGGGCCACAAGCGCTCGCAGCGCGTCGCCAAGTGCCACACCACCCTCATCAAGATCGAGGGTGTCGAGAAGACCGAGGATGCCAAGTTCTACTTCGGCAAGCGTGTCGCCTACGTCTACAAGGCGTCCAAGGAGGTCCGTGGCTCCAAGATCCGCGTTCTCTGGGGTCGCATTGCCCGCTCGCACGGCAACTCGGGTGTTGTCCGCGCCAAGTTCGCCCACAACATCCCTCCTCAGGCCTTCTCCGCCCGTGTCCGTATCATGCTCTACCCCTCGAGCATCTAAGCATGTCCGCACCAATACCAACCATTTTGCTCTACCGACACACACACACCCACCAAAAAGGCGATGATCGCTGTCCTGTGGATTTGTAGCGCGTAAGGATAGCAGCAAGCTTCGGCTCGACTTCGGCGAGGGCCTTGTGTTTTTAGCAACCTCTCTCTTCTCCAGGCCGTTTCTTTTTCTTCGTCATTTCTTTTGGTCGGCTGCCCCTCCCATCTGCCCTCGACCGAACGAGACCCGACTTGCCACGCCCTTCTTTCGACTGCTACGTCCATACACCAAAAGTCCATCGATCATCCGACCAACCCCCACACTCGACCTATGCATCTACCGTATCCAACAAGGAACGGCCCCCACTTTACACTACATCCCCGCACAAAAGAAATGCAGAAACATAACGCCAGACCCATCCGTTCTCTCGCTGTGATTGCACCTCTCTCCCCTGCCCCCTCTTCAGCCCTTCCTTGTCCTTTCGCTCTGTGATCCGTGAGAAGCACTCCTGTATTATCTAGTTGCGGGCATAGACATCCCCACAGTCCGCGACTTAAACTAACAGGAAACATCAACACTGCTTTCCCTCCTCTTCGCGCGCACTTTGTGGTGAGTGCGAAAGGGAGGGCCAGCAAGCGGTTCTTGCAGATCGGCCCCGAAACCCAATCATGAAGAGGCACGTTTTGAAGGGATTGCACAGTTCTCAACTTCTTCCAACACGTTGTACCCAGATACTTTAGAATGAGTTGGCTGCTGCGCTCTATGCGGTACAAATACAAAGGATTCGGTCTAGGTACTATCTGGTGGAGCGTCCGGATTGACGCGCGTGTACTGCGAGCGATCAGGTGTTTGACTGAGGACTCGACCGAATCGACCCGTGATGCTGTCTCGGAGCGAGGCGAGGCCCTGTGCGGGGCGAAAGGAGGGTATGCTAGGACCCACCATGTTGCGGGCGAGGATCATCCACATGGGCGGCCACGAGTCGTCCGCAGAGACCGGTCCTAGCCCGTGATACGGCTCTTCCTCGTCTGTCACCGGTGGTAGGGTCGAGAATGCTGCGGGTCTAGAACGCCGTGAGAAGCTCCGGAGGCGACGCGTGTCTGGTCGAGGGAGGTCTGGTTGCGTGGGAGCGGGTACTGGGTCGACAGAAGGCTGATCTGGCTCGACGACGGGGTACTCTTCAACGGGATTGCTGTCCAGGAGCTGCCCCGCTCGAATCTGGTCGAAGATGGGACGTAGTCGGATCACAGCAACGTGATGCGTCAAGCTCGTCCGCTCGCGCTTTCTCACATCTTCTTCGTCCAGCCCAAAAAGGTTCGCCTCCTCGTCGCGTACATCCCAGCCTTGTCCGAGGTCCTCCTCCTCCAGTGTGCTCGTCAGGTCGTCCAGGGCGCTGACTGCATCATCCGGCTTGATTTCGTCCTTGCTTGTCTCGAAGGCGACCACCGTCAACAGCAGCTGAATGAACCAGATTCCCATATCGATAGTCAGCACCTGCAGCCGCCCGGGCAGGTAGCTGTGCCCGACGAAATCGATCAAGAGCGCCTCTCCCGTATTCGTTATGCTTGGCGGCGACCAGAGGTGCGCCAGAGCAAAGATTCCGTTGATGCCAGAGAGAAACACGACGAGAAAGGGCAGCGTCCATGTGGGCTGGATGTGTATCGAGTTGTGGCACTGCCATTGTAGGACCGCTCGGAAGAGGAGCGAGAGGGTGCGATTGTCGAGCAGCCATGTGTAGACGAAGAGGACGTAGCAGAGCAGATCCAGCGACTGGATGAGCTCCTTCCTCTCGAAGTACATGGCGTCGTCGTGAGCGTTGCAGTGCTTATGAGCCCATCGCTGCTGGTCTTGCTCTCCGCTTCGAAGTGTCTGCGACGCTGCACGAGCAGGAATCAGAAGAAGCTGTGATGGTGTTGCACATTGTACGGCAGGTGGGTCCATGCGCCGTTGGCGAATGTGACTTTTCAAAGGTGGAGCACGTCCATATCGGGGCCGATTCAGGTGTGACTTCTGAGAGTGAAAGATGCAGGCTGGACCCTGAACAGCCGACGCGAAAGTTGGACTTTGACAGTTCGCGTTGAGGTTGTGGTACTCTTCCCACCTTCATCCATCACGACGCTGCGCCTCCGTGCAGCATGTATCGGCCATATCAGCCGGATCACGCGAATGCAGAGTCGGGACCATCTCGACTAGACGCCGGCTCGGCCGACCGACCAACGTCCTCGGACCCCCAGCCCAAGCTCAAGAAGCGCCGACGGCTCCAATTCACCTCGCAAATCCGCAATACCGTCCAGCGCTACAATCCAGACGGCACCGAGACCGTCGAGTATCTCCACCAGCAGTCCACTCAACGACTCAAGCGCAAATGGGACAGCATTTTTGATCGCTTCAAGGATGCGCATCTGCAAGAGCAGGATGAGATTTATCTCGGCAATCGTGCCAATGGCGAGCCGATCGTGGTGGTCAAGGACAGAGGCAGTCTGAGGAGCTTGCGGCAGGACATGGAGTTTGGCGTCTTTATCAAGGATGAGGAGCTACAAGGCTGGAAAGAACGGCCCGAAGCGAGGGAGATGCAAGATGACGAAGATGAGTATGAAGAGGACTTCGATCCTTCGCATATGCCTTTGCATCAGAGACAGCTCGCGGGTGCCTCCAGTAGCGAGTCTGAGGACGAGGAGGAAGACCCGGCGGCAAACGATCCTGATCTGCGCGAGTTCTTGCAAGCAGAGGCGCAGAGGAAGGCCATGCTCGGGCAAGGTGGCACTGGAGATCAGGGAGCGGAAGAGGAGGACGAAGAGATCATCGACTTTGGTGATCCGGCATGGGCCGATACTGAGACTTCAAGGAACGTCTTCATACCTTCGACGCAGACAGCTACAAAGGTGGCTCGCACATCAAAGCCGACATCAGCTCCATCCCGTCTGTCTATGCCACAACCCGAGCTGGCACAATCGTCTTCCGAGGACGACGACGACACCGACGTGGTCACCGTCCACAGCGACTCGGACGAAGAGCTCATCGAGTCGATCCGAACAAAGCGCCAAAACATCGAAGAGCTACTTCAGTGCACCACGCCGTTCGAGACGTTACCATACAACGACATCTTTGGTCTCGCTGACCTGCTCAAGATCTCCGACAATACATCGCGTCTCTACGTCGACCTCGTGTCTGATGACGAAGACGAACTCATTCCTATGGCACCGCAGACCAAGGACGAGAAGCCTGCAGTGAAAGCAATCGCCGGTGAAGAGGTCATCGACATAGCAAGCTCCTTGCCAAACACGGTCATCGATCTCGTCAGCTCCCTGCCGAACTCTTCGAGCGTCGTCGAGATCATGTCATCTCCCGTGCCGAGTCCTGCGGTGTCGAGAGCGTCGTCGCTGGAGCCCGCTGCACCAGGCTCGGAACGGTCCATGACGCCTGACGAGGACTCGTCCGGCATCGCACTCGTCGGGCCGCTCGGCCAGACTCCGAACGGGGCGGTCGCGATGCTGCCGCCATCCAGCAACCACTCTCTGCAGAGTACACAGCCAAGTCAGCCGGAGCCTGCAGTGGCAGTCAAACTATCGCCGTTGCCAGTGGCAGTAACACGATCGTCATCGCCGCCGATTGCTGCAGTAGCATTGCCGACTCAGGCACCTGCGGTAGAAGATGTGGGATTACCGGAGCTAGCACCACCAGCAATGACGCCACCAGCAGCAACACCACCAGCAGCAACGCCGGTCGTAGCAGCGCCAGTAGCAGCAGCGACAGCAGCGATGGAAGAAGAAGAGGAGGAGCTTGAAGAACAAGAAGCACCGGTGCTGGTTCCGGCGGTGAGGACACCGTCGCCACCTCAGCCATCGGTGATAGCATCGCCTGCATCTCGTCAATCCTCACTCACACCTGCTGCTCCCCCCCAGCCGCGTCAAGAGTCTCAGCCTCGACCAGCGACACCACCTCGCGCGCCCTCGCCAGAGCTACACAAGCCATTGTCAGTAGCAAGACCATCAGCCGCGACTGTGGCCTCGTCATCGACATCCGTCCCAACCTCGGTCTCCGCTCCATCTCTCTCCTCACGGCCCGATCGCGAATCTCCGCACCGTAGACACTCGCACAAATCCAGCGAGAGTCGACGCAGCTCCCACTCCAAGCGTCACAGTCTTGGCGCGGACGACGTGAGCACAAAGGCGAAGAAGAAGAAGCGCTCCAAATGCGGCGGCCCGGACAAGTGCAAGAAGACCTTCTGTTTGAATTGCGCGAGTCTGTCTCGTTGATGAATGCATGGCTACAGTGTTCTACAATTCACGTCTTGCATTGTGCGCTGTGTCGGCTGAGGTGCGAGTGTGATTGTTCAATGATGAAAGGAGAGGGTTGAAGGTTGATCAGGCCTTGAGACGGAAGACGTCCCTATTGCGCAGGAGGATCTGCTCGGCGAGATCGGCGCAAGCGAGCTCTTTGGCGTCTTTGATAGACCCTGCGGACCGGGGGCTGGTTGCGATCAGGCCGTCGAAGTTCACTGTGACGGTGAAGGCGAGCAGGTGGCTGTGCACACAAGGGAAACGGTATCAGCGTTAGGAATTGAGAGGAACGGGAGAGAGAGGGTGAGTGGACCTACGCAGCGCCACTCGAAGTGTGGGTAAAGACCGGATCTTCGACGTTCATCTGAGCTGCCCATTCATGAATCTGTGCAACGCTCGATCGTCCCTTCTCAAAGAGCACCGCTTTCCCCTTGCCCTTGCCCCGGACCTTGATGTAGAAGGGCGTCTCGTACAGATCTCTCCCTTCCTCGTCGTCATCGGGCGGTGAAGGCGAGGGTATGACACTGCCCTTTTCCGGCAGAGGCTTGCCGGAGAGCGTCTCGTAGAGCCCCTTCTTGCTGCTGCTCGCGACGTTGGCGGCTTGACTCGTGTCCGCTTCCGGGAAGGCCTCGCGCAGGTAATCGGGGATGCTCTTGCCGCCCGCTGCGGCCAGGTTGGCGCTGGTCAGCTCGTGATCGTTGGTCCCGTTGGTCATCGTAGATACAGCAGCTGATTGTTCGTGCGGTGGGCAAGAGAGACAATGGCCAAAGAGACAGCGGCCTTTTTATGTCTTCCGCCCAAGCTTCATTTACGAAGGGCGCAGCGAGCGCTGGACCGTTGGCGCAGTCACCGCATCCCTTCCGCTGAGAGCTTCGCAAAGCTTTGTCCAGCAGCGCAAAAGCTGAGTTGAAGCGCACAAAGGCGGAGAAGAAAGGTGATTGTAGGGAAGGAGAGCATTTGGCGGGTCCTGTCCGCAAATTGGCAGCCGTGCGCAGAAGATGCTCTCGGCTATTTCGATGTGTCAAAAGCCTCATCACCTTCCGCAGCGTCACAACCAATTTAAGGTTTTCTTTCCACTTCATCACACCAGCTACACACACAGCTCTCCGTCACGAACGGGCGAGCAGACGACAGAACAGGGAACGATTTCAATCATTGCAGTCGGAGAATCTATACGGTGAAAAACAGAGCACGGAAAACCAAGTGAGAGGAATGTGACTGCGCCTTCGGAGGTGTTTCGGACAACCCCTCAGTCGTCGAAGCGCCCCGGAGGCGGCAGGCATGGATGTGTATGGAGGAATGCTAGAAGCAATCATTGACTGGTTTGAGCAGGGCAGGCGATGCTCTTGTGAACAGAAGCGGATCCCTCAATCCGCATGCCGGTCCGCAAGCGACACACGGCCAGCCGTAGCACGAACAATCGAGATCATGCCGATGAATGGACGGTGAAACTGGCGCTTACTTCAATGAAGCAGCCAGCTGAGCCCGGAGCTCAGGATCCAATGTCGAGATCTGAGCCAAGATGTACTGGGCCTTAAGCTGCTTGGTCGCGGCAAGCAGCTGTGCCGCCGACGCCTCCATGTGCTCGGCAACCGCCTTGTCGTCGTCCGAAGCAGCTGCGCCGGTGAATTGCCGCAGGGCAGCCACGCGCTCGACGTGCTTGAGCAGCGGGTTGGCTTCCGAGATGGTGCGTTCGGCAGCCACCTCCGTGAGCCTTCTCCTGAGTCGCCAGTAGAAGTATCGACGTGCGTTCTCCCATGGCAATGCAGATCGCAGCACACCAGTGGCAAGCATGCGTCCTGCTCGGTCGTGTGCATCGGCGTATTCGGTTGCGATGGCTGTGAAGATAGGGCTGAGCTGCTTCTCGCGCTCCGCCAGCGCCTTGCGAGCTGCCGTCTGGGCAGTGAAGTCGGTCGCCTCGGCAGCTTCCTTGCTCAGCTTGGCGTAGACGCTGTCGAGACGCTGCATCGTAGCGCGCTGCTTGTCAGCACGGTACTTGATTTCGACCAGACCCGAAGCCTCGAGCACACCACCTCGTGCGCTGTTGACATCGGCCGACATCTCGATCATACCGTTGTCGTTGATCGCAGAGTCCACAACGACCCACGAACCACCACGCAGCTCACCCATGGGTGGGATGTGGACGAACACGGGCTGCTTGTACGCCGAGAGACCGTCGACAATCTTGGAGCCCTGCTTGAGGATCTCGTCGTACATGTCCTGCTGACCACCCGAGAAACCTCGCCAGTTGGCAAGGATGACAAGAGGGAGACCCTCCTTGTCAAAGTCCCAGATTGCCTGAGCAGTCTTGTACGCCGAGTTGGGGTACCACACCTGACCGGCTTCCATGATGCGCTGCTCGGTCGAGCTGGGGTTGGCTGGATCGGCGGGCACGACGCGTTCGAGTGTTCGGGTCTCGACCGCGATGACACCGACAGGAATACCGCCAAGACGAGCACGACCAGTGACAACGGAAGTGGCCCAGCCGCCGAGTGTCTCGACGAAGGAGCCGTCGTCGAACAGGCCAGTGAGCTTGGCGCCACTCTCGTCCCTGGTGCCGTTGATGAGCCATCGCGGGTCGTAAGGACCACGAGGAGGCTGGTACGTGACGGCTCGGTCCCAGGTGTCGGTGGTGGGCATGATGGGCAGAGGACCGCCACGCTGGGCAGGGACGTACGACATCCAGTTGACAAAGGCCTTGACGGCATCAAGGTCGTCCTGAGCAGTGAGGTGGGAAACACCGTTCTTGTACATGATCTGAGGACCACCGAGCTGCAGGTTCGAGGTGTAGACCTCGCGTCCGAGCAGCTTGTTGAGCGCCTGGTAGCCGGTGAGGATCAAAGGCGAACCCTCGACCTGGATCACACGCTCACCAAGACGAGCAAGGTAGGCACCAATACCGACACTTCGTCCCGTGACAATGGTGGCGGTGAAGATCTGGTCCTTGGCTCGGCTCGTCTCGCCGGCGATGAGACCACTGCCCGAGAGACACTCGACACCGAGACCCTCCTGAGGCTTGCCAATGACGTCGGTGATGACGTTGTGATTGCTGCCGTCGGCGGCCTTCAGAGGCTTGGTCATGACACTGTTGGGTGCCTTGGTCTGAAGCACGTGAAGCGAGTCATCGTCAAGGTACAGGTACTCGAAACCCTTGGCAGGGTCGTCGCCGACAAACTTGACCTTGAAGAGGTCAAGAGCCTCGGTTGCCAGGCCGATACGGGCACCAGAGTTGGCAGAGATGTACAGACGGGGCACACCGAGCTCACGGGCGAGCTTGGAGGCCGCGGCGAAGAAGCGATCCTCGACGGGGCCGAACGAACCAGCCTGGATGGTGACATCGTTTCCGACGACCACAAGCTTGCGCCCTGCAGGGAACTCGGGCGTAGCCACCTCGACGAGCCAAGCAACCATGCCAATATTGTTCATGCCAGGAGCACGCTTGAGCTCGCGCAGGTTCTCCTGTTCGTCGAAGACGAGCTCGACAGCCGACTTGATCACCTCAGAAGGGGTCTTGCTGGCAGCCACCTTCCTCCACGAGGCGCGAACAGCCTGACCAAGAACGTCGATGAAGTCGTAGACGAACGTGGTCTGGAGAGCGTGGGCTCGCGATCGGCGCGACTGCAGAGCAACCTTGGTAGTGTAGGGGAAGTGGGCGCTTTGGCCGTTGAGGGAAGCCTCCTTGCCCTGGGGCTCGATGGCGCGCAGGACAACAGATCCGTCGTCGGCAGCGTTCTCCTCGTAGGTCTCGTATCGGACCACGAGACCGGTCTCGTTGTGAACGAAAGCTCGGATGGGGCGAGCCTCGCCGTTGGGACCGCTGAGGATCATTCGGATCTCAGCACCGGTGATGCGGAGACGGAAGAAGCGGGTACCGTGACGCTCAAGGAAGCCGGCGATGGCCTTCTGAACATCCTCGAGGCTGACGTCGAGCTGGTAGATGAACGACATGAAAATGTGCGAGGCGTCGGCAGTGCGGTACTCGGGCTGACCAAGAGCGACCTCGATGACGTTGAGAATGTCATTGACGATACGGTCCGACTCCGAGACGAGGTAGGCCGCCATGTCGCCCTGAACGCGGCCGGGACGGACCAGCGATCGGACGAAGAATCGAGTATCGGCGGAGTTCTGGATACCACGAGCAAAGTACAGGTGGATCGTCGAGGACGAGACCGGCACGGGAGTGAGCTCGAAGTTCTTGCTGACCCTGTCGAGCTCCAGCTGGTAGGCCAAGGCGGGCTCGATGTTTCGGATGGCCTTCTCTTCGGTCCAAATGCCGTGTTCGCTGGGACGGAAGGTAGCGAAGAAGGGATACATGCCGGGCTGGCAGAGAAGGTAGGTGACACGGCGGATACGAGCAGCGGCAAACTGCTTGCTGCAGGCGTTGGTGTACTGGGCGAGCTTGCTTCGCACCTCGGCATCGACAAAGTCGGCCTGGTCGACCACAGCGACGTTGAGGACATTGATGGGCGATCCGCCAGACGACTTGAAGAACTTGAGCACCTTGGGAAGGAGATCAGGAATGTCAGAGACATCGACGCAGCTGGTCATGGCACCGGTGCGAAGCTCGGCAGGGGCGACGGTCTTCCTGGTTGAGTTCATCATGCTCAAGTCGCTGATGGACACTTGACGCTCCCGCTCCTTGAGCGACGAAGCGCTTCGCGGCAGCTGGAATTGCCAGGTGAGCACGGCACGCTCTTCAACGTCAAAGTCCTCGATGGCGTAGTCAAAGTTGACGATCTCGTAAGCGCGGTAGGCGCGGACGACGTAGGTGCACAGCGCGGCGAAAGCGACGTGGTGCTCGCGGTGGCCGAAGAAGCTGTGCAGCACATCGTACACGCTGTACTGCGAGTCGCTGAGCTCCCGAAGCACCTCGAGCGAAGGGGCGTGGTACTCGTCGTCACCACCGTACTTGGACGAGGTGACGGATCCGCGAAGAATGGCCTGCATCTGAGCAGAGCGATCAGCAAGACTGGGCATGTCGGCGTCGAGCGAGACCTCACGGGCCTTGAGGGCGACAGGAGCGGTCGACTTGCCCTGGAGCGAGGCAAGCTTGCGCAATGCCTCGATCATCTGAGCACCGCTGGTACGCGAGACGAGCGAAGTGCCCTTGATATGCTTGTCGAGCAAGGTGAGCAGCAGGGCGTTCTTGCGGTTGAGACCGTTGCGCGAGGTCTGCAGGGCGACGACCTTGTCGAGATCGCCGTCAGCCTGCAAACGCAGCTCGAGCACGACATCGGCTTCTCCGGTGAACTTGGACTCGATGTCGTAGTACTTCTGCAGGAACGAAGCGAGCACGTTGCCCTCGTGAGCCTTGAGGCCGCCCGCGTAGGCCTCGAAGAGCTGGTAAAGAGGGGCGATGGTGATCTGCACCTGACCGCGGATGGCAGGGTCGACGCTGTCACGCAGGAAGTTCTCGGTGAGCTTGCGGAGACGAGCAGCGGGAAACTCGACGTTCTTCGAGTGGCCCATCTCGATCGTGTTGCGGACCACGTCCTCGAGCCTGGCGGGGATACGGCCGCCCAAGCTGGAGAGGATCTGGGAGGCTTGGCCATAGGGAAGCTCAGGGTTGCGGAGCGTTTCCATGAGCTCCTTGATGACAGCCTGCATGCGGAAGCTCTGGTCGTAACCATCGAGGATGTCGTTGATGACCTCGACGAGGTAGCTGTAGCGCTGGTGAGGCTTGCTGCCGATGATGATGGGCAGGCCAAAGTCGGGGAGCTGACCAGCGAAGGGCTTGGCGTGCTGCACACGGCTGGGGTCGTCGAGCGAGAGAATTCCGATGATGTCTCCAGGGCTGAGAGCGACACCGGCCGTCTTGACGAACGAGACGACACCATCCTCGGCGGCGACGAGGGGGAGGTACATCTTCATGACCTCGATTTCGGCGATGGCCTGGCCAGCCTTGACGTGGTCACCGGACTCGACGAGGAAGCGGACGAGCTTACCGGGCGAGGGCGAGCGAATCTGAGTGGGGTCGTTCTCCTGCTCGATGAGGCAGGTCTTGGAGTCGACCATGAGGCGGGTCATGCCGACCTCCTCGCGCCAGTAGACGGGGTGCGACTTCCCGGTCAGGCCGATGAGCAGACCACCGTCCGTCAGGGGTCGCAGCTGAACCAGCGTACGTCCACCGTTGAGGTAGAGCACCCAGCCGGAGACAGAGCTGCGGGTAGCCGTGAAGTTGTACTTGACGTTCTCGTAGATGAAGTCGATGGAGAAGACAGTCTTGATGGTGTCACGAGGAGGAACCTGACCCTTGTTCAAGATGCGCTTGTACTCATCCTCGCACTCGCGGGCAAGGAGATGCGCCTTGACGGCAGCACCGCAGATGACGGCGAGATCCGCAGGAGGTCGCTCGGCGGTGAGGCGGTCCTGGATGAGACCGTCCAGCCAGCCGGTGGTGATCTTGTTGGACTCGAAAGCGTCGGTCTCGAGCAGCTTGATGAGGTACTCAACGGTGGTTCGGAAGTCACCGCGAATGGACAGCTCCTTGAGCGAGATGACCATCTGCTTTCGGGCTTCGGATCGGTCGGCACCGTAGGCGAAGATGTGACCGAATTGCGAGTCGGCGTACTCGTGGAGGGCACCGCTGGTACCGACGGAGAAGTAACCCCAAGTGGAAGTGCTCGAACGGAAGTTGAGTTCGGTCAAAGCACCCATGCCGGGCTTGAAACCAGTGTCCGGGTTCTCGGCGGTAATACGGCAGGCGACGACGTGACCCTGCGGCTGGGGCTTGCGCTGGGTCTTGAACGACTCGGGGCTGGCAAAGTCAAAGTCGATGACCTCGTTTCCGCGAGGGTCCATGCCGTAGAGGGTTCGGATGTCGCGAATCGAGTACAGAGGGATACCCATAGCGACCTGAAGCTGGGCGGCGGGAATGTTGACACCAGAGACCATCTCGGTAGTGGGATGCTCGACCTGGAGACGAGGGTTGAGCTCGAGGAAGGCAAACTCACCCGAGTCTGGAGAGTAGAGCCACTCGACGGTACCGGCAGAGACGTAGCCGACGAGCTTGGCGAGACGCACGGCGGCCTTCTCCATGGACTCCCTGGCATCCTCGGGAGCGATGGTGACAGGAGCCTCCTCGATGATCTTCTGATGACGACGCTGTACGGAGCAGTCACGACCGAAGATGCTGATGGCGTTTCCGTACTGATCGGCAAGCAGCTGGACCTCGAGATGGCGAGCTTGGCCGGCAAGCTTCATGACAAAGACGGGCGATCCAGGCACCTCACCGAGAACGGCGTTGTAGAGCTGCTTGAAGTCCTCGCCGTTGGTGCACTTTCGGATACCCTTTCCTCCACCACCCTCGGAGGCCTTGATCATGACGGGGTAGCCGATCTTTTCGGCTTTCTCAAGACCCTCCTCAGCGGTGTGGATGCAGGCCTTCTGGTAGACATCGTCCGAGACAGTCAGGAATCCCTGCTCGCTCATGATGGTCTCCTTGATGCCGGTACCCGACCAGGGCATGCATGGCACGTCGGCGTGCTGGGCAACGATCGTGGACGAGATCTTGTCACCGAGCGAGCGCATGGCGGAACCAGGAGGTCCAATGAAGATGATCTTGTGCTTGGAAGCGGCCAGCGATTCGGGGAGACGAGGGTTCTCGGAAGCGTGACCCCAACCAGCCCAGACGGCGTGAACACCGGCGCGCTCTGCGACATCGACAATGAGATCGACGTTGGCATAGTTGTTGTTATTGGATCCGCCGGGCACCTCGACGTACTGGTCGGCCATGCGAATGTAATCGGCGTTGACCTTGAGATCCTCAGGGGTGGCCATCACAACGAACTCGATGGCTCGCTCGTTTCCGAAGGTCTCGTAAGCCCATTTTCGAATGGAGCGGATCTCCTTGACGGCGGCGATACCGTTGTTGCAAATGAGGACCTTTGTGATGACACTATGACCACCCTGCTTGCGGATGAAGTCGGTGACAGCACCGGCCGGGGCCGTTTCGAGCGGGTTCCCGCCTGTGGTTACAAAGTCAAAGAGAAGGAGTCGGGTCAGTGCTTGTTCCTACATCTTCAAAGGTGTCGATTGACGCTCAGTGAGCTTGACAACTTACCGATGAAGTGGCTAACAGCCTTGTGATCAGGGGGCGGCATGATGGCAGATGGCAGCTCCTGCGAGGGGACTTTGAGCTGAGCTGAAGTTGCGTGGATCCGGCGTAAGATGGAGCAGATTCAAGCTCGGCTCTGAGACTCTCCCGGAGGTTGATGAGCGGCCTAGTTTGATCGATCAGGCGAGGTCAAGAGCGCTCAAGACTGATAGATGGAGCAAGGACGAGGGAGCAACGCGGAGCCAGAGAGGGATCTGGTCGAGTTGTCTTGCGTTAGGCGTGGATTGCGATGCGAGTCGGCCGTAACTTTTCTGCTCGTCTGGAGCTTACTGTCGAGGATGAGATGAGGATTGCGAGTACGTAGGTTTTGCGGTGCAGCGAAGAAGCAAGGGTGAGGGAGACCTTGATGACGTTGCAGCTAGCGGGAGACGGTGATTCGGTGAGGGAGACCGTTTCAGTAGCCAAAGGGATGGTGATGGGTGATCGAAGTATGAGAGGATGTGATGGCCATGAAGTGAGAAGGCAAGAAGAGAAGCCGAGTGTTGACATCCGACGAGGAAACAAGGTTTCTCTCTGGTCACTCACAAAGTGGGCGGAGGGGAGTGATACTAGGCCATCAAAATGTTTGGAACCACTTTCCTTCTCAGCAGCCATGCATGTCCGTGCGGAACTAGCGGCTTGTTCAGTCGGGCAGGCTGGCTAGTGCGCGCAGTTCTTTCCAATCCAGCTCGTCGGTCAATCATCCTCCTCTTGTCGGTGCATCCGACCTTGATGCTGTGCCTTGCTTTCGGTCTTGCCGTTGTCGATTCGCTGCACTGGCCAGCCAGAAATCGATGCTGACAGGGTTTTCCGACTCAACAATTTCCAAAAAGCGGCCAAAAAAATAAGAAAGTTGCTCCTCGGCTAGCTTTCTCCAGACCGAGAACCCTTGTTCTGGCAGCTCAGCGTGTTCCTCTCGACCTCGATACGCGCCGCCCCACCCAAATTCCGCCTCCACAGCAAAGAGCAACACCAACATCGCGCTCTCGAGGCGCAAAAGTCTCGAGATCTTCGCGCCGCGGAAACGGCGAGAGGAAGAAAAAAAATAAAATGATAAAGCTAAAATCCTCGTCGCCCCAACGGGCATATCCATCGTCATCAGCGGGCATCGATTTGGGTGGCCCTCGGAGCGTCAAGCAATCCTTGCCCTTCGTATGTGTCGAGCTCATCGTCTTGCTTCCGTGCACCATCATATCGAGTATCCAGCTGGTCAGCTCCAAGTATCCACGATGCGACTTTGTCGACCGGTTCCCTCTTTCCTACAAGGCTCAGCGAGATGTTGGGAAGAGCAAGCAGCCAAAATCGGAAATTGACCGGTATAACCGAGCGAGTCCTGGCTTGGTTTTTGCGAACTCACAACGTCAACGTCGACAAGATCGGGACACGTTCCCGATCGCCTTCATGTCGATGACTCTGAGCGGATGGTTTCGGAATGTCGGGGTATGGTGAAGCTGTCTGTGCAGGTTCGAGAAGGATACCGGCGTCCTGAAGAGTCAAAAGTTTCGAATTGCTATGGAGCAGCCGTAACTTGTTGGGGTGGATTTTCCGCACATTTTGGCAGGTGGCTTTGTCGCCAAGCCACGCGGCCAATTTCAGTCTGCCCGCATCTCATCCTAGGCGTGGATTGCTTCTCCTTGATCCAAAGCAGCGGCGAGTGCTCGAGCTAACAAGCATTTCATCATTGTCTATCGACAGGCCTCTTTTCGGAACTGGTCAGACCAAGACGTTGACAAGCAGAGTCCGTCGATGGTGCATGTGCCTAGAGATCCAAACCCAAACGCCGATGCATCTTGAACGGGCCACGCCAGCCGCACTGGTATCGATATCGCATAAGTATCTCCTCTTCCCTAGACCCACTCTGACGACCCCGGACCTTGTTCTCGAGTGCCACGTTAGCCATCTACATCCAACACCACTACCTTGTCTGGGATGCTAGCTCCATGTTCACGGTCGGCTTTCGGGACGCGCTTTGCTCATTCCTAAAATGAACAGCAGGAAAATGGGCCAAAAAATGGTGACCCGAAAATAGAGACCTAAAGCTGGCAGCACCCCGCAGGCGTCTCGCCCGTCGAGACCCTTTGCGTCAAGGCGATACGCAAGACGCATACACGCTCGTGTTGCTTTATTAAGGTCACAGCTGCGCCAAAAGTGTTGGTCTCCACTCGAACGTCACATGAAATTCATCTGAGAGCGTGGCTTGCGATTCCACTGCGACTATCAACATGGACGTGCTGTGCGCCGACTGAGCATTGCTTCCAACCATCCATTGCCCGTCGGCCTGCCCGGACAGCTGCGGAGGAAGGCACCCGAAACGCCAAGGTTCGTTTTTGCAGCTCGAATGCTTTGCATCGGATCGAGGCTCAGCGGCAGAAGCGACAAGTGAAAATGAGCGACGAGGCGAACACCACAGCAGGCGGCAACACGCTTTGGCTCACCTTCCTCGCGGCTTGGACCGACGAAGCGCAGGCAAAGGGATCCAAAGTGGCGCGAACCTACCGCAAAGCACACCAGTCTCTAGCGGCTTGTCCGATTGAATTTCAGCATCCCTGCCAGACCACTCAGCTCGCCGGAATAGGTCCGACGATCGCCAACAAGCTCGAGCAGGAGCTGCAAAAATGGTGTCAAGACAACGGAAGACCCATGCCGGAGCGGCCCACACGCCAGGCCTCATCCACTACACAAGCCTCTGCAGCAGCAGCAGCAGCAGATGGCGAGGATGCACCGCCAGACGCAGCGGACTCGGCCGAGGGAAGCAGTACGGCATCAAAGCGAAAGAAGGCAGGAGCTTCGGATCGCCCGACCAAGAAGAGAGCCTATGTGCCGCAGCATCGTTCGGGAGCGTACGGCCTCCTCGTCGGTCTGTACATCTTGACCAGAGTCAGCAGCTCTTCGCGCGAAGAAAGAGTCTCCAAGACACAACTCATCAATGCGGCACGTCCCTACTCGGACACCGAATACGAGGTTGGTGGCTCCTCATCTCGAGCATCAGCCGCCGTGCCGCTCTCGAGTCAGCACGGCATGTCGGCGGGGAGCGGCGGACCACGCTCATTCTACACTGGCTGGACAAGCATCAAGACACTCATCGCAAAGGGATACGTGTTGCAATCAGGCAATCCAGCTCGCTACAGCCTCAGCGACGAAGGTGCTACAATAGCAGAGACGCTCGCCACCGACGCCGGGGTGGAGAAGCAGGCTGCTGCCCCAGTCGTCAATGATGATGCTGGAGACGAAAATGGTTTGGACTTGGACGATGACTGGTCAGAGGACGAACCGGAAGAGACCCTCAAAGCGAGGGTCTCCACCTTTGAGCCAGAAGTCTTGAAGGCCGGAAGCTATTCGATTCATTTGGTCATCGACAATCGCGAAAGACACCGATATGGAAGACGCCAAGAGAAGGAGCCCATCGCCGCACTTCTCCTCGAGCGTGGTATCGACACCGAGACAAGGGCCCTAGAGGTCGGCGATGCCGTCTGGATAGCGCGCAGGAAGCAGCGCACGGGTCTGGAAGCGGATGAAGTCGTTCTGGATCACATTGTGGAAAGGAAACGACTCGACGATCTCGTAAGCTCCATTCTCGACGGTCGGTGGAGGGACCAAAAGTTCCGTCTGTCATCCTCGGGACTGACCCAAGTGCTATACCTCATCGAGGACCACGACGTCGAAAACCAAATGCGCAAATTCGGACCCCAGATCCAAACGGCACTCAGCAGCTCGCAAGTCGTCGATGGCTTCTTTGTCGAGCGAACCTCCGGATTGGCTGCAAGCATTGACTACTTGGTGTCCATGGACGGCATGGTCCGCGGCATGTACGAGCACAAGGACCTCTCGGTGATACCCAGCGCCGTCATCTCCCGCTCAAGCTTCTTGGACACCCGGGAGGAGCTGCAGCGCAAGATGCCAACCGCATCCATCTTGACCTCATTCGAAGCATTCCAGGCGCTCAACAGCAAGAGCGGCGGACTCAAATCGAAGGAGATCTTTGGCAAAATGCTTTTGTGCATCAAAGGGATGAGCGCAGAAAAGGTACGCGAAGTGCTGGCCATGTACAGCACCTTGCGAGAGCTCACAGATGCATATCAGGAGACAGCAGACGATGTCAAGGAGGCAGAGACGATGCTGTCGAGCTTCACGGAAAGCATGGATCAGCGCAAGAAGATCGGTCCCGCGCTCAGTCGCAAGGTGGCCGATGTCATGTTGACGCCTCGGTATGCTGCCGAATGACCTTCCTGGTCGCCACGCCTCACACTGCGTCCATTAACGTTTCCTGGTCCGATGATCTTAATATACCATCTCTTTCTCGTCTTTGACTGGACCGCTCCCTTAGCTGTAGTCAGGACCGCAGCGAAGAGGACATGAGCCAGCATCGTTTGAACAAGGCAACTGGAGAGTTGATGGTGTGGGCGTGTCTATCGTGCGAAAGGCTCTGCCGCCTGCTTTCGGGTGGAAACGAAAGACCCTGATTGGATAAGCGATGGATTTGACGCGCTCGCAGTACTGGCGGGTGAGCTCGATTACAAATAGGCAACTGCAGACGGCGACGAGCTGGGTTGAGCGGGAAACTTTGAATTCAAGGCGGTCTTGAGGCTTGTTGATGTCTGGCGCTGATGAGTTGAATTTCTACTCGATTTTGAATTTGTGCTGGGCTGCAACCGCAGAATGTTCAGCAAGAAGGGGAAGAATTCGAGGCAGCAGACAGGCACAGTTTGGCTCGCGAAAAGACCCGCTCAAGCCCAAAGCGAAGAACCGGAAAGGCCTCGCTCAACTGAAGCTCGGAACAGCGTCCAATTTCACATCAAACCAGCCCAACCAGCCAGATTGCGCTCGTCTCCAATTTGCAGGCCAAGCAGCCACAATCGAGGTTTCAAGGGTCGATCACAGCGCTGCAAACTGCCAATCTTCTCAACTCGTCTCACCACCATCCTAATCACCCCACCCTTCCGCCTTCCCTTCCGACTGGGTTGCCATCAGCAACATGGCCAACTTGTTCAACACCGCGCGCATTGCGCTCCGTGCCGCCAACGGCTCGGCTGCTTCGGTAGGTATTGCCATTTCACCAAACGCCAATGTCACGTCGCTTGTTCAGTCAGAGGTCCTTGTTCGAGGCCGCCATCTCGCAACCGCCATATCATCGACCACCACGCGCAATACCAGAACACCACCTTATGCACAATGGAGTCATCAGCATACCGAACTTCGTTCATTCCAGCGCGAGAATCGAGTCACTATGCAATCGCGCATTTGTCTCATCAGCAGTCTTGTGGCGCCGCTCTTTCGGTCTTCCAACGAGAGGAGCCGCTCGCTTTGATCGAAGATGGTACTGTATAACGACGACCATGGCAGCGACTATGTGTGCTGCGACAGTCTTTTGGCAAGCATCCGTACATCTGGAAGCTGCATTCGAGATCCCGGCTGGTACTCTATCTCCTCCGCCTCGGTTCTCCTCAGACTTCTCCCTCAGTTGAGAACGGCAGATCGGGTCGCATTCTTTGCATCTCTGTCGCCTGTCGCAAACACCACAATCGGCTTCTGGCTCTCGACACTACAATTCCACAAGCGGCGTGACTTCTGCATTATCACTCCGGTATAACGACAATTGTACTGACTTCCTTTCCGTCGCTTCTTACCCCTTCGCAGGTCCGCCACGCCTCGACACAGGCCGGTGCCAAGGCCGCGCCGTCGTTCCTGGCCTCGCGTTCCACCGCCGTCGCCGCCACCGCTGCGGCCGCCGGTTCCATCGCTTGGTACAACCACCTCTACGGCACCATCCCCTTCTTGGACACTGCCAGCGCCAACATGGCCGACGAGGGTCTCCACCCGCCCAGCTACCCCTGGTCGCACTCGGGTATCTTCGAGACCTTCGACCACGCCTCCATCCGACGTGGCTACCAGGTCTACCGTGAGGTCTGCTCGTCGTGCCACTCGCTCGACCGCATTGCTTGGCGTAACCTGGTGGGCAACTCGCACACCATCGACGAGATCAAGGCTATGGCCGAGGAGGTGGAGTACGAGGACGGTCCGGATGACGAGGGTGCCATGTTCCAGCGCCCTGGTAAGCCCGCCGACTACATGCCTCGCCCTTACGCCAACGACGAGGCTGCGCGAGCTGCCAACGCCGGTGCTCTGCCCCCTGATCTGAGTCTCATGGTCAAGGCGCGTCACGGTGGTGCCGACTACATCTTTGCGCTGCTCACCGGCTACACCGACCCTCCCGCCGGTGTCAAGGTGCAGGACGGTCTGAACTACAACTCGTACTTCCCGGGTACGCAGATCGCCATGGCCCGTGTGCTCTACGACGGCCTCGTCGACTACGACGACGGCACCCCCGCCACCACTTCGCAGATGGCCAAGGACGTCGTCACCTTCTTGCACTTCTGCGCCGAACCCGAACACGACACGCGCAAGAAGATGGGCATGCAGGCCGTCATCATCCTCTCGTCCCTCACCGCGCTCTCGTTGTGGGTCAAGAGGTTCAAGTGGGCCGGCATCAAGAGCCGAAAGCTTGTTTACAACCCTCCGTCTTCGCACTGATTGTAGTGTACTTTCCTCGGTCATATAGTCTTTCTTGTCGTGATACGTCGTGTGAGATCAGCGACCGTGTTTGGACCAGAATTGCTTCGATGTTGAGATGTGCCCAGATGCGAATGGGTTGCGGCAGGGCACTGAGCCGGGAAAGCTGCGGTCTTAGATCTGGTCCTCTACACACTGACCGCCATCTGAGACAGAGCTGGCAAGGAAACGCAAGCCCTAGGGCTCTGTGCATGCAAACTATCAACAGCATCGTCAAGTGTGTGTGCGAGTTAGACATCCTCCCCGTCACACGCACCTCAGACAGCAGCATGCCGACCATGTCGTCGCATCGTCGGTTGCATCAATGGCGGCATCGCTCGCCTGCACAGTCAAACACAGCTCGCTTTCGACCTCATTCACAAGGACACGAATGCGAACTCAGCATCAGCACAAACAACAAGGATGAAGTGAAGACGCCAACGTGTTGCCATCGGTATGGATACAAATAGTACAGGTAGGGTCTTGCGAAAGGTTGTGAGCTATCCGGAGCACGGCATCATGCGCTGATCAGTGAAGACCACACGCAATGGTGCTGAGCCTCGGACAGTATTTTTTGGGTTGAAGTAATAAGCAGGGCTTTGGAGGAGAGAACGCAATGAGCGAAAGCGTTTAGTCGAAGAGACCGAAGCCCATGTCGTCGTCGGACTCCTCCTTCTCCTCCTCCTTCTTCTCCTCCTCGGCGGGGGCGGCGGCACCACCGGCGGCGGCAGCGGCACCCGACGAGGCAGCGGGGGCAGCACCACCGCTGGGGACCGAAGCGAGCTTCTGGTTGCCCTCGGCAATGAGCTCGTTGATGTCCTTGCCCTGCAGCTCCTCGATGAGCTTGTCAAGACGCTCCGACTCGGCCTCGATACCGACAGTCTCGAGGAGAGACTTGATGTCGGCGGCGGAGGGAGACTCCTTACCACCGAGGGTGAGGAGGAGGTAGGCTGCAATGTGCTTCATTTTGTCTGAAAAGTTGAAGGGGGTTGGTGTGGTTGAGAGAAAAGTTGAAGTGCCGGCCGCAAATCCGCTAAAGGGCTTTGATCCAAGTGAGGAAGACTTGTGGGCTGTTGATGGACACCGAAGTTTTCCCAGAACAACGACCAGAATGGTAAGTAACGAGAATGCGGGAATTGACGAGATGCGACGTGGAACACAGCAGCATCGGTAACGACAGGAGGCGCGAGTGTGACCGACTTTGTCTTAGGCTTCCGATCCACCTGGGCCATGCGCCCTTTCTTCCCAGTATGATCCGTGTATCGATGTTGACATCTGATGCACTTCTACGGCACGCTGATGTCGTCGCTAGCATTCGTCCGCGACGACGTTGCATCTACCATGCTGCGACTTGCACCTCTGACACCGAGTTCTTCCAGTTTCGCTGCTTGCCAGCCCCGATATTCCTGACCGCTCCCGCCTGGTCTTGGGGGTCCAGCCATGTCACTGCCGTCCCGTCATGATGCTGTAGGTCTCGATGTCATCGAGCTACTTACCTAGGTACTTTGAGAAAAGTGTCGTGGAGGTAAGGCAGGGTAGTTAGCACACAGTCGAGCTTGACATTCGCTGACCAGCCTTTCGCAGCCTCTCTGAATGTCGAGCACCGCTGCGAGAGCCAGGAAGCGCTGTGCAGGCCCGATTTCGGCTCGCCTTCGTGAGCCTCAGAAATTCCAGACTCGAGTCGGAGCCGAAAAGCTGAATAAATCGGAGAAGCTGCGAAGCGTGTGGGATGAGCGTGGGAGTTTTTCAGATCTTTGCACCAAATTCGAGGTTTGGCCTGAAATTCCACGGCAGCAGAGCAAGAGAGAGGTGTTTGGCGCGGCTGCTTCCGCTATTTGGTGAGCGTAGCGGGCCTCAGGCTTGGGCTTCAGAGACTGGCTGCGCTGCCTCAAATTTCGTCGTGAGCTGGACTGCTCCCAGGGCTCAGAGGTGCGCTGCTGGGTGAGTCTCTGAGAGTTGGCGCTTTGAGATCGAAAGTGCCGGTCTGCTGCCCCAAATTGTGCGCGTCTGACCAAGTGAGTTGAGCGCAGCGGAGAGACATGGAACTTGGCTCGCCGTGATCCAACCTTCTCTCTCCTCACCATCAAGATTGCCCAACATGTAAGTAGTGACTTGCTGCTCGTAGCATGCATGCTTCTGGACTCGACACGACACATATCACCATGCATCAGCAACCAGCACACACCAGACATCGACACATGCAGCAGATCAAAGAACGAGATGCAATGATAGCATCTGCTTGGAGGAGGCCATCATCGACCAAATAATACAGGCCTGAGAGTAGGACCAGTGGCCACGCGCAACCGCCATAGCCTCATTAGCAAAAGCTGCATCCCATCGTCGCCGCGACTAGCATCTCAGACAGGAAAGCGGAGGCGACTGGCCCCTGGACGGCGCAGGAATGGAGGAAGACGAGGTGTCTTGGACAGGAATCCTGATATCTGGCATTGCAGCCAACAATCCATCGCCATCGTCGACCTTCCATAGCGCTTGCATCATTGATCTTGCAAATACACCGACAACCGTCACAGACGAGCTGGCCAGACCCACCTACATTCTGGTCCACCGATTGTTTCGACACCGCAGCTCTCTTCCAGCGACCCGCTCTCCGATCTTCGCAGTCCAGTATCCTGTCCAGAAGCATGCCTGCATGCAAGCTCTCGTCCCAGCACCGACGATCCGACCGCTGACCTTTGTACATCGACACCATTTACTACTTCCGCTCACTGCAGGGATGACTACGACGCCGCCGCCGCTGCCGAGCTCAAGCGCAAGCGAACTTTCCGCAAGTTCACCTACCGAGGTATCGAGCTCGACTCGCTCCTCGACATGTCCAACGAGGACTTCATGCAGGTCGTCCACGCTCGTGCCCGCAGAAAGTTCCAGCGCGGTCTCAAGCGCAAGCCCATGGGCCTCATCAAGCGTCTGCGCAAGGCCAAGGCCGAGGCTCTGCCCAACGAGAAGCCCGCTACCGTCAAGACCCACCTGCGTGACATGATTATCGTCCCCGAGATGATTGGGTCCATGATCGGCATCTACACCGGTCGCTTCTTCGTCAACACCGAGATCAAGCCCGAGATGGTCGGCCACTACCTTGGCGAGTTCGCCATGACCTACATCCCCACCCGTCACGGTGCCAAGGGTAAGGGTGCCACCGTCGACCGCTTCCTCCCCATCCGATAAACGGATCGAGAGTGCTTGCGTTCCGGCTTCCTTTTCTCTACTCGTTACACGGCCTTCGAACAGGTCCTATTTCCCGTTCGTCTGGCCCTTCATCACACTCGTCGTTCGATCAATCGCTTGGAGCGTGTTCATCTTCGAGACTTGTACTTTTCACACGCCCATCTTCGCTATCGAGCTTTGTGGGCAGCTCACAACCACCATCCCCAAAATACTGAATCTCAATTCACGAGCATAGCATCCTATTTCTTGTCGCCTGTGATATGTTGCGCTTTGAGATCCACCGAGAGCGAGTGGTTGAGGATGAACGCGAGATGACTGAAGTGACAACTGGCGGTCCGCATCAGCAGTGTCCGACTGAGAAGATCTCATCGAACGGTCCATGGCCCATGATTCTTTCAGCGGTCGAACAGCCAGCTTATGTTCAAGGTCAAGCGCAGTCGAGGCAGACAAAGATTGATGTTACAAAACGACCAAGTCGTATGGTATTGCAAATGCAGATGAGACGCCAGCTTCAATGAAGACAAGCGCTCGATTTTGTATGGAGACGAGTGGCACAACAGCCTGCACCAAGTGAAACGGATCACCAGAAACACGAGGCGAGGCTGACACGCTACAACATGACCAAAGGGGTGTGAAGGTGGGGGAGGGTAAAAATGCGAGAGAGAGAAGAGGGGTGAAGCCAAGAAGTATCGAGTTGCCCAAGAAAAGACGGACGCTTAAGCAAGACCAGCGGCCTCCTTGAAGATGGAGATCTGCTCGTTGATCTTGGACTTGCGCTGCTGGTAGGTGAGCTTGGTCTGCTTGTACTTCTTGGACTCGGCGGCCCAGTCCTTGGACTTGTCCGAGTTGGTGAACGAGGGGTCCTCGCGGATCTTCTCAAACGCCTCGGTCCACATGTCCTCGAGGTCCTCGGAGCCGATCTCCTGCTCGAGAGCGGTGGAGAACTGCTTCTTGAATCGCTCGTCGTCCTCCTCCTCAAGGGACTCCATGTACTCGGCGACGTGGCCACCGAAGATGTAGGAGCGGAGCAGCTCGGCGTCGAGCTCCTTGGCCTCGGGGTCGTAACCAGGGAAACGCTTCTCCGAGTGGGGGATGAAGATGCCGCCGTCCGAGGCACCCTTGAGGGCACCGAAGACACGCGAACCGGTGGAAGTGCGCTTCAGACCAACGTCGAGGAAGCACTTGAAGGGGCGGGGCTCATCGTCACCGAGGGGCTCGACCTCGGCCATCTCTCCATCGGGCTCAGTAACACCCTCGTACTTGTCGGCGAGACCGAGGATGGTCAGCGCACGACGAGCGACAAGGAGACCAGTGGCATAGGCAGCGGTCCAGTTGGCAAGACCGGTCTTGACACCGTAACGGGGCAGCTCCTTGGACGAAGCCTGGGTGAGGACAAAGTCACCGACGATCTTGGCGTGGACGATCTGGCATGTGACGTATCGGTTGGAGAAACGAACGACAAGGCGGTACTTGGGGGCGTTGTACTTGTTCTTGGCCTGGGACACGAGACGCTTGCGGGCGTAGTAGTCGGTGCGGCCCTCTCGTCGTCGTCGGTACTTGACCTGGTAACGAGAGAAGTAGGCGTTGGACTTGACAGTCTTGACGTAAGGCTGTTGGTGGGGTTACAGTTTACATGGTTGGGTTCGGGTTGTAAGTATGTCGTTCCATATTGACCTGCTGATATATCCACACTACCTTCAACGACAGCAAGCACCTCCCCTCCAACCATCTTGTGCTGCGATACGCATCTTGGCAATGCTGACGCCAACTCCTGTAATGATGCATGGATGGCACACGTGGCACATCACAACGGGTCCTGCTAGATAATAGAGTCGCTCGGGGGTGCTGGTGCTGTCGTTGATACGGTGTATGCTGATGCGATATGCTACTCACCATCTTGGAGAATCTTGAGGCTGATGCTTCAGGCTTGGTGATCAGGAAAGAGGATGGCGAGCAAGGGCTTGACTATGGACCCCTCGCTCTCTCAGGCTGCCACAGCAGAATCGCTGCCAGGCTCACCAGCTCCTCTTCGAAGATTGGTTCTCAAAATCTGAACTAACATTCGAGCATAAATTCTTTGAGCCTAAGCAGCTGAAATTTGTGCGCCTCGCTGCAGCGAAGCACTCGACTTTGCGGAATTCGCAGTCTCCAAACGATATCAGGACCTCGGCCGAAGCCAATCACGTGCGTGTGCCACAGCGGCCCATCTGCCAGAATTCGCAAAGCCTCTCAGAAGCCAGTCTCTGCCGCCGCCTCTGTGAGCTGCAGTGTGCAGGCAGCTCGAGTGAAATTCTCGAGTGTTAGCGCTGAGAAGGTGCGAGTGTGGAAAGGGCTTGGCCGTCAGTCTCTAGGTCTCGCGTGTGTGAGGCAAGGCTGGATTCGAGTCGGATACGATCTGGTCGTCGTCGGCTGCGCTCTCCCTTCTCGACACCCTACGACCTCTGTCATCAAGAATTATTCAAGGTAAGGCTACATCACCAGCACCTCATCCGGCAAACACAACCAGCAAACGTAGCGAACCGAGCCCCCAGTCAGCCACACATTGCACGCACCGACGCAATCATCATCGAAACAAAGGAGCATTTGCAGATGTAAGGACTTTGGACGCCACGCAATGGAGCATGATGGCGGATAAGGAAGATGATTCGGGACACGCATGTATAGCACAGCATCATCGCCAGCACCAGCATCCACCGCATCGCCAACAATACTCGCCGCTCGCTACGTTTCTGGGGACGTTTAGTACCCTCGTCAATCAGACTCCACGAGTTGTAGTAGCATCTTTACCCATGCGAACCGCTCAACGATGCCTGGTTGCGAGGCGTCGACCTTTTGTGTCCCCTCTCGTTCACGATTGCTTGAAAGCTCGTGCTAACCTCTCTCTTGCCATCCTTTTCTGATTCTGGCGCAACGCAACAACTCAACAGATGGGTGCCTACAAATACGTCGAGGAGCTCTACAAGAAGAAGCAGAGCGATGTGCTCCGATTCCTTCTCCGAGTTCGGTTAGTATTCAACAATCATGTCGACGTTCTCGCCGTTGCACCTTCGCTTTTCGACCATCGCCAGCGCCATCGACAGAGAGTAGCACGCTGGAAGGCTCAGAGCTGTCATCAAGGGAACATGCGTTATGGAGTCTCGCTTCGCAGCGCCGTGGAAGCGTGTTTGCTTGCCACACATCAGAAACTAGGCTCGACCCAGCGTCAACGACTTCGTTGCCGCATCATTGCGCGACGTCTTCAGCGACGCTCTGATCGAAGTCCTTCGTACTTGAAGTTGGCAAGCATCACTGTGTTCCACGGGCGTTGATGTCGCGTTGCACCTTGAGCCACGTTGTCCTTCCTGACCGACAGATGTCCTCATTGACGGTTTGTCAATGTTTGACGCTCTGTACTGGACAGGTGATCCTGCCCAGTCAGCATGCTAGCTCTCTCTGTGGAACAGTGCTGCGATGTCGTCGAAGAGCGATGCAGTACAACAGCAAGAATGTGTCCGACTACACCGCCAATCACCACAACAACCACGCTGACCCGTATATCGACTTTGCATCCACCTTCATTCCACCAACCACAGCTGCTGGGAGTACCGTCAGCTGAACGTCATCCACCGCACCTCGCGCCCTTCGCGACCCGACAAGGCCCACCGTCTGGGCTACAAGTCGAAGCAGGGTTACGTTGTGTACCGCATTCGCGTTCGTCGCGGTAACCGCAAGAAGCCCGTTCCCAAGGGTGCCACTTACGGCAAGCCCGTTCGTCAGGGTGTGAACCACCTCAAGTACCAGCGTTCGCTCCGCGCCACTGCTGAGGAGCGTGTGGGTCGCAAGTGCTCGAACCTGCGCATCCTCAACTCGTACTGGATCAACCAGGACGGCGTGTACAAGTACTTTGAGGTCATCGCGGTTGACCCTCAGCACAAGGCGATCCGTCGCGACCCTCGCATCAACTGGATCGCCAAGGCCGTCCACAAGCGCCGCGAGTGCCGCGGTCTCACCGCCACCGGCAAGAAGAGCCGTGGCCAAGGAAAGGGTCACCGCTACAACAAGACCCAGGGCGGCGGAAAGAACTCGACCATCAGGAAGAGGGATACCCTCCAGCTCCGCCGATACCGTTAATCAGCTCGCTCCTCAGCGCTGGTTTTCCGTCGGTTCGAGTCTCGTTGCATTCACATCCCCCTCATTCATGTCATCGTGTATTAGTTGGTTGCTTCAGAGCTCCACACACCCAAAATTTCACCGTCTCTGAGGGTTCAGCCCTTGAAGACACCATTGCTTGCATTCGTCGTTGCGCGTGTGATTGTGACATGTTTGCTGAGATGCTCGTGACGTGCAGTTCCGGTGCGTTCGTGTGCTCGTGGGCAATTGTTGGTGAGGGTGTGAATCAGTCGACGATCTGGGCCATCCTGTGCAGGCGTTGGTGGAATGTCAATGGGAGGGTCAAGAGGTGGGAGTGTCAGCTTCAGTTCGAACGAGTCCCGCATGTCGATGAGCATACTTACAGAGCAGCCAAGGCGGCTTGACGTTTTCTCCTGGAGCTCAACTTGCCGCCTTTCCTGGTCGAGGTGGCGGTCGAGTCCGGTATCGACGATGTCGGAGCGGGAGTCTCGCCTCGGCTCTCTTCGCTTAAGGTAGCAGCGCTGCCCTCTTGAAGACGACGCTCGTTGTCGCTGCGCCTAAGGAAGGGCATCGCCTCCGTTGTCCGGATGCGCGGCTTTGCTGCGTCGGGCACGGCGGTGGTTGTTGCTTCGTCGGATGGTGCTGGGACTGGTTGCTCTGCTGGAACAGCGGCCTCGATCGCGACCGTGCTGGTCTGAAGGTTACCGGGTGCTGCTGCAGTAGGAACAGTGGTGTTGTCGCTGGGCTGCTGGGGAGGTGCAGATGGGCGTTCTGGATGCTCTGCCGCGGTTGGCACATCGTCGTCAGGGCGAGCAGCTGGCTGAGACTCGATAGTGGCGGCGCGAGGTGTACCCTTGCCCCGCTTGCGCTTCCTGCGCGACTCTCGCTCGTAGTCCGACAGTCCCGATTCGTCCGAGTCCAGATCCGATTGCGTTTGTGTTTGCGTGTGTGTCTGCCTTGCCATTCCTTCTGGCTGTATCGGCGCCGACTGCGGTGCTTGTGATGCTTCGCGCGCTGTCGTGGACAGAGGTGGTTGCGCGACCTGAGCGAGTCCTTGCGAAGCTTCGACGTTGGCCGCAGGAGCAGGTGGTAGACCCCACGCATTGAGCTCAACGTCGTCCATGTTGACCTCTGCGTCCAGGTCAAAGTCTGTCCACAGTGTGCTGTTCGTGTTGTGATCCGCTTGGGGTTGGGAGGACATTGTGGTTGTCGGAAAGCTCTCTTCCTGGCTCGCCTTGCCCATCTGCACTGGCGCTACCTGGGCCACTTGGCTGTTGTGCACCTGCGAAGAGTTGAGCACTCTCCTCCTTTGCCCTGGCGTTGGCAGGACTCCACTTCCGCTTCCGCTGGCAATCGGCTCGGCTGGATGTCCGTCTCGAGTACGCTTGAGGCGTTCCTGTTCCTCGCGAGCTTTTCGAACCACGCTCTTGTACCGGACCCATTTCTTGAGCCACTTTGTCATGGTCTCCCACTCCCTCCCCTGCCCCACCGGCACCCCATTCCGACTGGTGACGAGCTTCACGCCTGCGAACCACACCGGCTCGTTGACGCTGCTCACCACCTCCCATCCTCTCACGTCCAACACCAGCGCATACTGTCCGTCCCGATACGCCCCCTCCACCGTCCCTTCCACCTGCACGCGCGCCACCGTGACGCGCACATGGGTCAGCGTCACCAGTGCGCCTTTGAGCGAGGTGAACGACACCGCGTGGTCCGTGTGGAAGCGCGACACTTGATCCCGCGTGAACCGCGCCGCTATGCAGTGCGAACGATCTCCGACCAACGCCCATACATCCGTGTTGGTCGAGTTAGGCGAGTGGGCAGGGCGAAAAGTCAGGAAGCGTAGGAGCTGGATCCGATTGCCAGAGTGAAAAGGCATGTCGGCAAGATCGTAGTTGCCCTCCAGCGCGAGAGTGGCCTGCGTGGAGGCATGAGTGAAGAGCCAACTCTTGAGGCTCTCACTCATCGTGATTCTCGTCCATGTGCCGCCGTAGAGATGGTGCTGAGTCGATGAGGAGGTGGAAAGCAGAGAACAACACCTTGTCTCGCGTCACGAACAGAAGCAGTTTACGCTTTTCGACCCACACACAACACTGCGCGTTCAGGGTCCAATTGCAGCTAACAAAAAAGTTTCGAGCGCCCTGTGGGGGTCGAACCCACGACCTCGTCTTGGGGAGAATGTTTACACGTTTCAATACGTATGCGTGTAGGAGAGACACGCGCTACCACTGCGCCAAGAGCGCTTCGATGTCCAGTCCGACTCGCTGATGCAATTATGAAACCGAGCGCAATATTGCAGTTTCACGCTCCTTGCCTTTCCAAAGACAATGTCGCTCAACGGTTTCATACATGCCCTCGCAGCCAGAACAGGTTGACAGCTTGACATTGAACAAAGGCTGAGCAGGAAACCTCACATTGGTCGACCGGGACCCGACGGTGGCGGCCGAGCTACTGGCGGAACATCGTTCCATCCTCCCACCGCTGGCGCTGGCGGTGGTTCCCCTGCCTGCCCCTGCCCTTGCACGGGCAGCACCGTCCCCGCCCCTGTCCTCCTTCTCAACAGGCTTGTCAGCGTCGGCACACCGACGCCGCTGAACCGGCTCGCGTTGACCAGTGCCGCATTGTGTTCGGCCAACCTCGCCTGTCGCGCCTGCAGCGTGCGGCGCTGGGGTGGTTCGACGCGCCACGAACGTCGTGGAAGACGGGTGTGGCCAATCCAAGGGGCGAGGAGTAGCGAAAGAATGCGATAGAGTCGATGTGGGATGCGGTACGCTTGAAGACGCGGGGACGAGCGGTACAGGGCCGAGACGAGGAGGCCGAGGATGGAGGCGAAGAGCGTGCTGGTGGTCTGGGAGAAGGCGAGGAGCACGGAGAGGGAGGAGATGGAGATGTGCTTGTCCGTGAGGATGATGGGGCCGATGCGGATGGACCAGAGGTGAGGGATGATGCAGTGATACTGGTGGAGGAGGGCGAAGAGTGGGCCCCATGGGCCAGCTGGAGATCGACCTTCGGTTAGCCAGTGCCTGCTCGCCTCAGTCTGCTTCTTCTCCGTTCCTATCGAGGGCAAGGTGGAAGAGTTCGAAAGTAAAGTCGAGCTGAGACCGAGCAGGACCAGCTGTGTAGCCGTGTAGATCGACGTCACCACCAACAAGAAGCTCGCATACTTGTACGTCCCAAACGTCCGCTCCACTTTGACGCCCGCATGGTAGAAGAGCAACAGCGCGAGAAAGAGCTCGGACGAATTGATGAATGCGAAATGCTGGGAAACGAGACGATACCACTGATGATGTACGTAGATGTGCGGGTCGAGCTGCAGGTGGACGAACGGTTTGAGTTGGGAGAGCGAGACGAGGACGGAGATTATGGGAAGAGTGATGAGGATGCCTTTGGTGACGGGTGCGTGAGCGAAGCCTGCCACCATGGCCGCATCCTATCGCTGTGCTTCTTGAGCACCAGCAGCGAGGAAAAGGGCGCGATTCGGGGTGATGGAAGCGGAGAAAGCAGGATGAGAAGAAAGAGCAGGTCAAGGTGAAACGCAGGGACCACCCAAATTTAAGGGTTTTCGGTGAAATGCGCCGGAACACGGAGCTGCACGCACCGCCATGTGGAGCGAGTCGGCCTGCTACATCTCCCATGCTTGTGTTGACCATCAACCAGTTCTTCATCTCGACACACTCCCATCTCTGACGCGCCACACAAGGGTTGCACCGTCAGCTATCAGCAGCGAGGACGCGCTGCCGTCACTGCCGTCATGCGTCGAGGACCGGGTCTGGCAGCCCTCGATCGCTCCATCCACTCCAACACCGCCTTCACTAGCCTCGGTAACGACCTCACTGCTTCGCAACTCAACGAGCTCCGCTCGCAGCTCGATCTCTTCTCGTCATCGCTCCGTCAATTCTCCTCACAGCACCGCAACGAGATCCGCAAGAATGCCGAGTTCCGCCATGCCTTCCAGAAGATGTGCTACAGCATCGGTGTCGATCCGCTCTCCTCGTCCGCGCGCAGCTCGGGCGGCCTCGCAGGCATGTGGAGCGACATGCTCGGGCTGGGCGACTGGCAGTACGAGCTTGGGGTGCAGATTATCGATGTGTGCGTGAGCACGAGGAGCAGCAACGGCGGCGTGATCGCGATGGATGATCTGATCAGGAGGGTGACGCGGTTGCGGACGGGTGGAGCGACGAGGAGCACAGCAGGGACGGGCAAGGGCAAGGCAGACAAGGAAGCAGCTGCAGCCGAGATCACCGAAGACGACATTGTGAGGAGCATCAAGATGCTGGGTCCGCTCGGATGTGGCTACGAAGTGTTTTCGTTAGGGAATGGTGATCAGAAGATGGTCAGAAGCGTTCCAAGGGAGCTCGACACGGATACCATGTTCGTACTCGGCATGCTGCTTTCTTCATCATCGGCAACGACACCGGCGACAACCGATGGGAATGACCTGCCGTTCCTGACGGAAGAGACTCTAGTAGCAGGACAGAAGGCTCGTGGATGGTCGAGGGATCGGGCGAGAGCGGTGCTGGAAAACATGTCGCTCAGGGAGGGGATGCTGTGGGTGGACGAACAGGCTTTTCCAGCGCGCTACTACTCCCTTGCTACGCTGACGGCCTAATCGATTTAGAAGATATCGCAATCGGCGCCGGTCTCCACCGGGCGACGCCTTATACTCTCCCGCATCGGAGCGATTCTTGTGGAAGCCGTTCCGCTTTTTCGACGTCCGCGAATGTTGACAGCTGAGCAGAGAACAATAAATAAGATAACGCGCGCAGCGTCTGAGATGCGGGGTAATTGACCTTCGATAGCATGACGAATCATCGCCTTGATTCTCTTCCAGGCATGACACTTGCTGCACAATGCGAGCCGATGCTGAACCGACCAACGATTATCTGGAAGTGGCGCCCATCGAGCAGGTGAGGTTGGGTTGGGCGAGGAAATTCGAGGTCGCCTTGCTGCTGTCAGCCGCGGTTGAAGCCGAAATGCGGTCGCCACCGGCGGTTTCCGGTCTCCACCACCCTCCCCACGCACCGTCATCGTTTCAAGAGACTCTCTTGAGCCAACTCTCATTCTTCCTTTCTTTGGTCAAGCTTGTCTTCACCGCTTGGGCTTGATGATGTGTCTATAAAGCGACCAACCGTCTCCCTCCTGTCTCGCATCGTCCGCCACCCATCTGCTCCGTCCATTAATCCCTCTTCCTTTCACACAATCATACATCATGGCGGGCACAGACACCGAGTACGAAGCCGTCATCATCGGCGCGGGCCCCAGCGGCATCGCTGCAGCCTGTCAGCTCCAACGCCTCCTCGGCCTCACCAAGCTCAAGATCTTCGACCGCGTCGCCGACTTCGGCGGCACCTGGGAGAACAATCGCTACGCCGGCGCCGCCTGCGACATTCCCCCGCGCCTCTACTCGTTCTCCTTCTACCAGAAGAAGAACTGGAAGGACTTCATGGCCAAACAGCCCGAGATGAAGTCCTATCTCAACGAGACCGCCGTCGAGTACGGACTCTACCGCTTCGCCGAGTTTAGGAAGGACGTCTACTCGGCAGAGTGGGTGGAGGAGCAATCGCACTGGAGGGTCAAGTACCGCTCTGTCGACTCGGACGAGCACGGCGTGGTCACCGCCAGGGTGCTGCTCAACGGCTCGGGAGCGCTCAGTGTGCCCCGTGACTGCGACGTCGAGGGTCACGAGAACTTCAAGGGCGCGCTCTTCCATTCTGCAAAGTGGGACACTTCGGTCGATCTGAGGAACAAGGACGTGGTCGTGCTCGGCAATGGCTGCTCGGCCACACAGATCGTGCCTTCGATCGCCAAGCGGGTCAAGAGCGTCACCCAAGTCTGCCGCTCCAAGCACTGGTACGCTCCTACCCCAGAAGATCCCTTCAAAGGCTCGACGCTCAAGTGGATGCAGCGCAATGTGCCCGGCTGGACCGCACTCGAGCGCAGTATCTTCACCGGCCTGCTCGACGTCAGCTTCATCCAGGCGTGGAACAAGGAGGGCCAAGGCGCCCGCGATCGTTTCGCCAAGAATTCGAAACTCTACATCCAGACGGTCGCACCGGAGCGATACCACCACCTGCTCATCCCAGATGAGAAGGAGCTCAAGGTCGCCTGCAAGCGCCGTGTGTTCGATAATGCCTACGTCCCTTGTCTCAACCGGGACAATGTCGAGCTGGTGACCGATCCGGCGGTCAAGATCACCGAGAACGCCGTTGTCCTCAAGTCAGGCCGCAAGCTGCCGGCGGACGTGATCATCCTCGCCTCGGGCTTCAAGACGGGCGACACGGCGGTGCAGATGAAGGTGCGCGGACGCGGTGGTAAGGATCTCAGCCAGATCTGGGCCAAGGGAGGCGCTGAGCAGGCCTACCGTTCCGCCCTGGTTCACGATTTCCCTAACTTTGCCCTCATCTGGGGCCCCAACGCTACCACAGGACATTTCAGTGCCATCTTTGCCATCGAAAGCGCCGTTCGTCTCGCATGTACGCTTTTCAAGCCCATCTTCTTGCCAGGTCCACGCTCGGTCTCGCCACTGGAGCGGTCCGCCGGCCGCACGGTCGACGTCACTGCCGACGCGCAGAACAAGGAGGACGCCATGATCCGCCACCAGATGGACGACCTCATTTACACTTCCGGTTGCAAGGGCTGGTACACCAACGCAAACGGGCGCGTCTCGACCCTCTATCCTGGTTTCCAGCTGACCTTTGCGTGGCGTAGCGACAACCCCATCGCCGCCGACCTCGAGTACAAAGGTCTACCCGATGGGGTTCGACCCAGCTCAACCTGGTCCTACTGGCAGCAGCTCTCGTCGACGCTTCGGCTCGGCGATGTGCCCGAGTACCGGCAGGACAAGCTCCGACAGCGCTCCGTGGCTTCCAAGGTCGTTGTGCAGCCGCTTGCGGCGCTTGTGTATTTCCTCTGGGTTCGCTTCTTGATCGGATTCGCCCGCTTCGGAGACAGCGTGCTGCTCTACACGCGTGGCGCAAAGGAGTTCGAACAGGTCAAGCAGGACTACCTCACTTCTTAGCTTGGTGCGATGCCGTCGTTGTTCCCCTTCCTTAGTAGAAGCATTCTTGATTGCCGCACGCTGCTTGCTTTGTAACGTGAGTTTCGAATGTCTTCTCTTGACCTGTGATACATTAGGAGACTCATCTCGCTGTCGAAGCGAAATCGGTGATCACAGTCTTCGGCTCCCAAGCCATCTGGGAAGATCTCAGTTGCTTCCTTCGTTTCATCTCGACCCTTCTACGGTTTCATTGTCCGGCGGCCGGCTAGATGATCTTGTTCTACCGAGCAAGACTTTCGTCGTGCTCGGTTGCAACGAAGCGCACAACCGAACCGTGTAGCGGCTCCTCGCTATTGTCACGCAAGCGAGCTGCTCGACGACCGCATGGTAAAGTCACCGGTCATTTCTCGCTTCTTTCAGCGCCCGCGTTTTCCGCGCACAGAAGGCGACCACAAAAGTCTCCTTTTTCGCCGATCCAGACAATCATCCCCGTGGGGCAAACGGTCAGGCCAAACGAAGCCAAGACTTGTGCGTGAGCTCATCGTGTCTTGCTCCTCCCTCTGCTTGTCCCACTCCTCGCTTCCCTAGCCGAAAACTTTCATGCCCCTCCACTCTTCCATCGCACGGTTCAGTCGACCTGCTCGTGGGGTAAGTGGATGAATATGCAAACTTGGGGGAAGGTTTCGCTTAAGATGCGGAGCCAAAAGAAGTGCGAAGAGACGGCATGTGGGCGTTGAGGACAGTGGGATCTTGGACGCTCTGGTGCGACATCCGTCAAGTCTTCTCTGGCTAACCATCCGAGGTATAAGTAGCTCCAACACGTCGACCTTTCGACCACTTTCCCCTCCACAACATCCTTCCCTGGACTGACCTCCGTCAAAATGCGGTCCACCATCAAGTTCGCGCCCGTCTTCGCGGCGCTGTGTCTGTCGACATGGTGCAGCCCATCGAATGCGCTCCCCTCCCAAGCTCGCATCGAGCCCATCGACATCGCATCCACCCTACTAGCTCGCCAAGCCTCTGCTGACAACAGCAGCAGTATCAATTCGAACAACACGGCCGACTGCACCAACTGCACCAACCTCGGCAACTTGAACAACCCGCTCCCCGTCTCATCGTCCGACCCCGTGGTGCAGGTTCGCAACGGCTCGTATGCGGGGATCACCATCTCCCCGATCCCTGCCAACGCGACGCTATCGGGCTTCGGCACGAATCGCACGCAGGAAGCCTTCCTCGGCATCCCCTATGCCCAGCAACCCGTGGGCCAGTTGCGGTTCAATCGACCCCAATCGCTCAACGAAACCTGGGACGACATTCGCTCGGCCAAACGCTACTCGGAGATCTGCTTTGCCGTTGGCACCGATAGCTCGTACAACCCGCCGTATGTGACGTACAAGAACGGCGAAGAGTGTCTCACGCTCAACGTGGTAAGACCGACCAATGCGACGCAGGAGGGCGAGAAGCTGCCCGTCTTCGTATGGGTCTACGGCGGCGGGTTTACGAGTGGTGGCTCTGCAGATCGACGATACAATGCTAGCTTTATTGTGGATAAGTCGGTCGAGCTGGGGCAACCGATCATGTTTGTCAGCTTGAACTACCGCGTCAATGTGCTCGGTTTTCCTGTGGGGACCGAGGCGAGGGAGGCGGGTGTTCAGAATCTGGGTTTGTATGACCAGCGGCTGGCGTTGCACTGGATTCAGGAGAATATCGGTGCGTTCGGCGGTGATAAGGACAAGGTGACCATCGTCGGCGAGAGCGCGGGAGGTGCGAGCATGTTCTTCCAGCTGACGGCGTTCGGTGGACGAAACGACAATCTTTTCCGTGGAGCGATCGCCGAAAGCCCCTACTATGCGACTCAGCTCGAGACGGAAAACACGACGGCGTCGTGGAACGAGCAGTGGGCGTCACTGGCTGAGTACGCCAACTGTTCGAACGGTAACAGCACGCTCGATTGCCTCCGCACCGTGCCGCTCGAGACGATCAAGCAGTGGAGTGTCACGTATAACCAGACGCTTAGCCTGTTCAACCCTGTTCAAGATGGCGATCTGGTGGAGGATGATCTGCAGGAGTCGTTCCTCCAGGGCAAGTTTGTCAAGAATGCAAGCGTCGTGCTGGTCAACAATCTGGATGAGGGGATTTCGTTCGGTGTTCGAGGGGTTAATAATACGCAGGACATCGTGAAGGCGTTGAATGCGTCGCAGGATTTGCCGGATGGGTGGTTGACGCAGGACACCAGGAGTCGGATCGCCAACGTGTATCCTGACAACGAGGACATCTATCCGCCGTTCCAGGCCGGAGCGGGGTTGTTGCCGGCCACAGCCGGTGTTTTGGGGATGAACGACCGTCGAAGCTGCGCCATCTTTGGCGATCTGCGTTTCATCGGTCCGCGTCGACAGGCTGCGGAACAGCTGGCTAGAGGGTCAGAGAGGAAGATCTACACGGGCCGCTTCGACCAGCTCTCGTACCTGAGCACGGTGGCTCAGGGTGCGCAGCACTTTCAGGAGGTCAGCTCGGTGTTCAGGAACCCGCTTGCATCGCAGAATGCACTAGGGCCGTTGAGGAAGGATGTGGAGCTGGCGAATGAGATGTCGAGCTACTGGATCAGCTTTGTTGCTTCTGGCGATCCGAATCGCGCGAAGGAGGAGGGGAAGTTGGGGGGTGAAGCGCCGACCTGGCCGGTGTATCAGCCGGATGGGAGTCGCGAGGAGCTGGCCTTTGTCAGGGATGGATTGGGGAGGAGAACCCGCGTGGTCAAGGACAACTACCGGCGCGAGGGTATGGAGCTGCTGCTTGGCTTGAGGAGCGGCTCCTACCAAGGCATGAGGAGGCGGGATGAGCTTTGATTTGTTATGAAGGGAAATCAAACAATTGTGTAAAAACGTGGCTTGGCAGCTGTCTGACTTTGTGAGTCAAGGCGAGGCACGCAGCGCATCAGTGTGCATGCAGGGGCGCAAGCTGTCACCGGATGAGCCAAAGTTGCAGTTGAGCTCCGACCCTTTAATTTGCTCTTCTCCTCCGTCATCGTTGGTTTTGATATCGACGTCGTATCTACGGTTGTAACAGCGACGACCAGACGATCAGATCTGCGAGCATCTCAACCAGTCGACGAGACAGCATCTACGACGACTGTTTACGACACATCGCGCTGCCAGCTTGTCGAGCCTTATCAACTTGCCTACCGGCGCATTTTCTATTGTCCAGAGGGGATTGCAGCTCAGCACTTTTACACTCCTCCTCACCATCCAAAGTCACCTCCACGAACCCAGCCCTCGCACTCGCGCGTTCGTCGCCCAGCATGGCGCTCCTCCTCCTCCACCTTCCCACGCTGGCCCTCAACGCCGGCGCCACCCTCGTCTACCCGCTCTACTCGTCCTACAAAGCCGTCACCTCGCCCACCACCTCTCTGGCCGAGATGGAGGTCTGGCTCGTTTACTGGTCCGTCTTCGCCTGCTTCTCCCTGCTCGAGACGCTCTTCGGTTTCCTCTGGTCCTGGGTGCCGTTCTACTACGAGCTGCGGTTGATGTTCAACATCTGGTTGGTGGCGCCGCAGACACGGGGGGCTACGTGGGTGTACGTCCACCATCTGCACCCTTTCCTGGCGGGCAACCAGAGTGCGATCGATGGGTGGGTGGACGAGGTGAAGCACCGGGCCAAGGGAAGGGTGGACGGTGTACTCGGCGGACTCTGGAGTGCTTCTCTCGCCTCGGCGGAGGGTGCGGCGCCGAGTGGAGCTGGTGGGAAGGAAGCGAGACACCGACCACCGGTGGGCAACGCACCACCGCCGCCGACACAACATAATCCAGCTCAAGCACCACTCTCCCTCGTCGGGAACCTGATGAAGACCTATGCACCCGTTGCGATCGCTTCAGCAAAGACTTTCCTGGATAGCAAAGCGCCACCTCCGAACACAACCGCATATTCCATCCCCTCCTCCTCCAAGGGCGGAGATGCACAAGCCCGGCGTCGACAACTCGAGGCGCAACTCGCCGCACTCGATGCAGGAATCGGTTCAAGTCCCAGCAGCGAGAGTGTCTCCTCCGAGGACGGAGGCGTCCCGGTCACCATGATCAATCCCAAAAAGCGCAGTCCGAGAAACAGCTTTGGCGGCGGCGGCGATGGCAAGGGCAGTCTCAGGAGTCGCATTGTCAGTTCGGGAAGCGGCAGGACGGTCAAGGCTGCTATGGGCGAGAGCTACGATTTGCTGGATCAGAACGATTTGGGTCCTGTGCAGAAGAAAGGGTGGTTCGGGTCCAACTAGCGCTATGAATTCCGCACCCTGTTCTGCAATTGATCCAGTCTTTTTCACACTCGCACAAGGTTCTGCAGCGCACCCTGACAGGCTCACAAGGGGGATGACATTCATGTCGAGGTTTGAGAGCTTTGTGCGCATCCTTCACGCGCTACCGCCAGTCAACAACCTCCAAGCATCTCCTTGTGTCGTACCCGCCAAGACGTATCCCAAGAAGCCCATCTCTCTTGCCATATCCAGCACGTTATCCGCCTCGTTGCCCAACGCCACTTTATCCTGATGCACCGGACTGCTGCTTTTGCTTTGAGGCGAGACGAGCGATCCCAGCTGGGAGGCGAACGACACCGTGGAGTTGAAGTACAGTGCCAACCTCAGATACACCGGTGCGAAGCTCGCGGGTGAGGTGGGGGGACCGCCGGAGAAGAGGCAGAAGGGACCGCACATTCGGACGTAGTCGAGGATCTTGCGGCGGTAGAATTCGAGTGGGAACGAGGTGGGGGTGACGGGGACGGTGGTGCGATCCTTGCCCTCCGTCGAAGGAGTTTGGACCGTGACGGTGGGATCCGAGGAGAGGGATGTGGCGACCATCATGCAGACGATCCTCAGACACCAGGAGAAGGCGACGCCGGCCACGGCGAGTACGTGTGGTCCAATGGCGGATCGAATCAGCTTGCCCTGCAGCGAAACGGGCGTCTTTGCCGTGCCCAGCACGAGCACTGCTTCCGCCAAATTGAAGGTGCGGTGCAGGTCGTCCATCGTCGCGTTCTTGGCCGTGGGCAGCGTGTGCAGAGCGTGGTAGCATCGGACGAGCGATTCGAGGCTGTACCTCAGCGCTTCCGTGCTGAGCAGTTTCGGAGAGGCGTCCTCGGCCTGCGCGCTGCTCGAAGACGCATCCGCGCTCGCCACGTTGTCTACAGGATCAAACGTGATCGGACGCTCATCGTCATCCATCGCACTGTGAATGACTGCATCGACATCGCTCTTGCTGATTCCCTTCCATCCGGCGTTGTTCTGCACCAGATCGTTGAGCTGGCCGAGCATGATGGCGCAACGCAGCACCTCGTGAACCGCATCACCGAGGGCGGAGTGCGACACGTCACCCAGAGCCTCCTTCATCGAGCGGAAGCTGTGACGTTCCATGCCAAAGCGACCCATCAGCAGATGCGGCGTTCCGAAGGCAACCGCATGCCATCGATCCAGCATGAACAGCAGCGTCCGACGTCGGTACGTCTCGCGGTCGTTCTGAACATGTGAGCCCGAGCCCAGCTTGGACACCGCAGCGGCGAGGGCCGAGTTGTTGTTGCGTCCGTTGCGAAGGTGGTCGAGATGACAGAGCATCAGCAGGTCAGCCTCCTGTCCAGAAAGGCGATGGGCTACCTTGCGAATGGCACGTAGGTCGTCGGTGCCGGCACGTGCCTGCTGCATGAGCTCATCGCGTGGTCCGCCAAGCCCAGCAGAGGCCTGGCCAATGAGGCTCGCCACCCTCGCAGCGTGAGCCCTAGTCTTGGGCGTCTGCGCGTCTTGCTGCATCGGCACCATCTCGACGGGCTCAGTGAGCAGCCTGAGACCCCTAGCAAGCACTTTGTCCTCCAGTCGAGCGATGCTGGCAGTGCTGCTGCCGTTTCTGCTGCTCTCGCTCTCAGATCGAGCGGGCACGATAGGGAAAGTAGCATGCAGGCAGGAAGAGACGATCTTGTCCTTGACTTCGGCAGAGTCGTCGTCCGGTGTTCGCAAAGGCGAGTTCGCTGCAGCTCGTCGCTTTGCCTTGCCCTTGCCCTTGGTCTTGGAGACGATTGGCTCGGATTCCACGCGAGCAGAGTCCGGCGAGGGCATAGACTTGGACGTCACGGACGATGGAGCGGTCTCGGTCGCGCTGACCGCTCCCGCGTCGGACGACAAGGCTGATGCCAAAGTCGCTATATCGCTGTCCATTGTATCGGGCACAAGTGAGGTAGCGAAACTTTCCGGAATGCTTGCGAGGAGATCGGTACCGCCTGGTGCCTCTACCTTGATCTGTGCCTTGTCCACTTCGCTGTTTCGTCGGCTCGGCTCGTCAGAAGCGGAACGGCCCTCTTCGCTCTTTCCGGTCGAAGGGCGTGCGAAGACGCTCTCCAGCCGACTGATGCGGTCCTCTGTGCGGATCTTGGGCTTGGCAGTCGAAGTGCTGGCTACAGGTGCGAAGGCAAAGTCTTGCGGGTGTTCCTCGGTCTCGGCATCTGCTCGTTCGCCGGACACAAACTGCGACTCGAGCGAATTGAGACGTCTCTCAAGATCCTTGATGTAGCCTTTGCTGGGACCCCGCTTGAGGGGGCGCTTGCTGTAGGAGCAGGTGACTTCGCTGCGAAGGCAGTTGATGCAAGGCTGCAAGATGAGCATCTCACCTTTGGGCTCCATGTTGGGCTCCAAAGGAGGCACTGCACCGGAGATGGTAAGCGGATGACCGGGCTCGCCGGGGAAGGCACCGACAATGTCGCAGCGAGTCTTCCGGCGACGGCATTCATCGCAGGCACGAGAGATTCTCAAGCGTTTGCGATTTGGCTGAAAAGGATGCTGTGAGGATGTCGAGAGGTCTGCTGTGTGGGCAGAGAATTCGACTGTGTCGGCGATGACGGAAGGCCGAGCATGCGGGGGATTGCCGGTGTCCAGAGATGGGAGAGGCTGTCGCACAGCTGGCTGAGAGGAAGCGTCGTGTTGGTTGATGGGTCGCTCGTGACCTTTGCTGGCCGGGAGTGGGGAGACAGCAGAAACGGAGAGCCTAGGCTGAGGAGGGCGGTACTCATGAGAATGCTGTGGCGCTGAAGCAGAAGAGGGGTAGGGACGAGATTGCGCCGAGTGCGACTGCGCTTCCAACTCAGGTTGCTGCTCGAAGACCAGAGAACGTTTCCTAGCTGGTTGGAATGGAGGTGGCAGTGCAGCACTCGATGGCTCTGAACGTCGGTATTCAGCATCGGACGGTTGCGAGATGAATGTATGCACGCTGGGTCGTCGGGCCTGCTGCTGGATTCCCGGATGAAGGCGAGCGTGATTGTGCTGGATTTGGAAGTGTTCCGACCGAGTATCGGGATATGAAGCAGCCGACGAGGGGAACGCAGCTTCGCGAGACGAGGTCGCATGACTGTAAGCAAGACGCTGATGAGCAGGCAAGTCGGCTTCGCCGTGGGAGCGGTCCGCATCGTGGGAGCGATTTCTCGCTTCGGCTGGTCCAGTCGGGTCGCGCCCGAATGACATCCTTCGCATGTCCATAGAGGCCTCTTCAGAAGCACGAGAGTAGGCGAAAGATGGCTGTGGCTGTGCGAAACGCATCGTCGGTTCGTCCGAGTGGCCCAGCTGGCGTGCGCGTGGATCCACGTCTACCGAGAAGCGGCGACCATCACCATGCATAGGATGATGTTCGCCGTAACCCTCCAGTCGACCGTCGTGCGTTGAGATACGGTAGGGCTCGGCCTGTACGGACCGCGAAGCCTTTGGTTCGCGATGGTCATGGTGGCTGGCGTGGAGTGGCAAAGTGCGAGGTGCAGGCAGTCGAGGTGGAGCAAAGCTGTGCTGTGCATGAGGAGCATGGGTAGCTGCGTCGTGATACGGAGACGCCATGTGTGCGTGAGGATGATCGTACGAGTTTGATGCGTGCGACAATTGCTGGTGCGAAGCGTACTCTCGACGCGGTGCGCCGGAAAGCGAGTTGGAATGAGGTCGATACGACATTGTGATGGACGCAAGAAGCTCTTCAAAGCAAGTTGCTCGTGCGGTCGGCGACAACTACGACGACAAGACAGCCGACAAAGCGTTGGTTGCACTTGCAATGCTGCTTCAGCGCATGAGCTGGTCCTTTGCGCGGAAGTGGATTTTGGTGTTGTGAACGCCAATCGCTGAATGGTCTTGTTGGCTCAATGTGTGTCTGAGGATGTTCCGTTCCTTCGTCGCGAGGCTGTGATGGGTGCGTGTATGAAGGGAGAAAGATCCAAAAGGGAGGAGATGATGGAAGGGTTCCGGGGCGGGCAATGATCCGCTGGAAGCAGCGATCGGTGAAGGAGCGGCGAGATGGATGAGGCGAATGGTTAAGGTGACACAAGAGAGCAGCGGGACCAGGCAAGCCGAATGGTTCTGAAAGGCGACAGACAGACGGATTGACAAGGAGAAGAGGAGCCGCTGTCGGCGGTGACCTGAGACTGACTGCTTGAAGCTGCGTTGAGACATGCATGCGCGACAGCTCGGAAAGGGTCGCGCGTTTGATCCGGGTGGTGCTTGAAATCTGAACAGAACCAATCTGCTCGCTCGCTTAACCTCACTTCCGCTGCAAGGGCCAACGGGAAACAAGCCCTTTAGCGGACCACCCTTTTGTCCATGAGACGGCAAGACAGCGCCACCTAGGATCCACAACCAAATTTACCAGAGGCTCCGCCAATCGAGGCGTAGACCGGCACCTATTGGCAAAGGGCCAGGAGAAGAGGAGGTTGACCGGTATAGCCGTTGTTGGATCCACCGTTGATGTGTGCCTGATGTTTGCGGTTGTACGGCGCCGTCTTGACAGTCTCGCTAAAATAGTGGTATAAAAACAAAATTGGTGAAAAACAGGACTTTTGTGCGTCTCGCGCAGCTGCAAGGCGTGTGAATTCAAGTCTCACCTTTTTTTTTGCTGCTTGCGTGCAGCGAACGGCAGCTCTTCTCAAGAACGGCAGCCGCTTACCAGCGCCAAGGTGCTACTGCTGCCGCTGAGCCCTAAATCGATTGTACTGTCTTCACTTGCAGCGGAAGTGCCGTTTGAATTGCTATGTGCACGGGGCTGAGCGGCTCAGCGAAGCATTCATCACCATCCACACAGCTTAGCATGGAAACAATGGCAGCGGCATTGGGGTCCCGTTGGCTGGACTGATACCACCCAAGCTAGCAACTTAGCACGTCCGCCTGTTTCTGCTTCTTCCAACGTGTCGATGGCCTGGGGTCGCTTCGAAAACGGATGGGAACGCGCAGTGAGTTGCACCTCGCTCAAGCTGCTCCTTTGCGTCCGTAGCTGTGTGTGGCGGAGATGGCGAAGTCAGGCACAACAGGATGAGGTTGTGCTCCGACGTCCCGACTCCTCTGCGGCCGTTCCGTTTTCCCCTGCAGCGGTCTGCTGTACCCATTGTGAGTTCATTCCTTCTCCGACGGGTGCCTCTGACTTCATGTGTCGCTCTGGTAGGGGAAGCCCCACGTAGCAACGCTGACCCTTTCTGAGACCGGTGTAAGCCCCAGACGACGTCTCTGATAACATCTCTCTGCGGAAGTGGACCTTCGGTGTATGAAACGTGCTACCACGCTCGTTTATTGAAGCTCGTTTTTGCGTACGGAGCAAGGCTGGATCAGACGATATCTGCTCTCACCTGCTGAAACATTCCGCGGATCGAGGTTTAAGCGAGCGAGATGGCTTTTGCCTCGGTTTCAAGCCAGGGTCTGATGCGAATCGGGTCGAGTTTTGCCAGAAATTCGAACGGCTCTCTTGAGCTTGGCATGACAGAAGCGCTCTGCCGAAAAGAAGCGGAAACACACCCGATCTCGCGCGCTAAAATGCTCGGCCAAAGGCAAAGTGGCTCGCTTCGATGCGGTCTCGAGGCTGCTTGGCTCCATCCGAGACGCGTGTCGCGCAACAGCCGAAGTAGCGTCCAGACCCTTCTTGGAACGAGACTCTCAAAACCGGTGACCGCCAGCCTCTCTCACCCTTTTTCTATCAAGCCCAGTCTGTCTGCTCTCCTTTGCTCGATCGCAATTCAGGTTTGCTCCGGCTAGATCATCTCGCTTGAATGGCAGTGAGCCGCTCTGCCGGACCATCATGACACTAACAGCCGAATGCTTGTTTGTACCTGATCTCTCCCAGCCAAACATGCGATGTGAGACGCACTTACTTAGCAAACAGCGCGCTAGGCTCTTCGAACGCCATACTGGACAGCAACTTTGCTATCTGCGAGATCAAGTCCCAATCCCACAGCAGCCGGCCCGCCGCTGAGGTAAGGAAGACCTTCCCAGTCACAGACTCTAGGCCAGAGCTCTCGTGCGAGCCGAGTGACCGACTGACTCGCATCGACTGCGCTGCTTGGGTGGAATCAGGTGATTAATGACAGGTGGGCGCGAACAGAGCATTGCTGTTCGTGCGACAGAGGGTGCTCTCACGTTGTGCTAAGCAAGAATTTTGGGGTCGCCACACAGCGACATCAAAAGCGCAGAGGCGCAAGCGACGTCATCCGCAGATTCAAGTTTCCCACGACGCTCGATGGGAAGCTTGGATTTGACGTTTGACAGGTCAGGAGTCTGAGCCTGTTGACTCTTTGTGAGAACAATCGAACCCGCATGCACACATATGAGATGGAAGGTTCGGGCTGTGATGCCACGACAAAGCCGCGAACTGTGGTTGGAATGCGCAGTGACATGAGGGGTCCTGACAACCGCTCTTGCGCAGCCTGGCGTTCCTCGGGCGCAATTTCTACTTGGCATCATGTGCCTTGGCGCATTCCTCGAGACAAAGTTGTGCCTGCCTCAAGGTTGCGCTTTTGGTGGATACACGCGCAAGCTTGCGCTCAGAAGCCAAATCTCTTGAGCAATCACTGGCTCGGAAAGCCGGTGTCAGATCGAATCGGGCCGTATCTTATCCACCGGTGTCCTAACGAAGCTTGTCGTCACCTTGACACGAGTTTGAGCATCCGGTGTTCTGGATCCGGGGTGCTTTTACTGATATGACTCGCACTCTTGCTCACGCTTTCAGCTTCTCTCCGACGTAAGAATCTTCCAGAGAACAGCTTGTCGCTCTTGGCGCTGGCAGAGAACAAGCTGCGCATAGATCTGTTCCGTCGGCAAGGTGGGTTGTCTTGCGTCTGCTGATGAAGTCGACAGCCTGAGTTCTCACGCCATGCTTCCGTTATGAAGGTCGCATTCTCTTTGAGTCGTCACAATTCGACGATTCCTTGCCTCTCTTTTGGCTGCATCAACGATCAGCGCCATGACAGCTCGGTTTGCGCTGAGTGGGACAATGACACCGCATCTTCCCACGCTCACACCGGTCAAGGATGCAACCGAAGCTTGAATCGGCTTCTGTCTCACGCCTGCGGAAGCTTCCGAGCCTGTGTCAAACCCACCATGCGCAGGCGGCAAGAATGCGAGCGCACGCCTCCGCGGTCTCCTGTCACCCAACACTGTATATGCGCACAACTGTCTCAGAGCTTATCACGGGATTGCCATCTACAATCCCAGCTCTTCCAAACAGTCACAACATGCAAGCTGTCATGTCACATTACGCACGGACGAAGCTTCCTCTTCAAGCTCTGCTCAACTCTAGGCGCCCTGTTGACCAGCATTCGAAGGTGCAGTTCAAGTAGGAACGTGTGCTCCGTGCACTCTGTCTCTGCGCTGCTGTGCTTCTCAGAAGCAATCGTCGCTTTGGCGACACTCTTTGGGGCAATCGCAAACAGCCTCGGACAAGCAGAGGGTATAAAGCCACTAACAGCGCCCTTCTGCCGGACGACCATCACCCAACCACCACTCAGCCACCGGACCACTTCCATGGTTTGCAACGCCACACCATGACAACAACAGTCACAGCCTGCGAGCTGCAGCTGTTCCCTGGAGGACACCCTGCGGTTCGCAAGCAGTACCCGATCCTTCTACACGGCCACTCTCTTTCCAACAAGCCCTTCGAGGGCACGCTCAAGAACCAACACGATCCCTCCTCTCACATCCACACCTGGTCAAGCCAACCATCTGCGAGGACCATCTCGCTCGTGCCTACTCTCTCTTACTTTGCATCGGCATCTGACACTACCACGGACCTGCTGGAAGCCGAAATCAACGCAGCCTTCGACAAGCATGCTTCCGTGGATCTTCAGCGCAATGGCTCCTACAGCAACACCTCTGTCGACTCTGACGACACTCTGATCGCTCTCAAGACCCCTCATCACAGCGATGACGACGCAGACTATCGACGCCGTAGCGTACACTTCCTCGAAGAGGCTCGCCAGAATACGCCACGACACGAAGTTCCCGAATCTGCTTCTCGACCCTCCAACGGCGTACTGTCCTTCGATCCTAGTTCTGGCCACACAGTCTCTCTGCGGGATCAGGATCCTGCTCCAATCGTCCATGTCGACGACTCCGACGCATCCTCTGACATCAGCGAACCCTCCGATCTCGCTGCCCGCGACGACATCTTCTCTTGTCTCCAGCTCAAGAAGCACCTCAGCTCCATCGACCATGCCAAATTCGCTCCCGACGCCTTCCTCAAGCTGATGGACGATTACGAGACGCAGCTCTCCTTGTTTCTCTCTATCTCCGAGAAAGTCCTCGAAGCACTACAGGCGGCGACGGGTGATCGACCCTCAAAGCTAGAGCAGCGCGTGATAGCCGCTATCCGCCGCACGATGTCTTACGGCCTCGAGTCGATGATCATGCTTTCGTGGTTCCGCGAGTACAAGATCGATCAAGCGAGCGCGTCTGTTCGCTCAGCCAGGGACATCAACAGCTACGGGCCAAAGTCAGCCGCTAATGTCATCTCCGCACCGAGCCATGTCACGAAGGGCTCCCACGACCCTGCTCGAGGAGCTTGCGGTATCTCCCTCGCGCCTAGTGGCTTCGCGTCTTGCACCCGCGCCTCGTCCCAGCGCTACGACCGCGCCGGTATCAATGCCAAACGTCGATTTCAGAGCGCCTGGAACACCAGTATCGACTCGGACATCACTGTGTCTCCCACTGTCGACTCTCCTGCATCCCCGCACACACCCGCCTCAAGCAGCGCATCCAAGGCGCTCAGCCTGCAGTCTTTCCTGCTCGAAGACGCGGCCTCGTTCCGTTCCGCCGAGCCTCGTCCAACGCCGACCAAGCGCTTGTCGCTGCGCAAGATCAAGACGAGCCTGCGTTCCGTCACGTCGCCGACGGCCTCTCCCGCTGGTCAATCCGGACGCGGCGTTCGTTCCCAGTCGGACCCCGTTCAGCGCAACGCTTTCGACCCGGCTACGCTCCGCGAAACACGTGTGCACGAGTCGCAGCACTACGTAGCGGTCGGCAGCACCCGCTTTGGCGAGTTTGAAGCGGTCCAGCCGCCCATTAAGCGCCCGTCGAGGGTGCGATCGTTGCTTCGAGCGGTGTCTTCGTAGAGACGCTTTCAGACGGCTGCTCGTGCTCTCTCCCCTCGCTTCACTGCTGGTCATTGGCTGCAATTCCTCTCCTTTCGTATCGCCCTCCCTCTCTCATGCACAATCCCTTGTATGCACTATCCCTTGCTCTACCTTTCTTTCGCTCCCTCGTCGTGTACAGTGTCTGGCAGTTTCAATCGCTTCGCACACTCTTCCTTCCACACCTACACACGCCTCCTTGCCGTACAATCACTTCGCACACTCTCCCTGTCACTCGTAGCCAATCACTCGTCCTTCTCAAGTGCAATCGTACACATTCCCACATCCTGCCTGAGAGTGTGACACGCATCCTCTTACAATCCAACTCTCAACCTCGGCAATCCCGTCCTCTGCTTCCCGTCTGCGCTCTCCCTATACCTAAACTGTACCTCTCTCTCCGGTGCCTCGTCCCAGTCCCGACTAGCCACGCTCAGCCTGTCCTCTCCGTCGCCTAGGATCACTGTGATATTGGGCAGAGGGAACACGCCCACCGACTGGGGGACCAGTCTTGCCAGACCGTCCAGAACCCTCGTTTGGCCAGGGAGCAAGAAGGGGATGCTGACGCGGCGCGCGGCGGCGAGGGTGAAATGGTCGTCGCTGTCGACGGTCACCACCACTGGGACGGAGCGGGTGGGGTGCGGGTTGTGCAGTGTGACACCCAGATCGAGCGGTTTGCCCAGGGTGCTGGTGGGCGGGTAGGTGAGGGTGATGGTGAGATGCTCGGTGTGGGTCGGAAGGGGGGGTGGGAGAGGGATGAGTGATGTTTGCTGCGGCTGGTCCGGATGGGACCAGGTGATCCTAAACCTCGGCGAGGGGGAGAAAGGGAGGGGAAGGGAGAAGGAGAATCGATCTCTCGGGTGCCACTCCCCCAGCGCGTCGTCGTCGATAGCAACTCTGTGGGCGTCACTAACCAGCTCCACCTTCGACACGTGCACAGTGGACTCGCCGACCACCTCAACGTCTAATCCCACAACTCCTTCTCCGTCCGCTTCAGGCTCGTCGAACTCGAGCAGAGCCAGCTCCTTCTTCGCCACGCCCTCGCACCAAGCCGTGCACGCAAACAACCCCCGTACGTCGACACCCACACTCGCACTCACCACCACCTCCTCGCCCACCCGCACACTCACATCCACCGTCCTCACCCCCGCCGCCTGACGTCCTGTCAGCCACAGCACCACTTCCCCGTCCCCGCCGGCCGCAATCTCCACTGGAAGCGCCTTGACACTCTGCCCCTGCTGGTCGCCCTCTTCGGTGGCGCAAAGCGTATCCAACGCCCCCTCGTAGCGCGGTTGCAACAGCGCGTCAACATCCACAGCAAGTGGGACGGACTCGTGGTTGTGCAGCGCGACACGGAGTGGGACGCGCTCGTCGATGTACACCAGCGGTGGGGCGGTGAGGAGCAGGGAGAGGTTGTGGCGTTGAGGACGGACAAGAACGGTGGTTGGGTCCGAACGATGGGAGAGATGGAGGGTGCGGGTGGTGGGGAGGAGCCATGTGCACGGTTGGAGGGCAGTAGCTTCCGGGTCTGGGAGCGGTAGGTCGAGGAATTGGCCGGATGCGAGGGAGATCGTTGCGCTGCTGATGCGGATGAGGCCCGGGTGAAGGGCTTTGATCGTGCCTTGGAAAGCGGTCGTGCTGTGTGGGAGGAAGAGCCGGCTGAGATCTGCGGATGTCGGCGAGACGGTGGAGGTGAGGTCGATGAGACCAAGGTCGACAATGAGCGCTTTCGACGTGTTGTCCTTGGAAAGGGCGGCGTTGACCTCGACAGCCGTCTGATACTCGTCGTCGCCGCTCTGAATGTGCAACGTCACCCCATCTGCAGAAAGCACGTCCATCAGGTCGGACGACGAAGTGTTGCGTACGACGAGCTGGAACGGCACCTCGGCTCCGAACTCCACCTCTGCTACTGGGAACACCACCTGGACGTCCAAGAATCCTGCCGTCACTGGTGTGCTCCCCTTGGCGTCCTCCTCTTCCCCTACTTCCTTGCCATCAACGCCATCCCTCGTCTGAATCAAAAACCTCTTCGCCGCCTCCACCACCTCCCTCCTCCTCTCCTCATCCATCTCCAACTCCGAATCCAGCGTCTCCACCAACAACCTCACCACACTCGCCCTATCGCCCGCCCTCACCGCCGCCTCGATCGCCACTTCCACCAGTGCCCTCCTCACCTCCCCCCATCCTTCCTTAGCATAACTCTTCAGAATCCTTTCCAGAAACTTGAGCGCCATTTCGTCCTGTCCGCCCTCATCGTACGCCGTCGCGATTTTTGCTGCAATAAACAGCGCGTGACGATGCATGCGACCTCGCTTGAATGCGTCGTACGCCTTGGTCAGCGCTTCTGTGAGTTGGGCTGTGTGGTCCACTTTGCTTTCGTGTGCCAGCGGGCCGGACTCTTCGGTTTCTGTGGAGGAGGGTTGGGAGGAGAGGGCGCGGAGGAAGCGCGTTCGACGCTCGACGGTGCACAGCGCAGCGAGGTAGTAGTAGCCACCCGGGCTCTGGAGGGCCGAACCGGGGATCGTGGAGACAGCAACGGCGTTGGCGTTGGGAAGGAGCATGTTGGGTGGCGCGCTCACCTCGCCTCTTCCATCCGAGAAGCGAGGCAGTGCATCCGGATGCAATAGACGTGATGGAAGCGGTGGCGCGTGAATCGGCAGCTGAAACGGTGGCAATGGCGAGCCCGGTATCGTCCGTGTTGCGTGCTCGACGAGCTCCCCAAACATCCGATACTGTTTCGCAAGCCAGGACCAGTATTCGAACGTCATGGCTCCAATGCCCCACCCCGTGCTGAGGTCTGTGAATCTTGCGAGGTGCTTGCGGAAGAACAACGCCGCCCCCGTCCCGTCATCGGCGTACAACAGTAGCTTGCAGATGCGCACGCACAGTGTGTCGGCCAACACCTTTGCTTCCGCCCAGCGCTTCGTTCGGGGTGGCAACATCATCGTGCTGCCCAGCAGGCATGTTGGAGAATTGCACAGCAGCTCGTAGGCGTCCTTGTAGCGAAGGGCGGCTTCGGTCATGTCGCCGGCTAGCTCGGCGAAGACGGCGAGTTTGTACTCGCTTCGCACGATCCAGCCTTCCCTGCTGAGCCAGCTGATGTCGTTCATCCCCACCGTCCTCCCGCTCGGTGTCGCCGGCGGGAGGGTGCCCAACGCAGCGACGATGGGCTGCAACGTCGATGGCGGGGGTGGATACCTCGTCCTTTTACGCTTGACCCGCCGCGCATGCTCCCGATAGAAATCCGCCGCCGGCTCGAACAACGCACTGTGCAAACTTGTGACGAACTCGCCCAGCTCCACCTTGGTCACAGGCGTAAGCACGAACAGGCTCGCTTTGGAATCCAGCCCGCTGTTCCGACGGACAAAGCTGAGCCGAGCCTCGAGCTGCGCATCGTCCAACGTCTGTCGTTGTGTCAGCAGTACGATGGTGAGCTTGATTCCGCGCTCAGTGAGTGTCCGCCGTCGTTCGGATATGAGCTTGACGAGCGACTCGTCGAGTTTGCGTAGCTCTTCTGTGTCGGGAGAGGCGGGTAGAACGTGGAACGACACCAAGACGGACGGGACGAGGTCGCGATGCTTGCGCACCCAGACGGGCGCGATGAGTCCGTCCGGGAACTGTGGCGAGTTTGGATGCAATGGTGAGAGCGGTGATCGTGGCGGTAGCGCGGAGAAGGCTGCTGTGGACGACTCGGACGGCGTTGCGCTGGACCCAGCGGTGATAGATGGGATTGGTGGTACATGCCGCGCTGAAGGCTTGGTTTTGAGCGGCGGCAGCCGGTACAAATGATCGGCAAAGACGGTATGAAAGACAGCGGATCGCCCTCGAGATGGATCCCAGAGCGTATTGCGTGCGCGTGAGGCTAGGATGTCGTGCAGGGATGCAGTCAGATCTGGAAACACGGTGGTCGGGTGATCTGCTGGTGCGGCGGCAGCGCCGGGAGTTGCGTCTGTGAGGGTCGATACTGCTGGGGCTGACGAGGACGATGCAGACGCCGTATTTGATGCTGGCTTTGAAGGCGCTGTGAGGCCAGCCACCACCATGCACGCAAAGTGATGGTGGAGCAGCTCTGATGGAAAGGCGTTCATGGTGGACGTGAAGCGCCCGGCTCACTGCCGCCTCGCTGGGAGCGCAGGGGGTCGAACGGCCTTCTTACGACCGATGATACTGAGACTGAGAGCTCATGGGCTGCACCTTGTGATAGCGCGCTGGTGTCAGTGTGATGCTCGTACTGAAGATGATGTTGCTGGGAGTGGGAGAGGGTCAAGGTGAAGCTTGGAAGAAGCGTTCCAGTTGGCTTGTGCATGTCCACTAAATTCCAAATTTGTTCGACCCAAGGCTCTCACAGACCCGAAAACCACTCAGCATAGCTCACACGACTGAGCTACGAACAGGACGGCTCTCATCGAGTTGGCGTAGGATGTTCGTGAGGATGAAGAGCTACAACGCCACGAAGATATGATGTACATGGAAGACCTCAGAACCCGTACATATTCGCCCCACGAGCGCGTGCATCTCGACCCCGTTTCCACTTCTCTTCCAGCTGGCCCCTATTCTCGTTCGCCAGACTGACGAGACTGCTCAGCTGTCCCTTCCTCAGTCCCTTCAGCGTACCCGGCTTCCTCTGCTGCACGTCTCTGTTTCCGGCTGCAAACTCGGCAGCGGCTGCATACTTGTCGCTGTCGGCATCATCGCCGGCGTTCTGGTAGGCTTCGCGGGCTGCGGTGGAGGCATCAAAGGCGCGGATATCTTCCGGTGTCAGACCTGCTGCTAGGAGATCGCGTGTACCGTCCAGATTGGATGCACCTTTGTGTGCGGTTGAGGTGGTGGAAGTTGCCTCCTGTGAAGACGTCGGGAGGGATTGCTGGTAGGCGAGCAGCTGGGCTTGGGCCTCCGGGGTGACGGGAACCCACGAGCCGTCTGGGTCAAGTTGCCAGCCTGGGTATTCTGCAGCGTCATCGGAAGCGTCTGCAGCAAGTGAGGATGCATTTGTGCCAGCGTCTTTGATGATCGGAGCGGACGAGATGGACAGCGACGGCGCATGCGACGAGGACGCGGCGCTATTGGAAGCACGGTCAGCGCTGAGAGAGAAGAAGTCGACAGGGGTCGCGGGCTCAATCTTCCTTGACGCTGCAGGTTCCGATTGAGGTAGGAAATACGAAACACTGTTGGATGGAAGCGCTGTTGCTTGCTGTCTCGAGATGGCTGCGCTGGCTGTCGCAGCGGAGGCGGTAGAAGGAGTCGGCTTCGGAGTCGCTGGCTTGAGTCCAAGCATTGCCCTGAACGCATCATTGTTCTTGCCCTTCGACTTGCTACCCGATGCTGCGACAGGCTCGGCGCCTTCTGTGGGCGAAGCCTCGCGCAGAATGTCTTGATTGATGCTGAGCGGCGCCTCTGCCATCGCCGGCGCATCTGAGTCCTGTATCGCCTTGGCCGCCTTCCTTGCTTCCGCCTCCTTCTGTCTCTCTGCCAGAATCTCGTCGTATTTGCGCTTAGGGGCTGGTAGCATGCCAAAGAGCGAATGCTTTGATGTTGACGCGCTACTTGAGCCTAGTTTGGGCTTCTTGGTGTTGCTCCTGGAATCCGCTTCCTCGTCCGAATCATGTGCAGATTTGAGTGTGTCGACCTTGATGACTTTGCGCTTGGCTGCCGAGGACGCAGGAGGTGGCAGAGACAAGCCGCTTCCCTTTGGCGTGCTCGGAGCAATAGATGCAGACGAAGGTGCAGGAAGCTTTGACGCTAGTCCAGATCTCGGCGGCGGGAGCAGTGAGCCAAGCTTGGAGGAGGACGGCTTACTCGCGGTGACCGATATCGTGTTCGAGACAGCATGGCTGCTGGACGAGGCTGCGACAGGTGTGATGTCCTCGTCATCCGAGTCGCTCCCATAGCCAGCTAGTGATGCCAAGCCAGACGACATGCTGCTGCGTTTGTGACCATCAGAGGCAAATGGTGGTTCTCTGGCAAGGAAGAACTCGACATGCATTGAAGCTTCAGTCAAGGTGTGGAGGCGAGGAATTTCAGGAATGTTAGACTTGTGCCTCTCAGATTGGAACCTTTTTGTCTCGGTTCGGCCTTCTTCACGGCAATCCAAACGGCGGCTGAGAGAAGACGCGCGACAAAGCAAGCACAGCGGACACAGAGAAACGCACGAGCCTCAACCCTCGACGAGCGGACCACCTTCATCCGTAGCGGGGCTCTTGATAAGCAAGGCGCACAAAGGCCCGTCTTGCATTCCATTGTCACTATCATCATCACCCTCACCATCCGCGGCTCCTGGGTAGACTAGAAACGCCAATCATGAGGAGCTTTACCTTCCTCTCGTGCCTAGCGGCCATGCTATGCGTTACAGCGTCGGCTGCCATTGTCGATGCTCGCAGTCAAGTCAACATGGGCGTCGGTGCTCAAACAAACGGTCCATGGGCTGTCCCTCGACCAGGCAGCTACATCGAGACGAAAGAGGCCATCGTCGACGTAGCGGCTGCTGACCTTCTATCGGAAGCTCAGGCACAGCTGGATGCTTCTCTCGCTTCCTCATCGGGAATTGGCGGACCTGCTCGTCTCGAGCTGCCGCTAGACGCCATCTCTGCTGCTGCCTTTGGCTCTTCCGACGTTGAAAAGATCATCGTCTCGCAAAAGGGTGACTTCACCGTCCTCTCCCACCGCGACTTCCCTGCCGTCTCGGTTCGAATCAAGCAGCTCTACTCGCCCCCACCTGCATCCGAGCTCAAAGGACACGATGTCGACCCCGACGCCTTCTGCGACCCCACCGTCACCTCGTGGTCCGGCTACATCGACACCGTCTTTGGAGGCAAGAGCCTGTGGTTCTACTTCTTTGAGTCGCGCTCCAACCCTTCCAAGGACCCTGTCATCCTCTGGACCAACGGCGGTCCCGGCTGCTCTTCCTCCCTTGGTCTCTTCATGGAGCTCGGCCCGTGCCGCGTTCCCGAGAACGGCGGCAAGCCCAGCCCCGGCCCTCCCATCAACGGCACCAAGTGGCATCCTCAATCCTGGACCAATCGCGCCAACGTCTTTTTCATCGACCAACCCGTTGGCGTGGGCTACTCCTACTCCAAAACCGACCAGAAGGTCTACACCACCGAAGAGGCCGCCAAGGACGTCTACGCCTTCCTGCGCGTCTTCTTCTCCGCCTTCGACCGTTTCAAGACCAACGACTTTTACATGGCCGGCGAATCGTACGGTGGTCGATACATCCCCATTTTTGCGTCCGAAGTGGCGGATCGCAATCACGAGGTCGAGCGCAAAGCTCTCAAGTCAGGCAAGAAGGTCGACCGCGATCAGCTGATCAACCTCAAAGGCGTCATGATCGGCAACGGTCTCACGGATGTCAGCAAGCAAATCTCGGGCTATTACGACATGACCTGCACGCGTCGTGGTGGTGTCGAGCCGATCTTGAACATCGAAACCTGCAAACGCATGCACACGTACGTGCCCAAATGCCGCACCAAGCTCGCCGAGCACTGCGTCGACTCGTTCAACCCGGACCTTTGCGATCTGTGGATGAGCAAATGCTCGGAAGAGATCGAAGCGCCCTACTTCTACACCGGCCAGAACCCGTACAACATCAAGGACGACTGCAAGTCCGGTCTCGAGCCCAACCTCTGTTACGATGTGACGGATGATATTCGCAAGTACCTCGACAGGGATGATGTGCGCGATCTCGTCGGTGCCGCGCCCAAAGATCAGATTGGAAAGTTTGCCAGCTGCAACATGAACATCAATGCCGGGTTCAGCAGGATGTTGGATTCAGCCCACGATAATGGGTTCAACGTCGCCGGTCTGCTCGAGAGGGGCATCAAGGCGCTGGTGTACGTGGGAACGCTCGATTGGATCTGCAACTTCAACGGAAACTACGAGTGGGTCAAGACGCTCGATTGGAGCGGAAGCGAGACTTGGAAGGACGCCAAGAACTACGTAAGTGTAGACTACCTTTCGGATCGCATTGCATTGTGCGTGACAACCAGATTCACTGACACTCACCTACTCTTTGCATTCACAGGAATGGGTGGTCGACGGCGAAAAGGCGGGCCGCACGCAAAGCGGAGGCGGTCTCACCTGGGCCACCGTCTACGAAGCGGGGCACATGGTACCGTACGACCAGCCCGACGCTGCTCTCGCCATGCTCAATCGCTGGTTGGACGGCCAACAACTTTGAATCTTTCCCGCGCTCCTTTTTAGAGTTCTGAGTAAAAAGATGATTGGCTTTGTGACATGCGAGTGCGAGTGTGTGCAACAACCTCTTTGTGCGGGATCGCTCCGCTGCGGGACGGAGCGTCGGTGCGTGCTCGGCGTGATTAGGTTTTTGATCGTGCGGAAGTGGCTTTGTATGCTTTGTGCGGGATCTTGTTCCCGCACAAACGTCGCCTATCTCTTGTTCTTACTGTGCCTGGCGAAGTCTGTCAGTGAGAGGCAGGATACATATACTCTCGTCTCTTCATGGCCCCTCTTCCCTTCCTCCCCTCGCCATCGATCAATTCTCCTCTCCCACTGGTGATACAAGATGCCCAGCATGACCGACGCTGGCGACGCCTCGGCCGACAGCGGCTACGACTTACATGACCTGATCGAGATTGACGACTCTACGGATGACGAGGTTGTCGAGGTCAATCCGCTCCCTGTGCCTCTTCCCAAGGCCGAAGTCACGATGACGAAGGCTGTCGGTACCATTGTGACCGATGACGATGACGAGAGCGAATACGTTGACGAAGGTTCCGCCGAGGGAGAGGACCAGGATGAAGTCAGCGATGAGGAAGACCAGGACACCGACAACAAGACTCGAGCCCAGCAGGCACCCATCGAGACGATGACTGTCGCCACCAAAGACAAGCTGGACCAGACCCAGGACGAAGGTCAGAGTGACGACGAGGTTGAGCACGTACCCAAGCCGGTGGCCGCCGCCAAGGATGCCACCCCTCCTGTCGCCATGAAGAGGTCCAAACCAGCAGTAAAGAAGCAAGACGACGCTAACGACGTAGGGAACACCGCCAGCAGCGCTAGTCGCGGACGTGGGCGCGGACGTGGACGTGGTCGCGGTGCCTCCCGTGGAGGAGCTGCCAGCACCGGTCGAGGTGGCGCTACCACCAAAGCTCGCAAGTCAACTAGCGTCTCTCCTTCGCCCACCCCGGACGTCTCTACTCCACCTCCCGCCGACGGCAGCAAGTCTCCCAGTCCATCCACCACTCCACTTCCCGCTCGCGGTCGCGGTCGCGGTCGACCCAGGGGCAGCGGCACCCCTCGCACGCCTCGTGGTGGCAAGTCCAAGTCACCCACCGTCATCGTCCCCGCTACACCTTCCTCCTCGCTCTCTTCCCTCTCCGCGTTTACGCAAATGGCCCCCACCTCACCCACCAGCAGCGATTTCACCGCTGACACGATGACGACGGAAGAATTCTTCGCCGCCAAGACTCCGCCTTCCACCCCTACGCCTCTGCCTACTCCGCCCAGGACGCCGACCAAGAGAAAGAGGAAGGTCTCCGAGACTACCCCTGGCTTAGAAGATGGGGTTGAGGTGGTGATCGACAGCTCGCCTGGGACGACGGAGGAAAGTCCGGCTAAGAAGAAGCGCGTGACCAAGCCCCGGGCGAAGAAGGTTCCTGCTCCGCCCAAGGTCACTGCTGCTGATCCCGCTGCAGGTGCTGTACCTGCTGCTCCTGCTCCAACGGCTGAAGAAGGCAATGCAGTGAAGGAGGACCCTCAGAGTCAGGAAAGCTCCACCTCCGCTGCTAGCTCGACCACGAAGACCACGAAGAAGGCCAAGGGGCCCAAGCCCAAGGTACGTGCATGACACTCCCCAAGATTGGAGAGCCGGAGTCTGACACCGGTCACAAGATGCTTCTGCTGCGCAACCTCCTCTTCCTCTGCGCGCTCAACAGGGTGCTTGGACAAGCAAAGAGATGATGTTCCTATTCACCCATGTCTTCGTTCGAAACTACGAGGTGGACTGGGAGGTCGTCGCTCGATCGGTAGGTCTCGCAGCACTCTTCTACATTATTCGCTCTTGAGTCTCAATGCTGACACCAGCTCTCGTCACGGTGATGGCTCGTCGAATGGATCAGGTTGAACGCAGCGCGGCCGAATGTGAGGTGCGTTGCTCTCATCAATGCTCCAGATGCTTGATTGGGCGCTGACTTCTGTTCGTTTTGACAGGCCAAGCTGCCCGATCTGGTGCGCACGCTGGAGGATTACCTTGGTGAGCATCAACCGTTGCGCTCGATCCTCTTGATAGCGCTGTTTCTGACCTTTTCTTCGTTCGAGAATAACAGGCAGGTATCCGACCTCCTGAGCCAACATTCGTTGCAAGAGGTGCTGTGCTCGATCGCACATCACGGTCAGCACCACGCAAAAGCGCGCAGAATTTCAGCACGTGTAGCGACGATCCCTTCTGGCACAGAGCGCCGTGCCAAGAATTCCTTCATCTTTAAGCTCGCGCTCCACGTACCACACGAAGTGTGTATCAACCAAAGATTCGATACGAAAGTTCGACTGTTTGAAGCGGCGAATGATGTATTGACCGGCGCTGTGTTGACTGCGTGTGACGTCTCCGAGTCAGGAAAGTAAAGCTCTCGGCGAAGTCGCTGTTCGATGACGCCACTTTTTTCAGGGTCCACCACAAGTCGATCTTTGTTCGAACAAGGTGTGTTTGCTGTTGAATGGGCATTGTTCTGCCAAACACATGCGACGCACATGCATTGCAAGCCGAACAATGATGGTCCTGCATTCAAATCGAACAATGAGCTCAGAGGGAGGTGGTGCAGAGTCGCCGAGAGAGGGAGGATACGTCACTTGCTCGGCGCGATGCGGCTTCTGTCGATCTGAACGAACGAGGAAGTGTCTCGGGAATCACGCTTCCGAACAGAATGTTCGCAGCGAACAAATGTCTGTCGAAGGATCTTGTGGAACGCGATCATGGAAGCCGTCTCATGAACGAAGGTGGACATTCTACGTCACGCGTTCGCTTTCGCTGCAGGTCCGCTTGCTGTTCCTGAGTCAGTCTTCCGACGGACGCCTTGAGTCGAATCGATGCGGTGATCGATGTGACTCGGTCGTATGGATGAGTGGCCGGCTTGGCCTTGTATTCCTACGTCACAAGGGTGCTGCCATCGTGGAGAACACAGTGTACCATTGATAGAGAACTGAGACAGGACACGAACGAACCGCGTGGTCCTAACTGCAAGGGTCCATGTTCCGCGGATTCAAAATCAAGGTTGCATTCGCCGATGACGATCATCAGCAAGCGGCACGATGCGATCTGCGTGCGAGACAAGATCATGGGAGCGCAAATACGCATACACCGGTGTCAGGAGTGCTGCTCAGACAGACTCGTGTTCTTGGCGATACACCCAGCGACGCTGATCTGTTCACAGTGGCCGAGACAAGCCTCTTTTATCGTGGGCCAGTCATCGCTCAGCAGCCAATCGGGAGCTCGTGTTTCATCAAGCGTACGTGGGACGAGTATACCCGATGCAGACCCGGACAAACATGTGTGAGGACTCGCAGCTCGACCCAGCCCAAGCCGGCCAGTAAGCGAGCTTGGACAGGTCGCTTAGAAGCTCGGTCGGTGGAAGCAGGTCATCTCGGCAACGGCAGCTGCGCCACTATTTTGGCAAGGGTGGCGACGACTTTGATGAGGGGCCAGAGCGGTCTCAAAGCGACGACGATGCAGATGAGCCGCATGCGCAGATTTCCCATCCATCCGACGGGATCTAACGCTGCATGAAAAATACAGCCTAAAATGGGCAGAAAAATGTTGGATTTTTCATCCTCCGAGAGTCTAGCTTTCATGCGGTGTGCTGCCAGCTTGAGTCACTCTGCTGATTTTTCAATAATCTCGATGCGGGCTCTGCACTTGGATTTGGCAGCTCCAGGCTGCTCTTTCGCCTTCGCCGGATCATCACGAGGCTCTGTCGGGCCGAGTCACGCACTTCTTTCATCATGTGGACCAGATAACCGACGGAACGCAATCCGCGAAACGAGCTTTCAACACAAAGTGCTATGTGCTACGTCCCACTCGAACGCCTTGCTGCCGTGGAATGAGTCGCTTCCACGTGGCTTTGATGAACAGCTAGCGTGGGAAGTCCAAGTTGACCAAAATCGAAGACCGATTTATTGCTCGCTTGACTTCCTTGTCTCACTGCTCTGGTGCTGCCAGGAACACGGCAGGAACAGTGAGATGAAATTCGAAACCACACAGGCCCACAGACGGGATGACCGAGACTCAAGAGTGCGACAGACGAATTTGTGGGATTTTCCCTGCGAAAATCGTGGCTTGCCGTGTGGCTTGGCTGTCTCGCTCGCTTTCGGCCAGGGTCGGTCTAGAAGACGGCTGCTGGTCGAAACAGATTGTCGCCTGGACCGACGTCTTTAATGGCGAAGGGGAGTGGAAGATCCTTCGGGAGCAGGCCGATCTTGGGCGCTGAAATGGAAGCACAGAGCACAGCGTGGGAAAAGGTGGAGCCTCGATGTCGGATTGACTCTCCGACCAATGACTCTGTCACGCAAGGGCCGATGGATGATGCTTCGGCGAGACCGAAGATTTTCCTGACTCTTGTCGGTGCTCTCGGTCAGTCACCGTGTCTCTCTGTGTCCGGCCATTGCCCCGCATCGCACTCTGCTTGGTTGCCCGCTGCACTGGCCTTGAGTACCGTTGCTTGTACGCTGCAGCTGCAAGTTTATCCTTAATCCTCCAACCGAGCTGCCAACGCCGCAAGCGAGCCCAATCCCTCCGTCCCTCTGGATTCATGCTCAGCGTCTCACCCTTCCACCATCATATCTGCATCCGGACATCTTTCCTTGCTACTCTAATCACCTCGCTTCGTCTTCTCTCTTGTTCCGACTTTTTGGTCAACAAGCTACTCAGCTGCACATACACCGTGGTACACTGCGCGACCCACTGTCTCGGTCCACCTCGCTTGCTTTTCATCTGCGCTCTCTTTCTCTCGGTACAGCCGCCTTGACCTACGCATCCGTTGGCTCAGCTACCGCCATTTCAGTGTCAGCTTCCCGCTTTGTTCTGCAAGGGTCCTCTGCTTGTTCCGCACAGCACACACATGGACGCAAGCTATTAGCTCAGCACCCTGCTCTACGCTCGACGTCGCAAAGGCCGACAATAGCTGTCACTCCACAGACCTTGTCCTGCAAGCTACCATTGTTCAGCCCATCTCTCTGCATTGTCGACGCCCTTAACTCGGCCTATGGTCTCGACTTAGACGAGACTGAGCTCTACTTGACAAAGTGGTGGTCCTCTCTCGACCGTCCCGCTTCACCTTTCTACCGTCATAAGCTTCGCCACCTTCAGCATCTTCACCCCATTTCCCCCCTTCGACACTATCTCAGCATCGCCACCATCATCCAACGCGACGCCATCACACTCGGTCACTGCGAGGCCCACACATCATGCCATTCGCACCCAAAACACACGCCTCGCTCTTCCCGGCCTCTCGCCGACGCCCCTCGTTCGCACCGGACGAACAGAGCGAGGTCCTCTCCTCCGACTACTCGCCGCACTCGACCTTTCCCGGCATGCAACCGTCGGCGTCGACATCGTGGATCAACCCGTTCGGTCGGCCCTCTTTCAGCATCGATGACGATCGAGATGCCTACGTCGCCCCCTCGTCCCCACCTAGCTCGCGTCGTCCTTCCGCAGCAACGATCATCTCGACCCTCCTGCACAAGAGCGTCGGTCAGAACAGCAATGCGAGCTGCTCGACGGTTCGCCTGGACGACAGTAGCGATGAGCTTCCGGCGAGTGTGGGACGGAGGCCGTCGGCGATCTTCAAGGCGTGGAAGGCACGACGGGGGAGTTCTTCCGCCCAACCGCAAGTTCCACCGCCAAGTTCGATGGGCTATGCGCAGGGTCGGCGCAAATCCTCGGCGTTGACAAGGGTGCTTCAGCCGTCCAACTTGCGAAACGGCGCGGGTCGGGTCGATGAACACTCGCTCTCCTCGGGCGATACCGCCTCTGGCCGAAGGAGGAGTCTTAGCATTGTCTGTCGTGGAGAGCGCGATTCGATCGAGCTACCGGAGGAGGGAGTGAGGGAAGGGGAGGTAACCGCAGCCATGGCCATTCGGGATACGTGGTTGGTTTCCGAACGAAAAGGAAGCGTTTCTACGCTCGCCACTTCCCCCTCGTCCTCGTTTGCTCCGCGAAAGAGCATCAGCGCCATGGGTCTCGACACGGAGGATCAGCTCAGCCAGCATCTGTCCTTGCAAGAACGACTTCGACAGATCCGAGAGAAACGTCTGCCGGAAGAGGCGGACGATACGGAATCGGTAGTGTCGTTGTCGTTGACCGAGGAGATCGCGCTGTATACGACCGACGTGCAGACGGTGGAGGCGAATGCGGGGCGAGCGAGACGAAGTGTGGGAAACGCCGAGATGGCAGGGAGTCCGTTTGTGTGGAATCTGCCCGATTGGGGGAATGGGAGATTGGAGAGGTTGCCAGAGCTGTCTCCTGCACCGGAGCTCGTCATTGCCGATCCGTTCGCACGCAGTCGACGCGGCACGGCGATCTCGATGCAACGTGGAGAGAGTGGCATGTTGGATCCGGTGCTTTCCCCTGTGCCGGCGTATTCGCCGACGGTGATCAGCAGTGAGGATGCCTCGTTGGGCCATGGAGAGGGGGTGCAGTGGAGCACCGCTTCGCCCTTCGGCGCTCCCCGACCGTCGTTGGCCCAGACAAGCTCGTGGTATTCTGCAGAGGATCATTCGCCCACCTCGCCCGGATTCCCTCCGGCAAGTCCGCTACCACCTTCGCCGGTATCGCCCCTGCCGGTGGAGAGCCTGCGCAGCCGCACGGCGGAAATGCGTGCTTCCCTCCGACCCACCTCCACTGCGCGATCCCCGCATTCCCCGAGGAGTTTTGGCATCAGCGAAACGTCCTACGAGATGCGTGCCACGTCAAGACTGTCCTACTCCCACCCACGGCCTCCGGTGGATTACGAGAGCGAGAATGGCAGTCAGTACAGTGCGACCCCACGTCTAGTGGGTGCCGACTGGGGTGGATCGCCCATGAGCAGTCTGTTCGAATGTCAAACACCCCACCAGGCCATGTTCGACGTCACCGAGGCCAAGGAGGAGGACGGAGAAGATTTGCACGAGCAATTCTGCAGTGTGTTGTTGTTGGATCTTGGAGATGGACGAACGGTGGGTTTGGGTGGCGAGAGAGGGTTGATGGCTTGCTAGACCCCTCACAAATTTCACTCGATCTCTCGCATGATTGGCGTCCCCCAAGTGAGTGTCTATTGAAAGTTTGCCTGGACCAACAGGGAGCATAGATCGGCACCTAGGCCGGTTTGATCGAAAAAGTCCATCGCGACGATGTTCATCATTCCCGCTCGGGGGGTTTGGACGGTTTGCAGTCGACCCGCTACCAGGTCGACCAGGAGCGCGTTGACACCGATGTTGGATAACCACCCGCCACCTTGGGCCGCCTTGGACTGGTCTCCTGTTCCCTTGGCCACCCACGGTGGCAGTGCGAAGGGGAAGGAGGAGCCGTTCGTGTAGTTCAATCCGAGCACTTTTGGGTCTGTACCCGTGGTGTTGAGAAGTCCGGTGATGAGGGCGAGTTTCTGCGGGATGGCAGAGAGAGAGGAGATGTTGTACCAGTCCTGCGTGACGACGTTGTTCCCATCTGGTAGGGTGTACGAGAAGGGGGTGGGGGAGGAGTCCGGCCAGATGGGTGGGTGGATCCCCCCCGGCTGGCTCGAGGAGGAACCAAAACGAGAGATCAGAACGATCTTTCCCCTCGCCTCGCCCAACATGGGCATCCCCGTCCCGAGCCACCATTGCGGAAGGTTCTTGTTGATGTAGGTAAAGACGGAATCGAGGAAGCCAGGCATGTTGTTCTCCTGCTTGACGGACATGAGTACTGTTTCGCCGGGATTTTGCGTGAGGAAGGTGTAGACCTGGGAGAGGATGGCGGAGAATTCCATCTTCTGATCCGTCACCCCGTGATAGGCGTAGAGGAGCTGGTTACCCGGCGTGCCCTTGAGCGCAAGGCGAACGTCGAGGAATCGGATGCCGCGGGACAGCTGAAGCGCAATCGAAGAGGTGGACTCTTGGCAGGCCGAGATGGGCCATCCGTACAGGGCGCAGGATTCGTGCGTGCCAGGTATGCACAGGGACGAAATGGGGTCGGTCGAAGGAAGGGAGGTCATCCACGTGGACAGATCGCGTTGCGGTAGCAGCAGGATGTGAACGGTCGAGGTGGTTGGATCTGTCGATTGGAGGGCGATGACACCTTGCACTGCCGCTGAAGGCTTGCTCGGATTCGGACTGAGGTTCGCCGTTTTGACCGCACTCGACGTCGGCGTGAGCTCCAGCGGCTTCCATAGCCTACCCACCGGCCCCACTTCCTGCACCTTCGCCGGTGGAGGAGCAGAGAGGCTAGCACTGTATCCACCCAACCCCTTGGCTCGGGGTGTGAGCGTCAATCCTACCTCGTATCCGCCCGTACTCGCCGCTGTAGCAGCCTGAATCTTGACCCCAGGCACATTGACGCGACCACCAGGCGCAACACGAACCGGCGTGTTGCGCACGCCAAACTCGCCCCCCGCCGCAATGGCCGTCGGTGTAAATCCATCCTGCGGCACAACGGGCGAGCTGGGGAGGGACGAGGAGGCAACGCGTTGCGTGATGCCGTTGCCCGTGTGCAGCGCGCCAAAGTGCGAGTGTGTGAGGAACTCGAAGGATGTGCGGTTGTGGATGGAGAGTGAGACCGAGCTGTGGCTGTCCGGGGTGGTGATGGGAGCAGGAGGGGGCAGGGGCTTCTCGGTGACAGAGTCCGTCTTGTTGTGGCGGAAGCTTGGAATTCGCATGGTTGCTGTGGTTCGCTCTAGAGGGTGGGCATGTATGTTCTGGACGATGTCTGGTAACGATGGAGACGTCTAAGTAGAACGCTGCGATGTCCAAGAGGAGGAGGAAGACGGGAAGGAGGAGGTAGGGACGATGATGGAGTGAGGGAGCACGACGTTGATGGTCACACAAACACACACCAGCGTTAACGTGAAAGCAACACAAAGCCACGAACCATCAACAAGATCAAGGGTCTACCCGAGCAGGCGGAACCTCGACTCTGCCTCGCATAGAATGTATGCAATCGCCGTGTCGGCAACAAGCTCAAATGTAGCCCCTCAAACGCCAATCGGAAGCAACGTTTAGCTCGCTCATCTCCTCGGCTTCCAGCATCAACATGAGTACGTTGCAAGCCGTGATCCTCTTCAAAGTACGTCTGTGGAGAAGGCGTATGCAAGGTGTGTAGGGGGCGAGGTGTTGTTTGCGCTCCAAGGGTCGCACAAGGTGTTGCTCTGGTTGGCTGTTCAACTCCGCACGGCAGCTCTCGTGGCCTCTCGTGCATTGCCGAGGCCGAGTTGGAAAACAAAACCACTTTTTCTCTTTCCTGTGCTTTGTTTTTTAAGCCCCTTTTTTTAGCACTCAGATTCCTCGCGCCGCGCGTAAAGCGGAGGCGGACGACAAAGCTCGGATTTCGGTCATCGTCGATGGCGCGAGCTCGGACCCTTCTCACATCTCTTCTCAGCATTGCTCTTGACACGCATTCCCCCGTCAGATCACTCCTTTCTGCCAGATCGGCTCGCCCAACAACAGCACATACAGCATGTGAGAAACACGGACGCACAGTGGAGCCGCAAGGAGAGCTCGCAATGCTGACCGACCATCTTGTTCCATACTGACCTCAGGACGGCCCCAAAATCGCGCCCGTCCAACTTCGCAGCCTCAACATCGGCGACCCCAGCCCCGCCTTCCGTCGCCGAGACACTCTCCTTTCATGCAGCACCGAAACCGTTCAAATCCGCCGAATTTGTGGCGCGGATGAGCAAGATCTCCTCCAACTTGTCGCGGAGGAACAAGAGTCTCAAGCAGATGCTGCAGAGCGAGCGCGAGGCGGCAATGCGTGCGGCAGGGCAGAAGTTCAAGGAGAGAAAGAGGAAGGAGGATAAGAGTAAGGGGAGGTTGGTCGGGGCTGCGCTGTTGGCTGCGACGAGGAGAGAGGAGAGGGAGAAGAAGGAGAGGGAGAGGGTGAAGGAGGAGGGTGGCGAGGAAGAGGTGGAGGAAGAGGTCAAGGAGGAGGCGAAGGAGGAAGGCAAGGAGGAGACGGAGGAGAAGGTGGAAGAGGAGAGGGATCCAAATACACCAAAGAGGGATCTTCCGACTTGTAAGTGCGGCCATCGACGAAGGCAGTGAGAGAGGAGATGTTGCTGACATTGACATGCTTTCGTTCATCAGATTCCTCTGTCGAGGCACCACCGAGCTTGCGACCAGCGAAAAAGTACTGCGACGTGACAGGCCTCATTGCACCGTACACGGATCCCAAGTCGGGTCTGCGGTACCACTCGGTCGAAGTGTACGAGATCATCAAGCAGTTTGGGCCTGGTGTAGGCGACGCCTACCTCTCGCTGCGCGGCGACGGTTCTCAGATCAAATAATCTCACGACACAATCACTCACACTCGACACGGTCTCTCAACATATCAGCAATGCAATGTAATTGTACGACAGTCTACAACTCCTCTTGCTCAACGCGATCGTCCTCCGCGGTCCACGCTTCGATTCTCACCCTCGACTCCCTAGCATACTTGACGACCTTGTACCGGATCAAATCGTACCTCTCGTAGCTCGGCGCAGCGAACCTTGCTGCCTTGTGGTGCAGCGGTAGCTTGGACGCCTGCAGTGCGGCTGTCCTACTGGTCCAAATGCACGTGGCAAGATTGGCGCCTGTGCTCGCATTCGGTGCGCCGTACCAGTACATGATCAGGCCGCCCGATCTTGTCGCTTCCTCGTGCGCCAACCGGTCCGCTTCGTAGAACGAGCTGGATTCCGAGCCGAGTTTGCGCTGTGAGAGAAAGAGTACGCCGTACCAGCTCTGCTTCGAAGAGGACGGCAAGGCGGGGAGGAGGGACCAGTTGAAAGAGGTGCGCAGGTGCGAGAGCGCGCGGGTGGAGGCGGAGAGGAATGCTGGGCAAGAGTCCAACGAGGAGCTAGTAGTAAGAGGGTGAGGTGCGGAGTCAAGGTAGCCCGATGCATAGTCGGCCGTTAGGGGGCGAAAGTGGTGTAGAGCGCGCCAGAGATCGATGCTGGTCGAGTCGAGAAAGGGGAGCCGGGAACGGGTGTAGAGCACATTGGTGCCGCTCTTGACTACATAGTCAAGCTCGCTGGCCGCCTCTTCCGAATCGTCGTCGTCGTCATCATCGTCGAACTCGAGTGGAAGGCGAGCGAGGATGGGCTTGAGTGAATCGAATTCTGCATTGCGCGGTACCGCGTCGAAAAGGGCCCTGCTTGAGGAAGAGGAGGGTGAGGCCTCGGCGAGCGAGAAATGCTGCTTGCCTAGGCTGGCGTTGATGCGGTTTCGAGTCGAGGTGCCTGTCGAGCCGGAGACGTAAAACGGCGCCGAGTGACGAATGTAGCTCGACGAGCCGGGTACGCTGTCCATGGAAGAACTCATGTCTAACCGTCTAGTTTCCAGCTCTGAAGATGGTGGTAGTCGGACAACTCATCGTGCCACATCATGACCTCAAGGTCAAACACACACACGCATACAGTCAAGGTTCGAGCGGAATGTAGGATGTGTGACACGCAGACTCAAGGTTGAGCCGGGTGAGCAAGGAAGACGTGATGCACTTGCATCGCTTGCGAATAGCCTCCAGGGTCCAAGCTTCCCCCCACCATCCGCCGCACCTGCGCATGACTGTAGCTAATCTCGGCATACGGTACTGGCAGGTAAGGCGCCGAGAGATTCTTCTGTCATCCACGATGTGATGTGTGGAGGAGAGAACACGAGTTCGGTGTTTGGCGGGGGCGGGAGGGAAGGAAAGGTGACGACGAGCAAGGCGTGCTCATGTTGCCATTCCGCGGCGTTGTTGCGTCAGTCGCCGATCGGGCCTTGATCTAATCGCGATTGAGTTCAGAAAGTTGACCGACGAAAGGGCAAGACAAACAAGGGTCCAGCGCGTCCGAAAACAAGGCTCGCACGGCGCGGGGTCCACGTGAGGCCGCTTCCTCGGCAAAAAGAGCGAATTACCACTGCAGAGGGTGCACTGCCTCCCCAAGAGCTGCACGCCGTAGCTGTGCATACACAGCCCCGCCCCGTGCAGCTTGGTCGTGCATGCCCCTTTGTAACTGAAATGAGCTTTCGGCATTCTCGATCTGACCACTGCTTTGAGACGTTTGAACAGCTCGATGGAGTGCGATGCTGACTGAGAAGAGGGATCGAAAGCGAAGCTGTCTGGCAGCGAGCCTTTGTCGTATGCTGCGAGGTTACGCAAGTCGCTTCGGCAGGCGCGATGATTTCGCTTCTTTTCTTTCGAGATCATCACAATCGGATCGGTTGCATCTTGTGCAGGTCAGCAAAGACGTCAATGCACCTTGAGAAGGAGCACACGGCCACAAGCCGGGTGGTGGATGGAAGTCATGCTGTCCCCCTATACACCGCCTTACCGTCCCTTGGCTGCATTTCGAGGGGGCTCTGCGCTCCTGTTCTCCTGGCCTCGGGGTTGCTGTCTCTTTTGACCCCTTTGTCATGCGAAATTGTTTTTGAGCTTGACACTCTGCAGCAGCTGCACGCCTTGGGCCCGACCCATCGTCGAAATTCGAATCGACACCCCTTGCGCCGTGTATAAATTGGAAATTTCTGCCCGGATCATGTCGTGCCGCCTTGCTGTGCGGTGCTATGCTATGCTGTGCTGGCTTGTACGGGCAGTCGATGTCTAAGGCGACTGTGTCTCAAGAAGCGCGGGACCCCTTTGTTGAAGGCTGTCGCTGTCTGCTATGATTGCCGTTGGAGAGGGCTGGCTGGCAGAAGCTCCAAAGGTCCCCTTTCGGAGCCAAGGCGCGGGCAGTGCGGTTTGCAAGAGGCTGCTGACTGGCATCATCGGAAGCACGCCGTCAAAACTTGTAGGCTGCGCTGACACTTTCGGAAACGGATCGATTGGCTTGCTACTCTTCTTCACAGTCACACACTCGGATCATCTGCCGTCTCTGTGATACGCAGCATTGTATCGTCGGCTTTGCGAGCTTGAAGAGCAGAAAGCAGCTCAAACCCAGTCCCACGAATTCTTTTTACAGTTTAATCTTTTCTTCCCTTTTCCCACCAAGAACCTCGAATTGATAACACACGCAACGACTCGGACCTCCCGCAACGCTAGCTCGCTCGGGTTGCCTTTCGACGTCGACATCGTTGCATGCTTCATCTTTCTCTCCCCACCAATCGATCTCTCTTCTCACTCTCTACAGTCACATTCGCCATCGTCACTTTTGCATCTGCTGCGCCCACTTGCTGCTGCACTCGGCCGCTTTTCAGCTTCGAGCCTCGATCCGGCCCGCGTCGCTCTCGCTGCATACACGCATCTTTGCGTCTTACCCACCGCCACACTTCATATCAATCCCACCTTTTCGAGCGTCAACATGAACGTCGACAACCTCACTGTGAAGCGCAGGTCGCCCAACGCTCTCGTCAAGCGTCAGGAAACGTAAGTTGTCTTTCATTTCTCATCCGTATCCCCCTTAGGCTGCTTGCATGCGTCGTGGAAGGCATTGCATTGAGCTGCTGTCGAGGTCGAGTCGCCAATCAAGAGCCCTCCTTGCGGTCGGACCTGCGCAGCTTCTTGCTCTTGCCATCACCACTTGCCTCCTTCCACCACATCTCGTCCCTTTGACTCCACATCATTAGCCTTCTCGATCGTTGTCTCCTTCTCCTTGCACATTCACGAGCACCCTGGCTACACCGCTTGGTCGTCACTGCTGCAGTTAGTCAGGGCCCAATCGCGCGACTCGGTGCTCTCAGTGATTGCTGCTTCAGCATACTCTGCTGCTTATAGCACTTGCTGGCGTACCTTGGCTCAGCTCTTGATTGCGACGAGCCGGGGACAACCACATCCAGCGCTCTCCACCATCGCGTGCTCTTCTCGAAGCGACACTCACTGACCATCGACTCTTCATCTTCCAAACACACCCTACTCTTATCATCGACATCGACCGCTCCGATCAACACATCTCGCCCTGGTCCGTCTCTCACACCATGGCATCGCCACTCGACAATGCTTTGCCGGATCCCAACCCCTCCGACAAATCCACCACTCCCGTCTCGCCTGCTTCTCCCGATGACGGAAACAAAAACATGGCTGGCGTCGAACGATCGCCTCAATTTCTTCCCTTCCCCGACGAAACTTTCTCTGGCTTCGACGATGCTACTACTGCCGATACCACGTCTTCTACTCGCACCAGAGACACCGCCCTGACCACCAGAACCAGCGCCACCTCAACTAGCACCTCGACCACCTCTACTTCTACCACACCTACTTCCACCAGCACCTCAACCGCTCCCACAACCACCGCCTCCTCCACAACAGAGGCTAGCCCCACCACCACCTCCACCACTCCAACCTCGACCACTGCCGCATCCACACAGACCACTCCCACCTCTTCTAGCATCCCCACTTCAAGTACCGCTCCCACCTCTTCCTTTTCCCAACCGGTCGTCGTTGTCACCTACACAACCACTGACGGCAATGGCGCTGTCGTCACGGGTCTCAGCAGCTCGGCCAACCCCTCTGCTACTGGCAGCAGCTCGAGCTCCGGTTCCGGTAGCGGGTCCAACGCCAACCTTGGCGCCATCATCGGTGGTGTCGCAGGTGGTGTAGCTGGTCTTATCATTCTCATCTGGCTAATTCTGCTGCCATTGCGCAAGCGTGCCAAGAAGCAGAAGGAGGTCGAATGGCTCACGTTCGGTCAGGAGAATGACCATGTCAACGACAACAGCGCCGAGGCTGTCTACGGTCGTGGAGCAGGCGGCAGCGGCGAGGGCAAGGGCGGCAGTGTCGCCAACGTCAACGAGATCCAGATGGATGACATGGCGCATGAGATGTCGCAGCAGCCTTACCCCTACCAGAATGTCGACAACGGTGCTGCCTGGGGCGCAGCCGGTGCAGGTGCTGCTGCTGCCGGAGCCTACGCTCACCACGACGCATACGCACAGCACCAGCAGGACGGCTATGACCCCTACTACGCTCAACAGCAGCAGGCTTACGGTGGCGAACAGTACCACCAGCAGTACGCCATGCAGTCTCAGCAGGGCTGGGCGGGTCAGCAGGGCGGCGCCTACCCTCAAGGCGAAGCTTGGGGTGCTGCCCCTAGCTACACCAGCCCCACTCCGTCACAGGCGCATGGGCAGGGCCTGCAGCACAACTTGTCGATAGGATCCACCCGCGTCGGCGATGCTAGTGGTGTCGCCAAGGGATCGCAGGACGGACAGGCTGCTGGCAGCCAGTACGGTGGCTACCCATCGCCACCGCTCGGCGCCCAGTCGCCCCAGCACTACCCTCAGCAGTATCAGGGCCACGCTGCCGCGCCCTCGCCGCCGATGCAGGCCCAGTACTACCAGGGCCACCACGACCAGGATCAGGTGAATCAGCACACGGGCAACGGCGGTAACGCAGGCGGCCTGCACCTTGCCAATCCCTGATCTCTAGCATGCATTCTCGTCCTCTCGTATAGATCCCGGTTCCATTCTGTCATCTTCACGCTGTGCGCTTGCTTGATATGGTGCCTGTCTCTTCATCATCGACCCTGTCTGGCTGATCCGTTGCAAATTGACACGTTCATTCGAAATCTTGCTTGCACGCGATTTGCGACTGACTGCTGCGAAAGCCCATGAGCGCCGTTGAGGCCCTGAAGAGAAAGCTTGAATGAAGATTGGAGGTACAAGTACAAGTGGCTGCGAGACTGGAAGCACAGAACGGTCCTACGACGTCTTAATCTCGTTCGAGGTCTGAACGAACGATAAGAGGGATCATCAAAAGAAGTTAGCACATGCCCCATCTTCCTTCTCTCCTGCTGTGTAACTTACTGATGTTGTCGCCGAACTTGGCGTAGAGCTTAACCTTGAGGCTCTTCATTTCGTCCTCGAAGCCATCGAGCCTGCCCTGCAGCCCTTCGATCTCTTCATCTGCCTGCTGCTGTTCCTTCTCCAATCTCTCCATGGCCTCCGCGTGAGGGAGCGAGACGAACGTGTCGGCAATCTTGTACAGCACTGCCTCATCCTCGTCCGCCAACTCGAGCTCCATTGACAGATCGTCCAAAGCTTCCCGCTCTTCTTTGCGCACACGCAGGTCTTCCGCGACGTCCGAGAAGGTCGAGTTGAGCCGCGAGAATGCGTTGATCGACTGCTGGTCCTCCCAGGTGACCTCGATTTCGTTGGCTTCTTCTTCGGAGAGCTGGCGGTCGAGGGCGGTTCGCAGTGTGGAATGAGCAAAAAGGGTCAGTGAGAGGCCACAATGGCTGAGACAGGCTCTGGCGAGCTTACCATGCGCATCTTGGGCAATTGTGCTGTGAGACCGTCCAGGAGATGATGATTTGCACGACACAAGGTGGTGATGAGAAGAAAGCTGTCACGAGTCAAAAATCGCGCGGCGCACGTCAAAAATTCCCAAGCGGGCTCGTGCGGAGAGAGACCAACACTTCTGCGCAACACTCTCTCGTCCTCACCATCACCACCTACCTCACGCGATGCAACCTCCCTAGAATGCTCCTCTGGCTGCTCCTGCTCGCGTTCTGCGCAGCGCTCATTCCGCTCATAGCTCTGCTCTGTCTCTGCATCTACATCTCGGCCTACCGCACCTGCACGCGTTCTCACACCTCGCCATGTCTGGGTCGGTCCGCGGCAGTCGTCGTTCTGGGCGACATCGGTCGCAGTCCACGCATGTGCTTTCACGTCGAATCGCTCGCCAATGATGGCTGGAAGGTCGCTATCGTTGGCTACCCCGGTTCGTCCCTCCCAGCCCCATTGCAACGCTCCTCCGTCAAGCAGCATCACCTTCGCAGCCCACCCTCGTGGATATCCCGATTGCCAAGGAAGGCCTTCGTCGCGGTGGCACCGTTCAAGCTCATCCTACAGGCCATATCGTTGTTCTGGGAGCTGACGACGCAGGTACATCCGCCACCGGAAGTTGTCCTGGTCCAAACACCGCCTGCTTTGCCGACGCTGCTGGTGGTGAAAGCGGCTGCGGCGCTGGTGAAAGCGAGAGTCGTGATCGATTGGCACAACCTCGCGTACACGATCCTAGCGCTACGACTGGGGGCGAAGAGCAGGCTGGTGCGCCTAGCAGAAAGACTGGAGCGATGGAGTGGGAGGGACGCGTACGCCCACCTCTTCGTGACCGAGGCGATGAAGAATCATCTTTCGCTCAGTTGGGGGTTGCGGGGAGAGAAGAGGGTGTTGCACGACCGACCGCCGGGGCATTTTAGACGAGCGACGGTGGACGAGACGCACAAGCTGTGGTGCAAGCTCCTGCCGGATATGCAACCGAGGATAGGCGACGACTGGTTGCCGGAGCACGCACTGCCCGAGACAACACCTTTTACGCAACGCACAGCTGAGTGTGTGCGGTGGAGGGAGGACAGAACGGCCCTGGTGGTGAGCAGTACCTCCTGGACGGCCGACGAGGACTTTGGTCTCCTACTCCGTGCAGCACGTCTGTACGAGTTTCGCGCTCGCGCCCTTGCCGAAGGCGGACACTCACGAAGCAGTACCAACGACAATCTCTCGCCCATCTCCCCGCTCGAATCGGACCCGATACGACTGTCCAAAGAACGCCGCCGACCGTCCTTCGGCACCCTCCGCACGACCACTCTTCCGCACACCCCAGCGACGTCGCTACCGAAAGTGCTGATCGTCGTCACTGGAAAGGGTGAGTTGAAAGCGCAATACCTCCGCGAAATCGCCACGTTGGAGCGCAACGAAGCATGGCGTTTCGTCCGTATCCGAACTGCGTGGCTCGAAACCGCCGACTATCCCTTGCTCCTTGGAAGTGCCGACTTGGGCGTGTCGCTGCATACGAGCAGTAGCGGCTTGGATCTGCCCATGAAGGTGGTGGATATGCTTGGGTGTGCTCTGCCGGTGTGTGCGCTCGACTTTGCGTGTCTCGACGAGCTCGTTCGGGATGGCTACAACGGTGGCGTGTTCCGGGATGAGGGAGGATTGATGCGATTGTGGGAGAGTCTGCTTTCCACGCATCCGGGCGAGAACTGGTTGGTCCGAGGAGGAGGGTTGGAGAGACCGTTCGATGCGCATGGGCAGAGTGGGGCAGGCACACCCATGTCACCCAATCCAAGCATGACACTGCTCCACAGTCCGGGATTGCACAAGGGCGAGAGAAGGGGGAGGGCGACCTGGGCGGGAAATTGGAAGCACGTCATGCGACCTATACTCAATCCGAAGACGCACGCGGACGGCGAGGAGGAGACGGCTGTCGATGCCCATCTTTCGCGCAGCTCAGCGTTGAACCTCAACACCAGTCTGGGAGGGATCCTTCAACGACGCGCCAAAGGGTACACGCAGACAGCCGACGATGACGGTAGCGGCGAAGTTGGGCAGGAAGGCGTAGACGGAGCCAAGGGCAAGGGCGGATTCGGCTTCGTCTCCCAACCAGCGCTGACGACGGGCGGCGAGACGAGAGACGGCCTGCGCCAACGCAAGTCGGTCAGCAAGCCCAATTCTTCGCTCCTCGATCTCGACGACGAGGAAGGCAAAGAGGACGCCATTCCCGCGATTCAGGTGTCGCGACCTGCACCATCCTAGCCTAGACTTTCAATGTGAGACTGATGCACACGGAGAGCAGTGTGACCGAGGGTGTGGCTCACCATCCAAGAGAACACCGAGAACGAAGTAGAAAGAGGTATCGACCATAGCTGGTTTCAACTGGATCCAATGTACTGATGCACTGAATGCACATCTAAGGCGCTTTGGCGGAGTGGTTATCGCGTGGCACTAGAATTTCGCATTCTAGAGTATCTTCCTACTCAACAAAACAAATGCCATTCCCTCTGGGAGCATAGGTTCAAATCCTGTAGGCGTCGTTCCTTTTTGTGCGCATCACTTTTTGCACCTCACCACCGTCTTCTTTTACCCTCTTCCTTATTCATTCTGCAAACAAGGCCTCTGAAACGATCGGGTGGTGAGTGTAGATAGCGAAGGAGGAAGGAGAGAGTGGGGTGAACTGGGAGTGAACAGGTTGGGCCTCGGCGAATTCTTTTGGTTTGCCGCGCAGATCCCAGCGGCTGGACCCTGAATCGGCCGTCAGCGGTGCAGGGTGGCAAGAAGAACTCAGCTGCCTCCACAAGGCTACTCATCACCATCACTCTTCATCAGCATGGCGTCGTCCTCATCAACGCGGCTCACACGGACACTCCTGTCGCCGCGCTGGGCGCAGACGCGATGGCTGTGCAACTCGACCGCTCGGCACGACTCGTCCTCGCGCCAGCCACCGAGTCACGCTGAAGGCGGTTTGACAGGATCGGACAAGCTCCTCGCGGACGCGCTTCGGTTGGAGGCAGAAGAAGAAGCGGCGCTATCCAAAACTTCGCGGCAGCCCGATCCCAACGATCCAATATGGACCGGCGAAGAGCGTGTACAGGATACAGTCCTGCGTATGGTCATGGACAAGTACAAACCTCTTCGTATCCCGCGTGCTTCCGATGAGGGCAATGCCGCGGATGAAAAGATCAAGAACGGCATTCAAACCCCCTCCACCCCATTCACCGAATCCACCACTGGTGACGACGAAGAGACGTTTCGGATGTACCTCCCACCGGGAAAGGCAGGTGCACACGAAGACGGTCGGAAACTACCCAAAACGCCCAACGCCAAACCGTGGCGCGCAGTCTACGTTCGACCCGCCCACCTACTCGGTGGGAACGCGGAAGAGGAGTTCAAACCGAGCATCTACTATGGGCAATTCATCAAGAGTCACAACTCGGATGTGAGGGGGAAGCTCCAAGCTGCTGGGGTCAACGTGGGGGTGATGGACGATCCGAAGAAGTTGAGTGCCTTGCGACAGGGGTTGAAGGTTGCCGAGCGACGAGGGAAGTTGTTGCGTGCACGGGAGAGCGTGCTGGACTACCAACTGCGATCTTCCTCGTCACCCTCCTCTTCGGACCCCGACGACCACACTGATCAAGCGCAAGAATTGAAGGGTGACGAACTTTCCGATACGAACCGCAACCTCCAGTTGCAACTAGGTCACGCCCAGGGATGGGATAGCGTCATCGAACGCCGTATCAAGGCCGCCCTCGACTCTGGTGCGTTCAAGGAAAACAAACTTCGGGGTAAACCCATCCAGCGCGATATGGAGGAGAAGAACCCCTTCCTAGCGAGGGAGGAGTACTTTATGAATCGCATCGTCAAACGTCAAGGTGCGGCGCCACCGTGGGTCGAGTTGAACATGGAGTTGGAAACCGAGCTGGCTGGGTGGCGAGGGAGATTCGATGAAGGATGGGTACGAAGGGCGTCTAGGATGATCATCACTTCGTCGCTCCGGGATGGATTGGAACCACTACCACTCACTTCTCACTCTGCGGAGGCGATACCGCCAGCGAGGACCACGGGAGAAGCACGTCTGGTCGAGGTGGCGACAAGATATCGCGACGCAGAGTGGGAAACCCGCGAACGAAGCTATCACGCACACGAGGTGAAACGGCTCAACGACCTGGTGCGGAGACACAACCATCTAGCGCCTTTCACGGCGAGAAAGGGGCTGATGGTGCTCGACGTCGAACTGGCGGCCATGTACAAGAGGACGCTGCCGAAGCTCGTGTATGAGGTGTCGCGGTTGTTGACGCAGCAGACGACGGGGGAGGGGGCGAGGAAGGAGGGTTGGGATGCAGGTGTGGAGCGTGGCGGCGTGGTTAGCTACGATATGTGGGGGAGGGAGGTCAGGCAGGATGCGGGGAAGATTGAAGCGAAAGAGAGGGAGAGGTGGTTGGATGGGTGGCTCGGAAACGGTGTGAGTGGGGGCGGAGAAGCGAAGGCGGGGGAGGGTGGGGAGGCGAGGTCGGGAGACGCGGGGAGGGACGAAGGCGTGCAGAAGCTAGGGCTGGTCGAGGCGATACAGAAGAGTTTGGCGTGGGCGAGGGAGCGTCTGGTTCGTGCTTGACAGTGTCACTCCAGGCGTGAAGCGGTGCTCTGCTATTGCCAAAGTGCAACAGAAGCAACACATAATTCATACCTGCTTTCGAAGCGCAGAGCTTCGCCCGTCCGTGCTGTCGACGGCCCGTTCGCTCGTAGGAAACGCTTCTCTGATCGTTTGCTACGATTGTTCCTGAGTTGATGCAATTGAGATCCTGCGCGAGGTTCAGCCGCTTCGTCGACACTTTGCGTGCGCACCGACGTGGTCGCGACAGACTGGAAGAAGGTTTTGAAGATGCATTACGACGAGAGGGGTGACCTGGACCGAAGAGAAGTAGGAGTACACGAGATGGGCGTCTTTGCCGTTCTTTCATTTACGCACGCCAGAGCAAGAACGCCATCTGGCCCAGATCTGTTCGTTCCATAGCAAACGAGAAAGGTCTTTGTGGTCAGTTTCCGTTGACCCCTCTTCCCATTCGGTCTTCTGCGTTGGGCTTTGGCACTTACAAAAGTAGATAAAGTGTTTCGTCTCGTGCGTGACATAGCTTCCGTACCTCTGACCGACGACGGCGTGCCAAGTGGGGCCGAACTTCTGGTCCATGGTCCTCTTGACATGACCCGCCATGTCCTTTTCGACGGTAAACTGCTCCAGGGCGGTGTAGGCGATCTCGATGGTTTCCGCCTGCATGTCGTCGCTCATATCGACGTTTTTGATGACGGGCTTGAGGTCGCGCACGTTCCCGCTTTCGGGCGGTGGTGGGAGGGCTTCTGCTACCATTATGTGAAAGAAGGGGTTGGACGAAGGGGTGGTGGACGTGCACAGAAGAGTGGGCGGGTAAGAGAGACCAACACTTTGAATCTTGGGCAAGACGCGTAGAGTGCAGTTCTCGTGCGAGAAGCGGGTCATGCACGAGGGATGCAGTGTCAAGTTGGACCCTTGTTTCGCCACCCTGGCCTTCCCCACACTTTGCGCTACCACCACCATCATCATTCAGGGTCAACCGCCAAGCAGCTGTTTATAGCAAAGATGCTGATACGGCCATCGCCAGGTCGCGTGCGCGCGCTGGTACACGCCGCTGGCAGAGCGGGTCGCCCTCGCCCAGCAAGCGTTCTCACCCCTCGCCCACTGCGCTCATCACCCTCCATCCGAACCTTCCACTCAGGACCTTCGGCAGCTCGCGTCGTCCGCAGCACCACTCTCAGCACGTTCCTGCGTCGAATCCTTACCCAGACCACACAATACCTCCGCCCGGCTGCCCTCCGACCGCTGCGCTCCCACATTTCTCAGCTCTTCTCCGCGCTTCGTACCTCCCATCTCACCTACCGCGTCCGCTCCCCGCTGCTGCGCGGCGCACTCTCAGCCTTCCGCAGCACCTCACCCTCCACCGCACGAGCGAACTACACCCAGCTCACGCAGCGCACCATCTCCTTCGCACGCGGCACACTCTCGGGTCTCGGCGCTCGCCCCTGTGCCGGCCCGCTCACCCTCTCGCCACTGCGCGGCGGAGTAGGCCTTCAAACCACGCGCCAATTCTCTTCCGGCGGAGCAAGAGTGTTTGACAATCTCATCGTCAATGCTCCCCTTGCGCTACGACTGGTGGGTGGGGAGGTGGATCACAAGGCGCGGCGAGGGAAGCGAGCACCACTGGCTCCTGCACGAGCTTCTGCTAGGCGAACCGGTGGGATGTTTAGCGGTGCCAACTTGCAGCGCAACGCTCTGCGCTTCGCCACGAACAAGGCACAGCGCGTAGTGGAGAAGCCCGCAGTGTCGGTGTGCGAGTCGTTTCCCTCGACTCAGAGCGAGGCAGACTTTGAGGGATACTTCCACTTCCCACAGCTGCCTCTCGAGAGCGGGACGCTGGTGTGCATCCGACTGATCGATCCGCTGCACGTGGCGCTCGGCGGCAGGGAGCCTACTCCGCCCACCAACGACCCGCGCCTGTTCGATGCGGCGTTTCTGCTCGATGCGCAGACCGCACTGGAGCACGAGCATAGGCGATACCTCCAAGCAAAGGCGGTGTTGCGGGTGCTCTGGGGTGAAGGATGGGTGGTGGAGAGTATGGAGTTGGGGGAAGAGGTGTGGTCGATGATCGTCATCGGACGAGCGCCAGACGAGGTGCGCGAGGTGCTGGGGAGGTGTGTTGGATTCGATTTTGACGAGTGGTGCACGTTCACCTCTTCCGACGACGAGGGCCGGAAGGTCAGGCAAGGAGGGTTGGATTGGAGCGCTGTGCATGTGGGGCAAGGGTCGTCGTTCGGCTTGTCGACGCCCTTGTCGAGTGCAGAGCAAATGTCCACACCAGCACTGTCCAGTCTGGAGCAAGTGTCCACACCATCACTGTCCAGCCTGGAAGAGGTGGAGGAAGAAAGCAGTCCGGCAGCGTCACTGCTCATGTCCCTCCCATCGAGCACAGGCCAGAGCGGCGTCGGCAGCGAGTTGTACGATTCACGTTCGTTCTAGCTTGTCGTCGGTTCACATTGTATCATATAAGTTTCGCATCAGTTTTCGCATCACCTCAACCACCACTCATGTTCTCTTCTCGGAATGCACACACTCACATCTACCATGCCTGCGAATGCATTGTCCATTTCTATTGCGACCCATCAAGCCGAGGTGGTATGAACGCTTTCCGTCTTCCCAGCGTCCATCATTGGCGCGTTTGCCTTCTTGCGCTCCTCGAGCACGTTCTTGATGAAAAACTCTCCAGCCTTATAACTGCTCCTAACCAACGGACCACTGGCGACATACAAAAAGCCCAATTCCTCCGCTCGCTTCTGCCAATACTCAAACTTATCCGGCTTGACATACGCCTCGACCTTCATATGTCTCTTGGTCGGACGCATGTACTGACCGAAAGTGACCACGTCCACCTTTGCCTCGCGTAGATCCTTGAGCGTCTGTTCCACCTCGACATCCTGTTCGCCGCAACCCAGCATGATCGATGTCTTGGTGATCAGGTTCGGACTCACCGTCTTGGCGTGGGTCAGCACTGCCAAGGACTGGCGATACTTTGCCCGTCGATCGCGCACAAACGGCGTCGTGCGCTCCACCGTCTCCACGTTGTGCGCAAACACATCCAGCCCCGAATCCACGATCGTCTTGACGCACGCCGTGTCTCCCGAGAAGTCCGGTACGAGCGCTTCCACCAGAATCTTGGGGTTCTTGTACTTGATCTTGCTGATGGTGCTCGCGATATGACTGGCTCCTCCATCGGCAATGTCATCCCTGTCGACTGAGGTGAGCACGATGTAGCCGAGACCCCAGCGCGAGATGGCTTCCGCCGTATTCTCCGGTTCGTGCGGGTCGAGCGGCGCGGGAGCCCGAGAAGTTTTCACGGCGCAGAAACGACAGCCGCGCGTACACGTGTCGCCCATGATCATGATGGTTGCTGTTGCGGTGTCTTTACCGCCAGAACCACCCCAGCACTCGCCGATGTTGGGACAACGAGCTTCCTCGCAGACGGTGGAGAGACCCAGACCGCGGAGATCGGACTTGATGCGCGTGTAGTTGGCACCTGTGGGGATCTTGGTTTTCAGATGGGAGGGGAGACGAGCTTCGCCCGTTCGACCCATCTGGACTCGACCAGTAGGGGAACCTTGGGTGAGGATGGAGGTGACATCGCCAGCGGCAAAGTCGTCGATAGAGAGATCGGCGGCGAGCTTCTCTCGGAAGGCGGTCATTCGTGCCGATGGCTTTTTGTCAGCCTGCTTGCTGTCGGATGCATCGGTAGCGTACGTCCTCGCGGACGTGCCGGCGGGGCCAGACGATGAGAAGGGCGTAGACAATGAAGCAATGCTGGGCCGCGATGCTGATGTGGCGAGGCCTCGCGTGCGTGGCGAGATATGGGCGGTGTTGATCGTCGGCGGCCCCCATTCTGCGTAGTGGTCTCGTTGAGCGGCCTTGCTAAGCCCGAGTCTGCCTCTCCACCTTGGCCAATGTACCAGCCTCTCTCGCATATCCTCCAGGTCATGAACAGAGCTCGCGGGCGACAGTGCAGCTCGCAGGACAAGCTTCGAGTCGGTCGTCCTAAGGTTGCCGTACCAGTCGCCGTGTGGGTAGACGAGCGCATTGGCTGCCCAAGCGTGACCACCGACGTGGCTGATGGAGTAGACCTTGACCTTCTTCGGTGCGTCTTTGCCGGCCTTGATCGTTGATGCCTCGTGCGAGCGCACCTCGTCCTTCAATGCTTGGTAGACGGCGGTGCCAGCGACACCGCAGCGGCAATCACGGGCGCCGTGGGTGCAGACGTAGACATGTGTCTCGTCGTCCTGCTTTGTGCGACCGGTCTGTGGCTGAGCAGCGGCGAGGGCGTCGTTGACACGCTGACTGAACGACGAGCCCTGGTCGAGGGTGGCGAGTGAGATGGGACCAACCTTGGCCATAGTGCCGTTGGTGGTGTAGGCATGGACGACAAACTGCTCCTGCTCTTGTGCTGAGTTGGGCACGGAACGCATCATGCGTGAGGTGGTTGGGTCCCATGCCTTCAGTCCTTCGCTGGAGGTGGAGTTGGTACGAGCATCTCCAGAGGAAAAGGAGATGCCGTAGCCTTCGAGGCTGCCTCCCTTTTTGGCACGGCTCTCGAGCTCAGAGAGGAAGGGGGAGACAGATTCAAGGTGAGACGGCCATGTGTCTGCGGGACGAGCTTGATCGTATGGGTGCACAATAAGATGAACTTTGTAGGAGGGCGAGGTGCCAGCGAGTGGCAAAGGAGAGTAGGGTGCTGCTGGAACCTGGCCATTTTCATCCACTGCAATGGAGAGGTCCTGTCCAGAAACCGACTTGCCCGAGTTCGTGATGGTCGCAGCATCGAAGCGACAGGCCGATGAAGAGATGGTCCTGGATGAAGAAGAAGACGACGACGATATGGTGGGTGAGATCCTGGCCGCCACCGAATGTCTTGGGACAGCGCTTGCGGATCGTGCTCGCAGAAGTCGCGGTGCAGCGGCTCGCACTGAAGCGGCCGACGATGTCCAACAACTCATTTTGAATCGAGCGTAGGTGTTGGTTACGGTGGGTGAAGATGATGGCGAGAGAGGAGGCGATTCAAGGGCTGAGTCGTTGCAACAAGGTCTTGTTGGAAGAATGCAGGGCGAACCTTTGCCAATCACATTTTGAGTATTTTGCCTTTTTCGCCACATCATTCTCGGATCGATACTGCGCTCTGCTGCCTCAGAATTTACCACTGACTCGAACTCCACCCCAAATTTCTTGTCGAGAAAGCAGCGGCGGACAAAAAGCCGGCCAAAAAAGGCGACTTTAGGCGATGACGGCTCTTTCCGTCTGGTCTCGCTCGCTAGCGACCAACATCGACTTTGAGAAGCTGCAAGGTCGACATGAAGCTAAATTGTCAGATAAGCAGCAAGGAGATGATCTGGTATGTTTAGTCGTGATAGTGCTAGTAGTACAAAAGGGGTGCGGATGAAAGGTAAGAGCCCATTGAAGATTAAGGTTGAGATGCTACATGGCGCGCGACGATGGTGTATCGGACAGCGGAGTGGTCACAGTCAGCGTTGGAGCTGCGTCATGTAGGAACACTTGTCCGAGCCGCAGTGGAGCCGCTAGCCAAGCAATGCTTGTGCTATCCTTCGATGACTATGATGACCCAGCAAATGTATGTCCCATCTTGAGCTGCTCCTCCAACCTCCTAATCTCGTCCAAACTCTCGCTCTTTTCGATGGCGTCTTCGATCGCTCTCCTCTCTTCCGCGCTGAGCAACCTTCTCGAAGACCCATTCAGTCGTCCTGGTTCGAACGTCTTCTTCTTTCCCACATCATCGACATCCATCGCGCTTGCTTCCGAGTCCTTCAGTATGCTCGCCGCCAGTTCTGTCGGTCTCCCTTCCTCTGTCTCCATCAGCTCCTTTGCCAGTGCCCTCTCCTTATCTCGTATCCTCTGATAGTCGAGCACGCGCACCTGGGGCAGCTTCCATATCACAAAGTCCCTATAATTCTTCTCCCGGCTGACCGGGTTTCCCATCAAACACAGGTACTCTAGCCGCGTGCATCTGCTGAGATGCCCCACCTCGGCGAGATCGGATATCGAGTTGTTGGTGAGATCGAGCGAGTGAAGCGCGGGTAGGCTGTACCCGAGCCGAGAGTCGATGCGCGATATCAAATTGTTGCCCAGCTGCAGATGCTTGAGTTGGGAAAGGAGCGGGAAGTTGCCCAGATAGCGGATGTCGTTGTCGGTAAAGTCGATCGAGTCGTTTTGATCGTGGGTCACACCGAGGTTCTCGATGGCTGGGATCTTGAGCCCGCGCAGGTCGAGCGAGCGGTCCTTGAGCGTGTTTATGGATGAGCTGCTCCGTGATAGGAGCTCCGGTGTGAGCTTCATGGTGACTCTTTGTGTGTGCCAAGGGCGTGGGACAAGCTGCTGGGTGATACCTGATCCGTTCCGGTAAATTACGCTGTCGTGAACGCGCAAAGAGACTCGACCCTAGTGACGACAACCCCTCCTCGATGGGTCGGTGACGATGGTAAAAGCCGTTCGACAGGGTCCGGCCCCTTTGCGATTTGGGCCAAAGACGAGCGCGTGTGTGAGGGCCCTAGTATGTACGGACGATAGAGCGTCCTCGGAAGGTTTTGACTGGAATGCGGATGCCGTTGCTTGCGAGTATTGCCCTAAAGCACGATGAGGGTGAAGCTGCACAGTGGAGAAGAAGGCACGAAGCGCAACCCGCAGCCAAAGGCGTCACGTGAGCCTGCCTGACTTTTTAGGGTCTGAGAAGGCTGGAAGAAATTTGAGCAACGATACAAAACCTGAACAGCTACTTCTCTTCCTCCCTCACCTTCTTCCACCACCTATCTATCCTTTTCCATCACCATCAAGCGGCATCATCGTCTTCAGCCTGCGGTCTACTACTTGTGTCATCGCCTCGACATTCGCTTACGCTCCGTTCGCCGTGGCTCTTCCCTCTGAGCGACCACCTTCCGATCCACTGAGTCATCTACGCCTCTACCCATCTCAACCCGATCGTACATTGAGCATTCCTCCCTTCCCCGTTCACGCATTCTTCCGCACTCCCCTCTTCCCCAATCGTTTCCTTTTGGACCTAATTCTGCCCGCTCGATAGCTCTTCTAAGCCGAAGCGGTTCCTGGTGAGGGTCCTACAGCACATCATTTGTCTTACTGGCAGGTGAGGCATATTCGGTGGTACGGCGGCCTACACATTCGCTACGCTGGCGGGTATGCTAGCCATTGTCTGGTCTCTATTTGGCCTCGTTCGTGCATTGGGGCTTGGGCGGATCCTTGCGAGTTACTGTAACAGGTGCTCGCAACTATGGGGTTCGTCTTCCCTTGTCGATGGGTTCTGATCAGGCTGGCAACATCTTTGTTTCCATTCCAGGTTTGAGTTTGAGAATAGCTGACGAAGATCATGCAATCGATGCTACCGTTGTCCATACTTGCCTGCTGTGTGTACGTTTGTTTTGAGAAGAGCTCGCAAGGTGGGAGCAGGGAAGTGATGAAGAGGTCCCGATCTGAATCGGGCTCGACGGCCAGGGAATTCGCGGCTATGGGTCGGTCTTTTTCCGTTGGAGTCACCCGGTCGGCTTTGCATCCCGGAGCTCATGGCCACCTGTCAAGACTCCCCTTCGTTCTTTGTTCGCAACTGAGCCCGCGCTGCTACTGTCGCCGCGGATAACTCGCCTTGTTTGTCTCCGGCACGTCATATAAGAGCCGACTGCTATCACGCCAGCCACGGAGGAACAAGAACCTAGCATCATCCCACCATGGCGACACCGCTTCCGTCAAGAATGAACGGCGCTCACGCTTCTGAGGACGCGATCGCAGTCGTCGACCGCAAGAACCAGCCATCCGCCGACACCAAGACAGACGCCAACATCGTCGCCATTCCCACGCTGGACAATGTCGAGCGAGCCATCACGCCCACGTCCGGCGTCGCGACACCCGGCTTCGACCCCGCAACCGCACTTCTCTACCCCACCGTCTCGCCCGACCACACCCCGCCAAAATCGCAAAGCGCCATCGTGCTGATGCTCAACTTCCTTCTCAACGTCACATTCTTCATCATCGTCCCCACCTCGGCTGGGTACGCTAACGATCTCGGTGCCTCGACGTGGTTCTCGGGTCTCACCGTCGGCATCAGCGTCGTGGTCTCCGGACTGCTGCTCGTCCCCTTCTCGACGCGCTACAACCGAGTCTACCGCTTTCCCATCCTGTTCGGTGCCGTGTGCATCATGCTCGGCGAGGTGGTGTACGCGCTGGCGGGTGTAGCGGATACGGCGTGGTTGATGTTCCTCGGTCGAATCATCATCGGTGCCGGCTTTGTGTCGTGGCGATATGTCAAGTCGTACTTTACGGATGCGGCGGTGGTGGGGACGTCGAAACGGACCATGATGGCCGCGTGTTTGGTGACGACACAGCTGGGAGGGATGGCCGTGGGACCGTGGATCGGAGGCATCCTGTCGAAAAACGTACGACCCATGACGGACGAGCATCGGCTGTGGAATGGATACACCGCGTCGGGCTGGGTCATGGTCGGCGTCTTTGCGGTGTTCTTCGCGGCTGTGTGGTTCGTCTTCCGTGATCCAGTTCAAGAAGCGACCCCAATCGAGCTCGCAGCGCTATCTGGCTCCAGGCCGGGATCCAAGGAAGCCGCCGAGGCATCACAAGAGCCCACACTCCGAAGCATGTTCCGCGAGCTCAATGCGACGCAAAAGTTCTCGGTCCTGACCATGTGCTGGTTCAGCATGGTCAACTTCCTCGTGCTCGGTGCGTGGGAGGTCAACATTCCCGTCTTTGGTCATCTGCGCTTTGGCTGGTCCGAGTACAATGCCGGTAACGTGATCGCTTTGGGTGGGCTAGCGACGATGCCGATCCTCTTTGCGCTCGTGTTCGCGGCCAAGTACCTGCAAGACCGCCTCATCCTAGCTGCTGGAACGCTCTTTGGTCTGCTCGGGCTGTCGCTGCACATGGGTGCGCTCGAAAGCCCCGCCAAATCAGCAGTGAGCCGACTGGCCACGCTCGAGTCGGTCAACTTCGGATCGTTCTTCACGAGTTGGTTCCTCATCGCCCTGGGGTACAACATGTTGACGACCATCACACTCTCGTTGCTCTCCAAGCAGCTGCCGGCCAAGTACAACGGGTTGACATCGACCATCATTCAGCTGAGCAACAATGTCGGGCGTATCTCGGGCGCGCTATGGGGCGCAACGATCTACCAGGTGGGGCAGTTCAGCATCGTCTCGCTCGAGCTGGCGGTGACGCTGATCGGGACGTGCCTCATCGGGTTGCTGTGGCGAAAGATGGATGTTGGGAGTGGCTGAATAGGAGAGCATCACCGGGAATAGAGGAACAGCAATCATAAACTTGATGTCACATGCTCAACGCGTCGTGGTATGTTCAGCGCGTGACACTTTCCTCTGGCCAGAGTGTGTTGAGCATGGCGGCTGTTGCGATCGAGTCGAGGCGCGATGTCGGCAAAAGGAAGAGGAATGAGCCCCTATTCTGAGCGGCGGCGTATGAATTGAGGCGTTCGGGTTGCTGCAGCGTGACAAACCACGCTGATGATCTGATGTGTCTTGTTGTCGGCTCACGTGGCGCAGTACAAAGTAGGGCAGATGGCCGAGGGCTGTTCATTGTCGAAGCAAGGAGAGTAGGGCCAGGCTTGGCCAAGCGACTGCTCGCTGCGTGCCGTGAGCAGCCAACTGCCCTTTCTCGAATCACGGGACCCTTCGTCGTCTATTCCGATTCGGGCTCGTCCGTCGAGCTTGATCGACCACTGACATCATCGCCCCCTTCTCACCCCAACAAAGCGGGCGACATTGTATCGGCCTCGTCGCTCTTCCAGTCGAGTAGATCGGAGAGAGGTGACACACTTGCTGACCGAGTTAGAAGAGGGGCCGTGAGAAGATCGTGGCACTGCCGATGTGGAATGACGACGAAGCACGCGGCTCATCCGACACTCGGGCGGCCCCAGAGCCGACTCGACGGCGAATGGAGTGAACAAGCTTTGGCTGTGATTGAGGCTTGCAGCTAAGTTAACTTGCCGCAGATGTCCATGTCAAAGCTTGATCATGTCAAAAGGCTCGTTCGAACGCTGTCCATGCCAGGAATTCAGGGTCCTGTCTCGCTCCTGCTGCAAGGCGCGTCGGTGTTCAACTCTGCTCCTTTGCCCCCCAAAACCACACGGAAGCGAGCGACAAAGTGAAACATGCACTCTCGCAGCAACCAGCAGCGGCTTGAACGTGCCTTAGCCCTTGTCAAGCCTATATGCAGCCTCTCCGTATGCCCGCTCCACATTCTGCGCTCTCGTCGGTTTGAAAACCATCCTCCCGTCCACCACTTGCGTCTTGATCTCGTTCCGCTGGCCGATCATATCACCTTCTCGCCTCGCCTCGGCCATCGTCCACATCGGGCAATCCCCTTACATGGCGTCAAAGGGAGCTTTCTTTCACGCGCCTACACCAAGTCCCAGGCACGGGTCTTTCGACCCTGTCGATAAGCAAGCACGCCACCTTCACTGATCGTCGCTGCTTCAATGGCAGCCTCGGCCGCCACCATGCCCTCATCACGCCAACATTCCGAGCCGGACCGCGACCACCACTCCCGGGCCACCTCGGACTTCAACACGGTCAGACCTTCGCACTCCGGACAGCACCCTTCTGCAACCGGGTATCGCGCAGCAGCAGCAGGTACTATAAGTAGCGTCTTTGCCTCGATCTGGGGCTCCTACCATCAGCCTCCATCTCAACAACAGCAACAGCAAGAACAGCAACAGCGAGAAAGCGGTCCCTCCCGTCTTCAGCCTCCCACTCTTCACGAATCCTCCCGTCCCTCCGTTCCAGGCGGTTGGGGCAACCTTCTCAGCTGGGGACCTTCTGCTGGCCGTCAAAAGACCACTACGCTGCGCAAGTCGTCTACACCATCAGCAGCATCGCCTGTCAAAGGTGGACGTTCGAGGGGCGCCATCCCGTTCAGCATCTCTGCGCCACTGGAAGCAGGCAACACGGAAAAGGTCGAAGCTGACACCAGGCGCGCGACCCAACGACCTCAGACGCGAGCAGACACGATCGTCAGCCAGACCTTGTCTCCAACCAGCTCTCCTCGTCGCAAACCGCTGGCTGGCATCTTCGAAGACTCGTCCTCGTCGCCGCCGCGCACTCCAAACCCGAGATCACCCACCTCTCCCAGCAGTCGATTCCAGGATCTGCCCCCCTCGTCGCCATCCTTCGACGACGACTCACCCAGTGGAGCCTACGCAACGCTCTCGCGCCTCCAATCCAAACCCTCGCTCAGCACCCTCCGCTCCGGCTCCAGCTCGAACTTCCTCTTCTCTTCCGCACCCACCGAACCCGTCCACCGCACCGACATGCCGGTCGCCACCACCCTGCGCAACGCCACCACCTGGCACGAAACCCTCTCCAAGGCCTCCAAGCTCGACGCCCACGTGCGGCGAATCATCTTTCAAGCCGGCCTCGATTACGAGACGCGTCCGATGGTGGTCCTCGCCTCGTGTTTCCTGCCCGATCCACGCGAGGTGGACTACGACGCGCTCCTCGACCGAATCATGGACGCCCTCGATCTGTTCGTGGAGAACGACTACACGGTCATCTACTTTGCCAGCGGTGGACAGCATAAACCGGGCTGGAGCTGGATCTGGCGTGCCTATCGGCGACTCGATCGTCGATTCCGCAAGAATCTCAAGAAGCTCTACATTGTTCATCCGACGTTCTTCACTCGATCGTTGCTGCAATTCGTTCATACGGGGGCGTACTTTATCAGTCCCAAGTTTTCCAAAAAAGTGGAACAGCTGAATACGCTTTCAAGCCTGGCGCAGTACGTGCCGATTACGCAGATCGATATCCCGCCCGAGGTGCTGCAGTGGAACCTGCGCTTCGAATCCTCCATCAATCTCTCCGACGCCACTCCGGCCGGCGGGGATGAGAACAAGGTGTTTGGCATCGACCTCCCCGTTTTGATGGGAGAGTACGGGGAGAGCGGTGGAGTGCCTCGTGTCGTGCGTGACTGCGTCGAGGCGATCCTTGGCGACTTTGATGGCATCCGTCCTGTTGAAGTTGAAGGCATCTTTCGTCGATCCCCCTCGTCGGCGTTGCTGAAATCTGCAGAGGAGAGCTACGATCGGGGTCATCCGGTGAGTTTGGAGCAGTATCGCGATCCGCACATCCCCGCAGTACTTCTAAAGGTCTTCCTGCGCAAATTGCCGTCGCCGATTTTTCCGGTGGGAGTGTATGGGTTGATTCGCGCCTGTCCGCCTCCGCCTCTGGATGGCAATGCGGAGCAGGCGAGGGAGACGATCGATTATCTGCGCAACCGATTGTTGCCGGCCATCGAACCGGCTTGCAACGGCGTCTTGCTGAGTTACGTCCTCGAGGCGCTACACAAAGTATCGCTCCACTCGGCAACGAATCGCATGGACGCAGCCAACCTCGCTACGGTCATCGCGCCCAACCTGGTGTGCAGCGGAAACGCCATGAAGGACATGCTCATCTGTCGTGTCGCCGGTATCACCTCTATGGCCAATACCCCTTCTTCGTCGGTCCAATCCTCGCCCTCCCCGCATGCACGGAAAAGCTCGTTGAGTTCGGGGGACACGACGCTAGGCAGCATCTTGCGCATCTGCATCGAGCGGTACTACGAGATTTTTGACGAGCAACCTTTTGCTATGCAGGTGAACAACGTGCAGAGTTTGGTGGATCATCATCCGCACGTGTACCGTGGGTCAGCGGCGGGGGTGGACGGGTCGCCGAGCGTGCTGGTGCGGGACGAGGCGCGTGTGCGGGCGAGGGCGCATCGACGTGGCGAATCGATCACGTCCGAGGTCTCGCAGGCTTCGCTCAATACCAGTGGCGGGGTCGTCGGTCTTGGTGGGAGTGGCGGGAATGGTGGTGGGGAGGACGATGGGGATGATCGCAGTTCGCACGCAACCACAAACCGCAGTCTTGCTTCACGCGATGCCTACCGTCCGACGCCCAACTTCCGCGGCGCCACGATCGGACGCAACTCCTCCGGCTCGTTGCGGCTTACCAAGGGTCGTCTTGGATCGAACGCAAACCTGCGCTCCAGCTTCACGCCGACCTCGTCGAATCTCGCCACCTCCTCGGGGACCGATACGGAAGGGTTGACGGCTCAGCTGAGCGGTGTGACGTTGACGGGGATGACGGCGGTGGGGACGTTCAGTTCGCCGGGAGGGAGCAGGGTGAGGAGCTCGTCCGTGGAGGGCGGGGAGGGGTCGGTGCCTGTTTCGCCGCTGTTGCGCACGGCTTTCGGGGTCAGTGCAACACAGCAGCTGGGCGACGAAGTGGCTGCGTCGACCGCTGCGGCATTCACGAACGAACAGCAGCAGAGTGGGGCGGAGGTGGCGTCCAGCACTCAGCATTTGCAAGAAGCCGCGTCGGATATCGCATGCATCGCAACGACACCGGTGGGTGGAGTAGCAAGGAGCAAGTCGATGCGCAGGGAGCTCTCCGAGGTGGCTGAAGCTGACGATGTCGAGCCTTGACACCCTCGAGCCGAAGGAGCGTCTTGCTCGCTGCCTCTTGTGCGCACATTGGAATCGTTCCTCATCATTGCAATGGACATTGATCTCATCATCGGACTGACCATGGTTGTTCCTGACATTGTGTTTGATTGCGATTGCGCGAGAACGGACTGAGCCGTGAGAGCACCCGTTTGAAGCTGCGAGGGCTCACTGTGCAACGTCTCGTCCCGCAAACTCACCGCACGCCCTGCTCATCTTATCATCGACTCACACACTCACCATCACACCAACTCTAAACCAAAACCATTTGATTCTTTAAAAACTTCTGGAAACCACATCACATGCCAATCGTCCGAGCATTGAACGCCTTCTTAAACTCCCGCAACACCGCGTCCTCGCTCTTCCTCGTGATGAGCAGCAGCTTCTCCACCAGCGGATCGCGATTCCACTCGCTGCGGTGCGTCCAGATGGCGTTGAAGCATGCGGCGCGGAGGCGCGAGAGCTGATCGATGTTGTAGCGCGAGGTCGAGGCGATGAGGAAGGCTTTGAGGGATTCGTACGAGGACGGGTTGTATGTGAGGGGTGGATGAGCGGCTGGTTGCTCCGGCTGAGGTTCGGGCTCGGGGATGGCGGCGTGGGCGAGAGCGGCAGGGACACTTTCAGGAACGGGGGCTGCAGTGGCGTTAACGGTGGCAGCCTCGGTGGAAGGCGAGTCGAGACGCGCCCTCTTGCGAGCCTCCTCATCCTCCACCATCGCGACTTCGCCCTCCTGTTGCTGCCCACTGACGCTTCTCGCCCGCTTGCCACCTTCCAAGCCACCACTCTCCGGCTCCTTGCCCGCAATCCGCGCACTCGCCCTCTCCCCCTTCGCCCCCTCCGCCTTGCGCACAGCAGCCTCCTCCGCACTCGCCTTAGCCTTCTCCGTCGCCTCCTTGGCCTCCTCCTCCCTCGCCAGCTGGCGCAACGCCATCCGATCGCACTCCTCCCGGAACCCAGCATCGATGTACTGGTCCATCAGCACGATCGCCAGATTGCGCATCTGATGCGCCCTGAACACGCGATCTTGGTCCACCTCGGCGGCTTCTTCGGCGTTCTCGACGATTTTCTGGATGTCGCCCATGAATGAGGAGCAGGAAAGGTAGCCGTTGTAGTAGAGGCGTTTCTGCATCTTTTCCAGGTTGGTCGTCCAGATGGGCATCGAACGGATCCAGTAGTCGAGGTCGTCGGTCGTCGTGGCGCCGTTGGGCGCGTTGACGGTGTCGGCATCGGGGGCCGAGGTGATGGAAGTGTCAGCCAGAGCAGGAGCGGTGGAGGGTTCAGCAGCTGGCTCGGGCATGGCAACGTTGAAGGTCTTGGTGGGAGGTGCCTCGGTGCTTGAAGTACCGTTGACCTGGGAAGACGGTGGCGGGCCAGCAGCAAAGCCTTCGACATCAACACGTGCGTCGATGCCATTGGCAGTACTGCCAAGGACGGCGCCATTAGCAGCTGCATCGCCGTTGGTCATCTCCACGTCACCGTTGATGCCATTCGTGGCACCTGCCGCAGCATTGGCCTCCTCGCCATTCTGCTCCGTCTCGACCTCGCTGATCGTCCCCTCAGGCGGACCCATGAACTGAGCCGCCGTGATCCCGCGTTTGGCGGCGATGTCCGCCTCGGTCTCGAGCATGCGGTTCATGTCGGCCTCCTCCCTCGCCGCCTCCGCTGCCTGACGAGCCGCCATCGCGCCTGGCTTGTAGTATCGCAAATCGACCGTGATCTTGCCCTTCTCCTTCCTCCAATCAAACGTGTGCGTCAGCTCTCGAAGATTATACTCGTCCCAGACGTCACGAGTGAACTTCTTGAACTTCTTCCTGAGCTCTGCGAGCACGGGACCGAGGCGGAACTTGAGATGCTCAAGCAGCTTGGCGTCGTTGTCCGCCTGCTGCTGCAGCTCGGCCTGGGTCAGCTTGCGTGGCGGGCGAGGAGGTGCTTTGGGCAGCTCTTCGAGAACTCGCTTGCGTCGTGGCAGAGCGTCGGGGAACTCGGTGGGGGGTCGAATGACGTGGTCAAAGATCTCTTGGAAATACGCGAGTCGGCTCGCTTCGTCCGGTCGGGCGATCTCCACAATATCGTCGTCTAGGAAGTTGAACCAAGAGTGCACTTCATCGTCGAGCTCGTCCAGAGGTGCCTCGGCGATGCCGAGCAGCATGACTGGATCCGCATCCGTGAGACCGTCGAGGAGCGCCTTGAAGGTGGTCTTGACGCTGTCCGAGACGGAGCGGGACCAGTGGACGATGCCAGGAATGTAGAGCACACTGGGCTTGTGTCGTTTCGCCTCGACAAAGAGCTGGATGATTGCAGCCTCCGGCGTGCGCGCACTATCGCCAAGCAAGGTGCCGATGTCGAGCGACTGGACGTGGTAGCCCTCGAGGTGCTGCAGCAGCGCAGCACCGACAGCACCTTGGCCCATGCCGGCGTCTCCGTGCACAAGCATGCGGGGACGGTAGACACGCTGTGCCTCGAACGACTGCAGCAGCATCTCGCGACCAAATCCTCGATCTCCGCCGAGCTTGTCGGCTGCCGAGAGGCCAGAAATCAAGCCCTGGGGAGCGAAAGCATCGTCCTCCCATAGCGCCTCTTCGAGTGGGTTTCGCTTCGAGACGGGCGGCAGAATCCTGTCCAGCACACTGATGGCGTGCTTGACCGCGGATCCTAGCAATGGCGCCAATCGCTCGGGCAGAGGCGCGGCAGCCGACGCACTCGCCCTAGCAGACGATGGGACAATCTTGTTGACCGACATCATAAAGTCCTTGGCGTCGACCTGGATTGAAGCGGGGTCCAGAAGCAATCGGTCCGTAGTCGAATAGATCTGCGGGTAGCGTCTCTGAATAGCGTTGAGCGCAGCCTCGGTGCAAAGCGCACGCAAGTCCGCACCACCGTATCCTTTGGTGACGTCGGCCAGCCTTGCCTTGAAGTCGTCATCAAGAGGAGGCTCCCATTTTCGTGTATGGATGTTGATGATGCTCTTGCGTGCCTCGAGCGATGGAAGCGGGAAGTAGAACTCTCGATCGAATCGACCGGGTCGACGAAGAGCAGGGTCGACACTGTCAGGTCGGTTGGTAGCTCCGATGACGACGACTTGACCTCGACCATCCATGCCGTCCATGAGCGCCAGCATGGTGCTGACAATACTGGCGTGGATCTGATCTTGCTTGCTCGAACGGACGGGCGCCAGACCGTCAATCTCGTCGAAGAAGATGATACTCGGTTGCGAGGCCCTCGCTTCCTCGAACAGCAGACGCAGCTGTCTCTCGGCCTCACCGACCCACTTGGAGAGACAGTCCGCACCTTTGCGCATGAAGAAGCTGACCTGCTGCCCTTCTGTGCTGCAGCTGGCAGCGAGTGCACGCGCGACGAGCGTCTTACCGGTACCTGGTGGTCCATGGAAGAGCACACCACGCGGCGGCGTCACCTTGAAGCGCTGGAAGACCTCTGGATAGAGCAAAGGCAGCATGACCATCTCCTTGAGCTGCTGGATGTGACCGTCGAGACCACCGACACTGTCGAAGTCGATGTTCATGTCAACGCCGAGCGGGTCGACGTCTGCAAGCGGATCGCCGCTCTTCTTGATTCGACCAAAGCTGTCGGTGCCGCCGGAGCCGGTCAAGCCACCTGGAGGGCCGCCTGCGCCCCCGGCACCACCGGCACCGAGCAAGCCACCTGCAGGACCGCCACCAAGTGCAGCTGGTGCGCCCGGCTTGCGCAGCGCGTTGTTCTGCAACTCGTCGTCGGAGCTGTCGACGGGATCGCCAAAGATACGCGCATAGTCTTTGCCAGACATGGAAGACGGCAGAGCATCCCATCCCTCCTTGCCCTTCTTGCCGCGGCCCGGGAATGGCATAGGGAGACCGATACCCGAACCGCCCGCAGGAGGAGCACCTTCAGCAGGGTCGAGATCGTATGCTCCATTGCCGCCACGACCACGATTGTTGCGGATAGTGCGACCGAAACCGTCTCTTGGCGGGGAGGGCGGTGGCGGCACGAGCGAGTAGTTGACCTTCTTGCGTTGACGCAGAGAGTACGACTTGCCCTGGCTGCCTTCAGGCTCGTCGCTGTGGAGATCAAGCGGGTCGTCTTCGGCGCCCGAGATGTGCTCCTCTTCTGGTGTCTCGTCGCCTTCCACCTCGAATTCGTCGTCGACGATTTTGCGTTTCTGAGGCTTGCCTCGACCATTGGCGGCGCGCTTTTTAGCAGCCATCTCTGCGAGGCGGTTGCTTGGGGCGCTAGGACCACGACGCAATCGACCCGAGGTTCGCGTGCTACGTTTCGGAGTGCCATATTCGCCCTCGTCGTCCTCCTCTTCTTCGTCGTCTGCAGCAACAAAGCCACCGAGGGCGTTGCCCTTGAGACGTCGAGACGAGCGTCGTGGCCCGACTTCGTCCTCGTCCTCGTCGTCAGGCTCTTCTGAGTCTTCGGATTCGGCCATGTTCTGCACCTTTTGACGACGGACACGACCGCTGCGGCTTGTAGAGAGAACAGGCTCTGGTTCGTTATACTCGGGCTCTGGCTCTGGCTTGACGCGGGCAATTGGTTCGCCTTCAGCATCCTCGTCAGCGTCGCCGTCGGCGTCCTCATCCTCGTCGTCCTGCTCTTCAGCGTCCTATATAGTAGAAGATGTGTGGAAGAAAGGGTCCGGGAAATGTTAGTAATCGATCCCTGCCACTGCATATCGAAACGAGCTCGAAGCCGGGTCAGTACGACTTGAAGAGCCCCGGCGACACGAGCTAGCCAGCTCGCATCATCCGAAGCCCTTGATGATGTGGCGAGCTTCCACTTTGCTGCCTTCTCCATCCTCTTTCTGCTTACGGCTACGGACCACCCTAGGGACGCAAAGCACGCTGAACATTGGCTTACCAAATGCCGTTGTCGATCCAGATTCAACATGGCGAATGTCCTTGCCTTTGACCGTGGTGGTAGCGGCGGTGTCGCGGGTGGTGACGTGGCTGTGGACTCCTGACTGGATGGCGGCGGTTGCGAATCGCGCGATAGCCTGGTACTCCGTCTGATGGGCTCTGTCGGCACTTTCGACGCTGTGTTCCTTGGCTTAGGGGTCGCGGAGCGAGCCCGATTGGCGCTCCCGCTAGCTCCATTCCGACCGTAGTTACGAGGCGGTGCGCTCTGGTTTCTGTCCAAGGGCTTCTTCACCAGCACTATTGACTTCTTTGCTTTTTGGCTTCGTGCTGCTGGTTGAGACGTCGAACGTAGTTGTCGCCGATCCAATGACGGTGCTGGTTCCAGTTGCTGACCTTCCTGCTCAGAGTACTCGTCACCTTCTTCCTCCTGCTCTTCTGCTTCATCATCATTCAGGTCGTGACTGTCGTCTTCAATTGGCTCTACCTGTGGCGCCAGACTTACTTCTTCGTAGTCCTCCTCACTGCCTGGTTGCTGCTTGATCTGGCGAGGAGCGCGGGAAGCACGGTTCATGCTGCTGTCGGAGAACGAGTTGTGGATGCTTGCCGTGGCTGCGGTGGCAGCGTTTCTGGTAGGTCGTCCGACAGCCATCTTGTTGTCGGTCGAGGGTTCGATCTGAAGCTGGGCTTGCGCTTGGAGACCACCGGAGCTGGTTTCTTGCGCCTTGAGAGTACGCTTGAGTACGATGCGGCGGCCTGCCTTTTGAGGCGAGGAATCTGTCGAGTCGGGTGGCGGAAGCGAGGGGGTCGAAACGGATGCAAAGTCGGCCGGCTGGTGGTGCGACTGGAGGTGAGCTACAGGTCCGGGCTGAGCTGCAAAGGCAGAAGCGTCCTGATGGTGCGGATTGCCGTCGTAAGGCTGTGTGAAGGGCTGAGGCGAGAGCGACTGCGCGTGTGCCGAATACGGACTGTGGAAGGAGGAGGGCGTGAGTCCCTGCTGCGGTGTCCACAGATTCTGCTGGGGTTGCTGAGCAAAGGCGGGGTTGCCTTGGAAGCTGGGTGGATGGCTGCCGAAGTTGCCGTTGTGACCAGCGCCGTAGTTGATGATGGGAGCGCCGAAGCCAGCGTGAGCAGCTGATGGATAGCCGTACTGAGTCGATGGACTCTGATTGGACTGATTGTAATGGGTGGGCTGGTTGTGACCTCCCTGAAAGCCCGACTGAGCACCGTTGCCGTGCTGAAAGGGGGGCTGTGTAGAGTAGGAGTCGAAGTGACCGAACTGCGAGGGTTGGTTAGGTTCGCTGCCCTGCTGAGGATGCTGCGGGAATTGGCCAGACTGGTGAAAGAAGGATGCGTCTAGGTTTGGGTAGGAGGATGGGTTAGGATATGTATTGTCGTACTGATTGCCGCTGCTGGTCTGAGAATGAAAGGGGTGGTGCGGACCGCCTGACATGGAAGCAGATGGCCGCGATGTAACGAAGGAAAGAGACTGCGGACGGGCCGTCAGTCGGATCAGCGATTTGGCTGAAAGGTGGGAGTCGAGACACGACTGGCGTTCATATCACCGCTGCAATTGCACAGGGCGCCAAATGAGGACGTGAGCTGACAAAGAAGCGGGCAAAAAGAAGGATGCAGATGAATGCTGTGGACCCTTGCTGCGATGTGATCAACGAGCGTTGACGCGTCGTGTCCAAGTGTGACGGATGGTCGAGACGAGCGAGATTGCCGGGTTGTGCTGTTCGTGAAGAAGTCGCGTTGGGCAATTGTTGACGAATAGGTCGTTGAAAGGAATGGATGACAATGTGACGGAAGGAAGGTCGAGGATGGTGATGATTGAGAGAGTGGAAGGACGAGCAAAGAAGCTGAGCAGTCCCAAAGCACCAAAGAAGTGTTGGATGAGTGTGAGTGAGTGAGTGATTGTTCGGTTGGCTGGCTGGCATCTTCGGAGAGTGCCAAACTGAGCTGAGCAAGCGACCGTGCAGCAGCAACAGCAGCAGCAGCCGACCCAAGCGCGCCTTTTTGCCAATTTCTGCCTCGATCCCAGGTGCTGAGCCAGCCGCGTTTTGACTCAAGCTCTCGCCTTTTTCGTGTCACATCGGGAGATCAGCCCGAGTGCACGCGCCCATTTTCTTCGTCGACTGTATGCAGTCACAGTCACAGACGCTGGCTCTTTCTTTGCTCATTGCCAACCGCTTACGGCAAGGCTGACCTCGTCAACGGCATAGATAGGAGCCGACAGATGGAGAGCAAGGAATGTGGCATTAGAGAATCTCATCGAGTCAAAGTAGATGAAAAAGCGCTGCTACTTCTTCGCGGTGGCATATGGCGAGCTGGCCAGCGTCCACACCTTGATACTTCCATCGTCACCTGCACTGGCCAGCATATCCGACATGCTCTCGTGAGACACACCCTTGCCGTCTCGACTCTTTGGCGTCTCTCCATCCTCCATGAGCTCCTCAATCTTGGCTGTTGCCCCTACCCGCTCGTTGAGACTTGCCGGCGCCCACGAGACGCAGTTGACATCCGCACTTCCATGCGCCCGCTCCATCTTGGCCACGAGCTGCACGTCTGGGAACAGCTGCTTGCTGTCGTCCTCCGAGGCCGTCACTTCGTACACGCAGATACGACCGTCGCCGCCACCACTGGCCAGTCGTCCGAGGTTGCCGGGACGCGTCGAAGTGTCTATGCCCCAAGAGACGCTGTATACCGTGCGATCGTGGTGTCCCTTGAGCACGTTGACCGGGATCCACTTTTCGCCTTTTCTCCCAGCCATCTTGCCTTCTGGTTTGACTCCATGCGTCTCGCACTCGTCCGCATTCAGACGGCGCCAAATGCGAACGGTCAAATCGTCGGAAGCAGACGCGAGGTAGTTGCCGCAAGGAGAGAAAGCCAGACTCCACACGGTCGACTCGTGACCCGTCAGCGAGGTGTAGCAGAACCAATCATCGGAAGGGTCGTCGATGTAGAGCTTGATGGCATCGTCGTACGATGCAGATGCAAGCACTTCGTCCATTGGATGCCATGCCACTACCTTGACGTCCTGAGAATGCTCCATCAGCACTGAGAGGCACTCGAACTCGGCATCCGGCTGCACCTCCCAGATCCACACCGACTTGTCTCGACTGCACGAGGCAAGCACACCGCCCGTGTGCGAGAAGGCCACCGACTTGCACTCCGACTCGTGTCCCTCGAGCGTTCCTACGCAGTCCCACTCGGGCTCGTCAACGTGTGCACCGCCATTGCTGAGCGCTAGAGGACCGGCTCCGTTCGCATCGCCGTCGATCTCGGTGGTGCCGTCAATGTCCTGTATTCTCTCCCAGATGCCGACTGTCGAATCGAACGATGCGGTGGCGAGAATCTTGCCGTCTGGCGACCATGCGACTTGTCTCACGGTGCGTTGATGACCTGTTGGAATGACTTCGCGCAGGTTGAAGGTGGGTTGCTTCGAGGTGGAAGGGCCGTCTGCAGATGTGGTCGAGACGAACGAGTAGGCGTGCAATCGAACATCCTTGTCACCCGAGCACGATGCCAGGACGGGCATGCGTGGGTTCCATGCGAGATGCCATGCTCGAGACGAGTGTCCTTCGAGATCAGCGAGCAGATGCAGGGATGCTGTCGAAGCAGCAGGAGCTCCTTCTGCCCCAGTTGCGGTTGCCGCTGTCGTCATATTAGGAAGACACTTGCGATGAATCAGAAGGTGATGCCGCTGATGGTGGTGATGTTGCAAAAGCGAGCCGAGCTAGTGTATGTAGACCCTGTTGCGGTTGCAGTCGAGCCGTTGGTGCTCCCTGTGATGATATGCAGTGGATCGGTCAACTGTGACTTGAGCAGAGGAGAGGAAGCTTGTTTGCTTGCTGGCTTAAGTAAATCCGAAATTGAAGCTCCAAGGTGACGCCAATCAAGGCGCTGTCGGATGCGATCCGAAGCAGGCTGACGTGTGTGAATCTGAGATTTAAGACGTTTTCCTGGCTGAGCCAGCCCACGAAGGATGTCCTAGCCGAGAGCTCGATGTGACGATATCGAAAGCAGCCTCGGTCTCTCGTGCTCCATCACACACACACACTCATTTGCAGTATAAGCCTCCTTCAATCTGTATTCTGTATGAACATAGTGTACAGCGTGAGCTATCGATCGTCCTTCCTTAAGGGTTCTCGTTCCAACCCTTTGCCCTCTCAATCGCCCTCTCCCAGCCGTGCAGCATCTTCTTTCGCCTCTCCTCGTCGATCTTGGGTTCAAACACCTGCTTGCCGGCCGTGTTGACTTTGCTGAGCGTCTCGGGCCTGTTGATGTCCCAACCGAACAGTCCGACGGCCGAACCTGCCAGGAGCGCCGAGCCCAGTGCGGTGCTCTCGCGCATCTCGGGTCGCTCGACGTTGATGCCCAGGATGTCGGCCTGGATCTGCATCGCCACGTCCGAGTTGGTCAGCCCACCGTCGACCTGGAGCGCCTTGAGCGCGACACCAGAGTCCTTGGACATGGCATCGAGGATCGCCTTGGTCTGGTAGCACGTCGATTCGAGCGTGGCACGGCAGAAGTGGCGCTTGTCAGTGAAGGCCGTGATGCCAACGACGGTGCCGGCAGCAGTATCGTCCCAGTACGGGCAGAAGAGACCGTTGAAGGCCGTAACAAAGTAGACTCCTCCCGTGTTGTCAACTTGACCAGCCAAGTCGCCGATCTCGCTGGCTTCCTTGATCAGGCCCAGGCTGTCTCGCACCCACTTGACCGCCGAGCCGGCCACGGCGATGGAACCTTCCAGCGCGTACTTGACGGGGGCGTTGGGTCCTGCCTTGTACGCAATGGTCGAGAGCAGACCGTTCTTGGACGAGACCACCTTCTCGCCCGTGTTGTAGAGCAGGAACGCACCCGTGCCATACGTGTTCTTGGCCTCGCCGGGCGCAAAGCACTTGTTGCCCACCAACGCGGCCATCTGGTCACCTACGATACCCGCGATCTCGACACCCTTGAGTTCGCCGTGGGCGATCTTGCCGTACACCTCGGACGAGCTCTTGATCTCAGGCAGGATATCCATGTCGATGCCAAAAAAGTCGCACAGCTTCTGGTCCCACTTCTGCGCACGAAGATCCATAAACATGGTTCGCGAGGCATTCGAGGCATCCGTGATGTGCACCGCCTTGTCGGTGAGGTTGTAGACAATCCAACTGTCTATTGTTCCGAAGAGCATCTGCTTGTCGTCGTGCGCCTTGCGTACTTCGGGGATGTTGTCGAGCATCCATCGAAGCTTGACCGAAGCGAAATACGTCGAGAGCGGCAGGCCGGTCTCTTCCTTGACCGCATCGACACCCTTAGGGCTTTTCGACTCGAGCTGGCGGATGGTGTGCGTGGTCCTCGCGTCAGGCCAGGCGATGGCACGGGTGAGCGCTTTGCCCGTGTTCTTGTCCCAGACCACCGTGGTCTCGCGCTGATTGGTGACACCGATGACCTTGACATCGGTCTTTTTGAACTTGCCGCCCTCCTCGAGCTTGGCGAGCGCCTTGTCGATGCACGTGTACACGCAGTCGATGATTTCGTGCGCATCCTGCTCGTGCCAGCCGGGGTGCGGATAGTATTGGTTGAACTCCATCTGATGCAAGGCGTGCACCTTGGCAAACTCGTCAAAGACGATGAAGCGCACGCTGGTGGTACCAGCGTCGATCGAGCCAACGAGGTCCGGCATTTCGAAAGGGTCTTGCTTGGGCGAGCGTGATGTGAATGACTTGAGGTGCCTTGGTGGACGGGCTATGGTTGCACGATAACCCGAACGCTCGATGTTGTTGGTCCAGAGAGAGCGAAGCGTGCCAATTGCGCTTGACCGAGCAAGTGATCGCGGAATGATGGTGTGGAAAGCCGATGAGAGCTATGGTGCAATGATGGTCGGGAGGCAAGGACTGGGGCTCGCGAAAGGTCCAGGAACGATGTCGATCTCTAAAGCCGAGGTGGGGATGGGGAGTCGGAGATTGACAGCCAATGAGGGTCCATTGCTCGGTACCACTTCGTATCGCCTGCTGCAACCGTGTTTCTTCCTCTGATTGCTTTCCGATCCGAGGACAAACTCAACACGCTCTCACAGCCCTTGCGCCGACAAACAATCACTCCAATCTCAAAGCCGAGCCGACCTTGGACTGCCGATGCTGAGAGAGTGAGAAGACGGCGTGGCTTGGCATTTTGGAGCAGGTGGTCAAGGCGCTGTTTTAAAACAGCGCGGTCCGCTTCTTCCGTGTTTTTCAATTCAGCCTGGAAGAATCTCGGCAAGCCCGGATGATTCACCCTCTCGTCAAAGTCACATGCACACAACGCCGAAGCAATCACAGCGAGCAGCAGCCACGGCCTCGATTCATCCTGAATCTCCCTCTTCGCCCATCACCTGCTGGCGTTGGGGCTGCCGTCTGACCCTAGCCGACGAATACGCGATAGCAGCGAGCATCTCTATCCTGTGTGTGTGCCTCTGACTAGCAAGCGAGTGTTGCGAACGACTCCTATCCTCATGTCTGGAGCGCTGAATGATCGAGCCTCGATCAGCGAAGAATAGCCGGAAGCGCTAGAGGCGCAGGGAGATGACGCTTGAACGCAGCGTTTGTGTCTTTCGACCGAAGGACGATCCTGTCCGAGAAGAGATGCAAAAAATTCGCCGACCAAATCAGCGCTATCTACTCTAACAACCTGAGAAAATCGATCTAAGGTCCTAGCTGGAGAACTCGGATGTCGGGCCTAGTAATTTTTGCCCACTCGCTGCATGCTTGCGAACCCTTCTTCCTGCCCCATCGTCCCCCTCGTTGCCTCACATCACGGTCAAGATCCCTCCCGAGCTCGCTCTGCACCCTGTCAGAAGACCAGTACTACACGAGGAAGTTAGCAGACCGGAACCTGCCCCGCGTTGCTGAAGACAAGAGTAACGATGCTCTTCTGCCCAACATGCGCCAACTGCCTCATCATCCAGCTCGATGATCAAGGTCACAACAAGTGGTCCTGCCACACCTGTCCTTACGAATTCCCCATCATCCGCCAGATGACCACACGCCAACATCTGAAGAGGAAAGAGGTGGACGATGTGATGGGCGGCGAGGAGGCGTGGAAGAACGTTGATTCCATCGATGGTATGTTTGCATTCTCCAGAGAGACGGGGTGGAAAACAGTGTTGCTGACAACTTTGACCTTTGTGTTGGGGGATACAGCACCATGTCCCAAGTGCGAGAACCCCAAGGCGTTCTTCATGCAGCTGCAGATTCGGTCTGCTGACGAACCTAGTAAGTCTCGACCGCGCCGATGTAGTCTAGTCGTTCGATGCAATGAAATGCTGACAACAACGCTGCCTCTCTGCAATGAATACAGTGACAACCTTCTACCGCTGCACAAATGGCTCCTGTGCCTTTCAGTGGAAGGAGAACTAAGCATCAGCGCACAGCATATCGTCTGTCACAACCATATACCCGAAGGACCATGATCTCGTGCGTCAGCCGCTTTAGCGAGACCGAGATCGTCCTTTTCTGCACCTGTAATACTAGCCCTCATCACTTTGTCGACCATCCGTATGCATTTCATCGTGCCGTGCCTCTAGATTGACAATGGTGAGCAAGTCGAGCGCAAGCAGAAGGAGAAGGAGCAAATTTCTCGGCCGCTTCGTGACGCTCAGCCGAATGGACCCTGAAAGCTGCGCCTCCTTCCTCCACACCAAGCATTCACCCCTTCTTCCTGTCCATCACTCCTCTTCGACCACTTCCTTCGCCCAACTTGCTCCAGTGCACCCGAATCAGAGCTCCTCACTCGGATAGTGGTAGCGACACGATGTGCGTGATCTTCTGGACGACCTCCTCACCGGCATATTCGCTCGTCATCGCCTCGAATCGGGACGAGTTCCTGTCCCGCCCGACCCTGCCCGCCTCGTGGCACGACTTCTCCAACGGTCGCTCCTCCTCATCTTCCTCGTCCATCCTCAGCGCGCGCGACTCAACAGGGGGCGGAACATGGCTGGGTATCACGCGCAATGGGGCCTTTGCAACGCTGACCAACTTCACGGAGCTCTCTGCACCTTTACCCCCCGGTTTGGATGCGTTCGAGTCTCGGGGTCGGCTCGTGCGGGACTGGCTCTCCCACGCCTCGACCAGAAGCCCAGCGAAGTCTGTGGGAGAGGCAGAGATGGAGGTGCACGAGTACTTGGCGAGAGTGGGCGAGAAGGGAGAGAGGTTCCCAGGATTCAACCTGCTCATTGGCCTACCTTCCGATGAAGGAACTGTGGTTGGGTACATTACGAATCGCACTGCTGATGGGCAGGTCGAGCGGGGGAGAGAAGGAGACATCTTCCTCCCGACCACACAGAGTCCAGCGGGAATGTCCAATTCCACCCTCACCAACCCCTGGGCCAAAGTCACCTCCGGCTCCGCACGCTTCAACGTTATCCTCGCCCAAGCCCCGCAAGACGACCAAGATGCGGTAGTGGAACAGCTATTTGATCTACTCTGGACATCCTCCACTCCGAAACCAGCGCAAAGGTCCGAGCTGAGAAACTCGGTGTTGATCTCGCCCCTCGAGCTACCTGCAGCGACAGAGGGCGGGAGGGACTGGTACGCCACGAGAACAAGCACCGTGATCGTAGTCGGGAGAGACGGACGCGCGAGACTGGTGGAAAGGGACACGTTCAGGATTGAGAATGGCGAAGCTGTGTTGGTCAACGGACCGGAGGGGAGCGGTGCGGTACAGGGGAGGAGTGGCGGGGAGCGGGTGTTCGAATGGCACATTGGATAGCCCCCATTCCATGTCAACTTACGACAATGGAAGCCCGAAAGGAACACACTGTGTGCACGTTCAATAGACACACACAGGATCGAAGCTCAATAGTCACGCGTACTTTGGGAGAATCTGGGATCTTTCTGTGTGCGGATGTAGATGAGATGGTACAAGTATGAGCGAGATGCTCAAAAAGAGGCGTGTTTTGAGCACCATGACGAGTGGGTCAAGTGTGCAGAATGCAATGTAGGAGAGAGGCCTGCCGTTGCACTGAAGTCCAGATAAGGCCTTCTTTTGTCGGGGGAGAGTGGATGCAACGGCAGGTGGTGAATCGAAAGCGAGGAAGCAGCGGTTTGCTCGGACCCATCCGTGAACCCGACCTAGCCGCTACCGACCTCGTGATATGGTGATGAAGCTAGGCGAGACGTTTACTCGTCATCCTCCTCCTCCTCGTCCTCTGCCTCGGACTCCTCCTCAGACTCCTCCTGGAGGGCCTCGAGGCAAGCGACGGCGATGCGGTCAAGATCACGCATGCCATCCTGCGAGATGCGACGACCACCCTTAGGATCCTTCTCGAGAACTCCGATGCCCTCAAGGCCCTGGACGACCTTGCGCTGCACGGATCCCGAAGCGTCGGCGTGGTGCGAGGGGCGGAAACCGCGGTTCGAAGCACCACCGTGGAACTTTCGCAGGTGGCCGATACCGACCGCCTTGCGCAGGTAGATGTGACGGGCGAGCGCGGCGGCGCGGACGTAGAACCAGTCGGGGTTGTAAGGGGCCTGCTCCTTGAAGTGACCGGTCTTGACAATGTCGACCCACACGGGCACCTCGATCTTGCCTGTTTGCGGGTGAAGCGCGGGGTTGGGAGAAGAGCGCGGCGATAGGGTCAGTACGGGGTCAAGGCTAAATCAACGATGTGTGCGCATGGAATGGCAGGTCCATCTGTCCATCTTCATCTTCCCTGTACCCATTGTGGATGTTGACGCTCCGCCTCCTGGGATCCACTGATCTGCCGGCCCTTGGATGTCCTGTGACAAGTCGTGCGATCCATGTGTCCGCGAGCTGCGCGATCGGTCGCAATCGGCGATGTCCTGGCGCCCGACACAGCGCTGCTCTTCCGTCTGCCTGCTGCGAAATTCCATCCTGTTCCTGCTCGTGTCCAAATGTGCTCCTCCTGATGACCTGCCATTCGCATCCTCCTGCATGGTGATGAAACTTACCAGATCGCTTGAGGTGCTGCGCGTAAGCGTCAATGAAAGTAGAGGCGTCGACGTCACGAACGCTGAGAGTGCGAAGCAGGTTGGTGGAAGGAGTGAGAACAAGGTCAGCACGTCTGTCCTCTGGGTCTTTATCAAGGCTAGTCGGAGGGCTGAAGCCCGTCGCACAGTGTCGATGATCGCAAATGCAGCAGCAGAGGCAGTAAGCCTTTGAAGGATGCTGGTGGGCGTTGGTCGAGGTCGAAATCGTTCAGTGTGTCATGATCGATCAACGTAGAGAGTCGGCGTCCTCTGGCAATGATCGCAAAGTCGCTCCCAGCGACACATCCCGAGCATGGCGGCGGCGGCGAGGATATCGAGCATAGCCGGTGCTGTCAAGGTATCGAAGTGTAGGTGCGGAAATCTGGGTCCTCCCTCTGTACCTCGCCGTGTAGGTGGACATGTCCGCATCAAACAAGTTGCGACTCGAGATAAAGTCGAGAGGCTGGTCGTCGGAGCATCTACCACCGACTCGAAGGCACTCCGCGACATTGAGGTGTCCTTCCCTGCGCATCTTTCCTGTCCTTTGACGTATTCGTGTCAACTGTGACTTTAGCATGTTTTGTGGTTCATTGCAGTCGATGCCCTGCTGCAACGTCTGCTTGCAAGCCTGCCGCTAGTGAACCAAGCCAACGTATGCCGGTGCCGATCCTAGTGTGCCATGCTGATGTGTCGATGCTATGCCTAAGGGTGCTGATATCTGCGTCCGATCGGTGCTGTTTCTGCTGTTGTTTCTGCTGCTGCTGCTGTGCGATGATGCTGATGTGTGCGACGGTGTTGCTCCTCCGATATCTGTTGATGCTGATACGTACTTCGGCATGTTGGGCGATGTATGTGTCTTGAAGGTAGGGAAAAGGCGTGACGGTGAGAACGATGTACCAAAGTCCAACTCGAGACGGTAGCGCGCGGGCGGAGCACCTTCAATTCGAGATTCTCAGCCTCGAGACACGAGCTGCTGCCTTGCCAAATCTCGAATTCGGTCACTGGCTTGCAGCACAGTCTCACGCTGAGAACCGTGATGGCAGGCCCAGGGCTTCCAGAGCTCTCGCTCTGCCATCTGCAAGCCCATGTCCAAAGACGAGGCAGCGACCAGGCAGAACAAGCAGCGGCCTGCTTGCGAAAGGTATCGCATTCCTATTGCTTGAATTCCGCTTGTACAAAATTCTAGTCTGCGACTACAAGTGATTTAAACCAGACCGCTTCGTAGGGAGGATATACTCATCCTTTTGGCGCAACTGACATGTCGAGCGTGGGAACTTTTGTTTTAACGCATTTTACCAGCTCGGGTCCGATTCGATTTTGACGCAAGCAGTCTCGCAAGAGGTCTAACAGCCAAGAATTGAAAATTCACCTCACTTCAGAGTCAACGCAAGGATCCCGATAAATCGCTATCGGGTCGCACGCTCTCAGCATTCGCCTCTTCGCCTACATCAGCGATTAGAGCTCAGACATACTTGTCGTGACGCTGCTGCAGATCGATTCATAGAGCCCTGAAAAGACGAGCCGGAGTGCTGTTGGTACACGATTGGTGACAAAATAAACAATGAGTGCCCATCGTAGGTTGCTGCGGCCATCAGCTTGGGCGCATGATGCTTGCAAGGGTGCCGCCTCTAGTGGTAGCCCTGACGCTGGTTCGGATCCTGATACGGATAGGGCCCACGGGGCACCGCATAGGATGACTGTGGATGCTGCTGCGCTTGCGGTGCGATCTGCTGATATGCTTGCACCTGTGCAGGGTGAAGAGCCGGCTGCTGTTGCGGATACATCGGAGGCTGCATGTGTGCCGACAATGCCGTGGCCGCTGTGTTGGGCAGCACCGGTGGATGCTGCTGCACCGGACGCTGTAGCTGATGCTCCGGACGCGGTGTTGGAGCGAGTGCTCCGGCTGAATTTGGCGCATGCTGCACGAGCGGCGAACGCACAGCTGGCGATTGCGACCCGACAGAACCTCGAGCTCCTCCGCTCGTGGTCGCGGTAGTCGGTGGGTTGCGTCGTGGATTGGCATGCTCGGCGAGCTTGACCAGCAAGGCACCTTGCAACGAGGACTGGTCATCCAGCGCTTCGAGTTGCTTCTGAAGCGAGTCGAGCTTGTCGTAAAGTTCGGAAAGGATTTCCTCCTTGTGAGTCTGCAGCGTCGACTCGAAGTCGCTCTTTTGCTCTTGCTGCGAGCTGCGAAGAGCGACCATCTCGGAGCGGATCTGCGTGGTGACATTCTGCACTTGTGCGACAGCATTTCTCAGAGCGTCGTTGAGACTGTCGAGTCCGTTGAGTTTCAGCGCTCGCAGAAGCTGCTTCAGCTTGTCGGGAGAGCTGAGCCACTGGTCAACGGACGCGGCGTTTCCGGACAAACGCAGCGTGTCGACTTCCTGTTTGACAGCCGTGAGCTGCGTCTCGTGTTCCTTGAGCGAGGCGCGGATCAACTCGAGAGCTGCTACAGGCACAAATGCGTCTTTCTCGCCGGTGCCATTCTTTTGGGCAACGGGTGGCTGCTCTGCTGCGTTGCCGATTGGCTGCGGCGACGTGGATGGTGTGGGCTGGCCTGCCGGAGTCGAGTCGGTCTTTGTCGGCGCTGGGACACTGTTAGCATTGGTTTGGGCGGCAGTCGGTGTGGCCTGTAATGCGGCATTGAAACCCGAAGCGGCTTTCTGCAGATCCGATGCTGGTTGCGTAGGCATAGGTCCTGTCGATCCGCTATTGCTGATCTCCGCACCGCCCTTGGGCGCTGTCTCAGCCCCATTCGTCACGTTCGCGTCATTGGACTGGCCATTCGGCTGGGTAGGACCGCTGACATCGATAATTTCCTCGACATTCATGGGCCCTGCGCCGTCTGTAGGAGGCGCAGCGTTACTGGACGACTCGCCGCCATTCGCAATGGGTGCAGCCGGAGCCGGTCGGGCGGAAAGATCGTCTCCGGCGAGCGCCCTGCTCTTCCATTTGCGTGCCAACGCTCTGAGCCGGTCATCCATGCAAGCCTGATTCTCCGCAGTAGCCTCCTGGACGGCAAGATCCTTGACTTCGTCGAGCCGTAATTCGAGGTCTTGCATATATTCCTTGTGCCACTTGCGGAACTGAGCTTGTGTGACCGCTTTGGACTGTTCGGCAGTGGTCGACCCTTCTCGGCCGTTGTGCGCGGAACCTTCGGTGGTAGTTGCTGCTGGTGGCAAGGTCGTGATATTCGATGTCGACGGCCTAGCTTGAGTTGCGGGACGAGGGCTTGAAGGCGCTGTGGAGGTCTCGCGTGCCGAGCCGCTGGCCACGCTGTGTCGACTCCCTGCGATTCGACTATCCCTTCTGAACTCGGCGAGCTCCTTCTGCAACTCTTTGATGCATTTACGATTCTCGTTGATCTGGCGGACGTCCTTGTCGACGTCGTTGCGCAGGGAAGTGCGAGTCTCGGTCAGATCCTTACGAAGATGGTCGTTGTCCTTGGTGAGAGCCGACAGATCGGCCTTGATGGCCCTGATGTCGGATTGGAACCTGTTGCTTTGGCCAAAGTGGCTGTGGGCGGTGTTTTCGAACTCGGCCCGGTGTTTATGGTCCTTTTCGCGCTCGGATTTGACCTCGGCTGCGAGATCTTGCAGCTTGGCTTCCAGGGGGGCCGAGACAGCGGCCAGCAGGGAGGGCATGATCTGGGCATTGACGTCGACTTGCCACTGCAACTGCATGCGGTAAAGCTCGTCGACGTCAGTGTTGATCTTTAGCTCCAAGTTGCGCACGATCTTCTCTTGCTCTGTGAGCTTTGCGACGTTTGAGGGGTCACCGCGGCCAACCCTGGCGAGCCAATCCTGGACCGACTTGAGCTTCTTATATTGATCGCTGAGATTTTTACGGTCTTCGGAGATCGCGTGTCGCTTGAGCTCGATCTGGTCGAACAGGTGGCGCTCGGGAGGAGACGCATACAATCGACCGACGAGATCGGCAAGGGCCTCGACGACGGCGGAGCTTCTGCGCGTCGCAGATGGCTCCGGATATGTCGAGGCGTTTGAGTGGTGACTGGTCGCATTGCGCTCGAGTGGATGTGTAGAGCCGGAGGCATAGCCATGATTGAGACTGCCGTGACCCGCTGCTGTGCCAACGGGTAGAGCATTGGCCGATGTGCCCGGCTTGCGGGGCAGCGACTTGGGCGGTGCGTCGTGATCGTTGCGATGAATGCGAGTGACGACCTTGTCGCGCTCCTGATAGTGACGGGCAGGTGGTGAGCGTGACCGAGCGCGCGGATCGTGGGAGCGACTGGGCCCGTCGCGACTGTACGGGTCGCGTCCATTGCCGTATGAGCTCATGAGCGGTAAAAACTCGCTCACGAGGAGGATGCGCTTTGAGCTTGAGACGGCCTAGGGTGCTGCATGAGCCTATGACTGAGGGTGCAGATCTGTCCGCGAGGCTATGTCGCTGTTGCGACGACGCGATGCTTGGGGAGGTTAGTCGCTGATGAGGAACCGGCGAGCCAATCGAGTCGCGAAACAGATGCGATCGAGCTGCTTGAAGGATGGCGGAGCTGGTTGATATAAGTCAACTGGCAGTCACAGCTCGAGCTGCCGTGGGTCAGCTGCCTGTCGACGATGGCAGAGGAGGGAGCAAAAGATGCGAGGTGATGAGAAGATTGACAGGCAGATCAATTGACGGATCACGGATAACACTGCAAGCGCGATTTTTACTCCACACCTGAGCGTCTTGGTTTTGAGCTTTTGACTGCTCAAGTGCCCGGACAGTCTCGCTTCGACTGAGCCTCTTGAAAGCCCAACGCGCCGTGGCTCAGCTTTTTGATGCGCCTCTCTGTCTGTCTTTCAGGGTCCTGTCTTTGGCTCTTTACGCGACGATGATCGTCTCGGATTCACCTGGCCGGATGGTCTCCGACATGCACTTGTCGCCTTTGCTCGCTTCTGACTCAGCCATAGGCGTCCATGGCGGTGACTCCTTGCTCGCATCACGTTGAAGATGCCCGACTTAAGTCAGCTTGCGGGTGCTGACTGCGAGCTGTCTCCAGTCACATCCTCATTTTCTCAGCATTTTTGGCGCCTTCTTTTTGGGTGTCACTTTTTCTTTCGGAATTACTGACTTGTCCGCGTTTTGAACCAAATCTTGAAAATTTCAGGAAAGTCCAAATTTTTTGGCGGAGCTGGTTGGAAAGTGGAGAAACGGAATCAAGGCAGCACAGCACGACATGGCTTCAAGAAGAAGGTGTGACGTTCAAGAGGACAAGGCAACCTCTTCCTCTCGAAGCTACGACCTCACGCCTACCTTTTAACGATCACACTGCAACACGATGAAGAAGCCGGTCCAAGAGCGATACAACGCCAAGGCGCGTCGCTCATCCGTCGGCGGCTCTTCTCACAAGAACAAGCGCTCCTTACGCCAACGAGAGGCAGACGCTTACGATTCCAATGCACAGCTCATCGTCCCTGGCAGCGAGGAGGATGTCAGGAGGAAGCAAGCAGAACAGCAGCGCAAGCAGCTGCTCGAATCCTCGGGTCAAGATGCATCGGCTCCCATGTCCTCAAAGAAGCGCAAGCGTCTCGACGCTTATATCGCCTCGCGCCTCAAGAAGGAAGAGCGCGTCAGGATCATGCAGAAGTTAGCACAGAGCTCCGCCGAGATCGACCGCACCACGCTCAAGTCAGCAGCCACACTCGGAACGGGTCGCGCGAAGACCATGGAGGAGCGCATTGAGACCGCCGGCCAAAAGACAGATCGCGGCAGCGGCAAGCGAAGAAGGAGGACCATGAACGGCGCCGCCATGCAGATCGAGGAGGACGACGACGATGCCGACCTGGATGACATGGATCAGGCACAACGTTATGAGGATGACGATGATGACCACGAGGGCCATTTCACACCACCCGAGGACGTAGAGGATGACGGCGAAGACCATGGACCGGTCGGCGAGGTAGAGGAGGATCCAGCACGCAGAGCAAGAATCATTGCCGCTGCGAGCCTGTTCGACAAGTCCAAGCAGCCACCGACCAACGCCGCATCCGCTTCGACTTCCGCACCGCTTCCAGGCTCAGCTCTTGCCTCTGCACTCGGATCTGCTCTGGCCAAGGACGCCAACGGCAATCCCATCATGCCCACCATGCGAAAGCGAACCAAGAAGCCCAAAGCATCCCGCGTCACCGCAGCTACAAGACTGCAGCAGGCCCGCGAGAGTGACTCGAGCTTCGACAGCTCCGAGTCAGAGTCTGACTCTGCATCTGCGTCAAGCTCAAGACTGCCTCCAGCTTCGACTGCGGATAGGGATGTCATCGGACCTGCTCCACGCGCTTCGCTGTCGAGAAAGAATCAGGAGAAGCGTCTGGCGCTCGAACGCGACCTCAAGGGCAAAGGCAAAGCGGTCTCATCAGGGCCTGGATGGGCTCAAGACGACTCGGGAGACGATGCGGCCGAGCCTGTGGCACATCATATCGCCGGCGAGTCCGACCAGGATATGCACGATGACGACGACGGCGACTCGGATCTAGGTTCAGAGGAACCGGACACCGACGAAGACGAAGAATCCATCTTCCTCGAAGCTATGCGTCGTCGAGGTCTCCTCCCGGCCGATGCTACCTCCCTCGACGAAGATGTTGCGACTGCATCTGGATCGGCCAGCAGCTCCGCTCTTCCCACGGCCAAGTCAATATCGTTGGCTGCGGAAGAGCAAGAAGCAGGCTCCGAGGAAGAGGACGAAGACGACGATGACGATGAAGACCACGATTCTGACGATGGCGAAGAAGACGACGAAGATGAGGATGACGATGAGGAAGACGAAGAGGAGGACGAAGAGGAGGACGAAGAGACTCAGGAATATCGATCTCGTCGCAGAGGCATCGGCACCACTAAGCGCAGCTCTGGCTTCAAAGACTGGGCGCGTGCTGCGGTCGGTATCGGAGGTTCCGCTTCCAAGGCTGCCAAAGCTGATGCCGGGCAAGGTGATCAGACCAATGACGTGGACGAGGACGACACTACATACAATCTCGAGCCTGTCGGAGGCTTCAAGATCAAAGTCAGCGATATCATGCCCAAAGACGGCATTGCGCGCGGTCCCCTTGGTCGAGACCAGGAGAACGTCAGGGAACGTTCCGCTTTTGCCAACAAGCACTACACCGAGCTTGAGGCTGCCAAGGCCTCCAACGACGCCACCACGGAGGACTCAAAGTCAACTGACGCCACCACATCCCCCTCGAAGCTGCTCACGCACGTCGAGGTGCAGCGTTCAGAGCAGCTCACCGTAGCACGATTGCGTCTGCCCGTCGTCGCCGAGGAAGACACCATCGTCAGGACGATCATGGAGAACACCGTCACCGTCATCTGTGGTGAGACCGGCTCGGGTAAGACTACGCAGGTGCCGCAGTTCCTCTACGAAGCCGCGTTCGGCTCTTCTGGCAGTCTCAACCCAGGCATGATCGGTGTCACTCAACCACGACGAGTCGCCGCCGTCAGCATGGCCCAGCGTGTCGCCTCCGAGCTCAACTTGCCTGCGAATCGCGTCTCACATCAGATCCGATACGATGCCACTGTCAGCCCCAACACGGCCATCAAGTTCATGACCGATGGTGTGCTACTGCGAGAGCTGGCGACCGACTTCCTTCTCACCAAGTACAGCGCCATCATGGTCGACGAGGCGCACGAACGCAGCATCAACACCGACGTGCTTATCGGCGTGCTCAGTCGTGTCGTGCGTCTTCGTGAGAAGCGCTGGCTCGAAGGTGTCGCCGATGCCAAGCCACTGCGTCTCATCGTCATGAGTGCCACGTTGCGTGTGTCGGACTTTACGGAGAACACGACGCTCTTCCCCTCACCGCCTCCTGTGATCAACATCGGCGCACGTCAGCATCCCGTCACCGTGCACTTCAACCGCAAGACCGTCCAGGACTACATCACCGAGTCGGTCAAAAAGGCCACCAAGATCCATGCACGACTGCCACCGGGAGGCATCCTCATCTTCTTGACGGGTCAGCAGGAGATCACGACCGTCTGCAAGAAGCTCGAGCAGCGATTCGGCAGGAAGGCGCTCGAGCAGAAGAGGAAGAACCGGGAGCGCGTCCAGGGCAAGTTCAAGAATCGTCGCGAAGAGGATGGGGATGATGCGAAGAAGGTCGAGGGTGGCTCCGGTGCCAGTGTCAAGATCACCGCGAGGGACGGTGACGTCGAAGCAGAAGAAGTGGATCTCGGCTTGGACCGCGACCTGGCTGCTGATGTCGACGACGGAGCCATGGCCGGCGATGACGATCCAGACGCCCTCGACACGGACGACGAAGCCGACGGAAGCGACAGCGAAGCCGAAGCTCGCCACGACGACGACCTACCCGACGAGCTCAAGGACGACAGCGATGTGCCCATGCACATCCTTCCCCTCTACTCGCTCCTCCCCTCGGAAAAGCAGATGCGCATCTTCGAAGCCCCGCCCGTGGACACGCGTCTCGTCGTCGTCGCCACCAACGTCGCCGAGACCTCGCTCACCATCCCCAACATCCGCTACGTCATCGACTGCGGTCGCAGCAAGGAGCGCAAGTACGACCTCATCTCGGGCGTCCAGTCGTACGAGGTGTCGTGGATCAGCAAGGCCTCTGCGTCGCAGCGAGCGGGTCGTGCCGGTCGCACAGGTCCCGGTCACTGCTACCGCCTTTACTCGTCGGCTGTGTACGAAGACCACTTCACGCAGTTCTCGAGCCCGGAGATCTTGAGGACCCCCGTGGACGGACTGGTGCTCTCGATGAAGGCGATGAACATCGATAACGTCGCCAACTTTCCCTTCCCCACGCCGCCAGACCGTGTCGCGCTCAAGAAGGCCGAGCAGGTGCTCACCCATCTCGGCGCGCTCGAGGCTCCAGCCGTCGCGTCGGTCAGCATCGGCAAGAACAAACGCAAGCTCAACCACGCCCAAGTCACGGAGCTCGGACGGACCATGACACTGTTCCCCGTCTCCCCTCGGTACGGCAAGATGCTGGCTCAGGGTCAGCAGCACGGATGTCTGCCTTACATCGTGGCGATGGTGGCAGCTCTCAGCATCGGCGATCCTTTCATCCGCGAGCAGCTCATCGAGGAAGAGTATGGCGAACGACGACGCACCAACGACTCAGCAGACGCAGACGAGGACGGCGACGACTATGATCGTGCATTTGGCAAGATGGACGGCGATGAGGACCTCAACGCCGAGCTTTCGAACGTCACCAACAGCGACATGCTCGATAAGGAGCGACGCAAAGCTCGACGAGCCAAGTACTTTGCCGCGATGCGCAAGTTCGAAGCTCTCGGCGCGGGATTGTCGGACACGTTCCGGCTGCTTTCCGTCGTCGGCGCGTACGAGTACGCTGGCGGATCAACGACTTTCTGCGACAAGAACTTCCTCCGTCCCAAAGCCATGGAGGAGATCCATAAGCTGCGTGCTCAACTGTGCAGTCTCATCTCCTCGACTTTCCCGGACCTCGCCTCCTCCCTCTCCAACCCGAGACTCGCCCCGCCGAGCGAGACGCAGTTGAAAGTGATCCGTCAGCTCATTGCCTCCGCCTACATCGACCAAGTCGCCGTCCGTGCAGACCTCATCTCAAACGACAGCGTCGTATCCAGCTCCATCATCCGACCAGACGAGCGGACGAATCAGATGCTCTTCCGCCTTCGCACCAAAGGCGGCGGCGACCGCATGCAGTCCACCCGCGGTGTGCCGTACAAAGCGATGGGCGTACCCGGCTTCGCCTTCATCCACCCGACGTCGTCGTTCTACCACACCACCCCGCCGTCCTGGGTCGTCTTCAGCGAAGTGCAGCAGAGCAACTCGAAATTCGCCAAGACGGGCACGGAGGAGGATGCACCGGGGACGGTGTGGTTGAAGACGCTGACGAGGATCAATCCGGTTTGGCTGGCGACGTTGGCCAAGGGGTTGTGTAGTTTCAGCAAGCCGACGCCGGTGGGTGCAGCGGGGCAGGGGGAGGTGGATCGGTTGAAGGCGAGCGTTCAGGCGGTGAAAGCGGGACAGGCGGCAGGGGAGACAATGCGGGAGGTGCTGGTGACGCCGACGTATGCGGTGGGAAGCGAGAAGGATGGGTTGGCGGGAGGTCTCGGTTGGCAGTTGCCGGCGATCAAGGCTAAGCAGCGGTTTGTGGATGGACGATGGGTGCTCATCCTTCCTTAAGTCTTCGCGATGCAATCCCAATCCTGTTCAACCGGTGACCTCGTTGCTGTGTGAGACTACATCTTGGACTCCTCTGACCAATCTTCCGGCTGTTTGCCCTCAATCACCTCTCTCCCCTCCGTGTCAAACTTTACGTTCTCGGGATGCGCCATTGCCCTCCCGATGAATTTGGTATGCGACCCGTATGCGAGCAGCGCATCTGTGACGGGATGTCGCACCTCCATCCGCGTGAATGCGAGTGTCTTGCCCATGCTGATGACCTCGCCGGTGACGTTGACATCGTCGCCCTTGCCGCCGGCGGACTTGACGTATGTCGTGTTGATGTCGGTGCTGACCCCCGTGGCGTACAGGCCGTGGGAGGCGATGGCGAGCGAGCCCATGGTATCCGTCAGCGTTGCGATGCAGCCGCCGTGCAGTGTGCCTAAGCGGTTGAGGTTGTGTGCCGAGATGGGGAAGGTGCCGCGAATGGAGCCGGGTGTTGCGGCGTGGATCCGCAGCGCCGAGATGGTGACCGAGTCATGCCCAGAGGCAGACTGGAAGCCGCGACAGATGCGCTGGACGAAGCGGAGACACGCGGATGGCTGAGCGACCGTCATCTTGACCCGCTACAGAGTTGGAAAAGGGTCGGCGATGATGGTGCGGAGGTGTTGCTCTCCACATCTGAGACGAAGGATCTTCTCGCCCCGCGCGGATCTCTAAGCCTAACACAAATGAAGAAAAACTCGGGATAAAGCAGGCCGAAAGACCGAAGCTTCCCTTGGTCAGTGCGGAGATCTTACCCCACTCTCTGCCGCGCGTCGGCGTGGGGGAAAAGAGGACCCTACTCCGCTCTTGAGTCGGTCAAGTCTTTTGTAGGCAACAGCCACCGGCAACTAGACCGCTCCTTGGCTGTGTGTAGACGTGAAACTCGCGCCCGTTGCTCCCCCCACTTTGTGCGCGCGGTGATGTTGAAGCGAGAAAGACGGAACCCCCCCACCTTTTCGTTGTGCAGTTCGGCGTGGGTTCCCGGTGCTCTGGCCTCCCCCTTTGCTGGAATGTATATAGGCACCTTGCTTCACCGTCAACAACCGCCTGGCTTTCCGAACATACATCATCCCACCCACTGTTCACGATGACGCAGAGCAACGGCTACACCCCCGCTCCGCTCAAGGCAGGCGTCTGGACGCCGCTCGCCACGCCGTTCGACTCGTCGGAGGAGATCGACTATGCCTCGTGGAAGACGCACGTGCTTCGCGTCGCCTCTGCTGGCTCTCACCTCGTTGTGATGGGTACCAACGGCGAGGCGATCCACCTGTCCTCCTCGGAGCGATTCGAACTCGTCCGCACTGCTCGCGAGCATCTCTCCACCTCCAACCTCTCCTCGACGCAGATCATGGCGGGAACGGGTGTAGGCTCGGTCAAAGAAACCATTGCCAACTGCATCGATGCGGCGCGCGCAGGGGCCGATGCAGCCATCGTCATTCTCCCTGGCTACTTCGCTGGCGGTCTTGGCAAGGACAGAGCCGCAATGAAGCAGTTTTTTACGGCTGTAGCCGACAAATCACCCATTCCGATCATGGTCTACAACTTCCCCGCCTGCGTGGGCGGCATCGACCTCGATTCCGACCTCATCATCGACATTGCCGCCCATCCCAACGTGTGCGGATGCAAGCTCACCTGTGCCAACATCGGAAAGGGCGGCCGTGTGGCCAAAGCGATCAAGAGGGACGGCTTCCATGTTTGGTCTGGATTCGCCGACATCATTGTCCCCGCTACCATGGCCGGTTTCAACGGTGTGATCGCCGGAAGTGGAAACATCATCCCGAGAACACTGGTCAAGTTGCACCAGCTCACGACAAAGGCGGTGGAGACCAAGGATTGGGAGAAACTCGAGGAGGCGAAGAGACTCCAGGAGGTGGTGAGTGTCGCCGATTGGGCCCTGTTCAAGGCCGGAATTCCCGGGACGAAGTGCGCGCTGAGGAGGTGGTACTACGAGTACGGAGTGTGCAGGATGCCGCTGCAGCCGGCGAGCAAGGAGGTGCTGGCCATGCTGGAGAAGGAGCTCGTCGAGGCCATGGACGTCGAGAGGGGGCTGGAGAAGGACGCCCAGGCTCAGGTTGCCAAGGCTTGAATCGTGAACATGGACAGAGATCGCCCTGGAATGTCAAGTCTGATTTGCATTTTATCTCTGTTCTGTGCACGAGTGTGACATGGATGAGAACGATGCAGGGGTCGACGCTATCGTGACAGCCTGGACCACACCTTGTCCGCCAGCTCGAGGAACGCTTTGCGAATATGATTCGGCTGCTCCCCACTCTTCGCTCCATCCCCACTCTCAAACGTCGGCAAGGTCTCCCTCAGCGTCGCTGGGATCCCTTCGTCGCCACCCTTGCTCACCTGCGGCTGCAGCGGTATCCTTGCCAGCACCTCCAATCCCTGCTTCTCCGCGTACCTCTCTACCGCCTCCGCCTTACCAAACAGCTCGAACTGCCTCCCCGTATCCGGACTGACAAAGTGGCTCATGTTCAACACCAGCCCTGCCACCGGCACGTTGGTCTTCCGGAACATCGTCACGCCCTTCTTCGCGTCCAGCAGCGCGACCTCTTGCGGGGTGGTGACCACCACTGCTGCATCGACCTTGACCAGCTGTGCTAGCGATAGCGCCACGTCGCCTGTACCAGGTGGCATGTCGATCACCAGCACGTCCAGGGGCGCGTTCGACCCATCAACCTCGTCCGGCGACGACGGTGTAGGTGCTCGCGGGTCCAACCGCCAATTCACATCGAAGAGCAACTGTTGAGTCGCTTTCATCACCATCATCCCCCGCCAGGCTACTACGCGGTCTTCGTCGGACGGATCCGACGTGTTACCCAGCAAGAAACCCATCGACATACAGCTAACGCCGTGATTCTTGAGCGGTATCAGACCGCCGTACGAGGTGAGCTCCGGCTCACCAACGCCTTCGAGCCGCATCAGCTTCGGTATCGAGGGTCCGAAGATGTCGAGGTCCAACAGACCAATGCGTGGCTTTGTAGACGAAGAAGGTGGGCGAGTGAGGGAAAGCGCAACAGCGAGATTGGTGGAGATGGTGGATTTTCCAACGCCGCCTTTGCCGGAGGAGACGCAGACGACGTGCTTGACGTGCGGGATGCGACGTGGCTGTGGTGGTCCGGTACCTCTGCGTGGCATGGTGGGTGGGATGCGCTGGTTGTTGCGTGGGAGACCGAGGGGGTTCTCGTGAGAGTGAGAGGTGCTGCTCGACGAGAAGGAGCGGTGGTGTGATGGTCCTGCTACCGGCGGAGCTTGCTGCGCCATCAATTGAATGTCGAAGGCACGAGGTATGCCGCGAAGGGATCTGCGACTGATGATGTTGACGAACATCTCGACTGTCTGAGCCTTGAGGTTGGTCGAGAAGAGGCGAGGAAGAAGAATGCGAAAGGGTCCTCAGCTGCCGGCGCTGTGGAGTTCCGACTGCCGGAATTCTGTGCCCAAGCCTCCACATGCAAGCTAAGCATCGAGGGTCTTCCTCGCTGTCATAGGGTCCGAGACTCTCTTCCACCAAACACCATCCAGACTCGGGACGCACGCGCAACTGATGCGAGTGCCCTGGACATAGACACTGGAACAGTCGTCCGAGCGGCTCGAACGTCGAATCATGCCGAGGCGATAGAAAGAATAGGAACGCGAGGAGCTTCTCCTCCCGCCACCCTAGACGCAACGCCGTACCAACATGCCGCCCAAGAAGCGGTCCAATGGGCCATCCCAGCCCTCAACACCATCGAAGAAGCAGAAGCCGGGCCAGCAGTCGGCTTTGACCTCGTTCTTCACCAGTCCCTCGTCCTCGTCCAGAGCGACATTCGCAGCCGAGCCGACATCACCAATACCAAGTGCAGCGAAGGCCAAGCAGAAGGAAATCGTAATAGACGTGGACGATGAGGAGAACAACAAGGCCAGGATGGATGCAGCGACGTCACAAGAAGAGAAGGATGCTGCGTTCGCGGTAGAGCTGGCGGCGCAGGAGGCAGGTTTGACAGTAGCCGAGTACAAGTCGAGGATGCAAGGCGATGAAGATCTCGCTCGAAGGTTGCATCAAGAATGGTCTGGTGAGAATGGCGAAAGCAGTCAGCACGTCGACGAAAAGCAGACACCACCAACGCGGTCTCCTCCAAGGAAGCCGACGACACCCGCGACACCGACCTCGCCAAGCAAGAGGCCGCCTGTCACTCCCAAACCAGTCGACTTGGCAGCCATGGACGCTGCGATACAAGCCATCCCGCTCGGCGACGACATCTTTGTGTTCGACCCTTGGGCGATCGACACATCCACCTGGCCCATGATCAGCGACAAAGAGGGCAAGCTGGCGCCGACAACCCCCTACGCTCTCCTCACCCACGCCTTCGTGCTCATCACGGCGACGCGATCGCGACTTGCCATCACCACCCTGCTCACCAATCTCCTCCGCACAGTGCGTGCGCACGATCCAGACTCCTTACTCCCGACCGTGTATCTGGTCAGCAACCACATCGCACCTCCCTACGATGGCATCGAGTTGGGCCTGGGCGGGTCGGTGATCAACAAGGGCATCAAATCGGTCACCGGCAAGTCGGCGCGCTTCATGAAGCAGGTGTGGGACAAGACGGGCGATCCGGGCGATGTCGCGTACGAGGCCAAGAAGGATGTCAAAGCCCTGGTCCGACCCGCACCTATCACTGTGCAGCGGCTTTTCTCGAATCTGCACAGCATCGCGCGGCTCAGCGGGCAGGGAAGTGCGAACCAGAAGCTTGGGTACGTGACGAAGCTGCTGGTCGCGAGTCGTGGCGAAGAGACGCGATTTCTGGTCAGGACCTTCATCAGCCATTTGCGGATCCAGGCGGTGAGGACGACGATTGCCACTGCGCTGGCGAGGACGTTTGCGCTCGTAGAAGATGGAGCGTCGCCGGTAGAGCCGAGCAACCAGAAAGAGAAGGAGAGGGCGGTGCTCCTCCTCGTTCATCCGCACGAGCGGAAAGGCATCTTGGCCAACGCAGTCAAGCCGAAAGAACGACAAGATCCGCAACGTCTCGCATTGATGGAGCGTCTAGCGAGGGCAGAGAAGCTCGTACGCGAGGTGCGCGCTCGCCATCCTAATTTCGGCGTCATTGTCCCCTCGTTGCTGCAGTACGGACTGGCAGGCCTGTCGGAACATGTACCACTGCGTATCGGCACACCGATCTCCCCAATGCTGGGATCCATCACGCGCTCGCTGGGCGCTATGCACGAGAAGCTGGGACCAAGAGCCTTCGTCTCCGAGTTCAAGTATGACGGGCAACGGTGTCAAATCCATGCGATCTACGTGCCAAAGAGCGCGGGACCTGAGGCGCGGAAAAGCATCAAGGACGGCGACACCAAGAACGGCAAGTGGGTGGGCAAAGATGGTGAGGTGTACGTAAGATTGTTCTCTCGCCATCTGGAGACAATGACGGAGAAGTATCCGGACATTACGGACATGGTGCCGATCTTGATGGGGCAAGAGACCGAGGCGGACGCCAAATTTGGGATGAACGCCTTCGCAGATACTTCGACGTCTGTCGTGAAGCAAGAGTCGCAGGACGGGGACGTAGAAGATGCGACGGTCAAGACCGAGGAGGCAAGTGCTAAAGGGACGTTGGCTCCGCGTCAGCCGATCACGTCGTTCATCATGGACGCAGAGGTGGTAGCGATGGACCTCGACGGCCGTCTCCTACCCTTTCAGACCCTAGCCAACCGCAGCCGCAAGGACGTCAATCTGCACGACATCAAGGTGAAGGTGGGCGTCTTCGCCTTCGATCTGATGTATCTCGACGGCGATTCGCTGCTCAAGTCTTCCTTCCGTACGAGGCGAAACCTGCTGCATAGTCGCTTTCTCCAACTCTTTCCGCAGAGCCCGCTGATCGCCCGATTTGCCCACGTGCGCTCCTGCGAGAGCACCGACCCGGACGACGTAGCGCGCTTCTTTACGCAGGCGCAAGAGTACAAGTGCGAGGGGATCATGGTCAAGTCGCTCGACCATCATTGGGAGGCTCCGCCAGAAGGCAAGGACGAAGACGATGCCGCTCGATCGGACGACGACGCGGACGATGACACGCACGTTGCCTCCAATCGGCTTCAACAGCTGGCTGACGTGGTGGACGACGACCTGGCGATGGACAACGAAGACGAGGCGATTCAGACGCTCGACGATTCTGGGCGAAGCAAGCGGCCGGCTTCCGACCCATCCCCCGTCGAGATTGGCAAAGGCGTCAACGGCCGCGGCAAAGCCCTCTTATCGACGTACGAGCCTGACAAACGCTGCGAGTCGTGGCTCAAAGTCAAAAAGGACTACGTCGACGGGCTTGGTGACTCGCTCGACCTTGTTCCCATCGGCGCATGGCACGGTATGGGCCGCAAAGCGACGTGGTGGTCGCCCATGCTGCTCGCGCTCTACGATCCCACCACCGGCGTGCTACAGGCGGTATGCAAGTGCATCTCGGGCTTCACAGATGCGTTCTACAAGGACCTCAACGTGCGGTATGCTGAAGGATCCGACACATGTGTGCCGGCGCGGTGGGGCGAGCCATCGCCATTTGGGATCGAGTTGGAAACGGGCAGCCTGTGGCCCGATGTCTGGTGGAAGCCAAGCGAGGTCTGGGAGATCCGTGGCGCCGACGTGACTGTCAGTCCGAACTACACGGCTGCGATCGGCCTGGTGAGCGAGGAGAGGGGACTGTCGATTCGCTTCCCAAGGTTCATCAAGAGGAGAGAGGACAAGTCGATCGAGCAGGCAAGCACGCCTGCAAGTCTAGCCAAGATCTACTTTGAGCAGCAGAAGGCTGCGCCTGCACCTGGAGACGGTGGCGGCGAGAAGAACGAAGACGACGAGGCTGCCAGCGAGGACGAGCGCGAGGAGGCGAGGGCCAAGATCAGCGTCGAGGACGATTTCGAGTTCTGACAGCCCTGTCCGTTATTAATAAATTCGTTTGCTACACTGTAATCACGAAGATCCTCGCCAATCACATGTGTGGCTCAAGGAGGGACCCTTTCTGTGAGATTTCCCGCGGCAAGTCTACTGCCACCCACACACGACTGCAGGGAAGCGCATCGTCCCCATGCTGCCCAGATCACATGCTGGGCGACGATCCAATCACAGCAATGTGCGGGAGGAAGAAGCTTCGGAAATTGACCGGCGTGGAGGGGTGATTTCAGAATTCGACCCTGAGCGAGGCGGATAAAAACTTCTTTAGCGAGGCGCTTCCGAAAGGCATGGCTGGGCATCAGCGACCGACCGTTAAGCCCGACCGACTGCTTCTTCTCGCAAAGAGTGAGCTACCCGGCCTAGCTCAAGCACGAGCTCGATGCTTAGACGTATCAGGTGCTTCGAAGAACGGATCATGGGACCAGTCATCTGAAGCAAAGCTTGAGCCTGAGACTAGGTGGCGCTTGCGGGCGGTACCGTCCGTCGACGGCCGACGCTTTGTGATGGTCACGACCAAGGGACGATAATTCAGAGTCAGGGTCCTGCGAACAGAATGGGTCCACTTGAGCCCCTAGCAGGCTGCAGCGTGGACGAATGTGTGGCGCTTGTCGGTTCTTCCGGGCGTCCAATCGGAAGAGCCGCCTTGACGGATTGCTCCGACACTCGAGACAAGGTTGTCGGTGGCGCGGGTGTCAAATGATCGTGACCAACCAACGGATGCTCGGCCGGAGCGCATTCGGACCATGCGATGCACTCCACGCTGGAGGGTCACAAGCCGAACTCGAGCTTGAGAGTGTGACTGTTCGCTCGACTCGACTGCTGATGGAGCCAAAGGCGAAAGTTGCAAGGCTTCTGATTCGTTGCTCCCGCCCTTTCAGACCCTTTCAGCTGCAGGAGACAACGGACCGAGAGTTGATTCGCCTTTCCAGCCAGAGCCGTTTCTTCCGATTGAGGCTGAAGCGCACGCTGCAGTGCAATGCAGTGCGTCCTGCAAACCAGCATTTCGGATTCACAAAGGGCAGCTTTGGCAGCGCGGCGTCGATCTGAAACGTCACTGGGCAAATTAGGCTTGGCATACAGCAAGGCACTTTGATTGACAGAGTGTCTCAGAAGAACCGAGATCTCGAATCCTCCATTCGTGGACGGGCTTCTTCGCCTCCCGTCGGCAAGCTGCTGCGAATCCTATTGAAAAGCTTGGTTGTGACAGAGAGACAAAGAAGAATGATCACCCTTAACTGCGGGACAAAGATGAACAACAAGACCGAAGGCAAATGCTAATGTTGTTGGAACGAGTGAGCACAATGGGAAGCTTCTTCTGCTTGAGACGCTGGTGGACTTCCCACGACGACCAGCACATGTGTGAATGCAGGCGCACAACGCACATGTCTGCTGTCCCGTAGGCGAGCAAGGCGTAACTGAGGTGACTGCATCCGACTGCCTCACTGGCTGCGAGCTTGCCTCGGATGCACTCGCACGCTCTGCTTTCCGTTTCCTTATCTTTCGGGTCTTCTTAGCGAGGAGCGTTTTGCGATTGCGATTCGGGCGGAGTTGCAAAAAAAAGTTCCCAGCAGCGCGCGTTGGGTTGCCTCGTGCTGTGCTGTGATGCACTTGAGCTGCGCTTCAATTCCGCTGCGTGCTGCTCATCGGTACACACAGGCACGCGCTCAAAATCGAACCAACACACTCTCTCCGCTCCCACTCACAACGCTCGCCCTCTCATCACAGCTGAGGCGCTCGCGACTTGGTTATCTCTCTCTGGCTATCTCTGTGTCTCTCTCGTATCCGCTCTTCGTCATACGGACGCACAGCTGCGCCTCTGAATAGCAGCCCTCTCACTGCTCGGCAACGGCTCCGACAAACTCACTTCGGAGACGGCGGAAACTCACTGGGCGCCCGGGACCATTGTCATAGTCGAGACCGCTTTCAACCGAGGCAGCACTGTATGCAACCTGGCGGGCCATCGAAGCCCTCACACAATCGCAGACCTCGTGGCCTGGCTTCGAAACGAGCTTATCGCGCAAACAGTCTCTGCGATCGAATTTCTCCGACTCTGGCTCTCCTTCCATCTCACCATCGCTGCTCCTGCTGCTCCTGCTCAGCACGGTCAAGCAGCTCTGGAAGCAAAGCCTCGAAGCTCGCCGCTTCTTCGTCGCCAATCTCGCTTCAGTAAGGCACTGTTAGCGTGTGCTCCTGCCCTGCCACTAGCTCTCGACCGCCGTCTACCGGGCTGACTCCGATGTGGCTTCCCGCCTCGCTTGCAAACTAAACTCACATGGCCTCGACTCGAATCGACTCGAGCTGAGCTGCTGACTTGTTGTTTGCTACGCCGCTGTGGTCGCCGCCCGTCATTTCCATCAGCCCGCCCATCCGCCCTGGACGATCTTGCGGCGTTTTTGCTGAGACTGCTGAGACGGCCGCTGTTGCTCGTTTCAACTGTCAAAGCTTTATCTCCTCGCGAAACCACTCTATTTCCAACGACCCAACGACAAACCAATGAACACCCCATCTCCGCTCGTCTCCACCGATTCATGCCCCAGATAGAGGGTGCGACCAGCATGCCATCACTGCCTTAACCTCATTATAGCTGCCAACGCCCCAACGCCGCCACAATCACAGTCTGGTTCATGCTTTGATCGCTCTAGTCTCGGTCGCCGCTCTCGCTTGCACGAAGAGCGCATCCCGGCACTATGGACAGTCTACGTCAGCAACCCGACCCTCCCGGGAATGCCGGTCTGGATGTCGAAGCATCGCCGCCGCCCGCTTTCAGCAGTCGTTCTTCCCTGCCTCCCTCTCCTTCTTCCAGTCGCCCGACGACGCCGCTGCTGGTTGCCGACTACTTTTCTTCTCAACCGGGTCCTTCCCAGCAGCCACAAACGCAAACAGAAGCACAAGCGTCTTCCATACCCACCATCACAACCACATCGCATACAACACCACCAGCATCGTCCGCAGCATCTTCCTCCTTCACTCCAGCTATATTTCCGTCAGTGGTGACCTCAGAGCATCCCGATATCGGATCTGCCGTCAACCTCGCTGGACCTTCTTCATCAGCAGCCGAACAGCCACGTCGGACTCGACCCGTTTCCACCGCCTCATTCTCAAGGCAAAGCCGGTCCTCTTCACCCGCCCCAGCACCGCCTCTGCGAACCATCTCCCAAGGCCCTTACTCAGCTACCACCGTCAATGCTATCGGAAGCGCCGTTTCCACGCTGACATCAACCGAGCGAAGTCAGGTGACCGACAGCCTGAAGGCACACAGGCGTTCTAGCTCACTGGCTACGCTCAAGACATTCGCATCAGCCACGAACAATTCATTGCCGGTCTCTCGAGATCCCGCCGCAGCAACGTCGTCCCAACAGATGCCAGCTCCGACCGCGCCGCCACATCGCCGCGCGCAGACCTATCGGTTCTCGCGAACTCAGTCGGCCGCGCCGCCGCAGCAAGGTCGCTCGGCAGAGGCGAGCTCATCGGCAGATCTTGGCCTGCCTCCTACGCCTCGGAAATCCTCGGACGCGCCATATCGTGGCTCGTCCGAAGAGTACGAGAAGGAGCAGCAACGGCTGAAGGCGGCTGCTGCTGCCAAATTGGCTGAGGAGGCGGCGTGGGAAAAGACGCGCGGTGCCGGCAGTGCCGTGCTGGACTTGCTCAAGCTGCCCGAACTTGGCGACGAGGATGAACAAGACTCACGCTCTGGCAGCTCAGGCGAGCAACTGCGTCCGAGCAGCAGATCCATCACACCCGGCTCAGGATCCAATTCAGGGACTAGCGGCATCAGTGCTTCAGGGAGTGCCAACGGCACCAGCCACGGCAAGGGCAGTAGCAACGACAGCAGCTCCAACTCGTCACAAACCGACCTCAGCCAGTCCTCCAAGTCCAAGCGCAAGGTGGGCAAACTTTCCAAGACGTGGGAGGCGGCTCGCGTGCTGCCTTCTCTCGACGATGTGCAGGCTCGCCACCACGACGTGCTCACGATCTCGTCCGCCGACAAACTGCTCAGCAGAGGCATCTCGGAATATACCCTTCTCCCCAAGATTCTCGGTCGCGGCAAGTTTTCGAGCGTCTTTCTTGCCTCCAAGCCGCATGGTCCCACAGGCGAATCGCAGCTGTTTGCGATCAAACATACCCCGCTCTTTCCGCATCATCCTCTGATCGCAACTCGCTTGCTTCGAGAACCTACTCTGTTGGCGGAGCTGCCACCACATCCCAACCTCGTCAACGTTTACGAAACGATCCGCACGCCTGGTCACTTCTACCTCGTCGAAGAGTACCTGAATGGCTACGTCACTCTCGAAGCACTTTTACCCATGCGCTCCGAGCAGTCACCGCCTCATCTTCCCATTCTGCCGACTGGCGTAGCCAACTGCGTACTCGACCAGCTTCTTTCAGCCGTGCATGCCATCCATCATCCGCTGCAGATCTGCCATCGCGACATCAAACCCGAGAACATCCTCGTTCATCCCGATACCCTCCAGCTCAAGCTTCTTGATTTTGGTTTGGCCACTCACTTCAGCCGCAGCGAAGCCAAACTGTCGACCTGCTGTGGCAGTCCCGCCTTCCATTGCCCCGAGATTGTCACTGCACTCCGAAACCCAGTCGGCACCGTTCACTACTGGGGCCCCGAGGTGGATGCTTGGACCTGCGGTATTACCATGCTTCGACTTTTGACAGGCATTCGCTACCCCATCGGTGCCTCGCATACAAGCGTCCGGTCGATGAGCATTCGAGCTCAGAGAGCGGTGGCCACCATCCACGACCCGGAGCTTCGCGACCGCATTGGCAAGCTTCTCGAAGTCAATGGCGAGCGCAGGATGCGCAATTTTGAGGACATGGTCCAGGCGCTAGAATCATCGACAGAACAGCCTCAGCCACGCGGCGTCAAGGATTTCAAGAGCACGACCTTCATTCCTGTCGAACCGCAGCACAAGATGAATCTGCCTCTGGTCATCGGTCCTGCGGCTGAAGCTGCACTCACCTCTCCGCTGCTGCCGAGCGGCGCCACGCCCAACGCCTCAAAGATGTCAACGCCCATGAACTCGAGACCGGCTTCTCCCAACTTCGCAAATGCGGACGTGACGGAAGCTCACCTCTCGCCGGCGCCTACGCTCTTGCTGAGCAATCCAAGCCACCAGCCTGCTCAGAGGGTTTTGTCCTACATCAAGTACTGCCTGCGCTGCGCAGGCATCTTGTATCACTGTTGGCCCGACACAGGCTCAAGTACGAGTCTGCCGAGCACACCAGGTCCCTTCGAGGCGGCTTTCCAGGACTATAACAACGCAGTGACCAATGGCAGCTCCACTTCGAGCGAGACTACGCCGTTATCTGCGCACCCTGACAATCAAGCACCAGCCTCGGTTTCGCCCAGCACACCTTTCCCCATCCAAGCCGCCCGTTCGGAACGCGATCCATACTCGCACATTCACGTGTTTGAGTGCGTACTCGAGATCGTCAATCCTCCCCAGCATGCCGACGACCAGGAGCCGCAGAGTTTGATGCAGTCCATCTTCAGCGCTCTCAGCTTCGGAAGTCGTCCCGCCAACCGACGAAGCCTGTCGACACCGCCGAAGACCGAGAACGCACGCGCAGCCGGCTTGCCGAGGCCACCAGGTACGCCCGCTGATGCACCCGTCTCCGGCAGTGGAAGCGCTTCGGGCAAGCCTGGCGACGTCAAGTGCCTCACCTTCTATCTCGTGCTCCGCTTCCCTCGACGACCCGCAGGCCAAGTCAGCTTTGTAGCCTCGCGACCAAGTTATAGCCGGTCGTCGAGCGTAGCCAGCTTCTCGCATCGTACGCGTTCACGCGCCTCTTCAGCTGTAGGCGCAGACAGAGATGCCGGAGGCCTTTCCACGGACACCATTGTCGAAAGTCGCACGCGCCCCAACAAGCTGCAAAGCAGCCAGAGCTATGCCGATCTCGCCACAGGCATCCACCCGCTTCGCAAGGCCATGATCGACTCGAACCACACCACGCCTCGTGCGAGTCGCACATCAAGCCCGGCCGTATCGCACGGTGACCTCCGCAAACGCGAGCGAAGTCGTACAGTGCACCACGAGCAGGACCAACATCGGCGTAAAGCCCACGATATCGACCAGGACAAGCTTGGACTCACGATCGAAACGTCGCCGGAGCTCTTGCGTATCGCCGAGAAGCAGGCGTCGGCCGGCAACAGCCCGGGCCTGTCCCCTCGTTCCGCTCCTAACTCACGATCTACGAGTCGTGCTCGTTCACGCAAATCGAGCCGTACTCGAGCTGCAAGCGCTTCGCACCGGGCTGGTGGCTCGAACAAGATCTTTGTCCACGTCACGGACACTCGTGCGCTCGATGCTGTACGCAGGGCGCTCAGCATTGGCGGAACAACGACCGACTACAATCCAGACGTTGAGCTCGAGAACGACGACCTGGGTGCGACCTGGTCAAGCCCGGACCTGCGCACACGCGATGCAGCATTCGCCGAAGAATTCGACCAAGCCATTCGCGGCGGACTCGTCGATCACAAGCATCGTCGTCCGACATCGAGTCGACGCCGAACGCAGTCGCAACGCCTCGCTTCGGGTCTCGCTGCCGCTGTGGCCGAGAATGCCAGTGTTGGTGCAGGGGACGAGCCAGGGCAAAATTCACGACCGACGTGGGCAGATGTGCCCAGCGGCGCGATGAAGCCTAGAAGCACCATCTCACACGGCAGCGACGACCAAGAGCAGTACACGCGCGGCCGATCTCTCGGTCCTGCCAGCAACCTCAACGCAGCACCTACGGGCATTCCCTTTGCCGCAGCCGGACCTCGTCTCCGAGCCTCATCGAACCTCGCCTTCGCCGTAGTGCAAGAGGAATCTTCGCCTTCCAACACGGAGCGCTCGGCGTCGCTATCCAAGACGATGCTCGATCTGCGCGACAAGCCGGATCCTGAGGGCAATGCGGCTTCCAGTGTCAAGGATGTTGCGAGTACCACCAGCTCGGGTGATTTCGACCTGGTGAAGCAAGTGTCGGCGCTGGATGCTTTGACAGGCGGACTGCTGACGGGCAACCCGCTGCCCAGTCACGACGAGCTGCTCAGCGCAGTGTCGGGTGTGGCAGATTTTCTGCTCCATCTTCAAACGCAGGATGTAGCGCGATTTGCACAGGAGCTCGACTCCGCCTCGTTCGACCTGTTCAAGGCGCTTTCGCCGGTGACGGGGCTGGTCGATCGTTCGTCCGGTGCACCTGTCCAGGTCAGCACGCTTGCGCGTCAGGTATTGGACCTGCTCGGCGAAACCGCATCGTCGCGCGAGGTCTACATGGCCATCGACATGCGGTGTGGCGAGATGCTCGTCGCCGAGCCTCGATGCGTTGACCCGACCGACGGCGAGCAGCTGTGGGGCTCTGCGGCGGAAGCCATCTACATGATGCGCCTGCTCAACACGGTGCTTCCACGCATCCGCACGAAAAAGCCACAGGGCTTCTCGCAGGTGTTTGCGCGTCTGCCGCAGTGTCTAATGCTCGGCTTCGCTTCAATAGCCGCACATGCCAAGGGCGCGAGCGAGGTGCTTGTGGAGGAAGCGGTCAAGACGTGCTGCTCGACGGCGCTGATCTGCGTCGACTGGGAGGCGCACTGTACGGGCAGCACGGAGCGCGAATCGGTACGACGAACCTCGCGTGAGGCCCTAGGCAGGTTTCTACAAGGTATCACCGTCTGCCTGCCCTACCTCGCAGGGTCCAACTCGTCTTTATCCGAAGAGTTCTTCTTCACACAGAACCCGCGGTACGCGCTGTCGAAGCGCGAGCCAAGCGCGGTGAGGCGGAATGAATCGCTCTTCGCCGAGATCTCCAAGACGCTCGCCTCACTCGAAGTGGATCTGGGCACCATCTGGTCGCATGCGCTTGCGGGTATGTCGCGCGATCCGGAGGACGAGGAGACGCGCGAGACGCTCACCGCGCTCGGAGTGGCAGGCTTTGTGCTGCACGTGCACCTGCTCTATTCGGGGTACGCGCGCGATCGACCGAGCGACTGGAAGGGCGTGCGGGCGCAGACGCAGCTCGAGCTGGCACTTCCCGTGGCGCTGCTCGCCGTGAGCGAGCAGACCAAGGCGGCGGCATCGCCGGATTTGGCAGAGGGAAAGGAGGATGCGTTGGCGGATACGTCGCTGCTGTGGATGCAGTGGTGTTGGCAGGGCTTGCAGCAGGAAACAAGGATGCTGCCGACCGAACTGGCCGTGAGTCTGGCACAGACCTTGGCGACGCAGAGCGTTATCTCGCCCAGCCCAGGGGCGCGACTGGTGCGGTTCAAGCTGCTGAGCGAGCTGCTCGTGGACAGGTGCGAACCGAAAGCTGGGCTGACAGTGATCGAGCAGCTGATCACAGGATCGCCATTCGCACAGTTGCGAGCCGGGGCCGTGTCGATCCTGCGCACCTGGCTGGCCAAGTGGCTGTCGAACTCGGCGAGCGGAGAGGCTGTTTCGGTCCAGATGCTCGTCGATCTGCTGAAAGATGTGCTCAAGCCACCAGCGTCGGATGCAGCGGCGGAGCTAGCAGAGGAGAGCGGGCGATGGACCGAACTGCTTTCGCTGGTGTACTGGCTCGAGACGCAGCATCAATCGTCAACCAGGGTGGGCGAGGTGTACGCCGAACTGCGGGAGTGCGTGGCTCATTTTGTCGCTTCGCTCGGGACCCGTTTGGGTCAGCTCGAGGCGGAGAGCGAGGAGGAAGGGCGGAAGTTGGAGCTGCTGCGAGTTGCCCTGCAGAGCGTCAAGGATGCATCTCTGGCTTCGAAAGATAGTTGATTCTCCGCTCATATAAGTCATCATAATGCCGGTTTGTAATAGTTACGGACGGTCAAGTTCATCTTGATTCGGGAGTGGGCCATGCCGATTGGACCCTGTACCCAATATACAGAGGCTTGCTGATTTGCCTAGCTTCTTGATGTCATTGAAAGGCGCCATCGGGGCAGCTCGCTCTCTTTGCGAGGCCGAGAATATAGCGTTTCTCGCCACAGCAGACCGGCAGTATGTCATTTAGGTTATTTCTATGACACATGCGCCAAGAGCACTCAACGACACGACGATGAGGAGTGCCGATCGTGGCCCGGTCGTTTGGTTAGCAATCAATGCCGGCAAGTGAAGCAGTCCGACGCAAGGAGTAGCGTTCTGATGCAGTTTCGATCTTGCCGACCTGCAGGACGAGCTCTCCACGTTTTTGTTTCCGAGTAGGGGGCATGAATGAAAGCGAACTGCGCGCTTGAGCCTCGGGTTTTGCCGGTCACTGCGGGAACGATGCCAGTCTCAGCTTGGCTCGGAGTCTATGCAGCTCGATGGATTCTTCTCTTTCGGCAAGACATTAGACGCTTCTGCGTATCCACGGTTCGGCAGAGCAGAGCGGTTGGATATGCACATTAAATCCCCGCAAAGGTAAACTCGTGCAGCTCGCATAAATATGCATGCCGGCGGCATCATAATTTGGACGCATCGCAGAACTCACAGACTGGATGCATGTCGGGTGAGCGATTCGACGCATACATTGCGCGTCTGCACCTGAACTACATGCGGCCAGCGATCCTGGCTGCGGCTTGCCTTCTCATCTTGGGCGGGGCGGTGCTCGGTGAGGCAATCATTGCAGCTTGATCGAGGTCTCTATCAGTCCATGCTCGATATCATTCTCTGACAATCTGCGCCATGTTGAGCAACAAGCAGACTTGCTGCGAGACGTTGCTGCGCCATGGGACGACTCAGCTCATACATCAACTACTCGAGACCTGCACGCGCAAGCGAGCACAAGCCTGGCTTCTACGCTAGACTGCAGCGGATCGCTTAGCAACGTGGCGAATCACGACCGGAGCCAGGTTTCCCGAATCCGAACCAGTCAAATTTCAACATGCCTCGCAGATCCATTGTTCTGCATCACCAACACCGAGCCGTGCCGCTGCAGGCTCGTTCAGAACAATGACCGAATCCGCTTTGCGTGGTGCGTCCCTTCAACACAGTTCCAAACCTCCGATCGGCAAGCGAGCCGCATTGCGTTAGGCGCCTCGAGTGTGTATGGTCTCTCAACGTGCGCGTGTGCCATGTGTCGCAGAGAAGGTTGGGCGCCAAGGAGGCTCTGATAGCTGTTGCTGCCTTCGTTCTTGTGAAGCGGTGATAGGCTCGACGAATCGATATATAAGAAGCTGTCTGGATCTCTCGCGCCTTTGTGGGGTCATCTCCCTCCCTCGACCCCGCCTTTCAGTCGCTCCACACTATACTTCTTCTCCTAACGCCATCGTCCATACCCACGCGGCGGCCACTCATCGCCACGTCTCGACGCCCATCATCTCTCACCTTGCATTTGCATCGCAATCACCTGCACCAGCCTGACTTGCATCACACGCACCCTCTCTCACGCAGCTCTCAATGAGACCGCAATCACATCGCGCGGCGCCCGTCGCTCTCACCACCGTCTTCATCTTCACGGCCTCCGCCCTGGCAGCGTCGCCGCAGCGACCATCGATCGGCCGTCTAGCGAGGCTAAAGATGGAAGACCAGCCCGCGCCGCCATCCACCTCCGACTCGGACGAGATGAGCGATCTAGACCCGGACGTGGAGGTTTACGTCCGGCCACAGCCCGTCGCCCTCACATCGTCTCAAAAGAAGGACCTCGCCTTCGCATCGTTGGTGGCCGAGTACGGTCAGGATCCGCAGATTTCGCGACGCATGCGCACCGACGACCTGCGCGCCGTCGGCTACGTGCTGCTCATCGCAATACTTGCGTTGATGCTGTGTAGGAAGGCGATACGAAGGCAATGGAGGACGGTCCTGGAACAGAGGGCCCAGTTGAAGGGCGTGGATCTCGAGATCAGTGCGAGCGCGCCCGTCATGCGGATGAAGGAGTGAACGATTTGCTTTGCGTCAAGTCTTGGTCTGTAAAATCAGTCATAGCAAATATTATACCATCATTTTTCTCATCATCACTGTGAGTGTGGCGTCCCGGTCGTGTCAGGCTACTGCGTAATCACCCTCGGTCTGAGCCGAATCCAACCTACTACCCGAGGACGTTCGGTCAACATCAGCGCGTTCAAAGGACCTACATGGCCTGGCTCAACACTTCATCTGCAGTCAAGCCGCTCATCCCTGCGCCTTCATTAACAGTGTCATCGGCGTAGTCATCCCATTTCAGAAATCTTTCGTTGCGCATCCCGTATCTATGAAGGTGGGACTTGCGATGCTTCTGCTGCAACAAAAGACCACATCATCTACAGCGTCCCGCGCCTGTGAAGGCAGCTTCGGTCGACAGTCGGGCCACTCCTTTCAACCCACTGGAGCCCCCCACACAACCGACGACGTCGGGCAGTTTTGATAACGATCACAATCAACGGTATCTGCAACTCGCGCCGAGGCTACAGGTATCCGAGCTGTTCATTTGGTGGTGATCTGCAGGGGTAGATGCGACGCGTTGTCGACGACAGTGATGCACCGAGGTGGGTAGACAGATCCCCTTGTCATCGACGAATTCCTCGTCTTCTGCTCGGGCATATAAGCACCGACATGCCTCTCGCTTCTCATGCCTTGCAACTACGCACAAGCATCCTCTTCGCATCGCTGCCACAAACATGCATACCCCCATCTCAAAGCTGCTCACGGCGTGCTTGCTCGCCGCAAGATATTCGATGGCTCAGGGTCCACCCGGCATGCCACCCTGGGCGAACAACGGTGGTCATCCTCAAGTGGACCCTCTAGCCGGCAGTCCATGGAGCCCGCAGCCTGGCGCAGTCGGTATCCCTGGCTACAGGCCGGGTGCTGGTGGCCCACCCGGCGGCTGGCAGGCGGCGCCTCTTGGCATGCCTCCTGGTGGTGCTCCTCCTGGTATGCCTGGTGCTCCACCGAACGGTGCCCCCCCTGGCATGTCCGGCCCACCTCCTGGTGCCGCCTATGGTATTGCTTCGGCGGGCCCAGAGCCTAGCTCCGTCAAGGCTGGCGGCGAAAGCGAGCTTCAGCTCGAGCAAGGCTTTCCCGGCCGACCTACCAAGTGTGCCATGTACACCTACGTGCCCAAGACGTACAAGAACGGAAACCCGCTCGTCGTCGCGCTGCACCACTGTGGCGGAACCGGTACCGGCTACTTCCGCGAGAACGCCGACTGGGCCGCCGCTGCGGACCGCAAGGGCTTCATGATGATCTTTGCCAGCTCTCCCGGCGGTACGGGCGGCTGCTGGGACGTCTCCAGCCAGAGCTCGCTCAAGCATGACGGCGGCGGCGACTCACAGACCATCGCGAACATGGTGAGCTATGCGCAGAAGAAGTATGGCGCAGGGAAGCAGGTGTATGTGGTGGGTCACTCGTCGGGTGCGATGCTGACGCAGGTGATGGGCGCGACCTACCCGGATGTCTTTTTGGCCGGCGCAGCATATTCAGGTGTCCCAGCGGGCTGTTTCAGGACGGACAAACCTCAAGGCGCCGATTGGAACAGCACCTGTACGGGTGGCACGCTGAACGAACCGCCAGCCTACTGGGCCCAACAGGCCAAGGACATGTATCCTGGCTACAAGGGTTCTCGCCCTCGGATGATGCTCGTCCACGGCAACCGCGACCAGGTGATCAACTTCAACGATCACCGTGAAGCAACCAAGCAGTGGTGCACCCTGCACAACCTCGATCCGGAGAGTCCGACCAAGAAGTATGCGCTTCCCTCGCAGCCCAACTACGAGGTGTCGGTGTACGGCTCTTCGGTCATGGCCATCACTGCGGACGGCGTGACGCACGACAATCCGGCCAAGGTCGACGAGACATGCCAGTTCTGGGGTCTCTAGATATTCGCAGGCGTGTCGCTTACGCGTGAAAGCGGCATCCCAAAGCTTAGTCGCCGCCAAGCCTTCTATGTTTTGGCTCCTCGAATCTCCCGACCGCTTCATACAATGGGCTGAAGCTGCAGACACAATGCTCGATTTGTGTTCTGCTGACGTCTCGGCATGCAATAGTATGGCTCAATCATCTCAATCATCTGAAGTATAGTCCTTTCGATAATCTGCGTTGGCCTGAAGTACATACGGCAGGGCATGATAGCGTTGCGTGTCACGTTCTCACGCTCGAGCCTCTTCGCAGACAATTATGAGCCGCAAGGCACCGGTGTTGCAGTCGACGAGTTCGAACACTATCTGCAAGAAGCACATACTGTACGTGCGCGCTTCCTCGTGAGAACATTCAGGGGCTGTTGCAGTGCATTCGGAGGATGCGTGACCTTCAAACAGATTTCACCAGAAGTCAAAGTCACAATTCCGTCCCTGCATGACGCTGCAAGCCTGCCACAACTTGCACGCTCAGGCCTCGTGGGAACAATGGGCGCGCTCGGCCAATGAGGGCGTCAACGATGCGGAGTCGGGTCACGCTCGACCGCAAACGCCGGATCGGCTAGCAGTGCTGTCACTCACACGTCAGGACCATGCTATTCATAAGTAGGCTTCTCACAGGATGGATATTCTCTTCTGTGCCACCCTCGATCATCTCAGCTACAGTGATTTCTCTTGTTGACGTGGTACAAGGCTATCATTCGGCATAGGTGTATTGTACAACAGAGATGCGAGGAGCACAAGGTCGATCCGAGACCTAAGAGCGGGAATCGGAATGCAGACAATAACGAAGATACCGTTCCGGCTGGGAGGTGCGTACTGTACATGATCAAGGCACGCCCCGAAGAGCGCGCAGAGGCGAACAATGCGAAATGTGGAGCAAGCGCTGAGAAGATCAACTTGCGCCGTCAAGACGGTCATTGTGCTCTTGCGCTTCCGGTCCCGCGGAATTCAGCTGAGGACTGTCACCCGCCACGGACTGGTCGACAAAGCTTGTACTGAGTCAATCATTCAGGAGCGCCGTACGGCCTCTGTGATTGGAGTCGTGATAGCCAGCGACGAACGACAATGGGCTCCGGCGGAATGCGTGTCTCGGCAGTAGCGTGATTCGATCCCCTCCAGACGCCCGCTGATCCTAATCGCATCTTCTCGATCAGCGACACAATGCAAGTCGTTGTCTGGCATGTGCCTTACCTGAACGCGGCTTGGCTGAGTTTGACGTGTGAGTCTACCTGCGTGCACACCTTAGAACACACATCTTCCATCTAGTCTTTGCGGGCGGTCGAAAGGTATAAAACCAAAGGCGGATTTCACTTTGACCGTGTCATCTCTCATCGCCACACAAATCTTGCGCCCCCCTCCGTCACTACGACCCTTTGCTGTCCATACAAGCTTCTCGCCAGTACTCTCTTTGCTGCTTTAGTCTGGTCCAATTTGTCGAGATGGATCAGACCATGGCGCCATCAGCTCACGGCCTCGCCGCGATCCCCACTCCCGAAATCGTCTTCGAAGTGTTGCCTCCCGCGGACGGAAAAGCGCTTCTAATTCTGCTATTTCTATTCAACATAGCCATCGGAGCGCTCATCTTGCAGTTCATCACGCACGTGCAGTACGACATCGAATTGCTCTGCAAGCCCGGCTGGATGCAATTTGGTAAGCTCTGCTCGCGAGCAACTTACTTTGGTTGCCGCATCTTTTCAATCATTGCCGTAGTCTTGTATATTGTCCTCTTCTCTCTCAAGAACCTCGACTGCTCCAGCATTACGAACGCGACAAACGCTTTCTTCCTGCTCGCCCTCAACGCATCTGTACTGATATTTCTGCAAAGGACTATGGCGCTGTACGCGTGGAACCGCTTCGTCGTGGTCCCGCTCACGCTGTGGTTCCTTGCCGTGCTCAGTCTCTCGCTCTTCATCATTCCGATCAACTCAGTCGGCTTCAAGATCCCTGGCACAAGCTTCTGCGGCTACGAGGCGAAGCCGAATAAGCCTTACGCCCGCGCCGTCGTTATCGCTTACAGAAGTGTCAGTCTGGGTCTGGATCTCTCCCTGCTTCTGCTGAGCCTGCATCGTCTGCTAGAAGGAGGTCTGCTGTCGCTCTTCCGTACCACGCAGCGGCCACGAACAGGGCTGCGGGGACAGGGTATCGCAAGCGTGCTGATCCGCCAGGGATTCCACTACTTCATACTGCAGGTCCTCAACGAAATACTGATTCTATCTGCATGGCTTAGCTCCTCAGCCGCCTATTCGGGGATTGGCGCGCCGTTTGCTTTGGCTGTCACTCCCATCGCAGCGGCACATGCATTCAGAGACGCTGGCAGGAAGGCCTCGGCGGCGGCGTCCGGAAAGCAAACGAACCATGCCAACGAGATCATGGATCCGATGCCGATGCCGTCTGGCGATCGTATCGGCGCCCGCACAACAGCTCATGCCAGCGCTATCATAACGCCACACCCTGGCAGAACCAACCGTATCATGTGGGGCAGCAAGCTCGACCCCTTCAGCCGCTCGCAGCACGATCCCTTTAATCTCGAGCATCACAACATGGTAGTAACCCAAGTCACTCGAGTCGATCATGACGATGCTGGATGGAGCCCTAGTGCCGCTCGTACTTCGTCAGAGATCGATTCGGACGAGCGAGGACAGAACAAGCCACAGCCTCAATGAAACGAGCTGGAAACGACGACGACCATCGTACGCCTCGAACGAGTCCATACATGCTCAGCCTGACGTGCGCCACCCTTCTATCTACTCGGATGAAACTGTGTCTGTTTCCGAGCCCGCTAAGGAAGTACCGCTCTCGTCATCCAACTCGCTGAGCTTCAAAGTCTTGCGCATTACACTTTCATTCCTTTCAATCAATGTTTGCCCCCTGTTCATGACTGTAGAGAGCTGAGGTCGTGTGCGAGAGAGTCTGTTGAGCCGTTCAAGGTTCCTTCGGATCTGAGATCTCAAGTCTCAAGCTTTGCTTTTAAGGAACATCTGTACATACTACTCACGCTTGTGCCTGCTTCATTGTGTTCAGGATCAAGCCGCCACGTAACGAGTCGGTCGCTGATCGAGCTTGCACATATGCAAGTGGGCCCGAGCTCGAGCGCATCGCTGAGCATTGATGGTAAACGAGCTGGTAAGGTACTGAAAGGAACAGCGCAAGCCGCAAGCCAGCCTGAAGCGTCGCTACACTGGTTGCGGATGAATAACAGTATCGTCGTGACTCTTCGTAGGGGTCTTGACCTTGACGGATGCGGTTCGGTAACGGAAGACCATCGGATCGCCTGTCACGAGCTCATCACGGAAGACTACTGTATGGCGAATTCGTCGGAAACGCGACAAACAATAGGCCAGGCACGCAGCCGCGTGGAGAAATTTCGTGGCGACGCACATGGCGCTCCATTGTTTAGTAAGGTCCCATTGTTCGACGATCCGCTCGCACTGAAGATCTCGGGCCTGTCACGCCGCTTGTCACTGTAACGACACCTCATGATTGGTCGACTACGAGACGGCGAAAACCTTGCTACTCCTCTCCGAAAAGATTGCGGCCATTTTGCTGTGTCGTCCGGAATCCATAAGCCTTCACTAAAGGACCGTCAGTCGAGTGCCCGCATTGTTGATGAGGACTTTGACATGATGAGGATCCTGACAGCCTTTAACGCGGCAGAAGAAGCTCGCGCTCATCTGCATGGTGGGTTCTGAGATTTGGCGCCTCATTCATGCGTGTAGGTCGCAGTCTCGTCCGCAATTCTGGGGCGACCCGTGCATCGTATCCTCAGCAAGCGCCGGCAAAGTGTTCCCAGGTACGAGTGCAGCTGGATGCAAAGCTCCATCAGCGCTTTGCGAGCTTCCAAAAGAGATAAAAGGGCATCTCGACGTCCACCATGACACTGCACTCCCTTCATCTACAATGCTTCGTAGATCCCTCCAGGAAGCATATCACTGCACACGTCGCTGAATATCGGCCAAGATGGACCACAACACATCATTCGCCCGAGCTGCCACCCGCTCCGCTTCGGCCACATCCGCGTTCCAGACACCGGAGATCATCTTCAACATCGTCCCGAGTGACGAAGGACCAGCTCTTCTCGCCCTTGTCTATCTATATTGCATCGCTTTGGGCGCTGTGACTGTCGAGCTTTTCAATCACCTCGACTACGACATACGGCTAATTCGAAAGCCAGGCTGGACCCAGCCTGCCAAGCTGATCTCAAGGATAGCCTACCTCCTTTGCCGAGTATTACCACCGACCGCGATCTCCATGTTTCTCTTTGACCTCTCGCTGAAGCGCATAAATTGCGCCGGTATCACACAAGCGATCGGCATCCTGAGCATGTTGCTCTTTGCCTCGGTTGCATTGATCATGGCGCAGAGGACCATGGCCGTGTACGCGTGGAAACGTTCATTGGTCATTCCCCTCACGGTCTTCTACCTCATCCTTGTGGCTAGCATGGCAACGTCTGTGCCCTTCTGGACCGTTGGCCGCCGCCTTCCCTTCTTCGGCTTCTGCGTCGTAGACGACAGACGGTATGAGACCAGGACGATCGTCACCAATGTGGTCTACAAGTCCCTCGGCCTGGTCTTTGATGTCACTCTTCTCCTCATCATGCTGCATCGGCTGCTGGAAGGTGGTCTTCCATCTCTCTGGCTCAAGAGAAACGCACAACGCAACCCCCCTGACTGGCAAGGACAGGGCATCTCCAGCCTGTTGATCCGTCAAGGAATCCAGGTCTTTGTGCTGCAGCTGGCATGCGATGTGTTCCTTGCAGCAACATGGCTCGGCTTCAAGAGCCTGATATTGCAAGGCATTGGCACTCCCTTTTCCTTCAGCATACCTCCTATCGCCGCCACGGCAGCTTTCAGAGAGATTGGCGAGACGCGTCGCAACATGAACCACAATACGGAAAGGGTGAACGAGCTCATGGACTCGATGGTCGAGCCTCTGGACGACCGATCGCGCAATCCCTCCACCGGCAAAGCTTCTGTCCAGACGCCGCGACCGTCACCGAGCGCCAAGTTGCACGCAAGCGGCGCCGCCTCCGCCACCGAGTCTGCTCAGGGGTCGACGCTAGTACAAGCGACGTCCAGGCACTACATTGCCTGATCAAGCTGGCCATCAACAATCGAATCCGTTTCCCTTATCAAGTCAACTAGAGCCGATCTCCACCTAAGGGTCCGCTTCACACACTTCAAGCCTACTGTAGGAATCTCGCGTCATATGCTACACTCTTTTTCGTCGAATCGTTTCACGCTGTGCTCGAGTGTTCGATGCGACCTGCAGCCTTGTGAAAAGCACGCGTTCTCTCGCTTCATACTCTGACGACCTCAGACCGCTCACAAACGTCGATGGCTGTTGAGCGACTCCCTCGGGCAACAAGCCACGCTGTACTGGTGCACCCGCTCATTGATGCTCCCTCACTTTCTCATACGATTGTCGAGCCACCGCATTCACTCGGATCAGATGATGGGACAAGAAGGGTATATTAGAGCAGCTTATTCACACCGCCTGGTTACGTGCGGAAGAAGTGGAAGACGCCCCTGGCGAAGGCGATGCTGGCGTCGTCGACGACGCGCGACCAGACGTCGCAAGCCAGAATGCTGAGGGGTACCATGGTGAAGAAGAGCACGGCGGTGATCTGAGCGGGGCTGGTCCAGCTGAGGCTCTCGGTGAGGTGGGCGTAGAGGATGCTGCCGACGCTGAGCATGACAGTTCCGGAGACCATCGCGATCGAGAAGCCCAAACGGCCAAAGTAGGTGAGGGCGCGGTTGGAGAAGACCTTCTGCAGCGCGGGGCTGAGCTCGACGAGCACCAGCAGACCCGTGGCCAGCAGCCAGTCGTCCCATCGCGGATAGGCGCGGTTGTTGTAGTCCCACTCCCGGTTGAGCGTGCCCGTGTTGAGGTCGATATGGCCGATGTAGTCGTTGTAGTACTTGCTCGGGACAATGGCGATCCAGACGTACTTGAGCAGCAAGCCGAGCACCATCATGATTTGGGGGATAAGCTTAGGGTTGAGGAACTTGGTCTTGTCCGAGTTGAGCGGAATGCCCTCCTTAGGCAGGATCTGGCGGTAGACCGTCGCGTACTCCGCAATGGCCAAACCGGTGAGGGTGTACCACGACCAGCGACCCATCCAGGCAGAGATGACGAGGAAGAAGGCCAGACCGTAGTTCTTCCAGCGGAAGATGGTGAAGGGCAGACACCAGGCGTAGACGGTGATGACGTACGTCTGCTGGAAGACAACCGAGGTGAACCACATGATTCCGCCAGGGGGCATGTATGTGCTCGCCACCGAGGTGGTGTATGCATAAGGAGCGAAGACGAACGAGACCACCGTGTTGACGTACTCCACCGTCGAGGCCCAGACCTTAGGTGGGTGAGCGGCGGGGTTGTTGAGCTTGTCGGCCATCGCGGGGGCGTACTTGAAGCCGTTGAGAGCGGCAACCACCGAAGTGAGCGCCAATGCGACGGCGAGGGGAAGGATGAGTCGGAAGGGTCGACGGAAGCCTGGACCAGCCAGAGTCAAGCCGTCTCGCCTCTCGATAAAGGTCTGCATGGCCACGCGGCCCATGAGGATAACGTACATGTTGCCCTGGAAGCTGCCGTTGAACAACAGCGGGCTGAGCGCCTTGCGGACGATGTTCATCCAGTAAGGACATGTCCGTGTGAACTCGGCGGGGAAAGTGCCGTCCGTATCGCGGTCCGTGACGATAGCTGGCGCAAAGATGCGGAAGAAGATGTAGAGGAGCGTCTGGAAGGCGACGAGACCGCGGATGCCCTCGAGGTAGCTGATGCGTTGCTTGCGTTTGCGTCCCACGTCGGCCTCATCGTTCTCGGTGATCGGCTTGGGTGTCACGTCGAAACGTGCATCGCCTTTCAAGATGGTGTATCCGCGCTCGTCGTGATCGGGCTCGTAGCTCTTGTCGATGCCTGCGGCTCCCTCGACAAAGACGGGGAGCGACAACGGCCTGAGCATGGAAAGTCGCTTTGCTGCTGCTTCCGACATCTTGCTCGTGTGTGCGCGGGGAGGGTCTCGTGGTACTTGTGAAGGAGTGGAACCCTGGAGCGGAAGGTGCAAAGATCCGAAGGAGGAGGGAGCGCAGGTGGTGATGAGGGAATAGACGACGTCGCTATCAACACCAAGAAGGGCTTATAAGGGAGGAGCGCAAAAGATCAAGCCATCAGTCATCTTCGAGAAAGGCGAAGAGAGACGGGCTTGCGTTGAGAGGCCGTCCTCAGACTTGCACTGGGCGCAGTGGAGCTGTAGCGAGGGCCGGGACCAACGTAAGAAGACACGCATCAGAGACACTTTTCTGATGGATCCGGTCTTCACAAGCGCAGGCTGGGCGTCGAGCACATCCAAAAAGGGTGTCACTTTGACTGCACAGATCAGCCCAGAGTGTCAGCGGCGCTCCGATGACTGGCAAGCGAGCAAGCGTGAAATGCTCTGTGATGCATTCGGGATCTGCAGTGCACACAATCACCAGGCAAAGAGAGAGAGAGAGCGGACTCTGGAAGAATCAAAGGCAGCTTAGCGCCTGCTGCTGAATCGCTGCAAGCGGAAAAAAGCAGCCTAAGCACGGTGAAGCCAAAGCCAAAGTTGGACGATCAATCAAGCAATTTACGGGCGCTTAGCGGTACACCAACTCATAAATTGAGGCGTAAAATAATTCGTAACTCTCGCGAGCTGTCAAAACGAGAAAGAAAATCTAGCAGCGGCCGCCGCACAGAGTGGAGAATCGACGAAAGCGGTCGAGCTCGAAAATAAACTTTTGATTTATTTTAAGTTTGATTTTGATTTTTTCTTTATCTCGCGAGACGTGGCCAACGCCGTGTTTGAGATCAAAAGCCGAATCCCCTCCAGAACGGCAGGCGCCTGCAGCCTGCTTTCACCTCGGAGGCGAACAAAGATTGACATGGGCCCGTGTCCCCTCGTGCAGAGGTCTTCGCTTACAGCTTCTTTGATGCAGATTAGACATCGTTCTGACAGGTACGATAAGAAGCATAACAGAGACACGCACCAAAGCTGCTAACTTTTGACACATGCTGTTGGCCGTCTGCTCTTCTTATCGCTCCTTTCTTCCTGCTTGAGCATCGTTTCAGAAGTGGCAAGAGACAATGCTAAGGTATCGACTGCCATTGGGCAACATTTCGAGCGGAGATGGAAAGCGTCAGCGGCGGCACAGTGGTCTCGCGTCGAAGAGGTGAAGAGTCGACTTTGGTGGTAGAGTCGTTCGACAGGGAGGGGCGATGGTACGCCGACATCTCCGCAAGATACCAGCCAAGAGTCCCAAGACTGCACTAGTGGAAACTGAATTGCACCATGCTCTTAGCGTACAAGCCGTGAGAATGTCTCATACGGCGACAAATGTAGCGCCAACCAGGCAAACAATGGCCAGCCCAAGTTACGGTATGCAGCTGTGGTGAGACACGTGAGGACGCCTCGATAGCCGAACTCATTGTTCGATGTGAGCTCTTGTGCGTACTGCCGCGAATAGGGCCTCGACCCTAGGCTTTCTAAATACAATTCAATTGTTGTTTTCGGAAGAAGCAATCCAAATCGTCGATTCAAATCTGAGATTGGCGGTGAATGACAGCCGGTGTCAGATGCGCTAACCGAGCTCTGGCAACTTTTACTGTGTTCCGCTTTCGTCGACTAGGCCAGATCGGACGGCGGCTACCTCTGCCGACAAACACGTCCTTCCCGCGTGTTCTGCTATCGCAATACGGTCAGTGCTCACAGCAGCATTCTAGCAGCTGCAGGCGGCGTTCGGATCTCACGCTACTGCACGTCTGTTTTCCCGATCTAGGCAGCCTTGTCAGGTCGGATCGGAGCAAGACAACGTCCCGTAATGGATTGATATATCGCTAGATCAGCGCTCTGCCGCTTTCTTCGCCTACCCATTCTACGGTGCTAGAAGCTACCTTTGCGAACCGAGCCCTTGCTTCGATAGCATGCGATTGCAACACACCCTACGATCCCTTGTCTTGGGGGCGTTCCGTTGGATTGTCTTTGAGGTGCCATCCGCAGAACCCATTTTGCAGTCTAAGTGTGGGGAACAATCCTTTGGTATAGCGACAAACACACTCTGACCTGCCTTTGTCCAGCGATGGATTAGTCATGTCGAAGCGACAGAAGCAAAACCCTCAAGTCCACGAAATTTCAATTTAATACCTCAAAAAAAAGCGGGCTCAGAAAATTGCAAAATATAGAGCTCGAATTGGTAGAAGGTGTGGAAGTTGCAAGAGAGTAAGGCGAAGCTGGTGTCAATCTCGTCCTCACCGCTCGAGCAGACACCGGGCCCTTGGAAGAGCAGAAACAAGGCCATCTGATCACACCTGGTGCTGTCAACAGATCCCCTCGACCCGCTCGATCCTGTCAGACATCACACGGCGCATGGACGGACATGTCGAAACCCCGAGGCAATTGTTCCGAAACATTTATCGAAGCCCCAGGGTCGCGACCTGTGGCTGGCCAAGGGAGACAGCGGAGATGACCTGGCGAGTCATTCGGCTCCCTGACGGCTTCCGAACTGGTAGAACAACTGACATCAGACGCACACGACTGTTTGCACCCAAGGTCACGAAAGCCGTCTCGAACGGAAATCGGATGCGGGAGCATGAATCGGGCGGGTAAAATAAGCGCGGGGGTCTGGACACTCTGGCCCCGGTATTTGGAAAATCGTGGCTTGGAGGGTAAACAATTTATGGCGTGACCCTTTCCTTCAAGATCCGCAGCTTCACCTTCGACTGGACATCGGGCTCAAGGAGAACACCGCATGTCGCCTGCAGCAGAATCCATCGAGCAAGAAAGCGAAGCGATGCCGTGTGTGCGTGCTCTCAAGAACGTGGTCCACTCTACGACCATCGAACCGAAAGTAGATCCAAAGGTCGCTAAAAATACTGTAAATTTCCACAGCACAGATCTTCTTTCGGCTGCGCGATTAGCGCGCTAATGCATGCATGCAGCGGCGCTTCTGCTTCTACGCGCTTTCAACGGGTTCCTGTTGGCAAAATTTGGACGACAGTCCATCTCGTGGAATCAGAACTCCATTTGCGAGCGGGAGGGGCCTATCGATAAGTTAGCTGCAAGCAGAGAGGATAAGACGGGCAGAATCTCAACTCGTATCTTGTAAGCAACAGCCGAGACAGGGTGCGGTGGATGTACCCCGAAAGAGCGAACGACGCGGCGAAGCGTCAAAGCCACTGTTTGTTTCACGATCGTCCCATCTCATCGCCATCGTACAGTGACCAGCCTAATCAGCGGCGTGTCAGGTCGAGAGCATGCAAGACACGATCAACGACGGGACGAGCTGAGACCACTTCGGCAACAGAGGCGGCCTCAGCGGGGAACATGGTCTGAGAGAAAGGAACGTACCATCCGGGAGGGGATGTTCTCAGACAATGTCTGGAGCTTGTATGTTAGCGCGCTTGTGCTTAAGCTACTGCAAGCAATCGCCGCGCGCAGAGACGGCCAGGAGGGGCAAGTAGGCAAGGCTAATGGCGCCTTGTTTCTGGCGTAAGAATTTCCAAACTCAGTGCGACACTTTGCAACTTTGCTCCGAAAGCTCTCCCAGGGGACAGTGCGCCTTCAAATTTATCACGATCAGAGCTTTGCTGACCCGGCATAGGATACACTCGGTGCCATAGGATGCAATGCAAGAGATTAAGGTAACTTCGAGTCCAGCATATGGAAAAGACTGCAAAGTGGTTTCGCGCTTAGCTGGGCTGAACCTTGTCAAGATTCCTTAGCGAGAGACCATCTCTTGGGAAACATACGCTTCTCTCGCATCCGGATGGCCGGAAGCTTCGCCGTCACTGCTATCACGTCCGTGAAAACTATGTGTAGCATGCTCCTCATTGCCGCTCGTAGCCGTGCCGCTGATTGGGGAGGGTCGCACTGAGTTCGAGTTCCGCTGTTCAGTCGTCCCTGGGGTCATTCATCCTATTCGTGGAAACATGTGAAGCGATGCGCAGCATGGGCAGCTGTCGATCGATGTAGCCAGCTCAATCTGAAGTTCAACGCACTTTCCGGCATGAGCTCACCATACTGTTGAGCTTTGACGTTAGCACTGTCAAGCCGCGACCAGTCTCTCACAGGTCAGTTTCACAGGCTTCCAGCACGCACCAACGGATGGGCCCTTGAGCTAAGAAGGCACATAGCAATCTTGGCGCATCTACAGTCGTAGATCAGGCACGCTACAACATACATCGCGAAGAAGAGATGGGCGTCGCCAGCAGGTACACAACATTTGCTCTGAACCTCGCTTCGAGACGCGTGGGAAAAGCAGATCTCGTCCTGTGAACGAATCATAGCTGTAGCTGTCCGCTGCATGATGCTCTCGCTGCGAAGAAACGTGCGACATCCCCGAAAGATTAGAGCGGCATCACCTGGGCGCCTACTGAGACCGACGCGACTTCTCACTATCTACTGTATGCTTTGCGCTGCGTCGCTCAGACGCGATGCTAGTGCGACCGGCACGTTGTCAACTTTGTCCGGCGTTGGGCTGATGGTAGGCTAAAAGCGCCCCGATCCAATATGGCGGCTACTCAGATATCGACAATGGCGACCCAAATCTCTGCGGCGAGGAGCTGCATCCCAGCCTTGTTCGAGATGCCGGACAGCGCTCTCTTTTTCAGACGTGACTGCATTCGGCGCCTTCCAGGAATCGGAATCCTAAAGAATCGAATTAAAGAATTAATTTTCCAGAAAACGAAAACGGAAACAGCATGGAAAAAGGCTTTGACACCGTGGCTCGGCTCGTGGCTTGGCCAACATGGCATGGCTGCCGACGTTGGGCAACTCTTCAGCAGCCTTCCCCACCCGAGACACCGTCTGGGCTTACTGCTCTGAAACCAGACTGCAAGCCAGCTTTTAATGCGGACTCTCGTCTAACGCTGCTGCTGGAGATCGTGTACTTGGTTCGAAGCTTGGCCTGTACCACAACACCATTGGAAAGCCGCGAAGCCGCCTCTAGCCGCCTTCACGAGCCGATATCGCAGCTTCATCTGCGTTCAGTTGCGCCTCTTCGTCAGATAGCTCTAGGCGACCATGCTGCATGAGAGGCTGGATCCGTTTGCTACAACCTCATCGGCATTTGCCGCCCTGGATTTACTACCATACAGCCGCGACAAGATAACGATCCTCACTTGGTAGACTTGCAGCTATCATCTTCCGCAAAACGATGCAGCGATGGAGTATGGCTCATGCTCACACTATCTCTCAGATCGAACCTGTTCATAGCCCTATCATTGCATGCTGCCTGCTGCTGGTGATCAGCAGGCCAGCCAACTTACGGATGAAGAAAGGAGCAGAGAAATTAAAATTTTAAATTGATCAATTAATTAAAAGGGCGTCATTTCTGCACTCCGACCGTCGATCCGAGACAGGTCAATGGTAAACTGTGATTTGGTTTTTTTAAGAAAAATCACGAATAAGAGCTAGCGTGTCCACCATCCTAGCCGCTGCGGTCCTGATCTAGGATTCTGCCGCTTGCAGAAAAGAGGCGCTTTTCGGAGGCTTCTTTTCAGCTGAGACACTGGGCATTTTTAGCCCCCTCCTCATACTCCTTCTGTGCCCTCTGGTCGTTGAATCGCAGCTCACGGCGACCGAAAAGTCTGCTACTCTGAATTTGGCGGCCTCGAATTGCCTGTCTCTGAACGTATCATTGTTTGTCGGCTTCTGCTAGCCTGCCCCAATCGCCTGTCTGTCCTGTCCGAATTCGAGTTTGCGATACTTGACATCCGCCTGCGCTCTCCCGCCGAGGTCCCCGTGGTTGACCGTTCTGAAACCGTCATTCTTCCTACTCATCGATGTCCTGATCAGAGCTGGATGGTCAATGTCTCAGCGCCAGTCGAAAGCCTTTCGTTCCCAGACTTGCAGCTTTCCGACACCGCCAGCCGCCCTGGCTGCGACTGTCAGTGTGCGACTATCCGAGCTGAGCTATGACATCGAGGCTCACTCACCTTGCGTTCTCCCATATAAGTCCGGGTCATTGGGTCACCTCGTCTCGTCCGCAATCAGCATCGCCCCCCATCTCTACATCCGTTCAGCACAAACGACAGATCCGTGTCCCTGTCGCCTCTTCCCGCTAACACCAGAGCCTTTCTCTTGATATATAACTTCGACACCGCTGGCGGTTCTTGCTTTTCAACTCTCTTCTGCATTCACCCCCTTCATTCCCGTCACAATGTCGAACTACACATACGAGCCCGTCTCGCCTCGCTCGCAGGGCTACAGCGAGTCGACGTTCTCCAGCCCTCGCTCCATGTACACCGGTTCCGTGCGCACCGAATCCACACGCAGCTCCAGCTCCGACGATGGCGAGGCCGTCGTTCGTGTCGTGGCTCCCCTCGCAAAGCGACCGTCCGGTCCCAACAGCATTCAAGAGCGCAACGCCATTGCGTTCGCCAACGTTGACTACCTCCACAACGCCCTCAAGCTCCAGGACTTCAACAACAAGCAGAGCCAGGACGACAACGCTCTCGAGGAGCTCCTCGGCCTGTACGCTGCCAACGCTAACGTCTCTTCTCACAGCCCCAAGCAGGCAGCCTTCCGATCGCCCAAGGTCGACTCGATTGGCGAAGAGGATGAGCTCGAGCTCATCGACGAGCAGCCGCGCTACACACGAGAGGAGAAGGGCAAGTCGGTCGACTCGAGCGACTCTGAACAGCAAGTTTCTTCCTCGCCGCCGCTGTCCTCTGAGGCCAGCAGCATGTTCGGCGAGGCTGGCGCGCTCCCCACCTCGGGTCTCACCCGCGAGGACATCGTCTTCCGCACCGCCAACCTCAACGAGTCGCCCCCTACCCTGCCCGCTGCCCAGTCTACCCTCGCCACCGCCTTCCCCTCGCTCACCGAGCCCCCCGCGCGCATGTTCGGCGAGGACGGTGCCCCCCTCCCCCCAACCAAGAAGGAGGAGATCACCGCCGCCGAGCGCGCCGCTCGCCAGGATGCACTCAAGGTCGAGCTCAAGGGAAGCAAGGTGCACTCGCTCGTCAAGGCCGTCGTTGTTCTCGAAAGCCGCACCTCGCTGTGGAAGCGCATCGCCGCCATCGACAAGAAGGCTTCCGACTCTGCGCCGCTCCCTCTCCTTCCCGAGCTGCCCAACCCCTGGGACATGGACATCCACCACGAAGGCCTCGACATCAGCACTATCAAGACCAAGACGCGCAAGATCTTTGAGCTGCCTCGCTCCAACACGGTCGGCGCCTGCCGCAAGTGTTCCGGTAGCGGCAGCGAGACGTGCCGTACCTGCCGCGGTGAAGCTGGCAACGAGTGCTTCTGGTGCTCCGGCTCGGGTCTGCAGAAGGGTCGTCGTCGCTGCGGTCGATGCCAGGGCCAAGGTAAGCTGAGTTGCATGGCCTGCGAGGGTAAGAAGGCCTCGACGTGCCGTTCGTGCGACGGTGCGGGCTGCGGCGAGTACTGCGCCTTTGTCGAGGTCAAGATGCGTCGCATCGAGGTTCCTGCCGTTTCGGTCGCCGACCTGCTTGGCTCGTCGCGCACCTCGGCCGCCAACGCCCACCCGATGATGGTCAAGAACGCCTCGATCGACATGCTGTGGGAGCTGGTCAAGATGCTGGCCACCAAGGCGAGCGTCAAGGCCAAGCGCCCCTACTTGCCCGTGTCGGCGGTGTGCACGTGGGAGAAGAGCGTCAGCTACCTCGCCCAGGTCACCGCCATCCAGCAGGCCAAGTTCAAGGCCGGCTCCAAGCAGCCTTTCCGTCCCGAGGGCCTGCACCGTCATGTGGCGACCAAGACGCGATACTTCTCGCTCTCGACCGACCCGGCACTGCCGCACGCCGAGTTGACGCTCGACCAATTTGTCAAGCAGAACGTGCCCGAGAAGGCCGTCGTCGAGGTGGGCCCCGCGACGGGCGTGCACAACGTTTCGCGCCGTCTGTCGGTGATGCTCCTCGGCGACGCCAACGCGCCGTTCACGCCACAGCTCTCGTCGACCGCATCGTCGCCCAAGCAGTCGGGCGACTACTTTGGCGACTTTGCCGGTGCAGCGGGGACGGTGGTCTCGACGCCCGTCACGCCGCTGGCTGGCTCGTCGCCTGTCTTGTCGCCTACGCTCAGGCCCAGCAGCGTCCGCCCCATGAGCCCCATGCGCGCCCCTCCTGCTCAGTTCAACTCGGACGAGCTCAGGATCAAGATGCTCCGCCACTCAAAGAGTCTCTCTGGGGCCAACTTTTCCCGCCCCATCACTGCCCCCGGTATCCCCATTTGATTCTTCGCTGTCAATAGGTTTCACTGTGCATGCTTCGTCAGTTCTCCAATATACCTTCTTTGCTAGCATTCCACATCCTCGTTCTGAAGTCTGATGGTCCTGAGCATGCTCAGCTGAACGAGGTGCGCTCACTTTGCGAGGAACGTTAGCCTAATGAAAGCGTGTCAGTGGCTTGGGTGGTACGCTCGGCTAGTGCCTCGATGACCGAATTGGTTCTCCGACACTCAGCGCGCCATGTCTCTGGCTTCCCTCTTTTTGGCGAGACGAAACATAGGCCACCTAGAACCCGCATGCAGGAATTTTCTCACGCTTGTTTCGTGAATTTTCGTAAAATGTTAGACCATCGTTCTTCTTTGCCAGGACGACGGGGCTCCGCCGGATCTTGCAGACTCAGATCGGCTAGGCCAGGATCGGTCGATTGCACACGCTCACGGGCACAGATAGCTTCGATATGGTAGATTGCGACGCAATGCTGAGATGTGCTATGCAGTATGATTGCGTGGAGCTCACGAGCTGGCATGGAAAGTGACCTGGCCAGGCGGGTACTTTGTCAAGTTGGCATTGTCCGCCGAGAGGTAGGCAAAGCCGATTCCGTTCGGGTCCCACACGTACTGCGTGACGTCGTACTCGCGGTCGTAGTCGAGCTGGGTGTAGGCAGCGAGGACGCCGGGCTGGGACTTGTTCCCGAACGGCACGTAGACGATCTCGTTGCTGGTCGTGTCGAGCTTCCAGATGTCGCGAGGGTAGTCCGGGATGGAATAGGTGCAGGTGTCGGTCTGGAAGCCGTTGATCCATGCGGGCTCGACGGGCTCGTTATGAGTACTGTCGTCGTTGTAGGGATCGGTCATGGTGTAGCAGTTGAAGCCACTGTCAGTCGCGTCGGAGCCTGGACGGATGCGACCGTAAACGGTCGAGTCCGTAGAGTCGATGCCGACAGGGGAGTAATCGCAGCGCTCGAAGATGAACTGGTCCGAAGTGGAGCTGTCGGCCTCCCACTTGGCATTGAGCGGGCCATCGTATTGATTGGATGCAGAAGTGGTGTTGCTGAAGCGCATGGTACCGGTCTGTACCGAGTCGCAGTTGAGCGTGGGCTGCTGGGCAGGCGCGGTGACGGGCACGTTGTTCATCGGGATCGCCAGCGGCGTCGAGGGAGCGGTGAGCTCAGGGGTGTAGTCGACAAACAGCTTGCCCAGCCTACCGTCGATATCGGGCTTGCTGCGCTCGGCACGCAGGGAGTAAATGCCGTACTGACTGCCGTTGACATAATTTGGGTTCTCACCGTTGAACCAGCCGTTGGCGTTCTGCGAGGCTCCGTTGTCGTCAAAGTCCCACGCAAAGGACTGCGACGCCCACACGTCGCCGGCGCCGTTGAAGCGGCAGTCCTGGAAGCCGAACGTCGCGTTGGCCTGATCGAGATTGCTGACGGTGAGACACTGAGTGGGGTCGTTGGCATCGACGAGATAGCCCTTCGACTGCTTCTCGTACTTGCCAAATGACTGCTGCGAGCAGACGGCGTTGGCAAAGTTGATCGGGTTGCCGCCGATTACAACATCGCCGTCAGAGCCGCGTGCGAGGGGACTGCCGTTGAAGTTGATCGCACCCCATTGGTGGAGGTGGACCTCGCAGGAGGAGCCGGTAGGTGCAGCCCTGACAAATGCTGCCGAGCCCAACAGGGCGAAGAGGAGGAGAGCTCGAGGGAATGCCATCTTGTCTGTGTTTGCTTGTGGGGGAGTGTGTGACTAGCTGTGAGCGAGCGAAACTTGATGAGATGGGTTCAACGTCGTTTTCAAAGAGTGATACGTCCCCTATATACCTTTCGTCAGCTGTATGTTCGTATGGTAGGTCCACAAAGCGAAAGGCATGCTGCCCATCAGAGCCCCAAACCATGACTCCGCCGCGCCATCGACTTTGCGGCCGAAGCACATCCTCAACAGCTTCACCGGCGGCAGCGCGTCGTCGCCGCACGTTGGCGTGGACAGGCTTCCGCTGCGGAAGTCTGAGCTGTCGTCTTTGTCGAACGATACACGTTCGAATGATCGTCATCCGAGCGAGACTCGGAGTTGCGTGGCCGGCTAGCGTCGGCAAATTCGCCGGAGCGTTCGAACGTTCTAAATTGCCAAGGGCAAGTGGACAGGTTCGAACAGCAGCGTCATTGCGTCTATCGGAACGGAAGTGGTGGTACAGCGGGGACGGAGGGCCGTGAAGAGTATTGCACAGCCGAATCTTGAGCCGAGTACGAGGGGTAAGCGACGGCCAGGCACAGCCGGGATTCCGCGACCGCCGCTTCAAGCGAGTGTAAGCGCGAACTTTTGAAACGCGATTTTGGACAGCTTCTTCCAGTGGAAGCACCACGTCAGCCGGCGGGCAAGCGAGGTCGGACTGAGCTGAGCTGAGCTGTACCCGACGGCTACGTCGAACCGATGCCGCGCGATTCCGTCCTTGTAGCTTGACTCGGATTTGCACCTTCGGCTGCGACCGGCAAGCTCCGTGCTCAAATGGGAACAGGCAGCTGACTGGCTCACTCAAGGCGGATCAGTCGAACACACGCTGAAGGCACAGGTGAAGACGATGAATTGCGAATGCGATGCTAACATGCGAAGAGATGCGAGGAAGCGAGAACGGTGTGCGAGGACGTGGGAAGCCGAAGTCGATATGGAGCCGAATGCGCTGAGAATCGCAGGCATGCGCGCCACCATTGAGCTGACTCAACACTCTACTTGTAGATGTGCGACCCGACCACCGGGATGGACAGATAGGGCGAGGGACCCGACATCTGGGGCGTGAAGTCGACCAACAGCTTGCCCCAGCCCTGCTTGTCCGGCTTGCTCTTCTCGGCGTGCAGCCTGTAGATGCCGTGACCCGTCTGGTTGACGTAGTTCCAGTTCTCGCCGTTGAAGACACCTTTGGCGGGCATGCCGTCTTTGGTGTTGTAGTACCAAGCGAAGGCTTCGGAGGCCCACACGTCGCCTTCACCATTGAAGCGGCAGTCCTGAAGCGAAAACGTGGCGTTTTCCTGGTCAAGGTTGCTGACGGAAAGACACATGTTGGTGTCGTCGGCCGTGACGAGGTAGCCCTTGACCTCCTCGTAGGCGTTGTCCTTGCCGTACGTGTGTCGGTCGCAGAAAGCAAGGTGAAAGACGAGAGCGCGACCACCAATCACGACGTCGCCGTCGGGGCCAAGCGCAAGAGGGTGCTGCTTGAACGTGATAGCGGTCGACAGCTTCGTGTCCACGTAGCACGACGAGGGGAAGATTTGCGCCTGAACGAGGGCAAGCGAGCCGAACACAGCCGAGAGAAGGAGAGATCGAGCGAAGGTCATCTTGCTAATCGATTCAAGGTGAGAGATGGTGAGCTTGTGGATAGGGAGTGAAGAGACTGTTGTGAAGCGGATGGTGAGCATGATCCCTTCGACGTGTGTTGGTGCCTGTGATATATACCTTTTCAGAGCCTTGAATGTTCTTGCTCAGCACGAAAAGGAAGGTGGTCCTTGGTCTTCAAAAAGAGCAGACCGTTCATCGTTGTGCCAAGCAACGTGCAGCGACTCGCTGTATTCGCGGCGGCTCCAGCGGCACTCGTCATCTCTACACTCCACCTATCCTGTGCCTTGGCGTTCGGCGCTCGGGTCGCCACCATTTACGTTGCTCGCCAGCAACTAAACTCACTCGAGGTCATCTCGGCCAGAAGTTGCCGGTAGGCTTACGATGCATGTAAGCAACTCACATGTCATCCGCATTCGGAGCTCCGCGACGCTGGTGGGAGCTTGAGCAAGTACCCACAGCCCAGCTCATAAGCTCAAGCACCTCATCGTGCAGCTCACTGCAGGCTCGTGCACCGTAGAGGAGGAGGCTGCGTTTCGGCTAAGGGGCTGAAATATTGCACGTCTGGAGGAGCTCGGTGACTGCCCTAGTTGGAACTGATCGTTGCACGGAGATGCGTGACATGAGGCCCTTGACTAGCGGGACGGTCTGTGTACAGGATTACGGACAAGTGTGAGAGATTGTGAAATGTAGAACCCACCAGCGGGCTGTGTGTGGGTGGAGGTTGCTCGTGGAGCCGCTTCAGACGTATAGCTGTCAGCCAGCAGGCGTCCGGGGCGAGCAGTCGTGTAGAGGTGTAACTCATGGGTTTTTGAGCCCCCTGTCGATGCTCATTGTCCTGCAGGCCCTCGGGCCAGCGTCGGTACCTGAATCTCGTCAAAGCCGAGACCCGCGCTGTCTTCACCGGATTCTTCTGTCATCCCGTCCCCTTTGAGAGAGCCGTGGGAGGTGCTGGAATTAGCTCGTTGCTGACGTGACATCTCGATCGTGTCTGCATTGTCAGACGAGTAGCGTGGCGAGTTGTGGTTCCAGTCGCGATCGACATCCTCGGTGCGAGAGACGGTACCGACAGTGACACGGATGCCGTGGTTGTTAGCCTCGGTAGGATAGTGGTGCGATCGACTGAATGGCGCCGTCTTGCTGCCCCACATGATGCGTGTCGTGCGTCCGGGATGAGCTGCGCCGCTAGTAGCGGGCGAGGCCTTGAAGTTGGGATCGTGCAAGCCAGCAGGAACCGTAGCGTGTGTGACACGCATACCGACGTGATTGCTGGAGGGAGAGCTAGTCGAGTCCATGATCTCGTTGACCCTTTGAGTTTGCCTGCCTGCAACTGCCGAGGCTCTCGCGCCAATGTCTCTGAAGGCAGCGGTGGCCGCGATAGGTGGAATAGCATACATGACCGGGGCTCCCAGACCTTGGTAGGTCATCTCTTTGAAGCTGAACCACGCTACCACTAAGAAGATGTCCGAGACCAGCTGCAGCACGTAGAAGTGGAAGCCCTGACGGATGAGGAAGCTCGAGATGCCTTGTCCTTTCAAGCCGGGAATGTGTCGTTGGCCTTTGGAACGGCGCCAGACGGAAGCAAGACCACCGTCGAGGAGGCGGTGCAAGGTGAGGAGGAGTAGAGTGAGATCGAGACCCATGCTGAGACACTTGTAGATGAGGTTGGAGACGATCGTCTGGGTTTCGTGTCTTCTCGTATTGAATGCGCAGAAGCGGGTCGTAGGAATGTGATATCCAACACCCCAGAACGGCACCGAGACAGCAGAGGCTGCCAACAGCACGATGTAGTAGATCGTGAGGGGGACGACGATGGAACGTTTCCATGCGTAAAGCGCCATGGTCCTTTGGAGAAAGATGAGCATCACAGCGTCCAAGAGGAACATGGTGAGAGTGTCGAGCGCGAGTGCTACTGCTCCGCAGTCCTGGTCCTTGAGAGAAAGGTAAAAGATGAACATCAACGAGCATGTAGGCGGTAGTATACGGCAGAGGAGGTAGGCAAGGCGCGAAGCAAGCTTGGCCGGTTCGGTCCAGCCAGGCTTGCGGATCAGCTGGATATCGTACTGAATGTGATTGCACAGCTCCATGAGGACGGCGCCGAGGGAGATGCAGTACAGAAACAACAGGATGAGTGCCGATTTGCCATCGGCCGGAGGAAGCACGTTGAAAATGATCTCTGGAGCTGGGATGGCGACGGCTGGAACATCTACGCTGGGCACCAGGGAGGAAGCGACGGGAGACATGGCGATAGGCGAGCAGGGACGCCTCTGTAGACTGCCTCGAACTGCGGACGGCTGATGAGACAGATGAGGTCGACGATGAGGGGACGAGGAAGAAGGAAGGTGAGAAGGCGATGCGGTCCGAATCGCTCATGCGAGCTTTGGTTGCAACAGCTTATATGTGTCCTGACTGCCTGCGAGATGTGGGGCAAAACTCGCTACAGTGCTCTTTCCATTCCAGAGCATAGGCCGTGCTTGAGCAGCGACGCCGTGCTGATGGCCTGACAGCGATGCATCGGTCCACTCAAGCGAGGCAAAGACAGAACAGCATCGAAGGAGCCTCAATTGCCATCATAGGTCCCTTTGTCCGGTCCGACAAGTCTCGTATTCCCAAGTGACAGCTGTCAGGACCCCAATTCTGGAAAGCTCTCGGACTTTGAACAGTCACCCTAATTCTCATCTCGCTAGAGGATCTCCAATCAGCTCAAGGGACAGCATCGATCACGAGTTCAATTTTTTCAGGCAGAACATCGCTCATCTAGCTACAATGATGACAGCCTCAGAGTCTGTGAGTCTGCAATGGCTGAGATGCGACAAGCGAGACCGGAACAATGACAGCCTGAGGAATTTGCGGCGTTTCTTGCGCGTTCACCATTGTCTCAATGCAATTGTTCTCGTTGAGCAGGTCCTGACACGTAAGACGACGCTTTTGATACCGCATGGTGTATATGTACTGTATGTACTGCTTGATGAGGACCCGCTGCAGAGCTGACAGGGCATGAAAAGAGTGCACGGAAGCTCATCAAAGACCATGACCGGCTGCAAGTGGCGCGATGCAGAGCGTAACGATCGTCTCACACCCTTTCAATTTTCGCGGCGGACATCCCTTTGATCGTTCACACGTTCAGGCCTTAGACTTGTTCAATGATCGTTCCCTGGAGAGCATATGTCTCATGTGAGGAGAGCAGCCTTCCTCCAACATCGAGAGGGCAGCTTGGCCTTGTTCTGGTGACGGCTCGCTCATGTGCCGATCATAGGTGGCCCATCTCCGTACTCTCACGAGGTCCGAGCCCACAATGGTACTCACGTCCTGGAAAGGGGGACAAAGGTCAGGAAGGACGGCGATTGAAAATCCGGTCTGGACAGCGACCTCAATCGGGAAACCGGCACGACCGGCTGCTGGTCGCCACGCCGCTTGATGCACGTCAGCTTGGTCGCACGCAAGACAAAACTCAATGACACTTCAGACAATGTTGTCGCTGGATGGCCTGCAGACCCCACCCGGGGCCAAAGCCGGACAAAGTCTTCATTCTCCTTCGCCTGTGACCTTATTGTCTGCTTGCCCGAATCTGCAACCGATCATTCTGCGCTGCATGGACACATTCCAATCGAAAATCTTGGTGTGGGAGCATTTGCTAGCCGTGTGTCGGTGCCGATCTCTAATCCTGTGTCATCGAGTCCATCAAAGCTTCCACTCCCTCTGAATGGCCTCGATCACGGCCTGCTCCACGTTGTCCACCAATATGGTCGGCTTGTGATTTGGTGGGCCGTTGTGATCCTTGTACACGCCGGTCCTCACGAGCGCTGAGGACCAGCCGAAATCAACTGCGCCCTTGATATCGCTCTCGGTATTGTCGCCGACCATCCAGACGGACGGACCTACTGCCTTGGCTGCCTCCGCCGTCTCGGCCCCAGACATGCTGATGAGATGTTGACGCAGCAGCTCGTTCGCGTAGTCGTACGTGATGCGGTGCGGCTTGCCGAACACCACCGACTCCATATCGCGTCCTGTGGTGTGCTTGTACACGTTCTCGATGGCGAGGCGAAACGCGCCTTGGCCGAAGCGTACCACGCTATGGTCGTTGCCCCATAGCAGATCGCCATGCGAGAAGTAGATGGGGATCTGCTTGTCCGGAAGCGGCTCCGTTGGTGGATGCTCGGTGCCAAACACGCCGTTGTGCGAGCGCAGAATGTCGATGATGATCTGCGTATCCCGGCCCCACTCCCTGCTGTCGTGGAAGACGAGAATGGCGGCGAACCGAATCTTGGAGAAGTCTTCGCGACGGACGTATGGCAGCTGGTCGGGGTGTACGGTGGAGAATGGCCAGGCGGCCGGCGCGTGTGCATGGAGATCTAGCGCGGTGTATACGTTCTGGAACCCGTAGCTCTGCATCACTTCTCGAGCTGCGTTGGGCGGCGTCTCTGGCCCTCCGATCATCAGAATCGGTTTGTCACCGTACAGAGGTACGAGCGACTTCATGACGGTGTGCGCCTGAATGACTTGATCTTGTGTGACGGGCACCTCGAGCTCCCTCGCGAGATCCTTGGCGCGCGCCGACTCGTGCTTGCCTCCACCATTGGTGATGAAGATGTATGGTATCTTTTGCTTTCGCGGATTGTTGCCTTCGAGAATCTGAAGTGCTCGCTTGGCTTCAGGAAGGACATTTGGTCCCGCTTTGAGCACGCCATCGATGTCGAACGCGAAAGCTAGTGGTTTCTGTAGGTTGTCGGACAGGCGCGAGACGGAGGACGATAGGAAGCGTGGCTGCAATGACGACGACGACGCAGCAGCAGATAGGCCGCGAAGGCAGCTCGTCGAAGCTCTGCTTAAGGAAGATCTCAACATGGCGATCGGATATGCGAGTGCGGTCGATGTGGGGATGGCGGAGCAAGAGACGATGGTGTTGGCTCGTACAAGAAGATCTGCGAAAAAGATAAAGCTCTTCGCTTAGTCGGACCGAGCATCCGTGCGCTGTGTGGAGGCGGCGGGCATTTTTCGTGCTTGTTAGGGCGAAGCAAGCTCTGGCCGAGCATTTGCATATTTTCACGGGCTGTCACGCCGAAGTTACCGAGCTGTCCGACCGCTGTTTGTGCGATGGTGTCAAGGCAAGCACAAGCTCGGCTTTCTCGAGTCAAGGTCAGAGCCGGAACAATAGCCGGCTCAACCCTTCAAGGTTTCGACCATCGAGTCCATCTCTTGAACCTTGCCGACTCTCCACCACCTGGTCATTATCCGAAGCACTCGTTCTTGCATGCTGGCTACGGTCTCAGCATCACCGCTGCTCAGTCTCATCGCCGCTTCAACTCGTCGTGCGGTGCCCTCTGCTTCTCTCCGCCTGCAGATATCACGCCCTCTCGCCGGCTTTCTGACCGTCAAAGCCCAAGCCTCCCGTCCGAACATCCTCGCTCGCCCGGCATCGACAGCGATCATGCCACCTACGAAGTCGCAAAAGTCAGGCAAGGCCTCCAAAGCAGCCAAGGCGATCCTGCATCCCAAATCGACGCTCGCTGCGGTCAAAGCGAACCACGCCCAAGCAGCCGATTCCACGTCTACATCCGCTTCCGACGCGGCACCTCGCTCGCGATCGCCAGCGACGTCGATCAAGCGGGCCTCATCAAACGCAAGCCTCTCGTCCAACACCGCCAAGCCGCTGCCTGCTGCCCCAACCTCCGCTGCTCCCGCTGCCAGCGCCTCTGCAGCGCCGCTGCCGTCGGTGCTGGCTCCAGCGATCAACAATGACATTCTGAGCATGAAGAAGCAGCTGGATCAGCCCAAGGTCGTGCTGCCTGCATCTCTGCCGCCTGCAATCGCAGTTCAGTCCGGTGGGTCGACGTTTGTTGTTCCTGCACCTGCTCCGGTTGCTGACACTGCTGCCGGAGCTGGTGACGCATCGCCGTACACCATCGACGATAGCGCTGCCACCTCGACCGGCGAGCAAACTCACGACGACGCCCCTTCGACCGTAGACTCGACCCCTGTGACGCTCGGCTCGGAGGCCGTCTCCGTGCCTACCTCCTTCGAGACCGTCTCCACCAACTCGCAGGTTAAGAAGGGCAACGAGGAGTTTGCCGCGGAAGTAGCTGCGGTACTTGCTGAATCGCAGCCTGCACCCGTCGCTGAGCCGCTCGCGGATGCTGTTGCTGCACCGACCCCCGTCACTGCAGCCATCGTCGACAAAGCTTCGACGTTCGTCCCCTCCGCCGGCTCCCCTGCCCAACCTCCCGCAGACCCGCTCTCCACTACCGCTCCCTCCCTCACCCGCTCCATCAGCACCACCGCCGCGGCCGCCGCCAAAGTAGCCACCTTCACCCCACCCGAACTCACCCGGTTGCAACACAACACCTTCGTCTCGCGCCCCACGGACGCCTCTCGCACACCCATTCGCACCCTCGACCCCTCGGTTCTGCCCACCCCACTGCGTCCCATCGACCGCTCCAACGGGCTGAAACGCGCCCCCTCGCACGTGCTCATCTTCGGCTGGATGGACGCTCCCATTCGCCTCGTCGCCAAATACGCTCAACCTTACACGGTGCTCTTCCCCAACGCGACGGTGCTCATCCAGCTGTCCGATGGAAAAAGCTACCTGGCACGCGAGCAGGTGCGCCGGGAGCAGATGCAGAGGGTCATTTCCGAGATCACCACGCCTCTTCCTCGACAGGAAAAGGATGTGGGGGATTCGACGGTGACTCTGATCGATCATGCCGAGGCGACTGGTGTGGAGGAGGGTGGGTTTGTCATTCATAGCTTTAGCGATGGCGGTGCGGGCAATCTGGCGATTTTTCTGGATGAGATGGCGAGGCGTAAAGGGACAACACCGAGAGTGCACTCGTTGATCATGGACTCGAGTCCTGGCAAGTCGAACCCGAGGACCGGATCGTATGCGTTCACCATGCATCTGGCGAATCGACCGAGGGTCAGGGCGGTGGTGCAGTTCCTGGTGTTCATCAGTCTGTATCTCATGAAGATATGGGCCAAGGTGACGGGTCAACCCGCGAGGGGAGAGCTGATGCGGAAGAGGTTGAACTCGTTGAGGAGTTGGAGCTGGGTTACTGCCTCCCACGCAGGGTCGCAGAGGAAGGAGGAGGCGGGAGACTTCCCACCGAGGATGTACATGTATACCAAAGCGGACAAGCTGATTCCGTGGCAGTTTGTCGAGGAGCACGCGAGGCATCTGGCCGACGTGCGGAAGACCCAGCCGGCGCTGGTGCAGATGGAGAAGGAGGGGCAGAGGGAGAGGGTGCTCAGCGCGGTCAAAGATGGTGCCGAGGGGGCAGGGGCGGAGTACAAGGTGGAGCTGAGGAGGTGGGATACGCCGGCGCACTGCAGCATCGGCAGAGCCGACTTTGAGGGCTATTGGGCGGGTGTCATGGACTTCCTTCTCAACGTGCTCAGAAGAGAGTAGCTGCTTCACCTTCGTATGCTCAAAATATAGAATTCAGGACCACCAGACGATGTGTGTGCGATGTGACGTGCGATGTGACGTGCGATTGCTGTGACTAGATCTTCCCCCTAATGCTGCCACCAACGGCATACCACTTGGAAGCGCCGATGCTAACCGTGCCAATCAGCACCATCGCACCTGAATACCCGACTGCTCCCCACCAATTTGGATTCCTCACATCGCCCAAGATAGCGCCTGCAATCGGCAGACCGAACAGCCCGCCGAACGACATGAGGAAGAACATCATGCCGTTCCTCGTGCCAACGGTGCTGGTGCTGCCGAGCTGCGAGCTACACGCCGGGATGAGCGAGACGTAGCAGCCCGAGGTGAAGCCGTATAAGATGGAAAAGACCACCAGCCCGCCGAGGTTGGTGCAAAGTGGGAAGATGAACAGCAGAATGCTGGACGCGGCTAGGTGCGGTAGGACTGTGTTGATCCGACCCACTTTGTCCGCTACCAAACCAGGTAGGATCCGGCCGAACGAGGAGGCGGCATTGAGGATGGGCAAGTAATAGCCGTTGGCTGGGACGCGGTTGGACGATGACCACACGTCCATGTAAGACAGCGGAAAGTAGAGGCCGAACATGATGAACGACGCGCCAATGACGAAGAACGTGTATGCTGGGTTGCGAAACGCCGAGAACTCGGTCCACGAGACCTGCTTCCAGCCGCCTTTGGACTTGTCGGTGACGTCGATCGAGGGCGGTAGCCGGGTGGAGAGCGAGAACCACGCTATTGTGACAGCAACCAGGGCAAAGAAGCCGACGAACCGCATCGTCCAGGCGTATCCGATCTCGTTGATCAGCCTGGTGACCGCAATTGGAAAGACGATTCCACCGGTGGACGAGCCGGATGCTACGATGCCCAACGCCAACCCGCGGCGACGGTTGAAGTAGTGCGCGGGGCAATTGATGGCCAGGTTGAACACGAGTCCGAAACCCAGCCCAAGCCCGACACCCTGAGCGAGGAAGAGCTGGTAGTAATCGGTGCACAGACTGACCATCATCTGCGAGAAGACAAGAAGTGCGCAGCCTGTTGCGAAGAGTGGTCGGAAGAAGCCAAGATCGAAGAGTCGACCCGCAAAGATGGCGGGAGCGAACATGAGAAAGTACTGGAACGCGCCAATCCACGAGATCTGACTCGGCGACTTGTGCGAGAGCGTGGTGCGCTGGTAGTAGTCCTGGAAGATGCCGTAGGCGTTGAGGTAGCCGAAGGTGATAAAGGTGCACCACCAGCCACCGAAGACGCAGAGCCACGCTTTGAAACCGCCTTCGGGGAAGAAGATCTGTGCGTCGTCGCCCTGCGCTTTCAAGACGGCCTCGCCGAGCTCCTGTTCTGTCTTGAAGGACATGCCTGCTTGAGAAGTGGTGGCTTCGACGTCAGTGTCGTCGTCATGATGCGACGGTGTGACGACGCTCTTTTCATTGCTGGGGGAAAGCACCTCCTGATGTATCGAAGCCTGCGTCTCCTCGGGGTTTGATGTTGAAGGCAGTGGCTGTGCTGTCATCGAGCTGGTGTGTGATGGTGCCGGCATGATGAAAAATGGACTGCTTAGGTGGATGATGTGGGATAAGCGTGATCTAGGATGCTTGTTGCCATGAGAAGGAAGCCGTCATGTGTCAATGCGCTGTTTGTGCGTGGGAGCCGAGGATCGAGCGATTGCTTCGGGGTGCTACGGTGTGCTGAGATAGACTCGAGAGCGAGCTCGACGTGCATGTGAAGGTTGGACAGTAGAGGCTCGAAATGGTGCAGCGTCGGATTGCAAGCCGATTATCGACGGAGGTCGGTCACTGTTTGGTGAGGGTGGGTCGTTGCGCAAGGATGAAAGGGGAGCGTTGTTGCTGCAAGGAGATGGTGTGAATGAAGGTGCGCGGCTCGCCAGATGCGTGATGAGTGAGGTTGATGATGTGTGTAACGTGATTTGGGGAAAGGAGCAGCAGCCCCCACGGCCCCTTCGGCATTGACGGCAGCTGTGTATGTAGCCGTGCTATGAGCCGAAATGAGAGCGGCGTGGGCCGAGCAATCAGCTGAGAACAAAAGCGTCTTCGTATCGTCGCAGCAACCTCTTCCGACGGACGGACATGGCCGCTGGCTTGCCCAAATCACATTTGCCGCGTTTGTTTAGCCGGTTTGATCCCCGCGCTGCCAGAAGACTGAACCCGTGCTGCATCGTGTGCTCTCTCCCACCACGCCACCAACCCGCGGAAAGGGCCTGTCCGGAAAATAGTTTCAACGCGCTTTGCAGCAACAAACTCAGCTTCCCGCAAACAACGGCTCAAATAGAAAGCCGGCGCCGAGTTTTCGATATTTGTGAGATCGATGACTCAATACAATCCGTTGTAAAATCCCAGAGCATCTCCGTGTTCCGCTTCAATTCGAGAAGAATCTCTCCTCGATTCACAAGACCCTTTGCTTGCTCTCGCTCTCCACCACTCGGTCACTCTCCCAGCTCGACACGCTTCCCAAACGAGAGCACGGCCGACATCGACCATGTCGCGCCCATCCGAGCTCGACCGCAACCAGGATGCCACCTGCTACATCGGCAACATCGACGACCGCGCTACCGACGCCATCGTCTGGGAGCTCATGATCCAAGCCGGTCCGCTCGTCAACCTCCACCTCCCCAAAGACCGCATCACTCAGTCGCATCAGGGCTATGCATTTGCTGAATTTCAAACCGAACAGGATGCCGACTACGCGTGCAAGGTCATGAACGGTCTCAAGCTGTACGGCAAGCCCATCCGCGTCAACAAAGCCTCGCAGGATCGCAAGGCCATCGACATTGGCGCCAACTTGTTCGTCGGCAGTCTCGACGCTGCAGTGGACGAGCGGCTGCTGTACGAGACCTTCTCTGCGTTTGGCGGTATCATCGGTCTGCCCAAAGTAGCGAGGGATCCAGCGAGCGGAGAGCCAAAGGGGTTTGCTTTCGTCTCGTTCGACAGCTTCGAAGCCGCAGATGCAGCGATTGAGGCGCTCAACGGTCAATTTCTGCTCAATAAGAACATCACCGTTGACTACGCGATCAAGAAGGACAGCAAGAACGGCGAGAGGCATGGTACCGCGGCGGAGAGGCTGCTCGCTGCTCAGGCACGAAAGAACAACGCGTTGCCTGCTCAGCCGTATCAGTACGCGCAACCGCCGGTGGGAGCACCAATACCGCCCAATGGAAGCGCTGCGACTGGGTGGAATGCGTATGGGCAACAGCCACAGCAGCCACCAGCGTATCCGCAAGGTCCACCGCAGCAACCACCTCATCTGGCGCCAGCATACCCACAGAACCCTCCTGCCATTCATATGAATCCTGGCGCATCGCCCGCCTACCCGCCATACCAATAGTTGTCTTTTCGTCATCTGTATTTGTACCCGCTCGAGCAATCATTCTTCCCTTCTCGCACACAATCTGAAGTCCGCACGATCCGCTGAGACACTTGAGTCGTTCGATGGGCTGAGATTGATTTTCGTGAACCTGCAGATTCTAGTCGTATACTGTGGAGCGCAATGGTCAAAGCGGCTGTCAGTCCCAAGCTCTCCTCGCTTCTCCGCAACGTCGTTTCGAAGATAAAGGCACTTACCATGCACGATACCGAACCAGAAGGTCCACCAGAGGATAAAGCTGAACGCGTTCTCCGTCAGACCGTTGATCAAGAACGAGGCGACATCGTTCGTTGAGAAGCTTCCAGATCTTGGGTCGATGGTCAACGCCTTGGTGCTGATCTGCGACTTGACATTGCTATTCTTTGCCGGTGTCGGGGCGCTTGTTTGGGCGGTAAGGGGCTTGAGAGGTGGCGAAGGGGTGATGAAGTACTTGCTCGGCGTGCCGTTTGCGTTGATTGCAAGCACAATCACGTTGGTCAACAGCACAGAGACGACGTAGAAGCCAAAGCCGAGCCAGTTGGTCATTCCCAGCACTCCCGCTACTCCTCCCGCTACGGACAGCGCTGTCGATCGAACACTGTTGCGTACCACGAGAAACGGTAAGTGGTCAGTATCCAAGCGCTGAATCGAAGGCGAGGTCAACGACTTACTGTTCCACCTGCTTGGCGTTGTGAGCGACGTTCTCGGGGTAGTACGACTGAGCACGCAGCTGCAGCTCTTGCTCTTGTATCAACGCTGCTGCCGACATTGCGTTCGATTGTGTGACTTGCTGGCGGTAGATGGAGGGAGGTTGGGTGTGTCGAGGTGTTGAAGTGTTGGTGTCCTCTCGAAATGCTTCTCAACGCACAGACGCGCTTCCCTCGTTTCATTTTCTCGCACGATAATTTTCACAGCACGCCGCTCCCTCATAGAAGTACAGGTTTGCTGATGCTGATGATGATACAGATTGCCCGCACCGCCTCTCTATGGCGCAGCAGCCGACTTGGCAGCACTGTGTACAGAAACGTACTGACGGACAGGCTTGACTCGCTGCTGATCTGCGACAGCAGAGTGCAAGCTTCCACGCTGGCTCAAAGTCAACGAGGCGGATCGGGCGGCGCTCTTCAGCGAGCCGTTGGAGGCCGCAGATCGAATCAAACCGGCTTTGACAGCGGTGGTGCCGGAGTACGAACGTGGCCGGTCGCCGCTGCTATCCGAATGCGAATGAATCTTAGCAGGGTGTGCTCTTGGTGTCGCAGCGCCAGCGCTGGCTAGTCTCTGCTTGGGCTTCATTCCCACAGCAAGCCCCGAGTGACCGAAGCGACCACTGACTCGTTCGGTCGAGGTGACCATCTGGTCCGCAGACGCGTTACGGGACTCGGACGAAACGGAAGAGGTCTTGCGACGAAGTGTGTCCTTTGCTGTACTTCCGTTGCTGAGAGTGCTCAAAGTGCGAGATGCGAGACTGTCCGTCAACGGTGATGCCCGCGTTTCGGTTGAAGAATAGGAAGGCCAGATGGACGATTGGGGCACTATAGGCGTGTCAACCTGTCGGCGCTCCTCGTCTGATGTGCAAAGCTGGCCCAAAGCTACCTCGAGCTCGGCAAGTTCTCTGAGATCTGCGCTGCTCGTCACACGCGACTCGTCGTCAGACGTGTCATTGTCTGCTTCCTCGCGAGTCAAGGAACCTGCCATGCTGAAAGCGGCATAGGATCCGGCCCTTTCCTGCTCTGCACTGTGCCGAAGCTCGAACGAGCCGGCCGTAAGCACGCCACTAGTTGTTTCCCCCGCTTCAGCCTCGTCCTTGGAGCGTCTATCCGACGCCCGCTGGGCTGGTGATTGTCGTAGCGCTGCTGCCTCGTGCAATTTGCGAATGTCGCTCAGGTTGCCAGTGCTGCCGATCATGCCGCGAGCCGAGGCAGGTGTGTTGCTGTTGGAGCGATGTGGTGTAGCAGCGGGTATCAAGTCGCTTGGATCCGGTTTGCGCATCTTTGTGTTGAGCTTGGGGAGAGCGTAGTTGACGCTCTTGCGCGTTCGCCTGGTTCGGCCAGTCTGCGACTCGAGATCGGCGTCTGCTGCGAAATTCGACGGCGTCGCATCGATCGCAGCGGTGAAAAGTCGTGCTGGGGTAGGCATGGGGTCCTCGGACTCGTTGCTGGCGCTTTTGCGTTTACGCAGGCTTGGACTGCGTGCTCCTGAACGTCTACTGCCGAGGGACAGCCCATGCTGGTCGGGATGCGCTTCCGAAGCGGGAGTGCGCTTCTTTCGTGGTGTGGTATCAGTGAGGGTGGCATGCTCGTAGAGATGCAGCCCGAGCCCTATTTGGTCATGGAACGAGGATGGAGACACAGCGTTGGTGATGTCGGCAAAGGCTCTGGTGGGCTGGCGATGTGGGCTGTGATTAGAAGCATAGTCGCTTCCTCGATACACCAAGACACCATCCATGTTTTCGGAATTGGTCTCCGATGGCAGATAGGGATCCGAACTAGGTGCTGGCGTGCAACAAGTTGAGTCAGCCCTCGAGGACTGGTGTTGATTGAAGTCGTGCGGAGCGATCAACCCGCTCTGTCTGCGACTCGACTTGCGCCCTGATCTGCGGAGCATCTGGCTACTTTGCATCTGAGCTGCGTAGTAGTCGCCAGAGGTGCTGCCGTGATGCGGATTTACTGGAGCAGGTCCGTTGGGCCAGTCAATTGCGTCTGAGAGAGGCCATTGATGAGACGTCTCGGCCGCGATACCAGCCTCGAGCGCCATTGGAAGCTTAGGGCTGCCCATGGGAGAAGGTGGTTGAGCCATGTCGAGAAGAGTGGCAGCGCCATCAGTACTTGCGTGGGAGCCTATGCCGGAAGGGAAGGTCGACTGTTGAGCAATAAAAGCTTCGAAGTGCGGTTCCCCTACGTTCAGATGTGCGTCAGCCGTTGTTGCGGACACGGTGTTGTGAAGGATGGTTGGATGATGCAACTTGTCGTCTGAGCGGAAGCTTTCCTCGGTCAGGCTGTGGAGCTGACCGTATGGAGCCTGAGCCACGGATTTGTATAGACTGCTTTGAGGCAGCGGATGTTCCACGACGATCCTCTTGGATTCGGGAAGAGGCGGAGACTCGTCCAGCTTGAGCATTTCGAGAAAAGTGGGGGCGAGACCCGTGGTCTGAGCAAGCGTCCTGCCGATCGCCATCCAGCCAGCGCGAACCGAGCTCATAGCTTTGCGCAGCTGCTCGACCTCAAGCGTGAGTGCGAGGGTTTGGACCTCCTTGTCGACCTTTTCTTGCTCGAGCGTTTGAATGCGAGATTCGAGCTCTCGCTGGCGCTGTGCGTACTGGGCGTTTGACTTGATGATCTCGCGATTCTGAGATATGTGCTTGCGTTTGAATTGCTCAAAGTTGTCGAGGATGGAGTCGATATTGGGCAAGAGCATGGTGGCGGAGCGGCTGGAAGAAAGGGAGTAGGTTGTGCCATTGTTTGCGACTGGACCTGGCAGGCTGGCGCTGAGCCGTACCTCGCGACGAGTAGCTGGTGGCATGTTGGCGACCTCTTGACGAGCGCCACAAGCTGGCTTGAGTTGTCCAGCCTGCACCGAAGGCCATGCGACAGCCGATCAAAGTACCGCCCTGATGATAGTGTCGAGGACTGGAAGCTGATACATTGGCGAGACAGACGAGTACGGTGATCAGATTGAGCATCCAAACATGGTGGAGAGGCTCCACCTCCGAGCCAAGTGATGTGGAGGACGAGTGGAAGAGGTCGGCCAGGAGCTGAAGACGTAGAACGGTTCTAGGTGTCGGCTCGAGAAGGAAGATGGGTATCTGCGCGTTGACGGTCGGATAAGATAGTGTACCGATGATGACCGCGTCTTGTGAGCGTGTGAGTCGACGGGTGAATGCAGTGGGAAGTCTTGTTCTACGAGGGTCAAGTTGACGAAGTGTCGAGGATGAAGCGCAGCTGAGAGCAATTTGACAAAAAGTGTTGGTCTTTGCTTTCGGCTAAGCGGGGGGAAAAAGAGAGAACAACACTCTGCGCTGCTCTGCTTGCGCTCACCTCGCTTTCTTCTGGACCACACCTTGCAGATGAAATGCGCATAGAAGATGCTCATCCTGACGCAACAGCGCTGAGTGTGACAGATGACTATGTTCCTCGGGTGCGCACAGCCATTGCCAATTGTGACGATAGCGAAGGGATGCTGTCGTAAGATCACAATTCTTAACTTTCAGCTGGTCACACTCTTGCTCAAGCTCAGAATTGGCGGCGAGATCAGATGGATGACACACAGGCAAATTACGGAAGCGGATCTTGCGCACTGTGACTTGGTTCATGAGACCATCTTGGCAGGCCCATTCAGAGCCTGCCGGGATTGCCGAGCGCGAAGATTGAAGGCAGCAGGCGCACCGCCCATCTTCCGAAGCTTTGTCACCCTCTCCCTCTCTCGTGTCACATCGACAAGCTCAAGATGGCGGCAAGTTCGTCCAATGTCACATCAAACAGAGTCTCTTGACTGCTGATTCAATAGCGTTGTACTGTTCCGAAGACAAGGTGGTTGAGATGAAAGGACAGCTACGCCCTCTGAGTGCTCTTTCAAAAAGAGGCAGCGTACCGCGTTCCGTGCCCGCTTCAGTCACGTGCCTTGAGCCCTTTTTTTTCGAGTGGGACCCTGAGCTGCAGCCTCTTGCCCTCAACGCGACGGTCACCTTTGGCTGGCTGAGACGCGCACTGAGACCGGATTTCGGTTCTTCCTGCTCACAGCTCAGCCGCTTCTCGAGGGTGGAGGACTTCTCCAACGCCTCAGCCACCTTTGACCCTCCTCCGCGAGCCTTGATCACGCTTTGCTACACTCTACCACTCAACACGCCTATGCCTATCTTCGCATCCACATAGCCTTGCTTGGCCATCCGGGCTGCCCATATCCAACGCTCTGCTGCTATCAGAACTCCCTCGACACTTGCAGCCATGAGTGCATCCAGAGAGAGCAGCGAGTTTGTCGACCCAGCACCCCGGCCGCCTCGCGCTGATCGGTCGGCCGAAGCCTCCACATCTCGAGTCACACTCACCGACTCGGCTACCACCATGGACAGGCCACGCATAGAGCTGCTGAATGGCAATGACGACGACGGCGCTGATGCATCAGCAAGTACAACTCAAGCGCAAATCAACGGCGACGCATCGGCCAACGATGGTCGGAAGCCAGCGTCTGGCAAAAGTACTCCCTCGCGCAATGCTTCACCATCCAGCGCCAAGATCTTCCGCAAGAGCACCGATCCCAGTGTGCCGCTCCGAATCTATCTTACCACCGAGCTGCCACACACAATGATGCGGAAGCTCACCATCGACATTCGCTCTCATGGTGGCGCCGTAGCAACCGCCTTCGCCAAATCCGACTTGATCGTCGTCGACCCAGCACATGTCACTTCCAAGAAACACCTTCGAGATGCTAGTCAGATGGGTGAACCTATTCCCGTCGTTGGCATGGACTACATCCGCGACAGCGTCTCACAAGGGCTACAACTCAACATCGACGACCCAAAGTATAGGTTCACCGGTAAAGACCTGCACGTCGCAGCAGGCACGGCTCGCTCCAAGAACGGTCGCAACGCTTTCACCGAGAGCGACCGCCAAGCCATCATCGACTACTTCATCGACAAGCCCCAAGAGACGTGGAGCTTGAACACGGCTGCACGTCAGCTAGCAGCGCAGATTCCGACGCACAGCCATGCCAGCTTTCAATCCTATCTTCAGGCCAATTTCGAGACCGGCTGGAATCTCAAGGAAAAGATCCTCGCTGCACGTCGCGCTGCCATCGAGGCAGAGCCCTCCGAGCTTCAGGCACGCATCTTCCGATCCCAGTACACAGCCTCGCCTAGCCTCGCCGAACAGTCTGCTCCCTCAGACGGCTGGCCTCGCGTCTCGCCACCAGCCGACGCGGAGAACGAAGAAGCCGATGTGTCTGTGCCCGAGGCTCCTGCGTCCAGGTCTGCGGTCGAGGCATCCAGTCAGGCCGAGGACGACGAAGAAGAGCTTCAAGTCCGACACCCAGAGCCCGGCTCAGCACTCGACAACGTAGAGCGAAGCCCCACCAAAGTCAAGCAGACAGTCGAGTATCCCTCGTCGGAGCAATCTTCGCTCGGCACGAGCCCGCCGCCATCACTGCCTCCAGGGCAAAGATTGCCAGGCACGCAGGCGTACCGATCTACTCCTCCAGTAGACGAAGAATCCGATCCGGAGCACTTCTCTCCTCGCATCTTGAGCGAGCTGCAACGCGAAGAAGCATCCCGACAGCAGCCATCGCAGAACGGCAAGCAGAAAGGTCGCCGCAGAAGGCACTCGAGCGAGTCTTCCGACGACTCCGACTTGGACCAGCCCGAAGCGGACAACGACGAGGACCTCCTCGCCACAGGCTCTGCGCCAAATCAAGCCGCTCAACAGAAGGAAGTCGCAGCAGAGAACTTTGATGAGGCAGAGTGGAACGGCTCAAGACGCCACGACCTCAAGGCCGCTCGACAAAAAGTGCTAGAAGAGATGGGCCAAAATGAGACGCCCATCGAGTACAGGCGGATCAGGTTCACAGCCAATGAAAAGGAAGCGCTTCCCCAGAAGCTCTTCGAGCACGTCCTGGCGCAAGATCCACAATTACCATCCTCGACGGTGGACTTTCTATTGGCAAAGCCAGACGATGCCTTTTGGAATCGTCTTGCTGCTGAACATCCAACTCATTCAGCGGCCTCATGGCGCAGCCACTACCTGAAGAACAGACAGATCTACATCGACGCCATCGCGGTTCACATTCGAGAACACACTAAAGGCGATCACGAAAGCGAAGAGGAAAGCCAGGAAGAAGGCAACGGCAGTAGCTCGGACCGAGAAGATGCCCAGCCCCACAGTGCCCAACAAGATGAGCGGCTGCAAACGTCTGACCAGGCAGGTCCGTCGACCCTGGCCGCAGGGGCAGCAGACACGCATTCCCAGCAGCGTGTGGTGACGTATGACGGCTCGCACATTTCGGATGATATCAGCATCCCTGCGGACGGTATCGTCGTCATGATCCCATTGGCTCCAAGTCAGCGAGCATCACGAACGCCCAAGACACCGGTACAGGCAGCTGACGCGGAAGAAGACGAGGAGGCTGTGGTGGGCGAAGAGGACGCGGCGGTGCGGGAAGCGGAGAACGATGTGCAGGAAGCGGTGCAGGATCAGGTGCAAGAAGAGCAGGAGGGGATGGAGGACGATGAGGACGAATGGCCAGAGGTACCACCACCGCCTCCCATCGAAGACGAAGAAGACGATGCGATGCAGGTCGAAGCCGAGACAGATGCCATTCCGACCAGTCCGGCACTCGGAGGTGAGGATCAGGAGGAGGATGCTTTCGAGCCGATCGAGTCTGAAGTCGACGTATCGAGTGCAGACGACGAAAGTGATGCCTCGGCTGCATCGGAGGAACCTGCAGACGGAGAACGCGACCGTTCGCTCTCGAAAGCAGCGTCACCAGAGATAGCAACTCCGACACGCCCTGCACAGACCCGCACAGCCGAGGCGGTCGAGGCTGGAACACCTGTGCTTGCTCAACACCGCGCTGCAACCTTCTACGACTTCACGATGGACAGTGACGAAGAAGACCGCATTCGCAAGGCACGCTCCCGTCCTTCGCTGCCGAACCCGGTGTCTCATCAGCGCGATCCCTCGCCTCGACTTCGAAGGTCACCCATCACCAGTCAGCGAGTCACCAGTCACTTTGCCACGCCTCGAAGGAGCCCAGGCGTGGCGGCAGCTCGTCGTGTTCAACTTTCGATCCGGCAACAAGAGGACGATCGAGCTCAACGCACCAGAGAATGGGCACGAAGCGTCTCTGCAGAGTCATCGTCCGCCTCGCCTGAACGCGTTGCTGAGGCAGAGCCGGTTGCAGTGACCGAATCGACGCGCTCTCGCGCCAGTCGCATCGATCATGCACCTATGCTTGGAGCCGCTCGCACAGCTGAGCTGACACCGACACGTCGGCCAGACCGACCGCAGCAAACGTCAATGCTTTCAGCAGGACGCAGTCCAGCCGCGCTCGCCTCCGAAAGCCCTCGGTCAGTGGCGCTTCGAACAGACCAAGTGGCGCGAAGGGTACCCCGACCTGGTATCGACGCCGCACGCCAGCAGTATCGTGCAGAGGTTGACCGCTTCCGTAACGACTTTGGCCTGGACAAGGCTCAGCTGCGCAATCTGCTCATGCGCTTCAATGCAAGTGTCAAGGATGCTCGCAGCTATATCGGTGATTGGCTCGGGGAGATGGAGGAGGCGTACGGCGTGGACGCAGCGGTCGCTTCCGAATACGTCAAGACGTCGCAGGGCGACTTCCAACAGGCCGAGACCTTCTTGAGGCTGGCAGCGGTCATTCGCTCGAGCAACACTCCAGATCGTTCTCGCAGCAGCCTAACTAGAAGTCCGTCGAAGCGTCAAGCTCGGGACGATGATCGCAGCTTTGATCGCTTCGACCGTGACGGTGCTCGAGCGGGGTCTGCCAAGCGCTCCCGCCGATGAGCTTTCCACTGGCCCCTTTCCTCGAACAATGTCTCTTGTAACACTATCAGCGACCAGCAAGGTAACTCTATGTACGATCATTGCTCTGCATCAACTACTGTACTTTCATCTAAGGCACCATCAGGTTCTATTGGGTGCCGAGTGAGTGCTGAGGGCGGCTTGTCGAAAGGAGAGCCCGAGAAGCCACATCAAGATCGGCCCGATCGACCGAGATTTTCTTCAGATTTGCGAAGAGTGGAGGCGAAGCCGGAAATTTTGGCAGCGAGAAGAATCTCAAAACGTTGATCCTGCTCATCTTTTCTCTTTGATCATCCCGTCATCATCATATACACTCTGCCCAACATGTCGACAACAGCTGCAGCGTCAACGAGCGTCGAGGCGCTACCACCTTTTGTCATTCGCGCCAGCAGCTCGCGGCCCTCTACATCGAAGAACAAGGCAGCCTCATTACAGCGCCGCTTGAAAGGATCCAATACGCCGTCTCGACTGGTGCACTACTCGGGCGAGGCGCATCCGGCGTCTTCATCTTCGCGCCTTTCACGGTATGGACCGACCTTCACGAAAGACGATATGGACGTGGATCAGGAGGACATGGACGCAGACAATGATGACGAGGACGATGTCAAGATCGCCGTCGCCGGAGGCAGCATCGCGTCTTCGCACGTTTTCATGAAGGGCCACGGCACATTCCTGTCCGCCAACTCCGACGAGATCCTGTCCTCGATGTGTGGCACGGTCGAGCGCGTCAACAAGCTCATATCCGTCCGTCCGGCGCGATCTCGCTACGCCGCTGAAGTGGGAGACCTGGTCATCGGCCGCGTCACCGAAGTCGGACCCAAACGATGGAAGGTCGACATCAACGCCAAGACCGACTCCTCGCTCCAGCTCTCGTCCATCAACCTTCCGGGCGGCATCCAGCGTCGGAAGGTCGAGAGTGACGAGCTGCAGATGCGCAACTTCTTCCAGGAGAACGACCTGCTGGTAGCAGAAGTGCAGATGATGTTCCAGGACAACTCGTCCGCGCTGCACACGCGATCCTTGCGGTATGGCAAGCTCAAGAATGGTGTTCTGGTCACCGCTTCGCCGAATCTCATCCAGCGACTCAAGTCGCACTTCGTTCATCTGCAGGACACAGATCTGGCGCTCGATGTCGATCTCATCATCGGCCTCAACGGGTACATCTGGATCGCCAAGCATTTTCCCTACAATCAGCCGTCCAATGCGGATCAGCAAAAGGGTCTCGCAGGGTCAGGCGTGGGCATGGACATCGACGCGACCTACTCGGACCAGAACGATGCGGATCTCAGCGTAGAGTTGCGGCGTCAGATTCAGAGGGTTGCAAAGTGCATCCGCGTGCTCGATGCCTACCACCATCCGATCTCGGACGTGACGATCCACTCGATGGTTTCGATCTCGGTCGCGTACGTCGGGCATATTCTGCAGGAGCAGGAGCAGCAGGATTGGCACCGCAATGCCGAGCTCACGTCGTTGATGATGGAGCAGTTGCGAGCCGGGTCGAACCTGTCAGAGTAGAGTCGTTCACAAACAGTTGCAAACACAGTCGGTCTTTGCTTTGCAAGAAACAATTGTGATCCTTTCGTTGTGTTCCTTCCGTCTGAGTGCGTTCCAAGGTCTAAGTTCTATCCAGGTGACGAGAGTGTCCTACGTTTCGACACCAGCAGCAGCGCACAGCGACGCATACTCCGCCGAATGCTTGCACATGTTCTTGAAATGTGCTCCCTCGTCTCCATCCTCCTTCTCCAGCAGCTCTTTGGGTCTTCCCACCTCTACCAGCTTGCCATCTTGCATGACCACCACCCTATCGTAATCTATGACGCTCCTCAGACGGTGTGCGATGCAGATCACGATCGAGTCCTTCAACGCAGTTCGAATGACACGCTGGACCATTGCGTCTGTGTCCATGTCCGTACTTGAGGTCGCTTCGTCCAGGATCAAGATTCGGGTTGAGCGAAGGAGCGATCGTGCGAGGGAGAGCAACTGTGCTTGGCCAGCGGAGAAGTTCGCCCCGCCCGACGAAACCGGCGTATCCAACGTCAGACGCATACTCGACCTGTGCTCTCCTGGGGTAGTCTCGTCCACGTCGACCAATCTCGCTTCGCCCAACGGCGGCGCCAATCCTACCCTACTCAGCGCCGCCATCACCTCCGCATCCCCATGCTCCTCGAAGGGATCCAAATTATCCCTCACCGTCCCCGAAAACAACACCGGATCCTGCATCACGATGCTCAGCCGACTGCGCAGCTGCTGCAGCGGAATGGTGGCAATATCCACATCATCGATCGTGATCCTGCCCCCGCACAGCTCGGTTGCCCTGAACAGGCTCGACGCAAGACTGCTCTTCCCAGAACCGGTACGACCGATGATGCCCACCTTCTCGCTGGGGCGCACGTCGAAGCTGACCCCCTTGAGAACCGTTGGGAGGTCGTCGGCGTAGCGCAGGGAGACGTTGTCGAACACGATGCGCGCGCGAGCGGACGGCCAGGCGGCAGGAAGGAGGGTGGAGGAGTAGTTCGACGTGATGAGGTCGGTCTCTTCGCGCGGCATGGACTGGTACTCGGAGACCCGCTCGAGGGAGTTGAAGCTGTTGGCGAGGTTTTTGAAGTCGTTGACCAGGTAGTAGGCTAGCTGGCAGAGCAATTGGGCTGAGGAAAGTGCGAGACCCGCTGAGCCGGGCGAGACGGCTCCAGAGAGCGCGAGCAGGGTCACGATGAAGACGGAAACGCCGCCGAGGATCTGCGAGCGGAAGCTGAGCCAGACTTCCATCGTGCACACCGCCCACCAGAGGGATTGGTACAGGTCGACTGCGTCCAGGAACGATTCGAGCAGCCGTGGTTCCGCTCCGAACGCGCGGATCGTGACAATGCCGGAGAGAGCTTGCTGGAAGTGTCCGTAGATGGGTGAGGTGGATGTCGCTTCGATCCTCTGCATGTCGCGCGTGCAGGCGAGGAAGCCGCCGACGAGCCAGGGTCCCAGCAGCACCAGCAGGAACGACGGAAGAAGGAAAGCCGGAACGATGACCACGCAGATGAGAAAGTAGGCCGCCATGGAGAAGGCGTTATTGCCAAGGTTCATGATGGACTGCGGTAGGATGTTGTCGATGCAATCCATGTCAGTGCCGAAGCGGTTCATGATCCGGCCTGCGGGTGTGATGTCGAACCAGCGAAGCGGTGCGCGGATCACGTTGGCAAGCAGGGTCGCAAAGAGGTTTTGCGATGCTCGAATGGAAGCCACGTAGAAGCAAACCGCTCGCGAGCTGTTGAACAGGATCACTGCAAAGCCGCTGAGTCCGTAGATGGTCAGGTAGAAGCCTGCATGCCCGTCTGCTGGCGGCGGGTCGAAGGGCAAGTGTGAAGCGGCCTTTGTTGCGAAAGCTTGCAGACCGTACTTTTGGTAAGCCTCCCCCCAGACCTTGAGCCAGTACTGGCCGAAGGACTCTGACATGCGCAGCAGCAGCAGGAACAGGACCAGAAGGCCCCATATCCGAAGCGAGGAAGCTTGCAAGTAGGTACGGTAGAAGATCCAGCTCACAGCACCTTCTCGGCGCTTCTCTTCCTCATGCAGGAGGCGCGGGGTCCTGGCACCCGACGCGAGTTCAGACGCCCCTTTGGCCGTCGAGGTATTGTCGGCCGCATCTGCGCTGAGGGAAGATCCCTGCGGAGGTGCCTGTGCTGGCGAAATCAACGGCGCGGATGTCGACGCACTCGCTTTGTCCTGCGAGTGGCCTGGATCGCGGCGCTTCTGACCGTGCGAAGGTGGTATGATGCCTTGCGATTGCAATTCAGCCGGCTCGCCTTGATGCGTAACCCGGCCGTTCTGCATGCTGACCACCAATGCCGCGTCGTCCACCAGCAGATGCACGTGATGCGTGACGAGGATGACTCTGCGACCCTTTGCGATCGGGCCCAAGACGGCATGCTTGACAATATGATTCTGCACGCGCGTGTCGACGGCCGACAGCACATCATCGAGCAGGACCGTGCCCGAGCGCGCGTACAAGGCGCGCGCAAGCGAGATGCGGGCCTTCTGCCCGCCAGACACAGTATGCGAGCCGATCCTGGTCTGGTCACCGTCTTCCATCGAGTCCAGATCGGCTTGCAGAGCACAAGCATGGACGCACATCGCGTACCTGCCCTTGTCGAACGCGGTGCCGAAGAGAATGTTGTCTCGCACCGACTTGCCAGCTTCGAGCCAAGGCAGCTGACTCGCGAAGCTGAATCTGCTGTTGCCTTGACTGTCAAACTTGTTGCGAATGATAGATCCTTCTTCCGACTGGAGCATCTCGCCCAGAACAGCGGCCAGCAAGCTGCTCTTGCCCGAGCCGGTGGGCCCAACAATCAGAGTAAGCTTCCCCACAGGAAACGTAATGCTGATGTCGCGCAGATTGAAGCTCGACTTTGATGAGTCCGACGGCGAGGTACCATCGATGCCAGAAGTGGAGCGTGAATCCTTTGAGCTGTGCCAATGAAAGCTGCATCCTTCGATCTTGAGCACCTGACTGTCGGAACCGGCCGTATCGTGCAGGTCCTGACTGGACTCAGCAACGCCACCGCTACTTTGCGGTCCACGCTGCCTCGACAGCTGGCTGACCGCCTCCTCGACCTCTTGCTCGTTGAGAAACGACTCGAGTCGCTGCACGCTGACCATGGCGATTAGTCCGCCCATCAAGAAGCCAGGAATGGCATTGAGAGGAGGCCGGATCATCGTGAAGAGCGCGATCGCAGTGAAAGCCGTAGCGACGGTCAGCTCCTCCTTCGCGACTTTGACGTAGAAGAAGAAGCTGACGAGAGTGACCAGCACGGGAATGACGGTCCAGAGCAGCTCGAAGAGGAACGTCATCACTCTCGACCAGATAAGCTTGCGGATCTCCTTATGACGAGCCGATGCCACCCGCCGCTCCCATTGAGGTTCGACGCCTTGAATCTTGACAAAGCGCATGGCGTCGATCAGCTCGGTCATGAGGCTCATCCGTTCGTCGCGCGCCGAGCTGTACTCGCGCTGCTTCTTGACAGCGATCTCGCCCCAGTAGTAGTTGACGGGAATGGCTGCGACAAGAATGCCAAAACCGACCAAAGCGCTCCATCCCATCAGCTTGTAGAGAAAGATGGCGGCGATGGTGACTTCGAGGGGAGCACCATACAGCTGATGCAAGTCACAGCCCATGCGCAAGAGGATGTTGACATCTGAGGCCATCATGTTGACGATCTTGCCCACGTCTGCGCCTTGCTCCTGCGATGCCACTTTCGGGTTTTTGGCTCCTGCTCTCGAGCGCCGTGATGTCTGCGGCGCATTGCTTGTGGAGCTGTAGGAACTCTCCGCCGAGGGCGCCTTTGTCTGGCCACTGAGATCTCGTCTCTTGAGCGCCTTCTCGAAAAGCGATACGACGAGGGTGGAGCGAATGCGCAATCCGACCTGACGAGCGTGGTGATAGTTCTGCAGCTCGGCCAGGAAGCGGATCACCGTAAGGCCGAGACCGATGCATGCGTACACGAAAGCCTTTTGCCGCGGCGTCCAAGCACTATCTGAAGGCGCGTCTCCTCGTTCGGGCTGTCTATTGCCTTCTGGAGAAGCTGCAATCTGGATCTGGTCGAGGATGCTTTTGAGGATGTAGGTGCCCAGATAGGCGAAGCTGACGCTGATGAGCTTGAAGCAAGCGTCGAGCAAGATGTCGTTGGCGTTGGCGCGAAGGATGCGTGACAGCAGCCGCGGCCTACGCCCTGCAGCAATCTGTACATGCTCGAGTGCCTTGAACTTGCGAAAGAGCAGGCGGGTATCATTGATGGAGCGAAGACGCCACACGTCGGTAGGCTTGAGCGAGCGTCGAAGGGCGAGCTTCTGTATAGGCGCCATCCAGGAGTAGGACAGGTTTTCGTAAAGGTTGCAGTAGTCCTCTGGCGATGTCGGACAGAGTTGATACACTGCAGCCATGCTATGGTCATGTGCTGCAAGCTTGGAAGTGACGTCTGCTTGTTGCCGCAGACGTTCATCGAGACTGACGACCGCCTCATACCCACCGGCGGTGACCGGCATGCGGAGGCAAAGAGAGGCAGCGTAGATGCAGATGACCACATTGATGAGGCAGATGATTACGGCAGCATCGGCCGTTGGTCGCTGCCCGCTGAGCTGTGGGATCAAAGAGAAGAGGTCGATCGCAGCCGTGAGATTGGATAAGAACAGCAAGGTCACAAGGTCGAAAGGCGGTGTCTGTGGGCGCCAGAAGAGGACCCGAAAGAAGATGTAGATCCAAGCGCTGTCCTGAGCTAGGCTAGGAATGGCCGACTTGATTCCAGACGCAGTGGCGGTCCAGCCTGCGGTCGCAGCGCATGCAGCCGATTGGAAGAGTGAGACAAGAAGGAGTTGGTGGAGACGCTCACGCTGCCCTTGATATCCTTCTGCGCGAGGAGAGAGCGCTTCGGCAGCACTAGCATCGACGGCATCGCCGTTGCCATTCACGTGATCTCGTGCCTTCTGGCGTCCAAACTCGAGTCGATGTCGGCGTGCATCTTTGTCTGTAACGAAGGGAGCGAAGTAGCTGACAATAGCCGGTACTGTTGGGTGTGCCTCCCTACCTTTCTTTGATGCAAATATGAGCCGAGCGAGTCGACACAGAGCTGGCAGGACAACGAGCGCTGCGGTGAGCACCAATGGTGATGCTTGTGCGAAGAAGACAAGACGAGATGAGCTTGCAGCGCTGCCGGCGACCTCCAGACTGGACAGGAGCGAGAACTGTGTCGAAGCAAGGACGTTCGTGCCATTCTGAGCGAGTGTCGAAGGAGTGCTCGGACGAGCGGCCCATAGATAGCTCAGCAGTCGAGTGTCGGCAAGGTCACTGCGTGTTGAGAAGTCCAGCGAGCTCGGCATGGTGAACGGGGATCTGGAGACGCGCTGCCGGACCTGCTCCGACTGCTGAAGGGCGGCACGGATCTACGTGCAAGCTGACATGATGTATGAACGTCGAGGAGTGGTACCAAGAGGCTACCGGTGACAGACCGAAGCCAGATGCTTGTCCGGTGATCAAGGTGGAGGAAGGAAGCACACCTTCTCGGTGTTGGTTCTTCGACTCGCGCTTTTTCTGGATTCGTCACGCGAAGCTCCGAACGCGCCTCCTTTGTCAGCCCGAACAACGCAAACGAGGACAAGGCTTCTTTCAGACAGAATGACTCCTCACAGCGACTGCGTTACAACGCCGCACGGCCGCATGGACATGTCACGAATGCTGCACTGGATTGAACCTGCACCTCAGAGCCGAACGAGATGGAGCTCACTCGGTCGACTGTAAGCCCGCCAAGGCCAGGTCTCCCCTCTCTCTAGCGTTACACATGGCGCGGAAGTCGTCTAGCGCAGCTTCATGCACCTCATCGATGTCGTAGGACCAAAGTCTGGTGCCCCAAACGTAGTTGTCCTTTCCTCCGATCAGAGTGTCAAGATGAACACCGGGGGATCCTGGACGGTAGCGTTCGATATAGTCCTGCACGTCCTTGTCTATGCATGGAGTAGTCACAAGGCGAAAGCATTTGTGAAGTTCTTTGGGGAGGATCTCGTTTGCTAGCTGCAACACCGGACGAATTGTCGCCTCAAACCATCGCGAGAAGTGCTCTTCTTCTTTCGGGCTGCAGGGAACCCGAAATTTGTAAGCTGTCACCGTGAGGTGCCACAGCCTCGGATGGACCCGGGCCAGGTGCGCCAATCCGCGCAGGAAAGCGGCGTCAACATCGAACTCCATATGCCATTCAAGAATGGAGAGCATACGCAGAGACGGACACAAGGAGATGCAGCTGCACGCCTTGCTTGAGTGACATGCCTTATCTGGATTTCTCAATGTTCTGGCGGGCTTGATGAAGAAGTTTGAGTAGTCTGGAGCCTTGTTCCATTCTTCCATGATATAGGCGTCCTTGAGGTGCTGAAAAATGCATGATTCCGGACCGTTGACGATCCGCTCGAGCCGCTGTCCCAATTGCTGTGCAGCGGCTGGACTCCAGCGTTCCCTCTCGTTCGGTGGCATTGTCGTATAAAAACTCTGGAAGATGACAGGGATGCGCTCGAGGAGACCACGGCAAGTCATGTCAAGGTGGAGCGGTTTGACGCCCTTGAAGAGCTTGATATCGGTCCGCGGTTCGTTCTCCGAGTCATCGCTATCGCTAGTCCTCCGGAAATGGAAGTCGTTGAGCTCCAAGCTTCGTATATTTTTGGCCGAGAGACAGATGAGATAGAGGTGGCCGACGTATCGGAGTGCGCGGTTCAGCGCGTAGTCGTGAGACAAGTAAGGGCGTTTCATCCCGAAATAATCGATGCGGAGATGCCTGATGCGAGCCAAAGTTGGTGCGAACGAAGGAAGCGCCATATGTATGATCCAGTTCTCAGCGCTGGAGATGAGCATGTGACCAGCAGGGATCTTTAAGATGGGCACCGATCGAGAGATCCCGGTGCCAAGCAGGGCCCAAATGCGTGGATGGACCAAGGGCAATGTGTTCCAAAACCAACATTTGGCCTTGCCGCTCCGATAACAACAGCATGGCTTCAAAAGCTTGGCCCGGCATTCGGATTTATGCCATTGATCACCACCAAAGATATCAAAGTAAAGGTCCAGTAGGACGAGAGTGAGCAATTCGTCAGGAAGGAGGAGCAAAGACATTCTGAATAAAAGTTCAGAACGGCTCGATCACCGTATGTGTGGTGTTGGGTCGAGAGCTTGAGTCAAGGTGTGGCTGCTGCTGGTGGCGAAAGTGGAAGCTGAGCTGTGACACCCTGGCTTTCGAACCCTGCGCAGCAATTGAGGCTGAGTCGAGCTGTGACTTTAGAGAGTGTGCCACTGTCACTCGCTCACTCGTTGTAATCACGTGTCTTCCCCACCATGAGATGCAACTGCGACCGTCATCGGCAGCGCGAGATCCAATTCGACTCTTTTGAGCCAACTCACTCATCAGGCGAGAGCGAGATATTGATCTGTTATCTCCCGCCAAGTCGGCAGGTAGGCAAGGCTCCAAGTGGAAGGTCTCAAGACAGGCGCCCGAACACTGCCAGATATTTTTGGGTTAGTTCGACTAGTTCGTAGCCCGTTGGACGGCATGCTGATATGAGGAGATTCACACTTGATCGTTGTTGTCGCCATCACCTGTTGTGGGATGCTGCCTGCGTTCAGGCCCGCTTCTGTCGTAATCGTGTCGAAGCTTCCTACCGAGCAGCGCCGTCGAGGCTCGCTCTCGCTCTGGACAGCTCGGCAATCTTGACCCGCAAAATGAAGCTGGAATTTGGTGGCTCGCAGCTCAGACCCTTGCTAAGCGCCCCAAACGTGCTTCATATGCAAGGAGGCGCGCCTCGTCCTTGCTGCATTCATCTCGAACCGCCGCCTTCCCCCTAGTATCAGACGGACTGAGCGACCAGCACGATGAAGCCGCCTTCGCTGCTTGCTTCTCGTCCTTCAACATTCTCTGCCAGCGTATCGCTCATTGAGAGCACTGCCTTTGTATCACTTCCTGTACGGCCTTCAATCATGCCAGCTGATCCACGCTCTCGCCAAGACTCGCCAGTCGCTTGCTAAAGCTCGAGTAGCTTTACAGCATTTATGCTTCCACGATGCTACTGATTTCGATGGGACGCTTCGCTTCAACCGCCGCCCTACTGCTTCAACTCGCTGCGATTGTCGACGCACAATCTTTCGACGTCGGCCGCCGTTCCTCCCACTCTAGGACCAAGACCGGACTGCAGAGCTGCCTCATCGAAGCCGGCATCGAGGTCATCGCAGCCGATCTCAGCGCACCAGACCTCTACTTCCAAGCTTCGGCCTCGGACAACCTCGTGTTTCACTACAATCCAACTCTTATCGCGTATCCTGATTCGTCTTCCCATGTCCAGCAGGCGGTGCTGTGTGCGTCCCAGTACTCCGATGATCCCATCGCTGCTAGGAGTGGCGGGCATTCCTTCGCAGGCTTTGGCAGCGGTGGCATGGACGGCTCGATTGTCATCGACCTCGCTCGACTCAACTCCGTTGTATCGCATCCGCAACAAGGGACCGTCGAAGTTGGGCCAGGCGCTCGCCTTGGTGATGTCGTCAAGGGGTTGTGGCATCAAGGCAATGCTCACCGTGCCATGTCGACGGGCACCTGTGCGGCAGTCGGTGTCGGCGGTCTAAGTCTCTGTGGAGGCTTCGGTCCCATGTCGCGGAAATGGGGCCTCACCACCGATGCCATCCTCGAAGCTGACTTGGTTCTTGCCAACGGATCCATTGTCACGGTCTCGGAGCAGCAGGACCCTGATCTTTCCTGGGCGTTACGAGGAAGCGGTTCTTTCTTCGGTATCGTGACGCGGTTTCTCTTCCAGTCGCACGATGCTGCTCTCCCCGTCATCTCCTTCGAATACCGGTGGACACCCTCTCTTACGTCTGTCGACATGGCCATCGCCGTCATGATGGCGGTGCAAGCATTTTCACTGCAGGATGACTTCACGAACGACCTCGGTCTTCACATTCAGCTGCGAAAGCCATCCTACAGCGATCCCAAGCCCTTCGAAAATCGACCCATCTCGATCGAAGTCAAAGGCATCTTTTTCGGCACGGCAGCAGATTGGCAGAGGCTTCGATACGAGCTGATGGAGCAGCTCGCTGACCACTACGCACCACAGCCAGACGCAGAGACCGTGTCATGGAGGACCTATCTCGAACTCATGGAAGATTGGGACGACTTCAGCAAGGGTTCGACCAAGCTCGACACCGCGGCTATCCACAAGCAGCACAACAACTTCGTCACCAAGTCCTCGCTCACTCTCGAGCGCAACAAGGGGTTCGACAAGGAAGCGCTTCTTCCTCTCTTCCAGTACCTTTGGGATACCAGTCTGGTTGCTGGACAGAATGTCGATCTCCCCGACGGTCAGCAGGTCTTTTGGGCGTGGAACATCTACTTTGAGCTCTTTGGCGGTGGTAGCCCCGCATATTCTCACGAGTCCGCAAAGAGGTTGAGCAGCTTCCCGCATCGCGACGGCCTGTGGCTCATCCAGATCGCTGTTGGCACCTTAGCCAGCATGAGTCTGGCGCGGTCCGGCCACGTCTATGCACGCGAGCTCGATGCTCGAGTCAACAGCGCCATCGAAGCATCAGGGCTCGGCCGAGGCGGGTACTCTTGCTACATCGATCCCGAGCTCGAGCAGGAAGAGTGGAAGCAGATGTACTACGGCGAATCGATTGCCCGTCTAGAGGACATCAAGATGGAAGTGGATCCCGAGAACCGCTTTCGTAACCCACAGACACTCGGCGACCGTCGCGAGATTTTGGCTCGAAGAAGAGGAACGAGACTTGGACGAATGACAGACGACAGTGCGGCTTCTCAACGAGGGTCGCGATGATCACTTGGGCGCAATCCTGACCGCCATTCCTAGAGTCGATGTAGTTCGCTGTCCACGCAGTGCAGCAATGATATCCTTTCATAAACTTGCAGTAGAAGTCCAAGGCTGTTGCATCCTCGAACGGTTTGCCTGATCCGCAGACACTCAAAGTTGCTAGCGTCGGTCGTCCGCGGCGGAGCCATTCCTAGGACGAGCAGATAACGTCAAAGAGCATAGAGGGAGGTCAGCAAGCGGATGACGGCTTTGTATGAGACAGGAGAAGGCGCAGCATACCTGATAAGCATTCGGATGTTGTTGAGAAAGATGAGCACCTGGTCATCAAATGACGTCCACTCCTGACCATTTGGACCTGACCCGTTGCTGGCAGGATTCGACTTGGCTTGTGCACCAGCTTGCATCAACTGTTCGACGTCTTTGATCTCGATTTCGAGTTCGTGAATCGGTTCTTGCGGCTGTCAAACCAGACGAGCAGTAGGCAATGTCAGCGGGAGTACAGCAGAAGCCTGGGAGCAGTCTTCGAAGGCGGAAACCTTACCTTTTCGGGGACAGTGACTTGGGTCAGATCAACAATGAAGTTTTGATGCGCGTACGAGAGACGATTCTTCTCGCGGATCGAGACGTGTTCCGATGTTGGCTCGTCGGCCGGCTTCTCGACGTTGATGCTGATGCGATAGTCAAAGAGACGATTAGGGCAGTAGATGTTGAGGTCGGCTATCCTTTGCTTCTGGACGATGCCGTCGGGCTTGATGGCAAGCGTCTCGGCGTCCCTGGTGACTCGGACCTTGCCGCTTGGAGCGGGATGAAAGTAGTCGATCTCTTTTCTTCGGTGGTAGCTGATCTTGGCGCCGGTGTAGGATGACTCGCCCGATCTTGATACGAGCGAGTTCAGGATGCGATTATACTGAGCATGTTGTGACTGTGGTCGAGCGACGGTGAAGGGCGAAGGTTACAGGTGAGCACGCTGGTCGATGAACTCGCCATCTCGTTGAGAGCGTCAAGTTCGCACTTACGATGGTCATTCGGCTGTCAAATCTGGTCCGGCTGAGGTCGACGATAGTTTCGTTGCGCACGGGCAACTGAACGCGTTCCCCCGTCTCCTGGTCGATGATCTGCCCAATCTTGCCCTCAATCTGTCGGGAGCGGAGCAGAGAGCGAGTCGCGTGGTCAGTAGGAGATCGACAGGTCCGTCTCGTGCTCCCTGATACATACCTCTAAGTTCGGCTTGCCCCTTCCATTGACATAGATCCAGTCGCCGACCATGGTGACGAAGTCGTCGAGTGGATCGACGCCAAAGATGGAGCGCTCGGGCGCGACCTGTTGCGGTGACGACATCCTCGAGAGCTTTTAGGTGCACCTGCGGCGCTATCTGAGAAAGGAGAGTGTGCTGGTTGGAAGGAAGGTGAGAGGCTTGTTATGGTTCGACCAGAAGATCGTCTGGAACGCAGGGTCCAAGCCACGTCCGAAGCCCGAGCAATCATTTCTGCGCCTCCTTTAACGCTCGCTTTTTTGAAAGCTCGTTTTGTTGCTTGTGCGGAAACCAAGTTGGCTGAGTTCTGTGTGTTCTCCACTTCCGCATCTTGGACCCTGACGAAGAATCAAGAACATCATCTTCCGCCAGCTCGACACCATCGACGGCTACAAGCAACAAGAGTGTGCAACATCGTCTCGCTTTCACCGATCGGAAGCATCTCAAGCAGTGCTCAAGGTCGCATCAATGAGACCATCGCGACCTACTTAGCGCTCACGAGCCAAAGCGGTGGCGCAGCATGCAGGTCAACCACGTGAGCGAAGACGACTTCGAGGTGGTCTCCCCCGTGCGGAAGGGATCAAACACCAAGAAGACTGGAACATCTATTGATACCATCCATGGAACAGAGCCGATCTACGACGCTGCAATCGCGGCCAAGCTGGAAGAGCTCGACGGCGAAGTCGTATCCGTCCAGAGCCAGATCACGGAGCTACAGAAGCTCAAGGATTCGCTCCTTCTCGAGAGGAGCAGAGTTTACACAAGCTATCTTCAAACACTGCTCGCCAATGACGCTGGAACAAGCCGCAAGCTAGGATGCGACTACTCATCCACCGCTTTCGCTTGGCACGATGACATTCGTCTCGCCGCCATGTCGATCTTTGGCATTCCTTCGTTCCGCTTCTGTCAAGAGGCCGTCATCAATGCAGCCATGGACGATCGCAACGCTGTGGTGGTCATGCCAACGGGAGGCGGCAAGTCGCTGTGCTATCAGCTTCCAGCGATCCTTAGCCCAGGTGTCACCCTCGTTGTCTCGCCTCTCATCTCGCTCATGACCGATCAGGTCCTCCACCTTCAAGAGGCTGGTATCAAGTCGGAGCTCCTGTGCGGCAGCACCTCCCGTGAAGACAGCAACGCCATCCTCAAGCACATCCGACACGGTTCCGATGGCAATGACGCAAGCCCGTCAAAATTGAAAGCCTCGGGCTTCAGCAGGAGCCAGCATCAGCACGACGGAATCAAACTCCTTTACGTCACTCCAGAGCGCATCGCCAAATCGAAAACATGCCTTTCGGCATTACAGAGTGCCTACGAGCAAGGTCGACTTTCTCGCATCGTCATTGACGAAGCGCACTGCTGCTCTCAGATGGGCCACGATTACCGACCAGACTATGCGAAACTATCCCTTCTACGTCGACTGTTCCCCAAAGCGCCCATCATGTGCTTGACCGCCACCTGCGGACCAAAGGTGCTCAAGGAGATCCTCGCAATCATGGATCTGCCCGCGATTACCGAGCCCAACAACGCTGCACCGATGCGAACCATCTACTTTACTGCGCCCCTCTTCCGCGCCAATCTCCGATACCAAGTTGTGCAGCGCCCTATGCAAGCGCAGGCAGCAGCGGAAGCCATCGTCGAGTACATCCTGAAGCATCACGAAGGGCACAGCGGCATCGTGTACTGTCTATCTCAGGCCGACACAGAAGCAACCGCAACGGCTCTCGCGGAGATCAGCGACGGCCGTATTGCGACAGGTCGCTATCACGCCGGACTCGACGATACCAGCAAGCAGCGCATTCACACGGACTGGCGCACAGGCCGCATTCAAGTCGTCTGCGCCACCATCGCCTTTGGTATGGGCATCGACAAGCCAAATGTCCGTTTCGTTATACACGCATGCATTTCTAAGTCGCTCGACGGCTACTACCAGGAGACAGGTCGCGCGGGCCGAGATGGGCAGAACTCTGACTGCGTCCTCTTTTATCGCCCGCAAGACGCCATTCGTATGAGCTCGCTCGTTGCTAGCGAGGTCACCGGTCAAGAGAAGCTGTCGGCGATGCTCGACTACGCTCAATCAGCTCAATGTCGCCGCCACTTGTTCGCCGAGTACTTCTCGGACATGTTCGAGAAAGGTGATGCTCAACGCCGGCAAGATTGCGGAATCTGCGACAACTGCGCAGAGAAGCGCTCGACACTACTCATCGATGTGCGCAAGGAGATGTATCAGCTCCTCGCTGTTCTTGCCGAGATGTGCAGACAAGGCGGCAGGATCACGCTCGCCAGCCTTTCCGACGTAGCTCGGGGCTTAGGCGGCGGCAAGTTCAATCTCGATCCAAATTTGGCCGGCTCCAGCAAAGGCAAAGGGAAGTCGAATGGTTCCAACACAGCAAAGGCTGGCGTCGTCGATGTGCAGGCAGTCGCAGGCGGCAAGATCACTCTGCATCGCGACATAGTGGACCGCCTTATCGTCCATGGCATCCAATCGCAGCTCATCGAGCAGAATTACCAGGCAACAGCGTACACGGTCAACGTCTACCTCGAGACAGGCGCCAAAGCAAGTCGCTTCCTTCGTCATCCATTGTCGATCCTTTCGTCACCTGCGCAGCTCGATAAGCTCTCACCAACACAGATTCTGCCGCCCTCAGCTGCAGCGAGCGTCAAGGCAGCCGTCAAGAGAACCTCGCCAAGCGTTGCGACAGGAGCTGGCGAAGCGGGTCCCCGCCAAAAGAAGAGTCGGTCTTCGGGACCGCATCCAGCAGGTCATTCGGCGATGATATCTCGAGGTGCCACCTTGCACACAAGCACGAACGCTGCCAAACCCACTGCATCATCGTCATCCAGGGTCAGCACTGCAAAAGGCTCGCAAGATCGCGGAGCGTCGAGATCAGAAGCCATCATCATCGACTAGCATGCTTTGGCAATATCGAAATCTCGCTATTGTTTACAACGATCTCGTCTGTGTGATAGCATGTGAACGCCACCAACTTGAACAACGCAGTGGGGTTTTATGGCAACGGTTGAACAAGGTTGGCGCGTCAACGGCCTGGCAAGACGGTCCATTTGAAATTTCAAGTCCCCAGTTTGAAATGGCAGGAAGACGGTCAGCTACAAATTCCAAGGCGCGTTGAATCCATTTTGAATTTCCTGACAGCAAGACGGTCTGCTTCAAACTGGAAGACGGTCTGATACAAATGGAAGCTAGCAGAACAGTTGTTCATCTCCCGTCTACCATGCAGACGTGCTCAATCTCAAGATGACCTCCGTCAACTGCCCNCTGATACAAATGGAAGCTAGCAGAACAGTTGTTCATCTCCCGTCTACCATGCAGACGTGCTCAATCTCAAGATGACCTCCGTCAACTGCCCCGTGTGCTCCTTCAGCTACGCCATCACCAACATCACCAACCACATCCGGAAGGCGCATGCTGGAGTTCACGTTACACAAGATGCAGCAGCAGCTTCTGGTCTGGTGGCATGCAGCTGCGGTCAGGTAGTGTTGAATGCGGTGGCGCTCAGGAAGCACCAAGGTATCCGACACTGTCAGGCGGTACTGCCACCAACGCCACCAGAGACTCAACCCAACACGGTAGCAGCAGAACCAATATTCCAATTTCAAGCACCACCATCTCCAGACTCCCAGGCATGGGCCGCATCACCTCCACAGGACACGCAAACGCAAGAGAGCAGCTTTGCTACTCAAGACTGGGATGACGTACCGCCTGTTCAGCCAGGCAGCGGCCCTGCAAGTCCAGGTTCTCCGCGTGAGCCATCACTCAGCCCAGTTTCTGACATTGACAGCCCAACGCTACCTGACTTGCCTCAAGCGGAGCCAACACCACCGTTGAATCCAGAAGACCACCATCAAGAGGACATCCCAGCAGACGGCATTGTGATTTGGCTGGGTGGCGGTGAGCCAGGAGCAGAGCCAGAGCCACCGGTAGAGCCGCCAAGAATGCTCCTTGCCTCTGCTGCTGACACCGGTACACGTCTGCCGCCTGTTCCTGCCCGTGCACCAGTACAGGACTGGGATGTGGTGAGTGCAACCGATGTTGATTTCTACTCGGTGACAGTGTCTCCAGCCACACTCCTTTGTATCTATCCTGCTGGGTGCTATCTCTCCTTGACT